GTTTGAATAGACATTACATTGCAAGAGCCGGTTCCTGTCCCTGAGTTTCCTCCGCGGCCAGCTTGGTTAATGTTAGTAGAGGGTTCAGTGCAAGGGCCTGTGCCTGAACCAGCTTGATCGCTGTGTCCGGCATCGATACGCTTGGGGGGTATTACATTGAGAAGATCTGTTTCTGTACCTTGACTCTTAGCTTGGTCAAGCTTAGTAGACATGACGGTGCAGCCGCCTCCCTTCTTCATAGTAGTGCGTCCACCGCCTTTCATCGTGGTACATCCACCGTTCTGCATCACGGTGCATCCGCCGCTCTGCATTGTAGTGCATCCGCCGCTCTGCATCGTGGTACATCCTCCAGTCTGCATCGTGGTACATCCACCGGTCTGCATCGTGGTACATCCACCGGTCTGCATTGTAGTGCATCCGCCGCTCTGCATTACGGTGCATCCTCCCCCCTTCATCATGGTGCATCCTCCCCCCTTCATCATGGTGCATCCACCACCAGCTTGATTGCCAACTGCTTCGTCAGTTGGTGCTCCATGAGGCCAGAACTCGTCGATGACATTATCCCATGCCTCACTAAGCCAGGATTGAGCGTAGGTGTTGATCTCCTCAGTCTGCTCGCGAACAGCATGAAGTTTCTCAACCTCACGTCTTAATTCTTCCGTCTCATCTCTCGTGGCATTGACGGCTTCCTCAACATTGGAGAGCTTCCTCACATACTCTCGATGATGGTCGGCGGAATCGTCAGCCAATTGCCAAAGACCAAGACGTGTGGCAGCGGCTTGTTTAGGCGAAACCGCATTTTCGCCATATACGGCACCGTGTATGTCCTTCGTAATAAGGGCGTGCATCTCGACGGCTTCGAGAATGGCTTGATGATTGTTTTGTTTGATTGACGCTTCGATGTCGTCGAGTCGTTTGAGGATGTGTGTGTATTGCTCGTGAGCAATATTTATCGCTGGGGGTAGTTTGGAAGATTCTTCTTCAACGCTTGACGGTAACTTGTTTACCCTTTCTGATGAGATCGAGATTGAGTTTTTTATTCTGGGTTTTAACTTAAATTGTCGAATAGAAGTCGTACTAGAAGTGCTTCTAGAAGACGCGATTTCGCCGGAAGCGTGTGGTTCTATATAAGTCAGCTTCATATTGTTACCATTTTAGACAAAGCGCCAAAAGAAAGTACAATATCAAGAATCTTACCAACAATAGGAAGCAAGTCATCAACAATACCAAGATGCTCGACATCCTCTACTTCGACTCGGTTAATATTATTCTTTGTCTCGTCGTCTCCTTCGGCCAACTTTTGTGGAGTAAGTATTTCTTCTGGTGCAATATACTCCATACTCTCATCGCTCTCCAGAGATTGATTGTCTACGGGCTTTCTTCGTGTGGCATTAGATGAAGCCCATTTTCTTGCACCCAAATCTTTGTTCATCAAGATCTCCCACTCCCTGCAAAACTCCAGACTTAATTCGCTCATCTCCAGAGCGCCTCGGACCCAGCCACCACCTTCAGCGACTTCTTTGCTGAGGTTCAGTAAGATTGCATGCATACAATCCACCTTCTCTCCAAGCGTTATTCCAGCAGGTTTCCTTCTTAGATTCTCCTCTAGCCCTCCCCATGCTCGAACTATCTCTTTGTTGGCGTCGATGAAGAGCTTGAATGCCTTGTCGCTATCGAAAGTATCCGTGCCGTGTTGAACACTTTGCATAAATTTGATGATTTGCTTGACACCGAGATCGATCTTTGCCTCCGGCGATGAGGCATCTGCTTTCCATGAAGGGGCTCTCTGCTTGGGGGGTCGGGGATAATAGGTAGAGCTGAATCTCGCGAAGCGGTTTTGAATTGCATTGGTGCCACTGCTAACTTTACCCAGGCCAACACCAGAATGTGAGAACACATCGTCGTCCTTGGCGGCCGAATCGCTATGACTTTGTGCTGATCCAGAGATGTTTTCCGAATTGGCCGCTGGAGAAGCCGTTGCCTCCGCATCGTCGTCCCACGGTTTGTTCGAGGGACTTCTCAGATCCGATGTTTCGCTACTGGTTGACGGCCGTCGAACGACCTCCCTCGTATATTCTGCCATGTTTGATTCTGCGATGTTCTCATTCTGTGCCATATTCGTATTCAACTTCGGTATATCGCGGAGCGAAACAATATACTGCGCGGGCCTGTCCCAGAAACCAATTTGATTCACTCTAGGACCGCGTGGAGCAGCTGGTTTGGTGAGTTTGACTGTCGGATGTTGGTGCTGAGGAGACTCATGACTGTATGAAAGGTTGAGATCTTTGGGTCGTAGATCGAATCGTTGAGAGTCATGACCGAAAGATCTCTCGCCGAAAGGTGAACCTCTAAGTGACTGGACCATAATTTTGTTCGTTTCGCTAATGTCATAAATGCAAAATATACACTTACAAATTGCAAATTCTGTAATATTTTCCGGAAGTCGAAGGTGACAAGACGCCTGGAATTCACCGAGGAAGATACGTTTATGCCTATGATCGTGGCTTCCTCACCGACCAGATATACTTACTCTCTTAGCGGCTAAATGAGAAGAAACTCATCACAGCACGCCGTCACGTCTTCACGCTGCCACCTCAGAGAGAGGGGTTGTTCAATCGTGCCTCATCATTAACGGACTGGCCTAATTCTAGCTTACAAGTCACATATTCTCCTGTTTCCCAACTCAATCTACCTATCTACAATCCTAACGAGCCTGAAACCAAAAATGCTCTGTAAGAATAACGGAATTCGTAACACGACTTAAAGAAACTACCGGCCTATGAAGGCTCTGTGGGGTTTAAACGACACAAAGAAACAGACGCTAAAAAAGAAATTGTCGCTGAACGCGAATGGTATCATGAATGCTCTCCCACTTTCAACATCTACCCCATTTTCAACGATCCTTTTGCCGTTGCTGTATACTTTCAATAAGCATCAGGCCAGTTTATATGCTCACCGAAAAGAAAAGAACGAATCTTTCTCTTGCTTTTCCACCGGACTCGTTACTGGCGGTAATGGAGGTAACTTTTTGTCCAGACTGCTCCTGTTCACAGTCGTCTTGGACACATCTCCATGGCCGTAGCCATTGCCATTAGGACTATAGTCTTTCGGCGGCGTCAAAGGACGGCCATCTACGTAGTCCTTGGCAGGTGTACGCGGCCGTCTGTCTCCATCGTCATTCTCTTCTCGGCTGTGGCCACTTCTTCCACCGGTGCTGCTTGCTTCTCCAAGCTCCTCAACCACAGGTAAAGTCTGACCCTGAAGCCCACCACTGCGGTCAGCACTTGGACTTCGAACAACACTGATAATTCTCGGATCTGGTCGATGGGCTTCATCGTCACCTCGTCGTTCGGCATTGACAGCCTCTTGTTCATTTCTCTGAAGCGTACTATTTGGATTGCTTGATCGATGCATAGGCTGACTGTTCGACCTTCGACGTCCCGAGTCCACAGAATTGGGATTTCGCCCACGGTCGGAGAACGTGTTGGAATTAGTATGCGGAATTGGGGAAGTAGCCTGCGCCTCCTTTTCACGAGCCGCTTCCTCCGGACTCTTGGTTATGCCTTCAATGAACTGGATAAAGCGTTCGCCGTAAGGCTCGGGAGAAATCGGCGATATTTGTTTTTTGTCCTGACTTAGACCCTCTGTGAAATATTAGCATGCGACGTGGAAGAATATACCAAGGTTAAACTCACTCCAGAAATGTTCCAATTTTTTTACCGTTCCATAATGGGTTAGACAGTCGATGATTGACAAGAAAAATATCTCTTCTCCAGGACTATTGTCCTCATGAGTAGCTTGGAAACCACCGTCATCGCTATAGAAGATAAAGTCCCGCTTCGTTGTGTTCTCTTCCAGCGTGTCCGGCATTCGTGAGCTGCTCTGACCCATTGGAATCGGTTTCTCCTGTTTGATTATTTGCCGAAGCTCCCTAGCCTTGCGGGCGTTCTCCAGCTTGCTTGGTGTACGCATCAAGAGGCCTCTTCCATCAGGACCGGAATCCTCTGTTGGAGCGTCGCCACCAGGTTGAAAGACTTGAAGCGTTTTGTCGCGTAAGTTTTCTTGGTTGCCTTTTTGGAGGTCGTGAACTCCCACAAGCATACTGTAGTCCATTATTTTGAGCCTTTGCAACAAATGCACGTCACGCTCCATCTGTTCAAAGAACAAGGTTCTTTTCTCGGGTCCGAACTCCAAATGTTTTTCTCGGCGCAGCCAGTTCAAATCTTTTAGGGTCGCGCGTGGATTTTTCTCCAAATCCTCTTCTTTGAAATCTCGCCCTATTGTAGAGCCCTTCAGATCGAAGGTCTGATGTATGTCTCGGTGTGGCGGGAAAAGATTGTTCATTACCACGAAGTGGATCTTCCTTCCATAAGGTATCTTCACTCGGTGTAGTCCATAGAACTGGGAGAGAAGGGTGTTCGGGTTGTCTTCGATATGCTTCCAATAATCCTTCAGTATTTTCCGCAGGAATTTGTGCTCGGCGTGGTGGATAGTTTTGATGATGTATTTATAATCCCGAGAAAAGTAGAAGAAACTTCCACTCTTCCCAGGAGATCCAAGTTCCGAGAGAATATACTTGCTTGTCAGCGACATCAAGTAATCGGCCGGATCGAGCTTGAATTTAGCTCGCAGATGTCGAAAGACCCACGGCGCATAATCTTTGAATTTGAAGTCGTATTTCGCGGATGGTGTCAATTCGTTCCCAGTACTAGCACAAGTCAATATTAAGTTTCCTCCAAGCTGCTGTCAACTTACATATCAAAAGAGAATTTATGTTTGGCGTCAAAATCCGCATCAGTCAGGGGTCGATCCAGTTTCGCATTGGTTCTTGAGACAGTAAAGCGAATGCCCGTCAACATGTTGTAAGCTGTAACCCAATTGACGTGGTTTTGGTCAACCTTGGTCCCTACCACAACCCGATCGTCATCCTCCTCATCTTTTCTCCGTCGCTTGCTGGCTCGCTTTTGTCTGACTGCTTCAGCCCACCGAATAGCATCTTCGTCGGGAGGTATCTCCTCATGTGGCATATTTGAGTGTATCGACTGTGTGTTCCTTCGATTAAGGCTCAGCGACCCTCTCCTAACGCTCGAAGCCACAGCGGTAGGCGAAAATCTTCCGGAACTGTGGATGGCTTCATCGCCGTCGCGAGAATTTCTGGTGGGCGTTACCTTCGGAACTTGTAATGTGTGTCGGTGCTTCAATTGACTTGTGCCTGGATGCGGATTGTTGGCGTTATTGTTGTTTGCTGAAGATGGTATCGGCGGGGCAGGATAAGCCGGAGGGGAGGAATATCGATGAGGAGATGCTGTCGCTGCGCGCTGAGGAGTTTCGGGCGTGACAGGTGTTGCTGGTAGCAATGAGGTAGTGTATGTCAAGGGACCAGTGCTTTGGGGACTCGTAGAGATGGCGGAGGGCACAAGATCGGGTTTATGCGGTTCACTGTCGCCGTTGGTTTGAGTTGCGGATTGAGTGTTGGAATGATGCCCGTTTCCATTCGTAGATGCGATCGAGTTACGGTCTCCAGTGCCATTCGATGTTCTTGCCATGCCATTCTGCGGTCCCGGGCTCCTCCTGCCATTTTCGGTTCCCCCATTAACAGACAAAGTGCTTCCATTCCGTGATGACTTATGGTCCCAACTGCTCCCACTAGCCCTCCCGTTCGGAACTTGGTTCAGAGCCCCATCTTGCAACATGTCGCCATTCGCAAATGTCCGTCCATTGGTAAGCACACTGTGGGCGTTTTCCATGTACATGTCTGCGACTTCTCCAGGCCCGCCTCTTATGGATGTGTATGACAATGTCTTCGTATTTCCATTGGTTTTCTCGTGCGAATTTCGAGAAGGATGAGAGACTTCATAGGGAGACCGACTCGCCGATACTGGTGGTCCCGTATCGCCGGTCAGGAACGATGGCATATCAACAGCGTGTGGCATCGAAGAATGCAAAGCTGTCGCAGATGCTCCTATTACCACCTTATCGTGTCCGTCGTAACTTGAAGCTGTGTCCGGGTCGAAAGGAGATGTGATCTGCGAAGCTGGCAGGATCGCTTGGCAATTCGAGCTTCTTGGTGGATGGGAGGTTTCCCTTTGTGACGACTGCGAAAGGGAAATCAATTGTTCTGGATAGTATATGCATAACTCTACCCTCGGAAGGGGCTGAGCGTGGTATCGGAGCCGGATTGTTATTGTTGGTTCAAGTGAGGATACACATAAATGAGTCTCCATTCTAAATTAGCGTGGCTTGTGCTTCGCGCGGAGCGGACAGCGCATTGCGGTCGGAGCAGAACGATAAGTCCGTACGGTATCCCTTTAGTGATTGAGAGAATATCAATATTCCAATTAAATATTAGATATTTCTACGGGCAATTGAAAATGATTATATACAGGTTCTAATGCCAACTCTTCGTAAATCTGCTTATCTTACTATTCCTTGAATTCCGATTCTTGCTCCCGAGTTGTCGCAAGCAAGAACCAGTGAGTAGAACTACTGGCTCTGACCTAGCTATTTTAAGAGTGTTCTCGGGTTTAATTTAATCCGGGTCCTTCCGGAAACTCTTTGTCGGGAATCAGACTCGTACATCGTATTTCGCACCTCTGTCGCTCTGGTAAAGACTGTACAGTCCACAGACACATCATCGGCATCAGCATCATTCACTCCATACATTTATTTCATAGGCTGATTCACAGTTGTTTTCATGTCCCAATCGTCAAGAACTCTCTATTCCTTATCATCCCGTGCCAAATTCCACAAGTTCCGTCCTGGAAAACTGATATGAATAGTATCGGCCCCTATTAGGCTGCTCACAGAGTACCTAGGTAGGTACAGCACATATGACATGACGTAAGTCACTTGGGTTGCCAATTCACTTTCTTTAAAAGAAGTCGATATGAATCAATCATTGTGGAAGCAGCAACTTTTGGTCTAGCAACACCTTTTCTCTGGTCGTGGCTAATAAATTAGCGACCATCATTTGTCCGGCTTGCACACTACGCGGTCTAGTGTCAAGCTTCTGGGCTAGAGGAGGACCCTTGCATATGGGTTTAGTGGCTCTGTAGTCCATTGTTTGACCGTTTCCCACAGCAACGCTTAGGTTGGTTCAAGTTGACATCCTCGCAAAGAATACAGGTTTTTCTTTAGCATCACATTCAAATTGCTCGACAGCATTTTATAACTGACACTAGATCTTGCTCAATCTGGTTTTATGAACTTTTATCTTCATGGCTTTTAAAGGCTGGGAGGAAGGTCGTATTCAGCTTGGAGATGCAATTGGCAGGTGATTAGGTCCCATTTCTTAACACAAAGATATCTATGAATATACTGGCTACAAGGCTTCTACTTTGAGAATGTCTTAGCAGCCAAGCGAATTGAACCTGATCTCGATCCACGTAACTTCCTTTTCTTCTCCTCCCTAAATCTTGCAAGATGATAATCTCTCAACTCGGCTCGTCAACACTTGACTTAAGCGGTTATTTGATAAGTGTCAAGACGGTTACCTGCGCCGCAGAATTCAGCAGGAGAACCAGCGCAGAGCATGTTACAGTCAGTATCAGGCGCGAGGGTCGACCCGGATGCTGCAAATGAGGCCGCGCTACCGCAATAGCATTCTCCTCCATACTCTACACCCATCACGGCATAAGATCCCGCTGCGCAGAAGGTGGCACACTTTTCGACTGTCTGGCTTGCGTAGTTGATGTCTTGGGCTCCTGACAATGCCCGAGTACCGTTGCCTTCAGTGTAACATCCAATTCTGGTGTATGGCCCAGCTGTCAGAACGTGTTGAGGAGCTGCTGGAGGGGCAGGGGCTGTCGAGTACACATTCAGTCTGTTTCCAGCACCTATATATTACATGTCAGTCTCATTTGAAGATCACATAATACTACCAGTTCAAGCCAGTATTTTCTCTTTTGCTTACCGCATGTTTCAGTTGCATTGCCAGGGCATGGGAACGAGCAGTCAGTTTCTGGTGCAGAAACGCTGCCTGTACCAAAGACATTGGCACACCAACATTCTCCTCCATACTCCAACCCAAATAGAGTATAAGTGGAGGTGCAAAGTCCCGCACATAGTTCAACAGTCATTGTTGTATGGTTGACGCTGTTGAAAGACCCCAAAGCTCTGACACCGGTGCCCTCAGTATAGCAACCCAAGTATGAGTATGCAGGCGCTGTTATCCAAGTTAAAATCTGCAAATAATGCCAACTGGTTCCGCGGAACACTGACCTTGACGGCGAGATAGACTGCTATCTTGAGCAACAAGACCATAACTTGTGGATGCTAGTAGTCCTAGGGCCAGAGCAGATGAAGACATGATTACGGATCTCATGTTGTCGTCTTAGGCTTTGACTAGTGAGAACTGTTGTTGAGAAGGTGCAGCAAGTCTCAATGAGTTGAATGAGTGAAGTGAGGAACTGCTGTTGATGGTTCTTTCCTCCACGGAGGGATCTCATTCTAGTTATAGATGCCTCCATGAATATTCTTCAACAGCGGAAGGCTTCAGTATCTCAAATCTCCACAACATTTCGCTGACTGCATTTGATTTTTCCATATTCGTTAATGTGGTTGCACTCTGCTGGATGGTACGAAAGCCTCGTATATTGATCAATTGACTTATGCACGACCCCGAGGTTCTGCGCATACATGATACGACATTTGGAGGACGGCGAGTTCTTGTAAGACTGTAACTCATGGCTTGGAGCCTCATCATACCTTCTTCCGGATCTCTTCATACCGTTCCGGCCTTTTCTACGGCTGCACGTATAGGTTACATGCATATTAAGGTTCCATTGTCAAGGAAAGTAATTCCAGCTAAACAAGAAATTGAAGACATTGATGGCTTCCGCTGGAAATTCCCGAAACCTTTACCGCGACACTGCAGTGCGAAGCAACACTACCTGCTGCCTTTAAATGCAGCCCCGGAGCGTTTCTCAACGGCAGTACGACTCAATACATCAATGTAATGCACCTCCATACTTCGACTGCATGAATGTTAAGTGGCTGCATTGGAGACGAATGCCACGCCCACAGGCTAAATGAAAGTATTGGACTTCTGCAGCGACGACTCCTACGAACATCTGGAAGCCCCAGTCTTTGCGTACGCGCCGGCCGATTGTCGATGCAACAATCTGTACGAGTTGACGAAAAAAATTCAATACTGTATCGACGAAAGCCACGGGCCAAGAACCTGCAGGAACCAGGACTTTAAAGTAAAGGGTCCAATAATGCATGCAAGCAAACGTCGTGTAACGGTCAGCCCCTTCAAATAATAATTCCGATTAGATAGGCGCAACCAAAAAAAGAAACACCCAAGGGTTTCTTGTATAATGTAACAGTTTTTGGTGAGTAACATTGTACTCCGACATCTAGAGTTACAGTATACGTAATAGATTAGTGCTCATCATCTATGAGGTCGCCAGAAGGGTTCGACCAGTCTAAGCCGTTCATCCATCCTCGTGGCCAGAACGTGATGGTAACCAGAGCTCAGTTTCACCTCTGTTATACAGTCACAGTACAATTTGACTTTGTGACAGGCACTCCATGTATTTGATGAAATCCCGACTTGGTCTATACTATCACTTACATGTTTGCTAGTAACCTCGACTGACAAAACTGACAAAAGTGCAGCTTACATCCGACACACTGCTTGAAAGCCTAACGGCTCAGCTCACTGTTATCAGCCACCAGGTTGCTTCTAGACAGCCTCGTGGCAGCACTTTTTTGACAGGACAACTTAGTATAGTGTATGCTCCAATTCCAAGGCGAGAGCTAGCTTGGCGATCGTTTGTCTACCATCAGCTTTCCTGTTATCGTGATTTTCTGGGCTATAGAAATCAATCCAAACTCGGTCATAATCGTAGGGGATTCAGTAGTAACATATGACAAAAAGGAGATGGTGTTTTGGACTGTTACACGTTTAAAAATCACTGAAACGGGGACGGGTTCATCCAAAACACTTCCATATTTTTCACACATTGTTTCTCTACCAATGACACTTTCTAGTGTTCCTATCAGCTTACTAATGTAACATTATCCTCTTACTTCAACTCACAAATCGAATCAATCATTACACCACATGTTCTAACACGGAAATTTGGAGTACATCCAGGGTCCGCACGAAAGTTCAATCACAGAAACGAGTATGAGCGAGTATCTTCTCGGTGGCTTTTTGTAATTACGTTACCATTGTTCTCTTACTGTCCAATTCGTTCAGAACTATGAATTTCACATGGCTTCTGCAATGCCTGTTACTTGCCGCAATGCCAAACAACTGCTATTCATCGCACGCCTGGCCTTTTCTCGAGCTGCAAGTTCCATCAAAATTAGTTAGATCTATTAGATATCAATGAGGAATACTTTGCCTGAGTCATGAACCATTACGACACCTAAATATATAAAATTCCCGGGAAAACCGAAGTGACACCACAAAATTGAAACCTCTCTTCCCGACACAATCACACCAAAACCCATCCCAAATCAAACCCATTCCCTTTCCATAGTCCAACAACCTCTAGCAAACTCCCCGAATTACACTCCATAGCCCACAAACCCACCCCAAGCCATTCAAACCCCAAAGCGTTCCCATAATGCCCAATACTTACACCTTCAAACCATCGTCTGCCGTCATCACAGATCGCTAAATTTGAGCCGCCATACATACATACAGGAAATGTCCCGCTGCTGTACCTGCATCGTCACACGACATGGGATGTTGCGTAACTGGAGAAAGAACGTCTGGATTTGGTAAGGAAAGACGTCGGGAGGTAGCAGGTTCCGGGGACGGGAAGGGTTGTGATGTCTTGGATTCTTGGACGGGTACAGGGAATGGAGTATGATTGAGGTGCCGCGGATGATGGAAAGCGGGATTTGCGTATAGAGAGTGGTGATGGGGTGCGTTGGTGGAGTTCGGGTGAGGTTAAGATTGTGGGTTGAGGAAGTTTGGGTGGCACGGCACAAAAAGCTGGCACGCAGCAAGTAACTAAATTGCTACTTTCAACTAAGCAAGTAGTTTCAAAATCGCTCATTCGCGGAAGTGCTTCAACTGATCGATCGATTAATGTCCTTATTCTTTTCGCCCACCAATGCTGACGGGACGTTTCTTTAGGGTACACTGACGATGTTTTCTGCCCGAAAAGCTACATCGACCCCATTAGTTTGAGAAAATACAGCATATTGTCTATTTATATCAGGCCAATATGCTACTGAATTCAGGGACACGAAAAGTTCTTTTTATCATTATTGTACCGGACCTCAATCTTCCGATACACGGGATCTACACCAGTCATGATTGTTTGTTCTATTCCGCATATCAAAAGGTATGAAGACAGTGACAACTATCTGCATCTTACTTGTCGTTGAAGAAAACTTCGTCAAATGACCCTCACTTGGCAAATACAGTTCGTCTTTATTGTCGAAGGTAAATTGTCCTCGTGCTGAAGGGAATTTGACTAAGCATTTTCTGACGGCCGAAAGATCTGCTGACTGTCTACTGGACATGCTAAAAATGCAATTGAGGTACAATCTTGAAAAATAGGCTCGCTCGTGTCTGTTAATGAAAACAGTACTTGAACTTTGTTATACAAAATTTGCAAACGACGTAGCAGAGGGACCACATGCGAGAGAGAGTAGATGGATAGCCGTTAAGAGCACTTGCACATGCAACGAAAGTCAATGAACTCCTAAATAACAAGTCTCATGATTAAGTGTTTTTACTACTAGAACATTCATAAAGTCTAAAGATAATAGAAAGAACTGGAAAAAGCAAAATATATATACTGTTACTTATCAACAAATATCCATCCATCCGTAAAAGCCTCCACAAGTGAGAGTAAAGAAAAGAGAGGCAGTAACATGAACGCATATATGTGCCGCATAATAATATGTCATAATTTTTTGTGCATAGCGTGCGCCCTGCGCTGAACATCTGTGTATCAGGTTCTACACATAAATTCCCGAGACCTTCTCTTTCGACGGAAACTCGAAAAGATTTCTATCCGAGACACTTCGCACCATCCTCATAGAAGAATAAAAGGGCGAAGTAAGAATGATTGAAGGCTGTCCGCAAGGTACCCAAGTAGACCTAGAAATTTTCTTTACCCCACGCGAAAGAGAAACCTGAATTAAAATTAGTGGCAAGAAAGAGACAATGATTGAGAGGAAACTTACCCGGTTCGCTATACAAATTACACTTAATATGCAACACACTACCCAACACCTTCGGTCCACAGAAGAACACACCTGCCTCGGCCGGGGCGTGAATCTTTCTTACACTCTTGAAAATCATGTCCCAGTTCGGTCGACCAAAGTTCGTTGGTGCTCTCAGACCAGTAATGGCATCACGGTCGGCGTTAGCATCATTGATCATGATATTGGTGGCATCATCGACCTTTATCTTGGCGGTAAGGTAGGTATGAATCTCAATGTGATTGTCCATATCTTGAGCTTCGATAGCAAGTAAGAGCGAACGGAACCACTCGAAAGATCCAAAGTCACGGCAAATCCAGAAAAAGTAGACTTTTCGGAGACGAGTCTTTTGTTGTGGATAGTTCATTCTATACCAAATGGACTTGAGGATAGAAGCGAAAGGAGTGACACCGATACCAGCACCACAAAGCATGGCAATCTCGTATTTGAAGACATCCTCAGAAGCCGAGCCGAATGGACCATCGATATATACTCGTGGGAGGACTCGTCGGATTGCTGGGTCGACGGATTCTGTTCCTGGAGCATTGCTGTTAACACCGACAACTTGCGATCCCTCTTTCTTGCCTCCGCCTCCCCTTGGTTTATCGAGTTCGCAACCCAGAGTTCGTCCAACTTCTTTGGTGAAATCTCCCACCATTCTCATGTGTATTGAAATGTAATCTTCTTCGGGTGCTGAAGTAAGAGTGAATGGATGATATTGCCAGATGGAGACCTCGGGACAACAGAAGAAAATATATTGACCAGCCTGCGTCTTGGTGTGCTCCTTTTTTATCTGAATCTCGCAAACGTTGCTTGGATGTTGGACGACTTTAGAGATGTATGTTTTGTGCTTGCCACGAATTTCACGAGCAATTCTCTCCATGAGATAGATATATCCTCCGTACATCCAGTATTGCCAGAACACTCCAATGGCGGTACTTCCAATGCTGACGCAGTATGGCGCAAAATCCGGTTGAATCATACAGAAGGCTCCATGGATCGACCAGAAAACGAAGAATATGACGAACATGTGGTGAGTGTACCAGAAACGCTCGAAGTTGGCGCGACGAGCCTTTTCGACCGAAGTCGCAACCATGCACATGAGTGCTACCAACATGATATATCCAGACCATCCTGGACCGGTGACGAAGTTTGCCAACAAGAATCCACCGAAACCCAAATTGTTCTTAGCCGAGATCTGGGCGAAGTTGTTCCAATGCGCAATTGTGTGAACCCAAGAAAAGAACACAATCGACCAGGCGGTAGTCTTGTGGAAAGTGATATTCTTGTCGAATTGTATGATGCCGTTTAGAGGTGTCTTCCTGGCGAGGGAGATGAGTGTCCTACACACTGGGAACAGAATCATAGCAACATCGAAATGAAGCGTTAGTGCTGCTGCTCTCGCGATTGGATATGTGAGACCAAAAGTACTCCGCGCTATCGATAGATTGTCCTTAATCTGGTAGTTCATGAAACCGAAAGAGAATACCATCAGGTGGATAGCAGCGAAGACGAAAACGAAACTGCAGACATATTAGCAAAATGTGCCATCCCTTCAAGTGTACTGCCTTCACGCACAATCTCCGGTAACCCTCGTTGATCATCCACCTGTCGAATCTTTCTCTAGTACTGAGTTCTTTCGGCCGTTCACCACTCATCTCTCCCGACATAAGCATCCGCGTTAATGGTGGCCATCTCGATCTTTCCGAGACTGGTTGCGATGTCACACTGGTTCTATAATTCATTTTCTCTGCCATCTTGCCCGTCCCTCAAGTGTAAGTCGTCTCCTGGCGTTCGTCGCCTGTTTCCCCTTTCACTTTCCGCAATTCCTCGTTTAATATTATACGTCTGGTTGAGGTGGATTAAGAAGCGATCGGTAACATTCAGAGCCCGCTGATGTGAACAGAAACTCCCAACTATAAGATGTGCTGGACCGAAAAGAATGTAAATTGGCTGAAAGAACGTGGAGGTGTAAAAGCCTAGAAGGAGCAAATGACAGTCAGCAATGGTATCACACCAAGACAGTGTTCCTTCCACACAGTAGACAGGAGCAGCGGCTAGTATAAGAGAAGACTTGACGTGAGAATAGAATATGTATTGACATACCTGTACACAATGCCTGCACTGGTGGCTGCTTCCAGTATCAGCAAAAGATATTAAGAAAGTTAGTAATGCGCGTGGCGTGCAGAAGAGAACACAGAAAAGAAGCAGCAAGAGAGGAAACGGAAGAGGACGGCTGGGCAAGGTGTTAGTATGTACGTGCCGGAGAGGCGGAGGGGATGGGGTTGGTGAGTTTGAGAGGAGGCTACACAGCGAGATGCTCGTCACGTTCATGCGTGGAAGAGGGACGACAGGGAACGATGGCCTGACTGGGCTCCAGTTCTTTGCTTGTCTTCCAAACGGTGTCTGGGCATCTCGTGAGATGGCTCCGCTTCTTCACTTTTCGGTTGCATGGCGACGAGAATCCGGTGTCATGGATCGGATTGAGCATTCGAGCACCGGCCCATGGCGTCTCTCCATCGCTGTGTATGGCTGGACAGGTCGAAACAAGATGGAGAATGGATCTCCAGGATCCCGAGAGGGTGGAAAGGGGGCGACTCGAAGTGAGGACAAGCGAGAGAGGATCGCTCGGGGGTGCTGGGAGGAAAGATACAGCTTGAACAGCAGTCCCACGGGGCCAACCAAAGCGTGGAAGGGCCTGTATTACCCTACCGACAGCGCTTGAACGAGCTTCTCCAGCTCTCTTGCAGCCTGTAGAAGGATACCCACCATCCTGAGGGAGCAGAATGGGCGGTTCTCGTCGTTTGGAACAACATTGACCGGCCTTCAACGCGCGAACCTCTTCGTTGCAGCATTCTCAGACGTCGAGTGAAGCGCTGGCTGGTGCCATTGGCGCGTATATAGGGGTCTAGCCGAATGAGGGCGAGGGAAACAGCCAAGTGGTTACAACCGAGTTTCAGCCAGGGGCTTTGACACAGACTGACACATTCAGGGGTAACCTCGAGGCAACGCAACCCACAACCACACCACAAACAAACCAACGCCTATCGACTTTCAGAACTTCGTTCGTGCTGTTGGGTCCGTTGTTACGGAAAACATCGGATGCATTATCGGTAGCCTATACTGTACGAGGAAGTTGTTGTCCATATCTAAAGTGCAACCAAGTTCTGCAAGTGACCAGAGGGTCAAGACAAGCTTTACTTCAAGCCCAAGCTACTGTCAATAATAAGGTCATTATTCTGGCCTGCTCAGGGCTTATCGTGGTGTCTAAACAACCTTAAAATCGACATCATTCTAGATTCGCAGAGCCTCAACCAGATCCTAGTTGAAGATCTTCTCCTTTCTATTTCTGTCACACGCCTCTTCCAATAGCAGGCAAATGATCGTTCGATACCAGAACTCCCGGCAGATCGCGTAGTTTTTACCCTGCTGTCGTCAAGGGAAATCGTTGCCAAGATCGCACAGTACCGAAGATCTTGTTGAGTGCCATTCAGTTAGAGCCCCTTTGAGCCCATGGCCCTTTGAACTCATTATTCTAGTGCACTTATCAAAGTTTAGCCTTCGTTATTAGACACACAAGAGATCAAGAAGAATGATCTACTTGATTCCTCGTTCGAATTAGCCTTTTCTGCTCCTTCCCAATCCGACCCTCAAAAGCAGGTACAAGTCCTTCGCTTCAACTGCAATTTGATCCTCTTGCTCCTTCGACCATACACAAAATCACACCCAACCCTCGCTTTATCTGACCACGATAAGAAGGTTACATGCCATCAACTTCATCTCAACATCTTTCTTTTTCAAGTCTCTTCCCCCTGAGGGCATCTCCCGAGCTCCTGCTAAGCTTTCACCAGCAGAGCAAGTTGACAGTAGTTCCACCCTCTCTGCACATCTGTATAGCAAAACACGTCTGCCGTTTCCAAGTCCGCGTAGCCCTCACGATCCTGTAAAATCAGTTCATTTATTCGTACATCCTGTAAGCGATCAAACGCAAACATAGCGTGTCACGCTTAAGCTTCCCCTTTGCTTTTCGCGATCGACCTGTCCCCAGATGAAGATCATACAGAATCTCAACTTGTCAACGTCAGCAAGGACAGGCTTGGGACGGATCGTACGATCTTTCCAGATCTCGGTCTTTGCAGGTCTGGATTCCAGTGGACCGTGATATGTCATGTGATTGATAATAATTTTCTTTTTTTTGCTAAGGTAGGTGTTAGGAATCTGTTAGTTCAGTGCTTGGTTACATTGAAAGATATCTCGACTAGTAGATGGAAGTTGTTTCAGACAGCAAAAATATCTAAAGAAAATTATCACGTCCCTCGAAGCACGTTTCAACGAGGTGTAGGTAGAGCTTGCATACTTTACCACCAAGATCCAGCGAGCAGACATTAGACAAACAATCCTCCAACACGGCACCAACCTCGACAAACGGTCTTCATAACAATGCCCGATTTTCGAAGAACGGCTAAGTCGGCCATTTTTCGGACTCCTAGTCCCCCTCTTGTGCCCAAAAATATCATGATCCTCCCGAATCGCGTTTCACGACAATTTGGAAACGGGAAGCCAAGACCACGCAAGTTTGGCATCATCACCGTCACACCAGCCTGGTCATCATTCTAGCGACAGACAAGATGTTCTTCGTTTGTCGACTATTTGTTTGGAGAGAGATAAGGAAAAATAAAGGGCGAATTTAAGCTGGAGAATTATCGTGACATGATAAGACATGGCTAGAAACCTATGCCAAATTTAGCAAACAGAAAATGAATCTTAAAACTCGTCTTCAAAGGTACAGAACCAAGAAATATTAACGTGTAGTTTAGAAGGGGCCAAAATATTAATGCGAAGTAACTTGTGATACTATTAACAAAACATTATCAGAAACAATACACAAACGGATTAGACTCGGGAAGAGAAGATCAGATGAAAAGTTCCCGGCAACCCAGAGAAACAGAAACAGCTAGACTCGCGATATCTCACCGTGATAATGAATCGTGTTAAAGGTGAGCCGTAAGCCGAGGACTTCAAATTCAAAAATGGGAGATCTCGTAATAGGAGCTAGTATGTGGTCAGCGTACGGCATCTGTGAGTTTATGTACCAGAGTGTCCGAGATGATATCTCGGTCCCAAAGGCCTTGTGTTTTTTGAATTATATTTTCTAGACTGTGTCCACACAGGGTTAGTAATAGTTGGATTCATATGACCTGGACTTTATGCTCGATTAGAATTCGCTAAGATTATTTATCTAAACATCAACGTAATGTATCAGCACGCTCAGTGTAGGATGGGGAAAAGGCTGAATAGAGTAAAAGGTGGTGAAAAAACAGACTGCCCGAATGCAATATCTATTCCCCTCAACAAGCCGCAAGTATGCTACCAAATCAAACGATCCACTTATGTCTGCCATTCTCTGAATAATCCATCCGCCACCATACCTCCTATCGAGGTTTCACCACTTCGGTACAGCCTACTACCACGCGGACTTGCGGACTAAAACCCAGGCCCAGTTTGTTCATATTTACGCCAGAGAAAAACCACCATGACAGGAAGAGAAAGTCGTTCAATCGTCTCGCGTGCCTTAGATAGCGTACTTTCGGGTCCATTCTCTAGCAGTCGATTCATATCTGGAGCGATCGGTCTTGTAGACGTGGGCAATTTCGGGCACGAGAGGGTCATCAGGGTTGGGATCTGTAAGCATGGAGCAGATAGAGAGGAGGACTATATAGGTCAGTACGTTGTAAAACACGGCAACGGGATGACTTACCTTTAGAAATAGTCAAGGCTGGGGACCACTGGTCACGCAAGATATCGAGACAGATGGATCCGTTGGAGTTGATATTTGGGTGATAAATTCTGGTGGTGAAGTTGACCTTCGGTGGCTTGAATGGGTAGTCTGTTGGGAAATGGATCGCTAAGAAGAAGACACCTCCAGAGTATGGTGAGTCCGACTGTAATTTGACAGTTAGTATCTCTGCCATGCGTTTGAATCGGGATTCAGCCTTGTCAAAATGATGACGGAATTGCCCGCGAAGATTTGTGGGCAGATAAGAGGATCACACTTACAGGACCCATGATGGTTGCTTGCCAGTGGAACTGTAGAAAGCCAGAAGTCAGTTTAATCCGTACACATTACGTGGTATATTTGGAAGTATGTGCGCTCGCAGTTCGTAAAAACCAAATCTTGAGCGTGTGGTGATCGTGATCATAAAAGACGTACCAAATCATCTCCGATAGGGCCAGCTGAGCAGGAAGACGGTGGGTCACTGTATTGAAAGCGAGAATTAGTCAAACATTCTGCTCTTGTCTTTGTTCTTCAAACGATTATTGATGATATCGCAGAACCCCGCTTGCGCAGAAATCAACCCCACCACAGCGGTTCATTCTAACGGTGGCGGTGAGGGGTGAGGCATAAACGTACCGGCCCAAATCCGTGAGTTCCTTGTTGATTCTCTTCAACGCCATTGTATTTATGAGGCCGAACTTGAAAGTTGTTGTAGATGCACTCTTCGAGTGTTGAGGTCGAGGCGGAGCAAACTGGACGAAGTTCTGTGTTGTCACTGTCAGCCACGAGCGTCCGCGAAAGCCGTGGAACACGACGAAGATGAAGGGACGGTGTTAAATGCGCAACTTACGAAGTGAGTGTGGCAGATGTAAACGGGTGATGGGAGTTGGAAGGTGGTTGGAAGACGGAAGGGTTTTGTAGATGTAGAACGAATGGTGAATCGGCGCGGCGTCAGGAATGGATTGCTGGCGCCAAATCGGTCTATGGGGTAGGCGCAGAGATTTAGCGAGCTTGACGAACCACCTGTTAAAACTTAGAGCAGATGACTGTATTTTTACACAGCGTTTATGTCAGGACGATTCAAGAGTCTCGGCCTTTCCATATGATTCTGCCAGTAATGATTCACGGTTACACACGATTTTGCAGTTTAGATAGCCAGCGTCGTATATTTGTTTTTAGCCTTTCGAATCCCAGGCCACATATGGCCTAGGAAAGCGGCGGCCAAGGATAACACTATTTTGGACTGGGTTCTGCACACAACGCACAGCCGCTTTTAGGAATATCAGAATTCCATTCTCATTAACATAATGACGTTTGCGTGGGCGGAAAAAAGAAAACCATAAAGACTCTCACCATCACAGAATAATACATGTTCCCTAGTCACCAATACCTCGCAAGAAGGTCATTTCTCTTCAAGGTAGTATCATTACACTCATATAGCTATACTACTGTACATTTGGTGTTTCTCTCAAACGAACGCTTGTATCCCGGTGATTGCTCTTCCAAGTATAAGACCTCCGTTTTGTCAGCATTAATGATTCTTTCGAGAACATGAGGGATAACTTACTATGGATATCGCTTTGCCCCTCGTATGTTTGAGTCACAAACAGATTCGCCACATGTCTTCCAATCCCATATTCATCGCTTACCGCATTGCCCCCAAAGATCTCTTGTAGCGTTCGTGCGTTGTACAGTGCACGATCACAATTTTGTCTTTTGATCATACTGATCATCTCTGGCGCCGCCAAGCCCTTGTCCTTCAGTCTGCCAACTTGGACACATGCAATTGTCCCAAACGCGGCATCAGTGGTCGCATCAGCCAACTTCTTCTGTACCAGTTGGTATTTGGCAATAGGGTTGCCTTTGAACTGCTTCCTTTCGAGCGCATAGGTCCGCGCTCGAGATATACAGTCCTCTAACGCACCAGTGATCCCCCATGCAATACCATATCTGGCGCTATTCAAACACGTAAATGGGCCTCGAAGCCCTTCGACATCAGGGAACATATTGGCTTCCGGAACTGGACATTCGTCCAGCTGAATCATGCCGGTCAGAGACGCTCGCAGTCCATTTTTGTCTTTGAGTGCAGGCGTCTCTAGTGTTCCGGGTGGACACTCGGACCTTTCAACCAAGTATCCTCTGATTTTCCCCGTCTCATGGTGCTTCGCCCATACCAACAAGACATCTGCTATTGGGGAGTTGGTAATCCATGTTTTCGAGCCTGACAAAGAGAGATAGCCCTTCTTCGTGGGATGGGGTTTCGCTGTCGTCTCCATGGACCCTGGGTCACTGCCATGATTTGGCTCTGTGAGACCAAAGGCACCCAACAATTTACCCTTGGCCATTTTAGGGAGAAATTTGTCCTTCTGTTCTTGTGTACCAAACTCGTCAATCCCTCCCATGACCAGTGAAGACTGTACTGACATGCCAGACCTATATCCACTGTCCACTCGTTCAACGGCCTTGGTGATAAGTCCAGAAGCCACGTTGGAAACGCCCGCACAGTCGTATCCTTGGATTGTAGCACCTAGGAGACCAAGCTCTCCCATCTCCTCGAGTATCTTTTTATCATAGTGTTCGTCTCGGTAGGCCTCTAGGTGGTCCGCATTAGACAGTACCTGATGCATGATGGATGAGACTTACGGAGGACTCTAGGCAGCATGCGTTCTTGACAATATGCCTCTGCCGTTTCTTGAATCGCTATTTCTTCCTCCGTCAGAAGACTCTGTGCGTTTAAAGGATCTTCCCAATTGAAGGGTTGTGGGGTAGCGTGAGCTGCATATCCTCTTGCCGCCAAAGGGCGGATCGCAAAAGAGGATTGCCTAGCGGATCGTAATAGTAGCGGCTTGTACATCTTGAGAAATCGAAGACTATAACAGTAGCATTGCAATTTGGTTGGGGGGGGACTTCAACTAATATGGTCGACTCCAGGACTAGAAAGACGGTTGTTAGCCCCGCCGATTCGCCTGTACTTCTTCAACGCTCCGAGGCTTGTTCGGGTATCCCATTTTTGCAAGAATTGACCTAGGCTTGGGAATTCACCCAGCACAACGCCAAATGATGTATTTGTACAAAGATTTGGAGATTTTTGGTAGTCATGTTGCATGAAAGATCCGGAGGTTTGACTTCCAAGACCACGTAGTTAGTAGAAATTCAATATTTTCCAAACGAACTTGTCGGCTGCCATACCCCTGGTCATCAGCTGCAAGCACTCAGTGAACGCGACTCCAGCGCGAGGTCGCGTTTCCCAACTCTCCCACGTCACTGATCACAGCTTTTTCTACATCGAGCAGGTAAATAAGCGACACAATCGAAAAACTACGGCAAGATGGGTATTAAATCGCTATTCTCAATAATCAAAGATGAGGCACCCGATTCCTTCAAAGAGGGCGAGATCAAAAACCAATTTGGTCGAAAAGTAGCCATTGTAAGTTCATCCCCGCATCAAGACTTTTGCATTTGGCTGATCATATCCCTAGGATGCGTATGGATTTACAAGCCACCATAGACACACCTCCGCTAATATATTTCAAGTTCCATGAGCATATACAGTTTCCTGATTGCGGTTCGATCCAATGGAGAGATGTTGACAAACGAAGACGGCGAAACTACTTCACATTTGATGGGCATGTTCTACCGAACATTAAGGATCGTCGACAATGGAATCAAGCCACTATACGTATTTGATGGTGCCCCTCCCAAGCTCAAGTCTGGAGAGCTTGCAAAACGTTTTCAGAGAAAAGCGGAAGCCACTGAGGGTTTAGAAGAGGCAAAAGAAACGGGTACTGCAGAGGACGTTGAGAAATTCTCGCGAAGAACCGTCCGTGTCACAAGAGAGCATAATGCCGAATGCCAGCGTCTTTTGAAATTAATGGGTATCCCATTCATCATTGCTCCTACAGAAGCAGAGGCACAATGTGCTGTTTTGGCACGAGCTGGGAAGGTATACGCTGCAGCAAGCGAGGATATGGATACATTATGCTTCGACTCACCCGTCCTACTTCGACATCTTACGTTCAGTGAACAACGTAAAGAGCCAATTCAAGAGATTTTTGTCGATAAGGTTCTTGAGGGCCTAAATATGGACCGTAAACAGGTATTGTCGTACTGGACGTACTGGTTCACACTCAATGCTGACTATGTTAGTTCGTTGATTTATGCATTCTTCTCGGTTGCGATTACCTCGATCCGGTACCCAAAGTAGGTCCTTCGACAGCACTGAAACTCATTCGTGAGCACAAGACCTTGGAGAACTTTGTCGAATACGCTCAGAAGACGGGAAAATTCGCTATACCAGAAGATTGGCCATACAAAGATGCTCGGGAGCTTTTCTTCAATCCCGATGTTCGGCCAGCTGATCATGAGGACTGTGAATTCAAATGGGATGCACCAGATGTTGATGGTCTTGTACAATTTTTAGTGACAGAGAAAGGGTTCTCTGAGGACCGAGTCCGCGCTGGTGCCGCAAGATTACAAAAGCAGCTAAAAAGCGGACAACAAGCGCGACTTGAGGGATTTTTCAAACCTGTTCCAAAAACCGAGGAGCAAGTCAAGAGCTTAAAACGTAAGAATGAGGCGAAGGTTGAGGAGAAAAAGAAGAAAGTCAAGGAGGAAAAGAAAGAAAAGAAGCAAGCCAAGGGCAAACCAAGAGGAGGAGCATGATTTGAGTCTGTGTATGTACATTTCTGCTTTGGTGGTAGCTTTGTTTCTCAGCTACAGGTGCATTTGGCGAACGATGGAATGGGCTCATACCACGTTGGAGTTTGGAGCATATGATATACTGTTACAGTTACGGAGCTTAATGCTAAGAGGAAACGATGACAGTGTGAACGAGGAAATGGTCTAGATTATTTAGGTGCTTTGTAATATTAAGCTTGTAGCTGCTCAATTAGTGTGCTCCCGCTACAAAGCTTGATCGCGTGCATCTCGGATCAGATATGAATATCTTACTAAAGTATGTGGAGTAAAGTTGAGAACTAAAAGTTGTTATAAGGGTATATGAGCTCCAAAATGAGCTTCTACAGATTGAGATGTGTTACAAGGCCCAATGTCCCATCCAGCCAATCCCATCCATGCCCTTTAATACAATAATACAATACAATGCTAGAATCCACAAGGTTAACTACGCTTCCCAAATCATGTCCCAGAATAGACGGCCGTTACACCCCTCCCGCATTCGATCCTCTGCTCAACGCTGACATTCCTCCCATTAACCTTGACCTTCTTCCTCGGCGTAATCTGAAACCTGTGCTCCTCTCTCCTCCCTTTCTCTTTATCGGCAGCGACATCCATAGGAGGGATATACACCGGATTACTGACGTTATTTCGCTTTCCAGTGCCGAGCTGGTAATGCTCATTTCCTCCCCACCACAGCACATCCGCGCCCCAGTTTGTGTCATTTATGGAACTTCGATGGTCGGCTGCAAGGTGGACTACGTTGTTCATGGTTGCTGCGGCGTGTGTTGCGCCAACGGAAAGATGGGCGAGACGGATTGGGATCACACGATTGGCTGCCTCGTCGTATTCGAAGAGACCAGAGAGAGCTTTGATTTTGGTGGGCGTTCCTTGGACATGAGTCCATCTGCCGTTTCCTAATCCGCCCCAGATGCCCTGTCCGCAAGACCATGTATCCGCTGTTACTCGTCCTAAACCTCGGGGGTCCTCCTCGCCTTGGCCCGCAATTCTTGTTGCGTCAATTGTGAAGAAGCTGTTGACGCCTCCAGCTGCGATGTTGGTAACTCTTGGACGCAGATTCGTGCCTTTATACAGCTTCTCAATTGGCAATAGTGAAGGGGCATCGATGAACGGCGATTCAGAATCGGGGTCGAATCCTAGTTGTCCGGTTGAGTTGTCGCCAAAAGCAAACACTCTGCCTTGGTTATCAAGAACCAGAGAGTGATTATCGCCGGTTGCTATCTTCTCTATTTCAAAGCCTTTCAAAGTGCTGATTTCGTGTGGTTGATCATATGGACCTTTTGGCCTGGTACTCCAAGTCAATCCCGGAACTCCCAATTGTCCTCTCGAAGGGAAATCCTCGGTTCCTGAGGCGGCCGAGAAGACTCGTCCCTTCGATGTCAAAATGAGACAGTGCTCAAGTCCACTGCTGACGTCCTGTACTTTTTCTCCCCAGGCCATATTGCTAGGTTGAAGCTCTCTATAGCTGATCATTGACTTACTCTTCCAGAATGGAAACCATGAACTCTCTAACGGCTTTGGTCCTGATATCTGATCCGCTTGAATTGCTGGGACCGAATAGACGGTGCCGCTTGCGCTCAAGGCAATAATCCTGTCTCGCGAAACTGAAAGTTTGATTAAGTTCTTCCCTTTCAACGTTGGCGTGGGCTGTGAGGAGCCACTCGAAAAGGCCTTCCCCCATTGTAGCAAGTCTCCATTCTCGTTGATTGCGGCTCCGAAGTTCCTATCCAGTTTGATGTCTCTGATCAACTTTCCGTCGAAGTAAGGGATCCTCTGAGGAGTTTTGATATTTGGCTCATCTGAGTCAGGAGCAACTACCTTCCCGGTATTTGAACCCCAAGCATACACCCCAGGATTCTCCCAACTCTTTTTTACTTGCAAGTGCTGTGAGCTTATCAAATCTCTATTCTCTTCTCTTGAGGTACTTTTTCTTCGTGGCTTCTCAAACGTGACTTCCGCTGGTGCTGGAGCAGCCTCCGCGTGAAGGGACGTTGGATATCCAAGAGTGTAAAGACATCCACCAGCAACAGTAAGAGAAAGAAGGAAGGCTGCCGCTCCATTCCTGGGTAATGATCTAGATGCAACAGCTACTCTAGGCGGATTGCTTCTTCTGTAGCATCGTTGCTGGCCGCGTGACACTTTGCTTGCTCTCTGAGCGATGTCAATCGTTCTCTGAAAGCTCCTAGAATGAATCATGATGATGGTACTTGGATACCGTTAGCATTGATAGAACTACATGAGAAGGCTGAGTGCTTCAACGAACCTAGCAAAATAATACTGTTGCTTGACACCCTTTGCTTGTCAGCCTTGTCTCTTAATGACGATATCCATTATCGGGCGGTCGATAGAGACCTGATATGTAAGTTTCTCGTCAATAGTGTTTCGACCACCGCCGATTGGCCAAGCAAAGTCCCTTCCTGCAGCGGTGGCCCGAGCTCTCCACAACTTCGGCTCGAATTCGGGTCATTTCCTTGTCCGTCAAAACACGTTTCTATCAGCCTGGCGTGCTATGTACTATCACTCATTCTGACGCCTATACCCAATTCGGTAGCTTGAGATGTATGAAGATTCTTGGTATAGTTTCGTTCCGGAAACTTCAAAGACAGAAGATGCTCCCTCACATGGTCCGAAACATAACCGACGGGAATCTCTTCTGAGACAAACAAACGTGAGTTGGACCCGACTAACAGATCAAGAAGTACTAACAACTTCAGGGCACTGAATCATCCGGTGGGCTTCTTGAACCCATCGAAGATTTGCCGATTTTCCATGCTCCCCCCCAAGCGACGGTCGCTAGGAGAGCTAAGTCATACAGTGACTTTTATGATGCCGCAACTCAGTATTTGAAGAGGCCCGAGAAAACGGTCTCACTGGACTCTCCCGGACTTTTAGTGGATACACCACAATCCTCCTTTGAACAAGGTTACTTGTTTGAGGACTGTGAAGATGAACTTCTTGACGCAAGTCACGAAGAGTACCAGTCCGTACACTCATTTACGTCCAATTGGGAAGACTTCGTTGACGAGCCGTAGACTGTATCGAGATCAATTGGTTTTATCTGAGCGCCATCTAGACACTTTACTAAACGATACAACTTCCGCGCTAGATTTACTGGCCACTCTCTCAGAGTCATTCAAAGCCGTTGAGTCAGAAACAACTGCATTTCAGAGCCAGTGTGAAGACCTCCTGGGCGAGCAAAAGCGCCTTCGTGACTTAGCGGATGAGATTGGAACAGAGTTACAATATTATGCATACTTAGAGCCTCTTACCCGGCGCCTTAACAATCCTGGAGCAACTAGGCTCATAAGAGGAGATGACTTCTTGGACATGCTCATCAACCTCAACACATGTATAGATTTTATGGACCGACATGTAAGTTGCGATGGTGTATACACTAGAAAAAAGATAGATCTCTGTTTGTCGGGTTCGGTTGAAGAGAATTTATGCTGACATGCAGCACAGCCTGGCTATCGAGACTCAAGTGTCTACAAAACTCGATACGTGTCATTGCTTGAGAGAGCCTTAAATCTTGTGCAGATAGCAGTATCTTCCTCCTTGCGAGAAGTGTCAATTGAAAGTGCCAAGCAACTCCAGATCAAGGACAATACAGATACAGCCGAGTACATATTACTTTATGGTAAGTACGAAACCATTGTCAACAGCCTCGGCTCTCCGGTTGAGAAGCTGTTGACAACTGGGGACTTTGCTTTTGAAGGTCAAAAGGCTGCTTACGCGACCCAATGGCGAGACTTCTATAACCAATTGGTGGACAACTATATTAAGAGTCGTGAGCCGGTCGGCGCTCTTGTAGCAAAGAAGCTTTCCAAATTTGCTGCTGAGACGAGTCCTCAGAAGGACTTCAAAGGTCTGGCTAGAAGATGTGTACAATATATCTTTGAGGTGTGCCACAACGAGCTTACGCTTGCGGAGACCTTTTTCCAAGATGGTGACCACTGGAATAAAGATAGCGAGCTGGCCGAAAAGATTGAGCAAAATAGATTTTCGCATCTGTTGACTTTACACAACTTCCTCGTACCTCATTTGCGCGATGGAGATCTATCGCTTGCTTGCAATCTCATTGGTTGGTTAGAAGCGACTTACTTGATGTCTAATGAAGACGAAGATTACAATATCGACAGAAAGCGAGATTCTCAGAGACTAACGGCCCATGTGCTGCTTGAAAAACATCTATGGCCACTTTCTGATGGCCTGTTTTTAAAAGCAGCCAAAGAAATGGAAATTTTCAAACCAACATCGCAAGATCTCCAAGTTACTGGGAATCAAGCCGCTCGACGGGCGAACAAAGGGAAGGCGCCTGAGCTTACAGAAACCCCAGAAAGCGAGCTTCAGAATGGTGATGAAGGTCACAGTTTCGCGACACCAGGTATGGAAAATGCATTTCCAACAGTTAAAACAGCAGTCAAATTACTCGTCATGTATAATGATAGAGTTTACGACCGTCCGGTAAGAATCTTTCCCCTCCAGTACAATTGCACACTAACTCGGCTTAGAGGACTGGAGATGTTCTCTATGAAATTGTTCATCAAGCAACCGAGTCTCTCCAGAAAGCGGCTACTGTCATCAAAAGGACAACGACGATGATGGACGCACAAATGTTTCTTATCAAAAACCTCATGCTTATAGAAAATCTCTTCATGACTCACGAGATTCCCGACTCAATCCGCTCATCATCTGAGTACGACTTTTCCCCAATCTGGGAGACCATAAGAGAACTACAGGAGAACAAGCAATTGTTCAATCCCCTCGCTTACTTCACTCCATTGCTGAAAGGCAAGTTACTCCCGGCTGTCAAGGATCATCTTTTGGATGCTAGAAAGGAGCTAGAGAGGGTACTGGTGCAACAGATTACTGCCTTCACAAAGTATTGGCAAGGAAGGATCAAGGAGGGAAGGAAGAAAGGAGTGAGTGCGAAGACTGAGATCGAGCTTGATGAGCTGCTGAGCAAAGTCTTTGAGGATGAGACTACAAGAGCCGCCTTATGGAAGATGATTAGAGCCGATGAGACTTAGAGGCGCAAGACCTAGGAACAGATTCACAGAATATCTAGTTGGTAGTCGGTAACCCGACGACGGATGATCGAGTCCAGATGTTGATATTTACGTGATGATATCAATGTACAACGAGACTCTTCAGTCTCACCGAGCAGCGTATCACATATTCTCAAATCTCCCTTCTACCTATGTCAATGTTCGGAACACGGAGAAAGCTCTACCGAGCTTTAGCACTATAATTTATATCTTACGGTATCTACCAGGCTCCGCCGACACAATTGACTCCTTCGAACTTGCCGAAACGGTAGCTGAAGACGAAATTCAGAAAGCCATGCTTTTTTGACAGCCATCGGCTTTCGGGAGTTATTTGACTCCGATTCATATGACATGAAGGCGCGTATTTGAGAGATCACATAAGCTCAAAACCCAGATGCGGACCGGCTGATGGTTATCCCATATATGGAATCACATCCATGGATCCTGTTCAATCACGTGCATCTCTTCTACAAATAACGCTCCAGACTCTACCTTCCATTTTATTTATACCACATTCCGCAATATCATTTCCAATACAATACAACTAAACTCATCAAGATTCGATTACATCTGAACTGTCACCGTACTACGTAAAACTTCCTCACTCAAACATCAACACCATCGCCAAAATGACCACCCCCTCAATCCCACCTCCATCCCAACTAACAGTTCACTCCAAACCCTCCGCCCCAATCTCATACACCTTCATTCCCCCCTCACCCCCCTCACCCCCCTCCAAAAACCTCATCGTCTTCATAAATGGCCTCGGTCTCCCCGCCGCCTCCTGGAAACCGACTCTCATCCACCTCCTCACCCAACCCACCCACCCAGCCCTCCTAACCTACGACCGCTTCGGCCAAGGCCTAACAACCTCCCGCGATCCTCTCGATGGAACACCCGGGAAAGAACGAGGTCATAACTTTCAGGATATAGCAAATGACCTACACTCTCTCCTCCAAGTCGTGGCTGAGAAAGAATTCCAGAGTTCGAGGATCGAAGATGTGAATATCATCATGGTAGGCGCCTCAATAGGCTGTCCCATAATCCGTCTCTACATCGCCACCCACCCAGGTGTGGTCTCAGGCGTTATATTCCTCGACTCCAACATCCCGCACTTAAACTACTCTGATTTCCTGCCGGACCCCAGCGCCCCGAATTTCGATCGTGCCAGCGTAATCGCAGAAGATTGCACGCTACCTCAATACATCGGTGCGCGGCTTGCGTTATGCAAGATGTTTGATTTGGATGCGAAGAATCCGGAAGGGATTGATAGGACGCAAGGTCCTCGATTGTTGCCCGAAGCCGAGAATCCGAAACTGGTGGGAAAGGATGGGAGGATGGAGTTGGTGGTTGTGGGACATGATCCGGAGACTTTTGCGAGTATGAGTTTGGAGAGGATGGGGACGCCGAAGAGCTTGAGTGAGAAGTTTACTAATAAGTAAGTCTGTCCTTGGAGTTTATGATTGGGGACATGCTAATATGTGTAGGTATTGGGCTGGGTACAATGAAGGATTGACGAGATTGGTGGACGATGGGAAGGAGAGAAAGGTAACGATTGCTAAGGGATGCGGACACTTTATACAGTCCGATGATCCAACGTTCGTAGGTGAGGAGATTGTGAAAATGAGTGAGAGAATTGGCTGGTGATAACATGAGCTGGTTAAATCAACGATTAGCTTAGGGTGTTGGGCAAATCCTTTGTTCTGATTATTTTAATCTTAGAATCTTAGTTTGAATTCAAGTCTGCTAGCAATGCACCCGACAGTGCAGTGTTACATCCAAACGTGAAGCCATAAGCCTACAAAACTGTCGAGACCACCAACGTACGAGTGCTCAGCCGAAAATTAGACGCGTTTCCCACATAGTTATACGCCTGTATTCTCTTGATCTGAGAGAATCAACTAACGCCATCCCAATGCAACAACTGTTTTTCCAAGCGAAGAAACATACTCTCGCAAGAGATTCAAAAGTCCCAAGAGATCCACTCCACTTTCGGAGGTAACAGCGGCATAACAGCATCTTCAAACTTGCCCGTCTTGCTCATAGCCTCATATGCTGCCCTCGTAGTATCGTCATATTCATTATCTGGCATTTGAGCGTCGCTGGTGAAGCGTGGCGGACCTTCTGGAAACCAAATATCGGACCAGGTGCCATCTGGGTTTAATGTTCCTGCCTGACCTTCCTTATACACCACTCTCTTACCCTTGAAACTCGTAAATCTTCCATCTGGTCCTTTTGTGCTGTAACTCTCTAGGGGAGGGTGGGCAGAAGCCCCAAAATTCGTATTAGCTGCTAAGCTGGTGGCGCCACCATTCGCAGGACCTCCGTTGATATGGTTCTGCGCGCTCGATTGAGCACCATTCATAAACGTATTGGGTTGTGCTGAAGTCGGAAATCCTGACTGATTGCCGTTCAAGAACGGATTCGAAGGCATTGGATTTTGTACAAAGGGCTGTGCTCCATTCGTGAATGGATTTACGGGTGCTTGAGACTGTTGAGCCGTATTGCCGTTATTACCAAAGGGGTTTGTCGGAGCTGGCTGGGAGGGCTGTCCAAAGGGATTTGGCGCGGAAGTCGGTACCCCAAATGGCTGAGGTAAAGGACTAGGCTGCTGCGGAGTTCCAAAAGGGTTTTGCTGAGGGCTCTGCACACCACCAAAGGGATTTGCCGCCACTGGTGGTTGTGACGGGGCTCCAAATGCCGAGGAAACTGCTGGCTGAGCTCCAAATGCTGCAGCAGGCTGGCTTGGTTGTCCGAAGGGGTTGGGTGATGGAGTCCCAAAAGGGTTTGGGTTTTGTCCCAGTGTAGAAGGGCTTCCAAAAGCGCCTGTAGAAGGAGCCCCAAATGGGTTTGGCTTCTGACCTAGAGCAGAGGGCGCACCAAAGGCTCCTGTTGGCTGTGATGGTGCCCCAAAAGCTCCAGGTTGCGATGGGGCTCCAAAAGGAGTTGGCTTCTGTCCTAAAGCTGACGGCTGTCCAAATGCACCACCACCAGAAGGTGCTCCGAAAGCCCCTGAATTCGGTTGCGCCGGTGGTCCAAATGGATTCGGATTAGGTGAAATCTGCGCTGGGGCTACAGCATTAAGTGGATTGACTTGTTTTCCAGATGTATTAATTTCACTAACAATATCAAGTCGGTTGGGGTGTGACTTTTCGCCATCTATAATGAATTGAACGGCTGCGTCAACATTATTGAGGATCGTCTGAATTTGCTGTTCTGATTGCTGATACAAAGCATTGGCTTCCTGAATCTAGGAGGATGTTAGTCCACGGTATTTGCACATAGGCTTTTCAGAATTTTCAACCCACAGCTTGTTGCTCTGCATTCGCTGCTCTCGCCTGGTAATGGTAGAGTCGCATCTCTTCAAAGCTTTTCTCGCGCTGCTCGCCTCCAAACAGTTGGACAGGCGCTAGCCTCCCAGGTCCATACGCAGACAATATCCATTGCGGTCGTTCTGAAGAGAGATCGATAGTTATGGCGGCCTTGTCAAGTTGGTACGGTAGAGCTCCCCTTGGTGCTTGTGAAGCTTCTTTCGTCAGCCATGGGGTAATTGAACTCGGATATGAAGCGGCCCACCCTGATTCTGATATCCATTATTTCGATTGTTAAACCCCGAGTTCCTTGTATTATTTTCTGGCACCTGCAGAGCGGCATAACGATTGTTGTTCGTGGCAGGCCTGGCTTCGTCGGGATGATAGAACTTGCAATTACCTAGGGACATTTTAGCTGGTGAACCTCTTGGACGATCCTATTTCATACTTCCGTAACGACAGTTTCCCTGAGTCCAGAACCTGCATGTTGGTGGGGGCATGGTACTGTCTCAATATAACAAAATCCTCAAGGATGCGCTTCTCCAGACTCATGCCATGTTGTGGTGCTAAAGGTAGAATGAATTATTGGAATCGCATCAGACTGGTTTACAAGATCTGAACAAAGACTCCTAATATGCTCGGTTTTTGTGGGTAGGGGAGGGGTCGCGAATTATTCTGATACGCGGATGGTAAAAAGTGTCTGGTTGGGCGACGCGGATCTGAATAGTTCGCGTCGAGGTCGAGCCAGGCCTTTTCCGGGGAAGCTTGGCCTGACAAGAGCACACATGACGGAGCCACAAATCCATCGGCAAGTACTTACTCGTTATATGTTCACGCACTAATTATTCAGGGTCAACCTTCTACAAGCTGAGTTTTGCCAAAGATCAAATTTCATTAGGTATTACGAAACTACCTAATTAACAATTTTATTGCCATGATAACAATCCATGATTAGGCTGAGAGATTCTTCGGACGACAAAGGAACATTCGAGATTGGCCTGGCCGTGAACAACATAGCTTCTGTTGTCTTACGCAAACGGATCTGGAAGGGTCACGCCTTATTGGTTGATCGAGGGAAATGCACAGAAGTTGATATTAGTAATGTTGCATTCAATATTGGTATCTAACAAGCCTCCCCAGCGACTCCTCTTGAAAAGCCTTCAACGCCCCGAGGTTATCCATATCGTAGCATTAGTATTACAAGATCTACCTCTCCAAAATCATGTCACTAAATTGCAGAGTGCATTTTTCAAAGGAATCTAAGAAGCCTAGATCCACTTGAAGCCAGTTAACTTGACTTCTCTTTGGCGTCTGCTTTCTTCGCGGAACTTCATCAACTCCCTAGACTTTTCCCATGCATTTTCTTGCTCATCTGCTAATCGTGCAAGGTCGGCATCGCGTATTTGCTTCCAGTCATCGCCGTGTAACTGCTGATACAACTCATCGGTCCCAATTTCCATCTTTTTAGTCCAACTCTCCAAAGCAGAAAGTTTTTGGTTTGCCAGCCACGCTGTAGAGCTTTCCAGATCAGCCTTTACGCGCTTAGCCTTCGCAGTAGCCTCGGCTTCCAATTCAGCCTCGCGCGCCTTGCGCTTCTTCGTCTCTTCCTCTCTAGCGCGTGCTTTGTCTGCAAGATAGCGAAGACTGTGAGACAGAACTCGCTTCTCCTCTGGAACTGGATTGGCTTCGAGAGGGGGAGCTGTGAAGAAGATGACTTTGCCATATTCATCACGCTGGAACTGGCTGCGAATGTCGCTGGGTATCGCAAAATTTGCCTGCTCCGACAGTGTATATACTTCGACAGGACGTGGAGGATTGTAGGCATTATTGTGTGTTATATGCGGGGTTTGGACGGGCGCAGACGTCCGTACGGGCGTGACAGAACTTCGATCCTGGTAGTGCCCATAGCTGTTCATTGGATTGGCATGTTGAACTACGGGGGTAGCACCAGATGTGTACTGAGGAGCATAACCAGTCTGTTGATAGCTTGGGGTATGAGCGACTGGCTGATGCGATGCAGATCCATGCGAGCCATAGGAGTTCTGGTGCGTCAAAGGAGCAGGCGAAGGTGATGGTCGAGCTGCTGGGAATTGTTGACCAAATTGGCCTGGTGTCGGGGTATGGCTGGCCATGGGTGAAGGCTGAGTTGCATTTGAGTGGGTGCGCGCCAAAGAGAGATCGCCTTGTGAGCCGTATCGAGGTCGGTCACTAGTGATGGGGCGACGTACTGGTTCGGGTTCTGGTGGAGGTGGTGATGGTGTGGGTTCTGGTGGTGGAGATTCCTTTGTTTTGTTAGTGATTCACGTTGCGGAAGATGGAGACCCAAAAAAAACTTACATTCGCTTCGCGTGGACGCTTGTGGACAGCTCCCACGATAGGCGGCGCGTTGGCAGCTCCCCAGGTCGGCTTTGGCAGCGGATCATCCTCTTTCGCATCTTCTCTCAGTAAGTGTTTGATGGGACTTGGGACTTTTTTCGTAGTCCGAGGTACGTCAAATAAGTCCATCTCGTAATCCTTCTCTCGAACTTCGTCCGGAACACAGCTGGCCCAGGTCTTGATTTTGTTCAATTTATGCTGGACTTCGTTATATCGAGCTTCGCACACATATACTTCTTTATCAGCAGGGAATCCTCGCGGACGACCCTTGTTGAATCGAGTAAAAAACATGACAAAACATCGGTCGACGATCTCATCCGCTTTATGGTCGCGATACTGCCCAGTCTTGACAACTTCGTTCTCGAGAAAGTGCTTCTCATATCGGTGTACAGTCTGTTCTGGGCGATAGTACCAACACGCGTTAATCCATTTCTGGCCAGTTGTATCTTGCCATGTTCGATATATCTGGGCGACTATGGGTTTTGTGACATCGTTCGGATTCGCCAGATGCACCCAATCTCCAACCTTCCATAACTCTCCATTATGGAGGATTTCAGATAGCGGAAGCCGTCCATCCTCATCAGCAAAATCAGAGTCAGGCTTTTTCTTTTCCTGCTCGGCGATAATCTTCGCCTCTTTCTGCAGATGGACTGCATCTTTATACACTTGACTATCTTCCAGGTTATAGGACTTTGCGTTTTCGAACATTAAATTTAGGTCTTTCAGCACTTGGTCAACAGATTGGTAATTCTTTCTCTTAGCTCTCTTCTTGATCGTGTCCATCGCAATCGGCTGCTTGATTTCCTGGTAGTATTCGGGCATTACAGACTTGTCGGGTAGCTTTTCAAAATGAAGGACCTCCAACTCATTTGCCTCGTTCTTATATTTTCGAAGGTTCTTTAGAATGTTGTTGATCCGCGCTTCCATTGGGGTGTGAACTTTTGGTGGTCTGCCTCTTTTCTTCTGCGCTTCCGGGTCTTCATCGTCCTGCACCTGCTTACTGATTGCTTTGCTATCGCGCTTCGCAGCTGCAGAAGACCTTCGTCCGCGTTTCGTACGTCTTCCCCTTGGGCGATCGTCGTCCGTTCCTTCATCTTCTTCATCCTCGTCCGTATCTTCCTCTTCCTCCTTTTCACTCTCTTCAGGTGGTGAAGGTTCGCGTGGTGGTGATGGCTCGACTTCTGGGATCTCTCCCAGATCTGGAAGAACCGCCTCTTCGGCAGTTAATACCTTATCCTCGACCAGCTTTTCTAGCTCTTTCTTGAAAAGCACCTCTAGCGCCACGGCATCTTTGTAAACCTCCGCTGACGGACGATTGTATACCTTGGCATTATGGAATATTAGGGCGAAGTCTCGAATGAATTCTTGGTGGTTCTGGTACTGCTTTTTCAGGATTTTGCTCTATCATACGAATTAACTTATGCTTGCTTGAATTGAACCGGGAAACAAACCCTGATAGTACTAAATGCAACTGGCTCCTTTATGACCACAAAGTAATCTTGGTAAAGTCTCTTGTTGAGCATGCGCTGAAATGCGCCAGACAACTCTCTTTCATCACTACGAACGACAGTTAGGACAATTGCCTCAGAACGGTTTGGGTATTCCAACCCAAGTCAAACATACTCTTCTGGGTCTCTAGCTTCACTCATGCGCTTCACTATGCCATCTAGAACATCTAATTCTTGTTTATTCAGGCCTGTCGCTCCTGTAGCCGGAGGTGCTGGAGTGGAAGATGGCGCAGGTTGTGTCGCATTGCTTTCTGGCGCTACAGGGTCCTCTGTTTTCACTTCTGTTGGGGCCGTCTCGGATACTGGAGGCTCTGCCGACATTTCGAATGCTATCTGGTCGTAATTCGACCTGTGGAGTCGCTGTCAAGGGAGCTTTGGGATCCGGTATGAGAGTATCGCGACCGCGTTGGAGTGGAACTTAAGATTTGAGCTTTGACCATATTCCACGTGATCTACAATGGTATGAATGTCAACTTCACTTATCACCTGAAGCAAGATTACCTCCTGAGCGTAACGGAGGTCAATTCTTGGATTGAGTTGTGTTGTTATCTGCATGGGTTTATATTTCTGGCGTCCTGATGACAATTCACATGTAAATGAGTGAGAAAACCGGTACGACGGATTTGGCCTTAGCTGGACTCGGTCTTTGTTATTCAGTCACTTTTGAACTTGCTATTCCTTGAGAAAGTTTGAAAGTATTTTTGCTAGAATTACGTGTCATTCTTGAGGGCCACGATATTAGATGACTCTCCATACCCATATTTTCCACATGTCGCATTCGTAAGTGACAACAGCTACACAACTCTAACCCCACTACAGTACGAGCCTCCGATTCGGATCCTCGCCCCGCGCTCCACGACACATCCCAAAATGCGTACTCGTCTTCGCGCACCAGGAGGCGCATCAACTATCACTCTGCCAGACGACGCCAAAATATCTGATTTAATATCGCAAATCAAAGAGAAGACTTCCCTCTCGAGCTTTGATGTAAAATATGGCTACCCACCACAACCTCTCATCCTCGAGCAGTACGAGAGCTCCCAGGCTCTGAGCAGCCTCGGTATCAAACTCGATGGCGAACAGCTTACCATCAGCGCGCGAGATCCTCCACAGGAGCAGACACCTGTGGTAGCGAGTAAAGATGGACAGAACACAGGAGAGGCTGGAATTACGAAGGGACATAAACCTATAGGATTGAAGAAGAAGACGATGGAGGAGGAAGTTCCTGAGCTACCTATGCCTTCGAGAGGCGCAACACTTGGTATGTCCTCAAAACAACAGATTAACAAGTTAAAAAGCAAAACACTAATATCTGACAGTAATGAGAGTAATGCCCGACGACAACTCCTGTCTCTTCCGCGCCTTTGGCACCGCAGTCCTCCCCGGCGACGACTCCTCAATGCCCGAACTACGCTCCCTCGTCGCAAGCGCAATCCAATCCGAGCCCGAAGTCTACACCAAAGTAGTCCTCGAGCAATCCCCCGACGACTACTGCCGCTGGATACAAACCCAAGACGCCTGGGGCGGTGCCATCGAGCTAGGAATCCTATCCAAGCACTTCGACATCGAAATCTGTAGTCTAGACGTCCAGGTACTTCCCCTTCCCCCTAGCAAAATAAAAGTCAGAAACTGACACCCCCAGTCCCTACGAATAGACAAATTCAACGAAGGCGCCTCAACACGCTGCATCCTCGTCTACAGCGGCATCCATTACGACACGATCGTGCAATCGCCCTCGGACCCACCACACACGAAAGCCACTCTGTCCCCAGATCTCGACAAGCGGGTGTGGGAACAAGACGACGAGGAGATTCTGGTGTACGCGACGGAGCTGTGCAAGAAGTTGCAGGCGAAGCATTATTTCACGGATACGGGGGGCATGGCTATCAAGTGTGGTGTATGCGGGGTGATTGTGTATGGTGAGGGACAGGCGAGTGGGCATGCGCAGCAGACGGGGCATTACGATATGGCTGAGGTAACGACGTAGGTGAAGTTGTCTTGGACTTGCTTGAAGTCTAATCGAATATGACTTCTAGCGTTTCTTGAACTATCTGGTCTCATTCCTTTTCAATCATAATCACGCTGAGTTGCGAAGCTGTAAACCCGGAATGCAGTTGTCAAGTGACAACACAGCCCGGCCTCCAGTTGCCAAGTACATTCTCAAATCATCACATTTCAAAAACTGGATATCAGGTATGTTTCAGAAGCGTTCAAATTCCTCCCAAAATTCTTGGTCCACCCCACCAACCAGAGATCCGTAAAATACGTACAAAGAATAGGATCCCAAAATCCGTTCAACGAAAGTGTCGAAGACATAACAAGTTTTCCCATCCGACCTTGTACCCCCATTGTCCATCTATAAATGTCTGTCAAAAAAGAAAGAAAGAAAAAAACTCCTCCATTTCCATCACTCCGTCCGTCCTTTAAAGTTTAAACATAGCAAACACTAAAACGTTGCGCGTCGATATATATGTACTCCGTTTTCCTTGCCGGTCATGAGAGAGTCGTATATGTAACGCCGTCATCAGAGTTTATAAACGTTCCAAAATCCCGTCTTCCAAAAAATTCGCTGGCGCCTGCGCACATCAGATGCTAAAGATGCGCTGATGAAGAGAGTGCCGAAGAAGCAGAGACTCGACTCTCATTTCTGCTTGTTGTGAAGACTTACGCCTCGGAAGGAGCTGTGCCATGAGCGCCGCCACTGCCCTTGAGGAAACCCCAGTACTGTTCGGCTTCGAACTGCTGAGGGCTGTTCTTCTTCCACATGGTATTGAAGGTGTTGAAGAGAAAAACATCGGCTGGGTTCGAGCTGAATGCATCCTTGATGGTTTGGATGGCCTTTTGTTGATTGCTCTCGGAAGGAACTGCTTTTTGATTTGGCAATCCTTGCCATGGCCATCCGGTCTCTGAGATAACAATTCGTTGGTTGGGGTTTGCAAGTTTCTTCCTAAGGTTCGCCATTTGGTCTTTGATGAATTGTCCTGCGCCTTCGGCACTGGTATTTGGGTCAAAGAAAGGATGACAGTTGACAGCGCAATAGGTGGAAGCATCGCACATCTTGATGCCATTATCCGTATTCGTGGCAACGAGAGTATCGGTGGTAACTACAACAGGAGATGACCATCCGGCGGCCTTCAGCTTTTCCTTAGCGGTTCCAATCGCAGCAACAACTTGATCAGGACTGGCTTTTCCTTCGTTGACTAGTTCGTTTCCAATGGAAACTGTGTCAACACTTCCCCAATCTCCACCCACATCTGCGATGAGTGTGTTAAGATCATTCTCTAATTGACTCAGGTCGAAAACGGCAGCGAAAAGCTTCATTCCGTGGGCTTTGGCTTGTTCGAGGACTAGTTTGGTCTGATGATTGTCTACACCGTAGATTCTAACGACTGAGAAACCCTCGCCTTTGATGCTGTCGAAATCTTTCTTCATCTGATCTGAGCTTTTGACTGAGTGGTCAGGATTGTATGGCGAGTAGGTGAAGCCAAAACCACTCCCTCCACCAGATGATGGAGTCTCGGTTGTAGGTTCCTGTGGACTAGGTGAAGGAGCTGGAGAGCCGGTTGTTTGAGCAGGCTGGGCCGGGGGTGCGGCTGGAGGAGGCTCTTGGTTTGGAGGTCCTTGGTTTTGAGGAGGTCCTTGATTGTTGTTTTGCGCTGCTGGTGCTGGGGTGGGGTTCCCATCTCCAGTGACTGTGGCAGTTGGGTTGCCAGCAGCGTCAACATAAACTCTTACCACGTCGGCAGGCTGTGCAGCGACGGTAACCCAGGTTACTTCGTCCTTCTTGTAATGTTGGTGCATATGACGACCTCCTAAGTGGTGTTAGCTGGTTGCAAAATGAGATGGAACTGCGACTTACGGTAAGGTTGTGCGGAAGCAAGTTGAAGCAGCGACACAGTCGCGATGGCGAAGCTTGTAGTCTTCATATTGAGTTCAAGAAGTCTATTCTTATTCTCGTGATATCGTTGATAGTTTGTTTATCTAAGCCGACCAGCGGTAATTAGCAAGGAAATTTTTGGTTTGGTAAGTTTGTGGATTTGAACGTGAGAAGGGAAGGTTGAGATGGTAGCAAGAATGAGATACTCGAGGTCAACACTGCTTTGTGCACTTCTCTATATCTCTCGTCGCCGAAGAACAAAGCGATCGACCAACGACAACAATGGCAACAAACGGAATTCGTCATACACACCTTTGTCGCAAAACTATTTCTAATCTCCACCGAGTGTTTTCCAAGGAATGTGTGACGGAGGGTAGTCTCACAAAGGAGTGTATAGGTCTGGTTGCTGCGACCAAAGTGAGGAATGCGGGGATCCAAAGATTCCAACCTGTGGAAAAGGAGTGTAGGGTTGTGAAGCAAAAGTCGACCAAACTCGTTGTAATAGTTGTGTGATTGTGTAAGTGGGTATGGGTATGAAGGAGGGTGGGAGGTGGTTGTAGTTATGAACGACTAGACCGGGAAAGGAACGTGATGTCGACTCTCAACTCGCAATTGCAACTGACTTGTGTGTGATGATGACTATTCCGTGGAAGGAAGGAAGGAGGGAGGTAGGATCTTATGTTGTCCGCGAGTGTTGGCGAAAAATGATAGTGGGAGAAGGTAGTATACCTAGGCTAGCTATCGATAGTTTGTAGCTATAGCCTGGGTGGGGTCTACCAGAAGAACGATAGCACCGTTGACCGTTGAGGAAGGTCGACAGCTGTGGGCGAAGGCTCTAAGGCTGCAGGTCGGTTCCGTGATGGCTGCGGCACAAAGTCAAGCACTCGGTGGGGAGGAGGAGGAGGGCAAAGGGCTTCACGGAGGTCAACTGATATGGCTGGGGGAGCGGTAGGTCCTAAATACCTTCTCTCCAACCGACGAAAAGACTCGGATCAGAGGCAGCTGGGAAGTCTGGGGATTTCCAGGAATCTGTCGACGATCCCCAGCAGCGCCTCGTCGGTCCAGGGACAGAGCCAGAAATACCTACCGATGGGTGCATCTGGAGCGGCTGTATCGAGTCTGTCGATACGTACCTGCATCCTTCCGGGCCATCACGAACAGCCGACTGAGTCTGGGAGCCAGCCAAACCCACGCAGCAATGTCCGTTTCTGACGGTCAGACGGCGGCGAGCCTGCTGCGTTGCATGTCGAGCCAACATTGGTGAGCAGACAGAGACAGAAGGTCGCGGTCTCCATACAAGCGGTTGCAGAGAAGAGAGAAGCGCGGACCAGGAACCCGGCGGTTAAGGGACTCGACCGTGGAAGCTGTGCTCTGTTTCTGTTCTTCCAGTTCATCAACCTGATCTCACCTCTTCACATTCAGCAAAATCTCCAGAATCTCACCCATTGTCACTGTATGTGTGTCTGCAGGTACCCTGGAACCTTCAAGGTGTCACGAAGTTCTCAAATGCCCCCATTCAGCCGTCACGCCCCTCGAACGCCCCAAAGGATCGAGCTGGGTCTAATCGATTAGGAATCCTCTAGGACTGATAGCACAACCACATGGCAAACATCTTACCACGTTTACGAGACGGCAAATCAGAAGAAATTCCAAGAAATTCCACCAAAGAGCTTTTTACGACGGAAAAAAAAAGATATTACCGTGTGACAAATTGACAATAGTACAGTCAATCCACAGACTGGCTAAAGGAGCTTTCTTGCACGTCGGTTTGTTGGTACCTAAAAGTCCAGAAGAAGTAGGTATGTCATCCATAAGCATCTCGTCTCCAAGCCGACACGGCCATGTGGACGTTAAAAACACGCCATCGCAAGAGTATACGTCGCTCGCGATCCCAACAAAGTCATCAAAACGCTGTCGACTGTGCCAACGAAAGAGACAGATGTCTCAACTCACAGGGCAAAATGGAGTATTCCCGGTTCACGATTAGGATAAACTCCGAACGCGTGGCACTGGTGCATTTACATGTTGGGTGTTCTTTTGCAGCAACCAGCGTCCAGAAGAGGGAGGTTCGGACGATCCGAGTTTTCCACTTGCATCAACGATAAAGTATCATCCTCTTGGCAAACGGAGATACCAAGGTCGGTTTGAGTGCTAACCGGTGGTGTCACTGGTGTATGCGACTGGCCGGCGAAGTAGCTGTTGCCAGGTGTCGTTTGTGTATTGTTTTTTGCAGAGACGGAGACTGCTGCAGGTCCCGCCCCAAAAGTCCGGTCAATTGGCTCTCACCCACCCTCGGGTCGAGACTCGACGTACCTGACGCCAATTCTGCATTGTACCTGGTGCTTTCCCCCATTTGTGATGGCCTTACATGGCGTCTCACTTTCTCACTCAGCATTGGCCGGAAAATCGCTCAATGCGGAATTATCTCGTCTGAAGTTGCTACATGATAAGCCTGAACAGGATGTTGCACCACTGCTTCTCTTCACATGTTTTCAACATCCAAACACGGCTAGCGATCAGGACGGGTCGGGAAATCGCACAATTCAACGCAAATTCGGCTGATACCAGGAACAATCAGGATGTTTGCAACCCATCTGGCATCAGCGAGTACCTACTCGGTATCCGGACATCTTGTGTCACGCTGATGACAGTTGGATGTGCTGTACGTGAAGAGTGACGGTACCTTGCCGTCAGCAGTTGCCCAAGTCCGCGAAGCAACATTGTGCCACCAACAAAATTTAAATACTGCACCGAGTTTTACGAAGCGAAGAGGCTATGTGTAGGTACTCCACCACGAAGGAAGTCTCTCAGACGATCAGACAGATCTCGTAGGTCACAATGGAAAGATCAAACATATATCGTAAGTTGCAACTCAGCGATCATTAGCAAAGCCCCACTCCAATTGAGGCTTTGCTTGTTTGATTTCCACGTTGATTTCTCGATCAAACATTCCTGACGAGTTGTACAACCTTCATGCGGTTGGATGGCAATATTCGACAGGAGGGGTTTGTATGTAATAGCTAAGCGAGATTTGTCCTTCCGGGACGAGTCTGACTTATCCCCAGACATAACACTCAACGAGATGACACTCCTTGTCCAATTTCTCTTCTCGTGTCCCATTTCTGCACACCATTTTCTCTTTCAAATTGCATTCTGGAGGACAATGCATGACATGTCGAGAGTTGTAATTTACGAGGAGGAACCCAATGTCATGTCAGCTCACACCAATTGTAGATGTACCTCCCAAAGAACAAGATGAGTGGCCGAACCTTCCGGATATGCTTTAGATCAAATCATAATTAAGCAGAATTGTACTCTTCACAATGCCTTTCAAAAAGTCTCAAAACGTGTGATTTACTGATAATATTCAACGAAATCTCGATATTTTGTCAATCTGACTGAAGAATTGTCTAGTTCCGGCTGTCATTGATTTTGTCCACCTCGAGGGTACGTAGTAGTCATTCACTTTCGATTATTTTAAGTACTACTCTGACTCTGGTGGAGTGAAACTTTTCGCTGCTTGATACTACGCTACGCGTTGAGTCGATGAAGCAAAAAGTCAAGTCTCCGACCAGTAGTCAACAAGGAGAAGTTATTGGGGATTTGAAATGGTTAGGGTGGCTCGTCATTTCGACCATTTTTCATTGACGCGTTTGAAAAAAATACTATATGCCGACTTTTGAGACTCATTATTCTTCCTCTCCTACTTCACTCCATTAGCTTCCGAGGGTACCCTACAGTATCTAATACTTGTAAGGGAAAAGGTCTATCGAATCAACACTACATACAACGTTGCTTACGTCCCCTCATTGCCTTAGTATCTCGCTCCAAATCTTTTTTGTAAACTTCATGAGGATAATAAGTGTTTTATTGTCGACGTGATTATCCTTTATACATGCCTCACGGTCTTGAGAATCAGTTCCAGCGACATCATCCTACGACACTCCTAAACTTCAAATTTTATTCCCTTTTGCAATCGATTATCTGATATAAGCTTTTAGATTTGCGGATATACGAACTCTGTACTGGCACATCGTGAAGGCCGATTGTCAACGATCGTGAGATACGAACACCAGACACAATACGCAGCCAGCTAGTCAAGAAGCTGCCGGTTAGACCCGTCGTGGCCTTTTACGCCTTTACAAGTCTCAGATATGCAGTCACAGACGGTAAATCACCCCACGGATCTGTACCACAGGTATTTAGTAACGACCTAAACACTCAGTATCTACGACTTCCAAGCAGCAATTGCATGGCGAGGCCTGGATAGTGTGATACGACTATACACAGATGACAAAGCCTAGTGTCGGGATTATGATGTAGAAATAAGTACGATGTATGAGTTATGAGGTATGAGAAAGCGTGCTTACTCCAGGTTTCTGAATCATTTACATCAATGACGTTGTCTTGACGATGAAGGCTCGGAGTCAAGACTATGTGATAGTCCAATACTTGAGACAGTAATCAGTGAAGTCAATTAGTTAAGTGGCAGATCAGAAGTCTTACTGAAATTACCGTCTGCGTACACACATCAGCCAAGAGGTTCAGCTTGGGCATGTAGTTTCAAAGCCAATCATAATATATGCCAGAAAGACGCTTGTACGTGCGGTATCGTTTCCACGTTTTTTGTTCTGCACTCTGAGTATTATATCGATTGTCGCTTTGGTGCTCTGCAAAAGAGGAGAAATGCACATACGGCTACGGCTCTTCATTGACATGAGTAGGTTATGAGTTGCTGGTCGCAAGGAAATAAGGTTGTATCATCTCAGTCAAAGCTAACTGCAGCATATTAAACATTGAAGCTACATTATATATAGGTGCTGACAGTTGTAACAACTAACAATTACAGCTCAATCACAGAAAGCTAACTCGTAACATTCATTGAAAATCATGGACAAAATATCAGTACTTAATTGACGATATATGATATTGTGTCAATTAGATCTAAGAAATATCCGGGTTCGATGGCCATTCTGCCACCCGTGTTGTCCACCGTAAGGCACCAACACTATCTGTCGCAAGCGTTGAAAATGCATGTTGCAAGAGCAAAATCACTCTTGAGAGATAACTAGAAAAAATGTAGGGAGCTACAACCACCCGAACGAAGTAAGGGAATCGAAACGAGTTTATTCTCAAGAGCATCCCACTATGCCTACGCCGCAAACTAGCCCTTTGGATTGATTGCGAATGACGGACTAGTCGAAGCGTAAGAGTGATCTTCCTCATCTCCAGGAACCGCAATAGTTGGGAGTAAAGCACTATGCGGGCAGATAATGTGAGGTCCAAAAAGAAAAGCAAACAAAATCACAGTAAGCCAAATGCGCTCAATGGTGACTTCACGTCGTCAATGGAAAAGGAATGTCAATATCTATTGTATTACATTAGCAAACGCTCATAAAATTTAATTTCAAGATATAAAGGTTTGATGATGGATCAGAAGTAGATACGCGTTCTCAGCAATTGCAACTTGTGCATCTGAGTGAGCTGGGTATAACGTCATGGTTATTCCTCATTTCCAATTCATATAAAAAGAAGTTGAGCTTACCTGTACTGCAATGAGACAATCAAAGGACGATTGTTTGCGCTAGCCTGTTGTGTGAGACTCTCTCCTCGACCACGAAGAAGAAGTAGCTCTTGGGAAATCAATATCACTATATCACTTTCAGGAAGCTCGTTCAGTAGGCAAAGCAAGTTCATTTGCTGAAGGCTAACTTCAAGAAATCATATCCCAGTTTTCCCTATTGACGCCCCGTCATAAATCCGTAAAGCCCTTATGCTTGAGTGGTCTTAGCAGCGGCCTGGTTGGGGTTGACCTTCTTTCCATCCTTGTTGTATCGGACACGAGGAGGTGGTGCTCGGTTTCGGCGACCTTCGCGGGATCGGACACTAGCGACAGAATTGTTAGCCCTTTTGTGCTTTGTAGGGGTCCTCGAATATGATTCAAGGACGGATGTTCGACCAAGGTTCATCACAAGTGCATAGCGTACCGAACAATCTTGCCGTGAATGGCGCAAGAGACACAGTACTGCAACTTGAGGTACATCTTAGGAACGGTGTATTCTGGGAATACGGAAGCGTCCGAGATATCACCTGTTAACCAGAAGTTAGCACAAGCGTTAAAGATCGACTCCAAGGGTTCACGAAGGTCCAGCACAAAACAAGCACATGTTGCTGTTGCTACTCCACACTGTACGCCTCTGAATGACGGGAAGAAAACATACGAATGGCAGCAGATTCAACCATGTTGCGGATAGTAAATCTCTTGATGGCCTTGTCCTTTGGAGTGCATCGTGAGCAGTTGGAGCATCTGATTGGCTTTACGTGACCGCGACCGTTCTTGTTACGTCCGCTTGAATTCATGTCAGTCCAGCATTCTAGAATGTATTGCCCATGGCGCTCTTTCGCCGTTCTCAAATCTCGATCGAATCGTGGAGGATAATGCTTACTTGGACGCGCGCTTCTTAACCATTTTTGCGGTACTAAATGAGAGTCAGTATACATTTCTGGGCAAAAAATGGGCAGGCATATCGAGCGCTGTCAACTTACTTTGTTGTTTTGTCGGGGTTGGCGGAAGAAAGTTGTCGTCGTTGCGAGGTCTGAATACCCAAAAAGTTCCAAGCTCCCGACTGAGGGCAAACCCTAATCGTGATAGTGGGCTGACAAATTTTAGTGGGGCAAATTTGGCGAATATCAAGCGAACGTGCCCGAACTTTTCATGCTTCCTCCAAATCCATCTCAACCCCATCATCTCTGCTCAGGAAGACAATCATTTGTCTAGGTAAGATATTCCAGGCCTGAAGATAATCATGTATCGATCCTAACAGTTTACACAGGCAGTCATGCAAATCTTCGTTAAGACCCGTAAGTATCTGCCTCTGAAAGTATTCACGTCGTCGATCGCCAGCTTTGATGGGTTTTTTGTGCGGCAACTCCCCAGTAGCATTTACTGACCTCTTGAAGTGACGGGCAAGACCATCACACTCGAGTGTGAAGGTAGCGACACCATCGATAATGTCAAATCCAAGATCCAGGATAAGGAGGGAATCCCACCAGATCAACAGCGTTTGATCTTCGCCGGAAAGCAACTTGAGGATGGGCGCACCCTGAGCGATTACAACATCCAGAAAGAGTCCACCCTTCACTTGGTGTTACGTCTACGTGGAGGAGCCAAGAAGCGCAAGAAGAAGGTTTACACCACCCCAAAGAAGATCAAGCACAAGCGCAAGAAGACCAAGCTCGCGGTTCTCAAGTACTACAAGGTTGATGGTGATGGAAAGATCGAGCGTCTTCGCAGAGAGTGCCCAACTCCAGACGTAAGTTCTTCATCACTGAGTTTCTGGATAGACAAGTGCTAACAATTTGCAGTGCGGTGCCGGTGTTTTCATGGCTGCCATGCACGACCGTCAATACTGTGGACGTTGCCACTTGACCTACATCTTTGATGAGGCCGGAAAATAGAGTTGCATCTTGGAGAATCTGGGGGTAACGATGGATGACAAGCTTCTGCAAGTTCTACGTATTTAGATATATTGAAATGAGCAGTTGCTTCCAAATAACATCATGTGCCTTGTGAACTGTAAACCCACGTTCGCAAAAATTCTATCAGAACTGATGCCTTGAGATTTCTAGTCATTCTACCCAAGTACAGATTAGCCATAGTGATGTACCAACACGAACAAAAGGAGGTCCATTTCTTCAAAACGCCAACATCAATCCACGCCTTCTCGATTCGATTGTGTCGGCTACTGTCAAATGTCCGCAGTGAGTGAACCAGAACATAAAACAGGCGGATAGGAATTATTTAATCTACAAGAGGAGATTTTACAGCAGACCTGAGATATCTACACAAACACGGGCTATGTTATACATGAGGGGTATCTAATAAAAGCCAACCATGCGCCAATACAACACCCAAACTCCATCATCAAAAGCAAGTATGCTCTCCCAACCGCGTATTCAACGAAACGTGTTGAGAACGTCACCAATATTCATTTTCCGACTCTTCATCACTCCCACCTTCCTTCGCTTCACTGATCCCCTTTGTGACAGTCCGGTGGCTGCCATTGGATCAGAGGGCACTCTTGTCTCATCAGCTGAAGCAGCCTGATCCGGTCCCGTGGGGTTCTCCACATCTTTGGGAACCTTTATTCTGATGAAGGATAGGTACCGGCCACTTCCAATAGAGGAGTGCTCGCGGGCGAATTTGAGAGACGAAACATCTTCGTGGAGGCTGCCATAGAATGGTTTGTGTGCAGATTCGCTCAATGAGGGGAATGTCGTAGGATTTCCTAGGCGAAGTGAAACCATAGGCACAGGAGTGATGAGCTCGTTGCCTACGAGAATTGCGGACTCTTGCACATTCAAGCCAGCTTTGGCTAGATCTGTATCATTTCTGAGCTCGCCGATCCGTGCAAAGGAAGTGTATAATGTGAACTCGAAGGTTTCTTCCGCTCGAGTCCCACTTTGCAGGTATCTATCCATAATATCCCACCTCCGATCTTTGGGAAGCTTTCTGCGAGATCCATTTTTATCAACTTCCTGACGAATGCGAGAGTATTCATTATTGTCCACCAGAGGCTCTCCGGGAACCACAGTCTCTGGACGTACTAGGAACGAAGCCACCTCCGAGCGGAGAATCTTTCTTGTCTTCATACCGTCACCTAATTGACGAGCACTCGCTTTCCGAAGGGCTTTAGGCTGTACCCCTGAAGATTGCTGCATGATCATTGCTCTCTCCACGCAGGCAGCTTCCAAAAGTGCGAGGGTGTTCGGTCCAACGGTTGCTTTCCATCCCAAGAGCTTTGCATTGCTCTTAGCCTCCGGGCTGAAGCCACATTGACGCACATCGAACAGGGCAAGGGCAGGAAAGCTATTCAAGTATGAAAGCGAGTTTGTTGTCACCTCCGAGTGATTCCATAACTTCAATATCCTTAATACACGAAACTTTCCTTCGTTAAGGGCCGCAAAATGCCAAGCACGGATCAGACGATCACTGACAGGAGAAGGAGGAATCCTATGATCAATATCAGGGCGATTGTTGTGAATGATCTCTAGAATGCCCAGGTTGGTAATTTGAGAAAGTTTGACGAGTTCTGGGACAGTGAAGATGGTATTAATGCTCAGCGAAGTGAGGAATTCAAATGAGTGTGATGTGAGAGGTTGAGTATAAACGTGAAGAGGCGAGAGAGGTGTCTGAATGAGTTGACGATATCTAAATAAACTCAGAGTGGGAAAATCTTCATCGTGAAGTAGCTTTGAGAAAATCAACCACGTGTTGAATGAAAGTAGGCACCTGTCCACGAATGAGTAAACGTTTGCCAGATTTCAAGGGATCGGAGAACAAATTGCTGGTACTTGACTTACCTTTTATTCATAGCATGCCAGATGCGACGGACAAGCGTACTGGGCAGACAAGCAATTCCTTCATACGTGACATCGGAGATATTGTTAAGGATGCAATCTACAGCACAATCTTGAAGCGATCTTGCTCCTCTACGCCCTCGCACTCGGGTGTTTTTCATTTCGTCAAGGTAGTCATGGTAAGCTGCCAGACTTGACCCAGTCTCTCTCAAGCTGGTACTATCATCACCGTCTCTGTAGTCAGGACCAATAACTACTCTAGTCTGACGAGTCCAAAATTGATCATCTGAGTTCTGTATGGAAACTGTGGACTCTGTATAAACCTGGCCCGTAGACTCGTCGTACTTGTGATGATTGCCCAGGGTATAGTCTTGCTTCTGCGTAATGCCAGCTGAACGGTTGCGATTGAGCAGGAGTCTGCGTCTGGTCTGTAGCCAATTCATTATTGCGGTGGTTTGTAAAGAAGGAGGTTGATCAATGGGGCCCTCCAGGCTGAACTCCCCGCAGAGAGAAGAGGTTCAGTCCATTGAAGATGTGAGTGAGAAAGGCAGGAAATAGGTCAATAGAAGCGATCATGTCTGGTCGATCGAGGATTCTCGCTTACACTAACGTTTATTAGAATCCATCTTCACGCCATTTTATCGATGCCCAGAGCCCCAGAGGATGTTGAAGCCGAAATATCCTTATCGATAAGGTTTGTTCAATCCATGTCTCGCGAAGGACATGCCTACTAATCTTTAGTCTGAGAAAGTCGACTTCGAACAGAGTTTAAAGAGTCACTTCGTATTTACTCCACATATTTGACGATATATGTCATATTGTTCCAAGTTAATCCTCTGAATATGATATTTCGTCAACTCAATCGTAGTATCGTCCAGTGTTTCGACTGCCACTTATTTTGTCCACCATGTCGTTGGTGAGTCACGTGCGAGACCCGCCTCGGCAGTTGAACCACTCACGTACTCGAGTAATGTGCTCACAATGGAAGCTCGACACTAGATACCACCCCGCAGTTCCGTCAACTTCACTGTCTTTACTTTGAGATGTTGACAGTAACATATCTTGGGAAGGAGCCCCATCTGCCAGCGTATGGGCTGGATTGAGTCCGCAACGATGCTCAAGAAATCGACAGCCGCGTTCTCTTGCAATATCCAAAGCAGCCAAATATCAACGACGTCACTATCTCAGCTACACGCATACCGAACTCGTCCTTACAAACAACAACACCGCGGCTATGCTATGGTTTCTGATGGATACAGTAGCCACAACCATGGAACTCACCGTTGGCCGGAAGTTGCAAGTGCAAACGCAATCCCCACGCCTTATCAAATATTTGGGCAGAAGAAGGGCTCTCCATATTCAAAACAGAGATTCTACGAACTTGTAAAACTGTATCATCCCGATCGACACGACCCGAACACCTCAAGCGGTAGTCTTTCGTATGCCACGAAATTGGAACGTTACCGGCTCATCGTTGCTGCCAACGATATTCTCTCAGACCCTGTCAAACGTGGTGCTTACGACTGTTATGGTGCAGGATGGAACGGCATGCCAGATGTTGCGCGGTCTTCAGATGAAGGCTGGGGAAATGGAGCTCGAGGCTGGGGTAGCAACCCAAATGGGCCAAGCCAGAATGCCACCTGGGAAGATTGGGAGAAATGGCACGCCCGCGATGCCGAAGGTCCGCAAGCTCCTAGATTCACATCAAATGGGGCTTTCGTAGGACTGATAGTGATATTTGCTGCACTTGGTGGGATTGGTCAGGCGACACGGGTTGGGAATTTCAGCGCGACATTCATCGAACAAAGAGATGCTTTGCACAACAATATTTCGAAAGATCTCATGCGGAGACGAAGGGAAACTGTAAACTTCTACGGGAGTCGAGAAGAGAGAATCGACAATTTCCTCAAACAGCGGGATCCGAGTGGAAGTGTTGACGAGGCATACCGCAAACTTATCCCCAATCCGGAGATCTGTTCAAGCGAGGATATCAAAAGTCGTCAAATCGACATTTTTAAGGGCTGAGGTGGTATTCGCTATGGATGATAGCAAATCACATCAAATAACCCATGGAAAGCATTCTGGCAACTTCTGAAATTCGACGAACTATGCCACGCACGCAGCAAATAACAAGTCGTCGAGCATAATTTCACGCACGTTTGCCTATTGCGACAACGTATGCTCATCCCTATTTGGAGGGCTCGACTAGAAGTATGAAATAGTGGAAGAGGTGGCACATAAATGCAGAGTTAGCTGCATCAACTGGATGCAGTTTGAGCATGAGTCTAGATCGTCACTGATTCAGCTCAGCTTGCTACTTCTGCGCTCTATAGGTGCTTTGTACAGGACTTCATTGCAGGCGAGCGTCCTTTCTTGACCAAAATGCTGCTGCCTATAGGAAAGCACCTTAGTTCCCACATTACCCTTCTGCCACTTGTGGCAGATTTGGCGACTTTGGGTTGGGAGACGCTGCGTATTCAGCAAGTTGCCTGTATACCGATCGAGCCCGTCGGCCCATCGACACTCTTACTGGTGTATGTTTTTAAGGAGATACCCCAGGGACGTGAAAGACGTAAATGGTCGTTTTTCGATTTGAATTCCTGGAAGAAGTTGTTTAAACAGCAAAATCAGAACGATTCATTCAAGTTCAGGTATAATAATAGACTGAGTACTGTAGCCACTTCAATGTGCTGTCAATCCTAGGTGACCACTTCCTTCCCACATTCGGGTTGGCTCCATGTCAAGCCACTTTCTTGCCTTTGAAGTGAATTGCAACGTTGCACGATCTGAAAACGCCTTGTCGTATAATTCTGGCATGAAACGCGAATCAGTCAAGTATCCCGTCCGCTTCGTCATTCTTTTGACTCAGCCTCGTGATTGGAGCTGTGAAATACCCACATATCAGCTTGGCCTGCCACGGAATCACCACCACGACCTTCGATTTCCAATACAATTATTCACTTTGATAAAGCTTCGCCCTTAAATTTGTCCTCTGTAACCCGATTCAAAGTGGCTTTGTTTACTAGAACCCTTCTTTTCGCTGCTCCTCTTTTCATTGCTTTCCTAGGACTTGCTCATTTCCGATTTGGATTTCAATCCCTTACACCATTTGTTTTCGACAACAGCGAAATCAACAACTCCGCTATCATGGGTGGTGGAGATGGGTACCGCTCTGTGGCATACTTTGTAAATGTGAGTTTTATCTTTCTAGCGAACCACATCCTCAATATCCTCGCAAAATTATTGTTGTGGTGTTGGAACAGCGGCGACATGTACAAGATAAAGTTTGTAACAGATTGTTTGTAGATATGGTGTTAATATTGCTTAGTGGGCAATCTATGGCCGGAAATTCAACCCACAGATGCTGCCAGCTGACAAGCTTACGCACGTTTTATACGCATTTGCAAATGTCAAACCGGATTCCGGGGAAGTGTAAGTCTCAGGCCATTGAATAATCCAGGGCACATGAATTAATCCTACATGCAGATATCTTACCGACGGCTGGGCAGATACCGACATCCATTTTGAGGGTGACTCCTGGAATGATGTAGGAACCAATCTGTACGGATGTCTTAAACAACTCAACATCCTCAAAGCCCAAAACCGCTCTCTCAAAATTCTCCTGTCGATTGGTGGTTGGACTTACTCCAGTAACTTTGCGGCTCCAGCGTCCACTCAAGCCGGGCGTGAGAAATTTGCATCTTCGGCAGTAACCTTGATCAAGGATATGGGATTTGACGGTATCGATATTGATTGGGAATATCCCAAGTCCGCTACAGAAGCCGAGCATTACGTTCTTTTGCTTGACGAATGCCGTAAAGCAATGGACGCTTATAGCTCTACCCTGCCTCATCCGCATCACTTCGAGCTCACCGTTGCTTGCCCAGCTGGCCCGCAAAATTATAACAACATGAATATTGGAGCTATGGATAAATACCTCGATTTTTGGAATCTGATGGCTTACGATTTTGCTGGATCTTGGGATAGCAACTCGGGTCATCAAGCTAACATTTACGCTTCTAAACAAAATCCAGCCGCTACACCTTTTAACACGGAACAAGCCGTCCGCCATTATGAGCAGCAGGGTGTTCACAAGAGTAAGATTGTCATTGGGATGCCGTTGTACGGAAGGTCGTTTCAGAACACGGATGGCCTTGGAAAGCCATACAGTGGTGTTGGTGAGGGATCTTGGGAGAACGGTGTCTTCGACTTCAAGGCTTTACCACTTGCGGGTGCTGAAGAAAAGTTCGATGAGGAAGCTCTTGCTTCTTATAGCTATGATCCCGCGAAGAAGCATCTTGTCACTTATGATACTCCAAAGATAGCTCAAGAGAAAGGCAAATGGGTTAAGAGTCAAGGTCTAGGCGGTGCTATGTGGTGGGAAAGCAGTGGGGACAAAACCGGCAATGATAGTTTGATCGCTATTGTTGTTAAGGAGTTGGGGAGTCTAGAAGATAGTAAAAACTGTCTGGAGTATCCACAATCCAAGTATGAAAATTTGAGGGCTGGATTTAAGGGTTGATCTTGGATGGAAGCAATCTTTTGTCAGTAATTGCGGAACCGCCAGCATTGGCAAGCGTTTGTTTCTAGCGGAGATACTTGTAGCGTGAATATCATGGAATTTCTTCAAGCAGACGAACGACCCTCCTTAGATCTTATTTTTTCATTTGCAAGACTGGCCCTTCTGGAGATCTGGGAGAGTAAGTGCCCTTGAAAGTGAGGAATCGTGGAAGAGCGGAAGTTGTATGAGTATCGTTCCACATCCCATACCAAAAGTTGGCCGTCAACTCACTTAGGGTAAAATAGAGAACTGATCTAGCCTCAGCAAGTACTAAACCGTATTGAAAAGGTAACAACAACTTTGGTTCCAAGAATATTATCATGAAGTTTTTTACAGCTCGCTTAAGCTTTGAGTCTCTAGGCCCGAGAATCAATGCCGGGACAAAAAATAAACGCTTCAATCAGGCTCTGCAAATACCATATTACAAGCGAGGGTATCGTAAAAACAAGACAATACCTCCAATATCCATGAAGATACATTAGTTCGAGATCCGATATGCGTTCAAGCTCCAGATAGCTGCGCCTATGAGGGACACTCGAAATTCTGCACGCATTAAGGCAACAAGGTCAAATTACTGCGACCAAATTCCGCGCCTAATCATACAAGATACTTTACTCCGTCATTTAGCTAAGAGATATATCAGGTATTTAGCACGCCGACAGCTATAGATCGAGTCCACAAGATGTGATGCGAAACAGGATTTGGTGGCTTTCGAAAGACATAAAATATAGGGATTGAAGAGTGTACACCCTTGCGGAACGCCTTACTCTTCTGGCCTTTTTCATCTCTTCCACCAATATAAAAGCTCGGCGACTATATATGGAGTCACTGTCTCCATCAAGAAGGGTCATCTTGTCGGTTACCGAGAGCCTTCCCTTCGATGAACTATAGTTCTCAAGATTGTTGCCATCTCATACATTCATCCTTGGACCTAACCCACTTTCTACACCACGGGCAAGACTACTCCAATCCAATCCAGAAATTGAGCGACTGTTGCTTGGTTTCACGGCTAGTGATTCCGTGAATTTACCGGTAGCCATCCGTCGGAATAGTACCGTGTCTTTAGCTTTCTTGAGTCTTGTTCCATCTCCATGCAAAAGGTATTCCTCGAACCACTCTTCTTCTTCTGCGCTCATGGGCAGATTGACAAGCTCGACACTTCGGTCTGCGACCGTCTCTGCGGGAGAGTTATGAATGGCGAGTGAAATGAGCATTTCAAAAGTATGGCGATGCGTATTTGGTGCTTGCGCACGAGAGAAATGGAATGCTTCCGTGACACTGACTCCGGCGATTGCAACGAACAGGCATTCTGTAGAGCTTTTGTTTGTAAGAGCAGGCTTAACTGTATGGTAATATGCCAATGCCAGCCTGTGATCGTCTTTTGAATTTCGAGCAAGGATTTCTAGAATATCCTCACAATAAGTAGGTATGAGAGATGGATGTGTGAGGTATTCAATTGCATTCTACACAGTGTTAGATATAGCGATACGCTTTGAGTTATGCGAACGAACCTCGAATTCCATTTGATCCATATGCCAGAAGCCATTCATAGTTATCTGATACATCTCCGGCATAAAAGTGCTTCGAGCAAAATTCGTCGATTGATCTGTTCTTCCGGTCGGCGCATCTAGGTGTAATAGAACGTAGTAAAGAATGGAGATTTTGTGCTGCTCTGGCGAATTGCTTTTGATGACTTCTTTGTGCAAATTGCGTAAGGTATCATTATCTTTTGGAGGGTACAGCTTCGGTGCTATAATCAGTCAGAGTAGTAGGACGCATATTTCTTCTAATTCACACTCACGTCTTTTGATACCGATATCCTTCATCACCTTCTCAATAAACAAACCTTGCATCTTCTTCTTGTTTGAGGTAATCGCCTGACATAGATTCGCGTCGTAGCAGCAGTCTGGGTCTTCCGGAAAGACTTCGTCAAAGTTCTGAAAATTGAACATCTTTACTACCTATGTCTAACTTGTCCAAATAACCTTGAGTTGTTGATGTATAGTAGCGCGCCGGTCAGGTTGTTTTGCAGAGGCTTATCTTATCTTAGCGCTGGAACGACCCCTGATCACGTCTTGTTTACTTTGAGGACTAGGTTTATTTACATGAACACCATACCCATACAACACCACAATTCCATCTCCAGCGCCAGTCCGACGCGTACGCCAATCGAATATGAACACTTGTCTAATTTGAGCCCGGAAGTCGATTTGATTGTCTCTTGCGAAGCTGATATTAGCCTTTCTCGACGCGTTTTCTCCAACGACACAGCAACAACCAAGTACTCAATTTTCCACAATGTCGGAAACACCTGCAAGACCTTCGCGACGGGTGGCAGCCAGAAGGAGGATGGTCGTAGAGTCTGACGACGAGGAAGATCAGATCGCACAATCTCAGATCAAAGAGGAAAGTGAAGAGGACTTCACCCCAGCACCCAAGAAAAGCCCGCGAAAGGCGCCAGCACCACGACGAAAGACTTCAAATATTGTCGCCAGTACACCAAGGACCGTTGGACGGCCGAAAAAGAGCCTGGCAAATGAGAGCATCGAACCCTCTGAAATGTTTGACGCAGAACAAACGATGACGCCCGCGCCAGATTCCCCTACCAAGAAAGCGTCGCCTCGAAAACGTAAGAGCGTACCTATTCGAGGTGGTCGCAGTTCAAAAACACCAGAACTACCTCCACCACTCCCAACTCCTCAACCTTCGCAGTCCCCTGAACCATCTCTTCTACAAGGAACACCGCTCGCAGACATCACAGCCTCCCTCAATGATCGCCCACGAACGGCAGATAGTCAAGCTTCAGCTGTGAAGCCCATCAGAGCGTTAGATACCGTGTTGGAGAAGCCCATGGATATTGTCCTGAAATCAAGATCCGCGACTGCTCCAGTGGTTGAGGATACTGGACCAAAAGCTCGAATCGTTATTACCTATCTTATTCTTACGAACTTCAAAAGTTACGCTGGCCGCCAGGAAGTCGGTCCTTTCCATGCTTCCTTTTCCTCTGTCGTTGGACCCAACGGTTCTGGAAAATCCAACGTCATTGATTCCCTTCTCTTCGTGTTTGGCTTTAGGGCAAGCAAAATGCGACAAGGAAAGATTTCTGCGCTTATCCATAATTCTGCTGCATTTCCCAACCTTGATTTCTGCGAAGTAGCTGTTCATTTCCAGGAAGTCATGGATCAAGTAGGTCATCCCTGCTTTATAGTCGCTCATGCTGACCATATATTAGCCAAATGGAACACCCCTAATAATACCTCAATCTGATCTTGTTATTTCGCGAAGAGCTTTCAAAAATAATTCAAGCAAGTACTACATGAATGGAAAAGAGTCGAACTTCACCGTGGTCACCACTCTTCTGCGCGACAAGGGTGTGGATCTCGACCACAAGAGATTTTTGATTCTTCAGGGAGAGGTCGAATCTATCGCACAGATGAAACCCAAAGCTGCTAATGAGCATGATGACGGACTTCTTGAATACCTTGAAGATATTATCGGCACTTCAAAGTACAAGACTCCAATTGAAGAATCAGCAACAGAGGTCGAGACTCTGAATGAAGTTTGCGTCGAGAAGAGCGGGCGGGTGCAACATGTGGAAAAGGAGAAGAATGGCTTGGAAGACAAAAAGAACAAGGCCCTCGCTTATATCAAGGACGAAAACGAACTAACGATGAAACAATGTGCACTCTACCAAGTTTACATTAATGACTGCGGTGATAACTTAGCTGTTACGGAAGAGGCAATTGGACAAATGCAAGCTCAACTCGATTCAGAGCTAGAAAAGCACCAGGGAAATGAGGAAGGAATCAAACAGCTCGAAAAACAATACAAAAAGGGCCAGAAAGAGTACGATGCTCTGGACAAAGATACACAAGGCATCTTGAAGGAAATGGCAAAATTTGATCAGGAGCACGTCAAGTTCGAGGAAAAGCGCAAGTTTCTATTGAACAAGCAAAAGAAACTTGAGAAGGGCATTTCAACCGCAGAATCCGCTGCCACGGAAGCTGAATCAACGATCGAGTCGTGCAGTACGGAGATTGAGCAATCGGCAAAAGAGATTGCTACAATGGAAAAGCGCATGATGGCCGAGGAAAAAGAACTGACAATAATCCGAGAAAGCCTCAAAGGTAAGACGCAGGCATTTTCAGACAAGATCGCATCAAAGCAAAAATCCTTGGAGCCTTGGAATGAGAAAATCAATCAGAAACAATCTGCTATTGCGGTTGCAGAGAGCGAACTTGCTATCTTACATGAAAAGGCAAATGCAGGTGCAGTCGCCCTGGAAGAAACCCAAGCCAAGCTCGCCGTTATTGAGGATGGTCGCAAAACAAAAATGGTAGATCTCGAGAAATGCAAGGCCGAACGAAAGGTTTTGGAAAAAGAAGCAGCCAAAGTTCAAAAAGAATTAGATCAGCTTCTGCAAACTGAACCAGAACTTCGCTCGCGGCTATCAGGCGCACGTCAAAAAGCGGACGAAGCTCGTGCAAGCCTTTCTAATACACAGACTCAAGGAAATGTGCTCACGGGTCTAATGCGACTGAAGGAATCGGGTCGTATCGAAGGTTTTCACGGCCGTCTTGGTAATCTAGGTACCATTGACAAGAAGTACGACATCGCTATTTCCACCGCCTGCGGGGCTCTTGACAATTTTGTGACAGACACCGTCGAAGGAGGGCAGCAATGTATCGAATACCTCCGAAAGACGAATCTTGGACGAGGAAATTTCATGTGTCTAGACAAACTTGGGAGCCGTGACCTTTCCGAAATCGAGACACCGGAAAATGTTCCCCGTTTGTTTGATTTAATTACCGCCAAGGACGAGAGGTTTCGTGCCGCCTTTTATTATTCTCTTCAAAATACGCTTGTGGCGAAAGATCTTGCGCAAGCTAATCGAATTGCTTATGGAGCGAAACGTTGGCGAGTAGTAACTTTGGATGGCCAACTCATTGACAAGTCCGGTACCATGTCAGGTGGTGGCAATACTGTCAAGAAGGGTTTGATGTCGTCAAAGCTCGTTGCAGAGGTGTCAAAAGAACAAGTCACAAAGCTGGAAGTCGATCGTGATGATCTGGAAAGAGATTTCCAAGCCTTTCAAGATCGCCAACGCGAGCTTGAGTCACAACTGCGAGCTCTTAATGACGATATCCCACGACTAGATACCAGAATGCAGAAGATTGGCCTTGAGGTAGAGAGTTCTGCCAAAAACCTAGCAGACGCTCAGAGGCGCATTAAAGAGCTGAGCAAGGAACATCAACCGTCACAGACAGACGATAGTCGAGTAGATTCTCTCCAGAAAGATATCAACAAGCTCAACAAAGAGATTGACAACCTTCGAAGTGAGACGTCCAGTGTTGAGGAAGAAATCAAAGCACTGCAAGATAAAATCATGGAGGTTGGTGGCGAGAAACTTCGTGCTCAAAGAGCCAAGGTCGATGCGTTCAAGGAGGAGATTGCAGCACTCAATGAAGCTCTTTCCACCGCCGAAGTCACTAAAGCAAAGGCCGAAAAGCAGAAAAGTAAACATGAGAAGGATCTTTCAAAAGCGTCGAAAGAGCTCGAAACCGCCATTGCAGACCTCGAGTCCTTAGAACAGGATATCAAGAATCAAAGCTCAGACGCGGAAGGGTATCAGAACCGTGTCGACCAGGCTCAAGAATCGCTTCGCGAGAAAAAGCAGGAACTATCCACCGTCAAAGCAGAACTGGACGAAAAGACTTCTGCCCTCAACGAGACCCGTGCGATCGAGATCGAAATGCGCAACAAGCTCGAGGAGAACCAAAAGGTCTTGGCTGAGAACCAGAAGCGACTGCGTTACTGGAATGACAAATTAGACAAACTCGCTCTCCAAAATGTCAGCGACCTTGGCGAGGAAATCACCCCGGAGGAGCTCCCTTCATACACCAAGGATGAGCTTGCAGATATGCGCAAAGATTCTCTGAAAGCTGAGATTGCCGCGCTGGAGGAGAAGACCCAGAATGTCAATGTCGAGCTAGGAGTCCTCGCCGAATATCGAAGACGTGTTGAGGAGCATGCGGCTAGAAATGCCGATCTACAAAGTGCTGTCGGCCAGCGTGACACGGCGAAGAAACGTTGCGACGAGTTGAGACGACTTCGACTTGAAGGCTTCATGGAAGGCTTCAGCACCATCTCTTTACGGTTGAAGGAAATGTATCAAATGATCACAATGGGTGGCAATGCCGAGCTAGAATTAGTTGACTCTCTGGATCCCTTTTCGGAGGGCATTCTTTTTAGTGTTATGCCCCCCAAGAAATCATGGAAGAACATCTCCAATCTGTCCGGTGGCGAAAAGACATTGAGTAGTCTTGCTTTGGTATTTGCTCTACACCACTACAAACCGACTCCACTGTATGTTATGGACGAGATTGACGCTGCCTTGGATTTCAGAAACGTAAGTTTGATTTTGACCTGGCATTCTGACTACTTACTAACGAAGTCAGGTCTCAATTGTGGCAAGTTACATCAAGGAACGAACGAAGAATGCCCAATTTATCGTAATTTCCCTGCGTAATAACATGTTCGAGCTTGCCTCGAGGTTAGTAGGAGTATACAAGGTAAATCATATGACAAAGTCTGTCACGATAGAAAACAAGGACTATATCAACGGTACCGCGTAATGGTTTTGTGTTTGAATTATGTGGAGGTGTTTGGGCTTTTGCATGGAAATTATGATATCTCGGGGGTTTGGTTAAAGGCTGTAATGTATTACGACACTCAATGAATTTATAAAGAAATCCTTTGTAACTCCACTTCTCAAAAATCCTGGTTCCGATTTTGAGGAGAATCGCAGTGGTGGAAAAGCAATCTATTTGTTAGCCAAGCTACGTTTGCGGGCCTGAAAATCCACTACACATGCGGGCGATGGTTGATAAAGTACCGTTCCAATAGATTCTAGCATCAGCATTGAAATTTGCGTTCATTCGTCTACAGCATGGACGATTCCTGTCGTACAATTCTTCCTGATTAGGATGTTCTGTCTAGGGCTTTTCTTGGATCTGTGAAATGCTTGGTGGAAAATGGCTCATTCATGTTATTGGCTCTTTTAAGGCCCATGTGTATGTGAAAACCAACTCGGTTTCAACAATAGCGCAAATAGCATCTCTGCTTGCGATTTGGGAAACTTTGGTTTGGTGGGTGGGACGATTCATTGAGCACGTTCCTCGAGCTGAGAGCTCTTTTCAAGACCCTGGAGAACATCAAACCTACCACAACAGCCAAGTTTGGCACAAAATCCAATTTTTGATTGGATAGGAAATTTGTTGGTTCTAAAACACGACTTGTGCTGCGGTGCATAGAGAGCACCTTCATCGTGCTGGAGTCTGGCCAGATGAAAACGGGATGGTGCTGCAAGGTGGGTGAGATTCATGATAAGAAGAGCAGTATGCAACCAAATGTTGTTTCTTAACCTCGAGTACTACGTGCTTCCATTCTAATTTCTTGTTCAATTTTGCGATGGTTCGCATTTCATTCACTTTTGTTGCGCTGGTGTCACTCATTTGGGGAGCTGCGTCTCAGTCTTCAGCAACCTGCTGGTATCCGGAGTGAGTAAAATTAATTTCATACATAAACGTATCTTGATGGGGAAACTGGAGTTAAACCAGCATGCCCAGGAGAAGACAAAATTTCTCTTTACAACGCTCAACATGCCAACTAGAAAAGTACTGACTGGCTTGCTTCCCAAGTGGCATCACAACAGACCCCAACCACAAACCATGCAACTCGACATTATCAGCATCATCATGTTGTGACCCACTAGACTCGTGTACAACAAGCGGTCTATGTCTAGGTCGTACAGGATTCAACTACAGAGGATCATGTACCGACAAATCATGGAGCTCAGGGAATTGCGCCTCGCTATGTCACAACGGTTCGTCTCGCCCATACTCACACTTAAAACCACTTCCTCTAATGTTATCTCAGAACCATTTGAAAACAAGCCTTACGGCGGCTTCACGCCACTATTTGTATGTGACAAACTTGGTAACTTCCCAAGTCGATTCTGCTGTGGAAGTAATAGAGGGAATTGCTGCACCGTCGCAACTTTCGATTACGGCAGCACCGGAACTTCGTTCAAGACTGGAATGGACCAGATGATCCTTGAGCTTGCCGCGCTGAATAGCTCTTCAGCAGCATCTGTTGCGCCTATGACTGTGACGGTCACCGCAACACTTTCAGCAACTGGCATATCAGCAGCGTCTGCCTCGCAATCCTCAACAGCCGTTTCATCGACGTCAAATCTTGGGACTACAATTGGCTTAGCCATCGGGATTCCGGTTGGCATCTTAGCTCTTGGTCTGCTTGGTTTTTTATTCTACAGACAACGTAGTATCAACAGAAATATCGTCATTCAAGCAGCGGTTAGTGAAGTAAAGTCGTCCGTATATCGACAACCATCGACAACCTCGTATCGGTCCTCGAAGTCTGAGTATTCATCATCGAAAGGGTTCTCGGAGATGCCTCGCCATGAGGTTCCTGGTTGATAAGTTTCCGTGACTGGGATGGTGGAAATGCTTTTCACGGGCGTTGTGTAAGGAAGTTCGATGTGCATGGAATGTACATCTACTGGACATCCAATGAGCACCTCAAATTTATAGGTGGCTTTTGATGATGAACTTCTTGGTGAACTTCTGGAATGTAGTCATTGCATGAAGGGAACGCACATGATTTTTGGTATTTAGTCAACCACAGTAGACATATGTATTAGAATTTCAGACTTCATAGCCTTCAATTAGTGCACCAGTGTTTCGAAAGGCCGACTAGATATCCTCCGAGCATAACAATGTTAAAAATGGTATTCCGACACCTCCCAGAAACGTATAATGAGCCTTGTGAAAAGTGACAATGTCGTGAAATTTTGTCAAATGAGTCCAGTAGACATAGCTTTTGGAAGATGTATCTCTTATCGACCCTAACCAGGCGGTGTAATTATCCCATCAAGTGCGGGAAATACCACCCCAAGAAGCACCTTTGTCAAAAGTCGAAGCTCCTCGAATTCTATAATTGGATTGGGTGCATCCCTCGGTTATGGTATTGTGCTCCACGGGTGTTCCGAATCGCACTTGATGGGATAATTTGAAATTTTGATGTAATTCGGAAGTACTTGCAACGTGCATTTAATGGGCATCAAGTGTATGCACTTCGAAAGTGATCCTCTAGTTTTTCAAAAATTGGATGTGCATTGGATGTATATTCGATGGACGCGGCTCTACCTCTTAAGTTAACAGCACCGATCGTACAACGTATATACATTCCTTCTACATTCAATAAAATGCTGGCAATTCAAGGATAGCAGTAAATCTAAAAGCGCGGTTGTACATTGGATGTACGTTCATTGTAAAAGCGATACACATAAGGTTTAACGTCTTGGTTATACGTTCAATGGACATTCAATGGACACATTCAGTAGGGGCGTTGCAAGTTGACGGGACACCCCTTGAAGTAGAAGAGCGATTTCCTGTTAGACTTCCTATATTTACTGGATATTGTTGAGCCAATATAAATATTGTCTCTTTTAAAATAGGCAAAACATACACATTGAGAAAATTGTTGGAAAGTCGTTTCCTGAATTTATTGTACAAAAAGATGTCTTGTCGGACTTGCAATACATTGAGGACATTAAGCGTACATATCGGCCTCGAGATCGTTGTGAATATCCATTCAATGTACATTTAATGGACACGACCTACTGTATATTCAACTGGTGTGAGTAGTACAATGGATGTATATTAGTTCTACATCCAATGCCTTGCTAGTAGTTCCGGGTATGTTGATCAAATACAAAAACCTGGCTTACACGCTAAATTATGTGAGCTTATGTTTTACAGGCTACCTACTTTCGAGGGACATTCAATGGACATGATGACTCTGTGATAGATCATTCTCCAGGATTTGGGTTTGTTGACTTCATTCACAAATACCACTTCTATCTTCATTTGGAATTACCACATTCATTGCCAAGACGTTTTGCTTACAGTAGCAGGTTTTATTGGCTATATCTGATTGCATTGATAAAAGAGATAAGAATGACATGTACCAAATCGAACTTTGCCTTCCAACTTCCAGATTTCCAGCCCATACATAATTTCGTAAAATAAGGAAACAAGTGAGAGAAAAAAAAATTCTCTGAAAGGTTCCCCGCCATTTTGCAATTTGTTCAGTTCGCGAGTCCAAAATCCATCCACTCTTCCACATTTGCAGGTTTCCCTACAGCAGCAGTCCGAATGGGAAGGTCTCGACTTATTTCACATGTCTCAACACCTTCCTTCTTGAGTCTCTTTGGACTCCCGATATCTGTCCAATCACTCGCCACAGATTCTTCTCTGCCCGGAGTGCTAATTCTACTCCACTCCGTGTCCACACTGAGCTCCCTTTTACAACCCCCGGAGTTTGAGCAAAAATGTTGATGATCGCCTTTCTCCCGCGCAGCAAGTTGTGTTTGTACACTGTCCCGCAGCCAATTGTTCGTCGACGCCCGTGTTTGTTGCTGGGCCTGCGGGGGTTGCATGTTTGGATATCGAGCTGTTGGCACTTCACCGTAATGATTCCCGGCTTGTTTGAACTGCGCTTTAATTTCCTTGATCAGACCGCAGCTGTGATCGAGATCCTTCATCATAGGACAAAGTCCTGCGGGAAGTCCCACGAACTGTTGAGCAAAATCCAATACTGTGTAATTGTGACTTCGCACAACAGACTGGTTGATGCCAATTCCCATGTGGAGTTCGACAAATATCTTGATTAATGGTTGGATACGATCGCGGAGCTCTTCGGCAGACGTATTCTCGTAACGTTCCTCGAATCTTACAATAGTGGCAGTGATTGCCCCAAGACTTTTGTTTAACTCCGGTTCAAAAGTTCGAGACTGCAAACGTTGCGAAAGGGTTTCAAATATTCCAAGGTGCTGCTGATATGAGGCCTCACCACTTCCAGTGCCAACATTGCGCATGATGTTAGGAATCATCGCCTCATTTGATTTCTGGGAGATGGAAGGCGATGCGTGCGATGATTGAAATGCCTGCCCATATTGTAAGTTGTCAAAAATTACATTCTCCCTCAACGCCACGGCAGCTCTGACAGTCAAAAGATCATAAGAGCTGACAAAGTAGTCCTCGGAAGCTGGACGAGACAGTTGACATCCGTCCAGGCCACCGAGCTGATCACTAAACCTTTTCTCGTCTTGAGCCATACGACGTCTCTTATTTTACTGCTCAAGAAGCATCAATTGTATGCTATAATCTTGTAGTGATGGAGTTTGCGAATTTGGTGGCGGGTGATTGACTTGTGTATCCATACTGAGGTTATCCTCATTCCACCTTGATGAAACTCCAAAGTCGGACGCGGCCGTTGTTTCAACTTTGCGCTTCTCATTTTGCTTTTCAAGCAATTCTAATTGCATCTGATAGTCCTGTAAAGCGTGGTTTCCCATCGGCCCGATGCTGTGAAGGGCAGATATCTTTCTTTCCTCATCAACCATGCTAATTTTGGCTCGATATTCTTCGAGTGCCTCGTTGCTGATTGATCTGGGCTGCAATCTTTTGTGGTGCTCGGGCATCGCCAGCTGCAACTGGTAGTCAGCAAGAACATAGGCGCTGGACGGGCGGGAATCTCTAAGAGTGTCATGCGTAGGAGACTGCACAAGTCCATGAGCTGAACACGGTTGATCAATATAGCTTGATGGCGTAGAAGCGTTCTTTTCATCTTCCAACTTAGCGTCGACATTGGCAAACTCTGCATTGCTAGCTTGCCTATGAAGGCCCGTTCCGCAGTTGCCTATATGTGCATTTTGTTCAGCCTCTGCTATGGTTCTCTTTTGAGAGCAAGACTTCCGGTACTGTTCCTGTCTATGAAGATTGATGCGCCTTTTGCATTGGGTTTCCAGGAGAAGTAACTCCCTCTGGAACAGGGGTAAACATGGTTGACGCTCGAGGGTAGCTGCATGGGTATCTTGCTCATTCCTTGCCATCAATAGTCGTTTTTTGTTTTGCTGTTCGAGGAGTTTTAATTGTATCTCATACTCGGTTTGCTGAGCCGGACCTTCTATTATTGTTGCTGATAAATCCTGGTTGTCTCCCTTCGTATCGTTACTGAGAGGTGGCTGTTGATCATTGATTGCTGGTGATACAGATAGGATCTGTCGAGAATGGCTGTTGGAAGCCTGAAGATCAAGCTGGGACTGCGAGTTGTCATTAGATTGACTCATAGTTTGAGGTGAGGATCGGTCCAAATTGGAGACCTCTGTAGCAATAGGTTGACAGTAACTACTTGGGGAACACTCGGGTACGATCACAAGATCACTCCCAATCTTGTCGCCGCCCATATCTTTTGTTTTCAAGTTTTCCTGGCAATTGGCGTTTTGCTATCGGAGACCTCTGGACAATGGCCAAAGTTGAAATGGTAGCTACTGGAGTCTTTCTGTCAAAGAAAGGCGTCAGGCGTTCCAGTATCAGTCGGAAGGTTTGGAGAACTTGAAGACCAAACTTTTTGTGATGCAAATTAAGCTTTGAAAAAAAAAGGAACAGCTTGAAGTCCTTTACAAGATGGTACTGGCCGTGAAAAGAAAAGAAGGAATGTTAAAGAAATGCGAAATAGTTTTCAATATATAACTATTTGCAAACAGTCCAGCAGGCACTGCCAGGCAGGGTAAGGCACAGGGGTAGTGTATCTTCCACGCCCTAATGGACGTATAAGCGAGACAACCCCTGTCTGAATCTGCCGCTGCATCGTCGCCATAGGTAGAATGGGTGTAAGCAACCTATCACGCAGTTGTAAGGGAGGCGACTCACGACCTCTGACTCGCCGGATCGCATGAGAAACATACGGGAAGCGGGGATATGGACAGCCTTGTATGAGAATAAGACTTGATTCGGGCTGGACGACGTCGATTTGACAGGGGTGGGACATGAAGAAACTGCCTGAGGTGTTGGAAATAGCTGGAAAGGCTGTTGTGCGACCATTTGAGAACATGGGGGAGTCGACCACCCATGGTGAGATGAGTTCTTTCGTGGTTCGGTGACCATTTGGAGTGTCGGCTTTGATGTGACGCCTCTGAGACGCTGGCCAGTAAGATGCATACCTGTAAAGCCAGGCGATGTTCGACGGATACCTGGTCAGGTCATTTTGACGGTAATCTGAGAGGCATTATCAAAATGCGGGTGAAATTAGGAAACATATGAGAGCTGTCTCTTATACTCATGGGGATATGCCGGTTGCATGAGAATCCTACCAATGTTCGAACTCCAAGTGGACATGGCGTGCCCCAAATAATAGGCTGCAAATGAGGAACCTAACTTGGGTCTGGAACTAAAAGCGTTACTAAAAGCTCCGTCCTCGTATTGTTGATCCTGATGATATGAATGTGCTGACTGTTGTAACTAGTTACCTATTTCGGTATGTTGTCTGGCGTAAATTCAACGGTTCGCAAAACATTAACATTGGAAGTTATTTGTCCCGGCACGTGATCTAGACAGTAACTGCAACTTGAAAAGCATGACATTCACGGAATATACTTGCTCTGAACTATGCGCTGCTGTCCATCGGCGAACCCCCTATTTTCCTACCGAACCGAGAATCCAAAAAAAGACCCGTTGGAGGCGTGGGCGTGGGCGTGGTTTCGAGATCGCTGGGTGGGTCTCGGTTCGAGCATGGAGGCGGGGTCCTCCCGTGCACCAGACCCCCTTGTCGGATAACCTCAACGCGTCATAAAAATCATAACAAAGATAACTGAAGACGCGTCAACACTGCTACAGGTCTCAGACTTGTAAATTCAGATTGCCGCTCTCATCCTGCTGCAATACGAACATCAGGTTTCTTTTAAGAGTTTGTGTCATTCATCTGGTATAATACACAATCGTCCAGTACCCTTCCGCCCCCATGCCCATAGTCCAGATTCCCACCCAGTCCTCAAAGGACTGTCTAGAAGTCCCCGTTTCGTGCGGAGCGATTAATCTTCGAACAAGATCGCCAGAAGTAGAATCTCAACCATCATCAAAACAATAAAGCAAGGCTAACCCCAAAATTTCATTCCGTAAAGCACAAAACCAGCGTGATTTATCCCCTTCACGTCACGATATACCCAGCCCCAACGCCGTATAAACAACCAAGAAGAAAAGAGAGACATCAAGACTGCGCCTACGCAGCAGCCTTTTTCGGTGTCGCCTTCTTCTTTGGAGCAGCAGCCTTCTTTGCTACTGGGGCGGCCTTGGTCTTGGTGACACGTCCAGACTTTGTCTTGCTAATCACCGCTGGCTTATCAACAACTGCAGGGGCCTAGGAATGTTAGTCGTTGTTACTGGTGACGGTGGTGACAACTTACTTTAGCTGGTGCGGCAGCCTTCTTGGTGGTCTTTGGGGCGGCCTTGGGCTTTGCAGCTGGGGCCTTTGCCTTTGGTGCAGCCTTAGGTTTTGGAGCGGCCTTTGCGGCAGCTTTTGGCTTCACCTCCTTCTTTGCTGCTGGAGCTTTCTTGGTGGCCGCAGCGGCTGGCTTCTTCTCCTTTGGTGCAGCTTTGGGTTTGGCGGCCGCAGGCTTTGGCTCTTTCTTGGCCAACTTGGTTCCACCAGATGCGCCTGTGGAATGTTAATAACAAAAAAAAACAATTCGTGTAGAATTGCGACACGTACCCTTTGGCTGCGCAAAGACACCCTTGGTGACGCCAGACTTCAACGCTCTGTTGAAGAGAGAGTCAAACATGTTATCAGCAGCGTTGATGTTGTTGTTGGCCTTGACATATTTCTTGAGCGCGGACCGGCTGTGGAGAGTCAGTCACCGAACCCCAAGTAAACATACGACGCGTCAAAAATTCTAAAGAATTCCGGCGCGGTAATAAAGCTAATCGTACCTTGATCCATTGCGCTGAGAGAGACGTTAGTATCAAGTCATCGTACTGTGATCGTGGAATCAACTTACTTCTTTGAGGTTGATGATGGCATCGGTGATCATCTCTGCAATAACGCGTCAGCAACCCCATCTCAAAACATGTAATTTACACCAGTAGCTGGGCCAGAGGTAGGCGACTCTGAATATGTACGCGAAAACCCAATGCGACGTGGTGTTGTGGAGATAGAAGCTTGAAATGCTCACCTTGATAACTGGCATGATCGGGTGCGGCGGCCTTAGCCTTTGGTGCTGCAGCCTTTGGTGGCATGTTGATAGAATTGATATTTGTTTTGTTGAGGTAGATAATATGAAGTGGCGACTTGTGTCAATCAAGTAACTGAGATACTATTTATTAGTTGTGGTCGTGGTGATTCGTGAAGAAGTCGAAGTGGGAGGCGGAAGAAGAGGAAATAGTTCTGACGGGGGGAAGAGGGGCTTATGTAGTCGGACGGGCCGTGACTAGCAAACCTGGATCACTGAATGAGATTAAGCGAGGATCTGCTTTGCCTCGAGCTGTTGATTCAAAGTTTGGCGCATTTTGATTGGTTGATATGGACATCAGAATTCAGACACTATGGCATCCCCCTCTGTTGGTCATGCGGCTGCTGCCCCGACACACCATTTCTCCCTTTTCTCTTACACTTTGTCACTCCCACATTTTTGCAAGAGGATTGACGTGGCAGGTTGTGGTTTTCGTATCTTTTATCGACGCTCTTTCTTTTTGTTTATTTGCTTTGCGCGATACGTTTCTTAGAAGTGGCAATATCATCAGCTCAAGACGAGTGCTTGAGTTTCTCGTAAAGCGATTTGACGAGAGATGCTGCAACCGGATGCGCATCCCTTGATGCAGTCTCGCTCGCTTTATCATTGATCTCCTATTCAGATGAAAGAGGTTTGATCACTTCAATTGATTATACTCTCGCTTTGTGTTCAAAGCATCGATGTGGTAAGGGCTGTCTATTCACGCAAGGGCGAAGCGATATCATTCAACTCAGATGATTCATATAGCGCTTTAAGACGACCAACTCTTTGCGGTAAAAGAATCAAGAAGGTAACTGCGTTCAAATATATTGGGCGCGGGTGCGAGCAAAGAGTTTGGGTTCCGTGGCGACCTGTTTACCTCTGTTCGTTGTTGTCTTCATGGGGTTGTTATGAAAGTATGCATATTACAATCAAATGCATGTTTAGAGATGGTTGCGTGTAGATTAGTATACCAAGTGACTCCCCGTGGATTTCTATCAGATGTAGAAGTTGGCCGACACGATGCAAATGCAAAGGGACGCGTCCAGCCGCGAGGTCATGCAGCGGGTACTCTGGTACCTTATCACGTGCCGTCGAATGCCACATCTGCGCTAGGCCCCACTTAGCCCGCTACACACTGGTCAATATTCGAAGAAATTCGTGCAAACCTCAATAACCACGAACCACGACAAATTCGACCACCACCGACAGTCGCCATGAAGTGTAAGTTGAGGACGATTGGCATTGGAATGTGTCGTAGATATGGGCTAATAATTTTCCAACTGTAGTCCTCAAGGTCGGCCGTGTTGCCATCATCACCCGGGGCAGATATGCCGGCAAGAAGGTAAATCAATTCCTCACGTCACCTCCCACGTCGCAAATACGAGAATTAGAGATTCTACGATAGAGAAATTGGACGAGCTCTGGATTCAGTATTGGATTTGTAGAGACAGTGCTGATGGGAACAATCACAGGTTGTGATCATTCAACCACAAGATGCAGGAAATAAGTCGCACCCATACCCTCACGCATTGGTCGCCGGTATCGAGCGTTACCCATCGCAAATCACCCGCCGTATGTCAAAGACCCGTCAAGAGAAAAGAAGCAAGGTCAAGCCATTCATCAAGGTCATCAACTACAACCACTTGATGCCAACAAGATACACACTTGAGTTGGAGGGATTGAAGGGAGCTATTACCGCCGATACATTCAAGGAGGTTTCGCAGCGAGAGGATGCTAAGAAGGTCGTGAAGAAGGCTTTGGAGGAGAGATACACATCAGGAAAGAACAGATGGTTCTTCACCCCTCTTAGTAAGTTGTCTTGGGAGAGGGCGGCCATTTGGACAGAGGCTGATATTTAATTGTAGGATTTTGAACGGTTCTTTTGCGTCACTGGGTCTGGACGGGGTTATTTCATGGCATTGGTCGCATAAAGAGCTGAGATAAACTGCATTTTACCATTTGCGGCACTCGATGTTTCATAAATAATGTGGCTTGGCGTAACGAACATGGAACCTTTTCAAAAGTGAACTATCGAGATTTCGAGAATGTGCAGAGATTGCGATGAATCAATTGAGGAATGCTGCGAAAGCAGCTAAGGTTCGAGTTCAGTAAAATTGCCTGGTCTTTCCCCTAGCGAAGTGCACAGGACATATTCTTGAGGTGTTATGAAATGATGATATCTGAACAAAACCTATGATGTATTTGGAAGGAGTAAAACCGGTCTCACAGCACTATCCTTCTTAATTGAGCTCTCTATGCCATGTCAAAATCCCATTAACCTCCCGACTTTTCCCTAGTTCATTCTGCTGTCGTTTCCTGAAAACCGACTTCTCAAATTTGTTGAGCCGTGATGAACAGCTAGCTCGCCTATCAAGCACTCGAAAGAAGACTGTCAACAACGCCAACGTATTCCCGGTACATCATCGATCACTTCTCACGATATTGAGCTCATTGGGCAGGTAAATTGTTAGATGCCAGAATGGCTCCATCAACCAAAAGTATTTAACTTCCAAGATGTCGAATCCGTTCACAAAGTGACCCAATAATCCGAAAACAACGTCTTGTCCACACGCGGCAGCCTTCCAATTCCATCGAAATTATAATCTCAGTGACCAGGATAGATACTTGTCTCCTTATTGAGGCAACTACAGCTATTTCGAATTTGGGACAACACGCTGTGACCACAAAGCTACGTAAATTAAAATGAGAATGAACACATCGCGTAGTGTGGAAGCACAAGTTTCGGAACATGGCTCGATCTGATCGTCCAGTTGTACGAGAAAGTGGACTTGACTTGCTGGACTGGAGCGGGTTAAGCACGTCTGTCTCTCAAGTTCATCCGGCATTAAGCTCTCAAATCACGCAGATTTAGATGGTACCAAATTGGTGCAGTATAAAATTCTATTCCGTCTATGTTCAAATGTTTCATTCCTAATTTCGTTGTTCTCTATATACCACGAAGCGACGCTCCAACAGCCAGAAGTCTTTCGAAAACGCCAATATCTATATATGCCACAACCTGTTGCAAGATACAATTTACGAACCAATTTTTACATAATTGATGACAAGCTAACATGGCCCGCCCCAGGACCTCCATCGCTTAATTCGTTTCCACTTCGACAAAAAATGGAGCTTCCTGCCCACGCTAGAAGATATGCGAATAAAAAGGAAAGAAGAAAGAAGGGGCGTAGCGATTATGTACTCGAAGCGTAAACCACAAAATGGGCTAAAATAATCCGTGTGCCGCCTGTGGGGAATCGTCGTAGCTTAACTGTCCTGAAGCCTTTGTCATTTATTACAAAGAAGTAATGTTCTTCAAACCATTCGTTCCCCGGATGTCTTGAATGTCGTACCGTGCAGGATCTTCTCAAAAATGTCGTCTCCCTCATAGATTGGCGCCGACTGTGCCCGTTGTACCGTATGATTTCGCTGCGTCGATCAATTTCTTGGTGTCAATGTTTGTTTGAGGTCCGACACCAGCCAAGAGAAGAACGACCAAACTGAAGACAGCCCCGATGACGATAAGTTTGCGGAGAACTGGTCGAGTTGCGCCGAATTCGGCCCATTTCCTTGACCCCTCTTGAATAAATGGCTTCAATTCCTTCTGTCCTAACTTGTAGTATACCATACCAGCAAGGGCAATGCCGTATCCAAACACTTGGAGACCGGAAATCTTGGTGCCCCAGATAAGAATAGACGCAATAACGAGAAGGATATCCTTGAGGACACCGCAAAGGGTGAGGACGAGACCTGAGGTCTTGCCAATCTAAACAAGGGTTAGCACGAAGTTGCGACAGAGGTTCTGTGAACTTACCAAGAACACCACAGATACATTCAGGAGGAACGCGCAGCATGCATTTGCGAAGAAGGTTCCCAGGCCTACGGCGTACACTTCAGCCATTGAGACCTTTGGTACTTCCCAGAAAAGAGCTACTGTCAAGTTCATGAATGCGCAAACTGGGGCAAAGTAGTATAGAGATACTAGAGGGTCCATCTTGAATTCCGATCCGTTTAACAAGCGTTGAACCAAGCAAATTCTGACAGCCTCGAAAGCGATTCCTCCCATCTGGTAAAGGAAACCAATCAAGACGAAGTCGATTTCACCGAACGAAGCCAAAACAACACCAATGACGATGAATGACACGTTCCCGAGTTTCTTGAGGTCGGGCTTTTCCAATCCGAGACACCATCCAGCAACGAGAACTGCAACAGGTGTAGTAGCCTAAAATTGAGAGTCAACATCTACCCTCATTGTCACCCACAATTGCCACGTACCTTGAGCATTTGAATGAATGAAACACTCAGGTACAAGTATGTTAAGTTTCCGCAGATCAAACTCAAGCTGAAGAATACACCAATTGGTACAATGGCTCTGAGATACACTCGCCCCGTCATTTTGACTGTTTTGCGCCCGTCAAGAAGAGTTGTGGTTCTCGCCATGATCTGCGTCATGACCGTCGCGAAGACAAGATGCCATGCTGTGAGGAGGATTGGGTATTCTGCAGCAGGAAATTAGTGGCGACTTTGGGGTTTCGCAGGAAGGTCGACGTACTGAAGCCAAGTGTAGACAGAATCCATTTGTTGAACAAAATGACACTAGAGCTGAGTGAAATCCAGACACTAGAAAGGAAAATCAGCAGAGCCCAACCCCGTCCGTTGTGCGACTTGTAACTACCTACATGACATAAAAAGCAGGATGAATTCCGTTAGACGCAGGTTCTGCAAGTTTTTCGATGGCTGGATTGACCGTTGGAAGGACTGGCGCATCGGTTCCCCGAGGCGAATCCCCTGAGATACGCGCTTTTTCTTCGCCCATGATGGTTATCGTGGTAGGATCTTGGTAGGTCTATATACTCGTCTCGCAGATTGAATCCGCGGTCGCAAAGGAGATATTGCGACAATCGTTGAGGAGGCGCTAGAACGACAGAAAATTACACGGCTGTGGTGGGTATCGTCAGGCAGAAGATTCTGCAGAAAAGAGAGAATGAGAAAGATGGTTGGGGAGTTGGATGAGGAATAACCTCTAATGAGATTTAGGGGAATGGTGGCTCACAGGGGTCTGCCAAGCCCTGTCCTGTTACTTGGAGAGCCGCTTTTGTTTTGGTCCACTATCTCGATATGGATATCACTATCACGTATGCAATTAAAAGTGCGGCATATTCGTACAAAGTAATACCAAATCTCTGTGATAATTATACCTTTCGCATAAAGAAACCTCATTGGCGTTAGCAGTGATAGCAGGGTTTCATTTGGCAATTACACCACAGAAATGAGTTATCGGTTAGGCTAAATACTGCCGCTTTACACGGTAGTCCGTATTAGGTTATCCCCTTCTCGGTGGTAAAAATAGTCGTCTTCACACGATTTGCGTTGATCGTGGATAGGGAACAACTCCTTCATCAGCTTCGTAATACGAGAGCTCCGTCGTCTCTATTACACCAGGCTCAGTCTTGCGCGACTCTCGAGTCTCGTGTCACTGTGAGACATGGCACCCTCAACTCATTAATCAGCATCGAGCATCAATCTAGTACCGACTAGACGAACACAATTGACGCTCGCTTCACGCTCCTCTGTCCGCTTTGGAGACCAGAACACGTTTTGAATCTCGTCAAATACATATGGCGAGACCACACAAATGAAGATAGCAAACGGGGGTCTCGCTTCTCAGGTCATAATCTGCTCATCTACGTGGTGGGTTCTCGACGCGCAATAACGCAAGGTGTCAATTGAAAGTAGTTGGGTGACGTAAGTCCTAGTTGGTAAATGCAACAGATTACTGTGTTGCCTTGTGCTTCGTCTCTCTTTATGTCACTGAAATACACTTCCCAGTACTGACCATTTCCTGACGCCTGGTTCCTACAAGTACTATGACAGCACAAAAGAGTCTTGGACCATTCTAGGGATTACCGTGGTCTCAGATACGCTTTTACGAAGTAAGAGGACAACATCTTAGGCTTGCTTTGGGCCAGTCTACTTGAAGTCCGTGGTAATCCAAAGAGCCAGCCTTATGTGATTTAAACACAGACTACGAGATTACCTGGGTAGCTTTGAAGATTGTTAGCCATTGGCCTTTCTCCCTCGCTGTTATGATTACTGATTACCATCAACCGTAGATGAGGGGGGATTGTATGACTTTAATCAACATCCTTAATAAGCATTTATACTTCGTATCCCTAGGTCCATTTTGTCTTTCATTCAAGCATTGTTCCCTCGTCTCTGGAAAACGGGTTGCAGCTCATATCTGGAGTTCGAAATTACAGATACGAGTGGTCTTGAGTCTCTCAATCCCAGATGCCACATTAATTGATTGATAACGGTTGATGGGATATCTCCAGCTCCCTAGGCAGTCGGGTGATTGAAATGGGAGTTACATTTTGGTTCGATAAAGATATGTTTATTAGGGGGTTTTCAGTACTGAAATGATAGTGGAATGATTCGGGTAAGGCACGCAGAGTTCCAGCAACATAGCCAGCCATGTTGAAAAGTAACACGATAACGGTAATCTGTAATGTGTCGGACGAAGAGAATAAATATCCGACACTTCGACCTAACTCTATTTCAGATCAACATCTGGACCTCTAAGCCGAAAGATGACTTTGACTTAGCCCAAATTGAAGAATAACTCTTTTACTAACTATCAGCTTCTTATTCTGAGCTTTTGTTTGTAATGTCAGGTCAGTTGGTCGTTGCTAGTAAACCATGGACTGGTGAGTCTGTAAACTCCCTGCACAGAAAATGCACTGCTAATATGCGGTTCACGAATCATGGGAAATCAAAACAATATGCAAGAGCAAACACTCTTGGACTGTCGCAACATGAAGTCGAGTCCAGCTCTACGATAACCCCGCTTCTTGCTCGAGTTTCCAACGATAAGGTGGGTAAGCTCCGGTTGCCGCTACCACGTCACGCTAACATATGATAGGTCCACGCGACCGAAGTAAACAAGACCGGGGTAAACAACATATCGTGACGTTCAACCTCGAAGCTTTATACTCAACATTGCAATCGCAAGTCCTCAATCTCGGCTGCTCGCTTTTTCAATCACGGCTAGCACTGGCCTGGTCTGGTTCTTACACAATTCATCAGAGAAATTGCTAGCTTTGTGAGCTGACCTCATGGTCTGAGGCGCTCCTACTTGCAGCAAAATCAACATACCAGTCCGCATTCCACATTCCACAATACCCTAATTCCACCACAATTATGCCTTCAACCGAGAGAAATAGCTCGCGGGATAGCGAAAGATATCTAAAACACCATCATTCTGCATCGTTGGACACCAGTCGAGCCATTGTTCCTATGTAAGTTCCAACGACAACCTCTATCTAACTCTGCTAACCACAATTGCAGGTGGGATAGCTCTGACCCTGAACGAGCACCTCCTCCTCTTCCTATGAACCCTTCTTCGCCAAGCTTAGCTTCACGACCGAATACCTCTACTGCAATCAAGAACGCTCATGCAGCCCTCACCGAAAAGGCACGGGAAAGCGCTTATATTACAAATCCTCCACCCAAACGTCTCGAGGGATCTCCAGAACGCTCTCTGATTAGGGGAGCGGCGCATAAACGTATGCAATCATTACACGCTGGCACTAATGTTAGAGATCTGAGCAGTTTCCTAGAGGGAGGATCGACGTATGGATCATCCCCCATATCACCAGAAAAGCACACACGACCCTCGACACCACTCGGAACTAAGGATTATTTCACAGAAGGACCGCTGTCGCTAGAGAGATCACCAGAAAAGTCGCCGGAGAAGTCGCCAGAGAAGGAGAGTGGTAGATCAACGACGCCAACGCCAGGTCGAGAGACACCGACTAGAGAGAACCTCGCGGTTCGTCCGTCGTTGCGGAGGCCTCCTCAAAGTATATTAGGCGAGAACACTCCACCTCAATCCGCGACTATGCTTGCCCTACAGAGTATGGCTAGCAAGGACGCAGATTCGGTTCTCACAAACGTTACGAATGGATCTACGGCGCTGGTTCGCACTCCACAAACTTTTGACGCGATCTCGAATCAGATTCTTAGCCTCACCAGTATCGCCACAAGCTTGCAAAGGGAAATGGCTCAGCTCAGTCGGCGCAGCAAAGATAACGCGACTGACTTGGTTAGTTTGAAAGAAGCTACCAACGCCAGGGATGAAGATATCCGAAAAAGTCTCCGTGAACTTGTCAGCAATCTCTCAGAATCAGGCTCAAGGACTTCTGGTTTGATGTATCCAAATGGGGGTCTGTATTTAGACTCTAAAGCATATAACTCACCAGGTTCCAAATACATCAAACCGATATCTTTGCCACGGATTCCAAGCCCCAACAGCTTTGCGGCGTCCTTGGATCGGGAATCCATCGCTAGTCCTTGCCCATTCGGACCAGATGGAGCTGCAAGTATTGCCCTCTTAGAAAAGATACTCCGCGAGATGGGAACCAAAGACGGTCAAGATAATCTAGTATCCAGGTTGACTGAGGTCGGAGATAGAATGTCAAAAGACGGCATGTTGACAGCGAAAAAGCTTGACGAGGTTCTACAGTTTGTAAAGCGCAAAACGCCCCAGGCAGTGATCCAACAGAATTTGGGAGTAACTGGAGGGGTTAGACCGCGGAATTTTAGCTTTGATGAACCGCCTACCTTAGAGCTAGACTTCGATCAACCACGGTCTGGACCAATGACATCTAGAGTGGAAGCACTTCTCTCACAGAGTGGAAACAAGGAGAATCTACGAGGACCGAACACACAACGAGCTTCTGATATCGTCAACGAGGATCTCATGAAAGTCATTCGAACAATTAAAGATAGCATTGCTCAGGGAGGTGGTCTTACCGCAGAAGTAAAAGCCCTGGTTCGTGAGCTCCGAGGTGAGGTTTTGGGAATGGGTCGTGAGATTGGAAGAAAATTAGAGCAATCGAGCAAACTTGATACGACAGCGCAGGATGTTGTGGCGGACAAAGAGCAAATCGCTCGTGTGGTCCAAGACGGTCTCGACGAACTGAAGGATCACCTGGAACATATAATGCGAGAAAACCGTCGACAATCGGATTCTTCAATGGTAACGCGAAACGCTGTTGACTACCAAGAAATTTACAACGCCATGCGAGCTGCCATGAATGAAAACCCACGAGAGTCGCGACCTCCGGATTTTGGCAAGGATGAAATAATCGAGGCCGTTCGAGAAGCCTGGGAAAATTATAAGCCAGATATTGAACTACAGCATTTTGGACTTGAACGAGACGAACTACTGGCATGTTTGAAGGAAGGAATGCAGGAATACGCTACCCAGGATACCTCCCGTGAGATCCCAGGTGCTACGCGAGAAGAAGTGTTCACCGCTGTCGTTGAAGGCCTAAAGCATTTCTCACCTCCGCGGGTCGAAACAGAAGCAAGCTTATCCCGCGAGGAAATCCTTGATGCTGTTAGGGAGTGCCTTGAAGAATTCGAATTTCCGGCTGCACCTGCACCAGCGCCAAGAGATCTTGAAAGCACACGGGAAGACATGCTGGACGCTGTCAAGGAAGGCCTTCAAACTTTCGATTTCACGACAACTACAGGCGTACTCGGACGTGATGTTACTGATGGACTCACCCGCGAGGACATGATAGAAGCTGTTAAAGAAGGTCTGCACACTTTTGACTTTTCCTCAACCACCACGACAGTGGTCCAGAATCCTCCACCAGGTGTGAGTCGAGAAGACATCTTGGATGCTGCCACGGAGGCTCTTCATACCTTCGACTTCCCCGCCAGCGCCGCTGCATCTCGTGACATTGATGCAGGAGTTACTAGAGACGAAGTTTTGGATGCTGTGAAGGAAGGATTGCATAGTTTTGATTTTGCACAAAATACACCGAGCCGTGACGACATCTTAGACGCCGTGCGAGAAGGTCTTGATACTTTCGAGTTCCCTGCCAAGACATCCACCCGCGAAGATGTTTTAGATGCTGTCAAAGAAGGCCTCTTGATCTTCGACTTCCCAACCAATGAATCTAACATCGGCCGACAAGAAATTCTTGACGCTATCAAGGAAGGCCTTAACACTTCTGACTTCGGAACTAACTCGATGGCACTGAGTCGAAACGTCGTCACCGAGTCTTTGAACCGCGAAGATGTGTACGATGCAGTCAAAGCTGGTCTGCGAGAAGTGCCACTCAACATCGATCCATTTGGAACGCAGGTATTGGAACGCTTACAAGAAGTCCTGGAGTCTATGCAGACCGAATTCAAAGCAGTTTCTGACGAAGCGAAGCAAAATGTGTCGGCCCACGGCCGTGACACAGAACAAGTCCTTGATGCAACCAAAGACGGATTTGAGAAACTACGAACCGATATTGAGTCGTATGTAGACCGAGGCGCTGACGTAACAGGCAAAGAGGAGATTTTGGACAGTATCAGTGAAAATTTTAACTCTCTTCGCACCGACTTTCAAGCACTGCTGGTACAGAAGTCCGACACATCCATGGAAGCTATTCAAGGCGAACTGGAGCACCTTCGTGAGACGATGGCTTCTTCGTTAGTCCGTGGAGGAAGCAACATTGATAGAGACGAAATTTTAGATGCTCTCCGCGACGGACTAGAAGGCCTACGAGCAGACATGGATAGACCCCGTGACACTAGCAACGAAAGTGTACTTTCTAGCACTAGTGAGATTCTGGATGCCCTTCACGATGGACTCAGCGGCTTGCGTGCAGAAGTCGAAAAGGTCCACAATAAGCCCGTTGATATGACTGTCAATTACGAGATCTTGGATACTCTAAAGGCTGGTCTGGAAGGTGTACGAGGCGATATTGATCGACTTCGCGAAAGTGGATTCGGTGATAATGCCGTAGCTGAAGTAAACAATCACGCTCTCATCGCCTCAGAGGGAGGACTTAAGCGAGATGACATTGAAAACTTAGAGGTGCTGATCACGCAGCTGCGAATCAAGGTCGAAGCTCTGGAGTCAATGCCGCCCGCCCCTGCTGAACCCGCCGCAGGCTCGCTCTCTAAAGAGGATCTTACCAACCTAGAAGAAAAGTTGGCCGGTCTACAGGAGTCAGTCTTAGAATTGATGAACCGCGAGCCAATGCAAGACGAGACGACCATGAAGCGAGACGATATGGAAGCAATCGAAACTCTTCTTCGGAATACCAAAGCCAAAATTGATGACATAGATCCTGAGCAAACGGTCAAAAAGGAACATCTTGACGCGGTTGAGGTACTTCTTTTCGAGACCAAAGAAAGCATTGGCGAGTTGAAGATTCACTTAGAAGATGTCACCAAGCAGGATGATATCAGCATGGTGGAGGGCTTGCTGCGCGGTGTTGTTGAAGGACTCGATGAAATGAAAGAAAAACTGGCTGCCGATGTAGATGATTTAGAAAAGATCACCAAAACGGATATAGACGCTGTCGAAGCAGTCTGTCTCGATGTTAAGGCTGCAATCGAAGAAAGACTTCTGCCTGATGTAGGCGATCTCGCATCCAAAGGCGATCTAAAACTTCTTGGGGATATGATTAAGGAGTTCAACGGTCGCATAGAAACTCACGCAGACTCGAACGCAAAGTCATTCGAGGAAAGACAGGCGGAGACCGTTGGAGTTGGAGAGCGTGTCTCGGAAGTCAAAGCCTTCTTGGAAGAATTCAGAGAAGCTATCAAAGAAAAGATGGATGAGGATGCGAATAGTGTCGAGACACTAGGAAAGTTCCTCGAAAGTCTTGGAGAAACAATAGGTCAAAACGCAAATGTCACTGAAGATGTGAAGGATCTCTGCGAAATGGTCAAGACTGAGTTCGAGAAATCTAATGCCGGCGTTGTTGGCTCCAAACTTGAAGCGGATGAAAAGTTTCAGTTGACTTGGGATAAATTCGACACCAAGCTGGAAGAAAAGTTTACCGAATTGATCGCCAAATACGAAAACGCAGAGCTTGCGGCAGACGCTAAAGCAAAGGCGGGTGATGAGAAGAACGCTGAAATCCAGGCTGCCATGCTTGGTACCAAGGCAGTTGCAGATGATCTCAAGCTGTTAGTTGACACTTTGGGCGTTACTTTGACAGACTCCGTTGAGAAAATGGATGAAGCTTCCAAGACCGTATTCGGGAGAGTCGAGGATACGTTCACAAGGATCGAAGAGACACACGCAGACGCTAAGGCTGAGCATCAACTCACCAGAGAGCAGGTGTTCAAGTCGATCGGTGCCATTGAAGGTGTTCAAGGCCATGTCACAGAATACCACCCGAAGATTCTCGATTCCATCAAAGATGTTCTCCTCATTGTCGGTGAACATTATGAACATTCCAAGACATCTGCGTCGACCCTTCAGGAGAAGATTGCAGAAATCCCTCCACCGCCTCCTCCCTTCGAAATGCCACTTTTACCGCCGCCTGTCGAAAAGTATGACGATACACCAGTACACGAGAAACTTGACAAACTGGTTGATCATATGCATGTCGCTGGGAAATCATTTGCTCAATTGGAGATGCTCGACAAGATCCACCAGCAAGTCATGCAAACAGCTGCCGAAGTTTCTGAGTTTGTTTCGGTTCAGACTCAACGTATCGCCAATGATCACGAAGATAAGGAGAAGGCCGTCGAGGCTGCAACCATTGCTCTTGAAAAACAGCTTGCGCAAAAGGAGCAGGTCGAGGCTTCCGTCGTTGACCTCCGCGAAGAACAGAAACAATTGAAAGAAACCGTCGGTATTCTCAAGACAGAACAAAGCAATCTGGCTCACGAGAAGATGCGATTGTCTGCGGACGTGTCTAGCCTTGAGACAGCTTTAAAAATTCGGCGCGAGGAACTTCACGCCATGGAGGCACGCGCAGAGGCTCTGGAACGCCGCATCTTGGAGGGTGTAATTGACCATTCTCGTGCTCTCTTGCTCACAAAAAGTAATAAGGGTAGAGATTCGATGAGTCGGAAGCGCGTGCCCAGCCACGCTACTTCAACGACTGGATCAATGGCATCCACTGGAACTCGCGCTAGTTCCAGGTCCTCGTACGCGAGTAACACAACTCAGAGCGCTCTAAGCATGGCCATGCAGGGAAACCGTGCTCTGGCAACTGTACCGATCAAAAACCCAGCTGGTGGTGCTCGTCGTATACTTTCTCTCAATCAAATGTCGCACAACGTTCCAACCGGTGGCATCCAGCGAAGCCATAGCGTGAAACAGCCAGGAGGCTCCGGAGCTCTACGAAAATCAAGTTGGGGTGGCACTCTCAGTCAGAAGTATGGAGATCTCAACAAAGAGAATTTGGCTTTGAAAGAGAGCGAGGAGGACGATGTCAGCGAAAGCGAGCACCAAAGTGATGTTGAATGCGATCGGAGGACTAGTCAAGGCACAACAATCTTGACAAGCACAGGTACCGGAATCAGCGAAAGTGTCATCGATGAAGGAACAGAATGGACAGGTAGCATAGATGGTGATACGGAGAGCCATGTCACAGATGAGACGGCTTCAGAAGACCCCGCTCAAGTGATATTATATGATGAAGCTGCTGTCGTTGCTTGACAGGTGGTACTGGAATAAATAATATTGGAATTCTTGTTATTGTTTTGTGGTAGGGAGCTTAGGCGTAGCATGGATTGTTCGAGGCTGGATTTGATATGGGGTCTGCGGACCATGACTTTACATGAAATAGCGTTTTAGCGAGGTTGACTGTTATATTTTTAGTGTCATTACGCTTACCTGTATGGAGGTAATTTCAGTACATTTTTGCTCTTGGTACATGATTCTCAAAATGCTAGGAAATCTAGCACTTCAATGCAGTATTTTACCAGTCGTTTCTAGACCCATATTTCGATCACGTGCCAAGCTTAATTTATCTTGCGAGTTGAGCACCTCGTCAACTTTTTGACCATAACAACACTCAGTCGCCGTACAGAGCGTGCCTGGTAAGATCTGGGCCATTGACTATTATTCCTATGTACTAACAGTCTGTATAGAATGTATCATGGCAGCCATGCTCGTCAAACCTCAACAACTGCGGTCGATACCCTCTTTCCTCCTCCCCTTCGCGCATTCACAAGGCCAAGCAAGATGCTTCCATCAACAGGTTAAAGCTGCGTCAATACCACCTCCGACTCCCTTCGTTCCGGATACACAAACGTTCCTCACGCTAATTGGCCGCAACTTAAGCCAGCACGCGTCCAAAATTGATTCATGGAGAGCGCTCTTCACCCTCAGCTCTGCAGAACTCAAGGAACTCGGCGTTGACCCTCCACGCAGTCGGCGATATCTGTTGCGGTGGCGCGAAAAATTCAGGAAAGGACAATTCGGGGTTGGCGGAGATATTCAACATGTGAAGGATGGAAAGGCAGAGCTTCGTGTGATTGAGGTTCCAGCACCGAACCGACGAAAGGGTCTGGCCACTTTAACACCCGGAACGAAGAAAATCATCATCAATGTTGTTCCAGGAACCAGCGAGACTATTGTGCCGGAACAGCATGTGCCAGTGAAGGGATACAGCATTAAGGGCGCTCATACTATTGTTGGACCACATGTTTTACCGATGAAGGGGGGACGGTCAGTTAAGATTGAAGTGAAGGAGGGCTTATGGGAGGAGAGAAGGGGACATAAGATTGATGGTGGAGAGAGGAGACAGGCTGAGGTGCGCGCGAAGAGGAGAGGAGAGGAGAAGCGCGCGAGGTAGATTATGGGGACTTGTAAATGTAGGAATATTTTGGAGCAACCTAATGGCCCATTGTAAGAAAATCAATTTGATACTGGAGAAAAGGGTTTTCTACGATGGATGCCGTCTTTTTTTGTGATGTTTGAAAAGAAAGTCAGAAATGCTGTGAGTCGGATTTGAAAGCCAAATTAAGGGAGCTCATAAAAGTCAATCGGTCTTTTTTCCTCACACAATTGTAGACCCATCGCATGAAGTCATCAACACGGAAGATCAGACCAGTTTCCTGAGCTCGTGAGCTTGTAGAGTATGACAATTAGATTGACTGGATTAATTTTCGAGCTACCTAACTTGACTTCTGCATTATGGCCATTGAGAGTGTGATTTCCAAGCACAAACGCAAAGTCCATGAACAACCTTTTCTTCTTTTAAAGGAACAGGCAAATAAAAGAACGAATACATTTCAAAAGTAGGTACTTGGAAGTCCATCGCACCGATCGGGTAGTAAACTAAGTTCTCGATCACAAGTCAGTGCTCTCCCCAGAAGCTAAACAGGTTTCTTGGCTTTGTTTCGAACGCGTTTCTCCATCCCCACCAGCAAACACCAGTGCTGAACACATATCCTTAGAAGCTATCATTGGTCAATCAATCTATCCGAGTCAATCACCTATTCCTATTCCAACATGCCATTGGTTGATCGTTTCGGGTACTGAGTCTTCCCGAATAAGCTACACTTTCATACTCTGTGTAGTAAGAGGGTCAGACATAGCCTCACGTTCATGAGAAGATGAGATGAATAGGTATGCTCCACACGTAGGAGAATTGTTTTGGCAAAATCTCTTCTTTTTGTTCTGATTTTTGAAATAATGTGTTTGGCTGGTTCATCTACTCTTCATTTCGTCTTTTCCTTTCTCTATTATTAGTTCTTAGCCACGGGTATGGCTTTCTTGGCTCGTTTATCTGGTGCTCTTGTTGTATTGACTGTTTTTCAATGTTTATGTGGTGCAGTGAGCGCTGAGGGGGTGGTTGGATATGAGAGAAGGCAGATGAGAGAGAGGAGTGTGGGTGCTGGGAGTGTAAGTCAATATCATGATCTGGTTCGGGCTATTCTAATGCCAACAGAAGAGAGCAACAAATACTCTAGCTACTCGGGACGCAAACAACACCGCTCTTCAATTCGGGTCAGGTGTAACTCGAGCGGCCAATGTCACAGGAGGGCCTGAAGTTCAAGAAGTAGACTTTGTAGACGGCTTGGAATTCTGTCTACAATCGAACCAAGCCATGACTTTCAACGTCGAAATCGATAATGGCATCAACCCGGGGACCTTGCCAGACAATACCACGGCTTTGAATTCCTTCTCTTGGGTAGTCACTTCCAGCGCGCCCTTGACGCAAGTAAATGCGCAGATGTTTGTCCCATGTAGGTTCCGCTCTCACTTCTACTTCACATAGAAACTAACCCCCCTTAGTCAACAGGACGAAACTTGTCGCCATGCATCCAAATGGATCGTCCCCTTCCACAATGCTCATGGTTTACAAACGCCCTTTGAATGCCACGTCCGGCGGGTTCCTTCCTGTCAACGCCAATCAACAAATCGTGCGCGAATTGCCTGAAGATCGGATTATGGTACCGTTAACGCAAATGGACGGACGGTATACAGTACTGGTGACTCAAGCAAGACCAGTAGGAGGGAGTAAGTCTTTCTACAATTCACAAGGCCGAAACAGTGCTGACCAAGGGACAAATAGCCGGGGCATTAAAGTTGAGTCCAATCCAAATACTCGCTAGTCGCAAGGCCGGTCGTAGTCTGGCTTGAAAAGGGTGTGTGAACAGGAGGAGAGGAGGATTCAGCGGGCCGTATTTGAGGGACATGTCCATAACGTATTAATGCGGCGTATGTGGAGTTCTGCTTGTGATAATACCTTCTCGACAGTTCGTCTTGAGCACTTGTTGTGTATCATCCTGTTAGAGTGGTCCATTTTGAGTGATTTGAATATAAAATGCTTTCATCCGACTAGTGCCCATTTGAACTTGCCGGTTGATAATAATGCTTCGATGTTAAGACAGTTCAGCCCACATCTTCGATATTGGGTCTGACTGTAGGTGTATTGCCGAAACTTTCCAATCCTCTATCAACTTCCATTTTGGTAGTACCATCCCTTTTCGCCGCCTCAACTAATGCAGAGGGATCCGCGACGGCGCCATTGGAGTCAGCTTTTAACGCTGCAAACCGTTCACCAGACTGTTTTAACAATTCTTGAACCTCTGCCTCTCTCGCTAGTATTTCTGTTTTCTCCTTTTCCAACCTCGCTACTTTTTGGTGCTTGTTGGCCAGCTCCTGCTGCATAGCACTTAAAGTTGATTGTAACCGTACGAGACATTCCGTTAAGACAGGAAGCGGCGTGATTTTTGGAGGGACCTGAGCAGCAGCAGCTTTCTCTTCTTCGTCCGGTCTATGTAGTCCATCCATTCCCGCCCTGGTCTGAGCAGCTTCGTACGCTGCGTTACGCTCTTCCTCGGAGTCATCCGAATCCCCCTCTTCACTACCTTCTGCTTTGTATATCATATCTGCAATCTCCTTCCGATGTTTACGTCGAGCCTCGCGCTCCTGCTTCTTACCTAATGCTATTCGACCATCATCGACAAACTCGTCAAACCCTTCCGCAATATCCTCATCGTCCCTCACCAAGCGGGTTTCAGTCTTCTTTCGGGGCAGCAGCGAGAGTTGCCGCCGATCATCGCCAGAATCATTAAGTGATATGAAGTCCTTCTCATGTGCCAAGCGTGCCCTCCTTTCTTTCTTCTCGCGGATTTCCGCATCTGTGGGTATATGTGCCACAGGTGCATCTAAATCTATGACCGTAGCCCCTTCTAGTTCTGAGGCATCTAGACCTTCTTCGTCTTCGGCTGTTGCCTGGTAATCCTGTATTTCCGTCGGTCTATTGGGGGTAGAACTTTTCAATTCATTGAGATAATCCTTGCTATAAGTCGGGCGCTCTTCGTCGTCGTCTCCAGGTCTGTTCGGAAAAGGTATTGTTGTTCGTAAAGCGTTCCCTTCCACAACTCGGCGGCCCAGTGTAGGCTTTTTGGGGGTGAAAGCCTCATCGTCCTCTAACGCTGCCGCGGCATCTCCTGAGATGATTTCACCTGGTCCGAAGGATAGTCTTGAAGTAGCTTTCTTTTTCTTCTTCATGAGCGAGTTTGATCGACCAATTGTAGGTTTGTTGGGGTTCTGAGCGCCCTCATTCCCACTCCCGCGAGTTTGCTCGTCTGCATGTTCTAAATCATCAAATGCGATACTCTGTCGCAACCCCGATTTCTTGAATCCTTTCCGGCTAAGATTTACAACAATAGGGGTTGAAGATACTAGGAGTCCATTGTCAGCCAGCTGGTTGTTAAAATCAGCTTGATTCGAGCTACAGCTTTTGCATGCTTACCAGACTCGTCCTGTACAGACTCCGAGTTCTTTGCGCCTTGGTCCTCTTCGTCGTCCTCCACCTGTATCTTCCGGGCTTTTCTTTTACTGCCAAATGCTGACTTCATCTTATCCCGGTATTCAACTCAGATAGTTGCAGACGGAGCGCACAAGCTCTGCATACTCTCTGTGCAGTGGTCTGCGTTCTGGAATATTGGTTGACGCGATCCTCTACCTGCACGTGATCATCAAACTAGCGTGGGTCTCTTGAATTCAGTGAACTTTCGAGGACGACAACAAGAATATTATCCCCGCGCATCTTCAACCCTTCAAGATGCCTCAAGCTCAGCCAGAGCTCAAGAAAGTACGTATACGTAATGTCACTTTTCTTTGAGACATCAGGCCGTCTTGCATCGCAAATTGCGCAGCTTTGCCTTTAACAGCGTCTGTTTGCGCGACTGCACGCCTGAATTAAGTGGAAGAAGCACAACTAACACCTTCTTAGTACCTCGACAAAAGGCTCTTCGTGCAGCTAAACGGAAGCCGAAAGGTTATTGGTGTCCTCAGAGGTTACGATGTGCGTAGACTTATGCTCAGCAACGAGACACATGCTAATGAGAATCACAGGTTTTCCTAAATATTGTTCTGGACGATGCAGTTGAGGAAAAAGACGGCGGAGAGAAGGTCAGATTGGGCATGGTTGTAAGTGCTATAGAATATACTCAGATTGGGTCTCAGACTGACACCTATTTAGGTCATTCGCGGGAACTCAGTTGTCATGCTCGAGGCTCTGGAAAGAATAGGCGGTGGAAGAGAGCAGAGAGGAGGAGATTAGACGATTATACCTTACGAATTTCACCTATCCCGTACGACTTCGAGTCGAAGGAATGTGCGAAGACAAAAGTCATGTTAGGCAGGCGGGCGGTTTGGCGTTAATTCGGGACACAATGAAACGTTATATCATGAACGGAAAAGCACTTAAAAAGGTTCATGAGATACACATGATCCGGGATCGAGAATATCAGCGAAATCGCGCTCAAGATTGCTATGCGCTAGAAATTTTCTGGATTTATAGCTCATTCTGGAATCGCCATTATGTTGTAGACCCTGCAATTTTCGAAAGCACCGCAATGAGAGGCCAAGCTGAGCACCTATTCATATATCCAAAGCCTTCGATCTTGGAAGCGACGACGTTGAACAGATAATACAGGTCCCTTTACTTGCTCTCGACCTTTGCTTGGTCCTTGAATTGCTTCCAGTAGTCCTCCTGAAACCCATCCATCATGCTCCCTTCATACTCCTTCACCCAGCCTTTGATACCGCCCTTCAAGATCTTTACTTTCAGAGCGCTTCTGCGTCCAAACTTGGAGACATCGTTGATATAATCTTGCATCCAGTTGGCACATCTTGGACCGCGTCCGCTACTGGCTCCTGCATGACAAGTTGCTATTTGATACCGAGTAAGGGGAAGGAATTTGCAGAGAAGGTTCTTCACTCACCACAATAGAAAATAACTGTCTTGATCTCGGCGCGATCACATAGGTCTACAAGTGTTTTGCGACTCTGATAAAAACTCTGTGCTGGCAGATTGATTGATGTCCTGATAGTTCCGCCCTGTGTACCCCTCGTCAATGACTGATATCTCACCCCACCATGTGCAACATCCTTCCTCTCTTCATCGAACTTTTCCCTTTTTCTCACACAACAAAGAGAAGCAGAGCGATTAATACGGGTCACAAACCTCCCAATCGGTGCGTCGAACGTCAACCAGCAAGAATGATCGCGGCTCCGGCTTGATATCCATTTCATCGAACATCTCATAAAGGTCATCTCCTGTGATCTCAGGAACAGAAGCTTTCGGTTCTGGGAAAGCCGCCCACCACTGGTCTTTCTTTCCCTCATCCTTCATCTGTTCCTCGACATTTTTCTCGGATTTTGCGTCTGTCATTGCTGATGTTGTTGTGTTGTCCTAAATCAATTTTCAAGTGAATTTTGGAGTGTGAACAGCCAGCTGATGACGTTTTATACACTAAAGTCCCCAAGTTGCCTACAAATACTCTCTGATCGAGTAGAGGCTATGTGAGACAATATGACTGTCGAGTAACAATAGATACGCTACTAGCAAGTCATAAATACCTCTTCTCGATCATTGTCGGCCGGGGTTTACGCTCCAAAGAGCCTAAAAATCATGCTGCTACCTTTTAATTGGCTAGCCTAGCAATGATTGAACCCTGCCGTCCCATGCGCCATTCGAGTCACTTTGTGAGTCCTTCATGAATTATTTACTGACATACGTCTAGTCACTATCTATTCAGATTAGTAGGAGTCAAGTTCGTTACGAGGAGTCAGGTTTCTCCGCCAGCCTTTATGGCTAGCGAGAGGCCAGTGCCATGAATCGGCTGGCTGCATATTGTGTTTGCCCACAAAGACAGAGGAAAAGACATTCCCTTGCGGAGGTGAATATCCAGAACAAGAATTGACTGCAGCCATGGAACTTCTTCATCAAATACAAGTCCTGTCGATCCTCCAAGCGACCGGACAGCTTTCTCGGTGCATAGCCAACCCTAGAAGCTAGCAGAAGGCGTTGGTTCATGATAAAATCATGTTCAGAGTGATTGAAGCATGAACACTGTTTCAGTGGGTGAGCAACAAAATCGACTTCACCGACGGACCAAATTACTGCAAAGCCGTTCACACAAGCTCAAATTTGAAGATTTCGGTAGCCTTCTCATTCCTACACACGAGCAACATATTCCACCACAAAACACGGCTCTTTTGATCGCAAACTGCTATCCATCCCGAAACTCGAAATACTAGCACTGCCACTCTGATATAGCTTGACACATCGAAGTTAGCTTACCCATTCATCTCCAACGATACCGAACCTGTCGATTCACGATACTCTTCAGATCTCTTGCCAGAATAGTAAGCCATGGCTTCCGAAGTCCCTATCGATCCCGGTGCACAATACCTAACGATCACCTTAGTTCATCTGCTTGACTGCTGAAAATTCGATGACCAGTTCTCTATTGCGTTTCATCATGAATTTCCCTGGTGTAAAACGTACTACACTGGGTGAGGGAGGAAATACCTCTTCCTTACCGGCAAAGGAACTGGAGCCTTCAGCAACAACCAAACTCGCTTCCTCGGACGCACCTGTACCAAATGACAAAGTAAATGAAGCTGGTAGCTCCGATGATTGTGCCACAACATCTGGAAGATTCATACATTTCCCTAAGCTTCCCGCTGAGTTACGACTTAAGATATGGGGCTACTTAATGCCAGAGGAGGATAGTCGTATAGTGGAAGTCCGTTGGAACGATAAGACTGGAAAATATTATACCGATGTTGCTCAACCACTTTTGCTTCACGTCTGTCACGAAACGAGAGCTGAGGTTAGCAAAACGTACGATCGCCTTGAGTTTAACGTTAATGAATTCGACGATTTGTACATGGCACTGGAAACCGGTGTTCGAAACACCGGCTTTCGAATTCCAAGAAGGACAAATCCAACACCCTTTGGCACCTACTTCAACTTCGACTGTGATGAGCTAGTAGTCACTCTAACGTGTATCAATAACGACATTGCGAGAGTACATTTTCTGGACAGTCTCAGAAGGCAAGAAATAGTACAGAAGAAGTCGAAGAGTATCAGCATTGGAAGTAACTCACTCCATTTACTCCAGCCGATCCAGACGATCCAGCCACCCGCCTTTGACCATCATTTGTGTTCTGGAAACGAGATTTGGTTGACAATACGATACCTCTTGATGATGGAAAAGGTGACATCAATCCGAGTTATTAGCATGCGTGTGGCTGATTACGAATTTCTAAACCGGTTTTCGGAATCTCGCTCCTATACAAAGCCGACTCGGTTTAGCAGCCAGATCGAACGGGGAGCCTTGCTGTTTAGTGATCGTTCCGTGGAAGATTTGGCAGAGGTATATGCAAGAACTAGGGCCACTTACGCGATTACAAGAACCGCCGTCAATGAGCGCGATTTTACATACAGCTATGCTCATCTCATCAGGGATGGCGAAGAAACAGAGAATTCGGAGCAGTCAACTGCATTTCCTGGACCAAGGCAAGTAGGTTGTGTTATACAGTAAATAGTTGTTTTGATTATTCAGGGTACTTGCTGGGAATTTTGTATCTTCTTCTGTCTCAACCATCGTAGCGGCGGACGAGGCAGGAGAGTTCACACAACTCATACAGGGTGTCACTCAAAAGACTCGATGGGCTTGGACAGTATGGTAATAGGCGGAAACACAAACATGTATAATTGAACTCAATTTCTCCACTCCACCAGTGTGGTACAAATCTGACGGGACGCCCTTCTGGTGTATCGATGCCAGAAACCGACTTTGCACAGCATCTGCCCGAAACAATTATAGTTATCCTTTATAATAGAGGCAATATTGTATGTTCACTCAAGAGTATTAGTGAAATATAAACTTGGGGAGAATATCGTTGTTCTACCCTTAAGGGTGTCCCGTCAGTCTTGCAACGCACTAGCAATCCATCAAATTACGGTCAGCAACCCAGTCTTCTCAAACTTTCCTAGCCAATACTCTCAACCTCACATACCCAATCCAATCCCCACCACCCTCAACCTGACTCTCACAAACCGTCTTCAAAATCCCCACCGCCTCCTTCTCACACGCTTCTCTCTCCCCCTTCCCCTTCTTCTCCTCCACAGCATCAAAAAACTGTTTCCCCATCAACTTCACCCAGCCTTCAATCCCCGAGGCATCGGCTTTCGTAGGTCTATATTCCTTTTCCATCTTCACCACTTCAAAAGATGCTGCTTCGAGCGCTTTTGTCATCCAGATTTCATCGGGGAAGAACCAGGGGTCTGCTGCGCGAGCGGCTTCGATGCCGATGCGTGAGGATATCACAGCGAGGAATGTGGAGCGCATTCTGGAGGTTGTTAGTGAGATTCATGGGAATACGGAAAGACGAACTCGGCTACGTTTCCTTGACCACCCATTTCGAAACAGAATATTCCGCCGGGTTTGAGTGCTGAGTTGATGCCGGTGAAGAACTCGTCTCTGGTCTCAACAGGTCTCAGAATCCACTGTGGGACATGTAAGTTTGTGATTTTGAAGGTGTTGACATGATTTAGACTTACATGCATAGCTGCATTTGAAAAGACCTTGTCATACGTGCCATTTGCGAGTTCACTCTTCGTACCGATCTTCGTAGCATCGAGTACTAAAATCATAATTCAGCTCCTTTCCGAGCAAAAATCTCTGGATAGCACATAGCAGAAATTGCTAACATACGTTCGAACGTGCATATCTTCTCAACACCAGCTTTCTCAGCATCACCTTGAGACGTCTTGATCATGGCAGGTGAGGCGTCAATGCCATGGATTCTTCCATTGCCCTTCGAAAGTGTTTCTGCTATCTGGAGATTCAGAACCCCATCTATGGCTGAATCAGTAACTTGTTATTGTAGAACATCTTCAGGGACTGCAATCTCTCTTGATGCAGCCAGGATTCAAAAGATGCATAACGTTTTTATGGCAGAGAAACTGTACGTACCGCCACACCCAACATCGAGAATAACATCATCAGGTTTGACATCTAACCACCCAAGGACTTTGGTAGCCAATTTCGGCACGAAAGAAGCGGCACTTTGATATATATTCGAGTCCCAATGATCCTCCTCTGTATTCCCGGATTTGTCTGCCATCTTTACGTTTGTTACTCCCGTAAAGCCTGTGCTGATTCGAAGTGTTTTGCTTGGGATCTTGTAATTGTCTGACTACGTTTGTGGCAACGTATACATAGAATCTTTATAAGCTAGTGGTGCTGATAGCCTGAAGTAAATATAGTTAAATTCGAGAGCAGTGACTTGGAATGCAACGCAATAGTCTTGACTTATATATCTTCTCTCACTAACTAAGGATCTGATGTATGCAGTCGTGATGAAAGGAGGGTCTCCGTGTTAAGCGACGAGCCGATGTCGGAGGTTCATTGTTCGATGGTTTAGTTGACTACACTCAAGGTGGAAGGAGAATATGAACTAATTTGCACGAGTTCTAAGATAGAGATAATCAGGGCTGGGAATTGGTGTATTGTTTTGGCTTGATATGTGCGCCTTCATGGTGTTGGTGACGAGCCAATCAAAAACATGTCAATAAGTCCACATAACCTCACAATGACTGACAAGCATCGTGCTCGAATTGCGAAGCACTTTCACACACATTGTAATTGGATCAATTAGTTCATAATTATAGTCCCCTCCATTTATCATCTAATCAATATCTAATAACTGATACTTATCATCACCTAATGCATCCTCGATCCTCTTCATAACGGCCAAAACCTTCTCCTCTTCAAGTCTCTGGCCCACAACCTGTATAGCGACTGGAAGACCATGCATAGCTGTAGCATCGTAATGCTTGTACGCTCCCTGAGCGACACCGTTGAGCCTCTTGATCGAGAAGTCTGAGGATAACTGGTCAAGTGCCTTGTCGACATGCGTGATGGGCATGATACCACATGTATAATCAAGCTTGATCTCATTAGCTTGTTGACCCTTTTGGGAAAAGTATAGCACTTACAAGATTGAATAAAAATGTGTATCCACAGCTACTAACAGCATCCTTCATACCATCATGTGGAACTGCCGGTGTGGCATTAGGAGGTGTAATCATAAAATCAATCTTCGCTTCGCTTTCCCACCAGTCGTGAAACTTTGCTTTATATGCTTCTCTCTTCGCAACGAATTTCCATTGTTCGTATGAAGACTTTTCTCTCCAATCCTTGATAAGACCAGCCCAGATGTCGTCTCGACGGACGTATTTTACCCACAAATAATACGCCCACCTGAAAGGACTAGGCAGATTCATAAGAAAGCTCATCTGTCGTGCTCCAGGATCTTCCCATTCACCTGTTCGGAAGAATGATTTGAATGTCTTGCAGCCGTCAGCGTTGAGAAGCTGAGAGCCAATGTAGAGAGCTTCGTAAGGAGATGGTGGTTCCACATCCACAACTTCATGGCCTTCTTTCAGCAAAGCTGCGACAACCTCGTCGACAGCTCTCGCACAGGCTGGACTTGGGTCAACGACACCATCTGTTCTCAGCACACCAACCTTGAAATTCTTTTGCTCAGCAGCTGCCGTAGCGGCTTCTTGCCTCCACGGTATTGGGTGTACCGAGTGGTCATATTTCCATGGCTGCATCCCAATCATTGACTTCGTAAAGTAATTTAGATCTTCTAACGTCCTGGTCATGGGGCTAAAGACCGAAGGAATCCCTTCCTGGCCAGGCATGCTTGTTACCATTCCAAACTTTGGCCATCTTCCAGTCGAACATCTGAGACTGTAGATACCAGAGAAGTGAGCTGGAACTCTTACACTCCTACTCGCATATTAGTAAGAAATTCCACCAAATCTCAGCTAGCTCACTCACCCAGCAACATCGGAACCGATTCCGATCCTTCCACCTCCTGCAGCGAGTAAAGCACTTTCACCACCCGTCGATCCTCCAGGCGAATACTTGTTATTATGAGGATTTGTACACCGCCCCCAGACATCATTTGTACTCTCAAAACTCAACAACGTGACCGGTAGATTTGTTTTCACATACGGCATCGCTCCCGCATCCTTAAGCAAGCGCACCATAGTCCCATCCTTCTCGATTTTGTTTCCAACATTGGAACTGTACCCCACACTGGTATCGAACCCGCCTACCACGATCGAATCCTTCAAACTCACGGGGATACCAGCGAGTGGACCTTTCATATTAACACTTCCATCAGTGACCCAACCTTCCGCTGCACCGATCATGACCTCAGTCACGCAGTTGGTCTTGGCGTGGGCTTTCAGAGCTGCTTTTCCATAGGCGCGAAGGATATCTATCGGCTGGATGACTTGTCTATGGACATCCTGAACAAGTTCTTCGATTGGTTTGGAGAGAACGTCTCTTTCTGACGAGGTGAAAGAGCCTTTATATGAGGTCAACTCATTTATTCTCTGAACACGCTCCGCTTGTTTGAAGTTGCTAATGGAAGAGTTAGTGAGCTGATAGCTATAGTGGGGTGTCTTTGAGAAGTGGAGCTCACCAGTCCTTGCGATGCTGGAAATAATCTATTAGAAAAACCATGTTGAATGTCTATTATCTCTCTACTACGAAAAGAAGTTTTCAGATAAACACAAGATGTAAACAAGACGAAGCAGTCACGTCTCAGAGGTCACCTCTTATGCCTTCGATATGCGGACGCCCTAGACGCCCTTCGGGATTAAGATATCGGCTCTGATTCGCGTGTAACTGCCAAACTAGGTACCCTGTCTCCCCCACATTTCGGAAGTGGGATATCACGTGCGTTCACTTCCTATTTTGACTGTGAGGTGAACCACTAATCATATCAACTGAACCCATCCAATATGAGTAAATCTCATGGAGATATACATCCGATGTCTCCGCCAAGACCCCGCACTAAACGTCCTCGCGATATAGATTCACAAGTACCTCCAACCTCATCAGGAACTTCCTCACATTGTCAAACCTCATCAACACCTACGAGCACCTCAACATACTCATCAGCCTCAACACCAATCGCCTATGACCATCCAATAACAGAAAGCTTCGAGGACTACCACCACGACATATACAACACCGACACTCCCCCAGCCGGCACCACCATGCCCGACTCATCACAGCTCCTAATCTGCACAGCATGCGGAACCCAATTCGACACCGAAGACGCCTTACTCCTCCGCCGCTGTAGAATCTGTGACGACCCCCGCCAATTCGTTCCCCCAACCGGCCAAGCATTCACAACTCTCTCAGCACTCCGCTCCTCACCTCAGAAATACACCAACAAACGCAAACCATTCTTCAAAGACGACCGTTTCTGGAGTATCTGGACCGAACCCAAAATCGCTATCGGCCAGCGCGCTATCCTGATAAAAACAGAGCTCGGAAATGTGTTGTGGGATTGCATCACGTTTCTGGATGATGAGACGAGGAATTGGATTAATGAGCAGGGAGGGTTGGCTGCTATAGTAATTTCGCATCCGCATTATTATTCCACGCATTTGGAATGGGCCGAAGCGTTTGACTGTCCGGTGTATTTGAGTTGGGAGGATAAGGAATGGTTGAATCGGCTGGACCGACTTGGAAAAGCCCGATGTTTTATCGAGGGCAAGGAGGAGGAAATTGAGATTGGTGGGGAGAAGTCAGGCGTGGTTGCGTTGAAATTAGGAGGGCACTTTCCAGGATCGTTGTGTGTCCTGGCGTTTGGGAGATTGTTGGTTGCTGATACGATTGTCACTGTACCAGCAGGACTTGGGGATTGGAGTGCTGGTCCCCACGGGACTGAGGATGGGAGACCGAAGGATAGTAATAGCTACTCATTTATGTGGAGTATACCGAATATCATACCGCTGTCACCGCCCGAGATCCAGGGAATGTGGGATGTACTGGAGAGCCATGAGTTTACAAGTACACATGGCGCTTTTGTAGGGACAGAAGTATCTGATGGTTATGGAGGGAGCAACAAAAGTGTCAAGGAAAGGGTACTCGAAAGTATGCAGATACAAGTACGAAGTATGGGTTGGAAAGATCATAAACTTTTGAAAGAGGAGATAATATTGTAAGGTGAGCTTGAAATGAGCCAGTTATGACAATGAGAGAGCCAACACTTTGTCACCGTGTGAAAATTTCATTTTCATTCAACCCGTCACCTCGCTATTGAGCATAGCGACGAATAGAGAAGGTCAGTTCAACCGTAGCCATGCTTTTTTTTACTCTTACACTTTTCCACCGCCGGCCCCTGGTATCATCGATTATAGTTCCGCTGATCAGCATATGAACATCTGCTGTTATAAATCCAAATTTACACATACAATCAACCCCCACATTAAACATAGTAGACTTCCCGGCCTAAGCGCAGGAGCAGCGATATGTTAAGACCCTCTTCACATTCTTTTGGAGAAACTTGTTGTAAGGCGACAGAACCCTTGCCTAATCTGCACATGCGTACGCGGAGCAGGTTGGAACGGGAATCTTCAAGCACCACGTGACCATCCAAAATGCGTTGCAAGACCCCTTGTTTATCTGATCTTTATCTGATCCTTTTTTGCACAGGGCAGGGATCCCAGATAGGAAGGTTATAGGAACTCGCCGATCCTTGTCATCGTCGTCCGGCTCAACGTCAGATCAGCCTGTAATTATTGTCTGTTAAAACGGCAATAAATGAGGCGTTCTGGAATATGCTGTTGTCGATGATTAGCTGTGTCGAACTAGACAAAATGCGTGTGAAGGAGGCCGCTCGCAGTGATGACACAATATCGTGGCGTTGGCGACATCATAAAGATTACGCTCTGTGTTACAGCTGCTCGCTACTTGATCTTCATCGAGGTCGTTTCGAGTTACTCATGTTACTTTCATCATAATCCCATTGCCTTTTCAGTCCACCTTCATACACGGAAGCCACGCTCTCTTGCCACATACTGGGGCTAACGAATGATGGAACAGGGGCGCCGGAATACTGTTGCGGCGGAAGCGGTTGAGAAGAACCTGGAGGTAAGCTAACATTTGGAAGCGTATGCATCTCTGGTAGTGTCGGTATTTCATGAGCACCTGAAGCAGGAAGTTTTAGAGGGGGTTGTTGGGAAGTGGAAGCGTTTGCAGCAGGAGGCGTACCAAAGGTCGTATTCCATTGGCTAGATAAAAGGGTTAGCACAATATCAAAAGTGACTAGCTAGGGTGCTTACTCAAAAATTCTAGTTGGATTCCAGCCATTGCTATCCGCCATTGGAACACCACTTGGCATCGACTGTGGAGGAGCTCGTTGTGCGGCCATCATGACCAATCCCTGTGCGGCCGGAGAGTCACTTTTTGATCCGTAACGCCACCAGCAGATATAGGTGGTGAGATGGGGTGGTTTGCATAACTGACTTGTTGATGAGGCTGGGTATGTTGGTGCTCTACTGGAGCCCCATGTGGCCCAATTGAACGATACTGAGTATTTGATCTCGGAGGGCTCGAGTGTACAGGTGCTCCTGGACTTCCGTACGGAAAGCTTGGCTTCAGCACAAATGGCTTCCTCGTATCTGCAGAGAATGCTTCTCGAAGAGCGTCGATTTGAGCTTGCATTTCTGGCATGGGCCATGAGGCTGTGCATTTTTCAAGTATTCTCATATGTCTCGTGAAGTATTCCCGCGCATCTGCGTTTAGGTCTGGATCTGGTGAGGTAAGTGCGACCTAAGTTTTGATTAGTATTTCGATGCGCGAAAAAGCAAATCGCTCACCAAATGAAGAACCGTGCAGGTAAGAACGCAATAGATAGTGAAGTTTATGCCTCTCTGCATGCAAATCAGGCCAGTCATCCCGAAAGTATTGACCACGGCTTCTTGAAGCCTGCAAAGCAGCTTCGCGGACGAATAACAGATCATCATATGATGCTTCCACCCACCATCCATTCCTGTTGGTTCCATGAAGGTAAGCTGCGGTCGGTGTAGCATGATGATACTCAGGTAATAGTATGAGTGAAGATTCCCTATGAAGTGAGAAGGTAGCCATGGGGGTGATCCGTCCGGTGGAAAAGTAACCTGGAGGTCCGGAGGGAGATCATTCATCCAAACATCGAAAGACGGATTCAGTTGTACAAAGTCCGGGTCCAATCCCCATTCCTTCTTCTTCTTGATCTTCGCATAAACATTATTCATCCTTCTCACATTACGCACAACTTTGGAAAAATACGTGAAATTCCTCGAGGTGTTGAACTCCGACTCGTCAAATCCCGGGACAGGTCTCAGCAAGCTGAAATCCAAGGTTTCCATGTTTACAGCCAGATCAGTTCGCCCTAAATTATATTAGAAGGCTGCATTCATCAGATTCAGCCCTTCAACTCACCTTGAGGCGACCCGATCATCAATTCGCAGACGAAAATAGTCTGCCATATCCGGGTCTTAGTTATACAATCAGCGAGGTCGGATCCGCAGGGCCGTCCAGCTTTATGCTCTTCATAGTGCTCATCTAAACCTAGGTCTTTCGCCATCTGAACGCATTGTACGACAGTCATCCAGGACCTGTAATAATACCCTCTTTTAGGTGATGATTCCCTAGCTTTTAGTACAATCAGAGTGGCTTGAAGAGTGCTCAATCGGGGGACATCCATGAATGAATCAGCGTGTTCTGTAAAACAATTAGTATTACCTCGGGGAGACATGAGACAAAACTTTACTTGAAGCAAGCGCGAGCCATTGGTGGCCTTGTGCTGGCTCGTCCGCTAGTCGCCCCGCAATTGCAAAGATAGCCTCAAGAATAAGGGGGGAGATGGCGTCTCTGTTAGTTTGCCATTGATGGTAAAACAAGGTTTTGTTTAGTACCGGTACATACGGGTGGACATTGGCGAAGTACATGTCGAAATAGTGCAAAATCGTTGATTCGTCTGGCATGAGCTCTGGTGGAATGCGCACTTTCAAATCAGTGCTCGGCATGGAAGGCGGAAGTGCGCTTTTGAATTCGTCCACATCCTCCAGAGCCGGCTCTTCAACTAATGTCTTGTTTTTTGATTTATTGTTCAAGTAAGGCGCTACAAAATTTTAGTGCCTTTTGCTAAGTTACGAGCATTTGTTAGCCACTTACCTGTACCTGCCTCATCCATGCGCAGCTCACCCAGCAAGTCGGCTAAGTTCTGTTGCCCATACTGATCCTGTTCGTAGCTTTCCGGCGATTGAGGATGCGAGCCTTGCATCGGTGGAGTAGGGAAGACGTTCTGTTGAGAGTAATGCTGATGCTGTTCAATAACACTGACGGGCGTTTGCAAATTGCTATATGGATGCATGCTGGGTTGGCTTTGCGCTGAAGAAGGGCCACCGTAAGGAATCGACGGATATACTCCTACGGCTTCAGGATACGGGACTTGTTGCGTATAGATTGGGGGAACACTCTTGTGTGGAGCATGTAGTTGCGAGTGCTGCTGCATCGACACCTGCTGGTGATATTCCTCGTCGCCGCTTCCTGTGCTTTCGTACCCAACACCCCGCTCCGGCTCAAATGACTGTCCCGTTGACGGAAAGTCACGATCATAATTGACTGTTGGCGGTACGCAATGTAGCTTTAGACGGATACACGCGGAACACGGCCAAGTGTTAGTTGTTGCCGCATCGCATTTAATTTTTCGTCTTCTACACCCTTCACAAGCTCGCATCACTGTACCATGTCAGCGCGGAGCATATTCATGTTAGAAAGACTACGTACCCTTAAGCCGCTTATGTCGATTGTGCTCATCAACAAAAACATAATCTGGGTCACAGTCAGTATAGAAACAGTCGGCAAGGAGGGGCAAGTAGGGCGCACTCTTCTGGTTTTCGCGCTGGCCGTAATTGTTTGGCGCAAATGAAAAGCTTTGCATTTGTGAACTTTGAGGAAGAAGCCTCCGGTTTCCTGGATCGCCAGACATTGTGTTGTTGAATCAGGAACGCGCCTGTGAACTACGTAGTCGAGATCCTCTGGCAATGGAGGGTGCGACTTAGTCGCGCAACGAAATGTCCTTCTTCTGCAGCAGGTCGAGCAGGTGGTTCTGGGATCGAGGTTCGGCAACAAAAGTCTGTAAGAAGAAACAAATAATCCCAACGGTCGTCGATTGGAGTTGATGACGGATATGCTAAGTTTAAGAGAGCCCCGGCTAACGTTCCGAGGTAGCCCCCGCCGTAAGATATGAGCCCTGAAAGTCTTAGCAGGGCCCCAAGTCTCAAACTAATAATAACGGATGGAGATACTGTTCAATGCATAGGACGAAGAGGGCATACCGGTATATCAGATTGTGGATGTGACTAGGAGATGGGTCTATTAATCCGCGCTTGCGATGGACGTCCAAGCGAGCGATTGAGTGAGGAAGCTTCCAACTCACTGGTTGATGCTGGAACTGGATTGATGTCTGTGGAGGATTTGAGTACGTACCGTGTCGTCCAACGGTGCTGCGTGAGCGGTTCGGTAGCAGATGACTTGTATGTAAACTAGATGGAAGCCAGGTACTGCAGAGAATGCCAGGAACAACGCTGACGGATGAGAGGACGGTACGAGTGCGAGTACCGCACAGAGGATACAGGACAGGAGATGCTGTGCGAAGGTGCGTCCAGACAGCGTAGTTGAATACTCGCAGGTCCCTGGCAACCCACGTTTGGAGGCTGCTTCTGCAGGATGGCCGCTGTAAGAGGTGGAAAGGATAAGGTTATACTCCTGGGCCGAACTTCTTGTCTGTCCTTGTCTGGGGTTGTTGGTTGTCAAATCTCTAGTGGAAACACCTACTCCGTACTAGTGGGAAGTCTAGCAACGGCGTCGTCTCCCCTGTAAAGCCTGCTTCAACTTTGTCTTCAACGAACGCCAACGACTGGGGACCCAGCACAAGAGGACCCAGGGACGTCGTGCAAGCGAGCTCAGGACAGTTGAGGGCACCCACCACGACGCCTGTCGGGCTGTCACTCGTCGACGCAGCGATCCTGGCTGCTGTTTCCTTCACGTGCGAGACTTGGAACCGTTGTCTGATGGCTTTGCCGAGGTGGCCAGCTTCGCTCCACGATATTTGATCGATCGATGGCGTTGGCAGCTTGGGTCGAACTGGAGACGGTGCTGTACAAATAGGAAGTACCTAAGTCACCTCTTGGAGGCTGGATTGCTGGCCAGCGGAGGACCCCGAGCCGGCTGACGGGATGTGGTATGCTGGAGTCGGATGCTTCCTCGACGTGTTTTGAATTGGCGATCATCGGCGGTTGGGACTGATACCATCCAAGAAGGCAGAAGAACTTGGAAACGTACCAATTATAAGTTCTATTTCTGTCGCTGAGGAGGATGGACCGGGGCCAAAGGCCGTAGAGCAGGCGGTACAGTAGTGTACGAGTTTGGCGCAAAAAAACGTGGTAACAATATACTTTCAAATGTGCGGAGAAGTGGTGGCTTTGTTTGCTGGAAGGTGAAAAGCCGAAGTAGTGTGTCGTGCTGGTTAAGCGATGCGGATGCGTACCGGTGCGAGGTGCTATCATTGCTCGCTGCGCTCCCGTTCGCACGCTTCTCACGAACGAGAGCTACAAGCTAGTCTACTTACCTTAGTTACACTAAATAAATTTCCAGCCCTGTTACTACAGCATCCGGTCCAAAGGTAGCAGCTGCGTAACTTGCCGTTTTCAAAGTTTGAAACCCTAACTTTTCTGCTGGCGACACGCAAACCGGTAAAAATCCATTTGATCTGCGGCTGTGATACATACCTCCACTAAGTATGTAATAATGTGTTGGTAATCAGACAGGTGATGCGTCGATAATTGCCTAAGAGCCGCTAGACCAGTAGTCTATCACCGCAACATTATTCAGTCAAAACCAACCCTACGCCTTCCAACCCGACTGTCTGGCGCCTGCAACCACTTGTGCCAGTACGAATGCCAACCGCAAAAATGATAATAACGTAAATCCGAAGGGAGGTTCGCTCATTAATGACCCTGGCAAGTAGTCTGGTACAGTAATTCCGAGATCAGACACTCGCTCGAAGCTCTCCCTGTGAAGTATGTATGCCTGCTCTGTATATGAGGAAACGATTTTCGCCTAGACGTACGAGCTAAATCCCACGGCTCTGCCCATCCCGTCACTAATTGGAGCAACCGCAGATGGTTTGGTTTACACAATAAGAAAAATAATAAACGCCAAAACAATCGTCCTTCCAGCTATCTCCCCGCTCATTGGCGACATAAACCCCTGCCACTTCGTTACCAGAACTCACCAGAAACCGTCCACCAAGACGGTGGAATGGACTTACCGGATTGTCTCGGCGACGCTCGTTGTGGTATCATCATCTGGATATCATCGTCGAGCTTTGTGTAGGCGTTTGCGTTCTGGAGTCAAATGCTCAGTATCTCAGGAAGCATAAATTCATCAAACAAAAATATGCTTTCAGCAATAATCAGATTAAATTTGGGCAAACCGCGGCAAGTACTGTAATATTGGAGGGGTCCCATCTGCCGTTGTCCTCGTTGGAAGATCCCAGCATAGAGCTATCTTCTAGTCTAAGCTCACCTTCCAGAAAGAGGGCTCCACGTCAAGTCGCGAGTTCTCCACCACCATCCTGGAAGCTCAATACTCGCCAGAACTTGAGTAGAGCGTTATTATCCGTTCCCTGCTCACCAAGATTATTGGCATGATGGGAGACCTGTAATAATAAAAGGCAGCTTCGATACCAACCGTATCAAATGGTGGAGATTCCTGCCGTCGAAGTGGTCCCCGAAGCAGGGGTTGATGGTCGGAAGAACAAATCCAAAATGTTCTATGCATGAACATTCAACATTGCCCTTGCGCAATATCTTGGGGGAGACATTGCATCTGCATGCATACATCGTCACTGCATATCTTGAGCAACCCCAAGCGTGTACTCCGGAAACATGTTGGAGTGAAGAATAGTAATGGATGTGTAACCACCGAATTGTCGGCGTGGGGTGCTTTCAGCTCGCATCCGCGATCGTTACATCGATAAGAATCTCCATTTCGCTGTGGGAAAAGAAGAACATCTGACCTGTTGCGCATTGTGGACAGCTCGCAGTGCATATACTCATTCAGGAACCATCTTTGTTACCTAGGGGGTCCTGCGCCCAATCTTCAGAGAAGCCATTTAAGAGGAAAGAACTGGACCTTGAGAAGATAAGAAAAGTGCTGCCGCGAGACGACGGAAAGGGATCCGAGATGCATTCGTTGGAGCAGACCCAATGTACGAGAGTTATCCGATAGACACCAGAAACTAGTCAACGCCGTATATGATGAAATTCAAAGAAAGAGGGATTTGGAGATGAGGACCTCACAGATTATTCAGACAAAACTTTGGAAACGAGGACGTCTTTTGGTCACGGGACTCCCTGCTAACTAACGTGTGACCGCCCTACTTCCTTATCAGCTAGGGCGGGGTCCGACAACCGGGATGGCAAAATTATGTTTCTTTCCTTCTTCACACATTACAATCAACAGCAACTCGGGTCGCTCTGGTCTTCTCATTCGCACAACACCATCACGATTATCACAGCAAACCTTTCTCATCATTCCAAAACCGACATCTCTGCAGCCCTATAATCCGGAGCCATGGAACTGGATAACGCCAACCCCACCATTGTCAACCCCTCGGAGCTTCCTTCATATAGAGAAAGAAGGAAGATCAAGGATGAGTCGCGACAGAAGCAGGGCATTCGGCAACTCTTCATGGGCAAGTCAAGCTATGCCATCGACCCATTTTACCTGTCAGACTATTCAGATACCGACTCTGATGATTCGAATGTGGAGCCTATCGACGAGCAAGAAATATATGGTGAGTCTGAGCGCCGAATGCATATTTATCCTCCTTCCTTGGGCTTCGTTCTTGCCGCTTGTAATGTTTGCCGTTGTCTACGCGCTCCAGTAGTGGCTGGAGAAGTGTTTCCTGTGTCCCAAGCTATTTAAAGATTGTCAATCTGTTGCCGCTTTCAATCAATGTGAGGAACGTTTCAGCTGGGTGGAGATTTCCCGCCCCCGAATCTTTTTGCAATATTACCTGTTGCATACTGATTATGCCACAATTATTTACCTCAGAACTGACATCCAGAAACCGCAGATTTAATAGCACCGATAACAGACCCGGAACACCCCTTCTCTCTTGCGTCGCTTGGGGTGGTCAAACTTGAAGATGTACACCTTGGATCTCCCACAGATCCCACGAAAGCTGCAGCTCTGTCACACGTTTTAGTTGAGCTCACACCTACTGTTACCCATTGTTCGCTGGCTACAGTTATTGGCCTATGTGTCAGAGTTCGACTAGACCAAGCTCTACCTCCAAGTTTTCGGGTCGAAGTCAAGATCAAGAGTGGCACTCATAACCAGTCCGAGGAAGTCAATAAACAGCTCGCAGATAAGGAGCGTGTAGCAGCGGCACTTGAAAACGCGCAACTCATGGGAGTTTTAAGGAACATGATGAAAACATGTCTTGAACCTTAAGAATAATTACTTCCATCCATGTACAAGTTGGAAAGCTAAGCGCGCGTTTGATACCCCACAAAGCCCTTGCCCGTTTAATTTATTTCAGCATTGTTTTCCTATCACGTGGAGAGCCTTTGGATGCTTGTAATATGAGGCAATGTTCCGTCCACATACCATGTGTTCATATCCTTGTCCCATGAAGAGATCTAGACCGCATTTGAAAGTTTGTCCTGGGTTACATGGACCCATCGTCGATCACGAAGACTTCGTCCCAAGTTTGGAAAACTCCTCAAGCAGGGATTCATATACGACGCTTGAAGCCAATCACTCGCTTTCATGCAAAGAACCAACTTTCGTCTCCAAAATTGATCCATGCGCGGTGTCTCAGAACGGTACAGGTGGAAGATTTCTCCCGCCTCCACAATCTTTAAATTTGTTGGCTGCTTTTGTCTAGTTTGAAGGTTGGTTGATTTCATTGTTTGAAGAGCATCTCTGGGGCGCATTTTTCGTTCTAAACATCCTACTGACTGTATTGAAATAGAGATACTGAGGCACCTCAATGTTTTGCCGCCTTTGTCAATGCTGTTTTAGCTTTGAGAAAACATATATCCTGAGCCTCATACTGCCAATCAAAGTTTTAAGAATTTTATGACTTTGATTAAACATATTGTAATTACGAAGTCAATATCGCAGAGTCTGTTCTTGTCAAATTTCCAGGGCATCGATCTTCCCATGTCAGCCTGAAGACGCGTACGCAATCCTGGATTCCTTGCTCTTAACAGCACTTTGCTGCCAATTTCTACCAGAAGAGGATATTAACAATTTACCCTCGCATGAAACAATATTGTTTATCAACCTCATTTCTGTCCTCTGGTCGCGTCCAATACTGTCCGAGAAGGATGACCTAAGAGTCTCTACGCCTGCATACTCGAGAAAAGGACAAGCTCGGCATTACCGACGAAGGTCATGCATGTGGTATTGCGGCGTTGGAGATATGGAAACTGATTGTTCACATAAACTAAAGGCAAACCCAGTAAGCTGGTCGCTGGCCAACTGTCTACTTTCTTTTAGCCATTGATGAGGTTCTGCTCACCGAAGAGGGCGTATGCGATGATGATCATCGAAAGACGAACGTTTGCGGCGAAATGCTGTGACATTGAAGATCACCACCCCCTTGCACAGCTGGAATCGCAGCTGGCTTATCATGGTAGTACAACGCTGTCGAATATCTCAGTAACGGTGTTATTGTGCTGAATGATTTCTTAAGTACTTCCTCATCTAGATCGAGGCTCCAGGCTTGCGCTTTTTATTGGATTTATCGTACATTATCCTCGTATCAACGCCGTGGGGTTGTCTCCGCATACAATCCCCCCAAAATACCATCATCATTACATGAGTCTATTATATCTGCATATCAAGCGCTTTTGCTTTTTACTCATCCATCTAACAACCCGCTCTCTTTCAGGCTGGAAAACAGCTCTGGCTCTAGGAATTTGGCCACGCTCACGTCCTCGCTCAATCCCTTCCGTCTCCTCGTCTTCAAGACAAAATCGCGGGCCGTCGCCTGCGCACCTGCCGGTTCGAGAGGTCGTAAGATGACATCCTTATCCAGAGGATCCCCAGGAACGATACTCCATCGGTCAAAGACCAGACTCACAGTTGCTTGCCCTTGGGTGTGAATGCGCAGATCAGTCTCGAAGCCAAAAGAGTCAATGACAGGAATGAGTCCGCTGGCCCGGGACAGCGGCGTGCCGGCAATGAGGCCATCAGACAAAATATGCCCGCGCCGCCGCGCCAGCACGGTGTAGAGAGCTGTAACGGAGTCTGCAGGTCCTGTCATGGTGCACGAGTAGACGGGTTCCATGAGTCGTGGGGATGCCATGAGGAAGGAAGAATAACACGCGCGTCGGGAAGTGGGGATGATCTGACCGCCCCCGCGAAAGATCGCTTCGGGAGCCAATGTAACGTCCATGATCTTGAACTTGCTGTTGCGAATGGCTGTTCCCTGTTAGCAGGTATTCGGACCGGCTGCAATTATCGCCCAATGGCAAAGGGGCAGAGAAGCATCACACCGCTTCCTTAGGGCTTCTGGATGCACTCGGGACGCATGCGCGATGCACGCCCGGCAGCGCCTCACCACGCCATGCCAACATGCGATTTTGCCATGGCCAGAAAAAAAGATGGAAGCGACGGGGGGTGGGGGCCACTCACGTTCTTCGCACAAGGGGCCTTCTCTCGTCGCCCAGCTAAACCCCTGGCGGATGGTATCGCGCACACTCATGAGCAGCCGTTTGTCCACCTGCAATCGTGTCAGCATAAAAGGACCGATAGACTACTGGTTCTTTTCTGGGGAAAGGGCGAGCTATGCCGTGAGGGGGCCGGAACGTAGCACTGCACTCCTATCGCTGCACTTACTTCGGACGGCAGAGTGTCATCCTGCAGAATATTGGGTCCCAGGTCGTCGGGACCAAACGCCCATATACTTCGCGACGCTAGCAGGTCCCATCCGTAATTCTCCTCGAAGAACTTCCCTATGACCCGATTGGGGCTCTTGATGCTGACCTTGCCGCTCTCGATGTCCTCCGCAATGCCCTGATCCAACGGCTCGGCGACCATGGTGATTTTGTTCTTTTTGTTCGGCGTCTGGGCGTAGCATTTGATTGCCGACGTCTCGACTACCGTCTCGCAGAATCGAGTGACTGGATCCGAGACTTTGATTTCCATCTCAGCGTACAGGCGTCGGAGGTCGTGCAGGACGCAGTCCATGTATAACTCTCCGGTGCCGAGGACGACGTGTTCCCCAGATTCTTCGACCTTGGTGGTGATCAGAGGGTAGCTCTTGTTAATCTTCCGCAGGCCGTCCAACATCTTGGGCAGCTCAGAGGGATTGATTGGCTCCACGGCTACCTTGAACACGGACTCGGTGAAATGCGTAATGGGTTTGAAGATGTAAGCATCTTCGTCGTTCGGCAATGTTGGCGGCACAATGGTTGCAGACTTGACGATTGAGTTGTCTACACCACCTAGCAGCACCCAACTTCCTGCAGGTACCCCGTCCGTGGGGATGTTGTATCTTGTTTCAGCTATCCAGACGTCGGAAATAGTAGCCATACTCATATCCTCTTCATCGTCAATCGAGTAACCTTCTCCGAGTACTCTCACCTGGGAGCCTGGTCTCGCGGTGCCGCTCATGACTCGACCAAACGAATAGAAGCCTGTCGCGTCACTGGTGTTGAACAGCTTAGAAATCTGTACCACCAGTGGCCCGTCCTGGTCGCAATTCTTCATGGCTGTGGCAACTGCCGTATCCAACGGTCCGGTGTAATATCGTTCAAGCTTACTCTCAGCCGCTTCTACTGGGGAAGGGAAATGTTCCACAACCATGTCGACGAATCCATTGGACGGCCCGAAAAATTGTTCGCAGACAAGTTTTAAAAGCACCTTGGCGTCCGTCTTATATTGGGAGGGTTTGAGAGTGATGCCTAGAGGGGCGAGAGTCTCTTTCAAGTCTTCCGGACTCTCACTAATAGTGTGAGAGTATAGTTTATAAATTGGTTCGAGAATAAAATGGACAAATGATCGTTTCGAAGTCGGCTCAAGGCGGCCTCGCGTAAACGATCGTTTTTTCGGGTTGTAAAATATATCGCCCCACAAACGTCGTGCAAATTCATGAGTGTTGATGCCTGGTTTCGCTTTTTTCGTTGGTGGAAAGCTATCGGTATACATCTTTGCGAATGATTGAAGGGTGAAACTCCATCCCATGCTGCTACACGCAAACAAAACGTTTCCCTTTTCCGGACTTAACCGTCTCTTTTCGCCCTGTCCCGGGAGAGTATTTTCTATCATCGTATTTACTTCTTCGACAACGTGCTTGAGCTTGAAGTAGGCATCCGACGGAGGTAGCTTGAGTTCCAGTATCAGGCGGTCCATTTTGTTAATCACCAGTGTCAGTGGTAATCCTTCCAAGACCGCATGTTTGATGATTTGTTCAGTGTTGACTTGCACTCCCTCTACAACATCCACTACCAAAACAACGCCATCTACCAATCGAAGAGATGAAGCAACCTCGTCCACGAAATTGACATGCCCAGGAGTATCGATAATGTTCAATAGGTGAGATTTTCCAACAGTGCTTTGAAGAACCAAACTCATCGGTGCCGCTTTGATTGATATTCCTCTTTCACGCTCCAATATATGTACGTCCGTATATCTGAGCTGTTCGTCCCTCTTCTTCCCAGTCTTCTTTTCTAATCGATCCGTGATATCGTGTGTTTCCAGCACCAGCATGTCCATTAATGCCGTTTTGCCATGGTGGAGATGGCCTGCGAACGCAATGTTTCGTATCTGTTCCGGGAAATTCATAAGATCTGTCATAAAACTTCGATCGAAATGTACTGGTGGTAAATCCGCCTCTTGAATCGTAAACTTCTTCTGTTCCACTGGCGCAATTATAGGTACGCTTAAGGGCTGCGCATCCTCCTCTTGAACCATAGTTTCCACATCTTCTCCATAGACCTGCTGCGCGGTAGGGTAATATTGTTTGTCTTCGTGGAGTACAACGGCGTTCGAGGGCCCCTCATCTAAATGCTGGTCAGCATTTAAAGCATATCATATACCAGCAAGCCCACCATCTATTTCCATGAGCTCTTGCCCAGTAGCTTCTGGCGCCTCATCGGGTTCGTCATCGTAAACATATGCCGATGCGTCAACACCAGGCTGGCTGTCGTCCTCGGACTCCTCTGCTTCGCCAATGAAGTTACCAAATCTACCACACCTTTAGCAATTTGTCTAGTATCACAGGAAAGTATACTTTACTCATCATAAAGGTCATCCATGATTCATGCGCTCTTCAGAGGAAGGTGGCCGGGTCAGGATTGCGAATGCGACTGCTTCGAACAATTGCAATGTTGACCGCGATCAAGCTACAAAAAGTTCGCGCCTCACTTCGCTGAGAGGTTGACGTCACGTGACTGTCAGCCTTGCAGCATCGACCAATCAGGTGGGCTGAACTTAAACTTCCTTCACTGAATAACTATAGTTTAATCTTATTAGCAAGTGAAACTGCTGCTGTATGATGTGTATATAGCAGACATTTTATAGTCACATTTGAACCATTCGACCAAATTTTAGGATGTATCTAGAGTCGCAAGACCTGGTACTAATTTGGACTGGTACCTGAGCGGCCAGATCCCTCCGGCACGTCCCCTGGATTAGCGCCGCGCAATCGGAGGCGGTGAGCCTTCCTTTCACAAAAAATTAGGGAAGGATTACTGAACTCCCACTACTTTTCAAACTCGTTGAACTCGCACACTCAAGTTATAATACCTTCTTTCCCCAGGAGTAACTGTAAAGCAAATCATCATGTCTTCGCTTCCTCCAGTTTACATCGTTTCTGCCGTCAGAACCCCAGTGGGTTCATTTCTAGGGTAGGTTATTTGTTCTGCCATCCAGAAAAGGAGGGGCAAAGTTGACAGGACGTAGCTCTCTTTCGAGTCTAAGTGCAACTGCCCTTGGTGGAATTGCTATTAAAGGTAATTTCTCTTGATTCCTTCCTCTGCCACCCTAGAACTCGTTAGCTAACACAAAATTAGCCGCTGTCGAGCGTGTCCCAGAGATTAAACCGGAAGATGTCGAAGAAGTCTTCTACGGAAATGTTTTGTCCGCAAAGTAAGTCTCTTATATGTCAACCAGGCCTACGAATGCTGATTAGAAAGTCTCGGTCAAAACCCAGCACGTCAATGCGCTCTTGCTGGCGGGCTTTCAGAACAAGTTGTCTGTTCAACTGTCAACAAGGTATGCGCTTCTGGGTTGAAAGCAATTATCCTTGGAGCCCAAACAATTATGACTGGAAATGCCGATATTATTGTCGCTGGAGGAACCGAATCGATGTCGAATGTCCCTCACTACCTACCAACTCTCCGCAATGGCGCAAAGTATGGCGATCAGACTTTGGTTGATGGTGTTCTCAAGGACGGGTTGACCGACGCGTACGGCAAGAAGGAGCACATGGGTTTGGCTGGCGAACTCTGCGCAAAAGATCACAATGTCACCAGAGATGAGCAGGACGACTATGCAATCAAATCCTACCAAAAGGCACAGGCAGCTACAGAGTCAGGACTTTTCAAGAACGAGATTGTTCCGGTGGAAGTGAGTGGAGGCCGTGGCAAGCCAAACATCAAAATTGAAAAAGATGATGAGGTTAAGAACCTCAACATTGAGAAGCTAAAGGCTATGCGACCAGCATTTCAGCCTAATGGCGGTACTGTCACCGCTCCTAACGCGGCTCCGTTGAACGATGGCGCCGCCGCTGTCGTGCTTGTCTCGGAGGCCAAGCTGAAGGAACTTGGCCTCAAGCCTCTAGCAAAGATTCTAGGATGGGGTGACGCTTCTAAAACCCCAAGCGAGTTTACTACGGCACCTGCATTGGCTATCCCCAAGGCAATTAAGCATGCAAAGATCAATGCTTCCGACGTCGAATTCTACGAAATTAATGAGGCCTTTTCCGTCGTCGCGTTGGCAAACATGAAGATCCTTGAATTAGATGCCTCCAAAGTCAATGTCCACGGAGGATCAGTTGCCATTGGTCATCCTCTTGGATGTTCTGGAGCTAGAATCGTCACTACTCTCGTCAATGTCTTGAAAGAAAAGAACGCGAAGATTGGTGTTGCTGGTATTTGTAACGGTGGTGGAGGTGCTTCTGCAATTGTCATCGAGTCTTTGCAGTAAATGTTTGCCTTTTAGAGAGTCATGAGCGGGTCGTTTCAAACGGCATAGTAATTAATGCACAAATTGAGATCATGAAGTAATTAAAAGCTGGAAATGTCGGAAATGAGACAACTGATAGAAATGAAATGATGGAAATTCATTACAATTAATGCTCGCGGGCATTTGAATCTCTCATTGCAATATAACGCCTTCAATAATGACCTGACCAGAGCTCTTTTGATATAAGACAAACAGGAGATGCGATGAAAAGGAGGGGTTCAGCCTGGTTCTCAGCCTCGCCTTATCTTATCGACACGCTAATAAAGTTCTGGCTTCCAATGCCCCATGCCCCACTAAAAAAAATGTTGACCAGAGAAGAGAGATTTGCGACAGAGTCGACATCGAGCAGCTTTCATCCAGATCAATTAGCTTTGACGTTGGACTGTGTATGTCGCCTTCCAGAGGGTTATAGAGCTGAGAAGACAGCAAAATGGTCAAAAAGGCAGTGTATGACTGAAAACGAGGCTGATTTGCGCATGGCAGCTGACAATGGATTAGAGACTCGCGCATCCCAGCGCTGATACGGAATGGGGTCCAAGAGAAGAAACGAAGCTTTGTCGTTGTGGTGGGAGACAGGTCAAAGGATGTTATCGTCCATCTTCACTACATAATGTCAAGTATGGATATGAAGCAGAATAAATCGGTGCTATGGGCATACAAGAACAAGCTGCTCAATTTCACTAGGTAAACACAATGGTAACCCAAGCTCAATTTCTCAACTGACTCAATTTCTTTTCAGTCATCGGAAGAAGCGCGAGAATAAAATCAAGAAAGAAATAAAACGCGGAATACGAGAAGCCAACACTGAGGATCCATTCGAGCTCTTCGTTTCGTTACACAACATCCGATATGTTTTCTACAAGGAGACGGAAAAGATTTTGGGAAATACATATGGGATGTGTATCTTACAGGATTTCGAAGCCATAACGCCTAATCTACTTGCCAGGACGATCGAGACAGTGGAAGGAGGAGGACTAGTTGTATTGCTGTTGAAGGGAATGAGCAGTTTGAAACAGCTATATACACTTTCCATGGACATCCATTCGCGATATCGGACAGAAGCCCATGACGATGTTACGGCTAGGTTTAACGAGCGCTTTATTCTATCATTAGGCAGATGCGAGTCTTGTTTGGTCATTGATGACGAACTCAATGTCTTGCCAATATCTGGTGGTAAAAATGTGGTGGCTCTTCCTCCTCCGGATATCAACGAACCCAAAACCGAATCACAAAAAGAATTAGACGAGATGAAGGAAGCGTTACAGGACACGCAGCCAGTTGGGTCTCTGGTCACTTTAGCAAAGACCGTTGATCAAGCGAAAGCCCTTCTTACTTTTGTGGATGCGATCGCTGAGAAGACTTTGAAGAGCACTGTGACGCTGACTGCTGCTCGAGGTAGAGGCAAATCGGCAGCCCTGGGGGTAGCTGTTGCTGCTGCGGTTGCTCATGGATACAGCAATATTTTTATTACGTCTCCCAGCCCAGAAAATTTAAAGACCCTCTTTGAATTCATTTTCAAGGGGTTTGATGCGCTCAATTATATGGATCATGTTGATTACTCGATCATTCAGTCAACAAATCCCGATTTCAACAAGGCGATTGTGAGAGTAAACATTCACAGAGCGCATCGTCAAACCATTCAATACATCCGGCCGCAGGATGCTCATGTTCTGGGCCAAGCCGAGCTCCTTGTCATTGATGAAGCGGCAGCGATACCATTGCCATTGGTACGAAAGTTGATGGGACCATATCTTGTATTTATGGCTTCAACTATTAATGGATATGAAGGAACTGGTAGATCTCTTTCCTTAAAATTGATCAAGCAACTTCGCGAACAGTCAAGAGGCGGTTCAAAGGCTATAGAGTCAGGGGATGCGGAGGTTGCAGATCGATCAACTGGGAAAGCTTCGAAGACGGCCGATTCAAGTTTTTCAGGAGGTCGTACATTGCGGGAAATTACCTTGGCCGAACCTATTCGATACGCCAAAGGAGACTTAGTAGAGAAGTGGCTTAACACTGTTCTCTGCCTCGATGCGACATTACCTAGATCAAGACTTAACACTGCTCAGGGATGTCCAGATCCTTCTCAGTGTCAACTCCTCCAAGTTAACCGGGATACGCTATTCTCTTTCCACGACGTTTCGGAGAAGTTCTTACAACAGATGGTTGCTCTGTATGTCGCGAGTCATTACAAGAATTCGCCGGATGACCTTCAATTAATGAGTGATGCACCTGCTCATCAGCTTTTTGTTCTCGTTCCACCAATTGCAGAAGACAGCAAGCATTTGCCTGAACCACTTTGTGTCATTCAAGTAGCTCTGGAAGGAAAGATCAGCAAGGAGAGCGTGTTGAATAGTCTCAGTAGAGGAAAGAGAGCTGCTGGTGACCTCATCCCCTGGATAGTCAGTCAGCAATTTCAAGATGAGGAATTTGCTGGTCTTTCAGGTGCTCGAATTGTACGAATAGCCACGAATCCCGATTACACACAGATGGGGTACGGAAGCAAAGCGCTGGAATTGCTTAACGACTTCTACGAAGGCAAATTTGCAAATCTTTCAGAAGATTCCAGTGTTGAGGTAGAAGAAACAATGACTCGAGTCACCGATGCCGAGCTGGCAAATGCTTCACTCCTTGATGATGATATTAAAGTTCGAGACATCCGGAAAATGCCGCCATTATTTTCAAAGCTATCAGAAAGACGTCCATCGGCCTTGGACTATGTCGGTGTCAGTTATGGTCTGACGCAGCCCCTCCATAAGTTTTGGAAGAAGTCGTCGTTTGCTCCCGTCTATCTTCGCCAGACCGCCAATGAGTTGACTGGCGAACATACCTGCGTAATGATCCGACCTCTTTCTAGCTCACCCGATCCCTCATGGCTGGGTGCCTTTACCCGCGATTTCCACAATCGCTTCCTATCACTCCTGTCATACAACTTCCACGCCTTTCCTTCAGTCCTCGCGCTGAGCATAGACCAGTCTTCTACAGCCGGTTTTAAGCTCGACTCCTCATACGCTCCAGCACCCCTATCATCTTCCGAACTCACCAGCCTTCTTTCGCCATTCGATCTGAAGCGACTAGAAAGCTATGCAAATAATATGCTCGATTATCATGTCATTCTTGATCTCGTCCCCAAACTTTCTAACCTCTATTTCACTTCGCGCCTCGATCCAGACGTCTCGCTTACTGGAATCCAAAAGTCTATCCTGTTAGCTGTCGGCCTCCAACACAAAGACCTTACGGTCTTGGAAGCCGAACTCTCCCTTCCCTCTTCTCAGCTGCTCGCAATGTTCATCAAGATCATGCGAAAAATGAGTTCACATTTCCGTTCTTTAGTCGATTCAGCTGCTGAAGCTAGCCTCCCTGCGAGAGAAAATCTGGGAGTCAGTAGAGCAGATGCAGATAACGCAATGGATGATGAGATCGTTGATGAGCGGTTTGCACCATTGGAGATTGGACTTGAAGACGAGCTTGAGGAAGGTGGCGATGAAGCCATGCGTGCTTTGAAGGAGAAACAGAGGGAACTGATAGATGCCCTACCTCTGGACCAGTAAGTTCACAACCACCCAACATCATCCTACAGCCCCTGAAATACCCATGCATACTGACTTGTCTCAAGATACGAGATTGAAGAAGGAGCTCCTGGCTGGGCGTCTGCAGAGAAACAAGTCCTCGCCGCCACTAAAGCCGGCAACAAGAATCTTGTAGTAAGCGTCAAGAGCACCAAAGAAAAGAAGCGAAAAGCCGGTGAAACAGCAGCGGAGATTTACGAAAAGGAGTTAGGTGATAGAGAGAAGGTGAGCAAAAAAGCAAGGAAAGAGGGGAAAGGTAGTAAAAAGTCAAGATCATGAAATTTTGGGGCGGTGCGGTGTTTGGATTAATAATATGTACATATTTTTACAATGATGGTAACGTGTAGAAGGTTACTGATGTCAGAGACAGTCTGTACCTATGCTACAGTTCAATGATAGTGGGAAGTCAAGTAAGTGTCTCGTTAACTTCTTGACCTCGATCCGAGAATCTCCTAGTCAACAGGATCATCTCAGACGGCTTATTCGTAAGATCGTAATTCGTAAGTTTCATACGTATGTCGTAAGGTCATACGTGTTTCGTAATGTCATAGATCGTATCTCGTAAGATCATACATCTGCTCCGTTCAGAGGTACGACATCGGGTACTCCAACCAAGAAGTAGTCGGTTCCCCTGTCATATGGTGAATTAGTCTTGGATCGACCTCAACATGTGGAGCGTCGTTTGCTCGTCTGCGAAACAGTGAGAAGAAAGACGGTTTCTTCTTAGCTGCCCGTTTTTTCTTCGCCTCAGCATCCTGCTCCCTCTTAGCTTGAGCATTCCGCTTCTCCAGCTCTCTGGCAGCAATCCACTCCTCCCTCTCCGTTGCCGCATCTCTAGCTTTCTGCTCTCTCACCCTTTGCGTGTAGTACTCAGCTAGATGCGGAAGCCCGACAGCCGCACAAACCTTCCCAATCCCAAACGTCTCGGGCGTATCACCGATATGTCTAGACAGAAAATCCTCGAGCACGGCTGAGTCAACTGAATCCGCGAACTCCACCAGCCCGACACAGAATCTCGTCCAGTTTTCCACGACGTCGGGATCTACACTCGCGATATGCTGGCGGAACTCGAATGTGATCTTCCCGTCTCCGTCGTTGCTCATTAGGTTGCTCATGCTATAGCCCATTCTACTGTCCCAGCCCGAGTTACCTTCGGCTTTCGTCGCTTCGGCTAGATCTTCCTTGTTCTTGCAGTTGTGCATGAGATGGTAGAGACCTGCTTTCGCGACGTCTTCCTCGTTTTCGACGAGCGTATGGAGCTCGGAGTGTGCACGAAGACCTCGAGTGTGATGGTTATCTCGTAGTCGGTATTTCCCGTGGATTTGATCGATCTGAGGCTCGAAGGTTAGGACTGTAGCGAATAGATTCCGGGTTGTTTTGAAAGACAGACCTTGGCTTTGGTTCCCGACGTGGACGTGGAGGCCGCTGGAGATGTTGGTGTTTATCCGGAAGGTCGAGGTTAGGAACTTACAGGTCTGTCGAATTGCGTTGAGGGCTGCTGTCGAGTAGAAGAATGCTGGTGTGATGACTTCGATGCCTTTGTAGTCGTACATAGCTGCTTCATCTTCTTCAGCGCTGTTTGGCTCGACGAAACTACCATGGGGACTTGTGCAGTGTGGAGCTAGAATTGTGCTGTCCTCCGCAACAACCCAGTGACTCTTGGGTGGTGGTGGTTGCACACCTTCTGGAGAGGATGGTATTCCTGCTTCTGTCAGTACCCTGGCTATGTGGTCAAGTGTGTAGAAGATCTTTGGCTGAGTAGGATGTGTCCAACCCGAATTTGATGGCGTAAGACATCTAATGTCTCGCGGATCATCTGGAGAAGGATCCTCCTTCGAGTTTGGGAGACTTGCGATTGCCATTTCGAGTTCTACACCAAAAGTCAGTCGAGCTTTGTCTCTAGTACAGACATTGTGGAGTGGAAAGTCTTCCTTTACCATGTCGATAGTAGAAGGCGTTGTCAGAATGTTTTGTACGTGAGGCATCTCGGTGTGGTACTTTTGGTGTATGTTGCTTGTCTAAGGGGGAAAAGAAAGAAGAAGGAGAGAAGTTGAGGAAATTACTTCTTAAGAGAGGTGATGATACAGAACACTAACTGGATGAAGATTTCCACTGTTTTCCTTCTTAATATAGGGCATCAGAATGTAAGATAGTGAGAAGAAAGACAGAACAAAGCGTTACACTATGGCCTTTGTTGAAATTACAAGTACGGCTGCATAAGCGATTATGAGGTACCCTCTGGAGACAAACATGTTATGAACTGTACATCAACTCATCTTTAAGACAAATCGCACACTTTAGATTTCTAATGTAATCATCGGCATACAAGACCATATGAAAGTGGTGACTGTATTCTATAGCCCTAAGATCAGACAGAGACAAGTATCTTAACCCTAGAAACAGGCCAGCCATTACGTGTTTTTCTTGGAGCCTTTGTCCCAAGTCTCCAGCTATAAATCGGCAGCACACACTCATCGAGTCTATTAGCGAGGAAGAAGACCATGCAACATCACATTCTGATCACCTCTTCACTGGTGAAAAAATAAAGTTTCATGTAATTCATATTGTGTTTTGTCCAACGATCTAATAAGTACTCCATCTCATGCATATGTACAACTTTCAAACGCTCCAAATCGGCTAATACCGATAAATGTCTATCTACTCTGTAATCCTGAACCCCGATCTCGTTGCACTGTTAGCAAAAGCTTTACCGAAAAACAGTGTCATATCTTTTACAGCCATAGCCACCGAGCGCCGTCCACAAATAAGCAAAATGTGATGAACCTTTGTACCCATGAACCGTATTTACCATAATTATATGCGTATATGACAACGCCAGTTGTCGAATTGAGAATATGAGCCTTCCACGCTCTAGTGGCCTTGATGGGTCTTCAAGCCTTCAAGGCGAAGTCGCAGTAACTGTCCGATCACTATCCTTCCACCTTCTGGAGATAGGTGGTCGCAAGCCTTTTCCACTATTTCCATTGCCATTCTTTCCCTTCCTTTTCACCTCGTCACTTGATGTAACTCCGTCATCATCTCCATCTTCTGCGTCAAGACTGCTATTGCCATCTCCAGCCTCATTTGACTTGTCGTTATCCTTCATTTTATCCATACGAGGGTTGCGCTTTTTGGCTTCATTATCCAATTTCCCAATGTTCTCGATCGTCAACTTTTGCGATGGAACGAGATCATCATGATGAACTTTTTCTCCTGTAAGGCCTCCTGCCTCGACGAGTTTATCGTCTCGGAGTGAAGTAGCCTTTTCTTCAGCTTCTTCACGGCGCTCGGCCCGATCCGCTTCAGATTCTGGGCCAGGCAGTCGGAGTCGATGAGAATTTTGACGTTCACCTATCGTAGGTCGAGTATTTTGAATCGGTGGAGATGGTGATGGGGAAGCACTCTCATCGCTATTTGTATCCTCTATCTTGTCGAGCTTTTTACCTTGTCCATATATTGGAATAGCCGCAGTGCCGCAGTTGTGCTCCCCAGGCTCAGAGCATTCACTTCCGTCAAACAGGTGCTCGCCCCCTGTGCTGGGGTTTCGTTTACTAATAGCCCACCGTACAAGCATTTTCTCCAGTGTTTTGCCCTTCACTGGCTTGGAAAGGTAGTCATCCATGCCAGCCTTTTTACATTTTTCGCGATCGCCCTGGATCGCTGACGCCGTCATGGCTACGATTGGAATGTCACGGGACATAACATTATAAGGTGAGTGGTGCCTGATCAAATGTGTGGCTCGGTAGCCATCAATAATTGGCATTTGCACGTCCATGAGAATGATATCAGGCTTAGGATGAGGTGGCTTTGGCGAGTCTGCTGCTTCGAGATAGTCAAGTGCCTCTTTACCGTTCCAAACCGCGGAGACGACGAAGCCAAGTTTCCGAATGGTCTTGAGAGCAATCTGCTGATTGATAGCACTAAATTCTGATTAGCTCAATTCTATTGTGGATAATGGTGGACTTACTTGTCTTCCACAAGCAGAATCTTGATCTGGCTTCTTTCCTCCGCCGACAACTCAAGCCCAGGTGGTGTCATGGCAGCCGATACTGGCCTTTTATGATGACGAAGTGTCCCATCCATAGGGTTTGCAGACGCAGGCGGGGTTCCTACCGCTTGCTCGTAGTCGGAACTATTGCAAGAAACGCTCATTTCGGATTGAAGGCGATCGGGAAGACTCCCAAGGTCGATCAAGCCTGTCGACCCATCGTGGTACTGTGGCTTGTTAAATGGAATCCAAAACGTTGCAGTTGTGCCATTGCCTAATGTTGATTCGAGAGTGATTCGACCGTGCATCAGATCAACAAGATTTTTACTGATTGTAAGACCTAGGCCAGTACCGCCAAATCTTCTGGCTGTCGAGGAGTCTGCCTGGCTGAAAGGCTGGAATAACCGCTTTCGTACTTCTTCTTCGATACCAATACCCGTATCTTCAACAACAAATTTTACTTCGAATACTTCAGCCGTTTCTCGTGCTTTGAGAACTGAGAATTTGACATGACCTTCACTCGTGAACTTGATGCTGTTCGTGAGCAAATTGGTAATGATTTGTCTGACACGTCCTGGATCTCCCATAACGATCAAATCTGTATCTTGCCCGACGTTTATATCAGACTCGAATATAAGATTCTTGCGCTCCGCAGCAAATCCAAGCATCTTGGAAACATCCCTAACGACCACTGATAGAGAAAACTGGACCTCCTCGATATCTAGACGACCGGATTCAACCTTGGAGAAATCTAAAATGTCATTAATGACCGTAAGTAGGCCGTTCGCCGACCTTTGAATATTCTCGGCGCACTCTTGCTGCTCCTCATCGAGATCCGTGTCGGCAAGAAGTTCCGCCATACCAATCACACCAGCTATAGGTGTACGAATTTCGTGGGACATATTTGCAAGAAATTGGCTCTTCAATCGACTGGCTTCTTTGGCAGCAGCCTCGTTTGCTAATAGCCTTGTATTTTCCTTTTCTTGCGCCTGCAGTTCAAGTTCTCGGTCTTTGATCTCGGTGATGTCCATGCTAACTCCAATCACTCCGTCAATGAAAGCCTCGTTAATTCGACCTCCATTGTCCTTTTTTCCAAGCACTGGTACAAATCTTGTTCGATACCATCTTCCGTCGATGGTATGTTCCTGGACATCTTCCATAGTTTTCCCAGTCAATATGTCTTCAATGGGCTGCAAGGATGGCCCGACCTCGCCTCTGGAACCGTCTTTGGACTGGAAAAAGACATCATAGACGTTCTTTCCCAGATATTGCTCCCGCTTCGAGGGCCCACTACTCTCATCTCCAGAGCCGAAGTCGCTCTCGAGATCCCAAATGAAAGCTCCCTCTAGAAGAGTCAAGTTGCGATTATGATCTACCGAAAACAGCGTCACTTGGGCATGAGTTATCACTGACAATAATTGTTGCCGCTAATTGTTGTTAGCAGTAGCCCTAATAAAGAGAGATGCCACATATGCTTGGAGGAATGTTAAGGAATGAACAACTCACGGTACGTTTAGCAGCGAATCGAGATTCAACGGCCTAGCAATCAAAGTTAGCTTGATCGGGATTGTGCATCGTTACTGGAAGGGCCAAAAAACAGTCCTTCAGTGGATGTAGCTGAGCATTGAGCTGATTGTAAGGTGGAGCCAGTGGGTTTCAAGAGAATACGAACCTCATGGATGTCAGTGCAGCTTCCAAACCACTTCTCAATCTCTCCCGTATGCTTGTTCCTCATCGGTAGAGCACGACCAAGCATCCACCTCCATTCTCCGTCTTTGCTTTGACAGCGGTACTCGGTTGAGTATGGAGCTCCGGTTTCGAGCGAATGCTCCCATCTCCGTGCGGTAGCTGCCATGTCCTCAGGATGGAACGGAAGTCTCCAACCCTGACCGTGGGATATGTGCGGAGACAGTCCGGTATATTCATACCAGCGCTTACTGAACCAGTCATGAGATCCGTCCCGTGTTGTCGTCCAAAGCATTTGAGGCAGACTGTCACAGATCATCTCAAATCTTTGCTCGTCCTTCTCTTTGATCTCGTTGATTTCGCGCATTGTGTCGGTTATGTCCCGACATGTAACTACGCCAGCCAAGAACTCACCTGTGGTCTCGTCCCTAATCTCTTCACCCAGGGCATCATAAACAGTCTTTTCATTAGTGTCAGGATCGATCAGGCCAAATTTTCGGCCAGAGAAGCCTTGTTGCGTTCTGACCAGTACCGAGATTGGATATTCCTCTGGATCAAGCTGGGTTGTAAATGTCTCGTCCCAGAGGACCCATTTAGTCACCAGATCAGCTCCATCCTTCACATTTTCGAGATCAGCAGTAGGATGAAATAAGCGCCGTGCAGCCTTGTTGGGAATCGTGAGACTCTGGTCCTTCCACATAGCCAAAATAGGAACTTCTGTGTTGTCGAGCAGAGCGTCTTTCATAGTTATAAGTTTCTGTAAGCTTGAAGGCGCGCTGGATATGCCTGATCTTGAAGGTGGACCCAACGGAGGGAACGGGCTGTTTGACATTGGGGCGTTGGTTGGGCTTGTAATTGCGGAAGAGTTACTACTGCTCCCCCGATTCGAGCTCTTTCCGGATGACACGGAGGACGGGCTTGAGCGCGATGTAGAATTTGAGTTTGCAAGACGCTGCTTCTGTCCCTGGTGATGGACCTGTCTTTGTTGCCCTTTCGATGATGGTAGGTTGACTTTCGTCGTCTCGGTGCTGGTGAAAGACAGAGTGAAAAATTTATCATCCTCAATCTCAAAAACGGTGATGATCATCTTCGCATTCGTGTACTTACCCACAAGGGACTTCGGGGTTCGACTCGAGCTCCACGCGGCGACGTTTCCATGTGTGATTACTACTTCCACAACGGCATCGTGAACAGTTGCAGTGCGTTTATCAGCTGCGCTTGCTTGTGGAAGGGGTTCTGCGCGCTCATTCGTTGGAGTCTGGTCTCCTCCTCCTGCATCAGACCTGTCCGTCGAGCCTGTCTCTGTATGAACGCCAGTATCATCCGCGAGACCATCCAAAAATGCTTCCCACGTAACCCATACTGGCCTTCCTTCTTGTGTCATGTCTATTCCCAGTTGGCTCAACGTTTGGCCTCGCAAACCTTCCATTGGCGAGGTTCCGTCGTCGCTTGCGTTATCATCGTTGTTGTCTTCAACCCCAAGTAACCTGCCCATGGCTTCATTGGCCATCACTAAAGTCTTGAACCCATTAAGAATGATTACCGGATATGGAAGATATTGCATGGCAGACAACGCTATCTCTCCTGCGGATGGAAGATGTGGCATATCGATATGGAGGAGGCTGTTCTTGTTGGACAGGCCTCCATGTGGCAATTGTCCTCGCTCATATGAACTGCCCTCCAATTTCAGAGCATCGAGTCCGTCTATTTGGCCGGGTGGCATGTTGAGGGGCGAGACAGCCCCTTCCCCCTGTTCGCCCGTACCATCATGAGGGTCTTGGTGGCTTCGAATCTCGTTGTCCGCAAACGACGGGAGAGGCTCCCCCAGGCGCATTTCGACAGGCGCCATTTCGTGGTATCGAGCCCATCAACAGAGGTGGTAGAGCAGAATCGACGCGGTGGAGACACCAGTGCTACTGCGACATGGCGAGCACACGTGCGGGAAGGTCTGTGATGAGTTCAGCGGATCTTGGGAGATGTATCAAGGGGTGGTTGTTTAGCATCCACGAGATGCGACAGACGTTGAATGATGAGGATGGAGAGAATGAGGTTTTCCTCTAAACCGGTCGAGAATTAGGTTTCTTGCCCCACCGCCGGTGGATGGTAGTCTGCAATCTAGAACACTGGAATCCTAGCGAATAATTGGCAAACAAAACGACCAGAGCTAGCAGCCGCGATTACGAAGCAGATGTAGCGAATCAAAAATCGAAAGAGGTGCAATAGTACAGTAGAGAAACGCGTGAAGAGAGATGAAGCTTTTGTCAGGTTGAAAGGACAAAGCGGTGAAATGTGTGTGACATTTGGATCGGCACAGGAAAGAGAATTGACACCAAAACCCAAGGGTTCTGTCGGCGTCGCTAATAAGGAGGGTGGGTAATCCGTTGGTGCCCTTTGGGGAAGGGATGCGCATCTGATCCTGGACGGACGATGGTGGTGGTCTGTTGGATCGCGGAGTGGTGGATGAGAAATCGCATTTTCGATGGCAAAGAGTATTTCTGGTGGTACGGAGGTACCGGCGCACTGCAGAGGTCGACCCCGGCGACGGGCAAGACGTCATTGTATGCGGCATCGAAGGGAGCTTGAGCTCCCCCTCATTCTAAGGGTCCAACACCCACACCCTCGAGACACCACACCTCCCTCCCTACGAGACGGTTACGACACAGCTAACCGTAGGAGTACGACCTCCCGATCGCCTTTGACGCCAACAAAATCCTCGAATATGGGATCGAGAGGTGTGCACTATAACCGCGCCTATTTTCTCTATTTACCTGGGTAACCGTTCCTTCTCAATATCCTTTTGCCGTTGCAAGTACTGCGTATAAGGTGGTAAAGGACGGCACACATCACTGGCTCCAGGAACACTGTCTACCACCACAATAGGTCGGCTCGAAAGACAATTCAAGTGACGAGCAGCTGCAGAGGCCGACCGTGGTCTAGATGGAACTTTCTGTGATTTTCTGTTGCATTGTGGTACCGTCATGCATGCCAGAGCGGGGACAAAGAGATCTTCATAAGAACTGCAATATGAAGTTATCCAAACAAAGTGAAAGGTCGCTCCCCGCTGAGATCTACACCCTCCCCGTCTGTGTGGCCGGCATGTTTTGGATGTAATGCACCTCCACCTCACTTATGTTCCGAAGGTTGGCTCGCTTACGGGCAGCAACCTTCTGAGTTTTCGCAGGACAGAACTTACGAAGTGATGGGAGCAACTATACTCGATTTTTGATAAAAACACCATCGTATAGCACGGTATTAATCTCATACAAAGACAAACAAGTATCGATAAACTTCGAATATTTCATATTACGCCACGCTATGCTTGATGCTGATAAGCCCTAAGCCCCATCACACTAATACATTAATAAACATACAGATGAAGAACAACGCACGCTTCCACCTGCCTGGTATAACCCGTTCCGATTGCCATCCCATCTTACACCTTTCCAAACAAAACTTGTAGAAACCCATCATTGCACAACTCTTACTGAGCCTCTCCATCATCGGAGTCTGTTTTTTCCACACTCAACCCCTTCATCCCAGTGATGATCTCCGCGTCTTGATCAGCCATCGAGTGAGAGCCGTGGCGCAGATGGCCGTGATCTCCACTCTTAAGGAGCTGTGCAGCTTCTTCGGGTTGGATAGCTTCCTCGTGGTCGCCCTTACCATCCTCTTCTTCTTCGCCCGACAAAATGCTGCTAGCGAGATTGTCGACGTCGTCCTCATCCACTGAACCGGACATCATGCTCTCCTCGAGTCCATGGTAATCGTCTCCTTCATCAATTGAATCACGAGATAGGTAACTTTCCCCCATCTCATTAACATCGTCATCGTCATCGCTTCCATTGTCGTCCTCCTCCTCCTCTTCATCGCTTCTATCGCCACTTTCCGAGGCACTGAAATCGTCCAGCTCCAAGACTGGGTCACGCCAATACGTGAAATCGGTATATTCTTCTCCACCACTTTGGCCCAAGGTGTTCACAGGTGGAAAATAATGATCCACAACTTCACGCATGTTCACGTAGGTATAACGGAGCTTGTTGAGTTTCAACAGATCCAGGGAGACCTCTGCATTGCTGTTGATGGTGAAGATACGATTGCTCGGAATGCTGACCGAACGATAAGACAGCGCATCGGTCAGCCGGTTGCCAAAGCCAGCACAGAACGGTGTCCGTCCCGGCCCAAAAAGATTCTTTATGTCTCGCAAACAAGCCATTTTGAAAACTTCTGGCTTTCGAATGTACAGCTCTCGTCGGAGAGCAGCAATTGTCCGATCGGGACTGCAAATCGTTGGTCCGCGTGGTAATCGATAATTTTCCTGGACTACACCTGCCAGGTAGGCTCGAGTTAAATCGGCCTGACCAACATTCCTTGATGTCAGATACATGATGTTGTATCCATTGTTCACAATCTCTGTGTAAAGCTTGGCAACGCCAATGTGTGTCCAGTCCCTTCCGATCATATTGAGAACGTGCCCAAGGGCGTCCGATTTGGTAATTGTTCCATCGATATCTGAAATAACAATTGGTACATCGTACCTCCAAAGGTACATGTATGCTTGACAGGTGGCTCGGTTGACAGTGAAGCTCATTGGGTTGGGCCCAGGTTTAAGTCCCAATGACTTCAATTGGTCGCTCGTCAAACGCAGGGTTTTTGCGTAATTCCGATTAGGGTCGCCAGCACCTTCTGGGGGCGTTTGTGGGGGGGTATGGCCCATAGCTCCAAGATCAGAATCAGCTCGTCTGTGAGTTGAGATCACAGGTGTCTTTGGTGCCTCTGTATCTGCGTCGCTGTGATACCCAGGGTCAGAGGCTGCATCGTTGAGCACGGTAGAGTTAGGAATGCCTGCTAAGGCTGCTCTCTGACTTGCTGCTTCTTTTGCCTCCTCACTGCTGTATATCCAAAGATTTCCGTGCTCATCAGCACCAATTAAAGCTCCAATGTCATAGTTACCTTCCAACTCCTCGGAAAGAATCTTACGTGCGATGACCTCCGCCCTAAAAGCATCATCATCGCTACTCTTGTAGCCAGTCATGTCAAGCATCAAATCTCCCGTATCTGTGACTTGTGTAGGAATGTTTGATGCGGAGAGTCGACTGGATAGAGCCAATGCACGTTCGATAGCTTCTTTGGTCGGAAGTGGAGGCGGGCTCTGCGATCTTTCGGTATGAGAGTCTGACGGTCCATCGTTTGTCTGTAGCGTTGGTGTCAAGGAACGGGTTTGTCGTTCCCTTTCTGACCCATCGGCATTGTATTTTGGAACGGCATCATCCGTATTGCTACGCTGTCCGACCTGGATTCCAGACCAGTCGCCTGATATAGGCCGGTCGTTAGAAAATTCTGGAGAGCCTGTTAATGGCGTGAGAGCACCTGTCAAGTGTTAGAAATATCCACGCCGACACTTTATAGAAGCGAACATACTCAATCCAGTAGTTCGTCGTGGGGCTGACGAAGACAGCACACCAACACCGGGTCTAGTTACACTAGCTGATCTGGCTTTCCCATTCACGTTCTCTAAATCTAAGAAATCTGGCTCGGACAAGTTCGGTACATTTTGCCCTTCTGGCTGCAGAGGCGGGCTCGAAGCTGGGGATACCAAGGGAGACGTTTGCATCGCCTCTGGAATATTATCACTTGTCTCAAACACAAAGAAGGCTTCTCCTCCTTCCCCAAGCTTCATGGCATAGTCTTGTTTCGCATCGTTGACTCGAAATTCAACCTTCTTCTCATAAGGTCGTAATAGGGAGAACTTCCCGAAGCGAACATGGAAGGGAGAGCACGCCAGGGTACCATCTTCTTGCTCTACCACGATAACATCAATCGCACCGCTGAGCGTCGCAGGGTTTATAGAGTTCCATGTCTTTGAGACTGATCCGCTGATGCTTCGGACGTACTGCATAATGTGCTGGTGCTCAGGAGGATATCGCGGGAGGGTTCTGGCTAAAGGAGGGAAAGGGATGCGCGAGGTACGTAAGGTCGACGGTTGTAGCGACAGATGGCTGAGATGTCAGAGTTCGACCATGAGATAAAGTATGACAGCTTTTAATGTGCCGATGTCCAAGGTCTGTTCTCTGATGTGCCCGCGCTGAGTAGCGATTCGATATATTAGGTAGAGATTTGAACTTGCTTGGATGGATTGTTTGCTCGATCGGATGGTAGAGGATCTTAGGAATATACAAATAGATATTGTTGAGAGAGAGACTGTTAAATCGGCGACAAGAGAAAAGAAGGTCTCGCAAGTTTGATTCACGTTGAGGAGAGTGGTGAGAATTATTGCGATCCTTCAGAAGTTCTGGGGTTTTGGCGGGCTGACGTCCGCTCCATCGCAAGAGGCTATCCCTGCTTGAGATGCAGCCACAAATACGCCGAGGTATTTTGTTGTATTTGCTGTGCTCGTACTCCGTGAAAACCTTGGAAGCAAACTCGGAGGTCAGCTGTACTGTCGTACCAGATGCTTAGACGTTCTAGTGTCTCCAGTCACCGGTACATTTTATGAGTACAAAGTTCGCGAAGCAGATAAATGACATCCAAAAACGTTGAGCCCCAGATAGAGAGACCACATGTACGGAGTACTTCGTATGTGTCTGCACTTTGCTTTGACTCCTGCAACCCTCAGGTTCGCTGCCGGCATGTGAACAAATTGTGGGGGCCCCGTTTCACAGAGTTCCGGAGCAGGCCGAGCTCGGCCCGTAGTTGTTCGGGTTGAAACCGATTGCGTGGCCGGGCTCCCAGCTCGTTGATTCGACGTCACTGACAGCAGCAGCGTCGGGTGTATCGATAGCTGCATGCTACATTTCGATCCTTCGAAGACTTTGTGGGATTTGCCCCAGAACTCATCTCTTCCTCTCCAATCCAGACTATATATACGGCACCTTCATTCGAATAACCAACAAACTCTTCACTCATACGTCGTATGTAGTCGTGGTCGCTCTTGAGGTCTGCGCCACCGTCAGCGAGTTTCAGGTGCTGGAACTAAAGCACAATTATACCTCCAACAGTGTTCAGATATTACCAACAAACTTCCGCGAAGTAATTTCCACAATCATTGCGATGAAGTAGGTGGGAGCATTACCGCAACAGTATCATCAGAAACGACAGCCTCGAGTCAGCCTAATCCAACCTCTTCCGATCCTCACTTCCAGGTACTTTCATCACTTCGAGGTACCTTCAACATGCCGGCGGATTATAGCTCAACAGCGAAGGCGTTGGCCCTACCTATTTCTCCGTCTCCATCTCCATCCCCCAATTCCGAGCGAAACGCAGCAAGACCGCCGTGGTCCAGAAGGCTATCCTCAACCTCACGAAGACCAGCCAGCAACTCTCCATACTCTCAGCACAGCCGACCAACATCGGCTCTAAACCAAGTGCTCTCGACTGCCACAACAATATACCAGCGGGTTTGGAAAACGTTTAGATCTTTGTCACCGATACAACAAGTACTCGCAGCTACAGCCCTTATATGCATAAACGTCTTTGGAATTCTCTTCCTGGTATATAGCGAAAAGATATTCCACGTCCTCGGACCATGGGCAAAGAAATGGCATGGTGTGACAGGTGGCTGGGTGGTGCTGTGGATCATAACGTTCTTCTGTGCATTTCCTCCGGTCATAGGATATTCTACCGCGGTAACAATATCTGGTTTTGTGTATGGGTTTCCGGGAGGATGGTACATTGTTTCGACAGCTTCGGTAGCTGGTTCTCTGGCCTCCTTCCTCGCATCACGAACTATATTCTCCTCCTACGTTGAGCGTTTAGTTGGGAACGACAAACGCTTCGAAGCCCTAGCTCTAACGCTGAAGCACGATGGCATCAAGATTCTGTGTATGATTCGTCTTTGCCCGTTACCATACAGCTTGAGTAACGCAGCCATGTCCACGTTCCCTACAGTCCACCCATTGGCGTTTGCAGCAGCAACAGCAATAACATCGCCGAAACTTCTCATTCACGTCTTTATTGGGAGTCGAATGGCAGTCATTGCCGAAAAGGGTGGACAGATGAGTACAGGAACCAAAGCTATAAACTACACGTCCATGATTCTAGGCGGATTATTGGGCGCTACGATGGGCTGGATTATTTACAGCCGTACGCTGAAACGAGCGAAGGAGCTCGAAATCGCAGAACTAGAATCAGGACAGAGAGAAGTAGGCAGCCCGGCGCTCGGGAGAAGATATTCAGACGAAGAGATAGACTCCGCGGCGCTGATGAACGACGATGACATCTCATTATGGGACCACGAAGATGGTGGATTCGAAAGGAGAATTGAAGACCCGAGTACATACCGAGATGAGTTTACAGATGACGAGGATGTATTTGCGAGCGGCGATGTAGATGAGCCCAGAAATAAGACCAACGTCAAGCCGTGATGTATTCCTATGGGAAAAGAGTTAGGATTCTGAATTTTGTCGTACTTGGTTCAGATCAGAGCCTCGAAATCATGATCGAGGATTGCATCTCAGAATATTAGGCGAAACAATTGTCAGCTCGGATTCAGGTCATTGGGCGGCGTTGGCGTTTTAGAACTCTACTGATATAGAATATACCGATTTAAGTTTGAAGTATTGTGATTCTTATTGCTGAAACGTGCTATTTCGCCACTAGTCTATGCACGCCAGTTTTCTTGCAGTACCTAATGCATCAACAGCGGCCAGCAGGAATTTCAATTTTGTTTCCAAGCAGACTAGAGGCAACCTTGAATCCGATAACACGTTAGGTGTCCCAAGAGAACAGGCGAATAGACGATGTTGAATCATGATGTACACTGTGTGTTAAAAGTTGACAGCGAGCACCAAATGAAAGGTTGTACACCGAAAATCTTTATTTAATTGAGTTATTATTCTTCATCAAAGTGTCCTCTGCCCTATCATACTTACAAACGCACTGTTCCTGTCGATTTCTTAACCTACCTACGTGACTATGCAAGTCTGCATCCTATGATATATATACGCTATTAAACATGTTGCTCAACCTGCATTCCACTTGCTTCCAAACGCCATCGCTAAATTCAAATCGCTACTAAACTAAAATTCACATTTATTACATATTCTTGTATTGCTGCATGAACGCCAAAGCCTGCTCCATAGGATAACCTATAAAAACTGGTCCAGTAAACACCATTTGTGGCGCTTGAGACCCGTTGTTAGCCGTTTGAGAACCACTTGGGGGTTGGATAAATGTAGGATTTTGGACAGCAGGCGGCGGCGAGGCTTGCTTTACTCTAGGTTCTTCGAGTCTAGGTGCCTGACCGTGGCCGACAGGACATCTTCCTGCCGGTTTCTCAGCTATCTTTGAGTACTCAGCAACCGCATCGAGATCGAGATCTTCAGTTCCCAGCTCTTGCTTCACCCCTTGCTGTCCATGGCCAAATGGACACTTGCCTGCTGGTTTTGGAATATGCTCTGAAGATACCGGTGCTGGAGGTGGTGAGATCGGTCTTTCATCATCCATGGGGGCCTCAAATATGGGGACTTGGATACCCCATGGCCTGCTGGGCGATTCGCCAACGCGGACCTCTTTCAAGGGCCGATCAAAACGGCTCTCTCTATCATTCTCATCATTTTGTAGCTCTGCGTCATCATCCTGTCCAAGACCATCAGCACTGACAGCATTGGCCCAATTCTCAACTCTTTCGTTGGATGTTCTTTCAAGGTCATCTTGGTCTTCGGCGTCCGTAGGCAGCATTGGCTGATGCTTTTCACCTAGGCCTTGTATCATGCTGACTAGATTCCCATATTTTGCATCGAGTTTCTTTATGTCATCCTCGTTTCTCTGGTACCGCTTCACGCAGATTTCATGACTTCGTGGAATCTCGTGTTTATGAGTCTCAAAATAAGCCGCTACCTCTTCGGGGGAGTGCTGGTCTAAGTATCGTATAGGACATTTCGCAGCAGCGTCTGTTGCAGAAGGAGGTGGGGACGCCATCGTTTCTGCGTACATCGCAGCACAAATTGGGTCAGCGGACTGATGTGGGGTAGGGTCTTTACCGTCGGAGATTGTGGGTTGTTGGCCAGAACCCATCGTCGATGGCGAATGAATACGTTGCATAGGACGTGAAAAGGGACACAAGAGTGAGCTTTTCTTGCCAGGCACCGTAAAATCTTGCTCTAAAACGGTGGAAAGTGATGTCCTACGTGCAGAGAGTCTCATATTACTGCTCGTCCCGGATATACTCGTAGATCCGGTGGATTTCGTTCCCAGAGCTCTTATCCGCTGTACGGCTCTCCTACCGTCGCGTATCGCCTCAGCAGTTTCTTGCTTCGAATGACCTTGCCGCCGAAGTGGTAAAGGTACGAATCCCGCTCTGTCGGGGGTGGTCACTTGAAGGTACGGCGGAAGCTGCAGCTTTGCTAACGTCTCAGCGATACTGGGATCCGACGGCGCATATTTATCTGCAAGGATTTGATACTGTGTAGAGCTATATTAGTGTGAGGACGCGCCAAGTGAGTGTGAATGTTGCAAAAGTTTCCAAAGAGGTAAGAATTCAGGATACATGGTTGTTATCGGTCTTAGCTGCATTTGCAGTTTCTCGATCTAGAGCTAAAGTTTCTCATCATGATAAAATAGGAGATGAAGTGAATAGAACGAGAAAGCGAGCTTACTTCAGTGTGTGCGTATTGAAGCTTGTGCTGCAGAATGGTGTTTCTGTCACTCAGAAGCTGTACTGCGTCTGCGAGTGTGTTAAAATTACTTATTAGCTCTTTGGTGAGCTCCTCGTAGTCGAGGTCATTCTCTGGCATGATGCTAATGTCAATGCGGAATGAAGAAGATGGTAGAACCATTCCTTGTGAAAGGGAAAAAGATTCAAGCTTGAAAGTGGAGGCAGAACAAGCGTCTCCTGACAAATGTTGATGAATTCGGGCTCCGATAAATACCCGAAAGCCTTTTCAAAGGCTCCTCGCGGTGGACAAAATAAGTGGCAGTCTCACGATATTTCTTCAATTAACTCGACGAAATATCACAATTAGCGCATCAACTTAGAACGACATCAAATATTCCGTCGATAATTTTAAGTAAATGAGCCTTTTAGAGCTCTGCTCAAAGTCGACTTATTGAGTCTAAGGATTAGTGAACAGGTGATTGACATTTATTTAGTCCTCCGCGAGACGTCTTGGGATAGAACCTTTTCGTAATAGGTACTTGCAAAGGTTCTCCAGTCGAGTCAGGGAGAGATAAATGTTTGAGTAGGTCGATTGATTATTGAATCATGACAAGATGTTAAAGTAGTAGTAATAGATTGATGATACACAACGAAGTGTTGCTTTATTGGAGTTGGAATACTCTATACAAGGCAGAATCCCGCACAATAAAGGCTTTCCAAAATGAGACATGCAACATGCAAAGACTAAGTCGAACTTCTCATGGGACCAGTAATCTGAAAAGGAATCCCACGTTTGGTTCGAAGACTGGGGACTAACTATATTTCGGTAAGCTTCCCTACTTCTAAATTCTAACAGAATACAACAAGTCTTATGTTTCGAAGCAAGACTGCGATTTCACAAGTTTTTGTGCACCCGCTTGGACTAAACATATATTACTCGAATTGCTTCAAAGTACGCGCTGTTGAAGGAACATGTAAAGAGGAGGCGTACGCGACCAGATTTGTTGGTCTGGAGTTTGCTTCCATACAGGACATTCCGTAAGCGCGCGCCCATCGTAGAGGCACTGCACTAGAGCCTCGAAACAGTCTACGGCAGAGACCTTCTAGAAAAGATAACTGTTAAGTATGTAGCGGTTAACTCTCGTCGAGTAGAGAAAGGAAAATGATGTCAAAGACTGCCTTGGCTTGTCTGATTACTTTCGCTATAAACTACCATTCGAAGTACAACATACAACCAGGTCAGAAAGACCAATGCAGCAACGAACAGAATCACTTTTATGATCTTTTGATCACTGAAGAGCGGGAATATCAGGAATCTTTGTGTATAGGGAAGACTACAGTTTGTAGTGCGGCATTTCAGAGCTTGTGGTTGGCACAAATACGACCATGTATGTGATTGCCGGTCAACCTTTCGATCACTTTGTTGGAAATGGCCCAATACCGCGGTTGACAACATATTCTGAAACACCATCTAGGATTATGATAGCGTACTTTTCCGCGAGGAGTTGGCAAAAGCGTCAATGATAGTAAAGAAGTCCGAAAGCCGGCTCTATCGATATGAATATAAAAAGCTTTCCAGTAAAATAGTAAAGTTTTCAACCCTTTTAGACGGCAGCCTTCGTAAGAATCGGCCTAGCCTTTGAGTATAAGCATGAGCTACCGTCCTAGCCTATTGTAGTGGTCAGCACGACTTAATTCGAATATGTCCATACCTCTCCGTCTCACAGCCCCCACCGATATATGCAAACTCCTGTTCGATCAGTCGATGTGACTTTATCCGCACTGAGGAGAGTATCCCCTCCTTTCAGAAGCATTTCCCTGACTCGATGGAGAAATACACCATGATCAGGGTAGTATCAGATCTGATCTGCGTTTATGTCGTGCGAGTCCAGAACCAATAATCCTTGCTGATCATTGGATGCTATTGGGGGCGCAGACTGCTGATTGAGATGTATAGACACTTGATGCATATACGCAGAAGCAAAGTAGATATTAGCAGTGTGCCTTTTATTGGGGTACTCTGGTAAATTAGCTTTAATGATGTTGTGTTCCTACTCGTACTGCGCTGGGTGATGCTAAGGTTATGTGCTCCGCTCCGTATGTCTTGACGGAAGAAGGTGGATGATTTGATCGTCAAGGTGCATCATTGCGCCCCACTTCTACATTCGCATGCAACAATTTGTATAGAGCAGTAACTCCGTACTCGAGTACGAAGCCAGTTACAATCCTCCCGCACCTTGTATCAGACCAATTCTTCGAAAGACGTTACGTAGACCAGACAAGCAATCTTTAGACACAGCGCTTCGGGATTTCTACTCCAGCAATCATCTACGGAAGTACAGGTTTGGCCAACCACGTTGTACAACTCAAGCTCATCGCACGGCTGGTACCACCACTTCAGCCTCAAAAGCCTCCCGACATTTCTCAACACACTCCCTTGATATTTACGCTATTCATACAATCATCCATACCGCCAGTCACCACTTACGATATCACCCCTTTCACCGGCGCATCAGGGCGGCTTCATGTAGTGCCTCGGTCACCAAATTGGTCTAGCAACTGGCAGTAGGGGGTTGGCAATACCCAGAGGGATAACCCCACCGGGAACGTCCTCCAAAGTTTGCCAAAAGGGTCTTCAATGGATTGCGAATTACGGAAATCGTCTTCGAGGTCTGTTGCGACTAGCAACCTGGCCTTCCATCTACTTCCGGACGAGATTATTGAGCAGTGAGTTGGGAGAGCACGAAGCACGTTAGGATTACGTTGAGCTTATGCTAACCTTTGACTTCCTAGAATAATCCTCTCCACGAGCCCGAATGCATTTGCTTCCGTATTAAACCTGAATAGAAAGTGGCGGGCTGTAGCGCAGCAGGCGCATCTCTATGTTCATCACCTCTCGCGATGTGCCTCCTATTCGGCCGCCCATCCGTCTGCGTCGTTGTCGCAGAATGACGACGACCTTCCGCGCCTTCGCGGCTTGTTTGCGCAAGAGATAAAACGGAATCTGTTCGAAGCGTATTTACGACCCAAGGAAACAATCATCAGTCTAGTCTCAACCTCTATAAGTTCCTCCTCGGCCCCGGGTGGAGAGGCTTTCCATTTCAGCATTTCTCCAAAGGGACACTTTGTCTTAGCATACAGTTCATCACGAATTCACGTTATAGATGTCGGGGGCCCCGATGTCGAGGTTAAGCGGGAGCTGAAAATACTGCGAAGGCCAGCATCTGCCACGATCACAGATGATGGGTCGCTGTTGGCTGTTCTTGCGACGGACCTTCAGGTTGACATGTACGATTTGACGGGAGAGCACCCCAAGCATACGCATGCTGTCGCCCTAGATCATTCGCCACGAACTATCGCCTTATCACCCACAGGCGCTGTTTTGGCTGCGGCGTACGATTCTGGGGTAGAGGTTTCATCATTAGATTCGACCAATTCGAATACAGAGAGACGGGCGGTAAAGTGTTATGCCGTAGATACGTTGTGTTTTTCACCTGATGGGACACAGCTATTAGGGACCACTATGCAGTCGAGAAATCCGAGTACCGTCATTCTCACGGCACCATACTATAATACAGGGGGCGCTATGCCCGAGGAAACTGTCAGTATTAGTGCTTTGTGGACCACATCCATACTCTTTCCTAATGGCAGTCGAGACTGTAGTCACGCAGTCTTACTCCCAAGCCCTTCAGATGAAGAACCCACTTGGGCGTTTACGTACGATCGAGTGTTCGAAACGTTCCGCGCTGTGCGTATCGACGATCTTCGAAACGGCACAACTTACTTTACGGGGCCGTTACCAGATGCCACATCTGTTGCTAAACTTCTACCGAGCACGTTGCCTACTTCTACCCAGCGAGGAGACCTTGTAGCTTCGGGCTTCCAAGGCTCTATATGGCTCTACGGAGTTCCTGAAGACCTCGATGCTGTGCCAGTCGTTTCTCACGCAGTGAGCGGCAATACTGATAGTGGAATAAGCACGCCGTCGACCCAATTAGGACGGCGAAATAGCGCTCCATCTCTTCGGTCTGTTCATAGGCAACGAGAAACTTTCAGTCGGACACCGCAATGGCAACTTCTCTGCGATCGCTTTCGAAATACATTTGTTGAGGGGCGCAAAGTTGGCACCTTAGAGCAAGTCAGCACCATGAGCTGGGTTAGGGACAATGATAATGCGGTATACGGTGAAAGACTTGTTGCAGTTGCTCCTGGTATTGGTCTTAAGTCACCTAGCAGCGAGTGCTGGGAAGAAGACGGCATGAGTCCTGTGGACGGCGGGCGTATATCTATTCTAGATTTCAATTACGCTGTGAGAGACGGAAAGAAAAGCTTCATTACCATTGAAGTTGGCAACAAAGAACCCGAAATCCTGGAGGAGGAGCATAGGGATTTGGATACAGAGGTAGCCATAGTGAGGAGGCGGACCGTTGCACAGCGTCGAGGAAACCGAAGTCATGTCTCCCGTTCTGTTGTAGTCGCTCCCCATATACCTCATTCGGAAATACCTCCGTTACCAGCGACCGAAGACGATTTAGGTGATCCTTATGGAGCGCCGCCTCCTATTCCCAGAAGATTAAGTGACCAGGAAACTACTTCTCAGCACATGGAGGACCCTTCTATGGAGGAAGTACAAGAGGCACTTGATGCGCCATACTCTCACACGAGCCCGCGCTCTGGTACAACCCTTCGACGAGCCGCTACAGCTGCTGCTGTTAATCGACGACTCCACCCCCGTGCGGTCGCACAGGATCATATAGAATATCGTCGTGCAGATGGCCGTGAAGAGCACCCGCATGAGAGCGATGCAGATAATTGGGTTCCTCCTCCACCCCCCTATTCAAAGGATCCCTTGCCTCCACTGCCTGAACATATTCAACGGTCCTTATTAGCGGAAGCAGCTCAATCAAGACACTCGATGACTCCTCTATTCGACGAGTCTCCTGGCTTAGACCTTAGCCCATTAGCACGTTCACGCACTCTTGCTCCTACAAATACTGGTAGAACCCGGCGCGAGTCGTTTCCATTTCAGAGAAGTGTCAGTGATCATACAACCATGAACTCAGACCGCGTTTCGATAGATGAAGACCGCGCGCGGCCTTCTTCAAGTCCTGGGTCACCAGAATTTGATGATCTTTATGATGTGTCCCCTCAAGGAACACCTCCACTTGCTCCACGTACACTTGCCACATATCAGATACCAAGGCGCGCTGTAGGCAATCCAACGACCAACGACCAAATTCCTAGCCCACATATGAGAGCTACCTTACTCGAGCCAGTCTCCCCGCTGCCTTTGCCGAGCCCTTTGAGCGACCTTAACGAAAGTCAGTCTCATGAGGTAGTCACGGCTGATCGCGATGCGGAATTGTTGAAAGCGGAAGCACCGACCCTGAATCTTGACAAGGAGGTTCCACCACGACCGACCGAAGAACATCATTTGACCCGAATGCCATCGACGATACCAGTAGCTGGAGTGCAACAACAAGCCATTGAGTCAGGACGCTCTGTAGCGCCAGAACCTGTCCCATTTCCCGCTGAAGACCCTGTGACACCAGAAGTGTTTCCTCTTATGTCGAAACGTGTAAGGACTGCACCTACCATGCGTTCACCGAGCGCGGTCGATGAAGGTCTGGTTGTAGATTTCAAAAGAAGCGAAACAGTGCCAGCGCCATCAGTCAGGTCCGCGAATGCGTCGAACGCATCTGGGATGGTGCATCCTAGCGCTGATCAACTTGCTCGATTGAATAGTCGTCAAGGTCGTCCACAAGGGATTGCTGATCCATCCCGGCGTATGTCTTCCGGAGCGAACAGCCAGCATCGACGATCTGGAAGTGGCAATCGACCTGCTTCGTCAATAGGATATTCACAGCCTCACAATCCACATCAGAAGCATCATGCACCTCCAGTAATTACAAATGATCTACCGGAAAGATCGACTCCACCACGTGCTGCGATGGGCGCATATGGTTCACCAAGCAGAAACGGCGTGCATGGGAGGCCGAATCACCTTGGCCAACTAAGTCCCGAAAGTTCGAACTCGCCGCAGCGCTCATTTGGGAATGGAAGCTCAACTCGTGGCAGCCCGTCAGGTCTGCGCCCCCCAATGCCACGATTGGAGACCATTCATAGTATAACTTCAAACGGCGATTCATCGGTGTTTGTTCCTCCAAAGTCAACTGGAATTTCGAGGAATCCTAGCAGAGCGGAGCGGAGCGCTGCGAAGAACATTCAGGACGCCAAGAAGAAAGGCTGGAGGCAGAGTATATATGGACCGAAAAGGGGAAAGAAGCTAAAGAAAGACAAGTATGGCGATACTGCGAGTTCGGCTGGTTGGACCGATGTGTCTTACGGCTCCCCTAAGGAAGAGCAGAAGAAGAGCGGGAAGTGTATGGTTATGTGATATGTGATATGATACCCTAGTAATGTCGATTTGGAGCACGAAATAATATTGGAGTGTTAGTTGTTTATAGGTCTCAATTGTCCATAGACAGTTAGAGCTGATTGCATGTCGCTAGTCTAGCTATGGGAAGATCTAAAGTTAAGAGAGTACAAGAAAGACTTCTCCAGTTCTCCAAATGCACGAGTTTATTATTTGAATTGAGTTCTAAATCCCCAGAACTATTCCAAGATAGCTCGGAATCAGCGCCAGTCTCATTAGTCTGTGAGGGTCGTAATAATGTTCTAATAGCAGCAGATACCCTAGGTAGTCCTTGATTCGCACAATTGGAGGAAAATAATGCTTTGTAGCATCGGTTCCATATGTTGTGTGCAGGTGATAATTGCTAGCGGTGACGTGAAAAGGTAGATAGTAAGTGGGTTGCATCTTAATCATGATTTACCATCTCACATCTCACATGTACCTTATTCCATTCCCTTGTGAGTAGTCATCCATCACTAACAATGGGCCTCCGACTCGTGGTGAGTAAGGTGGCTTGAAGATGTTGCTAGTGAACTAATCAAGAGAAGGACATAAGGAATCTCACAGGTGGTCAAAGAGAGTTATCGAGAGGCAAAATACATATGCTGCAAAATAATGTGAAATTACATTATCCTATTTCCTCGTTCTGTTACCAATCATCAGCTTACAGATAGCAGGTGAATACTTGGTGAATCTACAACCAGACTAGGCATAGGAATTGGGTTTAAAAACCGTGTTTCGCGAATAAAATGTCTTTAGATAACATCATTCAAAGTGTGGAAGATGATCTGAATGTACTCCAAGAACAACATGTTTCAGCATAAATTAGGAGAACATCAGCCACTGCTTCAAGGCCCTTCTCTAATCCTAGCTATATCTACAAAGTTACCCAAAGCTCTTCTAGAGTTTCACCTTTCAATTTTCCACGTTTAGATCTATTCGGCGTGATGCCTTCTCCATACGCAGCGCCCACTGCGTATATCTCTGGCGACGATCATCTTGACGGAGACGAACTCAACATCAACGATATCAACTTGAATGATGATAGCAGCAATAGAGACCCACAAGCATACGAAGGGGCAATTGACGAAATACACCAGGAAGATCCAGCTTTACCACTGATCGAAGAAACAAATGTTACCAGTCATGAACGGATCCTTTTTCATCCACCGACAACTTGCTCGAAGAACGATGAGATTCCAGCACTTAGCCCAAGCAGAGAGCCAGATTTAAACTGTCCAATTTGCCATGACGACTACGATAACAAGTCGTTGGTTGAACCCTGCCTTCATACGTTCTGCCTGGCATGCTTGAAAGAATCAGTAAAGATATCGATTGAAACGACCCAGGTTCCGATATGTCCGCACTGTCGTCAATCAATAATTGTCATTTATCATAGCATGTTGGAAGATGGACAGGCTACAAAGGAGAAGATCATATCGCCCACAGAAATGGAGTTTCAGGAAACTGTTGATCTATTGAACGACAGACGACCGGACATTCGACAGGCTATAGAAGATCGACAAGAGATCTCGGAGCGAATCGAAAGTGAAGAAGGCTCGTCTCTTTCTGCAGCGGACATGGCAAGTCGTCTTGAAAACGTTACACAGAAGGCCTCTGAGATCGCGTCTGATGTGGCTTCGAGATACAGCTATGAAACCCCCCTTAACGCACCACCCGTTGAGATTATCTTGGAATTTTACGACATAGTTATGAGTCTAATCCGAGCCGCTAAAACAGAACAGCAAATGATCACTGTCAAACCTGTCCTAATCAGAGTCAACGGCCAAATCCGGAGAATGGAAGATTGTGTGGTAGAGCATCGATGGCCAGATTCTTATTGGAGAGCACACGGATTGCGGTATCTTTCTAGACCAGTCGAGCTTGTAATACTACCCACAAGCCTCCTGGAAGACAAACCTCGAGGAACAAGAGGAGAACTTCTCTCAATTAATGACATACTGAAAGATTATTTTGCAGGCGAGAGAGAAAGCTGCGGATGGGAAGAGCAGCGACTCGGTACCCTCACAGAGCTGAGCTTTCCGTTCAATACAAGCATGATTCCAACCAACGTGGAAGAGGAGTTGGTGATCAACTTCCCCCATGCCGCGCTCTCAGAGGAATTGAATTGCTTCGCTCGCCGTAGTGTAGATCGTATGGAACAAATCGATGGATTTTTTCACATCATAATTGATGGTAATTCTGTGTTGACGAGACCAATTGATGGAATCCAAGGACCCGATAGACAAGCTCTCAATAAATGGCTCGAGTGGAATGACGAGTTCCTCAAGATGCTCGAAGTGTTGAGGCCGGCAGCTCATAAAAGTGATGAAGTTGCGAGTGTTCTTAATCCTGTTATTCGCAGAGTGAACAGACGAAAGCGTTTGTTGTGGTTGATTTATAGGGAAGCCGATTATAGTTAGTCACACGGGGGAGAATCGGGTAATTCTTGGCTGCTTCAATATTTGATTAATTAATTAAGTTAATCTTTAGTTAAATTTGATCAATTATTAACGGTTTTCCTACTAACAATTAGTTTAGTTTTAACGCTTAACATAGTAGAAATGTAGGTATATACTTTGAGGCCAAAACACCTCAATTACGCCTCAAAACAAGGCCTTAAAAAGCCTTAATAATGTCTTAAATAACTACTTTAAAAGGTACATTCTCCTTATATTCTTATGTCATTAATAGGGCTCTTATATCAGCTATATACCTATGTACGACACGGCCTTGGGGTTTATTAAGGATTGTTACAAATGTCATTACTTTTGTAATAATTTTTGATCTAGGGCCATTAAATTTAGCAAGCCATCCCTAGTGCTTATCAACATTTGAAAGGGTATTTAGCATCTTGCGAAGCCGACCATCAATGAACAAATATTGACTTCAGCTGTGTGACAATTTTTTCACAACGCTCGGATTTGCAACAAACATACTAGCTCGTATTATACTTACATTCGAAGTCGAACAGATTACAGTGTGCACACCTTTTGCAATCTTTCATCTTCCCGTGATGTTGCAGAGCCTGCCATTCCATCGCCTAGGCAACATAGGAAGATACCTATACTTAGTGGACAACCATTTATTGGTCATCGACTTAGTCCCCAACCCTTGAAAATTGATTTCAAATTGAAAAAAATAAGGTTGCTCTATGACCAATGACCATTGACAAAGACTCCATCCAAGAGGGGATGAGAAGAAAATTGAGATGGTTTGTTTCTGTTCTTCGTTCGAAATGTTGTTGGGTATTTGATGCTGAGGATGGCTCGCGGAGGACAAGATGGTTGGCAGTGCACGGGCCTCGACACGTCAAAAACCGCGTCCTACATCAACAACCCATCTTTAACCACCCAAAATCAGACCAAAAAATGCACTCCAGGGGCGATAAAGTGCCAGGCGAAACGGACAAGGAACGGAATGGCCGAAACCGTAATCAGTTTACTGGAAAGCGCCCTAGAACTCCGTCCCCAATTAATCCTTTAGAAGGTACTATTGGGTCAGCTTTTAAGCGACAAAAGAACGAGCATATCGACCACTTTAAGACTCCTACGAAGGCAATTGTACAAGGGATTGTAGCCTATACCGATAAGAGAGTACCTGACGAGGTACAAGAGACTCGAAAAGATATCTTTGACTTCTGCGGAGTCTCTAAACGCACAGGCTACCGATATATCGAAGACCTACCTGACATCGAGGCTACCTCAGCTCGCCGACTCGAGAATGATCCCACGAAGCCTAAGACTAGGGGCTAGAAGCAAATTTTGACTGAAAGAGACATTCGGAGACTAGAAAGGATCATTTGGAAGAATGGGTTTAAGGGCAGGGCGATGACCTAGTCGGCATTGGCCGAGGAGGCTTAGATACCGGGTCAAAAGGACGGAACATACGTGAGCGGGAGAACTCTCGCTCGGCACATGGGTTCCTATGGCTGGCGCCACTGTATAGCATGTAGGAAGGGCTTCGTCTCCCCCGAGCTAATGAAGCGTCGAAAGAAGTGGGCGACCGATATACTCAAGAAGTACCCTAATCCTGTAGACTAGTATAGGGTTAGGTTCTCGGATGAGGTACACTTCTCTTTCGGCCCACAAGGACGTCTTATGATTCTTCGACGTCCTAGAGAGCGAAACTGTCCTAATTGTATTCAAGAACTTAACTAAAAGAAGAAGAAACAGAAAGGGGGGGGGAATGATGAGATTAACACAAGTTATAACCTCCACGCCTAGGCAGCTATTAGCTACAACTTCAAAGGCCCCCTTGTATTCTACGACGCTGGCAATATAAACGGCAAGATGACCTATAAATGCTATATTGAGCAGATTCTTAACCCAATTGTCTTACCGTGGCTAGTAGAGAATAAGGACTTCGTTCTTGAGGAAGATGGGGACTCGGGTCACGGTTTTAGTCCTAGCTTAAATATCGTTAAACAATGGAAGGAACGCCACGGGCTTGAGCACTACCAGAACTACGCCGGAAGCCCTGATATTACTCTAATTGAGAATAGCTTCTAGGTACCTAAAGAACATATTAGGAAGTTCACTTATAACGATGTAGAAGGGCTCAGGGTGTTAGCTTTGGAGGGGTGGGCGAAGCTCAAGCAGGAGACGATAAATAAGTGGGTAGAAGAGATGCCGCAACGCCTCCGGGATATAATTGATTCAAAAGGCAAAATGACAGGCTATTAGACTAGCATTTAATTACATTTTCTACCTACTATCTAACCATATAAAAAGGGGGGGTAGCCAATGCGACGTGATGAAAAAAGGTCAATTTTGGTGAGGTCGCGCACAGGCCATATTGGACTGCCACCCATCTTGTCCTCCGCGAGGGAGGTTAGGAATAATTGAGCACGCTTCCTGGTCGCTGCCTAGCGATTGAGGCAACAAAAGGCGCGAAACAGGCCGAATTTCCAAGGTTCTTTTTCCTCGCGACCTCCATCTCTTACTGTATGATCGCTGGTCTCGTCATCCTCCCTCAATAATGGCAATTTTAGCTTCAAATTTAACTCATTGGACGGGGCGAGTACTCCAATGGCTTGAAGCTGGGGTCACGCCGATGTGACGACCTGGCAAGGGGCCAAGTCCAAAGGCAAGCTGGACACTCACCTGGATTTATTTCGAGATGTTGAGCCCGACAGCCGCAAATGTCAGCCATCGGAGCAGTATTGGACAGAGCTTCCTCAAATTCCACTGCATGTCTCGGCGATAGACTCTGAGTTGGGAGGAAGAATCCGAACGATGCAGAGATTGTTTAACAGAACCTAGGTGTTACATCACATAAAAAAGACACGACACCGAGGCTGCTGATGCAGTACAACATTCAAATGTTGACCGGTATTGAAGAAATTGAGCTTATGCAGACATGATCCTTCCGGTTGATAGACGCCTTGCCGAGAAAATGTGTAATCCTACCATGGAGCTGCAATCTCCAACAGTGAAATCAAGGACGAGGACGAATACGCACGGAAATCGGTAGACCATTATCTGCTCAATGTATCTGCTCCAAACCGCAAGATGCAAGTAGAATGGCGAAAACACCAGCGAAGAAAGCCACCCTTTCATATGTGGCCATTCTCGAAAGCTAACTCGCTGAAGCGTTTGAGCCAAACCTAGCTGATCTACTGTTCTTCGTTCGACCAGCTTCAGCCTCGAGAAGAGGTTCACTTGTAACGCCGCCGTAGGAAGATACGCTGTGTATTTCCAGCCCGTCGGGTTTGCGCTGCCTTATTGTCTGAAAGCTGCTGAAACCGCTGACCACACTCACCACACACCGTGCAAAACTCGCGGGGTGTAGAACCCCGATGTTGGAACGGCAATGGCCGCCACCACTCACCGCTACTTCAGGTGCTCTTCAGGGGTTAAGCGAGCGCGCCCTGAGGAGACCACCTCCTACGCTAAGTCTTCTCTCTTAGATTGACTCTTGCGCTGAAGGAACTCCAAGGAATCCTCCGGTATGCTAGAAGATTTCTAACATGAGCTTCCCCGTCTAAAGCTCCTTCGTCGGCTTGCATTGAAAGATGTGCTAGGGGTCGAAGATGAGTCTTATTGGCTGGCTTCAATGGAACTTTGTTATCAATGTTCGTTTGGCTTTCTATATGGATTTTCCAAGCTATCAGCCTTCCTCGGTCTTTGAGGTTTCAAGCTTGTGGTATTCGGTCTGTTCTCTCAGCTCGCCTTAGCGAGTCGGAACTTTGTGGAAGGTTAGGTGGAGGAGTATATTATGAAGGAGCCTCCCAGGCTACCTTCTCTAGCTACCGCTTCTGAGGTTCACAACACTCCTGCTTTATGCGCTTTACACTCATTTATCATTCCCATTGCTGTCTATTTTTGCTGACTTTCTGAAAATCAAACAATGGCTTACTTTTCGGCCGTCCTTTTACTTCTTTCTTTGGTCTCTCAATCATGGGCACTTCCTGTCTCCCAAACTGGCACACAAGATATGAACATCACTTATACTGATGGAGACTATCATTGGACTGAAATAACAGCCTCGACTACTACGCCAGTAGCGCTTCCCGAAATAACAACGCCAGTGACCACTTCGGAGTCTACACAGCAGACTGCTAGTTCGACGTCTGGTGGACCGTCATCCACCACTACTGTAGTCAATACGCCCCAAAGTACTGGTGAAGTTCCTGTCACTTCAGTTCCGTATACCAAATTCAGTGGTGATGGAAGTGAAGCTGCTGGCTGGCCATCGATTGCAGAATGGGTATCTTTCGATCAAATGTAAGCAAAATTAGTGGAACACAGACAAGATACTGACGATTTCTAGGTGGGCTAATAACAAGCCGATCCTAGAAGTCTCATGTGCAGCTCAAGGTGTTGAAAATAACAGTGAGGAAGAAATAGCCCAAATGAAAGCAGCTATATTGGAACAAGCTGCCGCCACTAAAGTTGATCCTCGTTTTATTCTTGCCACAATCATGTCAGAGTCTACTGGCTGCGTTCGAGTGATAACTACGAGATCCCCAGGAGATTTGATCATCAACCCAGGGCTCATGCAAGATCATCAGGGAACTGGCTCTTGCGAGGGTATTCCTGCTCCTTGCCCAGAAGCTCAGATCAAGCAGATGATCATGGACGGTACGGCGGGAACAGAGGCAATTCTTAGAGGGGGTGATGGACTTCAGCAAACTCTACAAAAAGCTGCCGCATTTGGAAAGGACGCACAAGCAGTTTATGTCGCCGCCAGGATATACAATTCAGGGTCTTACGTTAGTGGAGCACTTGAAGACAATGCTGCAACAGCATGTTATTCTTCCGACATCGCCAACTACTTGCTTGGGTTTGCAGCAGCTTTAAGTCCTTGCAAACTCGGGATAGTATAAAGCGCGTCGTGAATTTTCTGAGAATTCCGGTGCTACATGATTTGTCAGAGGAAACCAGCCGCGAGTTTATATTCTTGTATTTTTAGGGATACTGTGGCATGGGAAAACAAACGTTTATCGATTCGGATCATCCCGGGCACGAAAATGTATAATATTCGTCCGTACGGTGGGGTCATGTTCTTGTACACTAACGAGCTGTAATTGTTTAACTGGCACGTTATTCCTATCTAATATTATTTGGTCTCTTAATTATTGTATATCAGATCTCAGCATGTCAAATGAAAAGCGTTGCAAGGTACCTGATCGTAGCACTCCATTGAAAACTAAGCTTGAACCGTCAATTTATTCTCCTCAAATAATCTAGAATTAGAAAACACAAAGAGTGCAGTCATACTCCATCATGATTTACCGCCTGTATAACTATGAATTAATCTGTAAGACTTATAGACCCGTATATAGTACAAGTAGATCGACAATATATATTCAATTAAAGTGGGTAAGTAAGAGTTATACCCAATCAACAAGCATCTTTGATAGCTCTCATGCACGGACCAATAGTTGACGGTTCGGCACGTTTGAGCACGTTTGAGAACATTGGACGACGCCAATTCATGGTCCCACGGCATCTCTACATTATACATAAACAAATATAAACTACAACTATTGCGTTTCTGTCATTCGATCTATCTGCTTGCAACTAACTCTGCGACGAAATTTACGCCCGCGTATGAACGAATAAAATAGCCCTCGAATCCAACCCGAAGTCAGACCAACTCCAGGTCCCCCAGGGAATATGTCAATGGATCACTCCCAGATGGATCACAGCGGAATGGATCATGGCGGACATAGTGGTGGTATGCCGATGGATATGTGTAGCATGAGTGTATGTGTTGTTCTGTATTCGAGCTAGACCTTTCCACCCCCTTCAAAGTAATCTTCTGACAACCGCATGGCAGATGCTCTTCACGTGGAACACCAAGAACCTCTGCTTGATCTTCAAATGGTGGCACATCCGCTCAACCCCTGGCCTTATCTTTTCCCTCCTCGCAGTCGTCGCCCTCACAGCAGCTTACGAAGCACTCCGTTCCCTGTCCCGAAGATACGAAAGAGCCGTCGAAAAGAGAGTAGAATCTACACCCAGTATGTCTTCACGCTCCCTCCAACTCCTCCATATCTCCTTATACCTTCCTGCTCTGTTGCAGTGGCAGCAATTCTTCTTTATGAAGTAGAGGCATAAGCTGAGATATAATGTTCAAATAAAGCTTTACTTGTTGATGGAGAGCGTATTACTGAGACTACCCCTTTCCTGTGGTCAGGACATAACCAAGCCGAGGTTTCGAAGAGGGCGCATGTCATCAAGGCGTTCTTCTACGCGGTCCAGAACTTCTATGCTTTTATGCTAATGTGAGTAAATATTGTCTGCTTCGCCGAGATCGAATTATTCCTTGCATACGGATCCACCATCCCAAAGATTGGATGTGACCTAAAGAAACCGCGGCTGAAAACTAGACCGACACTGGCTAACTCGCGCTTAGGTTACTGTTCATGACATACAATGGCTGGGTAATGCTGTCAATGGGAATTGGCGCATTCGTTGGTTATTTGCTCTTTGGAAATGATACAAGCTCAACAAAGGATAGCGCTTGTCATTAAATGGAAAAGAAGCTTTTTTCCTGCATCTGTTACTCTATGTCGTGGGATTTTGAATGCACTCAAAATCATGCACATTGCCGTTGCAGATGACATGTCGGACGAGGGAGCTGTTTACTTGATGACGACAGTCCTGCCTCGTACACAGCGTCTGCGTCTTGCAACATACCACCAGCTCAACGAGGCTGTTGCACAACATCACAGCGAAGCAACTCTTCAATAAAATGTACGCATAGCTGCTGGCGCTGCGAGGGGTACAGAACATCCTCATCAAGGCTGAACCGGCACAATATAGGAGAATTTTCTTCATGATTGCAGATCATACAAACCTGATACCTCTTGATCCTCTAATTCTTTATCAATCTACTGTTAAATATTGAAAGTTGCACCGTATGATCGTCCCGCAATTGTCATCCCTTTGAATCTGCAAGGAAACCGATCCTGTGTCGCTTAATGACCTCCCCTCGGCGTTAACCGAACTGAGACCTCAAGGGGGCAGATTAGGCTAATAAATTTTCTACATCACCTTCCCTTTTGAGAGGAACCGTTGCAGTGGAAATCGAAGAGAGTTGTTTGTTGCATTTCGCGATTTTCGTCACTGAAACTTGACGAATTATGGGACTAGGAGGAGCCAGGATTGATAGCAAGTGTGGTATTCCTACTTCCGATCACCGGGGTGGAAATGAAGGCAAAAGCTGGAGTTTTTGGTTCATGGGTGCATTGGCGCGTTTACTTGGCCATTTACATTGGGTTGCAAGGCTTCTGAGAGTTGCGGCTCTGGATGTCGACGACATTGTTGGGAGCCGTTGGACTTTGAACTCTATCTCGTACTACTCATCGCACCTTCGTCACTTGACGATTTCATGTCGTCCCCCTGTATGCTTGAAGTGACTGTTTCTCTCAGATCTTCAGCTTACTGTTACCTGCCAGGTTCCACCGTGATGTCCAGCAGGCTGGCAGCGTAGTTTCGGCTTCTAATGATATGTATCTCACTACGATTTTAGCTCTTCGGTTCTTTGGCAAACTGTCTATCTGGCAACTGGTATCTGGACCAAGGTGCTGAACTTGTGCTTTTATATACCATCTACAAACTCGGAAGTACTATCCATAATATATTTTCATAGACAAGCGTCCCCGAAATTTCCTTCTCCAGATTTCTATGCCTCGATGGTATACTTCTGAATCATCAAAGCTTGCATAAACTCATCGAATGCCCACTATTCTCGCAACTTTCGTCAAATTGTTTCGCCAGCAGCTCTTCGAATAAAATCCACAACTTCTTTGGCATGAGAAGCATGCACACAATGTCCGGCTCTAATTCTTTCCACTTCCACAGTCGCGCCATCGGCCTCAATCGAAGAAATCATGGCCATCTGCCCAACTTCCGGGATAGCGCGGTCGTTTTCACATACCAGATAAGAAACTGGTATTTTCTTGTACGCCGCAGATCTGGTAGTGTCCGTAAGTGTTGCGAAGGCATGTGGCTTAAGGCGAGAAACGTAGAGATCGGCTTCTTCAGACGGAATATCATGATACATCATCTCCTTAAAGCCGTTCCCCCAAATTGTTTGATTCTGAATAGACTAATTAGCCTTTTCACGCAGAGAATAGGACATGATTCAGACTCACGTCTTCTGAGATAAGCCACCAGTCCGGACGAGCATAAGGACCGCCAACACCCAGTTCTACACTCACTCCTTGAGGAAGTACAAACGATGATACGAAAGAGAGCCTTGATACACCCCCAACTTTACCAGCTTCTCTTCTCTCGTTTACGCTGAGTCCGTCCAGTGCACTAGTTGTTGGAATACCGCCATAGCTATGTACGTGCATGAGGACTTTATGACCCAATTCCACTTCTTCCTCAACAGCCGCTCTAATCGTTTCAATATCTTCAGTTAGCGAGGTAACTGGCGGCTTGGATGCTACTGATGGCAGGTCTACGGCAACACAATTGTACCCTAGAGGTTGGAGAAGAGCGATCGTCTTCTCGAAATATTGGGAGTTGTGCCACGCCCCGTGGACGAAGACGATTGATGGTTTCGACATCTTGGTGTATCGAATGATCGTGAAAGCGAAGAGTGAGAAGAGTGGAGGTGAAGACAATGATGTTTTTGCGGGCAATAAAAACGGCAGAGAACCAATTACTTATAAATATATTTACCATCAGAGAGTCTCGCTCATCGCACCTGCTTATTACAGGGGGTTAACTACTTATAGATGTATTTAAGATCAGAAAGTCTCATACTTGTCTCGTACCTGCTGGTTGCATGATGTGCGTAAGTTCACATGTACATAAGCAGTATTTCAACATCGTGCTATTAATGCAATGTCTGTTAGCTCGTAAGAATCGCGACTGTTTGATTGGTTTTGTGCAAGTCTAATGATAACAATAAATTTGAAAATCCACTCCTTGAAGTTCGGGTTCGGTAATATAGGTCTTACCTATCCTTGTAGAGTCTGTCTTCGTAGAAGACAAATAAATGGTAGAGAATCCTTGTTTTATTAACTTAAACTGTGCTCTATAATGACTCAGTAGTTTCGGTAACAAATTTGCTTTCGACATAATCTAGATTCGTCTTATTTACCGAAAATGGCAGACGAAATATCGTGTATTTCGTTAATTATCTTGAAGAAAGCTTTTTTTCGACTGCCACTAATCTTGTCAACCACGAGCTATTCCTAATGACAATGCCTCTTACACTAGCTAGTACACTGTGCCTTATATCCTTTTGTAACAGGCTCACCGCGAAGTTCGAAGTCCGAGATCGTGCATCTAGACCGACGTGTTATTATTATTGCAGCACACTTGGCTTTCTTATAACTCTAGAATAACGATGTAACCAATGGACGTGTTGGGGGTTTATTAATGTCATCGAATGCGAAATCGAGCACTGGGGAGCGGGATCGGCATTATCAAGGAATTGATTCTTCACCGCTGTGATGTCAAACCGCAAATAAGTTCCTAGATTTAGGCAGCGTAGTACATTAAAACTATTTCGCGACTTTCTCTATGTACACGGCGTCTCCTTAGGGTTGGAACCATATTTGCTGAAATATCATCCTTCGAACCATCCGTCAATAAAGCAAATGAAAACCCGAACCCGAGCCCTGTTACAGCGAACGCTAAAAGTCTTGGAAATTTAGGCCCCAGCTTAATGTGAGATCTGAGAAGAGAGACCAGGTTCTAAGTGGCCATCTCTTCGCTTATAATCATTGTCCCCTGGCGAAGTTCAGGGGCGTAGCTTCAGCCCTACACTACAGTACAGGCATTAATGATTACGTACATAATCAACATCACAACTTCAATAGATCATTTCTGTTGATCAAAAATCCAACATTTTCATTTGCTGTCTCCTGTAACTCATCTGTTGAAGAGTTGGTATATCAAAATGTTTACACACTCCAATCCGGTAGCATTGAGAAGTCATAAGAAATCTCAGGGAGGGTGCAAAAGCTGTAAGGAAAGAAGAGTGAAGGTAAATAATGTGTCTAGATAAAAGCGCAAATGATCTATTGAACTAATTTACTTACTATCACAGTGCGATGAAGTCAAACCATTGTGTGGGAAGTGTGCTGTCCATTACGTTAACATTAGGACCTGTGAGTGGACAGCTCCCAAGCCAAGAAAAAGCGGTTTGGGAAAGACAGCAAATGCTCTCAAACCGAAGTCTTCAGTGGTAAGTTTTCCGAGTAGCAAGGCGGAAACTGCAGTTTATTAATGCTAACCCCTAAGAAAATAAAGCCTACCGGCGCCAAAAGCCCCTTAAAGCAAAATATCACACGACAACCTACAAATAAAATCGAACTTACCGAAGCCGAAGCCGGAAAGGGAAAATGCAAGCAGCATTGTCCATGTCATGACCCTAGTAAGCTTCTCATCCGATTAAACTACGCAACCAGGTACAATCGCCACGTTGTGATCAGCCAATTGATTGTCTTTAGAATATACGGCAGTCATGCTCGATGCCATCTTTGGAATCTGCAGAGTGTGCGGAAACCAACCAACAAAGACCACACCAATATCTGAGTGCAAACCTCTCTTACATCCCGCGCTTCTGATAGCCGGGAAGATTGACCCCTTCGGGATCTTGCCATCTAGAAGTACTGCCAAGGACCACAAATTGATCTATCATTGTAGGTCTAGCTATTCTTGGGAGTCTCTTTATTGCCGCCTACCAATCTTGTTTAATAAGCCATACCAAAATGCTGACCCTGCTTATAGTCGTCACAACCCTCTCCACGCTGCCAACATCAATCCACTCCCAGTACTGCACAAACCCGCTCTGGCTTACCACAGCGATCTCCAGTCCTACTCTCTTCAGTGCAACACTCTATGTCTGTTCAATGCATCGAGCAGGACTAGATGGGAAACGAGATACTGCTGAAGCTTTATGGTACAAGAGCGAGACCATCAGGTTGTTGAACGAGAGCTTGAGAGAGGAGGGCGGCAAGAACGACGTGACAGATGAAACCATTGCTGCTGTGGTTCTGTTGACACATGTCTTGGTACGTAACACCTTGAAAGTGCGATGATGGAAAATGCTGACTTCATGAAGGCCGTGGTAGGCTTGAAAAGCGAAGTGGATGCCCACATTAAAAGAATTCAATTGATGGTGAAAACGAGGGGTGGAATCAATAACGTTGCTTGGAACAGTATGTTATTACATATGCTTTGCACGTAAGTCAAGCCTCTATCGTATCATGAAATACTTTGGAGAGCATACTCTGATCTCAGCCACAGAACCAACCACATCACCGCAGTTCTTTCTGACGACCCTATCATTTCAGCTCCGGCTACTGACGAAGTCGGGATGGTGGACACGCATCAGCAAATCTCCAAACCTGCATCTGAAACTGCAGAAGTCTTCCCAGAATTCGCCGCCAGAGTTGGATTTCATAAGACAATGGTCTCATTGTTGCAGCGTATGGGATTCTTGTACGGGGTGGTTGATGTGTTTACGCAAAAGTTCATTCCGGCTTATAGGGATGAGTTTCTAGCCATTTGTTTATGAAGGCAGATTCGTTCGAGTTGGAGTTTTCGATAATATCACGATTGTACGAACTGTTCCGTCGTTTTGCGTACTACTTCAAAGAGTATCACCTCCACCTCCCCTTTTGAACCTCGCTTAATGAGTGCCTCTTTACGACATTCCCGAATGGCAGGCATTAGACTTTTACAACCTATACCATCTGCGCAGGCACATTTCCCCATATCTCACAGTAGGTTCTAGATAGACCTGGTGCAGTTATCTGCCTCGAGATTTTGGTGGTACGACGACTGAGCGTACAATGGCGTGGTTACAATACGTGAGCCTCAGTGCACGTTTAACCATCTTGATGAGCCCAAGATATGTGAATTGTAGGGTCAATTGATAAGTTGCTTATTTTGATGAGACAACTAAAGTTGTCTTACATACGATGCCGATGTATCCCCACAGTTCCCTATTTATCACAGCCAACAGCACCAAACGCCTATGTCCGTTGACGAACAATCAACCAACAGTGCCAACTTCTAGTGTTGTTTTTGATCAACGCCACTATACTTATTAATCCAGTCTAGAACCTCCCTATGCCATACCAGCGAATTTTCGGGCTTCAGCACCCAGTGGTTCTCATCTGGAAAGGTCAAGAATTTACTCGGAATACCCTTTGTCTGCAACACATTGAAAGGTGCAAGACCTTCACTAATAGGCAGCCTGTAATCTAACTCATTATGGATAATCAAATGTGGAGTAGCCCAAGACTTGAGGTAGGTTGCAGCTGCGGGATTCCATTTTTCGTAGCTTTCTGGATTCTCCCAGAGAGTTCCGCCGAAGTCGTGATGTGGGAAAAAGAGTTCATCACTCGCATATTGATTAAGTGTCGAAAAAACGCCATCATGGGTGACGAGTGCTTTGAACTTGCGACCAAGGGCATGGCCTTGAATCCAATTGACCATATATCCACCATATGAGGCACCCAGAGCCACGGCGTTTGATGTGTCTACATAATCAAGATTCTTCTCGATATAATCAAAGCCTTTTACTAAGTCGTCGTAAGGTCGACCACCCCAATTGTTTTTGATGCCGTTCTGAAGAGCCATGCCATAGCCCGTGCTCCCTGTTGGGTTGGGTGTTACGACAACATAGCCTTGCTCTGCGAAAATTGCTGGATTCCAGCGGGTTGACCAGCTTTCGTTCCAGGCCCCTTGAGGCTAGGATATGTTAGTTTACATGAAATATCCGGAAACAATGTGTAACTTACACCGCCATGAATCAAATACGCCAGTGGATATTTCTCGCCCTTCTTGAAGAAAGATGGTTTTATGACCCAAGCATGAACATTATAATCTTCACCGCCCTGGTACCAAAACTCCTCAACTTGATCTTGTGACAGACCGAACGTCTTCCCACCCTTTGCGTTGGAAGATACAATCGTCTTCTTTTTCGGATCTTTGGGATCGCAAATGGAATAGATACTGTTGTCAACTAGCGAAGTGCTACTAAGAAAAAGGTCGTTGTTTGGCAAGACTTTGACATCAGCCACTGTCCCGTCGCTTGTCAGAGCTGTGGGCAATTCATGTGCATGTCGAGGAGATGCTGGCAACTTAAACAGTCTTCCACGCCCATTTTCTTCCGCGGTGACGTACAGTTCTTCACCATTCTTACTCCACACAATAGTCTCTGGCCTTAAATCCCACTTACCCACTCCATCTTTAGTCTCATAGAATTCTTGAACATTAGACAAATCTTCAATATCTGGCACGAGTAAAAGTCGAGGTTTGTCACTTTCGTATTGGTCGCTCTGCATTCTTGCAAATGCAATAGACTTACTATCCGGGGAGAAAACAGGGGAACTGCAGTACCCTCTAAGATTTCCAGTTTTGATTATCTGCGGTGGTGGCGCCTGAGATTCGGCAAAAGTTCTGAGAGGAATATAGTACAAGTCTGTTTTGGTGTGATTCGCTGGGTCGAGTTTTGGATCCTTCGCGATGAATATTATTCCATTCTTGCTAATGTCAAAGTCTCCCGGACCGCCGAACGGAGGGACGGGCGATTCCAAATGCACCGAGTGGCCTGCTAGAGCATTCTTCAGAGGAGCGACGGTAAACTGCGAAGCACCGGGGAATCTGCTTAGGGTGGTATAGAAGATTGAGCTCTTGTTTTCCGACACATATGCATCCCATTGTCTCACAAACAGCTTCGAGTATACACGCCCACTTGATTTTGGCTTCTCCGCTGTTTCTGAGTTGTATAGCCTTCCGTCCGAGGTGGCAAGGCCAGTGACTGCAAGTGCCACTGTATCATTGTCGAGTTTTGTAACTTTGAGGTTAGACACTGACCCATTAAAGGTCATCAGGAGTTTAGGACTAGATATATTAGTCCGTTGTTCCGTGTACAGCATCTGACATACTTGTCGTTTGGTACATTGGCTCTGACTGCAAGCAGGCTGGTTGTCCCCTTATCTCCGCCCTTCAACAACAACACCACATCGTCTTCTCCCAACCACGTTGGTTCGCTAGCTTCCAGATCGTTGCTTAGTATCTTCGTTTGTCCGGTATTGATGTCAAGCACTCGAATCTCGCTGCTCTTCTTGTGGGTTTGGAAAGAGTAGGTCGAAACGGAAAACAGAGCTGCTGTACCATCTGGACTTGGTGTTGCTGTGGATCGGCGAGGGGCAGAGAGGAGGACCTCTGGGGTAAAACGGCGTGCTCCTACCGTCATTTTGAAGAATGTTAATGCTTTCGGGATTTATTGAACTGTTCTCGATGCTCCTGGGAGACAATTGAAAGAAAGATGGGGGAACAGATATGGAAAGGGAGGTAGGAGAAAGTGGGTGTGAACTCTGACCTATGTCACGGCCCAGGGCATTCCTGTATGTGACGCGATTCGCAACCACCCCTCATTGTGGCCCCTGTCACGAAGCCTCTCATTGATCATTGGCTGGTGAAGCAAGAAGTGACAATGCCGTAGCAGCTGTACTTACTGTCGCGGACGGGAAAGAGTCCCTTGAGGATATACTCAATTGACAAGAACCTAGAGAAAAGAGGGTTGTATGGAAAGGAGAGAAGTGCGGACTCGGCGGTAGTTAGATAGCAGCAGCATTCGGGGTTCCTGAGCGGAAGAGCTTTCATTAGGTTGTGCAGGGGTAGCGGGTACGCAACAGTTAGTTACTGAGTGCTGCCGCAGGACATCGTACTCTCCTATTCAAAATGCGTATCTTAAAGTGGCCTAAACTTGGAACGCATAGAGACATATTTTTCAAAGAAGTCAACATGCGCACACCATAATATAATAGAAATTAGATGAGCAAAAACTCGAGTTATACATCTGGCATTCGAAGTATAGGTATCCAAGCACGAGCCAAGCGTTCTGCCACCCCAAAACTGCGCCTCATCCGAATAGCAACAGCTTCAAGCTGACATACACAAAACATCTGGAACCACGACAACAAGACCGCATTACTCTCAACATCCCCCAAGAATCCGTCCGCCATACGAACCTTAAACGCCAAGTTTGATTGATATCTGTCGACGCTCCAATCCACCTCTCGAAGCCTTCAAGCGCATGCGCAGCTCTAGGAGCTCAGATTGACACATCTCAGAACCGAGAAGCGCAATGGCACAATACTTTCTAGACCTTTTCTATACACTCACCAATTGCATGAGCTGCTTCCCCGGATCGCCTCAGTTAAAGATAAACAGCCGGAGTTTCAAAATTCTGCGGTTGTTAGGAGAGGTGCGCAAACGAGCATACTTCAGCGTCATTCAACCAGCTGACAATTGTATAACAGGGTGGTTTCTCATACGTCTACTTGGTCCAAGACACAAGCAATGAATCCCTTTACGCGCTGAAGAAGATACGATGTCCATTTGGTCAGGAATCTGTAGCTTTGGCTATGAAAGAAGTGGAAGCATATGCTCTCTTTTCACCACATCCAAACATCATCCACAGCATAGATTACTCCGTAGCTTCAGACCGCTCCGACCCGACGGCAAAAACAGTCTACATCCTCCTACCATATTATCGGCGCGGGAATTTACAGGATATAATCAATGCGAATTTGGTAAATGGCACGAGATTCCCGGAAAGGAATTTGATGGTTCTGTTTTTGGGAGTATGTAAAGCGCTCAAAGCGATGCACAATTACAAAGTTGGAGGGCCACCGGGAGGAGCTAATAGCCAGAAGAAGGCGAAGCGGGTGAGGGGACAGGCGGCAAGTGCGGATCAGGAGTTGGCAGAGGAGGCAGAACTGCGGAGAGGGAGACAGGCTGCGAGACAAGTGGACTCAGATAGTGAACAACAAGAAGCTCTGCTTGAACCGGAAATTTTGACTGCGCAGGAAGGAATTGCGCCTGGTGGTATCAGGGCGTATGCGCATAGAGATATCAAACCAGGTGAGCTAGCTTGGAAGCTGCCTTAATCATGATAACTAACATGGAACCAGGGAATATTATGATCGACGACGACGGCGAACAACCTATACTGATGGATCTTGGCTCTCTTGCGCCGGCACCAACACCAATAACATCTCGTTCGCAAGCACTCGCGGTTCAGGATCAAGCAGCAGAACACTCCACAATGCCCTACCGAGCACCCGAACTCTTCGACGTAAAAACCGGCAGTGTAATAGATACCAAAGTCGACATATGGTCCTTAGGCTGCACGTTATATGCCTGTCTTGTTGGAAAATCACCGTTCGAAATGCGCAGCGACGAAACCGGTGGTTCTCTATCTCTCTGTGTATTAGGCGGCGATTGGCGTTTCCCAGATGAGGGTGCAGGAGGGAAGAAAAAGGCCACAAACCAGACCGGCCAATCCGACGACAGCGAGATTAGCGAGGGAATCCGGGAGGTTGTCCGGAAATGTTTGAAGGTTGAGCCTGCAGAACGACCTGATGTGGATGAGCTGATAGAGATTGTGGAAGGTGTTATTGAGCAGTTACCTGAGAGTGGGCATTCATGAACACCCAATTCTAGGGTGAAAGAGATTGGGGAACGAACTTCTTGTATCACAACCTTTCTGTATTTCTTGGCGTTCTGGAATACTACAGGACTGAAAGTCTTGATGGTCAGATCCGCCATACCCAAATTATATGTTGACACTTGACTATTCAATGACGAACTTTTAATGCCTTCACAATACAGCCTCGTTCCCATTTGGTATAGTGATATGATTGGTAGAGTTCTAGCTCTATAGTGATTATATGATAAAGGCATAATCAAATTGAACATAAAATCACTCATTAGTCTTTACAGTAGCCCAAGATTCTAGGACTCATTCATGATCCTAAAGTACTAGAATTCTCCAGTAGGTAACGCTTGACCATTGGTTCAAGCCGATCGGTTGCGAGGGTTTGCGAGCTGCAAACGCGATGTAACAATATTTCTAAACAGCAGAGAGCTTCACACATACCTAAGTATTCTGTACGGACATTTAGAGTGTTATATTGCATAGGGGAATTGCCAGAGTTTGGAATGTGGCGAGCTACTGAAAGCGTCCGTAGCATGCATTGATCTACCTAATCTAAGTATATGCTAAGTATCAGGGTATAGTCTTCAGTATAGCAATCCCTCCCAAGGTTGGTTTTACATGTCCAGCAAAAGTAATTACAACATCCCCCGATTCATCTCCTGTAATACATTATTCAACTGATCTTCTGTCGCTTATGTATGTTCTTGGTAATCCCGGCTTCGACGAGAGCGCGCTTGACATCTTCCCATTTGCATAGAACTTCTACTTGCCCCTTAGAGTTCGTCCGAGACCGGTGAAAAGCCATTTCCAATGCTTCTATTAAACCTTTAGCATTTTTCTGAGAGTTTATCCCTCGAATGAAGCGGTTGACAAAGCTGATCTCTGTCTCTCGATCCAGATCACCGCATGAATTGTATAAGCCGTCAGCGTGCTTGACATAGACTTCCATACTGCGGTGTTTTTGAGAGAGTGATACTGATTTTGGTTGTGGCCCATTATTCGGATGTGTTTTCATAGTGGCCGTAGTGGTTTGGGCTTTTGAAGCCGAAGGGAGTTTTTCTCTTGACGCTGTGGTACTGGTTGTAACTTCATCCCGCTGCGACTGCCGTGTGCTGGGACGTTTGATAGCAGTGAGAACTGGCCTGTTAGACACTCGTCGAGATGGGTTAGGAGGGTTGGTTGGTAAAGGTCCAGTGTGTTCAGGTTCTAGCACAGGCGTTGGAATATCCGTTGGCTTTTCAACATTCTCTTGTGTCACCGAAATGTGCTCGGTTTCCAAGTCCTTTTCATGGCGAAGGCGTTCTTGTATCATACGCTCATATTCCTCTTTTGAAACTTATCGCAATTAGCAAAGGTCTGACATACACATGTATCCAAGTGTATTTACCTTGTGGAAATTGGCTCTGCATCAAATTCATAAGTTGTGTTTGCAATTCCGTAAATTGCTTCGTATCATCTTCGATCTTCCGTTCCAGTTCCGATTTCATTTTGAAAAGGTCTGCTTCCATCTCTATAAACTTCTGCTGGACGAGAGATTGCCTGTTTTCAAGGTCTTGGATCATTTTCATCGCAGCGGCATGCTCTTGACGAAGCTGATGCTTCCACAACAAATCCGCGGCATGACCAGGATTGGCCGAGATCGGGTCGTCCATATTTAGCATGTTGAAAACTATGATGCTTGTTTTGAAGGTGTACGAGGAGCGACGAGAAAAGATTTTGGCGGTCAAAGAAGATGCTGGACGTAAACATCTACGTTATGGTCTTTCCACGAGATATGAAAGTCTTAATTGGGGCTTCGCCCCAGATATCTGGATAGTGTGTTGAGTCCTTGGAGCAACAGATGATTTCCGCCAGGAGTTTGTTGACAGTTGGGCCTTAAAGGTGACGAGGCGGCGTCTCGCCTCATGTTAAGAGTCGTTCCTTCCCCTTTCGGCAAGGATCTCAACATACGATGATTTCGCTATCGTCTATTAGGTATAGGCTACAGCCCCTATGGACCATGGATATTCCAAGTCTGCCTAACCTTTCCTCTCAGGATTGCTTTGATACAGGTGATCGATCACCTTATGAGCCACCCTCACCCGTAATTAGACTCCAACGGTCAAAAGAGAACCATCCCACCTAGAAATCTATCATGTACATGTGCCAATGATGTCGATGAGCGTAGAAATTTGTCTCTATAAGTAGTAGTAGGACGAGCTAGGCTAGAAAAAATGTTAGAACTAAATGAGAACTACACGTACCTCCTCCATTGATATGGATGCTTTTCACCAATGAGCAACCTTGTATGGTAAGTCTTCTCTTTGAAGACGACGATGCCAGAACATCAGCGACGAAAGGAACAATAAAGCTAGATCACAAGAGAGGCAGGTTTATTTTTGAAATTTTTCCATTTGGTCGATCTATGAGAAATAGGACAACGCCGATAACCAGTCATAATACGTTCATACGGTCGTGACGATATGTCAAGAATTCCGAGAACGAGATCGATGATAGAGATCAGTGACCAATAAGCATCCCTAAATACAGAGGAGACACGACAGCAAAATGCACCTACCAACATTCTATTGTTGGTGATGCGTGGATTTAACGCAATAAATCAGACGGGCTTCGTGCCCAATGCAGCAACTTTTGTTTTGCCACCAATTATACCCTTTCCTCACGTCGCCGGGCGAACCAGCAACGCTCAATATCACGTCCCTTTTCCGAGGGGTCACAGTACCGCTGCTCTATCTTTGAGCAACGAATGTACCGAGACTGTGATGTACCGAATTCCTTTGTGTGTGTGTGTGATGTGATTAGATGAGATCGGCAACGTTCATTGGCATCTCCTCAATTTGAGTGCTATAGAACTGCTCAATTTCTCTCATCATACGGACATCATCAGCGGTAACGAAGTTGATGGCAACACCCTTTCGTCCGAAACGACCACCACGACCGATTCTGTGAATGTAGTTTTCACGGTTGGCTGGAAGATCGTAGTTGATAACCAAAGATACCTGTTGGACATCGATACCACGAGCCAAAAGATCAGTGGCAATCAGGACACGGGAAGATCCTGATCTGAATTCCTTCATAATCAAATCACGCTGACCTTGGTCCATGTCTCCGTGCATGGCGGACACAGTGAAATCACGGGCAGTGAGTTTGTCGGTAAGCCAATCGACCTTCCGTCTTGTGTTGCAGAAAATGACGGCTTGAGTAATTGTGACCGTCTCGTAAAGATCGGAAAGGGTGTCCAATTTCCAATCCTCTTTCTCAACAGCAATGTAGAACTGCTTAATACCCTCGAGGGTAAGTTCGGCCTTCTTGACCAAGATACGAACGGGATCGCGCATGAACTTGGTGGTAACCTCGAGAACATCCTGTGGCATGGTGGCGGAAAGGAGGACAACCTGGGTAGATTGAGGGAGCAATTGGAAGATATCGTAGATTTGCTCGGTGAAACCTCGCTGGATATTTTGTCAGTGGGTGAGGAGATATGCAACTAGTTTGAGTACATACGGAAAGCATTTCATCAGCCTCATCGAGAACGAACATCTTCATTGAGTCGGTCTTCAAGAAACGACGTTGGATCATGTCCTGGACACGACCTGGAGTACCAACAACGATTTGAGGACCCTCCTGAAGAGCCTTCATGTCGTCACGAACACTGGTACCACCAATGCAGGCGTGGCACTCAACGTTCATGAAGTCTCCAATGGCAACAACGACCTTCTGGATCTGCTGGGCAAGTTCTCGGGTTGGGGCGAGGATAAGAGCCTGGCACTGCTTGATGTTTGGGTCGAGTTTTTGGAGAACGGAGATGGAAAAGGTGGCGGTTTTTCCGGTACCAGATTGAGCTTGCGCAATGACATCGTGACCTCGAAGAAAATCAGCTTTCATTCACTGTATACTGAGTGATCTCGGATATTACCTTTAATGACTGGCATAATGGCACGAGCCTGAATAGCGGAAGGGCGCTCGAAACCGTAGGCGTAGACACCTGCATAATTTGTTAACCCTAGCCCAGCGCGCGAAATTGGAATAATTCGTCGTACCTCGGAGAAGCTCTGCCTTCAAGTTCATGGTGTCGAAAGAGTCGACGGTCTCGTCATAGTTGGATTCGATTTGACCTGCGAGGCAATTGACGTTAGCATCTGTCTGTCGAGCCTTTTCCCGTTGCGATGGAGCGGTGTGCTCTCCTGAACCCTCGAATATGCTTACCTTCTGGGATCTCCTCGAGACCCTTATCTGCGGAAGCCATGATTGCGGTTTGACAGATGAGAGATTCTAGATCGCAAGCTGAGCCTGAGACCTAGGAAATGGATGGATTGAAGGTAAGAAGGTGGGGTGTAAAATGCGCAGAAATCTCTTGCAGAGACTGCGGCAGCGTCGAGATTTGCTTTTGGTGGTTGAAACTAGATACCTGACTCTCGATAACGAGAGTTGTGTTGGTTCTAGTTGAGTTCTGTATATTTCTGGTTGTGGTTTGTATTTTTTTGATGAGGGAACGAGAAGGACGAGGGACAGAAGGTATAAATCTTTTTTAGCGTCCTGAATCCGTCAGTCGGTCTAAACCAGAATAAGCGAGGCGGCGGAGGCGGCCAGAAAAAGGACGATTCACTCTCAAGTCTGAAATTTTTACATGACCTCACAATCACAGAGTCACGCAGGCGAAGAATCAGTCGGAATTCAGAGTCCGTTGGACGAATACCGGTTGCTAGTTTGGCTGTCCTCTTTATTCTGGAATGCAAACCAGCGCCTTGATCAACCGCACCCGATAATTGTTACGCAGATTCAACCCCTCCAAGCTCCAAAAGTGGCAATTTGTGCCTTCCGACGATGACTACAACATAAGCTCTTTAATCGCATTTCGTTGAAGAGAAGATCCCGACAAGCATTCACACTTCATCGGGTCTCACAGTTTGACCAGTAATCACAGCTCTGACGAAATTTTTTGAGAACGGAGTCATACTACGAGGTGGACGGATTCTAGACGGATTCACGACGGCGCAACATGAAATCGACTCTGATTCCCACTGGCGGAATTGCATCTGAATACAGCACTCATCTTAGTACTGCGATGCCCAGTGGCGGTGCAGAGGTTGAGTCATATACATCGAGAACAGATCTAGAAGAGTCATCCATTGCCATTCCCCAACATCCCTATGGAGTCAGACCAACAGGTAACAAATACACGGCTACTAGTAACGCCAAGGATTTTGTTGGTACTTTCCAGCTCTTTCCTGATGAAATTATCGCCATATTTCTGGAATATCTGGATTCGGCAGACCTACGCAACCTTGGGTCTAGTTGCAAATTTCTCTATGCCTTTTGCAGGTCAGACGATGTTTGGAAAGCTCTTTTCATTGAGTAGGTGACTTTTCATTTTATTACTTCTCTCAGTGCTCTTCATCTCATTAGGCCGTCACGGCCATTGGCTAACACCTAAAATATTCTCTGCGTCTTCCTTTTGCCGCACTCATATGGCCCTATTAGAAGCCAGCAACGTCGCTGACTCTTCCCCAGATCAAAGCAGTCTCAAGGCGGCTCTTTCATCTGGCGTAGATCGTGGCGTTCCACCCTTCTTGGCTTGAGCAATACCCATACTTCACAAATTCAGTGTGACAATGTCTTCTCAGATGTTCTTTACAGGCCATTCCTCTGCACCCATACTCCACTCCTACCTTATACTTCTAATATCCCTGCCAAAAATTCCATAACTCGGCTGGGGAATCTTACCCCCGAAGAGTTCTCAGAGAGCTGGAGTGACAAGCCTTTTATCCTTACTGAACCGGTCCGAGAATGGCCTGTCTTCAGGTCGTGGGATACCGAATCTTTGATGGAACGATATGGCGATGTCAAATTTCGAGCGGAAGCTGTAGACTGGTCGTTGGATACCTATTCTCACTACATGTGGAACAGCAGTGATGAGAGCCCTCTATATCTGTTTGACAGAAGTTTCGTGGAAAAGATGAACCTCAAAGTTGGCAAGAATGAAAAAGACGCTTCATACTGGATCCCCGAATGTTTCGGAGAGGATCTATTCGCTGTCCTCGGAGACAAGCGGCCAGATGACAAATGGCTGATCATAGGTCCCGCTCGGAGCGGTTCGACATACCACAAAGATCCAAATGCCACAAGTGCTTGGAACGCCGTACTTCGAGGATCAAAGTACTGGATCATGTTTCCCTCCAATTCCTCAAGTCCGCCACCGCCAGGAGTTTACGTGTCTGAAGACCAGAGCGAAGTCACTAGTCCCCTCAGTATAGCTGAATGGCTACTTGGGTTTCATGCAGAAGCTAGGAAGACACCAGGATGTGTCGAAGGAGTATGTGGTGAAGGCGAGGTATTGCATGTTCCCAGTGGATGGTGGCATTTGGTAGTAAATCTTGACGCTAGCATTGCTATCACTCAGAATTTTGTGCCCAAAGCGCACCTCTCAAACGTGCTCTCTTTCTTGAGAGACAAGCCTAATCAAGTGTCAGGCTTCAAGAAAGAGGTTCTGGACCCTTATGGGGTCTTCGTCGAAGGCATGGAGAGGTACTATCCAGATTTGTTGAACCAAGCTTTCGAAGACTTGAAGAAGCAGGCGGAAGGTAGAAAGCGAAAGTGGGACATAGCAGTTGGGAAAGAAGAGGAAGCCAATGGTGGAGGAGGCTTTAGCTTCGGTTTCGCGGATGACAGCGATGAAGAAGTGCCGTAAAGCAAACTGGCAGGGCTAGGATGGATATCTTCTATCCGTGTCAAATCATCTCAATAGATATGAACTCCGTTGTTGCAACCGAACCGCGTATCTACATTCGGTTCCCTCAATCTGCTTTTATGAACCCTCTATCACATATGTGTGACCCCAGAATTCCAGACTTCATAACGCCAGGCGCCATGCAAGTTAGTTATAATCAACACCCCAGATATTGTACCCAAATTCTCCTCATGGTGCCTTGACATCCACCAAACCCAGCTCTTGTTTCGCAGAATCTCATTTTCTTACAGCACCAAAGTTTGTCCTAACTTTCTTGACGTCTCTTCCATTTCCATTGCCTTCCCCATCACTATCATCATTCTTTTTGTTCTTCTTCCCAGCTCCATTGCCCGTCCTCGAGGCCGATGTGGCGCTCGTAGGTGTGGCATGATTTGAGGCACCGTCGCCCTTTGCAAAACTTGTACTCAGCGGGGTAGGGGCCATCGCTGCCATAGGCGTAGATTGTGCCGTATTACTGGGAGAATCCTGTTTGTAGTATTAGCATCGTGGAATAGCATCTCCCATACGCCCCACCAAAATCCAAAATATCGTCCACCAAGACGCAAGGGAAGAACATACATCACCACCCCTGAAAGTAACACTACTCCTCGTAAACACTCTTCCACCCTCTCCATCTCCAAGGCCTCTGCCCCTCCTTCCTCCACCTCCTACACCCACATTCTTCGTGTAGTTCTCGAATCCCACAATAATATTCCCAGCTGGCGTATCTTCTAAATATTCAGTCTCTTTATTAAGTATAGTTTCCTCAGTCGTGGCAAGAGACCGCTCGAGCTGCCGTTTCTTGTGGAGGAGGTCTTTGAGGTGTAGGCGCGTTCGTTCGTAGAAGGGTTGTCCGGGAATATCTGCTGCTGCTGTAGGAGCAGATGCGGGCGGAAGTTGAGGAGGAATGTTTTCTGTCATGTTTTGCAGTTGGCAGATTTGAGAGACCAGATGTGTTGCGGTAAATGCAGATGTGAACGGTAAGAAGTATAGGCGCCTATAGGTATTTGGGGAGACGCGACGGTACTGTACGTATAATCTGGGCTGACATGGGGGTGTTCCTTATCGTTATCGCCGAACGCATTCCTGAATTTCAATATGTCAAGCTCTCATGCTCTCCAACTTCACATTATTGCTCGCACTTGAATTTAGAACGGATGATGTTTTAAGATAGATAGTTTTATATCAAAGCAAACAATTTTAGTATACACATAGAATAGGCTAAGTCTCATAGTCTTGAAATATTTGAGGTGAAGTCTCAGAGCCTCTGGAACAATTGATTCTATTGAATCCAAAAGTAACTAGTAATACTTGTTGAATACTGTTTAAGCTAATTGTGTTTTGATAAACTAGCTATCTACCAAGGTAGCAATGTATCCACGTCATTAAATGTTTTTCGATCAAATTCACAGGTTCTTCGAATGGGTTAGCTAGAGCCTTTCAAGGGATCAATACTTGATGTCCTCATCTTCTTGATTTTTTCTCTGAGTAGTCTTTCTCGTAGTAGGCTTGCTTGTATTCGAGGTTTGATTTTCTGCCGCCAGGAGAATTGTCAGCTTGCCTCCATGTATTACTTTCGAGCTCATAAACGACGCCATAAAGAAAAGTGTCTCTGTACTGTTATGAAGCGCTACCAACCTCGTCGGCCTTGCTATCTTGTAAGCCTCGCATAGGAGAGCCTGGTTGATTCGATTCCTCGGTATCGGCTCTACCAGCATTCTTAATTACGGGTGAGGATACCGGAGAGGAATCTCTTCGCTTCCTACCAGCTGACGTGTAGCGTTCTACTGACCGACGGCGTTTACGATCTCTTCCATCTCGGCTGATGCTTCTAGTTGAACTACGACGGCGGCGTGGGCGAGGAGTTATGCTTCGGCTGTAGCTTCGAGTTAGCCGACGTTCGTCACGTTCACCACCCTTACGAGCTCGAGTCTCTGTATTATCGTCTGGTGTAGATGTCTCTCTGGCCCGCTCCCTACTACGAGATCGAGCGGGGCTGGGCGAGCGGGAAACAGAAGCTGGCCGAGATTTGGATCGAGTAACAGATCTGGTCTTCGATATGGATCTTGATCTCGAGACAGAGCTTGAGTTCCTTCTACGTCTTCTGGGTGGAGGTGATCGACTGCTTGAATCTGATGGCGACCTTCTTCTTTTACCAGGCCGTGGTGAGCGAGAAACTGAGCTGACCACAGATGGTGATCTTCGACGTCGATTCCCTCGGTCAGGACTTCTGGCCCCCCTATGTGCACCTCGTCCTCGGTAAGAATTGCGTCTAATCGGTGACCTTGATCGGCTTACAGATCTTCTTCTGCGAGGAGGCGTCCGCGACGTAGACTGCGATCTATAACGACGTCTGGGAGGGGATCGGGAGCGGGATTCTGACGCTTCACGTTTCGGTGGAGGAGATACGCTTTCCGAAGGCCTTCTTCGCTGGTCTCTCATATCTCTCCTTGGTTCACCCCGACCACGTGGAACATACGTATCTGCTTCTCGTAATGGAGGTGCTCTGTAAGACCGTTCCCTTGAGTCGCGCCTGCGAGGTGACCTTGAATGACGGGGACCTCTACGATCAAAATCTCTTCCTGGCCTCCGATCGAATTCCCTATTTCTATCATCTCCACGTCCTCCTCGACCCCCACGCCAGCTATCTCCTCCACGCCCTGGGCCACCACGGCCGCGGTCTCCTCGTTCTCTCTGTCTAATAGCATTGATGTCACGCTCCCGATTTTGTTCGTCATCACGGCGCTTTCGAGCTTGTTCTGCGAGTTTCTCGGATTCAATCTGGAGTTGTTATTAGACGTAGTGTTCGACAGATCCAGAAGTAGGCTAATACCTTTTCCTGAATAATTTCCAGCTTCTTTGCCTCTAAAAGTTCTTTCGGTACGCCCTGTGGACTGCTTTGTGCGCTTAAGCATAGCTTCCATAATTCTTTACAGAAGCTGGCGGTGTCTTTATCGAGGAAACCCGTGAGTTGAATTTGTATCTTTTTAATGTCCGGCTCGAACAAGTCAGCTTGGCGTGTTGGGAAGCAAGAATGTTACACTTACGAAGCGTTTCTCTTCAATGAGGTTATAAATCATCTCAATGACCACATCATCTTCGTTGCCAAGTATATCGGATATCCTGCTTGCAATCCATCTGTAAAGCGATCAGTTTCTGGCTCTCCTCATCTGCTGACCAAGGAAGCATACTTCTTAACAACTTCCGTTCTCACTTTCTGCATATCAACCTTCTGATTGAATTCTACAGGGAATTTGGTCGACTTTTGGATTTTGGCGTCCACGGAGGTTGCCATGATTACTGATATTGTCCACAACCTGTGCGACTAAGGGGTGGTGGTAAGAGAATGTGATGTGATGTAAGTATCGCAAGTCATGAAGCTCTGACCAGTCCATCCGATAAAAACATCTCGGCTGAATCAGTGAGTTACATCCGAGCCGGGACATAGTCGGAGCCTCCGGACCGAGAATCATCGTCTCGAATCAACGCAGCCAACGACTTGAGACTTTCAGCCTATACAACCCGTTTCTCGTTATCTAACGTGGCAGCGAAGTATCCTGTTCGGACACGAGAGATGTAGACAAGTAAGGTAAAACGACAATGTGTACGTATTGCCGCTCCAATAATCATCCGCAACCTTTGCTGAGTGGCATCTTCGATATACAGGATGGATGTGTTCGCTGGGTATTTATAGTGCCTATAGGTATTTAGCTAGAAAGCACAGGAGTTTCGATGTTGAAGACTATCTCAGGTACGTAGGTATCTACGTGGGACCTGTCATAGCGATAGGATAGTAGCCAGGAGGGTACGATATATTTCAGTTATGATATCTATGAAGGGTAGGCGCGATCCGGTCGAGAACCTAGGTAAACGCTCTGCTCATCACTTGTGACTCAATAAAGATGTAGCCCTTTTCAAACACATTAGATCCCCCTTTTGGACTTCTTAAGTCATCCATTCGTTTCGTATCTATTTTCTCTCTGACAGGGTTCGCGATGGGAATTATCAATTGGTCTCATCGCAAGCCTATTTCTGTTCCTACCTCATCCGTCCAAAAACCTCCTACTACTATCTTGAAGGCCGCTTCAGTTGACAGCTTTGCTGCCCAAATTGACACCGCAACTCCAAACTCAACACCGAACAGATCATCCGAGGGAGAGCAGCCTTTCTTGCACCTCGTCGAATCGCCTCGCCTAGGTGCGGTTGATTCTTTGCGTAAAGCACTGGGTGGGGGCATCCAGAGTGGCATTCCGTCGACCCGCAAAGAAAATCCAGACACCTCCATTTCTACGACCGAGGACGGACTTTCCAGGATTGAGGAAGAAGAGAGCCTGTCTAGCCAAACTCGAGACTCTGTCATTGTTCAAAACCCTTCCTGTCTCGACTTCCCGCTGACTCCTCTCTCCTTAGCGGTTGATGCTTCCGCAGATGGCATTCGTACCAAAGATCCTTCTAGTCCAACAACACCATTGGATTTCGCCCGATATGGATACATCAGCAGAGAGTCTTTTGTCACATCAGTCCTTCCTCTGTTACAGTCGGCTCCGGATTCTCCAATTGGTGGCCGTGAAGCTGCAGTCTTGAGCCATAGAGAGGTCGAACACCATCCGCAACCAATCTCCCACGCCAGCACAGTTGCGTTGCATAATAACCTGGAACGCTACGAACCACCACGGATCGAAGTATCTTCTCCAAAAATTAGCATATCAGGCTATGAGAAGGCAAGCCGTAAGGCGCTGAGGTCATGCTCTAACTTATCTGACCCCCTAAGTGTGGAACAGAGCTCAGATTCTGACTCGCTTAAAACACAAACCATAGCAGCTGTTACTCATTCCCCTCGACAAAATCTGAATCGCCTTAATGATGGAAATTCTTCTGATGGACCCGCGAACGATGATGATGATCCCTGTGGACTGGAGGCAATAAAGAGGTCTCGCAAAGCTGTCGAGAAGAGCCCGGCCACGGAAATTCCACCTGAGCACGAGATAAAAGCAACTTCGGATAGTACAAAAGATGGTGCTCTCAACGATAGCACTGCTCCTGGAAACATCAAGCATGCTCTGGCGGTGGGCCAAGCAGGTGAAATACAAGCTACACATGAGGTTATCGAAGTGCCAGCTGCACAAGCACCGTCCAACTCAAAAAACGCTCCTTCATCCCCAATAAGAACCGAGGTCGCTAGGTCCGTTGGGATTCCTAACAAGTCAGCTGCTCCACGGCTAGTCGACATCGAAGCAGTTCCTTTTCCATCCTCTATGCCTCCAGAGCTGGGGATACCAATCGATGGCACGGGTATACCAAGCATCCCTACTGTCCCCAACAAAATGAAAAAGAGAAAAGGAGCGTCGGTGAACAAAGGGGTTCGAAAAGCGAGAAAGGCTTTGCTGAGAAGACCGATCCTGAGCGTGGTAGTTGGTAGGAAACTAGCTAAGCCTACTCGGGATTTGTTGAAGTTGGCAGTGACAGATTCCTTTATTGTGCCCGAAGCCACCAGTGTTATAACTGGATAGCCTAGAGATTATTGCAGGAACCTGACTAGGCCTTCGGACAATATGTTAAATGTTCTCCGCACAGCCGGAAGGCAACTAGATGGTATCGTGTAGCAACCAATCGAAAGACAGCAGTGGTCTCGAGCTTACCAAAACAGTGAACTGCACAGGGAGTTGAGCTAGGTCCTTCTGAGCAGAGTATCATTTCAAATTAACATCGCTGTTGGAAACCAGTGTGATAATTGTCATTTCAAGGCGTAGTGCACTTAGTTCCCAGAAGTCCATATGCGCAGTGAAGCCCCTATTAATCGGTCAGAGACGTGAGTTTTTATTACATTGTTGCATGTCTATCATCGACACCTGAAACCTGAGCCAAAGGGTATATATAACCGTCACTCTCTGTTTTCAACGCCTGTTATTCCCAATACCCAGTGCCCGCCGGCTTTTGATTGCCCATCAACTCCCTAGACCCCAAACCCAGTGCCCATTTTCCATTACAATTAGCAATTATCAGTAATACACCCATTACAACAAAGTTAACAATGAACCCAGTAATGATGATTATTTATACAATCCTCCGAACCAGAAGGTGTTGAACTAGGAACGAGGGGTGGAAGGAGCCTTTTGTGCCGATTCGGCGGTGGCTTTATCGACTCTCTCCTTCGCTCGTGCGAGTCCGGTGTCGCCCATCTGTTTGAACTTTCCGCGCATTTCGTAGAGCTCAAGAAGCTTCTTAGCACGGTTCATATCTTCGTCTTGCTATATGAAGTATTAGTAGCTGGCTCAAGATTTCAGAAGTCAAAGACTCGGGGAAGCTTACAGGCTCATTGTTGGAGGTAGGTGTCGCCGCACCACTGCTTGGAAGAGAGGAGAAGCTAGATCCCATTCTCGGCAAACCAATTGGAATCGGGCTCCTTGTGCCATTGTTGTAACTTGGCGACTTTGTTGTGAGTCTGCGACGTCCGAGTTTATCGAACTGAGCTGGTTCTGGAAGCCAGCCCTTAGATCTACGTCGTTGATGCGTCTCAGGCGCCTGCTTGTTGGCGCCTACCAAAGCCGAGGCAGCGGCAGGATCCTGAGAAGATGAGGAGTGAGGTTGGTTCGTAGAGGGTGTATTTTGAGGAGCGGAAGTGGGAGGAGGAGAGGAAGCCCGAGAAGTAGGCCCGACGGAAGAGTAAGAGGAGGTGGAAGATAAGGGGGGTCGACGAACTGTGTTCTGGAGACTCGAGAGATCTGCAAGGACCTGAGCCATCTGAAGAGCCTCCATCTTTGCAATCACGTCGCGGGTGGAGAGCTTGCGTGTCTGAGAGTGTGCGTGGTTGTGGGGTGCAGTAGTTGCAATTCCCGGCGATGCTTCCCCTGGTGGTGGACTGGACTGGTTGCGTTGCAGCGTTGCAGCGTTGCAGCAGGATTGTGGAGAAGGACAGAGAGCTTGCAGAGAAAGAAGTTATTCTGAGAAGACCGAGGGGAAATATGGGAAGTAGAAAGGCGGTCTGGAAGTAGCTTGTACCGCGACGTGGACGAATTTGGTTCTAGAGCGTGTGTCTCGTGAGGAGTCGAAAACTCACTTGCAGATTGGCGATCTAATATGACGCTATTGCCGAGATGCGTGGACGGAACCAAGCCGCTAAACTAGGCTTCCAGCCACAGCGAGGCTGACAGAATCTGGGTAACCCGACCCCGATCTGACAGGGGACACTTGCCTAGTCAATAAGCCGAAAAGCCGGTGCCGGAATCACATTTGAGCGCCGACAACTGTGGTATGGCATTTGTCCACCTTTGTCCACCCACCTTGTATATACAGTCAATTGGCTATATAACTCTTACCCCGCAACCTTTTCGCTGCCTTCTATCATGTCTCTCATATTTCGCCGGGGAATTGCTTCAATGGCCTCTTTAAAGAAAGCGTCGAAGGTTGTGTGCATTGGCAGGAACTATGCGTACGTCCCTAGCTCCTTGGAGCTACAGCTCTGCAAACAAACAGGTACAATGCTAATCGAGTCAATTGCAGCGACCATGTCACAGAATTGAACAATGTGCGGCCAAAGCAGCCCTTTTTCTTTCTCAAGCCGGCGTCTTCAATCCTCGCTCCTGGCGACGGGCCGGTGATAAGGCCCAAGGGTGTTGACTTGCATTATGAAATTGAGCTAGCCTTAATTCTTGGAAAGCAAGTCAAGAACCTCGACGCTTCGGATGAAAAGGGTGCTCTGGATGCAATTGAGAGTACGTAAAATTGTCCTACTATTTGACCGCAGCGGCTAATCCATATTTCAGGCTACGCTCTCAGTATTGACATGACTGCACGGAATGCCCAGAACGAAGCGAAGAAGAAGGGTCTTCCCTGGGACATTGCAAAGGGCTTCGATACCTTCCTTCCAATTAGCGAAATCATTCCGAAATCCTCGATTCCAGATCCTCATAACGTCGATATATACCTCAAGGTGAACGGTGAAACGAAGCAGTCGGATTCTACCAACTTGATGCTGTTCCAAATCCCGAGAATACTGAGCGATATTTCCAAGGTCATGACACTGGAAAAGGGTGATATCGTGATTACTGGCACACCAAAGGGTGTTGGGCCAGTCGTGCCAGGAGATGTCATGACGGCCGGTTTGAAGGTCAACGGAAAGGAGCTGCCAGAGTCCAAGATTGAGGTGGCTGTCGAGGAGTCGACAAGTACATACGAGTTCGCAGAAACGTAAAACAGTTGGACACAGTAAATATTACAATTAGATACCCGTATTAATCCTACAATTTGGATGTGCTCTCTCCAATCCCACTTGCGCTGCTCGAATTTGCTTAATGCTGTCCTGATGCCCGTTGATATCGTCTCTACGATATCTTCCTTATTCCAAGTTTGGATCTTTTATTTCCCCAGGCAGTGGTGCGCTCTCGGCCATCGTTCCGCACTTGCTGCACTTCCTCCTCTGTTCGCTTTCCTTGAACCCGTTTACTGCCTCCTTGATTTGACTTCCTAAGTCGGTACAATGGAAAGCAGCCTCGTCCACTACCTCTCCGCAACTCTTACAATACCACCTCAACCGATCCAAACTTCCCTCTGGTCTGGGTTGCTCTAGCACAATCCCGACAGTATTTGCAAAGCGAACCGGATTGTGCGGGGTATTCGGTGGTAGGAGGAACATGTCGCCTTCTCGAATGACAATGTCGCGGAAATTCGGCTTAGAGGAAGTGTGATCTTCGACGACTTTGAGAATCATTGCGCCTTTGTGTTGGAAAAAGTACTCCGCGGTTTCATTAATGTGATAGTCAGTTCGCGCATTTGGACCGCCCACAATCTATTCAAACGTGAGATTGGATCGAAAGAAAGAACGGGATATTTACCATCACAGTAACATGCTCATTGTAAACGCAATAATTATTGATTGGTGGTTTCAACAAGTGGGAGTTTTCCTCAAGCCTATGGACCAGTCAGTACTCTTTTCCATATCTCTTCATCACAAAGCTTACCACTTGGGCAGATTTAACGGACTTCCAAGCATTTTGATTGATCTCTTGTTTTATTGATGAGTCTTGAAGAGAATCAGCCACTCGAGTATGGGTCATGATATAATAGCTATTTGCCCCACCAACCCCTCTATTTCCAAGCAGGGTCTTGCTTATCTCCGATGGGCCCCTTTTCCGACCTCGCTTCTTTCTTGTCCGTCTCGAGACATCAATCAAAGGGACGCCTTTCTTCCCCATTTGTATTTGCGACAACTTCCACCTATACACTCAGTCGTGTATCATACCAACCACGGGACCCATAATTTGGTGATCAACCAGCGATTCGGGTGGCAATTCATGAAGTTAACCTACTTTCTCTCCTGTATAGTGGTGGACAAGGCATGTTGGCTTCGCACTGCAAGAGATTGCTTGTGGAATGAAGCCTTTGACGAAGCCCGTACATATCCAACTCCCATTGTTTGATGCACCGCAGATTTCCTTTGTTCTCTCACGCAAACTCCATATGTTGAGAACGATGCCGAAGTCTAGAACTTATGGCTGTGTCATGAGTGTGACATGGTCAGAAAATCCTAAACCGATCGTACAAGTCGACAAACTTTCGGGACTTATATGAGTGGCGTTAAATAACTTCTAGAATATTTCTGCGTTCGTTGCATCAGAATTCCTCACTTTTTTTCCCTTTGTTGCAAATCGCCGAATTCGCTCATCCTAGAATTAGATGCTACTCGACAACATCATGGCCACCATCTTCTTTGTTCTCTCGGGATTCCTAGAAATACTTAGGCCTTATATTTACTATCTTGATTTGCCTCACAGTGAGCTTTCTCTTGCATGATCCATTTTCCCTGGTGTTGATCTTGCGAGGTTTTCATCATGGTGAACTCCGGCTTGAGGCTGCCATATGTCAAGCATCACAATCACTCTACTTCCTCTCTAGAAAGACATAAATTAGACGAGCTTTCAATCCCTTCAAGGGCCAAGCTTCCTGTCTTTTTGGTTGGAGAGCACACCGCAAGTCTCTTCCCTCCATTCGAATTCGACCTGGCTCAACAAGACAATAGAGAAGAGAACATCAATAGAAGTCGCTCGAGGACTGGCAGTCTTACTTCGCATATTTACGATGACCTTCCTCTCTCACCCATCTGTGGTACTGTTCCTAACACATTTGTTTACGACGACCACCCTTTGGTATCTCCCCGGCCACCATTAGGCTCAAGCATGAAAACGTGGCCTCAGATGAACCGGGGGGATGTACCACTCACCCAGTCAATGGAGGCTTCCCAGCAATATATGAGAGTCTCGGCTATGTCAGAAAGATTGCTGCCTTTGCACTATGAACAGCTACAGCAGAGCTCTGCGTTCTCCGATAGCTCAAGCGAATACAGTCAAAAGAGCCCGCTATCTGATCCCAATAACCGAAGTAGCTGGACAAGTCTGAGGGGTAAGAGCTGGCTAGATTATCGTACGAATCCCGCAGAAGGAGGTCAGCTATCGCCTACATCACAGCCAGCGGTATTCAGCTCATACCAGCAATATCCAGAAACAAACATGACTAGTGCAAGCAGTGATAGATTAGAACCACGAAAACCACGAGCAATTCAACCTCCTCGTCCTGCACCACCGGAGGTCAGATCCTCGGAACAGATCACGAGTGTATATGACATGTTGAATACTAGGCCATCTGACTTCGGAATAGAACAACGAGCCCAGCCATCTCACGAAGTAGAACCAGTTGCAGATCGCACACAGTCAAAATCACCGACCTCTCTAGAAACAGTCAATTCGTCCAAGCAATATCAACAGCTCACAATAGGAACAAAACCGAGTACAAAGCGCTCTAAAGTTCACTTCAGTCCTACAATTCAAAAAAGAGCAAATTCTCTTCTAGAAGGAGCGCGGGAATCTTTTGCTCGAGGTGTCGATGAGATATCCTCTCCGGTAACATCCAGAGGCAGCCAGACGTTTTTCCACAGTCCTACCTCTTCCGACTATCAAGGCTCTCCGACGCCAACAGCGAATACACCCCTCACGCCCTTCCCCGATTTTCATTCTACATCTCAACCTCATTTCTTCCCATCCACAGATCCGATCCCTGAGAGTTCCGAAGCAGAGGACAAACCGTCGGCACTTGTCTCGCCAAAGGTTCCCAAGTACCGCAAATTCGGTTGGAGCACAGGGAAACACCCACTTAAAAGTCCTCATCCCGACTATAACGGCACTTCAAAGACTATGAGTTATGGCACGGCTGAAGAAGACAAGGTTGACACAGCATCAAGTAAAGATGGTGGCGTGTTGAGTATCATTGCCAATACTACGATGCGAATCGCTGGGCTGTCGTCTTCTCGCAATGAGAAGAAGAGGAAGAATAGTGGCTTAATCATCACTAATCATCAGCGCACATATCAAGGACCAGCTACACCATTCCCACTCTCCGCAAATGAATCTCAAGCCTACAGGAACATGAACACATCCCCTCCTACAGAAAATGGTGTTGCAGCGGGTATCGCCACGACATTGAGAGGTGTCGCAGGGTGGAAGACAAAAGAAGAAAGGCGAGAACGGAAGGAGAAAAAATTGCAGGCAGAGAAAGAAGAACGAAGAAGAGAAATATTAAGTCGAGGTATTAAGCTAGCAGGACAACCTACTAAGAACCTTGGACCTATGGGAATTGACGAGGTACCTTACATTACACCCGCCTCGGTACCTAAGCCACCGGTCGATACTGAAATGAGAGGAGCTCTCTACGAAAGTCCACCGAGTTCGGCAGTTACGATCAAGCCTGGCATTGCTGGTATTGGGGCGAGTAGTCCTGCAACACCTAGCAGTTTTACAAATAGGTTCGGACCAGTTGGTGGACCACTGCCTTTATCTGCCGGTGGGTTTGGCAATGGAAATGCGAGCGGAGACGTTCCAAATTACAACTATAGCCCTGGTGTTTCGCCAACTCTTGCACCAGTTCCTGATGGAACGGAATGGCTATGAGGGAAAGCTGTTGATACATGTCGTGCTATTTAGTTCTTTCAAAGAGTCATAAATTTGGTACTGAGGGGTTGATGCGACATTGTAACAATTATTTATGTATAATATAGCTGGTAAAGCGTACTTGTGGAAAATATCGTGGTGCTTACTCTTAGTGTATTTTGGCAAAGTTATGTTTGTCTCGTTATCTTTTAGCAAGTGTTTCTGCTGGTCTCCAAGTCATCTGTTGTGGTCATTATTCCAGTTTCAAGATCCGAGGCCCATCTCACCTGTGCAAGATAAATTTGTGGCTTGTTCTAATTCGATCGAAAGTCTTCAAAATTGAGTTCTATAACTATCTACGCGCTTGAGTATTGAATCTATTGATGAGAATTTGATGTACATGAAAAAGTGAAATAATGAAAACCCATTCTTGACGTCGCCCCGAAATGACAAAAGAAAAGCATGCAAACCATGTAACTATGTAAACCTGAAAGAACTGAGAACAAACCAAACCAAGCAACCCCCAACCTCCAGCCTCAGAATTCTGCCCCGATCTAAGCACCTCCAACAAAAGCATTGAAATTCACACATCCGCCCTCCAAATTCGAGGTCGCAGTAATCTCAGCCCCTTTGGCAGTAAGACCACTCTTCTTCACCGAGAAGATGGGCGTCCCAGTATGACCTCCTAATGGAACACTCCAATGATTGATTCCTTTCTTTCCCTCTTTCACCACTTCTTGCCCGTCTCCAATCTGCACCGACACTTCGCTATCTTCTTTCAACAAAGCGCTGAAGAAGATACCGTCCTCCATGACTTTACCATCGGCGACGACTGCTTGGCCTTGACTTGCGGTGTTTCCAGTCACCCCACAGGAATTGCCGGTATTAGGAGAGGTTCGGTACCAGAATTGCAATTTGTCTTTTTCGATTTGAGTGGTTCCTTTCCCGTTCTTATACTCTGAGATGTAGTAAGGAAGGAAATTACGCCACTCGTCATGAGGGTAGTCTTTGACATATTGTTTAGAGCCATCAGGAATCTCAGATTCGGAAGATGGAAGAGGACCGATGTAGTGTGCTTCACCGTAATCATTCCATGTTACAATTCTGTTTATATTTTAGATTTGGGCAGACCGAAGGGGAAAGAATGTACATACTGAACAAAATCCGGATTGACTTCAAGTGTCTGAGCCCACCTATCCGCCCAAAGATCATCGCCTCTCCAAACCCAAGGCTTCAAATCCCCAGCACCGCTGTGAAAGAACCAAGGCGAAACACCCATCATAAAACTCTTTCCCTCAAGACCATTCTTCCAGTGAAGGTCATTATCAGTCGTCATATTAGAAGCACCAGTCGGCCACATCCCCCAGGGAAAGAATCCTTCAATACTATCCTTAGCAGCTTGAACTTTCTCAAGACCCGTACCATCCCAATTCGGAACAAAAAACACATCTCCAACTGCCGATCGAATGGTCCCTCCGGGAGCCCAATCACCCATATTATCAATCCCCTGAAACGTCGAAACGAAAGGCTTGTTCTCGACTTTGAAGTAAGCGGGACTCTCCTTATACTTTTCCAATATGCCCATGACACTTTGAGAAAACTCGCCACTTGGACCTGCCGGCCACGGTTTCCCACCACCTAGATAATCGAACGCGAAAAAAAGTTTGAAATCCGAACCTGCGGCTTCTGCTGCTGAGAAGGCATTGGCGACTTGGGGAGGGATGTTGGAATCGCCAAATCCCATGTTAAGGACAAAAGCATCGATGCCGGCTTCTTTGGCAAGAGTGATGTCTTTCGTCCAGAGAGTGACATCGTGAGCCGCGGTATTTCCCATGACTATGTGAGCGAAGACTGATTTGGCGTTGATAGCTGCTGGTAGTGTTGCCAATGCCAGGGCAATAGAAAAGATGTACTGCATAATGTTGTGTTTGGTGTCCAAGCACGCAAAAACTTGACGAAAAGAAAAGAATATAAAAAGAACAAACACAATGAAAGTAAGAAGAGACTATTATCGATATAAGTTGGTATGATCTTCAAAACGTGAGACGCTCTCCCTTTATTTAAGTACTACACAAGCCACGAAACGAACGCACCATATAGATCACGTTCTCTCAACTTTTGGTTCAGGACGCAGGATAGATCTACAGGATTGTGCGAAGAGCCTTTAATGTATAAAGAAGCAGTACGTAGAATCATTTCCCCAAACTGGACGCATCTTTTCACGGTAGCATATTTGGTCGGTGGTGGTGGTGGATTGATCTACCACGAGGTACTGTAAATGACCCGCATGAACTTCCCTCGCACAGCATTGCCTACCTCAGTCGAACCTCACCTGGTTCGTGATCCTGAGCCGGATGCCAAGTCACGCGAAATATGGGCGATTCGTGAATCCTATGGGTTCGGTGTAGCACAAAGCCATTTCTCGCTAAAGATAGACGTACGATTCTCGCAGCAACACCGTTTCGGAATACCGATCAGCTAGCGATCAATGGCATCTATTGATAGCAGTAGATGAAAAGAAAACCAATGATATTCTTTTCTGTTTCTAATGCAGAGCGAGTTAGGGTGGATCGGCTCGCTTCGGAGAACGAGTTCCTACCAAGGGGAGTAGTCTCGCTTCCTGCTGACATTATGGAACAAGCGGATTTTATCGAAAATAAGCATCAAAAAACGAAGGTGATTGACTAATCTGAGCTCGTATAAGTCGCTGCCACAAGAAGATGAGTGAGTGGAAAGGGTGCTTGGGTCTGGGAAGCTCGTTCCACTCAGCCAATATCGATCAAGGCGAAGAGATCGATGTGACCTAGGTCCATCTTATATCTGACAATCCTCCGGCAATCCTTACCTCCTATGCCTGCTTGACGTACAAAACGAGAGACTCGCACTTTGATGCCCAATTGCAAGCTCACCAAATGATCTCATCTCTTGCAAGTAATAAGATCCTATTGTTTATGCTTGAGCCGAATCTCGCTTAGCGTATTGACAATAGACCAGACTGTATTACCACACAGGACTTAAGTCATTGCTTCGGCCATCGCAATCCATTTCGGGTTTAATGAAGTCCTTGATAGTCACCATTGATTCGTAAAGATGGCACTTGCCACTTCAGCTCATGTCCATATTTCAAATAACCAGCTCAATATTTGAATTACAGTCACGAAAGGCACAAGTGCATCTGAATTTAGAGCCCCCTGCTTAATCTTCTCCTAAGTGTGCTATTCGTTAACCATAATATCTAGTTGCAATAATCATATCCGAGTATCTTCGACTCGCCCTGACACTAATATTTCATACCTCTTCTGTTTCGTCCCCAAAGAACTTTAAAGTTGCAGCCTGAACGTTGCCACCTCGAATGGTCTCAAGGTAATGTCGATCTTGCCGTCTGATATCGATATTTCGTCTTCGTCATCCTCCAGTATATTGGTCTTGTAGACCTTCTTGACGTTCAAGGTAGTTTCAATCGTACCTTTGCTTGTACCTCCCAAACTGTCATAAATTCGTAGGACAACGCTTTTACCCTTTCGTTTGGGAAGCTCGCCGCGAGAGACATCTTCATCGTCCTCTCCTCGTTTAATTGTGTCGAGAATCAATGAGGGATTTCCAATAAGCTTGATTGGATTGCTGAAAGTCGCTGGGGTGATGGGCGTTGTGGATTGAGCAAGCTTTAGAGGATTGTTGAAGTTGTATGCCGTCCTAACGGTTGTAGGTCCAAGATCACCAGTATGTGGAAGAATAGCCCATCGGATGTGGTGGCGTCCCATATCTGCATGCGCATCTGGCGCTTTTGGTGCACGAAGAAGAGAAAGGCGCATCAGATTGCCGCAAGTAGCAAAACCATATTTGCTATCATTCAGAATTGATACACCGTACCCATGCTCCGAAAGATCGGCAAACTTGTGGCAGCATACCTCAAATTTGGCCATATCCCAACTAAGTCTGTCAGTAAGATTTTGCTTCTTCAAGAAATTTTACTTACGTTGTATTGTAGTGAGTTGGTCTCCGAACAACACCATATTGGGTCTCATATGAAGCTTCGGTATTTCTGACATCCACTGGGAACTCCACCTTCAAGAACTTCATACTCTCTTGCCACTCTACCTCGCTGTGCATCTCAACATACGACTGTTGGCCCTTGAATGCTGCCGAGAGACTTATGTATGTCTTGATCCAACTTTTATCGCTAATTTTCGTTTCAGTTACAACGCTTACTTGATGAGCATCGGCTTGGAATATTTTGGTCGTTCCAGGGGACAGTTCTTTTCTTGAGTCTAAGTGGTACACTTCGACATCCCACGCTTGCCAGTACAATGGCTTGTCGTCAAATATCACCAGCTGGTTAGCTTTGCCCCCTTTGGCAACGACCTCTCTCTCTGCTTTCCGATCGTACAAAGAGCTTATGTAACCATCCTCGACCGATACACGGAGTTGGTCGTTTTGAAGAACGAAAACCCCCTTCCTGACTTCTTCGACGGTAACCTCGGGCGTCTCTGTAATCTTGAATGTTTTGATGTTGAGCAAGTTTCCTTCTCCACAGGCAACGCCAGCCCTGTTCTCACCGATACTGATGATCTCCCGGCGATGCCAAGGCATTGTGTTCAGGGCCAGAAGATTATCCCCTGAAGTAGGACTCACATCTTGAACCCCTAGAACGCTTTGTAGATCCTTGAAAATCTTCTCCCCTGTCTTGAACACTTTTGCGTAGAGCTGTGAGTTATTAGCAGGCTATCAGGGAAACATTAACTCTGGATCTTACCTCATCGCTATCATCATAGCACATCTCAATAGAGCTTCCAGGAAGACAGTCGTGAAATTGGCAGAGAAGCACAGCCTCCCACATGTCGTCAATATCTTCCTTTGGATATTTATACCCGGACTTGATAGAAGCCAAGGTAGCGAGCTGTTCAATGTCATGAAGCATGATTTCGGATTTCCTGTTGTTACGTTTGTTGTTTGCTTGAGTAGTATATGTACCGCGATGCAACTCAAAGTACAACTCTCCGTACCAAGTGACAAAGTCCAGGCCTTCGGAAGCCTTCTTTTCGAGCCGATCGAAAAATTCCTCGACACCCTCCCCAAGATGGACTCGAGGTAAAAGACCAACAGTATCAGCCATTCCACGACATCGTCGGAGTTTCTCCAAATGTTCCCAAGTTGGGCCCCCACCACCATCACCCTTTCCGAAAACCAATAACGAGGTATTATCCTGGTCCATAGACTTATGCTGAGTAACAGATCTCCTCACGTCCCCAAAGTTTGCTTCAGCGGTGTACGTCTCAGACGGTGCCATATGACAAATGACTTGACTTCCATCTAGAGAAACCCAGTTGAATGTAGTATGTGGGAATTTGTTAATGTTGTTCCAGCTCAACTTTTGGGTGAAAAATCGTGTCATACCCGCTAAACGGCACAGTTGAGGAAGCTGGCTAGAATAGCCAAAAGTATCTGGGAGCCAGAATGTCCGGCACCTCTCTCCAAAGTTACTTTCAAACAGTCTCTGACCATAAACGAACTGGCGTACCAACGACTCTCCACTTGGCATATTGGTATCGTGCTCAACCCAGCTGCCGCCAACAGGTTGGAATGTTCCCTTCTTGACCTTTTCCTTGACACGGTCAAAGACATATGGATAGTACTGCTTGAGCCACTTGTACTGCTGCGCCTGCGAGCAAGTGAATCGATGTTCTGGATACCTGTCCATCAAATCGCACTGGTTAGACCAAGACCTGGCTACTTTCCTCTTAGTCTCAGCCCATGGCCAAAGCCAACATGTATCTATGTGGCAATGTCCAACACCATAAACGATAGGCTCGGTTCCGGAATCGTAGACTTTGGAAGAGCTAGAGTTCTTTCCAAGATACTCCTGTGCAATCTTTCTGCCTTTCAAGATTGAATCTTGGTTACCTAGCTCGAAAGCGTCAATAATATCATTGGCGATTTTTAGTGCTTTATGTTGCTCCCAAGAATCGGCAGGAAACTCTCGTGCCGCATCACCAATCTCCCACATATCAATATACAGATGGCGGGCTTCCACGTTTACTGCAACGATCTCCGCCTTGCTCAATTGAAAGTACTTGTTTGGGTCAGGGGGTTGGATCGAGTCCCCGCCTGGCGCATTTCCAAACATGCCGTTACAGGCCATCTCGATATATATGGTGTGCTCTTTCCCATCTCTGAACTTCTTTGGCAGTATCCATTCCGTCCTCTCCCCGCCACCGGTCAGCCCTTGGAGCGGGTTTCCATCTTCGGTCCATACCATGCCCTCATTATTGGCGTCCCAGCGCAGTTCCAGGAGTTCTTTCTTGCACAACTCTTTGGGAACCGTAAGCTGGACCTTGAACCAATGAGTCGACCAAGACGGACCGAACCAGCTGCCTACAGATGTTGATTCGAATTTGTGGCTGGTTGCTTCTTTGAAGGTTGGTCGAGTCAGGTCGGGTGCATCCCATACAGATAGCTTGACGTGAGGTTCACCAGAAGCACTCCCCTCGGTCAGCATCCTATGAGAAGAGTTAATCAAAGTACTTGTGCACTTCCATGCGTTCTCGATATGCTTACGCTCGTAGATTTTTGGTTTCATATTGGCCTCCACCAGTGAACATGCCAATCCTATCCTTGTAGATGTTGGGAATCCATTGGCCCACTGGATGAGCGGACAACTTTGGGTATGAGCTCTTGAGCTTAGCAATTTCGAATGTTTCGCCTCCCATGATTGCGGCGAATAGTGAAGTGCTAGTTTGGAGATGTTGTTGAGTTGGTAAAAGAGGAGAGAGCTACACGCAGCTCCTGCGGGTTGATGTCAAGGGCTCGACGTTCCACAAATAGCCGTGTGATGGAGTCAAAGCTCCCGTCGAATGGCGGGGGCCCCGCCAATTTTGTCTCGGCGAAGACCAACATTTCCATCTAATTGATTGTAAACTCTCGTAATGTAATCCCGGATTCAGAGGAACCCGAGAATGAGCGTGTAACAGGACAGAAAGTATTAGGAAAGCTTTACAAGGAAAAGTAGGTCGATAAGATAAGCTGTGCTAATCTATCTGTATGCAGGTACACAAATCACGCCTAAGTTCTTATAGGTTACAAACAGATAGTAGTGCATTCAATACTTGGGAGGCTAGTCTACTCGAATTTACTCGCAAATGTGGAATGATAACAAAATACTCAGGTAACCTTCGCGGGCTACATATTCTACAACTCGAAATTACAGAAGCAATACATCTCTTCAAGTAAATTCCCCTTCAAATAGTTACCACTCTGTACCTAGGTGTATCTTCAAACGTTCTTCACCTTGCCAGTTGTAACATCGTAGACCCAGCCACTTACGGTCACGTTTGACCCAATCGCCTTGTTTTCTTTCAGCCACGCAACATCCTCTTTAACCTGTTCCTCCAAGTTCTTGAATGGGAGGAAGTCTCCTCCAAACTGGTCTTTCACAGCTGTTACAGCTTCTGGGCCTAGATTCTTCTCAACGATCGAGGTAGCATCGCTGTTCTGGAACGTGAGCATCCCGCAGCCAGTATGCTTAACCAGCAGTACCTCCTGTGTTTGAAGGAGCTGCTGAGAGATCACGATCGAACGAAGAGCATCTTTGGCAGACGCGCCTGCGTTGCGAATCACCTGACGGACTGTCAGTCCCAATACTCAAAGGGCTACTAGCTCCAGTCACTGACATGTGCGTCTCCAAGATCAATCCCAAAAGCTGCGGCTGGGTCAATTCGCGCGTCCATACAAGTTACTACGAATGTTAGATGAAAAAGAGCACGGAGATTAACGAGTACACACCAACTGTGTATCGCTTTCCAGGAGGAAGAGGCAAGTGGCCTTTATCGAAATTAGCAGCGTATGACTTATTCGAAGTGATGAGATTTTCTTGGACTGGAGTCGCCATGGTATGATATTTGCGAACGGGGTTCGCTTCCTTTTTATCAATTGTTGCTCGGCGTATGGTGTAGTACACTCATGTTAAAGAAAGGGTCGTATGGGAAGTGTAGCTTCTTATACACGAATAACAGCATTCTACTGTGTACAGTTGTACCGTACAAGGCTCTCGATTGCAGATCTAATCTCCTTCGGTCAGTGTAGACAAAGAATGGCTGGATTGCGCAATCGCAAACCCCTCTAAGTCGTTGAACGAGTCTGCTGGATCGGAATACTGCCACCCGGGATTGGGAAGCATGGCACCATATCTGGGCACCGGGCATCAGATACTAGATAGGTCATAGCTTACATGTCAATAAAGACACGGATCTAGGTAATGCTAGGTGGTATATGTTTAGTGAAGGATACTCATAATAAAGCCTCGAGGACAGAACGAGAGAGATGGCACGGATGGCAAACAGATCTCGGGCTGGTGGGCCGTGCTCACCCCGCATTCTGTCGGCTGGAAATCGGAGGGGCAAGGGCCTTAGTGACGGTCAGAACCGAGGGAACGGTGGATGTCAGATTCCAGATCCAGGACACTATGTTCTCGGATTAGGTCGGTCTTTTTCTGGGATGGGAGACTCACTAGAAGAAGAGACTGTTCATTGTGATGTCAATGAGGATATTCAAATCTCCAGCAATGAAGTAGCCGAGCTTATTTCTAGCATTCAAGAAGCCCAATATTACGACGCAGGTAGCATGGCGCCACTTACAGCTAGATCTTTGGTTAGTACTGATCATGCCCTTCAATGCACATACAGTGGAAAGAGTCTAATCTCACTCAGGCCGCGATTGCGAGACTCAGAGCATACAAACCACCTCCATTCCCCATATGGGATCGTTTACCACTCAGCCGCCGCGCCGCCGTTCTGATTCTTCTTTTTTCGGATAGGCGCGGTGATCTACGGGTGGTAATAACCATGAGATCTACTTCTCTGAGAAATTTCTCTGGTAATCTATTTTGCTTTCGGGCCGTCTATTTTCTAAGAGATTCCAGGACATGCGGCTTTCCCTGGAGGCAAGGCCGACATGATCACCGAAACCCCCTGGGAAACTGCGAGGCGTGAGGCATTCGAAGAAATTGGCCTTCCGCTCTCTTCTTCCTCCCTGCCAAAACCGTTCCGTCTAGAACATCTCTGCGAGCTTCCGCATTCCCTAGCTATGACTGGTCTGGCTGTAAGACCATGCGTAGCCATTCTCCATGCCGACCAAGCCGACGGCAACTCAGATGCAAGTGTGGAAGAAAACATGATACCCCGTTTAGATGCGAAAGAGGTAGCTGCTGTATTTTCTGCGCCTCTCCACAACTTTTTAGCCCCGAGTGATGAGACGCCGGAAGGAGAGAAGGCTGCGGGAAAGTGGTATGAAGGTAAATGGATTGAGTGGCATGAGGGCCCCTGGAGAATGCACACTTTTCAAGTTCCAATCACAAACCAGAAAGTCTCCAAACCTAAGGTCAGAGACGCCGGTCAATCGAGTATGGCGGAAGAAGATGAGGGCCCCGAACTAGAAAGATACAAAGTGTGGGGAATGACAGCTCGAATGCTTGTAGATGCTGCCAGGGTCGCATATGGCGAGGACCCTCAGTTTGAGGTAAGTCAGATAACTTCTATATTATTTTGAGCTGGTATTAATGAACTAGCACGATCTTCATATTGGAGATGAGAATATGATCAAAAACCTCTTTGCAATGGGCAAATTAGTCAAAAAAGCCCCAGGTGAGGTAGGGCTCGCAGAAGCAGATCTTAGAAAGTCTCGACTACCGGCTCCGAACTCAGAGTCAGATTCAAAGATTTAGAAGTTAGAACGTAATCATATAGTTGTATGTTAGCCTTACACATTGAGCAGTGAATAAAACCCAGCAACAATATTATCTCGTTAAGTAATCATTTCATTGCGAACGATATTTTTGCCTTTAAAAGTAGGCTACGCATAGAGAACACAGAAAGCAATAGTTCTATCAGGTCATCTCAAGCGAGATTCGCGCAGGTGGCTTTGCTTATGAGGATGAATATAGAAGTTCTCAAGAGACTCTTCTGATATCTACGATAAGCTACTATCTACAACTATCCATCTAAAGCCTTAATCTCTATCTCTAATGAATTCGCCTTTCTCTTCCATCTCATTCAACACACGATCCGCGACTCGAAAAGCTTCCATTCCAGCTGGCATACCGCAATACGCACTGTTCGAAGTATCAGCTGGCCAATCAAGAAAATCATGCTCCCTTTCAACAATATGTTGGGTCTTCAACTTACCTAGCTTGTAATAGCGTCTCCCGAATCTCAACCTCGCTAGCACCATTTCTCACCGCACCCCTCACATGAGTTCCCAATTCCGTCCATTTACTCAACGCCGTCAACATAACCAAATTAAGCAAACTTCTAGTCTTCAACTCTAGACCTGGGCGTGTCCATATAGTGCCCCACGCAGCTTCCTATCTCTCATTAATAAACTGTTTCTTATAATCAAAAGAACAGAAGAGGAAGAACATACCGTAGCATACTGCTGCAAAGGTCTCAAAAAATCACTACTCCCCGCTTCCAAAGCCTTCGCCACATACTCCTCTCCCACCACCCTCTTCCTCATATCATACCCGCGTCCATAAATAGTCTGATGCGCCGGATCATCCATATTATTCTCCGCAATATCAATTTCCTCCTTAGCACCTCCCATCTTCGCTCCTTTCTGTTTACTCATCTTCTTCTTCTGCTTCGGCGCTGGAGGCTGAAGTGACGTGTCAGCTGATACAATTCCTGGAATCCACTTGGAACTCGAAAAGATTGTGGGGAAATAGATGATGTACAGCATTAACAGCCCTCTGAACTAACGTCTCCCCCGCATACGCACTAGTCGCAGGCTGTGGCGCGTAGAAACTCCCCGTGGGAGGATCGCCTTCAAAAGCGCCGGCGCGATAAATCTCCAGATCTCCACTGTTCAGCGCTTGATTCTCCTCAGTGGTATTCTTATCCTTGTTTTTCTTGCGCTTGAGGAAATCCATTATCAGGGTTTACGTGATGAGGGTGAGGATGAGTAACCAGACACAAGTATGGGGTTAGCGGAAAAAGGTTTCTTTTCTCGACAAATGAAAAGGAGATGTGGCACAGCCAGGTATGAGATGCATCTGGGAGTTTTGCGGGGAACCCTGTTGCGTTGGGCATGGTTGATGTGAAGGCTCGATGCAGGCGAATGGGATCGGGCCGCATGGGGTTAGGGAGCAGGAACAGTAATTAGTTGTGGGCTAGGCGGAAGATGAGCTGGCTGGTCTTCTTAAATAGACGTCCTGCATCCTCATAGACGTAGATTTGTGAGTAGCTACCAGTCCAGGATTGATCAATCTCACAGCACAAGAGATTTCGTCGGGTTGACATTACAAGGAAGAAGGTAAAGTCGAATAGTAACTGTGTCACATCATATCGGAAGCGGGGTAAAGAAGGGGAATTGGTTTGTTTAAGTCTCCAATTATCGTTTATGATGCTAGTTTACATCTAGGAAAGGACACATCAAGGAAAAACCATTACCGCACTGTGCTCGCGAGAAGCAGAAGGGTACAGTCGAAACCAAATAAAACACAAAGCCCATAATGGCGATCAAATACTACCCGCCTCCATTGCTCGAAACTCCAAGCTCCATATCTATCGGTATCCATCTAAACGTCTAATCGCATCTCAAAGGACGACTCGTGTACGATCTAGGGTATAAATTAATTTGGTGAAATGTTTAGACGTTGGTTGGCTTCAATGTCATCTTCTCAGAGCCCTCAGCGAAAGGAACACCGAGTTCGAAAAGCTTGACGATGACGTTGGAAAAGTCCTTGAAGAAGAGCTCTTCATCCTTGGCGTACTTCTCGGCCCATTGCTTGAAGGTCTTATCGGTCACGATAGCCATATCAGTTGGAAGCATCATCAAGCTCCTGGTGGTCTTGTCCTCAAGCTGTTCAAGATGTCAGCAGTGGTTCTGCAACGGTGGGTATAATTGACATACCTGTTTAGGACCATTCCACTTCTTCCAGCTCCACTTCTCGTTCAACAGGAGTTTATAATACTCGTTGGTAACAACCGTTGGGGAGAAAGTCCATGGTCCCTCGTACCCACTGCGTGTCGTGTGGCATCGTCCCAAAGCGTGGGCTCCAGAAAGAGCAACAATTTCTTGGTCGTTGAAGCCCATTCGGTAGAAGATGTCTCTCAGGTGCTTGTTTCCCTGGGAAGCATCTGGAAGTCGTCCATCAGGAGTGCAAGCAACGATGTCCTTGTCATGTCTGCCAGGTCGATATGGGATGACTGGTCCTTGCATCTCTTGAATTGCGCAGACGCCAGAAAGAATCCAGAGATCGGAGTAGGAAATCCATGGGTGCTTCTCTACAGTGCATTGTCAGATGGGTTAACAGTCGATTTCAAAAGTGGGCTTACGTTTGACAGGCTCAAGGAAATCGCGAGCAGCAACCAGACCTGCATTGGCACCGTGGTCACCCTCAGGAGCGAATCTCATGGTAGCACCATTGCTTCCGCCAGTTCCAGTCTCCTTGTCGTAGGTTCCGCTGGCGTGCCATGCCAATCTCACCAAGACTGGTCCATAGCTTCCATCATCATAATCGTCCTTTTCTTCCAGTAGCTTCGCGATATCATCGTAGACTTTCTGGTAATCCTCTTGCTTTGGAGTGAAGATGCCTGCGGTCTCGCCTGATGAACCCTTAAGCAGACTTTCGCCGGAGTGGAGGTAGAAACCAGCACCACCCGCAAGAGCAAGGGCGCCGATACCGAGATAAAGTCCAGATGAGGATTTCGCTGCTGGCTCAGAGGCGTATCCGCGTCTCGATTGTTGGCGGAATGCCTGTCGAGGCAGGGTAAAGGCTGTGTTGCGAGCAGTTGTTCGCAGAGCTGCTCCTGATGGTCTCGTCTTGAGAGCCACGCGGGCGAATGTTCGTGTAGCGGAGGAAGACATACTGAAGATGGTATCCAGATACGTGATGTGGACCAAATGCGATGAGCAAAAGCTTCAAAGACTTGCGACAAGCTTCAGCTTAAACTTGGGAAGGGTGTTGTGTTTCTTAAAAAGAATCGAAGGTGAGAGTGAATGTCAATTATCTAGTCTTGTTGACACGCAGTGGCGACGACTAAGTAAATTATTCTTTTTTCGGACCCTGAACGGATAAGCACGGAATGCGCCGACGAACCCTGTGGGCCTACGGAACATTCTCGCGACAAAATCTGTTAAAGCACGGCACGACAAACGGGATTTGACTAGAATCTAGGGGTTTGATGCTAACAAATAACATGAATCGCTTCCCGAAGTATGCGCTGACATATTCATATTCAATTTGCCTATTTAGAAAGTACTGTGAGTCATGTTACTATAAAATTTGTATAGCTTGAGGCTCAAAAAGACCCTTGAAAAGAGACCTTGTGGCAACCGTTCATACCTGGACTCACTAGAAATACCTAGCTTGTGATTGGTCATATGGATTTGGACTTTCATTAGTCGGAATGTGAGCCGATCTCGGATCATTATCTTTCAAGATTTATGGCATCAAACGGGGAAAAGTAACGCCATATGAGCTTTGTAGTATACTTTTTCATACTGGTACTAGTTATTTAAGACTAGCATAGTTTCACCTCGACCACATTGAGCCTCTCGCGTGAGAGCGAATGTTGAACAAGTGATCCCTACATCTTACTTTTCTTTATATCCATCTCAGAAGGATTGCATGGTGGCAATAATGCCAATGATGCCGAGGTTGACGGATTTGCTACTCGCAAGCATGATTTACCACTCAAATATTTACCATCAAACGCTGAGCGATGTGCCCATGGAGGTGTTTTGATTCGTAGAGTGAATGAATTGCTGTGATGTGCTGTCCTATAGAAGATCATGAACTGTATCTTTGTTTGGGCGAGCCTTATGCTAAATCTGGCAATGGTTTTCCTTTACGGTCCCAAATGCCTGCAATCCAGCCCCAGCCTCCGTTGTGGCATAACATTCCATATTATGAAAAGGCTACAGCCTGACTTTAGTAAGAGTAACGACCCTCCAATTGGACGGCCTCCCACTTTTTTCAAATTGTAGTCGATCGCTGGATGATATCGTCCCTCCCCAGCGGCCGCGTCCCATCATTTAGTACCATTGCTTCTCGGTTTCGTCTTCTTATGATATCTTCTTCCGAGCTCTGGTCTCTTCGTCTCCGCCCCTCAACCAGCATTCCTTCCCATTCCTCTCCAGACGTCCCTTCACCGTTCGTCATCCTGACATCTCTGGCACTTGGAAGATCCCATTCAAAATCTAAAGGGAGTAATTTGTTCTTGCAAAGTTGCGACCGTCCATTTACGTCTCGAATTAGAGGTAACGTGAGCTCGTTCAACTGGTTCCGCGTCCGCAGCGATTCGAGGAAGTTGATTTGCCGTTCTCGGTCGTCTTCCCCCCAATGTTCCTTTGCTAGCCACCGCTCTACAAACTTGGCTTTGATTAGACTCTCCACCCCGAATTTCTCGACTAGCTGACCCAAGAGCAGCAAACACTCTTGCTCCAGGCTATCACGAAGCTGCCAGTTGTCCCACTCTTTGTCATACTTTGCATGTTCGTAATCTTTGAGGCTGTATTCTAGGGATTTGACGAGTGCAGTGTAAGTTTTAGGTTTGTTGAGTAAATGGATGGTAGCTGAATCAATGTAAGTTGACACTACTGTTGTGGAGTTAGAGGGAAGAACGTACAACTGTTTACGACATAGGTCAGACTTCGAATGCCTTTTTCTCTCGTGTCATAGTCCGGTCGAGTCGCGCAGTGGAGAATGGTGTTCAGCGCATCGTCATCGTGAAGTGCTCGTTCGCAAACGATGATTGCTGTGGTCTCTTGGATACAGTAGTTAGGGCTGTCCAGAAGCTTGTCAAGTGTTGAGACCTTCAAAGCATCCTCTACGTTTTGCGTAATATACTGAGGTTTGTTCTCGACGGGTGGTAGGATAGCATTATCGCGGTAATAAATTAGTAACTTGCGCATACATTTAAGAGCAACAACTGCTCCGATGCCAATTCCGAGCACGAAAAGTCTCTCCTGAGCGGCACGCGACAGCGCCGCCATCGTAAGAATATTTCATACGAGAAGGATCCTCAAAACAAAGTGAGTTTGTTATACTCAAGTATTTGGCAGCAAGTACTCAGCACAAGCCGGTACCTAACAGGTCGTCTGTTGACCGCCTAAATTCTGCCACATGTGCCACTTTATGGCGCTGCGATAAGCGATTAACCTGATAAAAATATTCTGGAGGGTCGGAAATTTCGCGCTGGATAGCACAACAATCGACTTGCGCAATGCCTCCCTCACAACTAAAAAGGCTGAAGGCATCTTTACGGGAGCAAGGCCTTGTAGGCCCGCAACAGTCAAAAAAGCAACGAAAACAAAATGCTCAAAATGGAGGGAACAAGGAGAAGCGAGTGGGAAAGAAAGTGGCTCTGGACGGAATTCGAGAGCAATTCAATCCTTTCGAATTTAAGATGTCTGGAAAAGCCCCAAAATTTGAGGTTACCACGAACCAAAACAAGTCAACTGCGACCGTTCGACGACCGGGCGTAGCGAAAGGTCTCGCTGAGGAGAGGGTAAGTTTTCGTGCTGCATATGATAATTTTTAGTTCTGACAATCTTCACAGCTCACTAAGGCGTATGAGGAAGATATGCGACGGCGTAAAAAGGTGGGAGGGATCGTAGACAAGCGTTTTGGAGAGAATGATCCTTCAATGGCACCAGAGGAGAAGATGCTGGAACGTTTTACACTCGAGAAGCAACGACACCACAAGCACTCGGCATTCGATTTGGAGGATGATGATATGGGAGAAGGACTCACTCACATGGGGAAATCTTTGTCACTGGACGCCCCAGCGCTTGTTGATGACTTCGATGAGGCAGGTTTGGCTCTATCAGACGCCGAAGACCATCCGTCTGACGAGGAACGACAAGAACGCAAACGACGTCGGTCCCTCAATGATGGTGAGGAAGATGAAGAGGAGCAGGACGATCGGCCTGAGAGAAAGAAATCTAAGCAGGAGGTTATGACCGAGTTGATTGCGAAATCTAAACTCCACAAGTATGAGCGGCAACAAGCGAAGGATGATGATGAAGACCTCCGGGAGGAACTAGATAAAGAATTATCAAATATTCATGCTCTATTACGCGGTATCGGTCCAAAATCGAAGTCAACACCGGCTATGGATACTTTAGGAATGAACCCAGACCGAGCTGCGATGTTAACTGGGGCCGACAAAATCAAATTTGACAAAGAGTATGATCTTAGATTACGTCAAATGGCCCAAGACAAGAGATCTAAACCCACGGAGAGAACGAAAACAGAAGATGAGAGGATAGCAGAGGAGTCGAGAAAATTGCAACAATTGGAAGAAAAGCGGCAGCGGCGAATGCATGGCGAGCCCCAGAGTAGCGACGAAGAAGATATCAACGACAGAGCCACCGCCGTCAATGATGATGATATGGACTACGAAGATGAGGACGAGGATGAGTTTGGTCTAGGGGCTGGTATAAAAGTTCGCCCTTCTAAGAAGCGTCCAACCATGGCAGAATTAGGTGTCGAGGATGAGGACGACTTTTTAATTGACGATGATCTGGTTGCTAGTGGATCAGATGTCGAGGAGATCGTATCAGAAGAAGATTCAGTTGACGAATCATTGGAAGCAGACGGCGACGACGACGGCGACCAGGATGCAGATTTTCTAGAGGGTCTCTTAACGGAAGAAGAAGCCAAGCGACCTGAATTTCTCACGGGTGCAAATGCTCCAATCAAAGAAATCGAATTTCCCGAAAAAAACGGTGTCAATGGAAACCTGGCATACACTTTCAAGTGTCCAGAATCGCATGAACAGCTACTCGAGATTACAAAAGGCATCTCGTTGCTTGATCTTCCAACAGTTGTACAACGTATCAGAGCGCTATACCATCCCAAACTCAACAGCGACAACAAAAGCAAATTATGTAATTTTGCTATATCTCTCATCGATCACATCTCATATCTTGCAAATCAATCGAAATTGCCACCCTTCTCAGTTCTGGAGACTCTAATCCGGCACATCCACTCATTAGCAAAAAGCTATCCCAAAGAAATCGCCAACTCTTTCCGAAGCCATTTGGAGCAATTTAACGAATCTCGATCGCTATCACCAACTCCTGGTGATTTGATAATACTGACAGCCATTGGAACCGTTTTCCCCACTTCCGATCATTTTCACCAAGTCGTTACTCCTGCCCTCCTGACTATGGGTAGATACCTCGCTTTGAAGATTCCTCAGAATCTTTTCGATTATGCTGTTGGAGCATACATGTGCACATTGTGCCTGCAATATCAAATATTGTCGAAGCGATACATTCCGGAAGTGATAAGTTTCATCGAGAATAGTCTTTGTACTCTGGCACCTTCTAGAATGCTGATTTTGCCCGGAAACTTTCCATATCACGAGCCTAAAACATCTGTACGTATAGCAGAAGTTTTGAAATCAGGACGACAATTAAGGTTCTCGGACTGCGTCGCTCAAGAGCGCTCCAAAGCGGAAGGGGAATCACTCAAAGTAGCTCTCCTAGATACAAATCTTTCTCTACTTGGAGTCGCATCCGAAACATGGTCTGGAAAGGCTTCTTTCACCGAGATTTTCGAACCGAGCTTGAAGATACTCAAGCATCTGGGAAACAAGACTTGCCGGCCCTTGTTACCGTCTAATACTCAGAAGTCTCTCACATCATTGACTAAAAAAATCACCACTGCTCTTTCCAACTCCGTTCTCAATCAACGCCCCTTGGAACTGCATCACCATAGGCCACTCGCCATCAAAACATCCATACCCAAATTTGAAGAGACATTCAACCCTGATAAGCACTACGATGCCGATCGCGACCGTGCGGAAGCTGCCAAACTCCGCAAGGAATATAAACAGGAGAAGAAGGGTGCCATGCGAGAGCTTCGTAAAGATGCGGCTGTGGTTGCAAGGGAAAGCCTGCGGGAGAAGAGAGAAAGGGATGCTGCCTATGAGAAAAAGTATAAGAGACTCATCGCTGAGATTCAGGGTGAGGAAGGACGAGAGCAGAATACGTATGCGAGGGAGAAGGAGTGGAGGAAGAAGGGGAAGAAATAAGTCCTCTACGACTAGTTTGTGTGGTATGATACTCGATATAGCGCTCACTGCCTATAACTTTGAATATGTCCAGACTGCTGTTAATGTAACGCTTGAATTGATACCCGAAATTACTGGACGACGGTTTCGTCTGAGCATGTTTGCGGGGATGTCTTCCTATTGATACCTGGTTTACTAGTTTTGACACCTGGCATCTTATGAACGTGAGCTTAGGAAGATGATAAACGTCCATCGAACTTTTGGGTTTTGGTACTGCAAGAGCCATAATCTTTTTGCAATCTAATTCAAATAGCCATCAGCTACCCTTCTAGAATACTGAACTTTTGCTAAAAAAAAAACATGAATAGTCGGATAATCAAACATTCCCAGCGCGTGCAGTAGACCATTTCCGAGATACCTGTGGACGATGAGATCCAAAATTCTAAGAAAAGCAAATTCAGTTTCTGTTATAGGTTGAGACAAACAAAGCATTTCTATCATATTTTGAAACCTAGTCTAAACAATCTAAATCATCTTTTGATGTATCTATGCCCAATTTCAAAGCAGCCTCCACTGCCTTCTAGTGATTGCACCTTGAAATAATACCCCAGTGAGATGTATTGAGTGAACGCCATAGCTAAAATCTAAACACCCGCCGTGTGAAAATTTCCGCTGACCTGCCCTGTAGGCGTCAGACATTGAGTACCGAATCCATTAGGTTGAGGGGGTTGACTGGGAATGCAATAAGTGGAAATCGAAGAAGTCCCGTAAATGCGGCTTTCAGTCCTATTCCAGATTAGTGAGGCCCTTTTTTCTAGAGGCAATGAGGGTGAGTTTACCCAGTAGTACAACTGGTTACAAGTTCTCCAATAGTTAAAGTCCGGTCAACAAATGTGAATGTGGTTCTCCCATCAGCGCAAAATGTAGGCTCGGTGGAGTATATGTCTCCTGTTCGGACGCATTGGGTACGGCTTGTTGAGTTGGAGTCGTCGCTGAATGAGAAGTATACAGCGGCTGGTTTTGGATTGCCTGTTGCGGGTGTGAAAGTTGAGAAGCCATTAATGGTAAATGTTGTTGGGGAAGTACATGTGTCTTTCGGGAGAAGCGTTGGAAAGGCGGATGTAGATGAAAGAGACGAGAGGATGAACAGTATGATCGAGGATGTATACATCTTGAGATTGGATTGTTATGATGTGAAATTGTTGAAAATATTTTGTGTTGTAGTCGAAATTTAGCCAACTTGACACGAGCGTATAAGGGTCTGAGAAGTCTAGAGATAAAATGGTTTCAAAGACACAATGCAAGGCTTTATATCTCCAACTTTGAACTTGTACTACATGCCTTTCTGGTTTATCAGCCTGCATCATGCCGCCCACTCAAATCCTTCAAACCGACTTAACCATGGTTCGGGCCTCAGCTCAAGCTTCTCTGCAGCAAAGGGCTTCAGCTACCAACATTGAATGAGGTGAGACCTAGCCGGCTACCGCACTTTGATTACGAGTTTTAGCAAACTTCCCTGCTGCAGTTAGAGGATCACCAACAGTCAAGTGAAGTTGTACAGATTCCACCTCTTCGTATTTTTCTTAACGGAGTTAACACGAGGAAGCATGCCATCAGCCAAAGATTTGAAATTTAGAAGGCTCTTGACACAATGTTGTACTTACTAGTTGAATACGAAGAGGCGAACGGTAAGACGCATGGCGGTCTTAGTAGAAAGCTTCGGTGATACCAATGTGGAAACTGCCAGGATATAAAGTGTTCTCTAGAATACGATAACCGTACAGCAACGTTACGAAGTTCCATCTCCAATCAGACGTAGCAATTGACTAGTCACTCTGTGAGATACTGGTAAGCATTTCATTCTATATTGTAGTTCCCCAGTCATAACGTTTAATATTGCTCGTTGTGGCAACAATGCCGGTTATGAGAGCCGTAAAGTTCGACAAGACGAAGCTAATAAGCTAAGAACCGAGGAATTAAGATGAAGAGCTTATCGAAGGCATGAAGAAACGTGAAGGCAGATTAATTTATCTGAGCATATACGAAAAGTTGATTAAAATAACATAAACGTAGAGGCTTCAATGAGGGATAGCGGGAGTCGCTGCGGGATTATCCGTGCACGGCCCCTTGAATTCAACACAATCCAGTCAACACGTGATCACACAAATCGTAAGCGAGTTTAGAGCAAATTCCATCTCGAACTTTTGCGACTTCGAATTTCCCCTCCACGACAACATCCAACGACAACCACGCCAAACAAATAAAATGGCAGCAACCAAGGAACGCAGCGGCCTTGCCGTTGGCACCAACAAGGGCCACGTACGTTAATTACACTTCATCGCCCGTCTCACCTCTTGGAGGATCTCGTCTTTTCTTGCAAAGATGATGATGGACTCAACGGGCTAATTTATCGATTTGCGATTGTGTAGAAAACCGAAGTCAGAACTGTCAAGCCAAGAGTCAGCAGAACCAAAGGTCACTTGAGCAAGCGCACTGCTTTCGTCAGAGAGATCGTCAAGGAGGTTTCTGGGTACGTCGCAAATCTCAGTTACAGATGTGGATATTTAGGATGAAGGCTAACCTCTACTTTCAATAGTCTCGCACCATATGAGCGTCGTGTTGTCGAGCTCCTCCGTAACAGCAAGGACAAGCGTGCCCGTAAGCTCGCGAAGAAGAGGGTATGTTTCTCGGTCGCCAAAATATCCTACATACTTAACCAAGTCCTGACATTTTAAATAGCTCGGTACATTCGGCCGTGCTAAGGCGAAGGTCGACGAGTTGCAGCGTGTTATCGCCGAGTCGAGAAGAGCTGGTCACTAAGCTTCTCGCATCACTTCCACCTTCTGCGGTTGTGATCTTGAACGGATTGTGATGGGGCCTGGAGTTGTATGATTGAAAAGGAAAATGCATCTTTCATGATACCCAAGAGTATCGAACCTCATTCGAGATGATTAGCAACACCAGCGTCATATATCTGAGAAATTGAACAACTTCAAATATCATATTCTGTGTCTGATCTTTTTTGAAGAGCGTACATACTGCGGTTAAAGGTCTAGTTTGCCTGATATTATCTACTAATCGTAAGATATTCTCCCTAAACAACCTTCGGTCCTGCCATTTAAACTATTGACTGAGAACATTCTCGGAACCGAATTATATGAACTGATTATTTTCATCTCGCATTCATTGTATACAACGGCCCGCGAAAATAAATCGCAAGGTGAACATACTCAGCATCAGTAGCCCAAATCATCATTTATTCGGGTTTGTCTTTTGACGGGCCATGACAGCAATGACTTCTGTAAACAGACAACTCCTCGCTATGCCCTCTATTCTAAAATGCCAAATAGGTGCTTCCCTTCCCCCAATACCAACAAATTCACAGACAATCGCTACATCATGAACTCCTCGTCACTTCTTCCCAAGCCCTTTAAACCACTTCGGCATCCCCTTCACCTTAGCAGCAACATCTTGGCCTGCCTTCTCCATAGTGTCACCAATTTTGGATCCACTCGATTGTGGAAGAAGGGGTCGAACTTCTGGCACAGGTATTTCCTGAGCTTTCTCATCGAACTCCGGTTTCAATATTGGTGCTTTCTTTGCAGCAGGGTTGACTCCGTCCTCCCACACGAAGTTAATTAGCATTCGAGCATCAAACTTCAGGTCCTTGATAAGCTTTTTCTTATCATCTTTGGGCACAGTTTGTACACCCTTACCATTCCAAACAAGCTTGAACGGCTGGTCACCTGCACGAATGACATTCGATACATATGTATACAAATCAGCTCCTGTCTCATCTGCCTTGAAGGGTGAGACGATAGTCGCTTGATCTGGGAACCTGATTTTGACAGAGACTTCTTTCGCTGCTGCTAGTTTTGCAGCCTTCTCTTTCTCTAGCCTCTCTTCTTCAGCATTAGATAACAGTCGCTTATTATGTGAACTATTCTTTAGACGATCTTGATGTAATTTGGCGTGTACTATCGATGGCTCGAAATCATCATCCTGGACCGGTTGCAAAGCAGCTTTTGGCGTATCTGAGCTTGGGGGAGAGTATATTGAGATAGGACGCTGACCAGGACCCAGAACGTCCTCTTTAATCGCCTCTGATGTCGATGCGGCTGCTGATGGTTCTGGTGGTTGTGAAGCGTCAGTCATTTCAACGTCGCCAGCGACACCTTTATTGGTTGGAGGGGTCTCAACGTCGCCAGTAACACTGTCAATAACATTTTGTGCTTCTGCCGTTTCTCCTTCTTTCGCATCAGACTCCGCCTTAGCCGCCGCTTCTGCCTCTGCCTTCTCCTTTGCTGCGGCCTCCTTCTCTGCCAGCTGCTTGAAATGTGCACTAATCTCGCCTCGTGCTTCCTCCAGAGGCGTTGTCGTTCGTGAAAACTTCAATTTAATAAGTCCAGTTCCGCTGTTAAATCCTAACTGCGCAAGCGTCTGTTGGAGTTCTTCAAAAGATGAAAATTCCCTCGCCATGAGTTGGACCACCGGCTTCTCATAGAAAATCTTCGCTTCCAGCACATTCCCATTCTCGACCTGGCTAACCCCTCGCGCCGTAAAATTAAAGTTGTGCTCAGGTGTGTTCTCGAACTTCCGCAATATAAGCCATAGTGTGGTGTCGCTTGGGAATTTATCTGTCAATCGGCCATTTGGAACACTTGAAGAATATACATCTGGAAGTTGGAGGGCAACAGAAACCACTGAAGGTGATCGAGAGGCGACTACTAGTTCGAGTTTCGCGCCAGAGACGAGGCCTGTTTGGCGGTATGTTCTGGAGAGATCCACTGGCTTGCCTTTGTATCTAGTAATTGTCAGTGTGGTTATCCATGAATCTGTTGAAAAATGGCACATACTTGAGTGTATAATTGGCCGACTTGACTCCAAACTTTCGGCAGGCCTCACCCAGAACATCTGTCATATATATTCCTGGCGTAACCTTCACCGTCTGCCTCCGGAAAGCTGTGTCTGTGACTACCACATGAGAAGCCATGCTGGTTGAGTGCGGCCGGCGCAAGTTTCGTAGAACTAAGTTCTTCAACGTCCGTGGGTATATTTGACTCAGATGCGACTTGAAAGGCGTATGTTCTTTAAAAGAAAGTTAAAGTGTTGTTGACTTGGGGTTTGTAAGATGCTGTTGGAGAGTGGCGGGGTTCTTTCCTCTTCTACAGCCTCGTCGGTTTCGAAGACTCGCTCAGAAAGAGGTGTTTTGTAGAATATTTGTTGTTTTGACGGGGGTCGATTTTCAACTACAGACTCGAGACAGAATAAACTGTTAAGGAAGAAGGAAGTCTCAAATTTAAGGAGAATTGACTTCTTGTTATAACATACGAGTCCATCGCTTGGGTGCCTGAATCACTGTAATAATTGGTCAAGATGGTCCAAGCTTCCTGAGAGCTTCGTTTGACGCGACAGCCGTGTCTACCTTGCAGGTGTACAACCTCGTCCAGTCGAATAATCAATTCCAAGTCCCCCAACCATCCACAATCGCCAGTAACAAAACTCTCGCCTAGGTCGCAGAGATTTTGTCGATATCCCCAATCCTACACAACCTCAATCGAGATTAACATATCAAAATGGTAAGCTCAGTCAATGCGAAAACGGATATCAACAGTAGCTAATCCTCATCTTTAGAGCTCCCCCTTCTCCATCAGTACGATCTTCCTCCCCTCGAAACCTTCCCGTCTAACAAATCCTAGATGGTGGCGCCTGCGTAGCGATGGTAGGCAAGGACTGCGTAGCCATAGCATGCGATCTCCGACTCGGACTCCAAGCCCTCACCGTATCCAACAACTTCCCCAAGATCTTCTCATACGGCGACGTCTATCTGGGTCTCACCGGTCTCGCCACAGACGTATCGACCGTCAGCGACCTCTTCCGTTATAAAGTAAACATGTACCGGCTCCGCGAGGAACGCAACATCTCGCCTAGCACAATGGCAAACCTAGTGTCCAGTTCGCTGTACGAGAAGAGATTCGGTCCATACTTCGTAAGCCCGGTTGTTGCGGGGATCGACCAGAAGAGTGGGAAGCCGTTTATTTGCGGATTTGATAGTATCGGCTGTATCGATTTTGCAAAGGATTTTATTGTCAGCGGAACGGCGAGTGATCAGCTTTTTGGTACTTGTGAAGGTCTATGGGAACCAGATTTGGTATGTGGCCCATGGAGCGAAGAAACTTTGCCTTTGAAGAGAGGCGATGCGAAAAGGGGATGAAGCTAATTGTGATACTTTACAGGGACCAGAGGACCTCTTCGAGACTATTTCGCAGGCACTTTTGAACGCAGTTGACAGAGATGCGCTATCAGGTTGGGGAGCTCACGTTTATGTTATCGAGAAAGACAAGGTCACCAAGCGGTTATTAAAGGGTAGACAGGATTAAGATGGCCGTTCTGGTTGGGTTGGAGAGTTTCAGAGCAGAGCTGGCGTCGAGTTCGCTTTGTGTAGTATTAGATTTCGCATAGACCTTGGTGTTGGGAAGCGAATGAACATGACATGGTCACAAAGAATACCACGCTCCATCGAACACTTGACAGGTGTTCTAAAAATATCAAATATTCATAAATAGGTACATCTGTATTGTCTATGGTATATAATCTAATAGTGTAATACTATACAACCATCTCTATGGTTCCGTCGAATTTATTCCGTCTTAGCCCTTGGCTCAATAACCTTCGTCTTCTGAATGAAAAGTTGCCTCTCCATAAACTTGAGTCCCTCGTCGATTAATCTGATACACATTAGTTTACGTCTCAGGGCATTGATGGGATAGATAGACTTACATAACTGGTGCGCTTATCACTAGGACCGCCTTCCACTCGTTCCAGTTTAGTGGGAGAATCGAGAAGAGTGATTGTAAGATAGGTGTGTAAAGGAGGGCGAAGTGCAGAGCCATAGATAGAGTGATGGCATAAACGAGCATCATGTTCTCCCAAAGTGGGAGAGTAAGCAGTGACTCGCTAGAAGAAAGAGCGTTCATGGCGTTGAGCATCTCGATGACGACGAGGATGGATAGAGAAACAGTAGAGGCCGACTTGGCCATGTCATCAGAGAACATTTGGCAGCCAATCTCCGGAAACTGAGTCGAGCAGCGGTGGAAGTGAGACAACTGCCAGAAGGAGATTTGAGGACCTTCAGAATTGTACATGAACCACCAAGCATAACCAGCTACTGTTGCGAGACCTACGTAGATACCGATAACCATGTAGCGGAAGAACAACCAGCCACCAATAAGAGGCTCATCACGCTTTCTTGGTCTCCTTCTCATGATATCATGATCTGGTGGGTTGAATGAGAGAGCAGTGGCAGGGAGACCATCGGTGACCAAGTTGACCCAAAGGAGTTGGACTGGAATGAGAGCTTCAGGCATACCAGCGGCAGCCGTGAGGAAAATAGACACGACCTCTCCGATGTTGGATGAGATCAAGTAACGGATGAATTGTTGGGTGTTGTTGTAGATAGAGCGTCCTTCTTCGATCGCAACTTCAATGGTAGCAAAGTTATCATCAGCGAGAACCATATCAGAAGCCAATTTGGCAACGTCAGTTCCAGAGCCCATGGCAACTCCAATATCAGCTTTCTTAAGTGCAGGAGCGTCATTGACACCGTCACCAGTCATAGCAACAACATCGCCGTTGGATTGAAGGAGATCAACCAACTTCGACTTGTGGGTTGGCTCAACACGTGAGAACAGAGATGCGGTTTGGGCAGCCTTCAATTGCTCGCTTTCGCTAAGCTGATCAAACTCCCGTCCAGTAAAGCTCTTGCCCTCGAGATTTTCGCGCTCCCCAAAGACACCAATCTGTCGACAGATAGTCTCGGCGGTATTGCGGTTGTCGCCCGTGATGACAATAACACGGATTCCAGCTTCTTTACATTTCGCAATGGAGGCCGCTACTTCCGGACGTGGTGGATCCTCCATGCCGACAAGACCCAGGAGGGTCAACTTTTGCTCCAGTTTCGAATAGTCGGCGGTAGATTTAGCTGATTTCAGAAGTGGGTTGGATGAAACATCGTCAAGACTGGCTAGTGCAATGACACGAAGGCCTTTGTTTCCATAGTCTTCAACTTCCTTGAGTAACAATTGAGAGAGATTCTTGGACAGTGGGACTCTCTTCCCGTTGGATCCAACGAGAGTGTGAGTGCAGCGGTCAATGATAGATTCGGGGGCGCCTTTAACCAAGAGTCTTTGGGATTTCTTGTCACCCACAAGGACGGACATGCTCTTCCGATCACGGGAGAATTCGTATGTGGCAAGACGAGGACTTCGCTTCTCATACCAGGAGCTCATAAGGTGGAGCGCATCAGATGCGGCGACACCAGCTCTGGTCTGGTTGTGCGCCTCATCATTGGTACCAATCTTCTCAGTCAGTACACGGAGGGCGCCTTCGGTAGGCTCTCCAACGTTGGAGTAATAGCCGGTCTTTGAGTCGAAGGCCAGTTGTGCGTCGTTGCAAAGTGCTGCGACCTCGGTAATTTGAAATACTGTAGCAGACTTTCCAGCAAGATGTGGAATTTCTTTGCCATTAGATGTAACCTTTCCATGAGGAGCAAACGTCGTTCCTTCGACCTGGAACTCCTCAAGATCATTGCCGGCCTCGTTGATGAAGACTACTTTTCTGACACTCATTTGGTTGGTAGTCAAGGTTCCAGTCTTGTCTGAGCAGATTACACTACAACTTCCAAGAGTCTCAACTGATGGCAAGCTTCGAACAACCGCGTTCTTCGCAGCCATCTTGCGCGTACCAAGTGCTAGACATGTTGTAATCACAACAGCTAGACCTTCTGGAATAGCTGCGACACCGAGAGAAACGGCAATTTTGAGGTAATAAATAGCTCCCTTTGCAAGTCCACCGTGGGACTCATCACTGAAGTGAGGAATATTGATCAGCCAGACAGCGATGCAGATAAGTGAGATGACCTTTGCCAAAGTATCTCCAAAATCGTTTAGTTTTTGCTTCAGTGGGGTGGGCTCTGAAATCTGGGCAACGATGCTTTCGTGGATGTCTCCGATAGCTGTATTTGATCCAGTGAGGACTACAATTGCTGTAGCGTGTCCTGTGACCACGGTGGTTCCGGAGAAAAGTGTGTTGATCTGATCCTGCTTCACAGCTTGAATATCCTTGACTGGCTCGGTGTCCTTTCCAACACTTTCGCTCTCCCCGGTAAGGATTGCCTGGTCGACCGCGAAACTGTTACTCTGGATGCTCAACACCCTGCAGTCTGCTGGAATTCTGTCTCCAACGGCAATCGAAATGATATCTCCTGGAACCAATTCCTCCGCCTTGACCCTTGTAACATGACCATCTCGAATAACCTTCGCTTCGTTTGCAGAATATTCTTGTAATGCGGCAATCGCCTTCTCGGCGCTGCTTTCTTGTGATACTCCGACGACCGCGTTAAGAATCAGAATAGTAAGAATCTATAGACGTCAGCACAAGCTTGCCAAAAAAAAGTCTTCTAGTACTTACAACTGCTGGATCTACAAAAGCAGCCCAGCCCCCATCTTCCTCGAAAAGCGCCAGCACAAAGGAAATTGCTGCGGATCCCAATAGAATTATAACAAGCTGATCTTTGAATTGCTCCAGAATCAGTTCCCATAGAGGAGTTGGGGGATCTTCCGCGATTGCTAAGGAAAGTTAGCTCTTTGCCTTCAAAGAATAGGCCGATGTATGTACCGTTACGACCATATTTTTCCCTCGAAGCGTTGATTTGCGCCTCTGATAATCCCTGTGTTTCTGTGACTGAGAAGTGCTTCAGCACCTCACCAGTCGATTTCGAAAATGCGTTTTCCATAACTACAAAGTTGCAGAAATCATAGAATCAGCTTTTCCGTGAGATTTAGAGAAAAGGACTGTTCGGTCTTCTTCGAAGAGGACACTTTTGTTAGCCGAGGTTCCGCCGTGTTCTAGTTCCTGACTACTATGCGACTTGTAGAATTACTGGCAACAGAAAATTTGCGGATAATATTTCTGTGATTCTGTGCTTGATCGAAGTAGAGTTGAGTTTTCAGTTAAAATTCCAATAAAGCGTTGGCCAATTTATTTATTTAACTTGGAATTTGTAAATCTGTCCTCAAGGTACTCCGAGGTTTGGCGCTATCATTGCCACAATTCCCCAGCAAGCGAATCCATAATCAAAAGGTGGGGGATCTAGTCTATGACATTCTAGAATTCTTCACAAAGTAGGTCTCTCTAGCAGTAAGTAATCCTTCAAGTCTTGCACATTTTCTCATACATTCTTCCTACTTCATCCTCGCCACGTTATCGAAGCGAGAGGTATCACAGTCACCGAATAAAGAGCATCACAAATGGCGTCCAGCGAAGAGCCCCTCATGTACCCCGCACAGCTTCAAGCAGCAATGCAAGCTATATTTTATGCTTAAAACAGTCTTTCAGCCTCAAATCTCCCATCATTCATCACAGCAAGCTTCCGTGTAATTTGAACACTCATCCCATCTCCGGTCTGAAGTCCATCCTTCCAGTCTGACGATTTCCATCTTCTGAAGTTTTCCTGGATCGTCTTCCACCTATATCATTTCAAGTCTCTTTGATTGTCACAACATCTATTTGTTATGTTTTACTCATTTGGTTTACTCAGAACACGATTGTATTTGAGGGAAGTATATTATTTTGACGCGCTTCATCACTCATGATTGGAGGATCCTGTCTTTTTCAGATTCTCGTCTTCAATGACATATTTTGCCAAATATTGATAACTTGTTTCACTTCTACTTTGATATATAGGCGTGTTTTATAAGCACTTCAACATTATGGACTCATTCCAAACAATTCTAAAGCTGAGTTTTCCACTGTAAGCTGCCCAATATCTTTAGAATTGTCACCTGGATTTCTGCAAATTTGATACAGTAAACGCAATTATTTCCATGGAGAAAAGTCTGATGCACTGAAATTTGCTTCAGGCATGAAATCAAAATCGAGTGAGAGACCATCTCCACTAACTGCAGGATTATAAAATAGTCCAACGATACTTTCTCCACGAATAAGAACATGGGGTAAATCAAGCCAGAGAGAAGATGAGCAGGTACTAAGGTACTTCCCTGAATTGAAAGCCCATGAGTGAACTTGCCGCTGTTGATGCGGTCACTCACATGCCACTCCAGAGTCGCTGTGACACATTCAGGAAGGTACAATGGAGTTGCTGGCATTCAGTTCTTTCTTAGACGTCAGAGTCTTCGTGCATACTAGACTTGGGCCAAAACTTGCTCCTACGTGTCACACAATCAAACTTGGCTTTTGTTGTCAATAGCAGCATTTTTTTTAAAAAGGGAAAGATTCGTGTTTGGGAACTTAGCTCATTGACCAGCTCACTCGCTTCATATCTACTCGTCAAATTGACCATTGGACAAATCTCTTAACGATCAGATCATCCCACGACATGCCCTTACCAAGGAAATGGGCAACATTCTTATCGTGTTTAATAGTTGGGATTTTTATCTGGGCAATCGAGGAATGTTTTGAGGTGCAGCCGGACCTGATTTACTCTCCTGCGATACAATCGCCAAATATATCGGATTCGGAAGATCAGGAAATTCCTGTCCTGATTAAACATACTGACGGTGATAGAGCATGGAGGCCAACGATGACTCCGAAGTACCGACCTGGAAGCATTAAGCGTATCGGAGAGGCATATACGAAAACCATCATCGTACCAAAGACCCAGGAAGACGATGTGGAATGGATTTCCGAGGGTTTTAGAGACGATCCATACGTACGCTCTATTATCTACGTGGTAGATGATGTGACAGCAGAATTTCATACTCCAAGGAACAAAGGTCATGAAGTGATCGCCTACTTAAGCTACATCATCGAAAACTACAGCAATCTGTCAGATGTTAACATCTTTTTACATTCACATCGATTTTCCTGGCACAACAACGACTTACTAGATTTTGATACTGTTCAGATGATTACGCATCTATCATCCGAACGAGTGCAGAGAGTTGGGTATATGAATATGCGTTGTCATTGGAGCCCAGGATGTCCTTCGGTATGGTGACACATTTTTAATGCTATCCGCATATTACGTACGCTTGCTGACCTTAAAATTCTGAGCAGTGGATGCATCCTGGCAATATAGAAGAAGACATCAACAAACAGGAGGAGTCAATCCTCGCAAGATCCTGGACCGAGATATTTCCCCTTGACCCAATCCCAAAAGTGTTAGCGCAGCCTTGCTGTGCACAATTTGCCATATCCAAAGACAGGATCACAAGTCTGCCATTGGCTAGATATGTTTTCTTCCGAGAGTGGCTTCTCAGGACGTCTTTGTCGGATTACATCAGTGGCAGAGTGTGGGAGTACTTGTGGCAGTATATTTTCACCGGGCAACACGTCGTGTGTCCAGCGGAGCATGTGTGCTACTGTGACGGTTATGGAATCTGCTTTGGTGGAGAGGAAGAATACAGCATATTCGATCGCCAGATGAAGGAGATGGGAGGATTAGAGGAAGAACTGAAAGAAGTGCAAGAGATGCAAGAACGCTTCGACGCGGCATCGGAGGAGGAAAGGAGAGAGCTTCCAAAGCCAGAGACTGGACTCGATATGGAACTAGCTCAGAGAATTCAGGGTCTGAGGACCTGGTGCGAAAACAGGAAGCTGGAAGCAAAAGCTCGTGGAGATGTTGCGGTGAACCGGGCGATTGAAGCCGGGACGGAGTGGAAACAGGACGAGAGGTTTTGACTCGTTCTCGTGGTGGACGATAATTGCAACGCCGCACTGATCTCCTGTCGTATTGAATGGGCCAAGAAATCATGGGGTAAGACTTCAATAACAGAAATAGTTCGTCCACTTTGGGAAAGAGAAGCACCGGCTAGCTGCGAGGTGTTGGGATCAAGTGGTCGGAGAATTACCAGGTTGCGAAGAGGCCGTGCGATCAGGACTTGGTTAGATCTGTAGAATTTCATCGAGATCAGATGGATGGGCAGCGTCGTACTGGAAGATCCGAATTTTGGTCGGGAAAACCAGGTCGGAAAATGCATTGTTGAGATTCCAAAGGTCGATGAAAGTATGTCTGCATTTTTTGCTCTCGACCTTTCGATCCAATGACACGGTGATGCTAGTGAAAGGCTGCGAAAGGATTAGAAGAAGAGCTTTAGCGTTACCTCATCCACAATCAATTTGAAGAGATCCATGGGTTGTCTTATTTCGCCCAGGGCTCATGTATCTAGGCGGCGGTGTTATTTTCCCTTTCCACCTTTTCGTCCAGGAATCATGGTCGAGCATGGAGAAAGAATGATGAAGACACCATTCCGATGTCATTGTACTCCTTCCCCGAGGATGAGTACTCGTAGACATGGGCCGTGATCTGTAAAGGTGCCCAGATACTCGTTTCAAAAGTCTGGCTCCCGTTGGCGTGTAACCACGCTGTTACCTCGATGCGGATGATGTTGGTATTCCGGTCGAACACTGATTGCTTGTCTTGTCAAACGAAAGACAATAGTCTCGTGGCAACACACGGACTGCGAGGTACAGTTGAAGTACACACGAATATCCCCAGCACAGGTCGTGCAGGGATAAACTCCTTCCGGAACCCAGTCACCAGAGTCTTGCTGAAATCGGATCTGCAAGTAATCTAGTACCTGGGTCGTGTCGCAGCGCAGGGGGCCCAGGAAAGGATATTTGTCCGATGCACGATCGAACAGCAGATTTACGCAATCTTGGGAAAGTGTCAAAATTCATAGTTCACATAGAACCTGGAAGCCTTTCATGTTCCAACCTAACATTGGAAAGTGTTGACCACCAGCCACAATCGCGTATGTTTTGAGTGTCTCTTCTTCACCGTTGATGTTTTAGTCGCCGGCACCGTCCACCGGGTGGCTACTACGAGCAACCACAACAATGAGTACCACAGTTGATGTCGCCGAGATAATTGCTTTTGCTATCCAAGTCCATATAAGCAGACAGTGACCCGCCGGTTCAGACTTCCTAGAAGCTGCAGCGAGATCGTCTTGTCAGCGCTGTCGCTCGCAGTGGCATGGAAGGCCGAGAATCTCACGATCCTGCATCAGTAGTTGAGATGCCGAATGTTCTTTCCCAATGTACAGACTAGCGAGCAGTCACTTCATTCGGCTTCACCTGACCTGTTTCCATGGCTACACGAGGACGGTGACCTTTCGAGCAGGTTGAGCCATCATGTTCCAATCCCTCGAGGACTGCGTCACCGGCCGCCATTAGACTTTTGGCCTACAGAACGATGGACCTCAATCGAAGTATCTTCGACCACACCACACATGTCCTTGGGAAATGCACCAGCAGGAACTCTATCCCTCTATCCCTCTGTCCCTCTGTCCCGACCTGATATCCCCACCCGCGAGTGTCTCGACTGCTCTCCCCATCTGGTACGGCACTGTTTCTCGCCGTACCTTTATCACTCTCTGCTCTTCTCCTTCTCGTCATATCTTCCTCGATAGTCGACTCTCGTCCCTCGTCCATCACAACAATCATGCATCCATAAGATATGTCAACGCAGCTTATTGGCCTTCCACCCGCTGTGTCTCGTCCGCCCTCTTCATCTTCAGCAGCGACTCTCTTACTTCATGGTTCGCTCGACTCTGTTCGGCTTTCTCTAGCCCCTGGGTAGTCTCTGCCAGCGTGCGATCGAGGACGAGAACAGCCTAGTTGCAGAACCCAGATAGCGCCCCGGACCACTGCGATGACAGAAAAAGACCAGCCAGCGCCTCCTGCACGGCCCTCAGCGGATTCCAAGAACCACCAGATCCAGGAAGACGACGGAGAGAAGTCTTTTATCAGCACCTCACCGCGGCGACATGCACCGGGTTGGTCGTTGGTAAGTGGTGATCTCTTAGTCTTTCCCTTCCCAGATACACACACATACCTAGGTACATAAGAATTCTTGTTTGCCGACCGGCTCTCACAATTCAACCCATCATTTTTGCATATCTATCGTGCATCACCCCCCAGTCCTTCACGCTCAGATCCCTAACCCTGTTGTCCATTATTGGCCGTTCGTGGATCGACATATTGGAAACTTTTCTGTACAAGTACCGCCATGACAGTACGTCAGTTCCAGGATAGCTTACATATTTACTATTAGTTTCCTATGCCCTTGACTGTTAATCAAAACCCGCCTCCTGAAAGACCTCTACCTTCCCTCCCATCATATATGGATAGCGATACAGATTCAAGTACGGGCGCTGCAGAAGTGAGAGATATTCCACTATACCGAAATCGCGGACAGTCCTCCATATCATCATCCAAGAAGAAGCATTCATTGGAGCGGTCTCGAGGGTCACCAAAACAGGAAGTCCGTACACATATACTCATCGCACAGTCACCAAAAACGCCAGTGCATGCACCGACAAGAGTAAGGTTCGTGAAAAGCATGACACTTCGAAAACGATCGCTGATTTCCTTCAAGTAGTAGACGTCCCCCAGAAAGATTTCAGCAATACGATTTCAGCGACCTCGCATACGTAACAGAGCCAGTAGCTGAACCAGAGCCTGAAAGTCCGTCTTATATCTCCGCGATCAAGGAGAAATCATCAGCAATGCCTTTCTCTGACCATGGCTCTACAGTCGAGTCCAGACCACGCTCAAGACACTCCCAAAATGGCTCTATCATGTCGTCGCAGACACATTCCACCTCGTTGCCCTCCCTTGCGCCACTGCAGCACAAGATTTTAGACGAACATGATTTACTCGAACCGCTGAATGAGGAGGACATCGATCCTGGATCATTCGATTTGGTTGCACCACCCAACTCAGAAGTGTTCAAAGCATACTCTCTAGAAACAAGATCAGAGCAGGTCTTTTCGACGGAACATCTCAAAATTATCTTTGCAGATCCATCTCTTCTCTTACAATTCACTTCATTCCTCAGTGCCCAGCGACCAAGCTCGGTGCCCATCTTAATTTACTATCTTGATGCAGTCAAAGCTCTCAAGGCGATCAATTATGCAAATGCCATTGCAGAAGCATTAGAACCTATTTCCGGCTACGATTTTACAGCAAATATGGTTAAATGCACAGTTAACGAAGATCTTAAGGAGAAAGCTAGACACAGTTTTGATGTAATGGTTAGAGAAGACTTACCGGCTTTTATCGCATCAACGTATACTCAATCGGTCAGCCTGTCGATACAGAGAAGGATCACTGGAACATTGCCGCCGCACTTGCGAGAGGCTTCAGAGGGCCTTGCCGAGGTGTTCTGTTTGACAGATCCTTCGAGGCCAGACAATCCTATTGTGTTCGCGTCCGAAGGTACGAATGCTATTTTTGGGAGGATGTGCCAGTATGCTAACGCTCTCCAGAATTTCACCGGACTACGCAGTATGGTATGTCTTACGTCCTTGGGAGAAACTGCAGATTCTTGCAGGGTCCAAAGACGAGCCCACACAGCGTGAGAAGGTTGAGGGATGCTGTCGATGCCGGCCGAGAACATTGCGAGGTTTTCTTAAATTAGTAAGTCAGACTGCGTTTGCATTCGAGTGTGTTCTAACCAGGTAATCAGTCGACGTGATGGTTCTCCTTTCATGAACCTTCTCATGACTGCTCCGCTCTGCGACAGCCGTGGAACGATACGATATTTCATTGGCGCTCAAGTCGATGTTTCTGGTTTAGTTAAGGATTGCGTTGATCTGGAATCATTACGGCGCTTGGTTGACAGGGCTGAAAATGTGGATGGGGACGAAACTCCGCATGCGAGTGGTGACCAGGAGATGCCTCCAAAGGACGAATTTCAGGAGCTAAGCGAGATGTTGAACTTACAAGAGCTCGACACGGTGCGGAGATGGGGTGGAAGGATGCACAAGGAGTCGCACCAAGAAGTGCAGGACACCAACTACGCATCCGGAAACTGGTCGAAACCCAGACTACTAATCAACAATAGCCCCGATGGCAAAAACTTCGAGTCTATAAGCCGACCAAGCGGGAAATTAAGCGGAATATACGAGAACTACCTCCTCGTACGCCCATTTCCAAGCTTACGAATCTTGTTCGTAAGTCCAAGTCTACGGGTTCCGGGTATTTTGCAAAGCCCCTTCATGGCGAAGATAGGTGGCTCATCTCGAGTCCGTGAAGAATTGACACAAGCGCTTGCAGACGGGCGCGGTGTGACTGCAAAGGTTCGATGGGTATCGAAGAATGATCCCGAGGGTCGAAATAGATGGATTCACTGCACTCCGTTGATCGGTAGTAATGGAGCCATCGGTGTTTGGATCGTTATAATTGTGGATGATGAAAGCACTCCGGCTGGGAAGAAGTTCAAGATGGCTCCACCAGTCGACCCAAAATTTGGCCGGTCTGTTGCACCTTCAAGAGATTCAGGGAGTTTGAGAGATTTTGCAATGTCTCACAATGCACACACAAGAGAAGGCAGTGTGAAAGGAGCCGAAAGCTTGAGGAGTTATCGTGAGTTGGAGACTGGTCGAAGTGCCAGCCCTTATAGTCTGAGGATAGGATGATTGAGATAAATGGGTGGATACTGGGGTGGATTAGAGGTAATGCTTGCAAAGGTACATAATAAGGCTTGGGTGGCTATGGAATTGCTTCTTTCGCATCGGTGGGTTGGCTGTCTATATACGCTTTGCATGGGGTTCGCTTACACTTGGGGTTGGCGCATGAGAGGGACAGTTGTGAGGTTTGACTTCCGATGCCTCGTAGAAACAGTTAATGAGACGGAGACGTGGATGGTGTAGAGTAGCTGAGCAGTAGTATAATACCAGAGAAATGAGAATGAGGGTGAGCAAAATATAGAGATTGCTTTTATAATAGGCTACATGGACATCACTTTGGCCCTTGTCACGGTGCAAGCGTAAATACAAAAGTTCATAAGCACCTTTAACACGATATACTCGTTCATGGTAGCCCAGTAGTGTAAGTACGGTTCTCACACAAATTACTCGGATAAAGATAATATTCGCGAGAGGGTTTCAATGGAATATGTACACTTTTGTAATCGAACCCCCGCCCGCTGCAATAACAAAAATCAAAGAATCCTTGGTTATCCTGTACGCCTTGAAAGATGCAAGTGAACCTATGCGAATTTACTCAACGACCAAGAATCCAGCGGACTGTTCCAACGTCTCTCGAGCCTCCTCATAGCCTCGCGGACAAAATGGGTATATTTAAAAACGGTCCGCCTGCTTGGTTGAGATTGGTAACTCTGGTTAATCCGCTAATGGTATTTCCAGTAACTTTTTTATGTGCAATGATACTGATCTACCACTTGAAGAAAGAAATGACACGATCAATGTAGAGGCTATTCAGCCTCGTATCTTATGTGTCTTTGGTGGCTGTTGTATAATGTCATGCCGAGATGATTGTGTTCGTTTAGTAATACTTGTTAACACTAGTTGAACTCATATCAGCTCGCTTTGGTGGTGGTGGTGGAGCTTTCTTGGCACGACTTGGAGGAGGTGGAGGTGGCCCCTTGCGACCATTTGAAGTATTGTTCAAAGCAGAATAGCTTGCAGAGCGGCTAGCCACACTTCCGTGCGATGTAGCAGGGCTTACGGACCGTTCGCCATATGATCTATCAGGGCTGGCACTGTTCATGGTTGAGTCATCCGATGGATCACCAAACAAATCGCCGCCAGTGTTTACTCGATTGGAGGGACGTAACGTGGCCCTCAGGTTGCCAACGTCGTGCGGAACTTGATGCTTACGACTGTCAGACACGGGAGTCAGTTCGCGGTAGATTGATGTTGGTCCTTGGAATGTAGACGATCTGGTGGCAGTAGGGCGGCGTGGTGAGCGAGGAGCTGGGTAGTCATACTCGGTATATTCATCTGGGCTGTTCATCTGCGTATTAAGCTTGGAGGTAGAGGCTACACGGCCTTGAGATCGGATAGATGGCCGGACTGGTTCCTCTGGCACAGGAGGTTCGTCGTAAGCTGAGTATCGTTCTGCATAATCATGTGCTGTGTTGGCTCGAGATCGCGGAGCTGGACGTCTGTTATCACGCCCTGGAGATGAAGTTTGCCTAGAAGTATATTAGCAATTGTCGAAGATATATTTCCGGGAGGTTCATACCCTGCAGGCCAGTCTCTCTTCATACGGAGAAGCTCGTCACGACATCTGTCATAGTATTCGAGCTCGGCATCAACGAAAGCTCCCAAGTCAGAGACACTCTCTGCCTCTGCCTCCTTGATATCTTGCATCCGCCGGACCACATCTTCGCTGGACTCCTCATATTTAGCCTTCTGGGATCTCAATTCCTCCTCAACTCTGAAGTCTTCTTTTTTGGCCTTTTGCATTTTCGAGAGGGATGCATCGTATGCTAATCGTCGGTTTTCGAGCTTCTTTCTCGCAGCCTGTGGAAGTCAGCAGGAAACTCGTTTTGGACTTGCTCTGTACTGACCTGGTATTCCTTCATCATGGCCAACGATCGCTCTAGAGACTCGAGCCAACCATTTGTAGCATTTACCACATAGGTCTCCTGGATTCTCGCGATTCTCTCATTCGCTCTACCCATGCCTGTAATTTGTCAGATCAACCCGTGGCATGGAATAACTCAACACGCACTGATTAAGCAATTTCCAAATTCAGAGTCCGGCTCAAAGTCCTCGCCGTGATTTATCATGGTCTGACCCATATATCCCACAGGGAGCGTTTTCTCTTTGTCCTCGGCTTCGTTGCGCTTCGAGAGCGACTTGACGTAGGAAGTCATCGATTTGTGCAGTCTGACCATGCCTATCTGCTGTTAGCTGTCATTCGTTTCTCAGATCTGCCGTGCAAGCTACCATCATGGCGAAGCTCCATCTCTGTTTCAAGAGACTTGAATTCGTCGGAAACATTGGTCTTGACTTCTCCGCCCATCTTCTCCCCGGCCCATTGCTTGACCCTGTCGAGCTTCTTGTTGATATTCATGTTGGCGTTAGGGTTTTGTTGATGTGCGGCTTGTTTTGCTAAGAATCCAAATGGTATCCAATTCCTAGGGGGGAATTGGCAGTCGTCTTAACAAATGCGTGTTCGTAGTAGGAATGCTCCTGGTGATCGTTATTTACGTAGATGGCAACGCAAAGTTGGTTGTCGTCACGAGAAGAACGGGAAAGCCACAATAGTTGGGGATTTATCCAAAGAGCGGAATTGTGATTGCAGATTAATTGAGTCGAGTGGCGGAAGCGACGGTGGTTGGGGGTGTGAAAGTCGAAACCACGAAGGTCGATATCACGGCGAATTAAGATCGAAGAGAGCGATATGATCCCGGCGCAGACGGAAGATCAGGTTGATCTGAATGGAGGATGGGACGATGAGCGTCGGAGACCTGGGTCGATTCCAGTATGGTTATGGTTTTTGGGTTGGGGGATGGCGGAAAGAGTGGAGAGATAAGAGTTGTTGCGTGGAAGGGGGGCGGGCGATGGCGACTGCTGAATTCATGCAAAGCAGGAGCAAAACAACAAAGGGACCGAAGGTGCAAAGGGGAGAAAGAGAGACCCTTTTGAGTCGGATCGAATCAGTTGATGAGCAATAACGCAATTCTCCAAGCATCCAATAATAGCAATCCATCACACGCAGGAGGAGTTCAACCCCTTACTACTTTTTCGACTTCCATTCATCCCAAGGTTTCTCTTTCTCTTTCCATACGAGAAACAACACCAGCCAAGCCGCCTTTTTTTAATTATCACCAACCCCTGAAGCCACGCACTACAGACGCAGTGGCATCGTCCACACCTCCCACACCGGATGAACGAGGCGACAGGCACGGAGTTTGGTGGTTGACTGCAGCTGCATATGTTGGTAGCAAATGACACTTCCACACTGTTCCTCCTGGACTCCTCCCTCACACTCCTCGGCGCTCACTCACGCACCTGAGCTTCCATCTTCAACTCGCTTACCCTTTGAGTCTTTGACGCTTCCAACTTCAAACAAAGTCCAGACTCACGCGATCATCTCTTTCTAGACCGTTGGTCCACAGATTGTTTTAGAGCGCGATCCAACCTCGAGTTACTTGTTAGAGCCCGCGACTACCAGTCGTCTGCAGTATTTTCGCGGCACCAGCCTCGCCCCAAACACCACGAACCTGGTTGCAAAGCAGGCAGGTGGGCAGTGGCTCAACACTACGACTACTTCGATGGTCCCAACCAATTCAACCGTTTTTTACGTTCGATTTCGCTGATGCTCCAGGACAAACGATTTGCTGGGTGTCGCTTACGCGGCGCGGCAAAGGAAGCTGTGTGCAACACGAGGCTTTGGTGGGCAGTGGACAGTGGGCAGTGGGCAGTCTTACCAGCGATTCGCGCCGTTGAAGCGCTGCTTTTCTGGAAACATGGTCTTCCCCACCTATGGATTCACACTTGAAGAGGCCACATGAATCGATGACTGATAAAAGCTTCTTTGAAACCGCCGCGCTGGTGTTCCCCAGATATTTGTTATTTTAGGAAACAAGATCTTCACTTGACATGCCAGGCCAGGCCAGGCCAGGCCCGTTGAAAGTGCCGCCGCATCGAGTGGCAGGTGATTGTTTTCACGATGGCAGAGCGATTGCTGAATAGCTTGTCGCTTGGAGGTCGGATGTCAGCTTGGCAAATGGTCAAGACTCCCCAGTATCCAATACTCAGGATCAAATACTGCAGACTAAAAGCTCAAGAGTAATGTGTTGAGTCTGCTTCATCCATGCAGGAGAGCTTCGAAACTTTCATGTTACGTGCTTCAAGAACTTTGATGTCGCTTCAAGAGGATTCGGGTTCGCTGACATTCCTGTTGCCGAACCGAAATCTTTCGTTCAAGATACCAATAAAGGTACGATATTCCGACATTTCTTCTGAGGAGACAATGATTGTCTTTATTGGGTATCTTGAAGAGCTTACATCGATGGTCCGGATCAAAGCCTCTGGACCTTTATTGCTTGTAAAATTCGACATCACATGTTTACTTCCTAGGTGCTGGCAAAGGAATAGAGTCACGTGTCTGGGTATACGCCGATGAGTAACATGCGGTAGCGAGGCGAGTGCCATTTGATATTTACTCTGAGCCTACAGTTGCCTAATAGGGACTCATGACATCAACGGTAAGAATGATTCCAACAAGCATGAGGGTCGGATCTGTGGCTGCACGAGGATTCATTGTCACGGTCATGATGCACTGCGGTAACGACATTACAGGGATAACAAGCCAGAAAGATTTATACATCAGCTCGCCGCTGACAAAGTAAGTGGCAGTCTATTCAAGATTCGATACTTAAACGATTGACTTTGACTCCACTTATATATGGTACAGTATGGTTCGTCTGATTGTTTTGGTAAGTGAATCGATCTTCTATGTTGAGTCGAGATTTGGTAATTGAATTCAAAAGACATTGAAGTTGAAGCCCACCGCTTTGTCAACTCCACCGTCGTCAACACCAAGACTTCATAACGTCACGAAATCTGCCCAGGTGGCTATCACATTGGAGCGAACAATTTATGTCGAAGATCGGCAGAGTGCAGTCAACGACCGAATGAGTTGTGAAGGAGCTATTGGGAATGAGGATAAGTTCAAGCCATATTTTAAATGTCGATTCTTTTCGGCTTATTCCCGTTACATCTGCTTTCAAGGTTATTTCCATTTGGTTAGACCTCCGTTTGAAAATGTCAAATGACTGGTTTCTCTATATTTAGATACCACATTCTAGACCTATTCCCCTAAGTGCTGCCTCAGCCCTCTTATGTATGCTTTTGTTTTTCTACTTCGTAGAATCTGTCACATGGTTCTTGGGTTCTTGGGGTTCTAATGGATGATTCAGTGGGAATGATCCTGAGAACAAATTAGCTGCATACGAGCCGAAAGCCCGTTTGTTAAATATCGATTTTCAAAGAGGAGAAGGAGCAAACTTATTTCATTCCGTTGGGTTTTCCGCTGTTTTAAGTTATTGGTTGTTGTTTTTAAATACTTGATTTTGCTTTTGCTATTTTCCCAAAGTTGCGAGATCCCGACGCCTTGGAGGAGATATGTCTGGAATCATGCTGTTTGCTGTTTAAGGGAGGTAATTGAGACCAAGAGCTGGTCGATGGCCTTTACCTAAGGTTGATTACTCACCAGCGACTTATCCTCTTCAATTACCATCGAAGAACAGCTGGGTTGTCTGACAGTACTGCGACTCATGCATTACAGACTGTAGAGTCTCTCCGGGGAAGTACCTCGCAATGGACTCGCGAGTAACCATGCCGTCTATGCCTCGGGCAATGCCGTTATCTACAAGACTAGTTGGTACATAGACGCATTTGATAGGTCGACATAAGTAAGGCTGCCCACCTGATGCCGGATGGGAATCAGAGAAGCGATGCTCTACCAGACAATCTTCCATTCTCATAGTCTGTCCAAGAAGTCTTCTTAGAGCTGCAGTAGCTGCGGCTGTAACGGGCTCTACTGTAGCTATCATCAGAAGGTCTCTTGCCAATTCCATGAGTTCCAAGATAATCTGCGTCGGAACATGTATCAATGGTCTCTCGTCATCGTAGAAAGTAGCTGACGCAGAAGCGATCTCAGACGATCTACCGGTAACACGTCTGACCACGGCCACCAGTGGATCGCCAGCTTGGTCTCTGTAAGAATCGTGGTTCCTCTGTCCCGTAAACCCAGAGAAAGGTTCCGCCATCAGTATAGCCCTGAAAGCGCTGGAAAACCTACTGGTCTCGCCGGGTTGCGGAGATCGATCTGGATGACACCTTGCAAATCGCTGGAAATAGTCTAGGAGTGTCATGAAGTTTATAAAAGCAGCATAAGCTTCCACTGTCCAATGTGCTGGCTGCTGCGCGCCTTGAAGAGACGGGCGCTCAAGAGTTCGGGTTTCGTGACTACCCGTTGCTGTGAAGTTGTGCTGGAACGACTCCATGGGGCTGCGACAGATAGGGCACTGGTTAAGAACGTTAGCTGGTACCTCTACCCATGTTTTAATGCATTCGAAACAGAAAACATGCTCACATGGCTTGACGACCGTCTTATTTTCAACGAGTTCATAGCATATTGGGCAGGATCTTTCGAGGGTCATGTTTAAAACCGCTTGACGCCACCTGGCGACCGCTGGAGAGTCCGGAACTTGTTGGACTGGATTCTGACTCTGGGGTCTTGGTACTTGCACTTCTGACTCGTTGATGAATCGCTGAATGGCCTCCTCGCTCAGACCTCTAGTTGTATCCGGATCTTGGTCTCCTTTGGAAAAAGACATGGAGCCGTCGAAGTACCTGTTGGTAGATGGAAGTGCTTTAATATCAAGTGGGATTGAAAAGTTCTAAGATTTGCTTTTGCGTTATATCTTCATTAACAGACGCGATGCGAAAATCATTTATGATGTTTTCAACAGATTCTGTTTTGTTTCGAAATTACTGTTCTACAACAATTTCATTGTGATGTGGTCCGGACAGCAGACCTATGAAGGTGAACAAAGAAACAAGATCACTAAGAGACAAGACCGCCGAATATACTGCTATTCTGACAAACCCATTAGCTCATCGCCGCGAGAATGTTGGACTGTCAATAAAAGTCATAATTTCTGAGCAAATATCTCGCTTAATTTTAGTTTACCCCTTAAAGCGAGATAGCAATACTTGAGTAAGACACAGCACAACCTAGGTGAATAGTTTTGTGATGATTGATTGCTCTGCTGGATATTGAGTATTACCTATTCTGTCGTTATCTATTCTAGAGCAAACAGGCCCGGAACCGAGATATTGAAGCTGAAGACGACACTTACCTTTAGCTCGTACGCGAGAAACAGATATGGTTTAGAACTATGTCCAGACGATCGCTTGTACTTAAGGCTCTGATTTGGAAAGGTTTTATTCATGTTTGGATTCTAGGCTGCTGATAAGGTAATTGCATGGAGACGATAGCTTTACGCTGACTGAGTGCAATTGGGCCATTGGTGTGGTAAACTAGAAGACTTACACTGGTCAATCTTTAATCTTAACCTTAAAATCCCGTTAAGAGACTAAGGGCTACACAGAAGATACACTGGATCTCCATTCAAACCTATTTTCTTTGCAATTAGGCAAATTATACTAATCAGCTCTCGCTGTTGCATTTTATCTGATGTAGCAGTGATTGATTTTCAGTCAGCGAATCCCTAGCCAATATCCACTCAGAGTCTCAGAACCAGGATCAAGTCCTTATGATACCTCGGACGAAGTGTGCGACTTTAATATGCCTTGTTTGACAGCAGTTTCCGCAAAGCATATCTTGCTTGCGAAAATATGTCACCGGGAAATCACATATTCTCTGAAGAATCAAGAAAAAGCATGCAGTCAGTCTCAATCTCAGAGTCCGGGTTTCAGATGTTCAACACTGGTTTTCAAGGACGTGTTTTGATCACTAGATTACGACAGCATTGAAGACAAGCGGGTCGAATGTTAAATTAAGAATAATTGGCAAAACCTGACTATATTTAATAGCTGAGAATGCGAGGATTGAATGCAGAATATACATGGCTTACGCTTTCAACGACGACATTGACCATCACTCTCCGAGACGGAAAAATAATTAAGAAGTGCAAGCATGTGCATAGCTTGTGATGGGGAAAATGCTAACTTACTTCTGTAATTCACCTACTAATTTGAAGCATTTTGAAGTCAGGACTACTTGACTGCATCTGTTGACAACGAGACTGGGCGTAAACCCAAGCGTCTCAAGAACTCGTCTCTGAGAGTCCGTAACCTATGCAGTAACTTGTCGTCCTGCCGACAGCATGGACATTATATGTGATTCTAGTGCTCGACACCTTCTACGAAATGACCACGCCGTGCTTTTGAGACCGGGTTGTCAGATGCCTTGGACGGGAATCCAGACCGGACGGCGGCATTACTTTTGTTTACTTGCGCAGATGCTTACCAGGACTCCTGTTTCTAATTTCTGTTCCCTGGCAGGATTATGGCACTAATGGAGATTTACCAGCAAAACGCTATTTCGTAAGTCACGAGCTATGAGTGTTATATATAATCCAGGGTATCTATCAACGCCATCAACCATTCTTGAATATGCATAGTATGGAATATTCCGTCTGAACGATGCACACTTACATCACTGAGATGCCAGCCTTCCAATAACGCCGCGGAACCCACAATTTTCATAATCCAGATCAAACAGGAGTCTGCAGACTCTTTAAACTATTGTCGCGTCTAAGATCCCAAGTTGCACTAGTTATTGTATCATTTTCCATGGGAGAGATTGCAGCAGAATCGTTTACAAGACTATTAACGCTAACAGCAATGTTATCCTTGGTGCCAATTTGTCCCATTCCATATAAGTTTTCAGAACCTTGGGTGTCTCGACTTTGCCTTCCAAGTGCTTGCGTAGACTCATTTTGACTGTTGGCGTTGCTTCTAGCTGCAATATTGGAATGCTGACTTGTGGGAGATGATTGCAAGTGTCGGCCCATGAAGTTGAATGTATTGAGACCAGTAGATTCTCCTGGTGGAAGATCACAGAAGACGATATCGGCGCGGGTCGATGCGTATAGGAGAACGTCTAACCAGCCATTACAGGCTATCATAGTACCAGCCATGCAGAAGTAACCAAGAGATACTGAGTGTCCTGCTAAAGCGTATATACGTAGGGAAGCGAGCGGTGCAGTGCAAATTGTATAAATAAGTGGGTAGAGAATCATAAGCGGAGTGGCGTTGCGAATCGCAGTCTTCGATATGATGCCTGCTTGTTGCTTCCGTCGAAGCCAAAGATAGATGAAACCATAGATGAGAATGGTGCTGAACATGCCGATGAATATCCAGAAGTAGTGATACCACAGACGTTCCGCAGAGTAGCGCTTATTTATCCAGCACTACAGTCCACGTTAGTACTGTTTCACAGCATACTGAGGTGTATCTACCCAAGCCGATGCTCGAACATAGAAGTCTTCTCCATGTAGAATCGGTCCAATAGCTGCCATCACATACACGAAGAGCCAACATAACCCGATCACACAATGAAAGGCCCATGTCGGTAGCCGGTAGTTTTTGGTCACTCCAAATAAAGTATGTACTGCAATTGCGCTGATGAAAACGCTACTAGCCAAGTCTCCGGTTGAGACAAACCAGCCCTGAGCAAAACATAACGGCTTTCCAACAAGTATTGCATTATTTCTCAATGCTCCAATGTTTAGCAAGAAGGCGCAAGCCTGTTGAATATCTGCAAACAAAAGATTGTAGATCAAAAGCAGGAATTGGTTGGTGGGTTGCTTGGTGCCGGTGTAGCGATGCCATGAAATAAGTCGCCAAGTGAGGTAGAAAAACAACGAGGTCGAACACTCCAAGAAGTTAGCATATGAATATTTGTATGTTTCAAGAGGAAAGAGGAGTGTCTAAGGATGAAACTCTTTCGCAGCCAATTAGAGTAGAAGCTTAGAAGGGAGAACAAAGGAAAATCTCACGAAGAATGAAAGCAAGCCGAAACTGGACACCGCGACGAGGCCACGACTTAGCGCCTCTGGGAGAGGTGAAAGGGATTGAGACTCTTCGTCAAGGACCATAGTGAGGGAAGGCGGCGGTTTGGGAAAAGATTTGCTGGAATTAGAGACATGAAGAAGAGAAATGGAAGTGGGATGATCGAGATATGTTTTGCTCCTCAGCCGCACTCTCAAGTCTTCCTGCCCGCCGGGTTGAAGTCACAGCGCACAGAGCTTTGAGGGGTTCGGAGGAAATGCAAACGGGATCGAGCCAGGGTGTTGTACCTAATTTGGGAGTATTGGCAAGGAAAACAAATTTGGGCATATCTCCGCAGGTGGGTTTAGACCGAGCAAGCAAGAAGCATTGATGCCAAAGAATTGCGATTTCGAAATGAAGAATATAATCTATACATGACTACACAGAGAAACTCTAGACATGCACTAGCATGGATTATATGTAATCCAGTTGTCCCAGACTTCTAGTCCCTAAACAGACAGCGAGCGAGGGAGGGTTAGAATCATTGAAACAACCACGACAAAATCTAGTCTGTAACTATGAGTCGCATTCTTCAACTATCTGTAATCAGAAACCGACATATGTTTGAACTGCCACAGAAAAAGTAACAATTTGCATGATTTCCATGAAATTAAATGCAGTTGGTATTGGGTCTCGCTTCTAATTGTTACTGTGTGCGTGCAGTGGCGTTTTCTTGGAATTATTTATCATTTCTGAACAATTATCAGTGCCATTTATCCAGTTTACGAACAATAGAAGAAAAGCATGAACCACTGTATTACTCTTGTTATGTCGAATAACTGGCTTTCTTTTGGAAGATATGAGGGTTATCTTAACTTATATAACATCCCAATGAAAAAAATGCTTGCTTTAGATGACGAGAGGAATCAATACCTAACGACACCTAAAATGTACATCACAAACGAAACCTGATTTAATTAAATTCAGAATTCGCATCTATCTAGATCATAAATCTGGAAGAAAATGGGTAGAAACAAGAGTTATAAAAAACAGAGGTAGAAGAGTCCAGCCGTAATAATCTTTTGACACAGTTGCACTGGAAGAACTTCTTGTCAGTTTGGAACTTTGCAACTAAGTTAAAAAACACTCGTTCATTGATGATTGCTTTCTGGCTTGAAAATTTGCGGTATACATGAGTGAAAAGTTGATCTCTAGCAAAGGAAGAAAGCACAAAATATAGCGCGACAACGAACTGAACATGCAGTAGAGAAGAAAAGCGGCATTTAGACGAACTGACAATATATTATTACGCGGAATAATAAGAATTGAATCCCTATGTCGAATTGACCGGATTGATGAACCCAACAGGAAGGTTAGGTTGAGCTATTTGAGCTCAATGAAGGGGATGTGAAGAAGAATGCTCCTACAAAAGCCGTGAACGAGAGAGATCACACACATATTAGAGCGGCGTGGCTACCTTGGAGACTACAGCTTCGTTTAGAGCACGAACAACACGCTCGGCCAAGACATAATAGGTATTTCATAGAGATTCGTGAATCTTCGGTAGACCTGTTACTTGTCCTCTATGGCCAACAAGTCCAAATTAGCTGCTCTGGACTACCTGTTGTGACATAAGAAGTGCTAAAGGAGTCACGTGCGATACGTCACCTGCACCCAACCGAGCGAGTTGGGTGCTAAATGCTGAAAGAAAATTATTGAAAAGACTTAGAAAGACGTCCTGCACACCTTCGACCTCAAGATTTAACACCAAGAGACAAGAGACCGCACTCTAACTTCGCCATCGCGTTTGCATAGTGTTGGAATTCCTACGATACAAATTTCTCGCTGACACTTGAGAAAATCAACGTTGGATCCTACGCCACAGTTTTAGGCGCTAGTACGTATCAGCCTTGAAAAACGACACCCCACTAAGATTGTGGAATTCTCCCCTCTATCTCACACTCACCCCTCTTGAGGATCAAATTTACAACCACAACACACGAAAATTCGCAAAATGGTTTCCGCATCCAAAGCTGCTCGCGACGCCAAAAGGGCCGCCGAAGGCAAACCTGCCAAAAAGACTGTGGCCTCTCGATCAAAAGCCGGGTCAAAAAATGCTTCTGGCACCACAACACCAGGCGACGCAACTCCACCACTTCTTGATGGAGATGGAAACCCTCTACCCGATGACGAACAGCCTGCCACCTCTTCAAAGAAGATGGACGAGGTGAAGCGATTAGCTGACCAAATGGACAAGCATGGTTTATCCGATCGAGTCACCACCGGAGTTCTCAGTTCTCTCAAACAAAGTAGAGATGTTAAGATCACATCCGTTTCCTTGACTTTCCACGGCCGAGTCCTCATTACCGATACTACTCTCGAGCTTACTTACGGTCGGCGATATGGTCTTCTTGGAGAAAACGGTTGCGGAAAATCAACTCTCTTGAAAGCGATCGACAAGCGCGAATACCCTGTCCCGGACCATATCGATATTTACCTGCTCAACGAGGGTGCGCCACCCAGCGACTTAGGAGCACTTGAATGGGTGGTTAGGGAGGCAGAGAACGAGATGGAGAGACTCGATAAGCTAGCTGAGCAGATTCTCGAGGATGATGGACCAGAAAGCCCTATGTTAATGGATATTTATGAGGTATTTTTCAAACATCCTCGTCGCCGTGTGTGTGGCTAACTGATCGCAGCGCATGGAAACCATGGACCCCTCTACATTCTCTACGCGTGCATCTCTAATTCTGACCGGTCTTGGTTTCAACAAAAAGACGATTCAGAAGAAGACCAAGGACATGTCCGGAGGATGGCGTATGCGTGTGGCTTTGGCCAAGGCTCTCTTCGTCAAGCCATCTTTGCTTCTACTCGATGATCCAACAGCACATTTGGATCTGGAGGCCTGTGTGTGGCTCGAGGAGTACCTGAAGAAATGGGACCGCACTCTGGTATTGGTATCTCATAGTATGGATTTCCTCAACGGTGTCTGCTCCAACATGATTGATATGCGCCAGAAGAAGCTCCTCTACTATGGTGGTAACTACGATTCTTACGCGAAGACTCGCTCTGAGCAAGAGGTCAACCAGATGAAGGCCTACCAAAAGCAGCAGGACGAAATCGTCCATATCAAGAAGTTCATTGCTTCCGCTGGTACATATGCCAATTTGGTCAGACAAGCCAAGTCCCGACAAAAGATTTTGGATAAGATGGAGGCAGATGGTTTCATCGAAAAGGTTGAGGAAGATCGTGTTTTCACATTCAGATTTGCTGACGTTGAGAAACTACCACCTCCTGTCTTGTCTTTCGACGATGTTACTTTCTCTTACTCCGGAAACTCCAAGGATGACCTTTACAAGAACCTCGATCTCGGTGTAGACATGGACTCTCGAACTGCACTGGTCGGGCCAAATGGTGTAGGAAAGTCCACGTTACTGAGGCTGATGACTGGCAAGCTTTCCCCAACTAGTGGAATTGTTTCCCGTCACACTCACTTGAAGATGGGAGTCTACAGTCAACATTCTGCCGAGCAGCTTGATCTCACAAAATCTGCTCTTGATTTTGTGAGAGACAAGTACGCCGACAAGAGTCAAGATTACCAGTACTGGAGACAACAGCTTGGCAAGTACGGTCTCAGCGGAGACTCGCAAACAGCCCTCATGGGTACTCTATCTGAAGGCCAAAAGTCTAGAATTGTTTTCGCGCTCTTGGCTATTGATGGGCCTAATATGCTCTTGTTGGATGAGCCTACGAACGGTCTGGATATCCCAACTATCGACAGTTTAGCTGATGCTATCAATGCTTTCACTGGCGGTGTTGTAGTTGTCTCCCACGATTTCAGGTGAGTCCCGAAGAATATTTTATTTCTGGATCTCCGCTAACCTTCACAGATTGCTTGACAAGATTGCAAAGGATATTATGGTCTGCGAGCACCAGAGCATCCACCGATGGGGTGGTAGCATTGGAGAGTACAAGGACCACCTGAGGAAGAAGATGATTGCCGCTGGTAACGTTTAGGGTCGAGTTGAAAATAATGCAAAAGAAAATATATGCTTTTTGAGGAGAGCATGACCAACCTATACCAGCACAAGTGCGAATTCGGTGTGAATCCGTATAAAAGGGCACTTCGAATGCGTTGGGCTGGATATCATTGGAGAAATTAGAATGCGTGTGCTTTGTAGAGGCGTGCCAATTAATTGATTACAACAGAGATGCAAGAATCTCCCACTTCATTTGCTGTGCTTGTTGTTGTCGTCCGGATTCTTCGGTGTGCCACTGGACGTTTGAGCATCGTGCTGGTTTTGTACACGTCTGGGTGTTTAGATTGCTATACCGACATCAATATGAAAGGCCTCGCTGCTGGAGTTCTGCCACTTACCTAAATGCCCATCATGATTCTACATGAACGACTGGAATGCAGCATGTGAGATTCGGATTGACGCTTCCAAGAACCAAAACTTGAGGGACAGAAGCTTCGGCTTGGCACAAAACTAATCTGGCAAAAGCAATCTGTGATTCTGTGCCCCATAGATACAGATTTCCGCCCACACGTAAATTGACGGCTGAAAGAGATGTATGCATTTCTCAGTATTGTTGTTCATACCCAAGCAGTATTCTAGCTATGGAATAGGTCTTGATGCGACCAAAGTTTCGTACGGAGGACCTCCTTTCCAGGTAATGCACCGGTTCTCCACAAATGGCCGCTTCTCGGACCGCGTCGGCCACACGTCCCGATCCCGAATCTCAATAGAACATGAACAAACACATTTGACCAGAATGCAGCTCCGCAAAGCCTTCGTCGAGATGTTATTCCCATCGGACATGTGGCCTAACACCATTTAATCCCGAATCGTAGGCGTTCAACCTAATTGTTATACTCCTGGATAGCGCCCATATGCAGGGGGAGGCGCAGCCAATTGGAGCATCCGGATGACGATGAAGAACTCTCTCTCAAAGATTACAGAAGAGTCGATGGGGCTTTTCCTACGCTTCGTCGGTACTCGCAGTCTCGCACTCGTAAGGCCTGTCTGTACCAGCCCACAACATGACTCCAATAGATGTGCCTTCCTTTTTCCTTCGTCCTTTGCTCCCGTAACCAAAATCAAATAATCATCCACCTGCACCCTCGATGTTGCCGTCGCGACATCTGGATCAGGATACTTTCATCAGAATAATCGCACTACATGAGACATTGTACTTCGAACAACCATAATAGAACCACCACGCCGACTCCCCGGCGGCCTGGACGTTCCAACTCGCGCGACATACAAAGACTTTTCTTTCCCCCTCCGCAGTCCGTTTGACGGCCATCACCATCGCCATCCAAGACGCGCCATCATCTCCTAGGAACCCTCGTCAACACCAAGCCTCAGGTCGACGATCGCGATCAATCGTCGCTTTGTGCCATCCTCCCGCGATTCCGACCCCCTAGCTGCCAGGTGGCATTGAGCCTCCTATGGAGAGATAATACCCGGCATTTCGTCGCCTTGTGAAGTCGAGGACTGGGTGAACAATTCGATGTATCACGCAACCGTGATGCAACGGCCCCAGGAGGACGAGGAGGACGGGGTGAAGCGTGAGATGATGAATGGAGAAAGTAGCTCGAGCACTCGACCATACATCGCTCGGTCTCCCACAACGCAAACAGACTTTCGTCCGCCTTATTCACCCACCACAACCAACGGTGCATCGCGCGCTCAATTCAACAATCCATATCTCCCACCAACACCAGCGCCGCTGCATATGCCAGTTCCTGGTCCAACTTCGCCCATGACCATAGCTGCTCCGGCATCTGGGAATTATCACAGCGACTATCACTCCGCTTCGCGCGAGAAGCCTGTCAGCAACTATTACGATCCAACGTCCGACTCAAGTGAGAGGCGGCCATCAGAGGTTGCCGCGCGAGTTGAACCTCAGATTCAAACTCCTCAGGTACGCGGCTCGACTTTTGACGACAACCGTGAATGTCCACCCGCTAACCGCGTCTTGCAGAGTCGAGAGCCTTACACATACCCGCAAGCATCCTCCGAGCCACCGAAATACTACAACGGAACATATACCTCTCCAGTGGCCACGACTTTTCAGCCGCGGTCCCCAATATCACATTCTCATCCACACGCTCGACCCATAACACATTCGCCGGGGATGGCCCCAACATCGCCTGTTATGCGACACAATGGGGCTGGAGTTGGCGGACCAAGTATAAAGCAGGAGGCGCCAGTGGCCGCGAGTGTTCGTTAAACCATTTCTCCAGCAATTGCAACTCTAATACTGACATGATTCGTCACTAGACTCCTACACGACCTGCTGATCCGATGGCATTTTCCAGTATCCTCTCCAATGCGGAGCCAGCACCACAACCTACACCTTCTGCTGCTATATCGAAACCTCGCAAAGCCGCGAAGCAATCTCCACCACAACCTCCTGAGCACGAACCAATCTCGAGAGATAGCTCTCTCGAACCATCTCTTGCACCCGCCCCAACCCCCGTGTCGCGAGTACCTGCGAAAAGAAAAGCCAATGGCGAGGCAAAGAAGCCCTCCCCGAGGCCCAAGCAGCTACAAAAGGAACAGGAGAAGGAAATCTTGGCTGCCATGGCAAGGATAGAGAAGGCCGACGCCGAGGCTGGACAACCCGACCTGACTGGTTTTGAAGAAGACAAGATGCACTTCAATGTAAGAAGTACGAAGCGAAAGCTGGACGCCGAGAAAGCTGAGGCTGCTAAAACAAAGCACCGCCGGACTGCTTATACCGAAAGAATGGCTTCGAAGCTTGGTAGACACGCCTTACTTGGTGAGCAAAGATATCGAGATATCCACGCCGATGAGGCAATCACTGCGGTTCAGGAGAAAGAAGTGCAGGCCGAGAAGGAGCGTAAAAAAAGACATGCAGAGAAAACGCCGGCGCGAGAAGACCGTAGCCACCAACCTCGAACAGAAGGAAGCAGCTCTGTCCAAAGCGCAGGAGGCAGAAGATGAGCACGAGAGGCAAAAGTTTATCAAGGAAGCACAACGAGCCGAGAAGAAGGCACAACAAACCAAGATGATCCTCGCTCGAGGTGATAAGGGCCCAGAAATCAAAGCTGTATCTCCTTTGGAACCCAATTTGTCCGGCGGTATGATGTCGACTTTCACAGCCGTGGACCCCGATCCGCCAAAACTGAAATCAAAACGCGGGGGCGCACGACTCAGAAAGTCCAAGGAACAGAAGCAGGCCGAGAAAGACTCGGCTGAGGCTGCACAAGCTGCGATCGATGCTGGGGAGGAGCCACCACCACCGCCGCCTTCAAAGGAAGACACTCCAAAGTTGCGACTGAAACATAAGGAATCCAAAGACCCTCGTGAAGAAGCTCCGGCTGCATTCGAACCTTTCGTCTCCAAGGGTTACAATCAAATATATGATCAAATATGGAGAGATCTTGCGCGAAAAGAGGTCACGAGAGTCTACAAACTTGGCATAGAATCCAATGCGACAAGAGCGTCCAACCTAAAGAAGACGGCTATCCTCGCATCGAAAGAGGCCAAAAGGTGGCAGCTTCGAACCAACAAAGGCACCAAGGATCTCCAAGCCCGAGCCAAACGAGTAATGAGGGAGATGATGTCTTTCTGGAAGCGAAACGAACGTGAGGAGCGTGACACACGAAGAGCTGCTGAGAAACAGGAGATTGAGAATGCAAAGAAGGCCGAGAATGACCGAGAAGCGAACAGACAGAAGAGGAAGCTAAACTTCTTGATTTCACAAACTGAACTTTACTCGCATTTCATTGGCAAGAAGATCAAAACTGATGAGGTGGAGCGATCCACAGACCATCCTGATGTTGCTGTCGCTGATAACAAAAATTCCACGCACCCTGACCATGCGGTCGACCTTCCCGAGCATGGTGCAGCTGTTGCTAAAGTAACTAATTTCGAGGACCTCGATTTCGATGCCGAGGACGATTCGGTACTGAAGGCAGCGGCAATGGCAAACGCTCAAAGTGCTATTCAAGAGGCCCAAAATAAAGCTAGGGCTTTCAACAACGAAGCACCCGCCATGGACGAAGAGGGTGAGATGAACTTCCAGAACCCCGCAGGTATGGGCGATGTTGCTATTGAGCAACCAAAGCTACTTCAAGCCCAGCTCAAAGAGTATCAGCTTAAGGGTCTCAACTGGCTGGTTAATCTATACGAACAAGGTATCAATGGCATTCTAGCAGATGAGATGGGTTTGGGCAAAACTGTACAGTCCATCTCGGTTATGGCCTATCTCGTGGAAAAATATGGTATCTGGGGCCCTTTCCTTGTCGTTGCACCCGCATCAACACTTCACAATTGGCAGCAAGAAATCACCAAATTTGTTCCTAAACTCAAGGTTTTGCCTTACTGGGGTACAGCCGCGGATCGCAAGGTGCTTCGAAAATTTTGGGACCGCAAACACATCACGTACACAGAAGATGCTCCCTTCCACGTATTGATCACCTCGTATCAACTAGTGGTCTCCGATGTCAACTACTTTCAGAAGATGAGATGGCAGTATATGATTCTCGACGAGGCCCAAGCTATCAAAAGCTCCGCGAGTTCCAGATGGAAGAGTTTGCTTGGGTTCCATTGCCGCAACCGATTATTGCTCACCGGTACTCCAATTCAGAATAACATGCACGAGCTGTGGGCTCTTTTGCATTTCATCATGCCCAGTCTCTTTGATTCTCACGATGAATTCAGCGAGTGGTTTTCAAAAGACATTGAGAGTCACGCTCAAAGCAACACCAAACTCAACGAAGACCAGTTAAAGCGTTTACACATGATTTTAAAGCCTTTCATGCTCCGCCGTGTGAAGAAACATGTTCAAAAAGAGCTGGGCGATAAGATTGAGATCGATCTCTTCTGCGATTTGACCTACCGTCAACGAGCTTACTATGGAAACCTGAGGAACCAAATCAGCATAATGGACCTGATTGAGAAAGCAACGATTGGTGACGACAATGATTCTGGAACATTGATGAACTTGGTCATGCAATTCCGGAAAGTTTGTAACCACCCTGATCTTTTCGAACGTGCTGAAACAACGTCGCCATTTTCTTTTGGACATTTTGCCGAAACTGCATCATTCATGCACGAGAGAAACCATCCGATTCTGAATGTGAGGTATTCGTCTCGAAACATGATTGAGTATAATCTTCCTCGGTTGATCTGGAGGGAGGGAGGACGACTAGATTTGCCTGGGAATGACAACCAGAGCCGAGGTTTCCGTGACAAATATCTGAACCAGTTGATGAATATCTGGAAGCCTGAGAATATTCATGAAAATTCGGCGAACAATAAAGCCTTTTCATGGTTAAGGTTTTGTGACACCTCCGTCAGCGAGTTATCGACTGTTGCTTCCCAGAAAAGCATTTTTACTCGTGCAACAGATTTAGCTCGGAAGCCTCGAAAACTGGGCGCTCTGAGCATTGTCTATGATGAAGATGATGACAAGTCCTTCACACCTGCGCAAGCAATGTTACAAATTGTGGACCGTAAAGACCGTAAGGCTCTGGCCGAGGTGACAAATGAGGGTTATTTGAACAAGCTGTTCAACGTCTCCAAGGATGTATGGGCGGAGTCGGGCATGGGTCGGCTTGACCAATGTGGGCGACCAGCGGCGACAGCTCCCCCGATTGAGGTTGTGTGCTCACATCCGGGTACTGCTGCAGAGAAAGAAAACATCATGTTTAGTGTTTCGATGCGCAGAGCGCTTTATGGGCCATCACCCGTGGAAGAAAAAGCTTTGATCACATCGAAGGTCGCTCCAAGCTTCTACCCGCCAGCGAAAATGCTACCCGCACCTACGTCTGAGAAGCAACGTTTCACTAATATTGCCGTCCCATCAATGCGGCGCTTTGTGACCGACTCTGGTAAACTTGCCGAGCTTGACAAGCTGCTCTTCAAGCTTAAGGAGGAAGGACACCGAGTATTGCTTTACTTCCAGATGACACGTATGATTGATCTAATGGAGGAGTATCTGACATATCGAAACTACAAGTACTTGCGCCTCGATGGATCAACGAAATTGGAAGATCGTAGGGATACCGTTCATGACTTCCAGACTCGACCCGAAATATTCATCTTCTTGCTCAGTACTCGTGCTGGTGGTCTTGGCATCAATCTCACTAGTGCAGATACTGTCATTTTCTATGATTCTGATTGGAATCCAACTATTGATTCACAGGCAATGGACAGAGCTCATCGTCTCGGGCAAACGCGTCAAGTCACCGTCTACCGTATGATCACTCGGGGGACGATTGAAGAACGAATCAGAAAGCGGGCTCTCCAGAAGGAAGAGGTCCAAAAGGTCGTAATGACTGGTGGCAGTGGTGGAGGTGTCGATTTCAATACAAGAAGCAAAGAGAATCGCACAAGAGATGTCGCTATGTGGCTTGCGGACGACGAACAAGCTGCCGAGATAGAACGCAAGGAGGCAGAACTGGCTGCCCAAGAAGCCAAAGAGCCTTCTACCACCAAGAAAGGGAAAGCCAAGAAGAGCAAAAAGGAGACTGGTGGTGGAAGCTTGGAGGATCTGTACCATGAGGGTAAGCTCAATCTTTTAAGCCTCATGTTCCAATAGAAAGCTAACATATTTGTAGGTGAAGGCCACTTTGATGATGGTAGTAGCAACAGACCTTCGGGAGCCGCCACACCCATTGCGGCTGCCGGCGAAGCACTCCCTGGAGCGAAAGGAAAGAAGCCTCGAAAAGGCGGCAAAAAAGCAAAAACAGCTAAGCAGAGACTCGCGATGGCTGATGGAGATGTTGATATGGGTTAATGTCTTGATATTTGAAATTGGGGATTACTGGAGCCAATTTTGAGGCCACGGTAGACTCATCTTTTCTTTCTTAGAAATTCTTCTGATGGAAAAAGCATTAGAGATCTATTCGGAATGTCAGGCTTGTATTATATATCAGACGGGGAGTTACTGCTGCCAGGACGTGACCCTCTGGGCAAGAAAGGTTGAGAGGCAATTGGAATGGGAAACGTGTGTCACTATAGAACCCGGATGGATGTCCCATGTAACCTTATGGCGTTATGTTCTGAAGTTAGATGCAGAGGCAAGCGATGCGCCTGACTTAAATATCATTCTTTGTCTCAAATGTGTGCTCGAATCTTAATACTGCTACAGCCATCTTAGCTGTTGGTTCGAGTCACGGAATTAACCCACCCTAGCTAGCTCTTATCCGCTGCCAAAATGGCCCCACCCCAAACCATTGTATGCCCTTTGTTACTCCGTTTCCGTACCCCTCGATTCATCCTAATAGCAGTTCACAGCCACGTTGCTAGACTGCCCGTTAGGATTGATCTCGTAACAACCTCCAACACGCCTGAATCATGACAGTGTTACTCCAAATGTCTCGCTGAATCCTCATATACCCGCTCTTACGTCATTCTAAGCATCAAGGTCGTCTGCGCGAAGGTCACAATGGCTCATTGAAACGATATAAACAAGTCTACGAGATCTGGCTCCGCAAAACACCCCGCAGACAGATCATTGACACTGGGAGTTATGGCATCAACCCGGACCTCGCTCGATCGTTCCCCTTCCGAGACCGAGCATACTTCTCCCACGACCTCGTCGCCGCAGTCCCTTTCTAAAGCAGTCCACGCGCGGCGTGCTGAATACACGCGCAAGAAGAAGATCAAGATCAAAATTGGCAGTTGGAATGTTGCGGCATGTCCAGGTACTGAGCGCGATCTAGAGGCGTGGTTCGTGGAGGGCAAAGGTGTAGATGAGCACCTTAGTGGAGTAACAATCCTGGATAGCGATGAAGGTCCTGGAAAAGAAAGTGTTGGTGCTCAAGAAGCAAGGAGAAGCAAAAAGGAGCCCACAGTACCTCGTGGCGATAAGAGTGGTTTGCCTGGGGGCGAGGAAATTGGACTATACGTGCTTGGGTTGCAAGAGGTTGTAGATCTCACGAGTGCGAGGGAGTATGTTGGGAGGGTTTACACGGATCTTGGCCCTACCACCAGATGGCGCAAAGCTATGAAGGATGGCCTTCCTAAGGGATATGTCCAGATTGCGGAACAGCAGCTGTCGGGGTTATTGTTATTGATTTTTGCTTCGCCAGAGGTTGCTCCCACTATTAGCTCTGTGAGTACCGTCAGCGTGGGAACAGGCATTATGGGATATCTGGGAAATAAAGGCGCAGTAGCGACACGCGTAGTTTTGGGAGAGACAACAAGAATGGTTTTTGTAAACTCCCATCTTGCCAGCGGAAGCGACCCGACGCATTTGGATCGGAGGTGCTGGGATGTTACTCAGATTCTCCAGCGGACGAGGTTCGAACCTATCAGCTGGGGCGGAGTTTTGGATGATTCCTCTGAAGGCATTGGAGAAGAAGACTTTGCGTTTTGGTTTGGGGACCTAAATTTTCGGCTTGATGGGTTGCCGGGGGAGGATATCCGAAGGCTACTGCTGTTACATACGAAAGGAGAATACGATATTGGGGACCCATCGAGGGTCAAAATCGACGACGAGTTAGCACATAACGATGATCCTATCGTCATACATAGCATTGACAGCGGCGATGAGGACGATGAACTGTCAGGGGATGAAGAGCAATCACAGCGACGGACTAGTAGTAGTTTTGATGCAGCAGATGATGATTCCTCTTCCAATACTTTACCAGACCCCGATGACTTTATTCAAGATCCTAGTCAAGACCCTGCATCACTGCAGGCTACGCTTGATTCTTTATTGCCACACGATCAATTAAAACGGATGCAGCGACAGAAGAAAGCCTTTCATGATGGATGGCGAGAAGGTCCGATCACCTTTCCTCCAACATACAAGTACGACGTTGGAAGCGTTGGCATGTTTGACTCGAGCGAAAAGAAACGTGTTCCAAGTTGGTGTGACCGTATTGTATATCGCACCCGGAAAGACAGACTAGAGTATGAGGAAAAGAAGCGACAGGAAGAGATAGCTCGAATCAAGGATGAAGAAATGCAATCCAGTGGTATTGCACAAGCCGCGGAAGATGAAGATGTGTTGTTTGACTACAACCCAGATGACGATGGGGCAGACGAACCTTCATCTGCTCCTCCACCTAATGATTATGACGACTATGACGAAGAAAACGAGGATGCCCCCGAAGTGGTCATTACGGAAGAGGGATTCACGGATAGTATTCTGCAAGAATACTACACCTCACATCAGCGCGTCCTATCCTCGGACCATAAACCAATCGATGCTGTCTTCACCGTTGAGTTCGACGCAGTTGTGACCGATCTCAAAGCAAAAGTACAGCAAGAGGTAGCTCGGGAGTTGGATCGGGCGGAGAATGAGGGCAGGCCTGGAATTACTATCATCTTCGACCAGGCGCAAGAGGAGGTAGAGACCAGCGCTCCACCTCCAGGGGGGGATGGTGCGCAGGGTGTCGATTTCGGAAAAGTTGCGTACCTTCAACGGAAAACTCGAAGCCTCACGATCGCCAATACAAGTCAAGTCTCGGCTACTTTTCAATTTGTCGATAGGCCAACTGAATCTGGAGAAGGCAACAAGCTTGCGCCACCATGGCTCTCTGTAACCTTTGCGGGTTCAGACACGAATGAAGAGGACCGGGAGAAGCAGAAATTGCAAAGAGACATCACGCTCGAACCTGGCGATGCCGTAAATGCCACCGTTGAAATATTCGTTGAGGACATGCTCTTAGTCCAATCTCTAAACAATGGGACGGCACAACTTGACGATGTCTTAGTTCTTCGGGTTACAGGCGGCAGAGATCATTTCCTGCCAATACGCGGTACTTGGTTACAGTCTTGCTTTGGACGCCCGATAGACGAGCTAATTCGAATACCGGAGGGTGGTGTCAGAGCTCTTTTGCCCAGAACAGATGGAAAAGGAGCTCCAACCAATAGGGGCCAAGCAGTTTGCTGGTCTGCCCCGCGAGAGCTCATCAAACTCACAGAAACGATTGAGACACTCACGGAGCGTGTGACCGCTGACGCCAACATGATTGACACAGCACAGCTCCCTATCGAATCTGCCGGCTGGCCATTCAATAACCAGTCTTGGCTGCTCAAAGATACCCGAACGAGGGAGGCCCATAAGGCATATCTGCTTGAGGCACTCGACTCCGACAAAAACCTCGCCGATGCTTTCCCCCTAGGAATCCCTGAAATAGAAAAGCTCGAAATCGCGGCTGAAATCCTCATCATGTTTCTGAATAGTATAACAGATGGTATCGTACCAGAGATGTTATGGGCGAAATTAGAAGAGGATATCAATGTCCGTCTTGCTAACCCCCTCACCGATCCCGAGGAAATCAAGACCTGGGTTCTAGATGTCCTATCAGCGAGTCCCAACCATAATATCTGCTTCGTATTCTTGACCTCCATGCTTTCTAGAGTCGCCGCTGAGCTTGCACCTGTGCCAAAGTACAGCTGGAAGGAACAAAGCATCAAGAGTGCTAGGAGTAGTATAGACACCGTCAGACGTAGCTTGAGTTGGAAACGCAGTAGCGTGCTCGGTGGTAATCGAAAGGTCGAGGTGCTTGAGGACCCGGCGGTCCTGAGACGCACGGGTGTTGAGAATAGTTATACGGGTATTTGGGCTCCGATTTTGTTTAGGGGGAGCGAGGGTTTAAGAGATAAGGAGAAGAAGATTATGGATGATAGGAGGAAAGCTGTCCTTGCCCCATTTTTGAGAGCGGGAAGGGATTAGAGGAAGGTGGTTCGAAAGTAGTGAGCCTTTCAAGCGTGTTATGAGGGAGCGTTTAGCGAACGGAGTAAAGGGTGATGGGTGATGGGTAATGGGTAATGGCTGGACTGTATATCATGACGTTTGGACTAGAGGTAGATAATGCGAAATAAATATTATGGAAAGTTGGAAACCTTCTTCACAATTGATTCAACAAAATTTCAATTTTGCTTGATTCATGTGTTGCTCTGTTCATGTATTGTGAAGAAGAATGTGAACAGACATGTATACACGCTCAAGAAGCAGACTTATAAAATCTAATATTGGTATCATCAAGCTATATTCTCTATACTACAAATTTAACCTCCGCCTTCTCACAGCACAAGCCTTCCAGGCTCAGTCTCAAGAACACTCTTCACCCTACCCAAAAAGATTCTTGCCCTTTTCTCATCCCCTTTCGGTACCGAAACGCTGAAAACATTAACAGCGTTTGACAAACCGGGCACGGGTCGAGCAGCCAGCGCAGGTGATTTGCGTTTGGTAGTGCCAGATAGAATGTCGATAATATCCGAACTCCTTGCTGGCAGCGATTTCACAGGTGCCAAAGGAGCGGATGTTGGGAGAGCGGTGATTTGAGGGAGGAAGGAGCCTCGAACGCCAGAGGAAGTTGTGACTTTGTTGATTCCGAGAATATCGTTGAAGAGCTCATCTGCTGAGGGTTGGTATGTCTTTGACTTTGGCAAGTTATCGTTGGCAATATCTGTTGCTCTAGAGATGAAGGTAGATAATGGCATGAATACACCAAGGGTCTTTTGAACCCGTGACTGGACTTCAATCACCGAAGCCATGGAGATTGAAACCGCAACCCTTGATGGTACCTCGGCGACTGGCTTTTCGGCCTGCTTGACCTCCTTTTGTGGCTTTGGTGCTGGTGCCGCTAATTTGATATTGCTGAGATCAAGATGCATAAGCTTTTCAATCTTGCCGGCCAGCTCCGTAGGATAAGACTCCGAGACCGTCCCCAAATACGCAAGAACATCGCCCTTCAGTAGTCTGTTGTTGGGGCCACTGGGTGTCATCTTATCCACATCTGCCTGCTCCAAGCCCTTTTCATGAATCAAAGCTTGTACAGAGGGAAGCAATGGTTTCGTCTGCTTCTTCGCTGGTCCACTGGACTTTTTCTGGGGTTTACTTTCCCCAGCAGAACTGGAAGGCTTGCTCGTCGGAGGCGCCTCTGCTTGTGACTCGGAGGTCGTCTCCTTGTTTGGTTTGGCCGACTCTTCCTTTGGTGAGGGTGCTTCGGGCTTTTCCTCTGCTGGTATTTCCAAGCTGCTGATATCGTCTCCAGATTCCGCGATAACGCCTATCCGACTTCCCACCTTGATACCTTTCGTACCGTCTCCTTGAGTGATCTTGGCCATTATCCCGTCGTCCTGCGCCTCAACGTCCATACTAGCTTTGTCCGTCTCAATCTCAAGAAGCACATCGCCGGCGGAAAACGAGTCGCCCTCTTTGACTTTCCAACTCGCAATGTTTCCCTCCGTCATAGTTGGACTTAGGGCCGGCATCGTGAAATTTTGCGCGGCCAGTATCTTTGCAGAACTCTTAAAGCCTATCCAATTCAATAATTAGTTACCACGCCGAAACATTTGAAAAAGCGATTCCCGTACCTCTAGCCGCGGCATCTTGTCGCAACTGTCTGCTGGCCAGACGGACCGAAAGGCGGCAAGCCGTCGAAAAGGATGCCATAATGGCGGTTTGAAAGTTTCGAGCTCAATTGAGCAGTTGGAGTCGCTGATGGGAGCTGGGGACTTTGATGGGTTGAAGGGTTCAATGGTTGAGACCAACCAAAAATCGCGGGCCGGGCTTGTGCTCGGGGAATTTCACCGAGCGCCGACGTCAAGTTATATTTTATGTCCACAACATCAAATTCGTTCTAGAGCTCAAGGTATGCAATTGATTTGAATCCATGTAATTAACCGTAGAGCTAATCAAGATTTGTTAGATGTCTGCTTTTTCAAGAGGATGTCTCCTAAGAGCGCATCTGTTGAAGAGACCCGCGCAAAGCTGCCAAAGCACCTTCTTGCTCATTGCTCAACCCGCGGCACCACGAAGTTTTAGCAGCTCTCAATTTCTTCACGCTGTGAAGAAAAAGACCAAAATCCCTCCTCCTCCTAAAGTTCAACCTCCTAAAGTTCAACCTCCGAAAGTTCAACCTCCGAAAGTCAATCCGCAGAAGCCCAAATTACCAACCCCAACCAAAGCCGCCGAGCCAGCGAATAATGATTACGTTCCACATGCTTACGCCAAAAAGCTCTCTGAGCTTCCAGAGCCAACGCTCTTGTACGAGGCACCATCCCATACCACTCTCCGTACGGTCTCATATATCAGTACGGCATTCTTCATATCCTACGGCGCATACTGCGGGTTCACCTACATCGAACCTCACCCCGAAGCACCCAAATGGGTAGCCTTGACCTTTGGAACAGGCGCATTTATATTGTTCACCATGGGTGGTTGGCTTAGCACATGTCCGGCTGGAATCATAAAGACTCTCAGGGTCATTCCAAAGCGTATAGTCTTGGAAAAAAGAATGGTAGGGCCGCAGCTGGCGCAAAGATTACCAGACCTAGTATTGGAAGCGGAGATTCGAAAGACGCTTCCTCTACCTTTCCTCCCAAACCGGAAGTTCTATCTCGATCCACATGATATGCAAGTCCCGGAAGCACTTTGTCCACCACTCACTCCTAGTGAAGCGGCAAAGTTTAAAGCTTTCGAGCAGCAGATGAAAGCCACGGCGCAGCAACAAGCAGAGTACAATGCGAAACATAAGCTCGCAAGCTTGGGAACCAGATTCAGCAAGTGGAATTACAATGTGTTTCAGGCGGTCAAGAGGGCGTGGACCAGAGAGGGCTTTATGGTGATACGATTCGTGGGTTTGAAGGGAGGGAGGGAGGTTAGCTCTGCGTTCAAGTTGGATGTTATGGAAGGTGCCTACGCGTTGGATCAGGGAAAAGCGATTGATCGTTTAGCTGATATTCGGAGGGTGAAATGAGGTAGTAGTACTGTATGATTAGGGGTATACATTAGCTTGACGTCGTGTACGATACTAAGATGGTATACATCTGGACCAATTCCGAAATCTCAATCTTCAATTTAGAAGTACCGTGACGTGACGAGCTGTTTTTCAACCAAGCACCTTGACTTGTTTTTTAAAATCTGGGCGGATTCGTGATTCTAAGCTTAATTGTCGTTTTAGCCCATCGATTTTCCACTTAAGCATACCGTAACCATACACACATCTCTTTACCGAACTCTCGAGTCTTCACTTCTTACCCAACTCAGCATCTTTTATGTCCTCGAGACCACGTTCATGAACGAATACAAACACTATTCAAGATGCCACTCTAAGCCTCGCTTAGTATAAGAGTTGTACCAAAACAAATCGGCAGTATTGTATTCGGTGAGTTTCTCAATGCAGCATGGTCAATATCCTTGACCTGAGATGTAATTTTAGAAAAACGTATCATAAGCGTCTTAAAGTCATAATTTAGTTGTGCTCAATGGTTAACATTACTCTAATAATGTATGGAACTTCATCATCACAAGACCATTGCCAGTTCGGACTGTCTGGCAAGTAACATAGATCTTAACAGATTTCAATTACAGAACTAGTAGAAAGAATCCTGCGTTAAAGTAGCGACTTTACGTTGACCTTTCTTGAATCAAGTTCACTGGATTCAAGCACTTGTGGGTAGAAACAATAGGAAATACGCTTTTCCAAAGCTTGATATACTGTGAGGTATCTGACTAAACTTGTATATATGTCAGTTAGCAGATTCATCCAGAGACTATCTGAGGTAAGCGCACTCCGATGATCACGTCTGAGAAGGATATGTGACACGTCGTAAGTGGTGTCTGTATATCCGTTTTTGGACTCGCTAAGTGACTATCGGGTGGTCTTCAAACGCCTGTCTCTACTTGAAGCCAGTAAGAAGCGCAAAAGGAAAGGTGTCAACTTTCTAAGAACACCTTCCCGTTTGGAGAGATGTGTAGCAATCAAGATTGCTAAGGTAGGTAAGTGAACAGAACACATTTCGCACACCTCGCTTAATTTAACCCCTTTCGGGGTTTCTGGAAACGATAGATATTATAGGTAGCTATCATGTCATGATGGGATCTTCTCATGGGAGCTGTAGAGACAGTGAATTACTTTCCGTTGCTTAAGGGTCACAGACTTCTCTGTTCTTTTGATCCTAAGCATCAGAATGAAGATTGTACTGTGTTGTGATTATGCCGGTAGATGAGAAACTTGTTCAGCAAGGTATGGAAATGACTAACTTTATCAGAGGAAAGTCAGAAAAGAAAGATTATTCGGATTAGCAAATTTTTGGATCATTCCAAGCTTGGACGAATCAACTAGGTCCATGACAGGAATTGCGAAAAAACGAGTATCTAGCTGTCTCGCTTGGATGAGTATTCTATTTACTCTGGCCACAGCCGGACTATCACCAGTAGGACTTTCACCGCTTGGAATAGCCTTGAGATCCAACAACGTTAATTAACACCCAAAACACTCTGGGTCCTTAAGCGAAACGTAGCAAGGTTGCAAAACTGAGAAGTATCAAGGCGCTCCCCCTTTTCAAGTTCGCTTAATTTTGCACTGCTGTTCCCGCAAGATATTGCAGCTCTCATTCTATTACCATCGTAGTTATAGCCAAGAAGAGATTGAAGTATTACAGACCATTTTATTAAACTACTTTTGCGACGACGAATCAAGTAAACTTGCCATTTTGTTGGTGAGATGTTACTGCTCAGATGCGAGAAATTCCGTCAATTACTTGATAAGGAGGAGTTCGTGATATGACAAGTCTTGCTCCAAGAACAACATAAGGAAGTGAGAGAATAACCAAAAACGTGAACCTGACTCTATTAAGCATTCTGTGATAAAAAGGTAAGAATTCTGCCGTAGTATCTTCGGAGGATTTCATGAATAACAGCAATTATAAAGCCAGCCTCTATTCGGCCATGGGAGTTGACATTCGTTTACTTCATCATTATATTTGAGAACATAGTAGCAATAATGGAAACAATGGAATTGTTTAATCCACTTTGAAATCTCAGCACATCATTTGTGTAATAGGCCCGTCCTATGAATCCGAAAACCTTGGATCTTGTACAATCTTGACGATAGCGCTCGTATACGGACATTTCTTCTGCGCCCACAGTGGGTATCGTAGAAAGCAAATAGGCTAGTCCGTCTTCTTCTACCGACATACCAGAGAACCCTATTCAAATTCGAGGACAGGTGACGCAATAACATTCTCGGGAAAGAGGAATAACGGCACTTACAATGATACGTCGTCGTCTCCTCGAGAATTTTACCAGTACTATCAAGTAGCATAAACCCTGAACAATCTGCCACGTCCCAAAAGTATAATACAAGTACGTATAACAGATACCTGATATGGGACAAAGCCCGGAGTAGAGCTTGCCAGGATGTTCTTGACTCCACTATTTCGTACGTTCCCCGGAATCGCTGAGGTTGTTTTCGAAGAGATCTCCAAACGTGACTTGGCCGCATATCCAAGATCGAGTGGGGGGCATTTTGACAAGTACTAGCTCAAGCCATTTCCATGCCTACTTGTATATAACCGCACGGTGAGTTAACTGCTTTACCAATGGTCTTCCAATCATAGCTTCCCTTGTCTCTAGATGCAATTATAGCATATTGGCAAAGCTGTTCAAATGCCCGACTGGGTTATCATCAACATTGTCGTTCAATCTTTGATCCCGTGAAACAGTCGGTGAAGAAGACAAACCCATGGTAGCTGCGTCGTACATCGGTAGGATTCGCTGACGGCGTTTTGCCTCTCATGCTTAGAAACGAAACAATAACACTTCAGTGTGACCAATGCGGGCATTGCTTCGGATGATTTCCTAGATGAAGCGCACCTACCGCAGTCAAGGATCACGGTGATGTGCATCCTCGAAGCGTGATGGTTGCACAACTTGTGCGCACGGCTCAAAGTCCTTCTTGATAATCTTTAAAGTTTCCTCGGTTGCATGAATTCGAAGATTGGGGGTCGTCTTTGCAAGCCATTTTTACCCCTCCAAACCCCTCACCGCTCCCGATTTTCGAAAAATGAAGATATCGTGGTGTCGCCATTTCATGGATTGCAACTCTGGACGGCAGCACCACAGGAGGCTCCATCTTCCTCCGAAATTCTGTGTTTGTCGCCGCTATCGTTCTCTTGTCAAGAATACTAAAACCTACGTGCCGGAAATGCCGAACGCTGCCGCTATTGCCAGTGTAATCTCAGATACAAACAGAATCACCTGTTTACAATCAAGGAGTTTTGCCTCAGATTGACCGGGCAAACCCCACACAGAACAGATGTTTTCAAATGATTCCCACCTTAAGCGTGTCTTATGATCCAATCCAAGCCCTTTGCACATGCAGGAGAACCCGCAGGTAGTGCGGAGGGCCACATAGCACAAACCTATGCAATGCAATTGTCGAATGAGAACGGAGCGACACTGCAAGTTGGCGTCACTGTCGCTATTCAGGAAAAAATTGCCCCCATGATGGGGTACACCGTAGGTAGTTGCCTTTCGACTCTGCGTCCTTAGACGCGCTTGGTGCATTATTGATGTTCAGCCAGTCGTGCTCGTAAGCCAACGCCCTCTCAGGCCAAGAAAGTGGAACATTTAATCAGCTTCGCTCGCTGAGTCAAGGCAATTCTCAAATGTGTGGTGCACAGCTAGGAGTACTCGGATTGGTGGGGTTCCATTTGATGGGAGCACGAGATTGAGCCTTGTCTTGTACGGGTAGCTGATAATGTGACAGACTGGAGTAAGCATATTTGCAATTGTGTGTGTGTGAGACTGTAGATGGGGAGATTCTTGTCTAGGACGGATCGATGCATGTGAGTTTCCGATTGTGGCGAAAGAGTGGTGGTGGTGGTGTTGATACATTGTTCCTTTCGAAGCGGTGAAGTGGGTTGTGGTAGGATTCGTCTTCCATTGCAGATTGACTTATGCTGTTGGTTCCTTTGGCGTATTCAGCCTGGCTGTTCTCTTAGTATATACTGTAAGTGAGATATTGAGAAGAACGGATGCCTGCAGTCTCGCATATGCAGTCTCGTGGGTTTCGATACTAATAAAATAAAGTCCCCTAATGTTACGGTACAGTAAGTCTAATGCTGCAGACAAAGTCTTCGCGCATGGATAGAGAATTTTTAAGCATCTCTACGGCAATTTGTTAGCATTTGATGAGTTGAGTCAACGTGTGCATTGGCTCATCCAGTTACAAGTGACGATTTCCCTGAGCTTTGCGCCGCCAATAACCGTGAGGTTAAACCGTTAAACCTACTTGTTGGAATAGAGCAAGCATGAGTGAGTGATTGGAAAATAAGATTTATTTGGCCATGATCATTGGCCGTGTGCCAGAGGACAAAAGATGGTGTTCATGATTGGATTCCAAGGTTAGCTCCAACGCGTGTCGCCCTGGCTCCGAGTCACGAGAGATTGAGATGTTGTCGTTTCGAATTCCTGGTTCAAGGTCATCCGCGGCTCCTCTGCCGAATAAAAGCATGTCTATGTGTTCGTGTAACCAACGTGAGTTTGATGTTAAAATCCTGTACCAATTGTAGGTCAATGATGGCAATTGTTTGAAGGCGCAGAAAGCTCCATCAGATTTGGAGGAATTAGTCTTGCCGTTTCGAGGAGTGGACTGAGATTGAGGTTATTATTATTATTTCACGATCCTGCAGGAAAGTCAGAGCACCAATGATGGTCCTTCCCTCCAGTGAAAGCAGCGATGGACCCTTGAGAATGAGGGCAACTGGATGAGAGGGACAGAGTGGGATGCAACCCTGCCGGCGACTAGGGCCGGGTATCGTCCTACTCTGGGAGAGCTTTCTGAATACACATGGACCCATGCGAGAATGTGAGAAGGCATGATGCACGCAGAGAGAATCTCCTTGGTGTTGTTGAATCGGAGACGATGGAGGGGCATTGATAGGACATGGCTTTGGAGGGGAAGAAATGAGTCGAGACAAAACATCAGCCATTGGTCGCGAATGTTGAGATAAACCGATGAAGGGCACAATGCAGACGATGAAAGAAGATCGCAGTCGATCTATACTTTGTTGTATCAGAGTAGAAGCGATCATTGACATGGACGGTTGAATTGGTATTCCTGTTGGCACCTAGGTACTCCTTAAGGTTGTGGTGGAGGGTGGGGTGTGATAGTCAAACATCGCATCTGTACGGCCGGTACTTGATCGTTATCTTCTCTGCTGTTGATCTCTTGGCTGCTGACTTCATACAATAAGCGTAAGTACTAGGTCCTGCTCAATGGAATGTGTCTAAAGGCTATCATCACTCTATCTGCTTGCATTTGTCTCACTCTTCCATCCCGGTGGTGTACCGTCCTGTAGCCGAGAGGACAGTCAAGTATCTCCGTACTCGTACCGTCCGATTTAGCACCCCGCCATCGTGAATCGTGACCCGACTGCGTCTGCTCCGTTGACTTCGCCAAAGTCTGATGACTTTTTTTTACCTACACCAGCTACACCCAACTCCAACACTCCTCGACGACTTTACCCACGACTGTCATTTCGCACATCAATCGCGTCACCGAAATATCATCCTGCTACCGTCGCGCTGCAAGATCATTCTCGATACAGTAACCTTACAGATTATTCTCAGCCGACTTTCCCCCTCGAGCCGCCAGTCTCGCACAGACTTGGGCCCGAAATTGCTTCCCCAGCGCTACCCAAATCAAACAACAACATTCGCCCAGCGACTCCAGCCATACACAAAACATATCGCCCGTGTCCGCGCCTGAGACGCCATTCAGCCCTCGATCGTTGCTTTACTTGCATCTGCTGCTCTATATAATTTATTTCCACTGTTTACCTACCTTTCTCTTTTGCGCCCGCTCCCGGCGTCCTCCTCCTCCACTGCCAACGTAGAACTAGTCTGCTTCCCTCAATCAACCCACAGCCTTCTTATACTTCATACTGTCGTCACGATCCCGGAGCGCACCCATCGTGCCAAAGTCTTGCTCCAGTCAAGGCCCGAATAGTTGAGACCATCTGCTTCCTGACCACGGTCGTTGACAGGGCCGTCGCACCCTTCACGCATTACATCCTTGCAGAGTGGGGAGGATCCTGGCCGTGGCCGTCCTGCAGACCAAGAGATTTGGACGAACGAGAAGACCGACACCGCTGTTGCAGACAGCCCGCATGCAAATACATACAGAACATATTTCCTTCCAACTCCACTATTGGCCCGCACACAGATCGCGACATAGCGGCGGCAGAATTCTTTCAGACGAGTCCCCGTCGCTCTCTCATAACTGCATCGTCGGTCCCTCGTCGTCGAGAGACCTTTCTGTTCTTCCAGTGCTTCGAGTGTGTGGAGGTTGTTCCGGTGCCCAGCGCCATCTTCCTTTGCGTCAGCCTTCCGGATAGTGGTGGTAGAGTGTCGCTAATAGAAGAGGGAGAGACGAAGAGACGAAGAAGACGAAGAAGTGGTATGTACAGCCTTGACCTTTGTCTTTTCACCCTGCATTCGACGTGCGTTGCAAATCGCACCAGCCTTCGATATGCATCTAGCCGTGGTGTCGAGGGTCCAGCCACCGAAAAGGACTTGAATGGAAGGGGAGACTGTTGCGGAAATCACCTCCTACGACTGAGAGGCAGCAAAATCCTATCACTTCTTTTCTGTAATGTTAAACACGGTGAGGTTAAACGCTAATGTGGTGTTACAGATAGACCGCTCAACTTGCTCGCCCGTCGGGTCGTACAACCGCCACGAGGACCCGCGACGTACAAGGCAACCTGTTGCCATTTTTACCACGAACCTGCTGTCAGTGGGGAGCGCTACCTTTCTTCTTCAAGATCACGATAGCCCTATGTATCCTCAATGATGGACACCGAGGACGGGCAGTTCTTCATAAAGGTATGTCGAGCTCTGAAAGGCCTTATCTGCCTGGCATCACGCATAACTGACCACTTTTGTTCTGTAGAACCTCGCCCACTTTGTACGGACACACGAAAAGGCACTGGCAAACGCTCTTCAGTTACGCCGACAACAGACACCAAAAAATGCTTTGGCTCAGGGCGTGTCTGGAGCAGTGGGAAGTCCTGTCGTTCCACCGTCGCCTACTGTGACGAATCCTCCAAATTCAGCTTCATCTGCCACTACCTCGAGTACCCTCGCAGCCGCCCTTTCCCTCCCATACCTGACGTTCGCCTCACATAATATCAAGCCTGCAAAATTGGCTCTCACACCCCATCACCTGTTTTACCTGTTGTCTCGGTTCGAGGACCTTGGCATAACTGTAGGTCCTATGAACGTCCGGCTGGAGAATTTACATGCGGACACCACCTCAGCAAATTATGTGTCTTTCTTAGGTCAATCTCAACGGCCGAAAGGTCGTAGCTCTGATAATGCATCCATCCACTCGGTTTCTAGCGTTAGAAGTGTAATGTCGGGCATGACAAGTTTATGGTCAAACTTTGGCCTTGGATCCGGCGGCGCCGCAGCACGAACTGAAAAACAGAAAGCGGCCATTGAAGCAGATCTCAAATACCTTTACTCGGCCTTCACCAAAATTCCCTGTCTTCGACTTGCACCCGATCGCCGAGCACGACTCATCGAGGGTTTTGAAGAGTTCCCATTCGACTCAGCAGTCCCACTATATGCATTCAAGAACATCAGTGCTCTCGAGATTAGCGACATTGATTTCCGGCAATTCTTTGGATGGGACCGACTTGCAGAACAACTGAGATCATTGACGGTCAAGCGTGCATCTATTGATGATCCAGCAGATTTACTCATAAATATTGTGCTTGACGACATGGATAAGCGACGGCGCCGTTCTTCGAAAGCCCAAATGTCTCCTACCTCTACCTGGGCTGCACCGGCCAGCCCCAAAAGAAGTCCTACAATTCCGCATGCCGAATTAGTGAAGTCCAATTCTGCACCCGGATCTCCTGACCAGCGAGCACACATCGAAGAGGAGATGAATTCGAGGAATGCATCACTCGTACGGTCTGGCTCCGATGGCGCGAAATCGCCCAAGAAGTCACGCCCTAGAAGCAACTCTCCTATGAGGCCAAATAGCTCACGAACCGGTTCAGCACATGGGCATCTGAGGGGGTCGTACAAAGTGAAGAGGTCAGGATCTGGAAGCTCGCATTCGAGCATGTCAGACGGATGGCACAATTCCCGTGGCAGCTCTTCAAATCTCCTCTCTATGGGTGTACTACCATCATCAAAGTGGAGGTTTCTCAAACATCTTAGTCTCGCGGATAATGGTCTCACAACAATATCTGCGGCTAGTTTGGCACCACTCGCAAATACACTACATTCTCTCGACTTGTCTTCGAATCTTTTCGTACAGATTCCGGACTGTCTTGCTTCTTTGACTGCTCTGCGCGCTCTGAACTTGTCAAATTGCATGATTGAATCTCTACATTCTCTTACTCGAAACCCTCTTCCTGCCATATCTGCTCTGAATCTCCGTTCGAATCGATTGATTTCTATTGCCGGGGTTGAACGGCTTTACCCACTTGAAAGACTTGATCTAAGAGACAACAAGATGACAGATCCAACAGAGTTAGCAAGACTGACAGGCATTCCAGAGCTCAGAGAAATCTGGGTGACAGGCAATCCATTTGTCAAGACACATGGTAGTTACCGTGTTACCATTTTTAATCTTTTCAGAAAAACCCCCGGATATACGGAGGATATTCTTATCGATACTTATGCTCCTGGCTATAGCGAGAGGCGTCATTTGGTGGAACGTGCGGCCGAACGAGTAAACGTTCCTGTCGTAAGGTCAGTCCCAGATTATGGTTTGAACTCGGTCGAGGTTAGCAAACCAATTATCGACTATCCGGCAACCCAAGAGCCAACAGTCCTCCGAAAGGATAGGCCTCGACCAGCAGCCACACATAGCGAGGTGAACACTGCATCTAGTGGTGGGCGAAGAAGGACGCCGAAGCGGAGGATCGTGGATCTGTCAACCTCAGATACCTCGCCAACTAAACAGCCACAAACGGTTCGGTTCTCGATGGAAGATACATCACCCCCGCCTGCTCCGGTTGATAGTGGCTACGAAGCTAGTCCTGAACCCTCTCCTCGAACCGTCTCATCGTACATAGCCCCGGAACCTCGTCAGAGACAGACACAAGCCGACGTGCCGAGGATAGATACTTCAGGCGTACCTCAGTTAGCCCCTGTCCAGACGAAGGCCTACGAGGCTCCTGTTGTGAAAGGTCAGAACCCCAAAGATTCACAAGACTGGAAAGTTGGTGGTGAGATGTATAGAAAGAAGTTGGAAGCGCTTCGAAATGAAGTTCCCAACGGATGGCTCAGTGTGCTGAGTGAGGAAGGTTGGGAAACCCAGAAGAATTCGCAGTCTCAAGGATTCACCGTTGCAGACTTTGCTCCGCCGAATACAATTCGACCTAGTCCAGCCACAACTCGGGCCAACAGTCAGCAAACGATACATAGTGGTCGAACACTTGGATGAAATATTTGGCATTCGTCAGACGTAATATTTAAAAAACAATCATTACCGCAAATGGATGGATATGCGCCAACCCCGCGGCGGAAAGAGGCAAGGGACAGGGTCATGACGTGAGCAATTCGAGGAGCGATTTGGAAACCGTCGTTTTTGATACCCTTGGTTTCATCGAGCCTAAAGTAGGCTCTTGTCTTGTCAGTTCTATTATCTTCGAAAACGCATATTATTTTGCATTTCTCGGCATAAACACTTCCATCATTCCGCATTGTGGTCGGAAAATTTCAACTTCGTCACTTAAATGCATAGCATAGCGTACAGGTAACGGCCGGGTCATTATGTCGAAATTTCGAAACATTTCCAAACTTCTTCGGAGTCATGACATTTTATTTTCCTCTTATGGATGAGGAGATTGCTTCATCTGCGATTTCTCTGTTAGATGATTGAGGGTATTAGATCTTTATTTTTGTGAGGTGTGATGAAATCAGAATGGAGGCTGGGGTTCAGCATGTTGAACAAAGAATTTCTCCTCTTTGTAAAATATGGGACTCTACTCTACTCTACCAGTGGTATTATTTTTTCAAGCTTTTAAAGGTTGGCTAGGGTTAGGAGATTCATGGCGTTGGTGTTTTTGTCATAGGGGCGGTACGAGGACGATGAGATCTCATAGTCTTTGGCATTATTTGTTTGTTTGTAAATTGCATCAGAGGAGCATTCTTTCTTTTTGGTATTATGGTCCTTGGCTTGCACGGACGAGCTGGAGGGTATGGATGGGATTGGGGTTGGCTGGCTGGCATAATGATATACACACTTTGAACGCTTTGAAATAACTCATCCTTTCGCTGTGAGACTTTCCAATGGTTAGATTGCCTTACTCTTTACTCACGTATGAGATTCAATTCTGCTTCGTAGTCAATCTAGCATGATGGTAACCGTATATTTTTCGATGTTTCACTTCACTCCGTCTATGCGTAGCATGATGTAAAAGATAAAAGGTATCCGCCCATCAGCGTTGCGTCACACACAATTTTTCAGAGTGAGTTGATCATGAAAACACAAAAGCTTTCCATTGAAGAATCAGTGGCTTGAAAGTCTTCGCTTCCATATCCTATGAGGGCTTCAATAGAGTCGGTGGCTGAGTTATGGCACAATATCATTTGACGATGAGATGAGTTACGTTTAGTCAATGAGGTAAGAGGAGTTTAGATGTGTCTTTAAAGAACAAACACTCTTTCGCTGATAACTCAACTTGCGTATTAAGCCATTTGAGTTTTGTCAGCATGACCAATGTTAAGTGCGACGCTCTCTGGACAAGGTGACCGTGAGATGTTGTTTGCGGGAACGGCTGTTCTCTAGGTTTCTCTTCCACTTCATACAGCTGAAATCTTGGTCAATGACTAGACACTAGAGGCCAATTCCTTCACACCTCACAATGAAACCTAAACATGGTTTCCAATCCAATCGAACGATTCTTACGATAACATGTTTGCCCTAGTAATACGCCAGCACAACAAAAGCATCAATTCAATATAATATAACAAGCCTTCTGGTCCGACTTTCTGTAAAATCGGGAGTGAAATTCCAGGACTGATCGTCAACGGGAATACTCTCATCCTTTTGATTGTATAAACAATCGACCTTCTCGAGCGACTGTGAGCTGTCAATCGTAAAATCCATTTGCTTCACGGATTCACACGTCAGCGAGATTTCTGGAAACCGTATGCTCTGAACCAATTATCTGACGATTCAGAGTTCGTGAATGACGAAGAGCTTAATTGATACACGAGTCATTTACAACTATTGTTTGATCTGCCTTGTATTTCCTTTATAATGGTATTTGCTGGCTGAGTATAATAAACTGTTTTGTTCAAGAAAACTCATCTATTCTTTCTATTACAAAGCATATGTTTTGAATCAATGAGAGCCACAAAAGCTCGAAGCTCCATGCCTGCTTCGTCAATTAATGGGGGGAGATTAAGACTTTGATTTCACATCAACTGCTGTTATAGATACGTTATCAAACTATAGACAAATCAGGCGGCATTATTAAATGGCATCAATCTCGCATGTGAATGTTAGAGAGACACCTTCATACCTGACAGCGGACTCTGGGCTGAACCAGAGAGTCTCTTACCAAAATTAAGGAACATGATATAGCTGGCTGAAGGGCAAACAGCATAAGTATCCAACAAGAAATTTGAGAGGGGTGATTGAGGTCACCAACGTCTAGCTCCAAGCGTGTGATTGAATTTGAGAAGTTGTGGTTTTCTTTTATGAAGGATTAAGCGGAGCAGCATGAGATCTAGGCTACTAAGTCATTTTGGTTGCCTTTTAGGCGCACAACCATGGAAACGAAGAAAGTGTGATGTGGACTTTTTAAATTGTTAACTAGTCTCCCCATACTGGACAGAAGCGATAAGTAACCAGAGACAAAGTTTGGACATATCTGAGAATTATAAGTGTATCTCTCGAGCCTCTGACTGAAAGAGCCGTGACAAAAGCCATTTAATAACGCAGTAGATCATAAAAGAGTCACTCTCGGCAAGAAGATCAGCTACTGCTACTTTAGCATTGAGAGTTCTCTTGTTAAGGACCGTATATTGCTAAAAGCAAAATCGCACTTAATGTTGATATTTCTGTTTGCCATGGAAGTGTGAGTCCCATTGAACATCTTGAAAGCATCACAATATATGCTGTAGATGATTCCCAGAAAAATACAGTGAAACTTATCGAGTACGTTCTGAGTGATCGAGATTAATTTTGAAAAAAGTATAGCAGCTCATAGCGGAAAGGACTGACAATTGTGTTACCCACTAGAACATTAAGGCACATCGACCAATTCAGGGAATGAAGGGATAAGAATATGAAAGTTGCATCTTTAGACAGCTACACCCGATAGGCAAGATAAAGCCCCATGGTTCAAGATTAATGGGACAGCGAAGCAAATACGACGTACGACCTCATGGGCTACAAGAAAGTCATGTTGTGCCTTGAAAATCCGAGATCTTGAGCCAGAGGCAAAGCGCCAGAGATCGCAGTAGTTTTCTCGCATTTTCCCAGTCGCTGAGAATCATAAATCAAGAACGATAGGTAGGAAATAATGGCTGCGTGGTTGATCAGCAAGCTGTTGAACCCAATGTAGAATCATAGTTCCAGTGCTAAAGCGAGCCATTTTTGATTGGCAACGTCAGACCACTCATTCAGAACACGCGAGCAAAACTTTGCCCCTCGATCCCCGCCAAAGTACGCAACACGCCGGTTGCGCAAAAGTCGCAGTCGCTCTCAGACGTCGTACGGCTGATGAGTATTTCGTATTGTTGCGGAGCAAGCTGTGGAGAGGAGACGCTTTTAGGCTAGAGACGACGAATTGCGGTATGACAGAAGAATTCCATGCATATTCCTAGTCCGTGTACTACCAGAAGCTGTAGGAGAATGTATTTTTGGTGAGAAGACGGCTTGAAAGCAGCGCTGCTAAACGCAAGGCTTGAGGAGAGTTTAAATAGGGGTAGAGCGTGCTGTGGTTCTGAGAGGCTTGTTAAGCGCCTAGACAAGTTGCTGCCTTCAGAGGATGGAAACATGTAGGGCTGACGAGAAGTAGATGAAGGTCAAAATGAGGTACGAAGTGTTGGTTAGGCTGTAGTTTGTGGTGAATGAATAACAGAGAGTTGATAACAGTATCCTTGAGACTGCGAATAAAAATAGCTGTGAGAAAGAAATAGCGGTCAGCTAGTTGACACGTATAGTATTAAATGATTAACAAGATAGAATGATGCAAAGGCATCTTAAATTCACTTTTCTACAAGTATGAGAAATTTATGTACTGTAATTCGAGTAGCGTATCTTCCGAACGTGGTGAATATCAACCTCCAACGGCTTTTCGGCCACCGTAATCAAAGCGCCTGTGGTTTTTGGTAAGCTGCCGCTTGGCCCCAGCAGAGGCAACAGGGCGTTGTTCGTTCCGAATGCTCCTGCTCTGCTCTGCTCCCCCTCCGCTCGCTGTCTTCCGCTCAACATCGACGACATCGACGACGACGACGACGACGAACGCACATAATTCAGGATCGAGCTATCCTTTGTGCTGCTACTCACACTTCCGGGATTCAATTTGCATTCCGTCAATCTCACCCCAATCATCGACGCATTCCAGCAAACGTTCTTCAGCCCAGTTTGGGACCTCTGGCCGCGAGAAATCTAAAACACCAGGGACCCCCTTCTTTTTGACTTTTCCAACGCAGTAGACAACGCTCGCGAAACAAATCACTTTGTCGACTAACTCTCTCTCATTTGAAAGCATTTTATCGATAGTGTTCACGTCGCAGCGCCCTTAAACCCTCCCATTTTCTCGAGACGAAGACCTCGTTTATCTGGTATTGACATCCGCGCTTGTTAAGACGCAAAATCGACGAAGCCTCGCATCGAGTGCCTCAACACAACACCATCACCTCCACCTCCACCCCCAACATCAAGACATACTTGCACCTCAGCGAGTCGTGACTGAACCCAGTTGCCCGTGCTTATCCGCTCTACCACGACGACAATCCCTCTGCACCACTCTTCCATCGCAGAGGTGATATCGCGTTCTGCCGCACAATTTTCTTCCAGCTCAACATTCGAGGCGACACATCCCGCGGGCTCCAGTGCGAACGCAGCTTTGCGCAGAAAAGCCCAACGAGGCCGATCACACTTCATTGTACGTGTCTCTTGAAACTTCACGCGTGTTGGCAGCCAGCATAACAAATTCTTCACTCACTCCCGACCAACCCAATGTTTTACTAACATCTACGCGTTCTCAGAATAGGAAGTGAATCACGGCCCTCTTAACAGCGAAACCCAATTCAGGAGTTGGTGGTACAACCCGGAGTCATCTGCGAAACATATAAAAATCTTCCCGTTAACTTCTTCCTACGACAGGACTGAAGCAATGACGGACCAAAATGATGTAGATCTCGACTCCATTATCGATAGACTATTGGAAGTCCGAGGAAGCCGACCTGGCAAGCAAGTGCAACTTTTGGAAGCAGAGATCCGATATCTGTGCACCAAAGCTCGTGAAATTTTCATCTCGCAGCCTATTCTACTAGAACTTGAAGCTCCTATCAAGGTAGGAACTCCCGTCTAAACTACCCACAGCACTCTTGCATTACAGGCGCACACTAACGCATTCTTATGTATTTAGATATGCGGTGACATCCACGGTCAATATTACGATCTACTCCGCCTGTTCGAATACGGTGGATTCCCCCCAGAAGCCAACTACCTTTTCTTAGGAGACTATGTCGATCGAGGAAAGCAGTCGCTTGAGACTATCTGCCTTTTGCTTGCGTACAAAATCAAATATCCAGAGAATTTCTTCATTTTACGTGGCAACCATGAATGCGCCTCAATCAACCGTATCTACGGCTTTTACGACGAGTGCAAGAGAAGGTACAACATTAAGCTTTGGAAGACATTCACCGATTGCTTTAACTGCTTGCCTATTGCTGCTATCATTGACGAGAAGATCTTCACAATGCACGGTGGTTTGAGTCCTGACCTGAACTCCATGGAGCAAATCCGCCGTGTCATGCGACCAACAGATGTAAGTGCCTTTGTCTCTCCTGTCTGGCCAGCTCTTAGCGCACTGAGAGAGGGCTTGAGCTCTTGCTGATAAATTTAGATTCCTGACTGTGGTCTTCTCTGCGATCTCCTCTGGTCTGATCCTGACAAGGATATTACCGGATGGAGTGAGAACGATCGTGGTGTTTCATTCACATTCGGTCCCGATGTCGTTTCACGATTTTTGCAAAAGCACGATATGGATCTGATATGCCGAGCACATCAAGTCGTTGAAGACGGTTACGAATTCTTCTCCAAACGACAGCTAGTCACCCTCTTTAGCGCGCCCAATTACTGCGGAGAGTTTGATAACGCTGGTGCAATGATGAGCGTGGACGAAAGCTTATTATGTTCCTTCCAGGTCAGTGCTTCAAAATACACTCATTCGTCTTCCAAACGCTTTTATTGACTTTATGTATTAGATTCTGAAACCAGCGGAAAAGAAACAAAAGTACGTTTATGGTGGTCTTGGTGCCAGCAGGCCCGTCACTCCTCCAAGGAAAAAAAAGTAAGATGAACAATTACGAACTCTTTGTGTATAGCAGGTTCGGACGCAGATAAACATGCCTTTCGCGATTTCCACTCGAGTCCCACGACAATATCTCGCCAACGCGCTTTTTCGAAACCGAGCTTTACGAAATCCTGTCATCGATCTCAGTCAACCGTTTTCCGTCATCAAAACATACCTATTTGCGCGTTTACGTTGCGCCGAACGATCCTCTCGAGACAAAGTAATCCATTTGTACACAACTTCTCTTTTCACCTTACGAATATGACCAACGACCAAACCCGCGAGACACGAACTCACACGACCTTCCAATTGACATGAACCGGAATAAAGGAGAACAAAAATAAACGGTGGGCTAGGGCACTCTTCGATTTGAAATTGGTTTATACAGGGTGGTATCTTTCGTGTGTATATGAGACTACGATGTTGGAAGATGGCTTGCTTTTGCGGAATGTTACTTTGTCTGTGTAGCTTCTCGTCTGGTCTGGCTTTTAGCGGGTGGTGGATTGGAGCAGAATAGTAGAGTGGGGTGGGAAAATGAATTGGGGATGTGCCTGATTATTAAGATATGGTGGCACATAGTGACCGTTGGGTGGTTGTGTGCTAATTGTGTGATCTTTCGAGGTTGTGTTCCGAGTCTCGAGCTGCAGATGGACATGAATGGAAGGGTTGGCTCTTCTCTTTTTTATGGTAGTCTGGTTTTACGCTAACTACCCTTTTTGCTTCCACAGAATCTACCTCGGAATTTTGACCATGGTGATTGATAAAACTTTCTATACCATCGTCCTAATAACTCGTTGAAGCTGAAAACGTAATACAGGTGATGTCGGGCCAGATTGAAGGAATTCCATGCCTTAGTATTGTATCATCCTTAAATCCAACCTCGCCCGTGCTTAAAGCATTCGGTGATTCCCAAGTTTGACTGCCGCTGACATCTTATCTTTCTATTGGAGTGGAGATAGTGCCGTTGACTGAGATTACGAACGTCAATCGGTACTTGATTTGCCAACCTCACCACGTTGGCTACAATCCTTTGACTACAAATTTCTCTCACTGACAGCATGGAGTGATCACGCATGCACGACATAACAACCCTTATGTTTTTGGATTCTGATTTCGAGAACTTATATTGCCAACATTACTTCGCATCATGATCCAACTAACAGGCAGGCTGAAGATGAGCTACATTTTAAAACTTTATTTATTTACCATATAAACAAGACTTGCCCATTCTTAATAACACGAATATCAAGCAAATATACGTATACCCACCCGACAACTCATTCGTTGGCTTCTTGAACCCTCCGAGGACGCTATTTTAAAACGTAAATATTGCTTATATGCACTCAATCCAAGTCCTTACAATCCTCACACTCTTCCTCATGGGTGTTTCCAATCGCTTCGCCGTCCTTGAAACTCTTTCTCCTATCAGCACTGCCAGTCCCGGTGGTGGTCGAGGTCATAGCTGTACTACCATCAATATCCATAGGCGTGAACTTCCTCTCCGACTGCTCCTTCTCTACTGACGGCCCGCCAATCACTAGCTCGCCCATGCTCGCGGTTACGGGCAAGATGCCCATCGTAGAAGTTTGCGGATGGGCATTGTTTTGGTTTATATTATTCCTTGGGGAAGGAGCAGGAGCGGTGGAAGAGGTTGACGACTGGGAGGAGAGAGTTGGGATGTGTGTATTCTTTGCTCTGTGGTGGGTTTCTAGGGGTGAGATTGGGGAAGGGAGGGGAAGAGGAGTCGAAGGCTCAGAGGTTGCGGAGATATTGATAGTTGAGAATCCTGGAGCGGCGGGGAGGGAAATCTGTGCTGGCGGTTGGGTGGCATCAGGCTGCGTTGTTTGAATTGCTGATGGCGAGGGTTTCTCTGAGATGCCGTTAGTATGGAAGCTGATAGAATGGACAATGAGTGTATTTTAAAGTACGCACTTTTATGACCATCAACATGACCCAAATTTCGGGCTGGATCAATCACATCTCTTACGCGCCTTTTCAATTCTTTAGTCTCTAGAATGAGCAGGTCAGCGAGCGATTCATGTATGCACCGATCATCACAGGAGTATAGTCGTGAGGAGACTCAGGACGCAAGACTAGAAGTTATTGGAAGAAGTATCTGTGCTAGATGTTTGCTTTGCAAGGACTAGGGGCCGAGAGCTCGAAGGTAAAGGAGTCCATTACCCATAGTTCAATGCGTCCAAAGATGTCATTTACGAATCTAATCGGCGTATAGATGATCTTTGATGAGTTCCTCTACATCGAAGAAGACGATACAAAGCACGGAGCGAAAACTTGTACATTGTTGGGAACCGTGGATAGACAGCTACTTAGCTTCTAGGGCCGTGGCGAAGCAACGTCAAATTGCGAGCCGAGTTGACTTGTTACGATGTACAGCCATTGATCACGTATTCTAGACTGCGCAATCGAGCATTTCCACAGCCAAGGGTTGTAAGCCAGATCGAGGTACTCGCAGGAGATATTCAGGTTCTTCCACTGCGCGCTAAGAGTTACTGAACCACTCGAGCATATCGCTCGCTACGAACGAGACCAAGGCAGGAAACACATTTGAGATCCAGCTAGGAGTTACGATAACGCACCAGAGTGATGTGAGCGAGGTGCGATTTTGCAAATCATATGAGGGAAATTCTTTTTCCTAATGCGGGTGTCGGGCGCGAGCAACCCTTTATGGATTGTAGAACACTTGCTCTTCAGGCTGGGCAACTACAAAATGAAAAAAGATATTCGCGTAGCTGAAACTTATAGAGCATAGACAAGTTGCTAGATGATTGACAGCGAACACACTTTCGGACGAGAATGTACTCGGTATAAGTCCATCTGCAGAACGCTTGATCCCGAAGATGAAGAGAGAAACAACTTAACAGAATACAGGAAATCAACTAGCGTACCAGGAAACCCCCCTTCGGCTTTTCTGTCCCATAGTAGATGCTTTTGCAATGGAGCAGCTTCATCGTCACCAGTTGGATATGCGTGATACAAATTGACCACAAAAGTGCCGCCAGTTGACGGTTGAAGTGCAACTTCGCCAAGGTCCGAGAAAGTGGATAGTAGTTCCTGAGCAAACTAGGGTCGAATTAGTTGTTATCATAAAGATACGGAGAAGAGAAGTATGTGGTAGTGAAGTCTGCATGTCCTTTCTTCACCGAGCAACTTGCTCACCTGATCTAGTGAAATGCATGTAAGAGATAGGAAACATATTGTTGATGATACTTTGAACGCGAAACAACAACAAGAAGTACTAGGACTAGCCAAGTATAGAAGAATGCAATGGGAATGGCTGGGAAGTTCAATACCTTCTAATATTAATAAAAGTGATCGACTTACATATGCAGCGCGTAACATCCATTTGCATTGCGTGCAGAATTGTATCTCGACCCGGGGGAGTGGAGGTGATAATTGCTCCATCAGTCAGTCTAACTTGCACGGTCCTAGCTTCGATGCGCTCGCCGGGTGGTTCCTTGATATAGTCGAGGGGCAGACGAATGCAATTGGCAACTGGATACGCAGTTGTTCTCGTGGAGTTTGACGGATGGAACAGAGTATGAACCGTTTGTTTTGGATTATTGCGACGGGTCACTTCGTTCACGACTTGAAAAGGTTCGTCATCTCCGCTCTCGCTTGATTGGGAAATTTGAATTGGCACTACTGAATTGACCGGTGGATCGCGCGGCAATAGTCTATGAACATGCACCAAACAAACCATCATCAACATTTAGGAAACGGAGATATTTCATCGAACCGTGGGAGGATCAATTGCTTCTGACATATGGAATTGCTTCGTATGGAAGGCCTTCGTCGTAATCCTAATCGTAAAAAAAATCCTTATACACAATGAAGGGAAATAACTACTGCAACACCAAATATTACATGCAAACTGCAGCCATTCCAAAGTGACCACCTATACCGCTGATGCAACGCTTGTCGACGAAGGTATTATCGCAGACAATCCCCAAAACTCCTAATTAACGCCATTATGTGTTTTTACTCGGTGTCTCGTGGCCCCGCCGTACGTGCTGGCCCTTACATTACGACGCAACAGCCTCCGCTCTGTTGAGGAGCATACGGATCCTCCCTCTTGTCGACAGAACCCCAAAGGTGTGGCACCATAAAGTCTTTCGTGTTGCTGGTGTAGGAGATGATGCTGGAATAAAAGTCAGCAACATGATAATTTCCCGATTCAGCCTCTTCGCGAAGCTCACGCACCTTTTGGCAGCTTGCGAGACGGGGATCCGGTCGCGTTCCAGATCTTCTCGTAAACGGTTGTTCAATTCTGTGAGACGACGAAGCTTCAGGTCGGCCATTGACTGCTTGTTCTTCTTGATCTGAGAAGGATCGCCGACATCGCGGGAGGAGTAGCCAGAAGGCATCATGAGGACCTGGAGGGAGATTCCTAATCGGCTTTGCGCACGATATCATCAGCTGTATTCCGATGCAAAACAAACATCGAGCAAATACCTTGATACGAGAGTATGCGACGCGGATAGGTGACGGTTCAGGAAATGAGAGCTTCGAAAATGTTGCTGCGACAGGTATGAGCCGGTGGTTTGGGGAGGTTCGAAATTCTGGGTGAGATTGCTCGCTGGTTGGATTAGGGAGCGGTGGACCGTGAGCTTCGTTCGCCCTTGGGGGAAGAAGGCTTTCTGTTTCTGGGTCCTCGGGTGCGGTAGGCGCGACCCCGGCCTAGCGTGCAATTTTGCCAGGCGCGCTTCGGCGGTCCGTAGAGACCACTGACGCAGTTCGAACCTCGTCTCGCTCGACTTGGCTTGTCTAAGGAATCTTGACCACGTTCCAGCGTCGCGCTTTCGACTCTCAGCAACCATAAATACGCCTGACAATCTGGGGACACGCGGTCGATGCGAATAACCCAGTTTGCGCACACCGAGAGCCGACTCTGATAGAACCAGCACCTTTGTTCATGGTGGACGGCGCGTTGAGGCTTCGGCTTTGTAGTGGGGGAGTGTAGCACAGGGCGAGCTGCCAGAACCGTCATCATGGCCACCGACTTTAAGAATATCGACTGGAAGACGCAGGAGCAGGAGGATGAGGAGAATATGCGCAAGCTGATCAGCGCGGATCCAGCCGACGACGATAATGCCGCCCTCATTGATATGAACCGCGAGTTCGACCAGACGGACAAGGCGGATGATGCTGAAGACTTTGAGGATATGAGCGACGATGAGCTGCCAGAAGAAGAGGAACCCACGGGAAATGGCGAGGGCGATCTTCCTGGCCTGACTGATGATATGGGAACCAGCCACGATACGGATGATTTGTTTGGAGAAGACCGCGGGTCTTCCCCCTTCGACTTCGAGGATCGAGATGGTTACCAGGCGGAGGGCCTAACATCTGGTCTCGATGATAGAAGCTTGACATTGCCCTCTGTGGAACCCGAAGTTGATCTCTATGAGCTCAACTTCCCCGAGCACTACAGCAACAGGAACCAGGACTCTTCCATACCAGCTCCAGCGGAGTCTGAAGAGGAGCTTCTGAAGCAACTATGGCCCACCTTTCGGAAGGGAGTAATCTTGGACTTCAATGTCCTCATGCCCACCAAACCCGCCCACTTCGTGCCTAAGCAACCCGAGAAGCCTCCAAAGCCTGTCAACCCCACCAAGGTCAGCTTGGACATTGCACAGGATCAGGAAAAGTCTTTTCGCGCAGCCGGCCCTGCGTTCTCGGACAAGCGCAAGAGGATACAAGAAGCTGAAGCCAAGGGTCTTGTTGCTATTGTGAGCGATGACTCGGATGCAGGAGACAGTGAAGATGGCTTAGACTGGTCGGTTCCCGATCCTTCGGAAAGATTAGGTGGAGTATCGTGGACTGACCTGGAAATCATCTGTGAGGACTGGGAATCGAAGATCAACCCTGTTGTGCCACAGGTTGTCGAGGAGGTTCATGATATGGACCAGTGGGAAATGGATGTTTACGGTGACGATATTCCACCACCTTCCAAGCGCCAGAAGTCGCAGCACGAGACCGACATCATAAACGCACCTAGATTTGCTGTCCCCTCTTTCGATAATTTCGAGGAGGCACTCAAGAAGTCTGCGAAGCGCGTTTATCTTGACCTTAACGACCCGATGCTCTTAGTTGACACATTGGAGTACGTTCCTGCTAAACGTCGTCGATTGGGTCCGATGATGAAATCTGGGAAGGGCGGCATCTCTTCGAGCTTAGGCTCAAGATTCAATATCTCAAACGACGAGGCCTACGACGCTTTGAAAGAAAATCATCAGAGTAAGGTGCGAGCCACCCTTGGTAATGTGACATTGGAGCATAGTTTGCCAGCGCTCAGATTACAATGGCCGTACTACCGGACAAAATTGTCAAGCAAGGATGCACGGTCCTTACATCGACCTTCTCTCAAGTTTACCAAGATCATCAATATTCCAATTACCTTCTCCAAGCCACTGATGCGCAAGAAGAAGCAGGTCAAAAATCTCGGAGTTCAAGAGTTATTCAAAGAAACCAAGGATCTAACTCTTGCGGATCATTATGCTTCGGCCACCCTGTTTGAGTATTCAGAGGAAAGCCCAATCATTCTTTCTGGCTTTGGTATGGGAAATCGAGTAATCAATTACTACCGACGCAAGGACACTGAGGATACTGACCGCCCGATAATCGATGATAAAATTGGTGATGTGACGCCTCTGCTACCAGAGGACCGTTCGCCCTTTGCAAATTTTGGAGAAGTCGCCCCGGGCGAGACTGTTCGAACTCTACATAACACTATGTTTCGAGCTCCGATCTTCAAACATGAGACCAAGAGTACGGACTTTCTTGTCATCCGGAGCACCACCGGAGTTGGCGGTATTAATTGGTTCATCCGGAACATTGACAATGTTTTTGCGGTTGGCCAGTTGTTTCCATCTATGGAAATCCCAGGACCACATTCTAGACGTGTGACAAACGCAATAAAGCTACGGATGAAAATGATCGGGCTTCGAATGATGCGACATAGCCCACAGCAGACACTCAAGATTGGCGACGTCACTGCCCATATCCTTGACAGCAGTGATATGCAAAATAGACAGAAACTCAAAGAGTTCTTCGTCTACGACAAGACCGAGAAGGTGTGGAAGATGAAAGCTAACGAAGTGCTTCCCGAGGAGAGTGCAATCCGAGCTCTCATTAAGCCAGAAGAAGTATGCGCTCTCCATGCCATGGAGGTTGGCGCACAGCACCTAAAGGATGCTGGCTTTGAAGTTACTGAGGACAAGGACAAAGATAAAGACAAGAAAGACAAGGATAATGAGGAAGAAGATGAGCCTGGTACTGAGGGTCATCTGGAAAAGAGTCTCGCGCCATGGAGAACCAGCAAAGCTTTCCTCGACGCTTCTTCTGGAAAAGCCATGCTTAAACTACATGGAGAAGGTGATCCTTCGGGCAACGGTCTTGCTTTTAGCATGATTCGTACTTCTATGAAGGGCGGATATATTGGCGCGCTTCAAGGTCCATCCGCGACGTCGGATGCTGCAATGAATCAACAGAAGAAAGCTAATGGAGGCCACACTTACAACGTCAAAAAGCAGGAAGAGCTTTACCAGGCTAACATTCACGATATTTGGCAAAAGCAGAAGGCAAATTTGTCGGACCCAGTAGAGCACGAGGAAAACGATTTGGAGCGGGAGCAGGCTGAGGAGGACGAGAGGCTCGGCGCAAATCAGACGCCTTATTCAGCACCAACGCCTGCATTCGATGATAACGCGAGTCTTTATAGTGGGTACAGCGCTAATGCCCATGCTGGACGTGTAATGCGGATCACCCGTACGGTGAGAAATGAACAAGGGATGATTGAGAACATCGTCGAGATCATCAAGGATCCACGAATCTGGCGCGGATACCAGAAACGTCGTCACGAGCTTGATGCACACAAGACAAAGTATGTTTCTAGAGCAGCACGGGACGTCGCCCTTTACTGACTGTCTGTTTAGTCTATACGAGGTGAAGCCAACTGGTAATGCCGAATGGGACAAACAAGAACACATTCGGTAAGTACCCCTCAAATGTGTATCACATACCTCACTAACCCCAGCAGCATGAAAAAAGAGCTCGCTCGGTTGGAACGAAATAGAGAACGGCGCAAGGCTCGAGAGAAGCAGAAGCGCGGCAAATCTATTGGTGCTGATATTGCTTCCCCAGTTGCAGAGGGCTCGGCGACACCAGCTGCTGTTGAGAAACCTACAGGAACAACCCGGAAATGCGCAAATTGTGGTCAAGCAGGCCACATCAAAACCAACAAGAAGTACTGTCTCGTCAATAATCCTCATGATATAGTCGACAAAGGCGTGGTTCATCCAATGGGCATCACGACTACTACAACTAAGTGGTTTTAAGTAGTCATGGGGTGTCTTTCACAGCCTTTCGACCTTTCTCGGCTCCTCTAGTCTATTTGCGGCTTGCTAACCATTTACAACTTAGACTTTGTCCATTGCTGAATGGCACAATGAAGCCTGAGGATGGTGCTCCAAACCATGGGGGTTTTGGTGCTATTACCGCCCCTTCGTTCCCATGATCGTTCGATTGCCCCCGCGTTCTAGGTTGCGAAACGCTGGTTCCGCAATCCTTCTTCCACGAGCACACACCGACCTAGCTTTTGGACGCGGCCTGAATCGTCAAAATCTTCTGAGGCCGCTCGAGAACACAATATGGTATCGTCAAGCTCATTGCTACACAGTCTTTCCTACTTCCTTTCTCTCACATGTACAGTACGCACGCAAAGATGACTTCGAACACAACTTGGTAGGCATCACAGAGTGGGAATTTGCATTTCAGGAGTTTTGCTTTGCTTTGCTCAACGTCACTGGCTGGGCTTATGGAGTTCTGGTACGGCGAATACCCGAAATTGTAAAGAAACCACATAAAAGTTCAGGAGCAAAATAGCGGGATATCTTGCATCTTAAATATCGATATCATGGTTTTGAGCGGGACACAGGCGAGCATTGGGGTGGGATATCACTGTATACATTGTTATAGGTGGTGGGAACGGGATTATGGGAAAGAATTTCATGAAGGTAGTGGTCCATGAATGGAGATGAATTAAGAACTACTTAAAACTCTTGTTCCGTCCCCTTCCGTTCGTTTAAAACGGCATTGGTATAAGAAAAGGCTACATTCCTGTCAAACAGGCTACTCGTAGAGGTTAATCAATTTTGTTAGTCCCTGCGCTGAAATATATACTTCTCTCGAGAAACACTTTGTCCTTTGAGCTCCACGTAAGTAGAAGCATAATTAATTTGTTACCTATGGTAGTGATGGCAGGTGAACGAAACCGAGGGTGGTGTAGATCAAATTTAATCATGTAAGGTTTGACTGAGGATGGCGGAACTATTGGGCGCGACCTGGCATTCAGTTGCAACTCGTCTCTTCGCATCATTTATTCTCGTAGTACTCGAGTATCCACATCATGATCGGAAAGGGACTAGCGTCCTGATTTCACTGTCATTCGGTTAATATTGGCTCCCGTCAGACTCCACTTCAACCGCGCACACAAGGAAAGTCGACAGGCAGAGAAAACATCGTGGGAACCTCATTTATCGCCTTCCTCGTCCAACGAGATCTCACGCGCCCTTCTATCGCAAAATCGTACACGAGTCCTCGCGGATAAAACTCTTCCAAAGCGCAACCCGCTCGGGAGTGGCCCATCATGCCGCCTCCCCCCCATCAGAAACCCGAGAATGTTCTCAAGAGGGCTCATGAGTTGATGGGCGTTGGGCAGTCCCAAGCTGCTCTCGTTCTTCTCCATGAACATATCACCTCGAAGCGCTCACGAAATGTTCCGATCACGTCGCTTGAGCCTGTGATGCTCCTCCTCGTCGAACAGTCTGTAGAGCAAAAGAAGGGGAAACTCGCGAAGGATGCGCTTTATCAATACAAGAACATCAGCCAGAACACAAACATTGGCACAATTGAGGTAAGATCACCATATCTACGATAGGATCTAGGAATGGATGTGATGCTGAAATATTTACCAATAGCTTGTCCTAAAAACATTCATCGAACTCGCGGAGGCAAAAGTGAAAAATGCACAAGTGAAGGCAGATGAGGTCCAGTCATCGCTGGAGACCACCGCAGCTACTGCCAGTATTGATGATCTTGAAGCTAGCGAAACACCAGAGTCCATCCTTCTTTCGACTGTTTCCGGCGAGCAGTCCCGAGACCGTACAGATCGGGCAATTGTCACACCATGGCTAAAGTTTCTTTGGGAGACATATCGCACTGTTCTCGATATCCTGAGAAACAATGCGAGGTTGGAGATCATGTATCAGAGCACTGCAATGCAAGCCTTCGAGTTCTGCCAGAAATATACTAGAAAGACAGAATTCCGCCGTCTTTGCGAGCTTCTCCGAAACCATGTCCAGACTGCTGCGAAATACTCTGCCCAGATGCACGCTATCAACTTAAACGACCCGGATACTCTACAAAGACATCTTGAAACCCGTTTTCAACAACTCAATGTCGCAGTCGAACTCGAACTGTGGCAGGAAGCTTTCCGCAGTGTTGAGGATATCCATACATTGCTCAACCTCAGCAAGCGGCCACCAAAGAATATTATGATGGCAAATTATTACGAGAAGTTGACTCGAATTTTCTTAGTCGGCGAAAATTACCTTTTCCATGCTGCTGCTTGGTCTAGATATTATAACCTCCTTCGTCAGTCTGCGTCTATGGTTGCTACTGGCCAAAGCAAGAAGTCCGACAGCCCAGCAACCACAGAAGCAGACCTATCCAAGGCCGCTTCCTTCGTCTTACTCTCTGCTCTTGCTATCCCTGTCATTAGCACATCAAGATCTCGTGGCGCGTTGGTCGACATCGATGAGGCTAAAAAAAACAAGAACTCTCGGCTCACACACTTGCTGGGAATGGCACAAGCTCCCACACGTGCTGTTCTTTTCAGAGATGCCATGAGCAAAGGCCTTCTCAAACGTGCTCGCCCGGAGATTCGCGAGCTTTACAACATCTTGGAAGTTGATTTTCATCCGCTTTCGATCTGCAAGAAAATATCTCCTATCCTGGTCCAAATCGGTGCTGATTCGGAAATGGAGAAGTATGTGCTTCCTCTTCAGCAAGTTATCCTTACAAGGCTATTTCAGCAGCTGTCACAAGTCTACGAGACCGTGGATCTCGCATTTGTTGAAAACCAAGCCCAGTTCCCAGAGCCATTCCAAGTCACCAGAGATACCATCGAAAAATTCATCATGAATGGAAACAAGAAGGGTGATCTCGCTATTCGTATGGACCACGCCACTGGAGTTCTTAGCTTCGACACCGATGTTTTCTCGTCCACCAAGGCTATCAATGCTGGCTCTAGTTCTGGATCTGCTGAGAGTGAAACTTCTTCGGTGCAAAGACTTCAAAATACACCTTCTGAGATTGTTCGCACACAACTCACACGATTAGCGAAGGCGCTTTATGTTACTTGCCAATACATCGATCCGTCGGTTAATGAAGCTAGAGTTGCAGCTCAGCAGGCCGCATATGCAAGAGCAAAGGCAGGTTTCGATCAAGAGCATCGTGATACTCTAGCTCGTAAAGATATCATCGCTAAGCGCAAGGAGGAAGCTTCTCAACTTCAAGCTGCCAAAGAGAAAGAAGATGCTACCCGGAAACGCATTAAGGCTGCACAGCTTCAAGAAGCCGAAAATGCTCGTTTAGCTCAAGAGACGAAAGAGCGTGATGAGAAGCGCATGAAGGCAGAGCTAGATCGTGTGCGTAAGGCTGAGATGGCAAAGGAAATCGCCGCTCTGAAGCTTGGACCGAAGACGATCAACATCGATGCCGAGGACTTGGAGAACCTCGATGCTGGTCGTCTTCGTGCCTTAAAGCTGCAACAGCTGGAACGTGAGAAGAATGATATCAACGAAAAGATGCGAATTACTGCTAAACGCATTGACCATCTTGAGCGAGCGTTCCGGAAGGAAGAGGCAAAGAAGTTACCAGAGGATTATGCTACACAACGCCAACGCGACTTGGAAGCGTACGAGAAGATCAAGGCTCAGACACTGAAGGATGCCGAAGCGAAGCACAAAGACAACGTTGAGCTGAAGCACAGATTAACACGCCTTGTACCGTTCTATGACTCTTTCAAGGAGAATATTGTGGAGCGCCGGCACGATGAATTCGAGAAGCGCCGCCGTGATGCCGAGAAGGAACTCGAAAAACAGATTGCAGCACGACGAAAGGAATTCCGTGACCGAAAGGCCCGTGAGAAGCGAGAGCGTGCTGAACAGGACCGGATTTTGCGTGAAGAAGAGGAACGGGCTGCGAAGGAGGCTGAGGAGAAATTGGCGAGAGAAGAGAAGAAGAGGCTTGAGTTCGCGGAGCTCAAGGCCACCCGCGAGAAGGAGAGACAAGAGGCTCTGGAAATTGCAGCCCTTCAAGAGCGAAGAGCAGAGGAAGCCGCCGAGCGCCGTAGGAAAGAAAAGGCCGCCGGTTCGTCACGCGGAGTGCCTATGGATCGTGCCGAGTCTGGCTCTGGTGCCGGGACTCGACCTCCACTTCCCCTTGCAGGTGCTAAGCTTGGATGGAGAGAAAAGGAGAAGCTTCGCGCAGAGGGCAAAGAGGTGCCAGCTATTACACGTACTGAGTCACCTGCTGCTCGCGCTTCTCCCATGGGTCGGGCACCACCGACAGAGCGTGTTGACTCTAACGAACGCCCAGCCGAGCGTGGTCCACCGCGTCTTGCTCTTGCTGGCGGTAAGCCATCCTGGAGAGAACGAGAGGCTGCTAAAAGTGGCGGTGCTGGCAGCGATTCTGCTCCACCACCACGAAATCTGCCACCTCCTATGGCAAGAGGTCGCTCTGGACGCGGCGAGGAAGAACGCGAACCCGCCCCACGTCCTACACCAGCCAGCGATAGTCTCAAGCCCTCCGGCGGTGCTGGCAAGTTTGTTCCCCCTCATCTGCGTAACAAGTCTTAAGGGCTATGTTGTCATGGGATCCTTTGTCGATGGGCTTTGACTTTTCATTTTTCGATCTTGGTGCAAGAAAGTACAATTGTAATTAGTATGGCGTTATTATGGCTTCATGCTGTTAGATCTCACTCTCTTAGAGACGTTGGAGATGGACATGGCAAAAAGATTTTGAGGAATAAGAGACATGATCAGGTGTCAGTTTTCCTGTTAGGTACTACAACTCTGCTGATTGCAACTTGAGGATCTCAGATTCCATTCATAATTCGACAGTGGTGTATATTTCACATCAGGAATTGCAGCTCTCAGTCTGCATTTTCCGTCAAATATCAAGACCACTTAGGCGGCATGCGATGAAATACCCAGCCAATTTCGAATGTGCCTTTACATTGTTCCTCTCTGTGTGTTTAGAATTGGTAATACATCACTAGAAATTCAACATAAAAGTTCCTCGACCAGACGCTTATATCCCCATGTTCTGGTAGAGGCTGTCCCCTTGAAGATTACAGGTGCTCTATGAACGAAAAGTGGCATTAAGTAGTCAAGGTGAGATATTATAATTTACTGATGTAGAAATTTGAACTCATTGATGCAGTGCCAGTGTTTTATTCTTTGATTTCGGAGATCATCATGGTACGAGACAGCTTTCACCCTCAATGCAAAGCAATTTCCGTTCTGTTGACGCCGAACAACTGGGTACTAATCTCACAATTTTCAATTCACTCATCAGACGCTGAAGTGACGTTGAGAAGAGGGAATAACAATTCAGCTGCCACGCCATAACTTCATATTCATATCTTTTCGGTAGCCCACAGATACTTCTTTACTGGGTGCTGGAGCTGAGGCAGATAGGTCAAGTGCCACAGTATCCGATTCTCCAAGGTTTTTCGAGATATTCCATACTTAGGTCACCTCTACCAACTACCACTGTATGACAGGTAGTATATGGAAGAGGTGTGAACGTGTCAAGGGAGTAATATTGTCAATATACGACGGGCATCTGTACAACCGCATGGCCTGCATTTTAATTAAGGCAAACTTAATAATCCACTTACATTTCGAGTATATACGACTAACGATTGTCTGTGCTCTTTCCGAGGAAATCGACATATCCATAATCTCATGTATTTAAAAAACTCGGCACAAAAGCACATGGAATATCAACCATGCCATGTGTAGGAGTGTTACACTACCAATGCCGCATGCACGCTATCACTCGTTACATTAGCCGGCTTGTCTGACACTCGGACGGAGGTACCTGTCGATCATCCCCGCCTTCAGACTTAAGACCGATTTGTGATGTGCGGTTGATCTCTGGCGTCAATGGAAATGCGGGGAGAATTTGTAGTTATTGGAAGAATGACTTACATAGTTCCAAAGATTTTGAGGAGCACAGGTTATTGATTCTGACTCGTCGTGGTCACTGGCCTCTCTGTACATTTTCTTGTCAAGTGGCTAGCGGCACAAGAGATTCTCGGATCAATCCTTTGCGAAGGAAGGATCAAATTGGAATACCACGTCACGTTCTGACAAACGGTTCTAACGCACACGACATCAGTACATTTCTAACAAACTTTTGTGCATATTCTGGCCCCCAAAACGAGCGTCAGGGTTCTCATGGATTGAGCTCAACACTAAAACGATTAACATACTTGAGGGTTTGGGCCCATGATGGAGAATAAACCATGATCACACACTCCCGGTCCCCATTTCTAGCCAGTGGGTAACTAGATCGGCGAAAGCACTAGTGACAACCTACGATAATAGCATTCCGCGACCTCTTCTACGCAGATTACCGGTAGTCGGTTTGGACCCTTGGAGGTACAAGATCTAGGTACCATGATCGAATTGAGGCGTCTCGGACAATATAGCACCTTGACGAAAACGATTGAAGTCGTACGATACATTGAAGATGACCCGCGTTCTGACTTGTCATCGGTGACCTGCGCTGCAACTCTGGGTTATCGGCAAACCCGGTCTATTTCCTGAATGTGGTTGCGTTGGGGAAGTATTTGCATATGTATTTGCATATGCATCCCTGAGATAGAAGAGCCCTCAGCTAACGGCTACGGTATTGTACACCACGCCAGTGACAGCCAGCCCTCTCGTATTGTAGCGAATATGAGATACGAGAGACGTCCGTGGCAATCATGTCGCTGCATTTGTGGGCTATGGCGCGTTGTGCTCAGCGGTTTTGGCGATTCTGGTGACACCAGAATTCAGATATCTGCAAGTGATACACGGTCGTGTCGTACCACTTAGGGTGTTGTATCGGCACGAGATGCGTGATATACCATCCAACAAGGCTGGCGCAATATAGCTGTTCCCAAAGTATAAGCTTCGTGTTGCAGCGTACCATTGACGAGGATGTTGTTGAGAGCTTTTCGTCGACAGAGGTTCACGTACACAAAGCTCAAGGGAAACTACTCACACCACTGCCATCAGCATAGGTTGATTGGAATGTCGTGCAACACCAGTCTGCAAATCTGAATGGTTCCCATAAATCGGGAGTCCGAATAGGAACGTCTGCGTGCGAAGAAGTACAGAAGCGAGTATTGATAACGTGCAGCTAATTCATACTTGACTAAGTTGACTCAGCCCTGAACCTTCCTTCTCGGCGTCGAGATTTGTATTTGCGGGGGAAACCGTGACCACAATAGATTGAAGCCGTAGTTTCAATAGTTGTCACTCCTAGTCCCTACAGGTCGTTGACTTCGCGGGTTTGGGTGAACAAAGGCTGACGCCGCGACGGGTTTAAGCGTGAGAACTAGCCATATTTCCGATTACGCGAGCCTACAAAGTAGAACTACACTTGACATTGACATCGACAGTTCTCTATAGCTCACTGCTTTTCGAGTATTGACATCTAGATTCTGGCTACTTCGTGAGTACTTCTCTGTGTCTCCCGCTTCCACCAAAACCGGTAAAAGCGCCCCTATACGAGTCGTTGCTGCTAGACGCAGGGGCCGCTCCCACGTATGGTAGCGAGGACTCTGTATTTCGGTAAATCTCCAATTCAGCTGCAGCGTTGCAATTGACTTGCAGGAAGCAGGGAATCGCTGGTGTAGAGTGCCGGACGAAGGACGAAAAGGGACTGCTTTGGGAAGCTTGTTGAGTTTAAAAAGCGGAATATCGAGGTTAGTTGCACCAAAACCTGAGCAGCTTGACAAGAAAGGGCAATCCTCATTTAAACCCTTGCATCTTCACGTCAGATCGACCACTCACCTCTCACATTTCCCCAGTAGGGTCCCCTTCAGATTCTCCCCGACTGGGGCTCCATATCTTCTCGCTTCGCACCACGCCCATCTCCATCCACCATCCATACAGCTATACCTAGGTACGATCAGACCTCGGAACATTGATCAAAGTTTGGTGGCTGAAAAAACAAAGATCTCGAGCATGACTCTATCGAGTATGCCTCTGCCATATTGTAAACGAGCGCCTTCGAGTGGGCTGGGGCTCGAATGGCTTTGTCTCGAGTAAAGGAGGAGTGCTGAGCAATTCCCAAAAGATACGAGAACAACAATAGAAGCCCTTCCAATGCAAGTCGGCGTCAGCATCAATATTCCCATATGTACTCCATCGAGTACTGTACGCTGGCTGACATTTCCTAGACCGGACTGGCTGTCTGCAACAAGGGCACCATGTTCGTTTGCTGTGTAGCTTTTGGGTGGCTTGAAATACTCCTTACTGTTCGAGCGCCTGGCAGTTTTGACCTGGACTCTCGAACGCTTGATAGCTTCCTCCGAAATGCAGGGTCCGAGTCGTCTCTACGCCCACAGATTTATCGATCATACCGTTGCACAACCAAGCGGTCGGAGACTAGCCAACTCCGTAGAGGTGCCCATTACCTACTGGGCTGTAATATTAATCATGTCTGTTCCGAGCTGCTAACTATATATCTGCTGTTCCCACGTTGGCTTTCATAGTGAGTTCCGCCAGCCACCGACGGGGTCAAGTCCCATCTTCCTTCTTTTAAATCTAAATCTTCGAAAGAAGGACTTGATAAATTGCCATGTTCAGTCTCAAGTCATTCGTTGTTGCTACGGCTTCACTGGCAATCTTTCCCTCTGCCTATGCTGGAATACTCAAACGAAATCAGGAACCGGATCAACCTTCATGTGTCGACTTCACTCCTTTCACATATGCCGGTTGCTTTCGCAATCCTGGCAGGCCGGCGCCAGACACTCTTCTCTTTACGTCAACTCTCGACAAGTCAAACATGACCATTGAAAAGTGTGTAGCTTACTGCAAAGGAAACGACTACCGTTACGCTGGGATAGAGTACTATGGAAAGTGTTCTTGTGGAGCCTCCGTTAATGGGTATCAGGTTGCCGAGTCTCAATGTAGCTTCAAGTGCACCGGTAATTCTAGCGAGGTTTGTGGAGGGGATAACACATTATCTATTTACCAGGATCCCACCTTTCCAGTTGTCGACAATTCGATTATCACGGATTATAATGATATCGGTTGTTACACTGAGGGGAGTAACGGACGCTCACTGGCGTGGAGGCAAGATCAAGTTGCTGAAGCTACATTGACCACTGAAAAGTGCCTCACTGCCTGCAAGCTTGGAGGTTTTCCTATTGCCGGTCTTGAGTATGGTCGAGAGTGTTACTGTGGCGTCGTTCTGGGCAATGGAACGGTTGCCGCCCCATCGACGGACTGCGATCTGGCATGCTTGGGAGATCAAACTGAAAAATGTGGTGGAAGAAGCAGGTTGAACCTGTTTGTTGCCCACGATCTAGAGTCTCAGGAACCCTGCAAGGACACCCCAAGCTCATCTAGTACTGTTGTTTCGTCAACCACGACGTCCTCATCATCGTCCACTACCAGCTTTGAGACAACGACTACTAGCTCGTCCACGAGTGAAACAACTACTACCTCGAGCTCTTTATCCAGCAGCACATCTGCGAGCTCAACGGAAACAACGTCGTCAAGTAGCACCTCTTCTACTGAATCATCGACAACTAGCTCGGTTCCCGACACTTCTTCGTCTGCGAGCTCTTCAAGCACATCAACTAGTGACACTATCACTACCAGCACGTCGAGCTCCATCTCAAGCTCTTCCTCCAGTAGTACATTCACAAGCTCAACGGTGACAACATCGTCTAGCAGCAGTTCTTCTCTTACGACCTCAAGCTCGAGCTCATCTGTTCCCCCAAGTACTTCCTCTACCTCTAAGCCCCCGTCTTCGACGACATCATCCACTTCGAAACCGACGACGTCAACAATCTCAACAACTTCTAAGCCAATCAGTACATCATCAACGAAGACAACTGCATCACTTTGTACTAAAACAACAACGATGTGAGTACATGTCCACACGCAGTGTACATGTCTACTATGCGTCCAAAATTGTTTTTTTCCATCTCACACTCAGCTAATGTTATCCAGAATTCCAACACCGACTTGTGAATACAAATGCGGCTCTTGGTGTTCCAACCCCCTCCCACCTTGGAGCGACCAACCCGGTTGTTGGCAATCACACTCCAACTGCGCGGTCCAAATCGCATCTTGTTTCATTGAAGCTGGCTGGCCTGAAAGTCTTAAATGCTTTGAGTTCGCCAACTGGTGCCAATCCGTTTCCTCTCACTGCAACAATTACTGCCCTGGTAACCGCTGTTCTAAATCTAGCTGTACATCTCAATACCCGCCAACGGGACCCACGTTGCCCACTCCGAGCGTCTCAACTTCCGTCTACACTTGTGCCGTGAGCAGTACCAAAACGACTTCTAAAACCACCATTACCACAAGCAAGGTCACCAGTACCAGCAAATGCGTGCCACTGCCGACACAGACCAATATCTGTACACAACCACATAATCCTTACAATGGCTACTCCTCAACTTCTCCTGTTGGAAACATTGCACTCCCTTGCTTTACTTGCAACAATGCTTACAATGAATACAGCTCTGGGAAGTGTTTCAAACTCTACACTTCACCAGACAGTTCGAACTGTCCAAGCTATCCACGTGGAGGACCATCGGGGCCTTCGCAAGCTTGCAAGGACGCCTGTGATTATCAGTACAACATATGCATGGGAACTTATGCTACCGGATGCAAGAATAGAAGCGGCCCTCAATTTACGGATTCTTATACTGTCGCCAGTAACAAATGCGCAAATCAAAGAGCAGACTGCTACAAAGCAAATGCTAACGTGAACCCTCCTAGCTCTAGATGTGGCAGTTGGAATACTGGCTGGTACTAGATGCGAAGTATGATCTTGTTGGAAGGCGTGGTTACTCTTCTTTGTCAAAATTAGTAATAATTGTTAATATTTAATCCACGTGGTGGGAAGCTACAAAATATCTTAACTGTAATTTTAACTCCAAGTCTGCCATGTGTCGTGAAAGTAACTCTAGCATTTGGGGCTACAAGCCCAGGGTATCTATTGAAGAAACAAAAGTTAAGCTGCGATAGAGGAAGTCATTCACCATCACGTGTGCGTGTCGGAACGTGACCTGAAAAGCGCCTCCGTTATCTTCTGCGTCGCTTGTTTTCTCTTCATTGTCACATCATCTGTTGCGATTATACGAGCCGTTGCATCAGATTAAGATTGCCCAGCCAGATCCATTTGTAGATCGAGATCTTATTAACCAGCAAGTCGCCTCCTTCTAGCCTTTCAGATGCTTTCTCCTTTCGCATATTTCAATTCCCGTATACATAATTGGGGCGCCAAAGACTTTTCTTTCGCATCTTAGACATGTCACAATGCAACTCCATCATTTTCGACAACGCTCAATATATTTTTGGACTACTAGGATACGATTATCCAGCTTGGCGGGCCTTAGAGGCATATTGTCCTTTCGAGCGAGGCTGTTTGCACGGTACTCGGTGCCAGTACTTTTCGGCAGTTCATTACGGTCCTCACGTTATCACAGGTTCACGAGCCATTCATTCTGGAGTCGTACCTTTTGCTTACCGGATAATGCTTTCCAGCGTTCCAACCCTATGTTACCGCTTGATTTACAATCATATTAGCCGCCTGGATAAGTGTTTAGGAGCCGAGTGACAGGGTGAGGAAAAATCATTGACCTATCTGTATCGATTGATATGGATTTTACCTACCCCATACCCCACAAATTACTTGACTGCCGCCATGCAAGATCCCTCCTCCTGGGCACATGAGGAATTCTCCTAGGGTCCCCAGATTCTCGTCATCCGCTTGTCATCCACTTCCACACTCTCCATGTCAAATCGATCTTGGAAAATAAATGAGGATCTTACCATTCTTCATTTATGCCATTGTTTCCATAGGCCTCTTCAATTAGGCTGCAAAACCACACCCAAGCTGGGATATTGTCATGAGATCAAAACATTGGACAGAACTAATACGTCCTGCCGTCACGGCGTGAAAGGTTTCTCCACTGCCGAATAACCGCTCATGACTTAAAGATGTCTTCGTGTTCCCTTTTTATGTTGATACCGGGCTCATTTTTCTGATCTTACATACTTCCTCTCAGTTCTCACATCCAAAATGGCTCCAGTCTCAAGTTTTCTGTCTGCCTTGGCTATCGCCTATGGCTTCTGTGGCTCCCTCACTGCTGCCCACCCGGGTGAAGCACCAAAAGACATTAAATCTATTATGCGGGAGATGAAACGGATGTCAGAAGTTGCCGATTACCAGAGGTCTGTCATGGATAATTGCTGGGATAGTCCACATGTTCGAGAATTACAGCAAAGGGCTGCAGAACGTCGCGCGGCTATGGTGCACTCTCTTCGAGTTGAGCGGGATTTGGTTGACAGTAAGCATCAGATAGATGATATATCAGCGAAGACTGGCTCTACATTTCATTAATGGCTGCTGATGTTTTATTACAGCACCAATTCTCGACAAGCGAACACTTGCAAACTTCAAAGACTGGGCAAAAGTAAGCCATAATAAGACTGGCAGTGGGATGACTGTCGATACTCCAATTCAAACCCTCTTTGGAGCCAATGCTTCATGTATTATGACACCGGATAATGCCAACGGTCCATACTACGTCAAGGGCGAGCAAGTACGCAAGAATCTAGTCGAGAACCAGAAGGGTGTTCCAATGCACTTGGAAATGCAATTCATGGATATCAAAACGTGTAAACCAGCACCAAAGGTATTGGTCGATATCTGGTCATGCAACGCCACCGGTGTCTACTCTGGTGTCTCGGCTGCAGGCCAAGGAGGATTGAACACTTTCTGGCTCCGTGGTGCACAGATGACAGACAACGATGGAGTGGTGAACTTTGATACCCTCTTCCCAGGTCACTACAGTGGCAGAGCTACCCACGAGCACATCGTCACTCACGTCGGATCATCTCTCGCAGCAAATGGTTCTTACACCGGTGGAAAGATCAACCATCTCTCTCAACTATTCTTCGAACAACCCCTGATCACCGCAGTCGAAAAGACGGCTCCATACAACACCAACAAAATTGCACTTACTCAAAACAATGCAGATGGATACACCGGTTACGCTGCCAGCAAAGCCTACGATCCATTCCCAAACTACACATTCCTCGGTAACAAGCTCGAGCAAGGTCTCTTCGTCTGGGCGCTCGTCGGTCTCGATTTAGCTGGCGATGTCGAGAAATGGGCTACCAACACTGCTTATGTCGATGCTACCGGTGGACACAACAACCCCAAGTTCGATATGAGCATTGTTGCTACTCCACCACCAACCCATGGTAAGAGAGACGAAAATGGCGATCTGATCGAGGGCGAGGAAGAGGAGGTTGAAGAGTACGAGGTTTTGGAGGGATAGACTACCTGGTGAGAGGGCTTTAGACAACAGTGATTGGAGTTGAAAATACCTTTGTTATAATTATGCAATCAAAAATCCATCACTAAAGCTTCAATCTAAACTGTTCAACGTTGGACTGCTTTGGAATGCATACAACTCTATTCGTCGACTAGATCTGGTCTCATAATTAATCTGGTTCTGCTGACTTGGCCACGTATCGTTACAATAGTTTCTGGTTGTTCTCTTGTGTAATTCAGTTCCTAAAGACGCACTTGATCCTGTCAGCTCTCACTTGCAGTGTATGAAACGAGTAGAGCAGAGTAGTGGCTACTAGTCATACTCTACTTTACTCACACTAATTATGATTGGTTTGAATAGGTTGGTAATTCCTTTAATAAACTGGTGACTGTTTCACTGAAAATGACCACCAGTTGACTCGGAAAATTTAACCCTTTGCAACCAATCTGTGTAGCGCTAGTCCTATGCGAGTGATTCGTTGTGACAAACTATAATAGGTCCTTCTTTGATTGGATATTAAGTGGTTTTACCTGTGTCCTCTACAATAAAATTTTTACATAGAAACGTGGTCAAAGAGTTATTACCATGAAAAATTCATTAAAGCATAATACAATCATTTCGATTTTTTGATCGTCCAATTAAACCATGTACAAACATACCACAAGTGACTTCGTGTAAAGCATAAGGCCCAACCTTTACAGCCACCAAAGTGCAAAAGCCCATAATTTACTCCTCGTGACCTTTTCATATGCCCTCGCTCGTATAGTAGCAGAGCGAATAATGACAAACTATAATACAGACTGTTGGGAGAGAAAGCAATCCAGAAATTGTGATTTCAGTAAGCCAAAAGTGCCACACATATATTGTAAAGCGACTCCCTGGTATTCAAGACACAATAATCTAACAGATAAACAAGCCTATGTCGAATCTATTAAGGCTGGCCATTGACGGCAGGTGTAACAGGGAAACCCATTCTAATAGAGCCGGCGTGGTATGAGCTGATGGTTTGAAAGCCACTGTAGAGAACGAGGGTTAGTAACAGAGTTCCACAAATTTCAAGCAAACTTACCGAGTCAAGTCAAACCCTCCTTCCTCTTCGTCGGGCTCCTCAATGGCAGGAGGATCAAGCTTCGCAATGGTTGCGGTACGAGTAGGAGTAACGGCGGAGGCGCGATGGGGTGGTGGAGGGCTACTACTTGGTGGGATATCAGCGAGTCTTCCTTTTACAGGACTCGACTGAAAAGCTGCCAGTTTCATTGGCGTGACCCCGATGTCGGCGTACTTCCAGAATGGGGCAGGAGAACTTGTTGGCATATGTTGACTCGGGCGCTGCGCAGTACTAGGAGGGGCCAACCTAGGGTGTACCCGGGATGGAGCAGGTGTGACCATGGAACCGGCATCTTCTTGCAAATAAGAGGAAGACATAGTAGGCGGAGATCCAGGAGCATTATCAGACAGCCCAAAAGATGATGCCGCAGGCCTTCGATGACGGGGTAAGGGGCTGCCGTCTCCGGGAATGTTATCTTGCATTGCAGGCCCTCGGCGATCAGGCGTGAATTGAGGAACATTGGACATGAAGGATCTCGCGAGGGGCGATTTAGATCTTGGAGAGTGTCGTTTCGGCTTAACCATGGAGCTCGACTGGTCATCTTTTGTAACACGCGTAATGGAGTTTTGATTTGCGGGAGAATTTGGTGCCGAAGATCCTCTGTGGCCACCCCTTCCGCCTTTCCATGCGTTCCTAACCATTTCTTCCCTACATTCGGGTACGATGCACCATTTCATCCCTTTACCTGGCTCGTCAGTTGAACGCGCAATCTTGATGAATGCTTTGTTCAGAGAGAGATTATGTCGGATGGAGTTCTAGCAAATGTCAGTGTCGAACCCTCAACGTTATCCGCTCTTCTCGCTTTACTTACTTGCCAGCCACCGGCATTTTGGTGTCGGTAATATGAATATGAATCTTGGATGTAGGAATAGATACCACTCAGATTCAACTGCTCAGTCTCAGTGGAAAGTATTGCTTGCGCAATCATTTGTGCATAGCTGAAGGATGGCTTTTGCGTGTGATGCTTCTCGAGGCTCAAGTCCACATTTTCAGAGTTCATGACGGCACCGCCAGGATATGATGATTTCCCATTGGCATAATCAGCCTTAGAACGAGCACTGAGGGGTGTTCCCGGACGCTGATAATTCGGTGGAGCAGGAGCAATTGGTAGAGGGCCCGAACCAATGTGACCACGAGGGTTACCAGATGCAGTCTGAGACGACGCCGGTGCCTCCGTCTCATCCCCGTTATCTTCTTCCGGCCCTTGAATGAGTCCAGCTCTCAGAAGATATTTATTGTCAACATGGAGACTTCTCTCCCGTACTGGTAAGACAAACATCATCTCAATGCCAGCAATCTCGATCACATGCCCACTGACTAGAGGGATTTTCTCTCCTTTTCGGCGCGGTTTATCATTGACCTTGATCCCATTTCTGCCCTGGACATGAACATTCCATAGCTCGGTATTTGAGTCAAAGAAGATTTCTGCGTGAAGTCGAGATACCATCTTGCTTGGACCCAAATCAATGTGCACACCTTCGGCCATTCCCGTACCATCTGGCCTGACCATACGGGTCGCAGCGGGAGCGCCTTCTGGTGGACGTCCAATAACGTTGTTCAAGTTCTTCACATAAAAGGTCCAATCCTTTCCGGCTAGCTTCGCGTAAGCTTGAACGCCTTCCTTATTGTGCTTCTCGTAGAGGGCGTTGGCATGATCTTGACAGGCCTGAACCGGGTGGTCTGGTAGCTGTAAGTGAGGCACGATCGTGGCCACCAATTCGTCATCGCTCAGAGCGATACCGTCGCGATCGAGGGGGAGTCTTGCTGGTTCGGGGGCCGCGGACTCCAATTCTGTTTCTAGCTCAATCTTTGATAGTCAGCACACCTCAGCGAAGAGGCAAACATCGATACGAACCTTTTCCTTCTTTCGTCTCTTGGTTGGGCGCGAGGGGGATGAATCGGGGACGTCGCCGTCATGGTTCACTATTTCTTTTCGGGCTCTGTTCGAGCGCTTCGTCGACGGTGGCATAGCTGGTCGCGGAGGCTATCACCGAAGCGACACGGATGAATGCGAAGGGGATTTGCTTCTAAATCAACCACCCGGAGTCAGCGAGCTATCAGGCTGGTTTGCGCAATTGCGAGGAGGGTTGTGAGATGTGGGGAAAGATCATGTTGCGACACGATGCCATGGACTCGTCTTGCGGTAATAACTCAGGGTGCAGGAAGACGCTTTCTACATACCCGCTCGATAAATGCGATCAAGATTGTGTGTTTCTTGCACCGCGATCGTTAGATTTGTCTGCGGGTGCTGCAGTTGGGTTTGTGTCGTCGTTGAAATTCCTCGGTCACGCGCGGTCGCGTCGCCGTATTTACAATGGCTTTGTTGCCTTTGCGCGCAGTTGCGTACGGAGATGTCGGTGGAGGGGAAACGGTCGGTAACAATGGTCGAAGACGTGCGAGCAGAGATATCCAGATGAGAGAAGGGAAGACGGAGGGGAGATGTGCTTTTGTACGGCCGGTTCGAGTCTTTTTTTTGAAGGTGGTCGTGGGGCAAGAGCCTGCGTGTAATCCATCTGCTCAATCGCGCTTCTCATTGGCTCAAGACACAGTGAAGTCAATAACCCGTTAAGCGGCGCCCCACCAAGCTACCCCCTGGACGAATCGCCCCTCGACTCCTAGGAGCCCGGCCTCGACCCAAAGGTCAAAAGCTTCAAAAGCTTCAACACCATGACGAAAGAATTCAACTGTCTCGAGTGCGCGACCATTGTTTACCACAATGATCTAAAATCATACGCAGAATTACCACGTCATTTCCACACTTGGATTTTGTTTCTCATCGCGATCACTCATGTAGTCGAAGCTATTGACTGGCTGCATTTTGAACGAAGGATATCTCGCCGAGAATGTAGTGGTTAGCAAGTCCCAGGCACACCTTAGAATTGGATAAAATCTACTTTGGCGTGTCCTACACTATCCAACTAGTCAGCCAGTAGTCGCTTGGTATAGCCTCTAATCTCGTTCCTTTGGAAGATGGTGATTGTCTTCGCCAGTGAATTCAGTCATAAGCTCGACTCGCGGGTCTACAATTCTGCCTTACACCTTACTCACAGCGGCTAGAAGAGCTCAGTGGTATATCATCCATCACAGAGTACCAAGCATGCATTCTTCACTGCCTACGGATACAATGAACATGTGTCGATTAGTCGCAACTGCACACCTGGTTGAAATTTCTACTGAGAACCAAGAGAGTTGCATCTTGAGTCCAGAATCACACAGCTGACGAATCCACACGACCACCTGGGCAAACAATGATATCTCTACTTGGCTTTGCCTGAGGTCAGATACGAGTGGTATGCACAGGAGGCTCGGTCCGCTGGAGTGAGATGTATTCTCACAGGGCGGGCAGTAGCAGAACCAACCACTTCGATATCGATGCGCCAGTTGTCCACATATCTCTATGCGCGAGCGGCACCGCATCCGATATAGTCGTTTGTTTGACTCTGGCGCTTAGGCTGGTATAACTCGATGATGTTCGTTGGTTGGTGGCGTCTAATGCTGCAGGGTGTATCACGTTGGTCCGTTTCTACGCCGATACACCCCCAACCAGAACTCAAGGCTGTGATAGTATCAATACTCTCTTTGCGCTGTCATCGTCTGATAAGATGGTTTATCCGTCCTCGTCAGAATGTTTCTGCCTCTCTTTGGACGGTCTATCACCGAGGTTCTTGTCAATGGAACTGAACTGTACGCCTCGGGCTGTGTTTGATCTGTATCCATGGGACGGAAAACATAATTCGGCCTGTAAAAGGGAGCATCCGCTTTTTTCGCCATTCAAATATGCCTGCTAGCATATCATCTCAACTTTATCCTCAGGGTTGAGCAGTATAGTCGAGATCGGTGAGCTCGCCAATTGAATGGCTCTTTCTTCCCTGCCAATGACATGCCACCTGAGCTCCCGTATTTAAAGGCGACTGAGGGGACCGGTGCTTCTCCATACATACCCCATGAGGGAGGTCTGGAACTTGGTGGTCGACTACATAGGTACCTAGACATCCTCCTTCTGAACATCTTCAAAGATAGGTCAGAATACGGGAAGAGATCTCAGATATGCATGCAAACCCCATTGCTGCCCGATGATTGCAGTAGCTATAGCATTCAATGATATTAGTTAGAAGTTGGAGTTGCCGCTCAACGATTTCGTCATTAGATGTGAGTTACTGCATTCCTTTTGCCGTTTTGTTACCCATCAACGCTAATGCGAACATGTACAATGTTGCTGAGATATCAGTAGGTAGCAATCTGATGCATCGGATCCATGAACAGAAAATTACGAGGTCAGTAGCAAGAACTCTTGATCGGCGTAATCTGTCCGTCTATAAAATCAAACTAAGCAGAAAGCACAACTAGCAGAAAAGTCCGGGTTGAGATGAGCAACGTGACCGCTTTTTCGGCACGAATTCCTGAGACCGGCATCCCGACAATCCGGATATGTCAACGGACTGAAGCCTTTCTTTTCCAAATATAACGGAAGACCTGCTGATCATTGTTATCCTAGCTAGTGACTGAACTCAACAAATTTGATTGGAGAGGCGACTTCTGCGTTTGAGCGGTGTCATATGCACTTTATGCTAGCGCATCTTAAGGCAGAGCTGCATCTGCATTTGCATCTGCGTCTGCAACTTCAGCTTGTTGAGATCTAGGTATGCAGGAATAGCGGACAGTATTTAGCCATTGGGGCTCTTTCTTTGATACCTACCTAAGCGAGGTTGAGGTGCAGGCGAATCTTCACTTGAACGTCCTATCTGGGTACCAGTGCTACCTGTAGACCCGAAAGACGATGCCTTATATGTTCACACTTCCAATGAAAAGCGCTCGTGAGGGAAAGCAATTCTGAGCAAAACGCCCATAACTGCAATATGCTGAATACAGCGAGAAGCCATGGCAAATCTACAGCAACAAGTCGAAGTCGCCGAAGACTGGTCTAACATAGTGATCGATACAAGTGCTGCACGCCTAGATGGGAAGAATAAGGTTAAAAGCCAAGTACCCGATCGCTGGATTAATGGTATCAGAAACCGTTCGTAGTACGATCGGGAGAGCGAAGTGACTACTGACTGATCACAAAACTTTCAGGTCCGGTTCGATAAAAGGGGGGGCATGGAATGTTAAGCGATGTGGTCCCGAACTCGGTCGGCAAGCCGACGCACAAGGAGGTGTGGTGCCGAGAAAAATATCCTGGCGTGACGATAATCCACGGACTGACAATCTCATGCTGCCGATGCAAAGCTTCTCTCCTTGTGGCCTAGGAACGTTTCAATAATGGTAGGTTGTCAATAATGGCGCACAAACGGTATGATAGACCTTAACCGAACGCCTTTTCCTCGCCGCCGTCGAGTAGAATAAAACTGTAAATAGCCGTCGAGTGCATCCATCAGGAAGACGGTATCCATGACATATGGACCAAGAGAAATGGCCTAACCAGCGGATAACCCCCATTCCTGGTTGCCTTGGCCGTTCGCTATTGGTCTCCCCTCCATCTGTCACCTCTTCAGCTAAACCTCCACACTTGTTCGGCTCGACCGCATGCTGGATGTAGACCAGTATGCGTGTGACTCAAATTGGGCGACAACAGGAGAGATCAGAGTCCGGTTCAACAGCGGCGCAACTACGTGGAAAAAAGAGTAACACAACTCTTGCCATCTCGTCTGTCATCGTTGTCCAAGTCAAGCTGAATTCGAGAGAAATGCTTATTAAAATTGTATGATCATCGAGTGGGGTTTGGAGTCCTTGAACACAATGTAGAGTTGCGGAAAGAGGATCAAGTGAGAATGGACCGGTGGTATCAGAACGTAGCCGGCAGCGACATGTACACTGCTCAGTTGCATTGTGGTAACTCTTCGCGCAGCTCACGACTTGTACCATCCGGCAATCGTTTCTTCTACGTTAATAAATCATAGAAATATGCAAGAATAGCATTCATACACTTTGAATGTTACATGAACCAGATTCCTATGGCCGGACGGCAAAGATCCCCACTTCAAATTTTCTGGGATATTTCCCTTTCGCTCTTACCTTGGCTGGTTAGCTTGATGATAAAGAGTCGAGATGGATCCGCTTCGAGTAACCTCCCTCCCAGTCCTAGTCCCCCACTCAAGCCTCAAGAAACCCGTCCGTATTTCCCCACCCCAAGCAATTCCACTACTCCGCACCTATGTCTACTAGCAATTCTTTACTCCGTACTTTATGTCTACAACGACTCAACCCTAGTAATTTCGATGCACGATCATGACCAAGGAACACTACACCGCTGGCAGCACCACGGTCCATCACCCCCTTGTCTCTCTGTTTTGCATCTCTACGGACCGAACCGAGTCTCTTAAGAGGAACCGGTAGGTATTCTTAGTGCAGTCTGTAGGCGGCAACTTCTAATTTTTACTATATAGTAAGCCATTTTCCAAGAATCATTTCGCTAAATTGAACTGTTAAGTCAACATTCCAGTTCAAGGAAACACCTCCTCAATACATCATCAGCTTCTTCTGACCTAATAGCCTCGGTGCTTCGGATTGTCTCTTTCAAGCTTTTGCGGATATAGATTTCTTCGTTCAAAAACTATCCCACTCTTACAAGATATACTTTCCTACACTGTCACCCTTCAGCTACCCTATTTCACGACATCATGGCTCCAACCGCAATCATAGAACCATTGCTCTTCAATTCCGAAACTGACAATTGTTCTATGAAGAAAGAAGTGTTTGGGAATGGCATCACCAACATCCATGTCAATGGCAAAGACATTTCTGTTGCCGATACGCCGAACGGATTTCAAATGGAGCGGCATATGAAAAGGGAATTTCCGGTTGTGGTCGCGGGGAAAGGTAACTACTTGCATCTTTCTGACGGCCGCAAAATACTCGACGCAACGAGCGGGGCTGCTGTCTCTTGTCTTGGTCATGGCGACCAGAGAGTGATCGATGCCATTACCCGTCAGCTTACCTCCGGTACTCCATATCTCTGCTCTTCTTATTGGAGCAGTGATGTGGCGCAAGAACTTTGCAAAGAACTGATCGCTGGAACGGACAAAAAGATGAGTAGAGTATATTTGAGCGGTTCAGGTCAGTCAGAACATGGGAAACACTCCAGTGTTGTCGAGCAATAGCTGACCGAATACAGGTTCCGAAGCCATGGAAGCAGCTCTCAAGCTGTCAAGGCAATACTTCTTCGAAAAAGATAAAGCCTCCCCACGAGTCAATTTCATTGCACGTGAGGGATCTTATCATGGCAATACTATCGGGGCTTTAGGAGTGTCTGGTCATCTTGCCCGTCGAGCTCCATATGAACCTTTTCTCATGAACGTCCACCAAGTGTCGGCATGTTATGCATACAGACAACGCCATGATGGAGAGTCCGACGAGTCTTTCGTTGCCAGAAAGGCTGATGAACTTGAAGCGAAATTTCAGGAGCTTGGCCCAGAGACGGTCATTGCTTTCATCTGTGAACCAGTAGTAGGGGCTGCACTTGGATGTGTACCATACGTGCCAGGATATCTCAGAGCCATGAGAGAAGTCTGTCATAGACATGGTGCTCTTTTGATTCTAGACGAGGTCATGAGCGGGATGGGCCGCTGTGGCACCTTGCATGTGTGGCAAGATGAAGGCATAGCGCCCGATCTACAAACAATCGCTAAAGGGCTCGGTGGTGGATATCAACCTATAGCTGCTGTTCTTATTTCAGAGAAGGTCATGAAAGCTCTTTATAATGGAAGTGGAGCATTCGTTCACGGCCAGACCTATCAGGGCATGCCCGTTCAAGCCGCTGCTGCACTTGAAGTTCAAAGAATCAATCGCAAGGACAACCTGATCGAAAACGTGCGTGTCCAGGGAGCACTTCTGGAAAAGACACTCAAAGAGCTTCTAGGTGATCACCCAAATGTGGGCGATATTCGAGGCAAGGGTCTATTCTGGGGTCTTGAATTTGTCAGAGACAAGGCGACAAAAGAGCCTTTCGATCCCAAGCTACAGGTTGCACAGCAGGTACACGATACGGCGATCTCAGAACCATTTAATATGACCATGTATCCCGGTACTGGTACCATGGACGGTGTGAGAGGTGATCACATAATCCTGGCTCCTACATATATCAGTACTGCGGAAGATATCAAACATATAGCTAACACGGCAGCGGCGGCTGTCAATCAAGTCTTCGCCAAGCTCTCTGCAGCATCCTAACAGGTTCATGCAGAGATGGTTGCAGTACTGGACGATTAGATGAACGGTCTGGGGTTTTCTTTTGAGAGGTGCATACCGAAAAGCGTGACGGGCATCTGGACAAAGTGACAAAATGACAAAACGAGACACCGAGGAAGACTCGAAAATCAGCATCCAGATCGACTAATATGAGCTCTCTCTAGACCTGCTTAAAAGGGAACGATCACTTTCGGTCTTCGGAGAAAATTGTTTTCAAAGTTCTGGCTCTGTCGTTTACGGACACCCACATCACACACCTACATGCTCATGCGTTCCGGGGCTCAGTTAGCCAAAACCATGAACACGCTCCAGAAGGCGGTCGTTTGCATTCAGGAAATCCAGATTTTGGTCTATTAAATAGAGAGTTGCGGGTTTGGATAAGGTTGGATCTGTCCTGGAAATATACGAAATACATAAATCGTTATAATATCATTATGTCGAAGCAAATTAAGCGAGAATTCTATACCAACATGTGAGCGTGAAGTCAGCACCTTAACATACTAAGAAAATTTGTACTGCTTCGAATATTTGTCGTATATGTCATTTATCTTCCCCTCCACTTCACCGGACAGTTTAATACTTGATTTTCGGACGTTCTCCATCTTGAAAATGATTTACCACCAGTTGCAGTGCCCACAAGCTGTGACTCTATAAGTCTAAGCAGAGTACACTAAACATATCCAACCAGCAGGCATAAGCTTTCAAGAGCAACACGCTCGGAGAAAAACCTATCATCCGCGGGTACAGCCGCAAAGGTCTGGCTTTCAGTAGCACGTAGTTCGAATCTGGTATTACACCACAGGTCTTTCGGCGTCGTAGTACTTCAAGAGACCGCAAACCAGTTGCCACAACATCGGCCTACTAGTCCGCACTGCAAGCTCTACTTCTTTCTTACGCGGAGGCCACGTTCGGCGTCTAGCCCGTATGATGGCCGATACTATGCCTGAAACTCTCAATGAAGTAAATGTCACTTTACTGGAGGATGCTCAAGTCAAATACAAGGTAAATTATGAGAGAGGATTGCTTTTTATAGTACACAGCTTCGTCACCTGCCTGGTCGACCCCAAGATAAATATACACGTCGTCCTTGCAATAAGCCCAGCAATGCCTATGTGAAAAGGAAAACAAAATCCGACAACAAAGCGGGATTGAGTTTTTCCTTCATGTACACCGAAATACATATCGCTACATGTACATAACGCATATCCCACAGTTACTCTTACAGGGGAGGGGCTAAAATAGCAAAACAGTAATAGGCCCAGAACACCGAGGAAAATGCAGTACTACCAAACAGCAAAAGAACGATGATCATGCAGAGTCACTCTGCAGGATCCACGTCGTCGCGAGAACCGGGTAGATGGATTAATACATGTTGGAAATCTGAGAAAATAACCCCGAAGGTGGGATCGTACGGGGAGAGGGGTTTTCGGTTTGTGCTTTTTGTACTCCGCGAAATGCTGCCTCCTTTCCAAACCAATGTGCACCGATGACAATTGCGCATACCCAAATCCACTACAATCGCTCTGTATTTTTACACGCTCGCTGAAAGACTTTGAAGGAATTCTAAGCCGAAGTAGAATTGCCTCGTCTCTTCGGGTTGCGAGCGGTTCGCTTTTTCGATTTTGCCTTTGCATCAGTACCTTCGATGAATCGAACGAGTTCATCGATAGTTCGGGAATCGAGTCCTCGGGCGTTAGCCGGGTCACGGCCCGATGCTGCTTGAGCTGTCTGCCCGACAGGCGGTTGTGGGTGTGTTTGCCCAAGTGTTACACGAGGTGAGACTCTGAAACCGATACGCTGCTGTCTGGCTTGTACATCTTTAGCATGCTTGGCGAGAGCAACAGCGTTGTGGGTTAGCTGTTCGAGCCAGTTCTCGGCCTCCTTAGTGTTCTTGTCCTCGGGACCAAGCTCACTAAGGAAAATATTATAGGATTCTCGCATCCGGTTGACGGATGGCTTAGCTTCCTGTTCCAATGCGAGTGCTTGTGCCAGTTGGAAGAGTAGAGTTGCGCAATTGATTGAGTTCTTGCCGTACACATCCTCACAAATTTTAAGAGATGCCTCGAACCATATGCGGGACTGGTGATATTCCTTGATATTTTGAAGCATGACTGCGGCGTTGTTGAGCGTTGTAATAGAATCCGGGTGATTAGGACCATAGATGACCTTCCACAGCTCTAGAGCATGCTTTACGTAGCTCAACGCAAGCTTAGACTCGCCACTACCGTGGCAGAAAAGTCCCAGGTTGAGGTAGCTGAGCAACGTCTCAGCGTTGTCCACACCAAGGGTTCTCTCTGAGACGATTACTGCTTTGCGGGCAAGTTCGACCGCAGCGTCTTTCTCATCCAATTGATAGTACATCATAGACAGTTGGTTGTAGACTCGAGCCACCTCGGGATGAATAATACCGTAGATCTGCTCGTGCAGGGAAAGAGACTCAAGGAGCAGTTCTTGGCCTAATTTCTTTTGTCCTTGCAGTATGGATATGCGACCCGCTTCAAGTGCTTCCTCGGCGAGAGAACTTCGTGGGGAAGCTTCCTTTATGACTGGAACCACGTTTTGGATGTCTTCTGGAACAAATGTATGTGGTGCACGGGTAGCGGCGACGGCTGCAGGAGACCCGTCACGAGTCTTCTTTTTCTTTTTGTTGCTGGTGCTGTGACCGTTTGCACCATTTTCTTTGGGACTTGACCCATTCGTAGCAGGCACAGCCTGGTCCACGGGCTTCTGGTCTGCCGAGAATCGATACTCTTTCAACTCAACCTGGAGTCCAAGTTTCAAGGATACTTCGCGAAGTAACTGTACGGGCTTAATGTTGGACGCCCACGAAGGATCAACGGTGTATTGATAACGTCGGAGAACCTGGTTCGCTATTTCCGCTCGCAAGCTTCCGGGTGTCACTTTTTCAAACGCCAGATCGGCATCCGAATACAAGGAAGCTAGGCTTGCATCAATGTCAGCCGTTGGTTTTGGGTTTAATCCAGCCCCAAGGAGACAATTGAGGAGGTGCGCAATGCAGGATCCTGTCAACGGTATGGGTAGATACCGCAAGTACTTTCCTGCAACGTGCTTGAAAGCTCTGGATACCATTTCCTGAATTGCGAGGCTGCGGACGGATTCCAATCGCTTACCATCAGCAAGCTCAGCGACCTTTCCGATGTATCTAATGTTGATTCCACGCTTGTGCAATAGGCGGCTAAAGGATTGACCGTCCATTGGATAGCCAACATCGCCCTCCTTTAGATCATGGATGAGCTCGGGAAGAACGGTCTCTCGGAGGAATTTGCAGGCAAGTTTGACTTCTTCCTCGTCCTTCTCCATCTCCGCCTTTTCTTCATCTGTCTGAGGAGTCTGACCACTGAAAGCATCAGGATTCAATCGGAAATCAAAATCAGAGACATCAATCCTATCCTTGTTTTCCTCCACAGGTTTTGTGGTCTCATTTTCTGCTACTTCGGCCCCTTCAGTCTCATCTTTGGACTCTGTAGCTTCTGGTGTTGTCTCGGAACCATTCTCGATGTTTTTCGTTGTATCCGAGGCGGATTTGTGGGCTTGGCGCTTCGAGTCAACCTGTACATTGACCCAATCCCGCAACTTGACTTTCCAGTAGGCGTCTATCAGTTCAGGCCTGAGCACTGTCATTCTATGAGGATAGGCTCCTTCCTCGTTGTTCGATTCGGGACTAGAGATGGCTGTGCCGAATTCTTCCATCCAAGAAATGTCCAGTGGGGTAATTCTGTATAGATCCAGAACATACTTCCTTCCATCCGTGCCCAAGAGCCCCTTTGTCTCAACACTTCCTTCGAGCTCATGACGCTTTCCGTCCTTGTCCCAGACAGCATGCTTCTTGACCCGTAAGGATTTGGACAATTTTTCAAACGCAGGAACGAATTGCTCATTGTCTGCCACAACATCCTTGCCATCGACCGCCCCGTAATCAATCTGGTTTTCTCCAGGGTCACGCTGTTTGAAGATACCAGGGACAATACTCTGGCCGACAATACGCTTACCAAGGTAGTCCACCACCACAGTCCCAGGAGTGAATAAGCCGTCGATATCCAACTGGTTGACCATACGAACACCCATCACGTCTTTGCCGGTAGCCACTCTAGCAGCTTCATCACCACCCTCAGAAGCAAAAGTACCGACTCCATCGGCACCAAAAGAGAAAAACACATTGTGGTAAACAAATATCTGAGCATCACGGCCTTCAGTGGGGTTTAGTGGTGCAACTTCGCCTCGAGCGACTAGAACTGCGCCGCGGGCTGCGGTATCGTTATAGTCCGCAAAGAGCTTGGAAGTGAGACGTTCACGGAAGACGCGATCGTGAACGTTATCCTTTGGAAGTTCGCGGGTCGATTGAAACTCTTCATTCCAATCACGAAGAGTGTCGGCATTTTCAATGCCGGCAATGAGATACGGCTCCTGGGTTCGAGTTATGTCACTCTGGTGGTTCACGAGAGGCGATGATGTGCTGGGCACGATCCATGGACTAGCTGGAACAGCATTCGTGATTTGGAAAGTCGCCAGAGGCTCTTTGTTGTTCCCCGAATCAAGGAGAGCATCAAACGAAGTTTGAAAAGAGCCAGATAGCTCACCAATCAATGTCAGGAGAGAATGCGCAGAGTGCGCTTTTGGGGCTTGGCGAGGAGCTGGGTCGAATTTCGCATTCGATGATTTGTTGACATAGAAGCCAGAGACGTGGGATGTGATGTGATGTTGCTCTCCCTCGTTGGTGGTCAGAAGGAGGTAGAGGAGGTGACCTTTTTGTCTAAGATGATACGGAGGAGGATTCCAGGGTGAAACTGAAATCGACTTTATGGTTTTGGGTAGAGGCTCCTGGGTCGCAGGGAGCAGACTCGTCAATTTGCCAGGTGCTTCGAAGTCATATCCAGCGACATCTGAAGCCTCGTCCGAAGTGGTGGCTTCGGACTCCTTCGCAGCTGCGTTTACGGAATCGAATAATGAGGCACCCGACAGGATTCCATGCAAGGTATCAGTTCGGTCGCCAGCAGCTCCAATGATTTCCCTAATTCTCACAACATGCAATCTAGCCTCCTTCTCAGTGTATGGATCTTGGATCAGAGTAAGTTTTGGGTCCGCAACTAGACCATCAACCTCGGAAAGTTGTATAAAGTCGTTGATTCGTTTGCCTTGATGTTCGAGGTGGAAACAAGAGTACTGAAAGGTGCCGGGGAGCTCAATAATGGATTGCCGAACGTCGTGGATAGCCTCTTGCGAAGAGACCTAAATACGCCAGTCAGAGCTATTAATGACACACGATTGGAGGCATGTTAACCATAATCTTAACTTGTTTGGGCTCATAGGGTAGAGTAACATTCAGCTCAAAGACAGTTTCACCGTTTTGCTCTCCATCTGCGGCTTCCATTTCAGCAGCGGTTGGCGCATCTCCGTTTGCAGACTGTTCGGCATTTTCGGAGCCATTGACTTGGACTTCTGCACGCCAGAGCTGTTAACCATTTGGCCCATTGCTCGAGAGTTGAGATACTTAAACCCCATTGCCAACATACCGGAAGAATGGTTGTCCTCTTCAGAAGCAGCCATGGCGAGAAAATAGATTAAACAAGGACAGGTCGAAAGGTAAACCACAGGACGAAGAACAACAAGATCAAGACAGTATTAGCGGACGAAAAGGAGTGCGAAGGCGTATGTTAGAATATTCGCAATAAAATACAGTGAAAGAAAGGGGCAGTTTGGGAGAGCGCAAGAACAATGCCTCTGTGCTTGTAGGGATCATGAATTTTGACTCTGACGATTTTTTTGGAGCTGTCCCGGCTTCCGCTCCGAAACATCCCGGGATCATGGCGAGCGAATGAGAACCTCATCATTTGTTTACTTTGCCCCACTATCGAATGTCAACATCAACACCAGACTCATGTTCAGGAACAAAAGTATTTCAATAATTGCATAACATTATTTGCATTTTGTTTGCATTCTTGGCAAGGGAACTCGACAGTATCCTCAGTATCTGTCGATTTTCATTCCTGTATTTTTTGGTCATACATAAACCATAATACAAGTATGGAGTACAGCACAAATAACGAGTAAGTTGCAGATGAACGTGCTTTATCACAACTAATTAGACTTAGGCATTGCAATACGGAAATTTTTATAAATGGCTCTGCGATTCCTCTCATCAGCTCTTCCCCAATCCGGAGACGAGAAACCCAAGCAAACAATAAAGCATGCGCCGAGCAGGAGAAAGAATGGACGACAGCGAGATGCCACCGATTGCTACGGGCATTGACATCTAGGGTAGCAATTTTAAAGAAAGAGCTTTTGGTCATCTCTGGTACTTCGAAAACTCTACCCTCTACGTCTGATACAGACAAGAAGATTAAACCTCGAGCAAAGACGAGTTACCCCAACGACGATACGGACTGGAACCAGGGAAAGAAGAAAGTTAGGCGCACTTACTCTGGTCGCTTGGGACCAAAATCAGGAATCAAAGAGGCCCCCAAAACACCACGCGCTCGTGGAGGAACGAAGAGGAAGTGCGTTCCGGGGGAAATCTTAGTGCCTACACCAATTCTTACTCGGGCAAGGGGTACGAATCCGGCGGATACGCAAGAGCTTCTATCAGCAGATTCCAAAGGAAGGGAAAGCAAAAACGCAGCAAGAGTTTCTTCCAGTCGTGGAGATAAAGACCTTTTGGTGGACGAATCGATAAAGGATCTCAGAAAAGCCCATGGATTCCATCGAATTGGTACTTATGACGGAATTTATAACGGATTGGAGACATTGTTGACATCTACAAACCAAGGAAGGCCGAGAATGCGGAAGGGCGCTGGGTCATTGATGTCTATGTGCCTAAAGCTAGTCCCTAGATACATCGAACAAGAACAGGCGACAGCGCTAGCATATGAGGAAGAGACAGGCACGAAATCCGCTATCAACCCTCGCGATGTATCCATGGAAATCTACGATGACTTGGAGCAATTTGGATCTGTAGGCCATGGTTGGAGGCCGTTGAGAGTTATAGTTCGAGCACATGGAATAAAGGTTCTTCAAGATGCGATAGCCGGTGGGCTGTTGGATATTCTATTCTGTGGAGTACTGGTAAATCTTTGCATTCAAAATGCGGCCCATGAGGAAGCTGCATCCTTGATAACACCCTTGCTTTCTCTCAGTCGCTTTGCGGCTCCAAAGTCCTTATACGATCCGCTCCCTACCGCGTTGACAATCTTGTGGAATTTTGCCAATGACACAGCAAATTTCTCATTTCTATATGAACAGCTTGCGAACATGCTCTTACAGGATCTTCTTCCTCTTGGGTGGCTTGCCACCAGAGAGTTTCGGGTTATTTGGTCAGGAGTCATGCAAAGGTTACCTCCTAGTGGCGACGATTCTGGAGTGCTTTCATTTTTGGAAGCTGTTGTTCCAGCGCTGGCTGGAATCGCCTACTCGAGCAACAGACTTGCTGGCAACTTTGCAGCAGCCGTTGACTCGACTTATTCCAGCCTTTTGACTACATTATTGTCCGTCACAATCCTTAGTAGCGAAAAAGTCAGCCCGCTAGATTCTGCCGATCAGGATATTCAAAGTGATGGATATAAACATATTGGTTCGTTGTTGGAAAATTCAATAATGCGGTATGACTTTTTATATCAAGGAGGAGATAAACTTCTCTTACTGCTGGCAACGACTTTTTTTGCTAAAACGCAGGAGCGCCATGGAATGGATTTGGACCATTCGAGCGAAGCCCTTAAGTTCAGGTTGCAAGATTGCCTCGCTGCTTGTGGTGATGAAGATGCAATTTTGGATGATCTTGCTGTGTTCATTTGCTCAGTGGCAAACTGCTGCGGCCGAGCAGCTTCGGGGAGGGGCTTCGAGTATTTGAAACTCCTTCACGCTTCCCTCGAGGAGTGTAGTGGCAATTCTTGCTCCGCCCACGCATTTCAAGAAATAATCGTCAAAAGCGCATTCACTTTCGCTAATGATACACCCGAGCGGGAGCAATTGAAGTACGCCTCTGCTCTGGAGGCAAAATACTTCAACAAAGTCGACAGTGACCGTTTACACTCCGCTGTCAAGAAGCCAAAGGCTGTGAGATCTGGATTCCGTTGGGAAGATGGCATTGGCGAATGGGTGACAGGCACTCCTGTGATTCGTCGCAATGGATCTCAAACTATCAACACTGAGCCCATGTCGCCACTACCAGCGACACGTCTTTCCCACAGCCCACTTCCACAATCATGCTTAGGAGGCGGAAATCAGAACCCTACGGCAGCCACAGAAGGATGGCTTAAAAGCTCTCTTCTTGCGAAGAAGGGCCAAGCAGTGTCACGAATTGTCCAAATGTCGGAAAGCTCTCGATCAACTGCAAGCGAAGCAAATGAGGTTAACGACAGCACCGATATGTTGCCCAGTGACAGGGAGGACTTAGCTGCCGAGGATCCCGAAGATTCGTTCTGTTCCAGCGTGCCATCACTCATCTGGGACGCCAGCGAAACCCCGCCGGTAAGAAAGTCCAGAACCAGAAAGAGGAAATGCCGAAACGATGACAACGGAGAGGAACATTCAATATTCTGTATGGCCAGTCCCTTTACCTCTGTACCTTTGTCTCAGAAACTCGTTGCCTCTATGAAAGCAGATCCACAGGCCAGCAAGGCTACGAGAGCGCAGCGTACGTTATCGAATGCTAGTCAAACATGTCAGATCGTTGATGACAGTGAAGACGAACTCAGCCTCCTTTCAGAATCACGATCTCAACATGTCTCTTCAAGCCGTAGTGTTTTGTTTACTGGCGTGAGTCGGTGTCAAGTCAAGAGAAGACGAACGTCGAAGCGCCAAATTCAATCATTGAGTAAAGACGATGGGTGGTCGGAGGATGAATTATGTATTTGATACCCATATGTTCAACTAGTTTAAGGCAATATTAGAACAATGTAGTTTTTATCATCATGATCATATCCACAGTCCATTGGCTCACTAAATGGTTACATTTGTGAGTTGTAGCTGGACTTCATGAAGGGTTGTTGTACTCCGCCTACACCAAACTCCCATTTCTGATAAGATATCGTCGAAACAGATCATTGTCTGATCGTCCACCACATGCCAAGCACTTGACGACATCTCTCCTAATAAAACGGCATCGTTCGTGTTTGCATCACATCTTGATGGCACCGTAGAACGAGATTCGTCAACAGTACGTGACAGAATTGCGGAGCTGTTTCTTCGTCGGCTCAGCGGCTGTGTCAAGGGCAATTGATGCTGGGCACAGACGGAGCGTTGGTAGATCAGTGGATGATAAGATAACGAGTGGTTTGGAGGGAAAGATCACGCGGGTTATGGTCTTGTGTTTGGGAGTTTGGATCGAGAGTGGTTCTGGTGGTGGATGTTGTTAATACTGCACAACTTGCTAATAGGAACTTGAGTTCAGGTCGATGTGTTTTCTACGTACCCTTTATCCTCCGAAATTCAAAACATAAACATGTTTTATTGTCTTTCTATTTCGTCATCATTTGCGAAAAGGGAGGAAGCAGGAAGAAGGAAAAGGGTCATGTCCGGCCCAAGATTGCTCGGGGGTTCATATAAATTGCAGATTTTCTGGGGTTGATAAATCCCCGCAGGTGGTAATTTCGCAACGTTTCCTAGGAATTTCTAGACACGGATGCAACCCCACGGAGAGATACGCAGAGAGAGATAAGTCGTGGATTTGCTATTCTGTGAAGCCATAACAGGATAGCTGTAGAGACTCGAGATTCCTCTTCTGAAGTCAACGCGTAAGCAAGTTTCCAGAGGTTCGCGAGAGACGTCAGCGTTACGCTGAGATGGGATGGTAAACATTATTTCTGGTGTCAGTGACTCAGTGAGCAATTCGTCATATTCAAGTCTCAACCTCACTTCATGATTGACATGTTTCGCTTGGTGACAGTGGACGAGACGAATTCATGGGACGACCACTACCAAACGAACAATTGACAGTTTTACGCACGCACTTCGCAAAAACTCGTCATCAGGTCGTTTCTTGAGTTGAGAATACCATTTTCTGGTTGGTGAGAAGGCTTTTATGAAGCTGCTTGTGTTGGAAGAATTCTGGGCCCAGATTTGTTCTGCTTTCCACATTTGGTGGACGGTCGTTTCAGTTCCTGACCCGTTCCTGCAGAGACAGGGGAGCATTTTCGCATGTGAAGCGAGGAAGTCGATTGTGGCGTTTGAGGGTTTGATTGGCTAAGTAGAAGGAGGTTTTATACCAGCAAGGAAAGACCAATAGAGAAAGACTTCTTGAGTTGTTTGCGCCATAGGAGGCGAAGGTGTTGAAACTTCAAACAGAAAAGCCTCCCTCTGAATAAAGTACTCGGTAATTTCTCGCAACGAAAGTGGTCCTGGGAAACCCCCGTCATTTATATGTTGCACGCAGGCGAGATGACGGTGATGCTCCCGAGACAACATCCCGAAGATGTGACGAAGATCATTTCGATTACCGATGATTCGAGCGGTTTGCCCTAGCGAGATGAGAAGGAACAGGCACAGGTGGTGCGAATGTTCTTTTGGTCTTCGATGTGCGAGTCTCGAGCCCTCTGAGTTGGCTCTGTATGCCAGGTGGACGTATTTCCCTCTTCGATGGCGCATTAACCATTGTCGAAAATGCATCTCATGTTTCCATTCGTAATTTCTCCTTTTCGTCGCAGACGTCGTCCTAGCCTGGAAACCCATGAAATGCCGCGCGGAAAGCAGAGGTACGGAGCACCTAGCCAGGGGCAGCCCCGCCTTTCGGCTACGCCAGCAGCCCAGTTTGTTTGCGATAAGATGGATTGGCTTGAAGAGATCTTGCCCTTGCCTTAGCTTCTCCTTGGTCACAATAGCCTCCATTTTCGCACCTACATACTCTCTTTCTTCCCTTCGAATGTTGTCTCGGGCTTGAGTCTAGTTCGTGTTTACTTCTTCATTTCGCTTTCGTCTTCTAGCGGCCAGATTGAATCTTGTTTTGTGACGGACACGAGGAGGACTGACTTTACGACAATACACCGAGAGTGATTTTGTCGCATACGATCATTTCATCACACAAGTCCGGATCGGGAAACGCATCTAACGAAAGAGCCTCAAAAAGGTCTACACTCATTCACTCACCACTAACTTTGCGACTAAATCTGCTTAAGATTGCTGGACATAGGCACAACACGTCGTCGCTCATTCCTCGGTCTCATTCCCAGACGCCAGACGTCAACACCACACTCTTTTATGCCAGCTCATCGGTAACTCATTGAATGAGACGATATCACGATACTATGACTTCTCAACTCAGATTGATGGCTTTCGCAGCCATGGCAACCTTCGTCAAGGCCGCTGGAACAGGAACAGGCGCAACAACAGGGGGAAACGGCACCGCAGCAGCAGGAGCTTCAACAGCAGCACCAGTAAAAGACCCTTCAAACGCTGCCATCTTGAACCAGGACTTTTACAACTATATATTCATCATTTTGGCCTCGCTCGTGGTGGCATTAACGATCTGGAGGGTTCTCATAGAGGTGACCAAATACGTCCGTACAACCTCCTGTCTCAACAATGAGCGTCAAGCATATTTCGCCATCCCGTCGTCGAAATTTGCCAGTCTGAAGAAGCATTTCTTGTATGCTCCTATATTTTCGAAAAGACACAACAGGGAATTCCAGTTATCTTCGGCCATAAATGTTGGAACATTACCTACACGTTTTCAACTCATATTTCTCGCACTTTATTTTGGTTCAAACATCGCTTTTTGTGTTGTCAGTATAAACTGGTCCGGACCGCTGGCTACTGTTTGCAAAGAAGTTAGAAATCGCACCGGGATACTTTCGGTCGTGAACATGGTATGTAACATGTTTTATTTACTCTCCACCCCCAAGTAACTCAATCCTAACGATGCAATCCAGGTCCCTCTTTTCATCATGGCAGCACGTAACAACCCATTGATGAAGTGGCTCAACCTGTCATTCGACACCTTCAACTTACTCCACCGCTGGCAAGGACGTATCGTCGTCATCGAAGCTGTAGCTCACACTGCCGCTTGGATGGTCGCCACTGTGTCTACCAAAGGCTGGGCTGGCGTTCAGGCTTCAATCAATACCAGTCCATTGATCATGTGGGGTTTGGTTGGCACAGTTGCTTTTGTTTTCATCAGTATCCAAGCAAGCTCTATTCTTCGCCACGCCTTTTACGAGACGTTCAAGTACCTCCACATTGCATCCGCGATCCTCGCCATCATTGCGGTCTGGTACCACCTCAAGATTGCTGGCGTTCCCCAAATAATGCTTGTCTACGGTGTCGTCGCTATATGGGTCGCCGAACGCACTTTGCGAATCGTCACTCTCATATACAGAAACGTAGGCAGTGGAGGAAGCAAGACATTAGTCGAGGCTCTTCCAGGTAATGCATGCCGGGTGACAATTGATATGGCTCGTCCATGGACATTCAAGCCAGGCCAACACGCGTATCTTTACATGCCATCCATCGGCCTCTTTCAATCACATCCTTTCTCCGTTGCCTGGTCCGAAGAAGCGGAGAAGCTGGACAATGAGAAGCTTGCCATGAACCGTCTAGAAGTTCTTGAGATGCGAAAAACTACCATGTCTTTCATCATCCGAGCACGAACTGGTTTCACGGCGAAACTTTGCAAAAAAGCAGAAGCTTCCCCGGATGGAAAGTTCTACACCAAGTGCTTTGCTGAAGGCCCTTATGGTGGTATGCATATGATGCATTCATATGGTACTGTCATGTTGTTTGCAGGTGGTGTCGGAATTAGTAAGTCTACCTAATTATAAAATCAGCTAGTCCTAACTAGCATTCTCTTCAGCTCATCAAGTCCCTCATGTCCGTGATCTTGTCGCAGGCTATGCCAACGGTACAGTCGCCGCCCGAAAGATAGTCCTTGTTTGGATCATTCAATCTCCAGAACATCTAGAATGGATCCGGCCGTGGATGACATCCATCCTAGCCATGGATCAACGCCGCGAATCTCTACGTATCATGCTCTTCATTTCTCGGCCGCGATCCACCAAGGAGATCCACTCTCCATCCGCTACGGTTCAGATGTTTCCAGGTCGTCCAAACATCGAGACACTTATCGACATGGAAATGGAGAACCAGATTGGTGCGATGGGTGTTACTGTTTGTGGCAGCGGAGCATTAAGTGATGATGTTAGATCCGCGGTGAGGAAGAGACAACACGCTGGAAATCTGGATTTCATCGAGGAGGCCTTTTCTTGGTAACCCCGACATACCTAGACGGCACCATTCTGGGAATTGGTTATTTTCGTTGTGCATATTGCAGCCTCTTTTGGGTATTTTGTTTTAGATGATTTCTTTCTTGTATATTCGTAGGGTTTTGGATGACTTCACTTTGAGCATTTCAGGTGGTCACTTTAGAAGGAGGTGCAGGATCACTTATCTTATATTCTCAATACGATCTTTTGCCCGCTCGGTGGTTTACCGTGGTCTTTTCAATCCCTTTCTGACCCCTTTTTGATCCCTATCTGATCTTCAAATGGATACTGTCGGAGACATTTGCCGAGAGTCAAGCGTGTCGTAGCTATATCCAAGGAACCTCCCAAAGTAAGAAACGCTATCAAAACCCCGAACATTAAAACAGCAGCAAGACCTTCCCAACGTCTTTTTCTACCCTAGAAGACACTTCTGTCTAACAGAAATTTACTCACAGGTAGAGACCCAACTCTCACTATCCTCGACAAATTCTGTTCCTAAAACCCAAAAAACAACCACACTTATAACCTCGAGGTTCTCTATTTTTCTGACAACCACAACAGTTACACATCCCGCTTATCACGCACTCGGACATCGACCACAAGCTACTTACCTACTAAGACCTTGCTTTGTTCCTTATCATCTTCTCCACCATCATCATTCAATCTTAGAAGTACACCTTAAACAAAAAAACCGAGAAACCAACACAGTTTCGAATAGACAACCCCCCAAAAATAGTCAGTGAATCACAAACTTTAGACTCCACCACACCAAAACATCTCTCCACCTCCCAAAACACCTCCAAAAGAATAGATAGAGCACAAGTGCTTATTCTCGCAATCAGAAGATCGAGTAACCAAATCAAACGTTCCCTACCAACTCAACGACTCCCATCTCTATCGCAATGAATTATTGAGAGGGAACGGGCACTAGGCGGGGGAGCCCAGCTGGGGGATGCGCGTCGCCTTGCGGCAGCGTCGAATCTTCGGTTCGGTTTGATGTGATTTGATTTGTTGGGGGGTTTTGGACTATTGGGGGTTATTAAGTAGAATAGTGGTTAATTTGTGGGGAGAGGGGTGTGTGGTGAATGTGAATTGGAGTGACGGTGAGGGCTTAGGGGTGAGATGAGCTGGTAGCATTCATGTCTTCTCACTTCACGAATACACACCATGGAAGTAGGCTACAATTGAAATTCCAAAACAAACAGCTTTCTTACTACCACAGCTTCACGGATTCGACTCCCTGATCAGGTGCGGTCGAGAAGGGTTTGGACGATCCTTTGAGCGCGACACTGTCTCTCGAGAAGGAAATCTGTAGCGGAAGTTGGAATTCGAGGCTCGAGCGGGGAAAAGAAATGGTGGTTGTGCTAGGAGGCGTCGCTATACTTTTATTTCATCATCGTACCTCTTATAGGGGTGAGAGAGGGTACTTGATTCATAATCTTTTGAAGTGTAGACATCATTGTTAAGAAGGGGAGATGTTTGAGGAGAAGGAGTGTTAGTATGGGGGAAGGAGGAATTTCAAAGTCAGAACGCCTAGAGCTTTGGAGATGCTAGTTGAGTAGATGGGTAAGTCAGATTCAAAATCACTGAAGAGTATTACTACGAGAAGGGAGTTTCTTTGTGGGGTTGGTATGTGTTTACGATGTTAGATAGTTGAACTTTTTCTTAATAACATGTAGTTTTCTAATACATAAGTGTCTGATGTACCTGTCCGAAGAAGTACGTTCTTTCAACACTTGAAATCTATCATCCAAAGATACAATACAACCACCACAAAACAACACCACATCACCCAACAAACCCTCCCTCCCCCATCCCCAGCTCCAACCTTCCAACCTCACGACCTCACCCACCCAGATACCTCACCCCCACCCCTCCACCCCCAACACTCACACTCGCTAACCTCCTCCCCCCCTCCTCAATCTCCACCACCTCCGCCCGTCTAATCCCCATCCGTCCCCCCCTCCACCCTGCCACACACCGCTCAAACCTCACACTCCCAAACTCCGGCCAAGTAACCAATTTCCCATTAACAGTCAACCTTTCAACGATCCACTCCGCCGTCTCCCCGCTCAACTCACCCCCTGCCGGCGCAAATACCTTCTTCGTCCAAATCTGCCCGGTATCCTCGTTCACCAGCACGATCACCGCTTTGCTGGGCGAGCGAGTGGAGATGTATATCCCCATCCCGTCGCCCTCCTCCACGGCAAATTCCGCGGCGGGTATAACGGTGTATGGACCGGGCACCCACTCCCAGAATACACTGATTGCTTTCCTCGTGATATTCCCGGACTTGATGAGGTCGATTGATATGCCAGCTTGGAGCAGGGCGGTGGTAGGCGGGAACCCGTCGATGCCAGCCCACATGCTGAAGGTGTAGGACCCGTTTGTGGCGTTCGGCGGGAGGGAGACGACGGGGATGGTGAGATGGGCGGAGATGGATGTTATGTTGTGGATGGGGGTGAGATAAATACCGGCCCAGTTTGTGGTGTAGCGGGAGGGTGTTGGGGTGGTGGTTTTGGGAGGTTTGAGGGTGAACTTGGTGGAGGACTTGGTTGTGATTTTGGATGTGGGTTTAGCTGAAGCTAGGAGGCAGAGAGGGATGAGGATGGAGAGGAGATGTGAGAGTTTCATTCTTTTTAAAATAGTCTAGGAATAGATATATGGTGGTTGATAAGAATAATAAGATGAAGCATTTTGAGCGACTACAACAAGAAGGAAATTAGGATTGTGTACCAGCTACTCATGGACTCCATGCCATGTGTACTGGACACTGTCCGATAGTCGTTGGAAGTGATTCATGTCTTTTTCAGGGACATCGATGTAGTAATGTCTGAGATGATGGCTCTTAAGCGAGATCTTTGGAATGCTTCATGATCGCATCGTGGACTTCATCACTTGAAGCGGAGTCGTGGAAATTCGAGTATGCAACACACGCGTGCACACTCGAATGAGAAGGGGAAATGTATATATGTAGCCACGAAGACTCAAACCAGAAGATGACAAGACTTAATCTCGACAACACGTTCTTTGATATGTGGATATGGAGTAGTAAAAAGGGTACTTAGCTAAGAATCGTACTGCTGCTACCATAAAGTAAATCGCAAGAATTGCAACGGTGCAACCACAGCTGGAATACGTCTCATCCCATTCCATATGCCAGCACGAAATGATATGGTTCTCGCAACTTGATGTTTTCATGGGATTTCTTAGGTCCTCAACCCTGACAAGCCAGGAGGCGGTGTCTATCCTCACCCCGATGACATGATCTAGCGATCTGCTCTTGATCCATGAAAATTGGCATGTCAACTCACACTTGGTCCTTCCAGCGAGGGGATGTATGAAATCACAATCTGGACAGGCTTCGTACACATAAGTTAAATTGGTGACCATCTGTATTTCAGATTGAGAATTTACATGCCACATAGAGATTGGTCGGAAATATCAGACTATGCGTACCTTACGCCCCTGTGGTAACCTTATTCAGAAGAAACCCCTAACCAATATCCCATCCGAACACCCCGACCCGGAACAATAATGTCCAAATATCAAAAGCCACAACCATTGCCAAGTTTATACCCCGAACACCAACTGCTGCAATTGTGGGATGAAGTACGGATGCGAATGCAAACCTCTCCATCGATAGACGTTCTATTTAAGTGACGTTGCATAAGAGCTCAGCCTCCAGAATGAACTTGCCCTCCTTGTATTTCTCACTCGCCTCGTATGCTTTGTCGTATTTCCATCCTACCGTCTCGTTGCATTGTCTGCAGGCGATATCACGGACGATATGGCGGCCGGTGGTCATGTTTCGCTCGCTGGCATCACCGGATGTGACGTTCACGACGTTGTTGAAGAGGTATGCTTTGCCATGTTGACCGCGGAAGTTCTAGAATAGACAGTCAGTACAAGCTGATTGAGGATCAGGCTGCAGGGTGAGAGAAAGAGGTACGGACTCTTGAGATGATGTCTTCATGGTTCGACAAATGGGCCTTGCAGTTCTTACAGCCGTAGATCTTGTGGCTGTTCAAATAGATGTTGTACGAGAGGCCCATGGTGGGTGGTGAGACTGTATCAACCGTCATCTTCAGTTACATGTACGTTGGCGGGAAAGGTAGGAGTAGGTACAGTCAAAGAATGGTGGTTGATAGTGTAGTGATCTCACCAGCAAGTTCGTGCTTAGTTTGGATGAGGTGCAGGCAACCACGTATATAGCAGGCCTAGCAAGGCCGGAGGGATGTGGATGGGAGGATTCGATTCGCTGCCTTGTCCGAAGGCGTGAACGTTGTGACACACGTTCTGGTCTGCTGCGCTGGAGCCGGTGAATCGGTGACGATCTGGGGAAGTGGTAATGGGAACGGAGTCGGAGCGGATGGTAGGTGGCCGAAGCTTATTGTCTGGTTTGCCAGTTCACTACGTATGGCACTTTGAAGCTTGAACGAATGGGGATTGTGGTAATTCGAGGCTGCGAGTGGGTGAATGGGAGTGGTAAGAGCAAGAGGAGATCATCAGAGGGGAGGTCCAGCGATAAGCTGATTAAGAACCCTGCTAGCGAGCCGATTTCCACCCCGCACGCTCCATGGATCCTGGCAAGGGCAAGGACATTTGAGAGGCTTGAGGAAATGCAACGGAGAGCGACATACATCGTGATTCAAGAAGAGTAAAGAATGGAAATGCACCACTTTACTGATCGCAGAATAAGTTCCGCGCAATGATCGTTGAAAGATATTATTGGCCAAACTGTCAGTCAATCAAGTGAATTCGGTCCTGCTGCAGCTGGGGCGTGTTCAAGTGGATAGATATACACGACTCTGGAGGGGAGCAGTGAGTTCAGAATCACAGAATGATACAGCTAAGTATCAGTAGTTCATTTCTTCTGCTATCTGCACTTCCTAATTCTACTTTTTTGCCAAAGCAGGCTTGATTTCCCCAGACTCTCAGGAGTGACACCGCTCTAATACCATCATCTTTGGAGACGGTAATAGTTTTAACCTCGTCAGTCTTTGGATCTTCCACTCGAATTGGTTTGCTACGTCTATCTATTTCGAGTAGTTGCTTATCCAATCAACTCAGGGCTGAAATCTATACAATTTCTCGTGACGATGCCACAACAACCGCCGAAGCGTAGCACTCTTACTTGAGATTCGACAGATTGGTAGATGCATGGCTCAACTGCTTCCAGCCCATCGGTTCGAAGGCGTACCTATTGACAAGATTAACGAATATCCTTGACATGAATTTCAGACATGATAGAATAGAATTGGACTGTAATCAGAAGGAAGGCAACGGAAATCTCCACACGGTTTTGCGCTCTCGGAGACAATATGAGTTAACATCCGGAATTTTTCATCACTTGGAGTCGACGTAAAAGAAGAAGAGTCTTGGGTACTTACAATAGTAAACCTAGACAAGCTCGATCAGCAAAGGATGTCTGGCCAACCTATTGCCCCATCAAACCGGGCATGGTCTTGTGCCTCGAAGGTATCCTTATGGGATATTAAAGAATATCCAGAACTTGATTGATTTTCTAGTGAGTACGCTCAGTTCTGTCTCGGTTTAACAATACCATCATGCATAATATAGTATGTGACTGTGCTGTCCTCGTCCAGAGTTGCGAGCAGTAACCTCTTCTGTCGATTCTCACCTTGCCACTGGTGCCCGACGGGTTTCTCATCATCTTCATCGTACTCATCCTGACTACTCTCTCCCGGTGGTACGACCCCAATGGCATTAAATACCTTTGCAAAACTGGAGAGCGTAAATGTTTCTTTGATGTGAGTAGGTAACACCCACTCTCTTTCAGGAATCTGCTCGATTTTCTTGCCAGTATCATGCTCTTCTTTGATGACAGCAACTTGTTCATCCGGATGGATATAGGCCCTCTTCGGTGGGAGTCCAGATATCATAGGTCTTGGAAGGGCGACCGAGGTCAACGGCGAATGAGTATGGACTGTAAGAGCCGACCAAGAATGTTGGTATTGCAGATTGTGCTGGATTTGGGTTGCAAGATGGTGTAGATATGCTGGATGAGGCGACTTCTCAATAGAATCTTTCGACTTCTCAATTATCTCCTGAGTTGCAGAGACCGGTGGCAACTCATTCGTGGCCAGAGTGCGAGCCATTGGGGGCAGTGTTGGTGGTGACGATCTTAGATGCTGTCGTCAACAAAGCTTGGGCTGGAGAATTTTCAACAATAATTCAAGAACATCGTGGGGCTCGGACTCGGAGCGAATACGGAACGCGTCGCACGCGATGGAGCTGAGTCTCGGCGGAGCCGCAGCCAATTGGATTCAGGTTAGTTCAGATCTCTGGGGTCCTCCTCTACACTGTTTTTGGACTAGCATATCGAGTAGCTGTCGCTAGGTTGCACCCGTGGGTTGTCTGGGGAAAGTGGTTGATAAAGGTTCGTGAGGCTAGAACGAACTCAAAAACCACCATCAGCTTTCCCCCTTCAACAGATTATCTCCTGTCGTGAAAATTATCGACGGAAGATCTGTTTCGCATTTTTCGATACCAAAACATCTGCCCAATTAGCATTTCTTACTTCAACACTTCACTCGTTTTCCTGACGTCAACGATGCTCATCTCTTGATTCATCCTTGGCAATCTCAAAACCCTGGCAGCCCAAAACATTCCCTTGGTTTTCCCCGTCCCGTCTGCAATCAGACCATCCAATTTCATCAACTTCTCTATAACATGTCTGCTCCATCGCCAGTAGCACCAGGTGCTTCTACGGCACCAACTCAGCATGATGCTCCCGAGCCGTTTCCCACGTTGAGCAGCTCGCCTTCCCCCACGAGTCCTCCCCGAGCCACCACGGAAAAGTCAGACCATAATCGCAGCAGGGGCGACTCTAAAACTTCTATTCCAGGACGACTACGGAGCGCGTCGAAGAGTTTTGCAGAATCGAACCCTCCAACTGGCATGTGGATAGCGACAGGCAATATTGTATCTTCCATCCCATCCTTATCAGACATCAGAAGAGGAAGTTACAGTAGTGACGGCTGGTCTGGAGAAGGTCAGGTCCGAGAAAAAGAAAGACGTGCAAGTCTGGTCAGGCAAGGCAGTTCCGAATCGAGAATCATGCGACAAAATAGCACAGGAGTGCCAACGAGTCCCGGGGGTGGCAAATCGCCAGGGCGCTTTAGGGAGCAGAGCGTCCCCGAAGTCGCAGAACCAGAACAACTCCGAGTTATTCCATCAGGCGTACCAATTGACTCATCTACGAAGGGCAAGGAGTTAGAGCCAGTCGGAAGTGAGATGGCGGAGTTGACGAGTAACGGCGAAAAGAAGAACAAAATGGCTGCCGACCATCGAAGCAGCAGCGATACCAATCTCACGCGTGGCGGAACCTCCTCGAAGACTGACGACGCCTTCAGAACTGAACCTTTCGACAATGGTTATCAGTTCCCCCCGAAGCACGATTGGAAAGAGGCTACTATGATTGGGCTCAAGGCATCCTGGAAGTTCGTCATCACACCTATTGGTTTTTTAGTGACCATATATGGTCTCAATGTCGTGGCATGGGGTGGTATGTTGTTCTTGCTACTATGCAACGCTTCCCCCGCTATGTGCAAGCCGACATGTAACGATATCAACTCTCCTCGTCGAGTCTGGATCGAGATCGATTCTCAAATTCTGAACGCCCTTTTCTGTGTGACTGGATTTGGTACAATTCCTTGGAGGTTCCGAGATCTTTATTACTTGTTACAATATCGCCTTCAAAAGAATGAGATGGGCCTGAGAAGGTTGGCCGGTATCAACCGCGGCTGGCTAAGGCTTGCTGGCTCACAGGATTTGCCCGTTACATTCGGCCCTGCGGAGGCAGAAAATGGAATCGGAAATGCCTCAACGAGCACGTTAGCATTCCCCCCAAAGAAGCAATCGGATGCTCCCTTGACTGGCATCAGAGCTCCACCAACCGCTCTGTGGAAGCTTGACTTTGTCATCTGGTGCATGGTATGGAACACCTTCCTCCAAGCTGTTCTTTCAGGCTTCATGTGGGGTATGAACAGATACGATCGTCCGTCTTGGAGTACAGGTCTCTTCGTTGCCTTGGCATGTATCGTAGCGGCAGCTGGTGGTATCATGGCCTTCATCGAGGGCAAGCACGTTAAGAGCATCGAAGGTGTACCGGTCACGGAGAAGGATCAAGTGCGTCTGGCAAAGGATAAGGAGGCGGGTGTTACACACTACAACAATATCAAAGGTGTGAAGCCCAAGGAGAAAAAAGCCGATGAAGAGAAAGGTCTTTTCCACCGAAAGGACAAGCATACAGCAGCTGTTCAGGTGGAAGAAGACGCGATTGGAGAGGGCGTATCTCAAGTCGTGCGTTAGACGGAAGCATATATCGGCTGTTTTTGTTGGATACTGTACATTTGAAATTTGCACGGGTTTGGGATTGTTTGAAACGAGGGACATATATACCTTCTTGCCTTTATTGCCTTTACATATGAGCCTTTAATGCTGTTAGTAGCGGGAGTCGGCGGGTAACGGTTTAGAGTCAGTAACAAGAAGCGTTGGATAAAATACATACAATTGATCCGTAACATTATTGCATTCAGTACGTGCTGTCGTTGAGGATTTGGTGAGGATTCTCTTATGACGCTAGCGTTGACTTAGCCCGGCCCTGGTGACTGACACATGGGGTAGCCTCGGGACAGCTCCAGGCTACCTACGTTATCGGGTCTCGAGACAAAGGTGCACCTGAGCAGTCCAACCTCGAGACAACAATAACGACCCCAACAAAGTAGTTCTTATTGAAGATTCCTTGACCGAATGCACGGTTTACGATATTGATATAGGTACAAACTGTCTGCAATCGAGAGAACTCAACCTCATCCCTCTGAGTTCCCGCCCGCCGGGGCGAGTCAGTCGTCGAGATGGCACTCGACAAGATGCTCATCCCATTCCTCGTCGCCATGATGCTGGTGACGGGAGTCTGCAATACATTGCTCACCAAATATCAAGTATGCCGATGCTACCGTGCTCTCTAACTATGCTAACCTACCTTCCCCAGGACAATATTTGCGTTCGCGACTGTGAAGCGAAACATCCCAAAGATAGGCATCTATTTGAACAACCGGTCATACAAACAGTACAGATGTTCATTGGAGAGATGGGATGCTGGATCTTCGTCGGGGCATTTACCGTATACGCGAAATACATCGCAAAGAAGTCGTTGGCGCAGGAAGGTGGTTATCAACCTGTTAATGGAAGCGATGAAGTGCCAGAGTCGGATGCTGCCTCGATTCGTTCTACAACCCCGATCAACCCGGCTGTGAAGGTTATGGTTAAGAAGGAAGAAGATCGGATACCGCTTGTTGGGCTTAAGGTCCTGTTGCTTGCATTACCTGCGATATGCGATATCTGTGGAACAACACTCATGAATGTTGGACTACTCTTCGTTGAACCCAGTATCTATCAGATGACCCGTGGAGCATTGGTGTTATTTGTTGGGCTATTCAGCGTCATTTTCCTAAGAAGGAAGCTGTACCTGTATCAATGGTTTGCCCTGGTCACAGTTGTGGCTGGTGTTGCTGTTGTTGGGTTAGCAGGTTGGCTCTACCATAAAGAGGATCCGCCAGAGTCTGTTCGGGATGCTGCCATTCTCACCATCAGAGCAGCAGTGAATTATGCTGTTGATGAGTTGAAGAAGCCAGGGGCTGGCTTGGCTGTGATTGGTGTTCTCTTGATTGCTGGTGCCCAGATCTTCACAGCAAGTCAGTTCGTGCTTGAGGAGTACATTCTTGAGAAATACGCACTTGAACCTCTAAAGGTTGTTGGCTGGGAAGGTATCTTTGGGTTCTCGGTAACAGTTCTTGGTATGATTGTCATGTACCTGGCTGTTGGCAGGACGAGTGCCGGTCGCAACGGATACTTTGATGTTGTTGAGGGTTGGAGGGAAGTTTCAAGTTACAAAGGGATCTGGGTCTCCAGTATTGCGATTATGTTCAGTATTGGGTAAGTCAACTCTGTCGTTTCTCTTATATCTTGCAAACTAACCTATTTCAAGTGGTTTCAACTTCTTCGGCCTCTCAGTCACCCGCACCGTCTCCGCCACATCCCGCTCAACGATCGATACCTGCCGAACTCTATTCATCTGGATAGTCTCTCTATTCCTAGGCTGGGAGACTTTCAAATGGCTACAAGTTCTCGGTTTCCTTCTCCTGGTATATGGAACTTTCTTGTTCAATGGACTCGTTAGACCACCTTTGAAGAGTTGCATTGTTCGAGATGTTGAAGAACTCTTGCCAGAGGAGCCGATTGAACATATCTGATTCAATAGAGGGAGACAATAGAGCATTTGACTTTCAAAGTATTGGGATATTCTTTGCATTGGGCATGGGCTTGGCGTTGTCCACGTTGGAGCTAGGTTAAGGGTTTGGCGTCGATTCAATTAGATGCAGTTTCAGTTATCACTTGTTAATACAGCGGCCGGTTTTGATACTAGATTATATGCTACTATGGTGTGACCATGAACTCAGAAGTGAGCATGTAACATCATTTCCCTCGCTCCATGAAAGTCACACTGGGTCAAAGTTGCTTCTCGACTTCTTTAAAATCATGGATATCTCCAAGGCCGTGAGTTCTCCTCAAATCCTTCTTGAATTCTGCTCTCCGCCATATCTAAGTATTCTTCTTATGCCGTTGGCTCAATGGACACATCACCGGTGTATTGCAAGATTGGCAGGGCAGCTTCTGGCTGTAGGCCAATAGTTGTGTAGGCTCCACCCAACAAGTACAGAAGCATTTGAGTCAATTCACTATATTATCCTTAAAATCGGATTAACTCAGACCTTCCAGGGCGGACCAGTAGGAAGTCACTTGCTAATACCATTGTACTTGGAGGTAATACCTTCAGTCTTGCATTGCGCTGGCTGGATACTCCTATTTTTGGCTAATGAGCATCTCCAGACAATCTCTCATCTCGAACTACCCCAAGGCTACAAAGTCAAGGAATAGCGATCACATATCTTTAGGAGCTGCCTTGATTGCGGAGAATATCCAGTACATTGGTATCCTACGTGTGATTGAGCTACTTATCCGCATTGATAATCCAAACGCACTTGGCTATAGAAATTTATTTCTTCTTTTCTTCTTTCGTGTTTGTAGAACACTACCTCCCTCTTTCCAGTTGCATAGGTTTTGATCTTGATTTGATACTAGCTAAGGTAAAATATCATCTCGAACTATCCTGTCATCGTACATGGTGACGGATCTTGTTCTCTGCATTCATGAAGTTCTTCCCACGCAAATAAAGAACAGATGCCATTGAAGTGATGGTACTAGCAGCAAATATGTTTCCGTCTAGTGGTATTTGCTTATTTAGAGATTAGATTATCTACTATATATAACAGAAATAGTAACTCCTTTCACCTCCTCATGTTCTGTACATATCCGACTCCAGATATTTTAAAGAGGACATATCAAAACAGCTTACTTTCAGTCATCCATACATTATTGATGGGGCAGCATAATCCGACATAAGATACTAAAACGACAATCCCAACCTCAACTACACGCAATTTTTCCATCCTAAGTTATGAAAAGGAATATAGTCACCCAACACTTTACTGATTTGGGTCAATGATTCACCGATATGTACAGAAAAGCTTTCAAGAATGCAGAATTGAGAGAATTTTGGTTTAAACTGATAGGTGTTGCCATTACAGAAGGAATTTTTATACGTGGGTTTCACACTAGTCTGTAAACACTGGTGGAAGTTGAATATTACAACATCAACAGAAGAGATCAAAATTCAACGAAAGATTAGACCACGTCTAGCTGTTGATTACATATTACCTCGGCGTAGTCTTTACAAGAGCAGATAACTCGTACTTCACTAATACTGGATGCTCTCACGATAGAGGCAGAAGTGGTGACCAACGTATCACTTGTATGTCGCAAGAGGAAGAGAGAACCTCTGGAGCTAACAAGAAAGACCGTTGTAGTGAAAATAGTGGCATAGTTCGACTGTGAGAAATAGAGAGGAATCTCGGATGTTTGGATCATGTGTAATTTCCGCATAAGAAAAAAAGTAACTGGCGCTATTTATCTTCCGCAATTTATTCATAGCAAAGGAAATATCAAGAGACTGTGCATAAGATTCATGTAATAATATGAGCCGACTCCTGTACAGTCAAGCTTGGGAGCTGTTGGGTCAATATCAAGCTCGATCTTCTTATCTGACGTCTTTGTTTCCCCTAGATTGGCATTTGTATAGATTCAAGGCACTGGAAGTGAACTTAGGAGACTTACATAGTAGGCTGACGCTCATTTTATAAGTATGTCTAGTCCAAGAGGTGACAAAGTAGGAGGAGCGTAGGTAGAAACGGATTTGAGTGAATGACTGAGCACTTGCTGCACTGACTCTTTGATCCTGCCTTCTGGGATGATGGTCTTTCATTCACTCATGCCTCGAGACTGTTGTGTCTTCCGCAATGCTATTCCCCTGGCACACAGTCCTTAGGTTCAATTCGATAGAACATGAAGCCTCCTGGCCTCCTTCGAGTCAAAGGAGAGCACGGGCTGCTTCCTATTCCTATTTTTATACAAAGGAAACACCAAACGTCTTTCGCATTTTTTGTAACGGCCGCATTTGAATGAGTGCTGATTGTTCAAACATTCAGTGCCTGTTTCAGGAGCGCTGCTGCGGGACCCTCGCTTAGCGGGTTGACTGTAAATTTGCAAGTGACTACAGTCATCAAAACTTGCACCTCGTATTGCAGTAAAGAGATAGCCAGAGAAATTTCTTCAAGCCGTGATGCTACGCTGAACCTGTTATTCCTCCCAAAGTTAAAATAGCCACGGTACATCTTCACGTCTCCGACTAGAAAGGGAGAGCACAGCCACTGGCCCAAGAAAACAAAGCAGACATAAGGTAGCGCCCAAGGACGGCAGAAGGAACAATATTATGCAGAATTTTGGAGAGTTTGGTTATGTGACAGAGTAATAACATCGACATAGCGGCAATGCCAGTCTTTAACGCCAAAGAGGATTGTAAAATCCGACACTTTGCGTTCCATACTCACAATTTGGTAAGTCCATTCTGGTGGCTGACCCGAAGCGGCTGTAGCTGACGCGACGGAATCCAACAAGTAGGTAGCGCATCGTCCCTATCCATGAATGAGGATACGTGGTTCCAAGACACTGCTGGAGGCTGAGTAAGAAGTAGACTTGTCATAAATTTTAACCAAGCAATCCCGGGCTGACCTACGAGATTTGACGCCCATCAGCCTCGGTCGATCGTCGAAAGTAAATTTTGGCCGAGGGTCTCAAAGGGATACTCGCCGTCTCACCTTCTCTTCCTGTAAACTTCCCGGGTGATCTGGAATCTGAGTCTTCCAACAATCCTCAACCTTAAGGCGTCGGAGAGACGAGCCGCCAACAAAGAAAAGCAATGCTTACTGGTTTGTGTCAATACCCAGGCTGACATTATACCTTGGGGGATGAATGAATTTGAGCATCGTGAGGGTATCTTCCGTTTCGACGGCTGCGCCTTCTCAAAGCAGCGGGATGCTCGCATGCTTAAACCAACACCACGCCATGAAAGGGCTTCATATGAAAATGCGTCGTAAGTCTTTCACAGCCGCACTCATACATTCATGCCCTGTTATTCCGGATTGTTCAATATGAAAAGGACCTTGCAGAATAGCATTGAAAATCCAGAGGATGCACACCCATAAGCTCCACACCTCGAGCTCTTGGTGTAAACATGATTACGAGAAAAGAAGATAAGGAATATTGAAATGGCCAGCTTCTTTGACAAGACGTCAAGTTCGTAGCCACGTGACAAGAGTGAGGCTGACCTCCCCAACCAGTGAGCTCTCGGCCGTTGGATTAACCTCAGAACCTCAGCTGTCATCCCGCGATATACCCAGTAGTCTCTTACTGCGTTCGGCGAGGTCTTGAAATGCCTGCAAATGTTGATTCTTGACGTCGCCGAATGCATTTGGTTTCCGAAGTTTCGGACCTATCCCCTTTCGCTGGTACATGGCACTTTAACGGCACGGCAGATGTGCAGACGCAGTGCCAATCCTACGGCCAGCGCGGCTGATTATCTGCTACCCCCGACGGCGGACAAGAATGTCGCCCAGTGTACCACACGTTTCGCAGTTGGAAAGCGTGCCAGCAGGCAATATGGACGAACATCCATGGTTCCATCGGGACACCAGCATAACCTACACAGCTATGAATGTACTGAGGTAGAGTGCAAAAAAATTCGTGCTTCCGAAAAAATTCGTAACAACTGCGATGTGAGGTGGTGGGATGTTCTGCGGGTGTGCCATATGTAGGAAGGTCAGACGATACGAGGTCGTTTCGCTCGCCATCTTACATCCGTCGATGAGCGATGTGAGTGGTGGTTGGCCGCTAGCAGGTAGCATCTTGAATTCTGGAAGGTTGAAGTTGGACTCATGGAGCGACCCTTGTTGTGGGGGTTGTTGTGCGTTCATAGGCTGCGCGATTATCACTCGCAAGAAACGCAAGTCATCGCTTTTATACTGGTATCGAGGGCATGCATTGTGAAGCTTGGAGCTTTGCCTTCCTGGTCTGACCGACTTGGGCGAAGACGAAGCACAATGCGGCTCATTTGTGAATGGTGCTGAGCCGCGTGTGACAGACTCTGCGTAACTGCAGGAAAGAAACGGCTGACGACAAAGGGCTGGGAAGAATATTTCCTGCTTGGTGCGGGTTGTGATGCTGCAGAAAATGTAAAGGGTGCGAGAGGACCTGCGGGAATTGTCATTATTGGGAAGAATGACCAGAAAGCAATATGAAAGAAGAGAAGAAGTTGGCTTGAAAAGAACTCGTGGGGTCCGTGGAGGATATTGATTCTGATGCGGCGAGGTTGGAATCCTCAGGACCCCAATCTTCCAATATGGCTACCACGGCCACTCAGTGGTTGCCGTGTATCGTTAAGTCTCACCAAAGTAGAAATGGCCATCTTTCATTTCATCCTTCATGTACAGCATCAGCATTTCTCCAAGATAATAATTGGACTCGACACTGTGTGGTTGCAGATGATACCACATTTCATCGACATATGGCATAGAGACCTACTAGCATATTTATTACCCCCATGGTGTGGTTCCTGTAAAGGTTGTCACATGCAAGCTGCAATGTACATGACATTGATACGCTCTAATCAACAGCCTCGATCGAGCACGAAAGAAAAAAGCGGCACCCGACAGTCTCTCCTCAGAGCCTCTGCTGCAATTAATGCACGATATTGCTTTTTATCAAGTTGAGGCAACTTTGCACCTTCGCTGTCATATCACAGAGCCCCATTCTTGCACGCTATGTTAAATGGAAGACATGGTAGCTGCAGATGTGCAACCACGAGCCTTACTTTGAAGCATTCATAATTCGATCTTGCTATCAAGAGCCAGACATGAATGAGTGCATCTTTTCCAATGCCGCTCTGGGATCTAGGTAAGCCTCTTTGGATGCCAACCCTCAAATTATGGGCTCGCTTAAGGAGGGGGGTTGGATTGAACGCTCGCTGTTGGATGTGAGACCATCTTCCCCTGAGGCTGTGATGAACGTGATGTTGTCTCTCGGCGTCATTAGTTGTACAATATATCGAACGTGGATAGGTCATACTGAGATGCTGTGGGACATTACCCTCGCTGTTGCTGGACGGACAATTTACATGGTGCCTCACAGAGGGCATGATGTGGTATCTGTGTCTCTGTCCACTCTTCTGAGAGGCTCTGATGTGATGTGCCCCTCATTGAATTGAACAGAATAACCGCACCGTATAGGATGTTGTTGTACCCCTTCCCTCGCATGAGCAAGCCAGCCACTCCGGTCAGCACCCAAAAGATAGAAAGGTAGTAAGCCGGGAATTTACAAGTGCAGTCCAAGACTGGTACGGTGCATATTGGCCCAATAACAGCTGGTGTGCCAGGAAATAAGCATATGGTGTTGCGGAGAGTAAGTTGCCTCAAGTGAAGCACGAGTTGGACGAGAAATGTAGGGTACGTTAGTTGGGGGCTGGCGTGGTCGAAAAAGCGGCTACCTGCTTAGTTGATGCACAACCCCGCCGATGAGGCTGTAAATTGAGATATCATATGTCGAGGGGAAGCTCGGGGGATCGTCGTTTTGTCCACGAGCTTCCAGCCTTAATTGGAATGGCAGTTTGGGGAGAGACGGATTGGACTGAGAAGCACTGGAGCATCATAGCAAGCCTCCGTGGCCCCAAAACGTACCCTTTCGTCTGCTCCTGTTCCTTCCGCTCTTTCGTTTTGAAGCCTAATTAAGGCCCTTTTCCACATGCGCCAGGCCCAACTGGTTGTTCAAGTGTGCTGTCCATGGCTTGAGATTGGTTACGAGCAGGTTCCTGCGGGCCCAGGTCCTGTCTTTCATCTGCGCAAGTCGACGGTCGTGCAGTCGCTCAGTGGTGGACCATGTCCCATCGTGGGACCTTCTGTTGCTCCCTACCTACCCATAGGTATGCATGACAGATGTGAGGTCAGTCTGACGAGGGAGGGGCTCTGCGACGTGGAATAGAGCACCCGCTTGGCGGTATCCGGGCTGGCATGGCCGCCCGTAAAAAGGCTCAGCACGAATCCGGAGGAAGAAGAGCAACGTCGCTGGAGGATAAAATGAGACGTGGTGTCAGTCGAGGAGTCGCAGGTACAACGGAAAGCCAGTCTGAGTCAAGTGCGCGGTGGACGGCCATATCAATGGTGATACTGTATCCATCAAGACTGCGCAGAAAAGAATGGGTGCAAATTAGGTCGAGCGTGTGCCATCGCATGGGTCTTGTACAGCCTCATGTTTGCCTTTCGTTTGCCTCGTCGACGACCTTCATCCATGTTGACCTCCTTCCAGTGTGCTGTGCCGCCCGCGCGCTTACGTCGACTGTTTCTGGTTCCATACGAGCACGAGCACGAAATCGAAAAGGCTATCGTTGCGTCTAAGTGGTACGCAGTACTCGTGGGTGATACGTATTGTTGCTCTCTTCGTTGATGCGAGTGTTTTTGCACGTCTTTGCGCGGAACCAACCTGCGCTTATTTCTCGATTACCTGGTACCCGAACTGCTGTCTCGCACCGCACCGCACCGCACCGCACTCCTTGTCGAGCGCTCTTCCCCATACGCACACGAGTAGAGCGTACGCTTTAGGTCGTTAGCTGTCTTCCGCCCCGCCTTTGCCTCAAATTATTCGCTTGTTTGTGAGCTTCGAACCCTGCTTCCAGCGCCGACTCCCAGCTCCAGCTCCAGGTCCGCACCGAGCTCCAGCCCAGGCCCTCCCCCATCTCCACCTCCACCTCCACACCCCCCCAATTCAATCCACAACCTCGCTCACCCTCCTCACTCCCTTCCACCTTCACTGCATGGCGACTCGACCTTGTCGCATCACTCCCTCGGGTTGATATGCTACTAGACATTGCGGCTCCCCTCACTCCGTGCAATTCGTCGCTTGGGGTTCCCGATGGCCATTTGACTTAATTATGACTACTGTAGAGAACGGTCAGCTCCAGGATCCAGCACCGCGCGACGACTACGATCCGGACGATGTTGGCTTCTCGAATAGTCCGCCATTGCAACCTGTAAAAGTCAATCTCCAACCCACGGCGACGCACTCATTCATGGGCCCATTACCGCCGCCTTTGAGTCCCCGCTCCAGCCCTGCTTCTCCCGATCGCAAAACCTTCAAAAAACCGAAAGCTATCCCGAGTCAGAGTGATGCTGGACTGGTGAGCATGATGGCAAACGGCGCGGCCCCAGAAATATCTGAAATGGCAGGGAAGATCACCTTGGCCGATGCGGATATGGATGAAGATGAGCTATCGTCGAAAGCGGTCCTGGTGGATGTGAATATGGAAGACGAGGATGAGTCTGAGGACGAGGGAGAGGAAGAGGGCTCTTTGGTCGAGGTAGCAGTTCATGGAGAGCAGAACAGCTCGGGCAAGGTTGACATGGCACGCGCCGTTCAAGCACTCGCAGCGCAAGCGGTGGAAGCAATGAGGAATATCCCTAAAGGCCGATCACCCTCTCCGAAAATCGTCAGTGCTGGAAGTGAGAGACCGCACTCTCAGGTATCGAGGGAATCTCACGCCTCTGGAGGAGAAGTGAGACCGAAGATATCGTCTATTTTTGGGACAGCCAATCCTCCTCGAAGTCCTCTAGAAATTACCGTGAGATTAGAGCCAAAGTCACCGGGTTCAGAAGAGCTGCCTCCTATCCGACAAGGGCCAGACTCGCCCATGGCCAACGGTCATGGCAATCCTATAACTTTGCCATCGATCTCGGCCTCGCTCGCGAAAATCGGTGATGTGGTGCCTAATTTTACGCACTCTCCGCCCGGTCACGGTCGACCACCTCCTATGTTCAGCCCGATACAAGGTCATGGAAGTCCTCCAAAATCTCCTACTGACACATTTCGGCATCAGCTTCCATCGCCGGGAAGGCCTTATTACCCATACAATGGCCATAGACGGCCTTCAAATTCAGAAGGGATTCAGTATTCCAGCGCCAACGATTACAGTAGTAGCAACACGGAAACACCAAGCACTGAAGCATCTGCAGCAACACCCGCGATTGATCGGATGAGCATTGATGGAATCACGAACCCACAAATCGGCGGGTTTCAATGTACTTACCCAGGCTGCAATGCACAACCGTTTCAAACACAGGTAGGATTTACCTCCCTTAGAAATTCTTCAACTTACCCCAAGCACAGTACCTGCTAAACTCTCATGCAAATGTACATTCTTCAAATCGGCCTCATTATTGTAGCGTGAAGGGATGTCCGAGAAGCGAAGGCGGCAAAGGCTTCAAAAGAAAGAATGAGATGATTAGACATGGCCTCGTTCATGACTCGCCGGGATATGTGTGTCCATTCTGTCCAGATAGAGAGCACAAATATCCGCGGCCGGACAATTTACAAAGGCAAGTTCACTAGACGCTGTGTTGATATTTCATTCTAACAAGCAGTAGACATGTCCGTGTCCATCACGTGGATAAGGATAAAGACGATGCTCAACTAAGAGATGTGCTTTCTCAGAGGCCGGAAGGACCAAGTCGAGGACGAAGACGACGAGGAGGAACCTCATGACCCTGAGTGAGGCTGTTGAGATACTTGTTCCACCAAAATCAACGGACACTCAACGAGCAGCTTGGTCAACACCTTCAAGTTTGTTGAAAATTTACATTGTGAAATGGTGAACATACCCAAGAATTTTAGTTCCAGGTCAAAATACGATTCAAGGCGGGGGTGGGTGGTTTAGGAGTACAAATGGCGTTATGCGAATATGGGGGTTTCGCTGGCGCTCTTCTTTGATTTTAAGGCGGCTTACGTTTGATTGTTGACAGTAAACTGTCTTATGATGTTTATGACAGGATGCAGCATTTGGAGTACGGTGCATTTTACTGACACGATTTTTCTTCTTTTCTGCGGAGGCAGCTATTTTTTTTGGGACAGTCCCATGCTTCACTTAGGAGTATATAGGGGCTTCCTGGTGTGGGTGAATTTATACCTTCAGCTGTTGTTGATGGATATCTCAGCTCAATTATGGGCGCGGGGGTTGGGGATCAGGAAATTTGAGTCGCGAAACGTCAACGCTCGGGGACAGAGTCGTGGTATTTTCAAGGTGCATATTCCTTTTTGGGGCGAGACAAACTGTCGTTATATATACTCTGCGCTCCGCAAGGGGAAGGTCCTGGAAGGGGATTGGAAATTTTGGCTTTAGGATGATGGTGTGCGATGGCTGAATATAGGACTGTACGGACAGATGAATTGAGGCTGTTTATAGCTGAGAGTGAAATATTACTTTAAGAAAGTCGAGGACTGAGGGAGAATGAGAGAAAAATTTATAGTGATATAATACTCGATCAGCACTCGTGAGAGTCTCCTTTATGAGGGTGACGGTGTATTAGTCTGAGTTTGAATTGTTATATGTCATGGGAGCTGTGAATAGGATTATGAGCCGAAAACGAGTTAAAGATCATCTACAATGTAACACGAATTAGAGCAAGAGAGCAAGAGAGCGACCAAGAAAGAACAAGGAAAACGAAGATAAAGAAAGCTAAGAAACCAGAGACAAAACCCAGTTTCGCCTGCTTACCCATCGAATAACCTACCTCGCAGCACAAAAGCAACCGTTCTTCAAATTCTAGAATTCAAATCAGGGGTTGATATCGTAAGCGAGGATGGTGGATATATGTTATGAGATAGGTATACCGAGAAGGCCGGAGAGGGACACTAAAAGGAGAAAGTGGGATGGAAGATTATGGGAGGAGCTGGTCTGGTAATTGGGTGGTTGGTTTAGTTTAGTTTGGTGGTGTTTTTTGATGGGTAAGTGGAGATGATGGATGCTGGAATAGCTAGGGAGAAGGGAGAGTGGGTTTCGACTCTCGAGATGCTGATGAGTGTAGTAATGGAATGTCTTCGGATTTAAGTGTATACCCCTGACTGTCTTAAATTTTCATGTTAGGAGAAGACTTTGCCTATGTAAAAACAAGCTACAATTGAGCGTTCTGTAACGCTTGGGAATTCTCTATGGATTGTAGTTGTGCAGGTTAACGGACCATACACAGTTATTAACAAAAGAAGAGTCCATAACCTAATATCATAGTATAGCATGTCTAATATTCAATTCAACCCTCACCAACACCCCAAGCACCAACCTCCACCCTCTCATCACTCAAAACCTCCACCTCCACGCGATCCGCCCCCGCCCTCCCCCCAAGTCTCTCAACCACAACCCACAATCCCCCCCTCTCACCCATCCCCGGACTCAAATCTAGATCCCGACTCCTTATCCCCATCGGCGGATCCTGGAACTCGCCGTTTCCACTAACATCCAGCACCGTTTTGTTCGGTCCCTGGCCTCTCTCAATACTAATCCTCAACAGCGGTCTGGATTGCGAGGAGCGCGTGATGGAGCGCACGACGAAGAGGATCTTGGTGAGGCGGTGGATGGTGAGGGGGGCGAGGAGACGGTCTGTTGGAGGGTGGAAGATCAGGATGGGGAGGTGGGTGGAGCGACGTCCTGCTGTTTCGGCGGGGATGGGTTGGACGGAGCAGGGAATGGATGAGCCGATGCGGAGGGAGAAGTCGCCTGTTTGCCCAGATTCGAAAGTTGAGCAGACGATTGTGTATTTACCTTTTTCGACGAGCGGGATCTTGGTTAGAGCACAGCCGCGACGGTAGTCCCCAGAGTGAACGAGGATGTCCTTTTTAGTGATTGAGGATACGCGGGAGCCGTTGGAGTAGACTATCTTGACGTGGACTGCTAGTTCTGGATCTGTGGTTTCGAGGATTAGAGTTAAGGGTGTTGGTGAGGGGACGTCGATGCTGAATTGAGGGTTTAGAGGATATGTTGATGCGCTTGAGTTTCCGCCCGCGGTGTTGGGTGTCCAAGAGCCGGCGTGAGATGTGAAGTGTGGTAGGGAATCGGCGGAAAGGTCTATGTCTAAAGGACTTCGAGAGAAGAATGATAGAGTGAAGGAGTACTTTGGCAAAGGTAAGCCTTGCTGAGCACACACAACGGTGTAAGTCGTAGAAGCGTCGACTTCAAGGCGGGCCAAGGTTTGTGGGGAATCTACATAGGCACCACGATGGAGCGCATCATCCGAGAGGTAGATACGCTGACCACATGTTTCTGAGAACGCATAGAGGCTGATGAATCCAAGGCAATTTGAGGTACCATGTATGGGCGTGCTGTTGAGCGCAATATCATGCTCTTGGGTGGCGAAGTGACGGCTAAGCAAGACCCAAACTGTTCCCCCTTTCTGCGATGTGAAGGAATATTGAGGGTTGTGCATGAAAGAACCTGGATTTCCAACTAGAGGAATTTTCCAGGAAAAGTGATGATCTTGTCGAAATTTAAACAAACCAGGATTCCAGTTTAGGTAAAGAGACTCGAAGTGTTGTGCAACATCCTCCAAGCTCATCCAAAAAGTTCCTGGCGCTGTGTTTGTTTGTTTGGGCAAAGCAGCTGCGAGTCCTTGTGTCCAATCGTCGCTGCTCTCACCCTCATCTGGAAGCAAGAGTTTCCCTTTCCACACCATTCCGTCGCACCAAGGATTCTTTATCAAGAGCAGCCGTTGATGTCCGACCTCTTTCATATCGAGAATAGCATAGTCATGTTCGCCAACGAGACCCAACTCCTTCTCCTCTTTACGACTCATGCTTCCGGTCCCCAGCGTAATGATAACATCCCCATACCCAAACGACATGAATACACGATTCCAGAGACTCATTGGCTCCAAATCGTCGCTGCCATGAAAAATGAGCGCTTGTTTGAATTGACACGGTAATTGTTGCGTACCTCTGAAGGAAAACTTGCTCAGGTATCCAACCAGTCATCACCCAAAGATCTGTACCTGAGTTAGATCCAGGGAAATCATAACCACCTCGAACTTTCAAATAAGCTTTTTCGAGTAGTGCGGGCCAGAGTAAGTCGGGATTGTTACGATCAAGGACATGTAGGCAGCGGGAGGTGTTTGACGAGGGTAACCTATCGTCAATGGTGACCCTTCTAGAGCAGCCATTGAAGTTCAGACGGAAGATGTATTTGCCATTTTTGGAGACACGCGGACGTCCTTTTAGATTATCATAGGGATAAAAAATTGACGCAAGGAGCTGGAGTGTTAGCATGATTTGACCAAATGAAATCTAAAAACCCTTACCCTGCCATGGCCTTTTAGACCTCGAGCCGTTCCAGCACACAAACTTGCAACGACCGAGCAATCCGTAGTGATGTCTTGCACTAAATCAATGTCATCACGACCAGAAGTCATGAGGAGGTCGTCGACATTTGTCGATTCCCCATCACTTTTGGGGTCCTCTAAAAGCGCAGCTGGCCTCTTCCAGCCCGCAAAGATTTCCTCTTGACTTTCTGAGAGTTTGAGATCTACCGAGTCACTGCATAGATCAGAAACTATCGTGACCACAGGAAATGGGAGACTCTACATGTAAAATGGGTTTCCATTCGCGGGTTCCTCGAAAACAGTATCCTCTGGTTCCAACTTCCATGGTGGAAAGATGAACCCATGGAGTTTGGAACCCTCTAGCAAAATGATCTGTTCGCGTGTTGATATTTCTCTACTTGACAGAGGTGCTTTTAAGAAAGCACTGTTGGATGTTGACGGTTGCCAATGCGATGCCTTTTTTATTTCTTCGGCCCTCGAAAGAAGCTGATTGCACTTGCTTCTCAGTCTAACTTTCTCAGCATTGTTACTCACATTCTTTATGATATTCATATAAAGATCAATCGCAATCAGGGCATTATCTAACGCTTCCTCTTTGCTGAGAGACTTGTCAACCTTGGACGCCGCAGCCTGCAATTTATGAGTATTTATGGTTTATAGCCATTGATCTGGAAGAATCACCTGGGCTTCTGCTTCCATACCAACAAAGAGGCTTCAGCATCCACATATATGATATGTGTGGCAAGCGAATGAGATGTTGTGCCAGCCGGCTTGTTGCTCTATGAGGTACCTAGGTACCCAGTAGGTCGTGGAATCGTGCTTGAGGACCAGGCACGTGATTGAAACATCCCCGGCCAAAGCCCCACATCCAAATACGCGGGGCGTCATCCGGTGCGACGGCAATAATCGTAAACCGAGGTCGTCACGGCCGCCCATCAATGTTGTTTTCCTGGAAAGTCTCGGTCGACGGAAGTAGTAGCAAGATGCAGTATTTGATAATCAATCTCCTTTCTTAGAATTATTCACTTCTGCTGGCGACTAAGTTGCTGAGCTCATTTCTTGAATACGTTTGGTTTCCTCACTTTAATCCTCCAGCCTAGATCTCCAATCCCGCGATAGCCTCGGCTGCTGTCATTTAGAAACCCAGACGACTTTCCTTTTCCTCGACAACAATATATTGCACCACAATGGCTGGTCAATCGAAGGAAGCATTAATCCCACCGTGGGGGTTGGCAGTTGCTGGAGCTACAGGAGCTGTCATTGCAAACGCTTTGGTGTATCCACTTGACATGTGAGTTATTTGGCTGTGTTCAGGACCTCCCATGGGAAACTATTTTCCTCAATAACTTTTCTAACATATTTCCATCCTGCAGAGTCAAGACACGGCTTCAAGTCCAAGTCAAGCGAAAAGCAACAGACGCGCCGGCTACTGGACCTGAAGATATCCATTACACTTCGACCTGGCATGCGATTACAAAGATAGTTGACGACGATGGTATCTTGGGACTCTACAATGGCATCAATGGAGCGCTTCTTGGCGTTGCGTCCACCAATTTCGCATACTTTTACTGGTATTCAGTAGTACGGACGTTGTATCTTGCTAGGCAGACAGTGCCAACCCCACCAAGTACTGCTATCGAGCTATCCCTCGGGGCTGCTGCTGGTGCCGTCGCGCAATTGTTCACAATTCCAATTGCTGTTGTCACAACCAGGCAGCAAACACAAAGTAAAATAGATAGGAAGGGAATGTTAGATACTGCTAGAGAAGTGATCCATAGTGAAGATGGCTGGACAGGACTTTGGAGGGGGTTGAAAGCTAGCTTGGTACTTGTTGTCAATCCTGCCATTACATATGGCGCATACCAGAGATTACGGGAGGTGATATTCCCCGGAAAACTTAATCTTCGGCCTGGAGAAGCTTTTTGTAGGTCTTGTTGCTTGGCTTTTGTGAAGCCCGCCATCTAACTTTAACAGTGCTTGGGGCTCTCTCCAAATCCCTCGCAACGATCGCGACGCAACCTTTGATTGTTGCTAAAGTTGGGCTCCAATCGAAACCTCCACCATCTCGAGCAGGAAAGCCATTCAAAAGTTTCATTGAGGTTATGCGATTCATTATCCAAAATGAAGGCTTGCTTGGTCTGTTCAAGGGCATTGGGCCTCAGATCTCGAAGGGACTCATCGTGCAAGGTCTTCTTATGATGACCAAGGAACGGTAAGTTTGAGGCAGCTTAGATGAGATTTCCGATCGCTAACTTGAAGCAGTATGGAACTTATGTTTGTTCTACTTTTCAGATATCTTCGAAAACTTCGATCAGAACAGCTTCAGAAAGCTGCTGATATTGCTGCTTCCAAGGCAAAGCAAGCACTTCCGTTACTTGTGAAGTAAGGATGCCTTGCATAAACGTACGCACGTTTGGCTCAAATTTCAAGGGGTAAGGACATAAAGTAGGAGATGGTAAGTTGATTCATATGGCGTCTGGTTGTAAATATATGATTTTCTACGACCTGCATGAATTTAGGACATAATTAGACATATCTTATTCAAGCCACTGAATAGAAATGAATTAGACAAAGCTTTGATCAAGAATGTTGAACCCAAATTCAAGCAGCCATTATTTTGAAAGAAGGACCCGCAACATTATAAATCACGTGATTATCCTAAGCCGCAAGCGAAAATGATTCCCACAGAACCTCGCGAACCTTGGAATTATCGAGACTTACATCAATTTCTCACAACCGGCACAATGGCGAGTAAGTGTTCTCTAAATACAGAATTTAAGACCGATAATTGACAATTATCTCAAAATAGAATCCAAGAACTCGTCCCAACACAACCAGTCGAAGAAGGCTCACCGAAACGGGTAATTCTACCTCCTCGCGAACGAATCTACAAACTCCGAGCATCTAATGCTTCGGATCATGACGACGCTTCATATTCTGTAGGCAACAAGCTGACATGCCTCTCCTTCCAGTATCAAGAAGCCAAAGACCTCAAGATATCCATCTCTCAAAGGCACCGACCCAAAGTTCCGAAGAAATCACAGACATGCGCTACATGGCACAATGAAGGCATTGGTACGTTATTTGGGTAGTTTCAGGTGGCATCCATTCGGACTAACAACTCTGCAGAAGGAATTGAAGGAGGGCAAGCGGGAGTCGGCGTAAAGATCACGATCAACTTTCTTTCCTCTGGGTCATTGGACGCGGTTGCTGTATTGGCATGGTTTCGTTTCACGGGCGGTCGATGGATTGTCGATAATCGCAGGAAGGCGCTCAAGGAACAATAGTTCAGTTCATAAATCAGCAAGCAACATCGAACCAAACCAACAACGACTCGAATACAAGTGGGTTACATTGTGCTAGAGTGTGTGCGTGTGAGGTTCTCAGACCAAGGCATTAGTGTGTACAGCATTCCGAGATCATCCAATTCTCATATGCTGAAGGAATTTTTCTTTCGTGCCAAGATCAAAATCAGACCTCTTCATTACCAAACACCTTTCCTCCATGCTCTATGAGGTATCGGTGCATGAAGATTGGGGTCACATTCCAGCCTGGGGGACTTTCATGAAGAAAGCATTTCAAGTGCGGAGATACTAGTATATCTTTAGGTCAACGTTCATATCTTCGACCAATTCCTTTTTTATTTTTGTTTTGTGTTCGGAGCCATGCCGTACTATCTTCAACCCAGAGGGTCTTGTAGTTTTACCAGTACAAACCGACTGAAAGGAAGGAAATCTGCCGTAGAGGTACCTTTTAAGGATGATCAATTTTAGTTGATATCTCATTGTTTGAGCAGATAGTCTACAACATTAGTGTTATCCGGAGAAAGCGACAACTACATCAATAAAATCATTTTCGGTGTATTAGAAGACATTGCCGCAAAAGTGATCGGTGATTTCAGTGATTTCAGACTCTTAGTTGCTGACGGTTTCAAATTTTGAGGACTGTGACCTGTAAATCTCTAAATCTCGGTGCATTCACTTTCATGTATACTTTGAGCTCGGGGCTACAGGTTTGTCCTGCATCGGACCTGTATACGCCACTAAATGGATCGAACCAGTCCTGATCCTACTCGGACACTTCTCATCCCAAATCCTATCTCGACCGCATCGATCCGAAAGAATAATTTTGTATCCAGATCACTGTAGGTTCCACCTGTAAACTTTACTTGTTTCTCCCATATTTGTGAGGGGCGCAATATTTTCGCGCTTCTAACCGATGCTGATGTGATCTCGGTGTAGGCATTCCATTTCTCCCCTCCTGGAGAGGCTCTTGCAACACGCGCTTCTTTGTGCCCTCACATCACAGCTCAGCATTTCTCCGCAAGATATTTATCTGCGCAAGGTCTTTCAGGACCGTCTCTCATCTCATTGTTCTATATTCGGAATATACTGCACGATCTCCTCAAACGTCCGGGCATAAGCAGTAGCCCTCTAATAATCACCACAAACCTGAAACCTCGACGTGCTTCACGGGCCACGCACTGCCCCCATTTCTTGTACGCGATAACCATTCTTGGAGGTCTCGGTGGATCACTCAGAACTGGCGTAGCCGCGAAGGAGATCTGGAGCTGCGTTTCAGATTTTCATTATTCCGAGTCTCTGTCCTTTCGACGTTAATACACCACCTCAGCTTTTGCAGTTACAACGATATCATGCTCAATATGTCGTCCGCTTCTGCAATCGGCAATCGCAACAGCACACCGGTCGAGAACACATCCTCCCTTCGACCTCCATCCTCTCGTCCTTTGAACTCGCATCAGCTGCGTGCTTCAGCCGATATGGCTGCCTTCCAGACCTCGCCATCCTCGAGCCGTATCCGGCCTTCGTCCGATTTCTATGGCACCCAACAAGGACAACCACAAGGTGGAGCAGACAATGATTCACAGGATAAAATCGCACAACAATGGATAGCCGATATTGACCAGTATGAGAACACCTTGGAGGAGATGGCCGCGGCGACTTTAGACCAAGACTTCAAGGATGAGCTCTCAGCTATTGAGCAATGGTTTCGAGTACTCAGTGAGGCTGAACGGACTGCTGCATTATATGCACTACTTCAGCAAACCACCCAGGTCCAGATACGATTTTTCATCCAGGTTTTGCAGCAGATGGGGAAGAGTCACCCAATGTCTGGCGTACTCTCCCCCGCAAATTTTGACAAAGGTACAATTCTTACGCCACAAGGCTCTTTGCTCTGGGCTAACCTGTTTTCTTCTTGCAGATCCGATGTCTAATAGACTCAGCGATGCCATGAACAAGTTAAGTGTTGATGGCAACAGGAACTCCTTAACTCGGCCTCCCGCGACTCCCGGCTTGAAGAGACATTCTGGGCTCGACCCATCTACCATCAATGCCATGTTTCCTGATGCCGCCGCAGCTATTGCAACCGAAAAAGCAAAATTCACGCAGCAAACTGGAAATCCTCCATCCTCAAACCGCAACAGTGCTGCCTATGATAATCGCAATTCACTTGCGGCACCAACTATAGCTGGCCCGGCCGAATCTGGGGACAACAACCAGCAACCGCCACCATCCCCTTGGGGTTCGCGAGGCACGGAGAACGTTCGACCTAAGTCGTCTTCTGGCCAGCCACCAATGGGTCAATTTATCCAGCCACCTCCATCAGCAGGTCTCCGTTCGCCTGCCGCTCAAGGACTGGCTGCAAACTCCAATCTACAGAGCACGACGATCAATGTACCTGATAACCAGGGATCTGGACTGCCTCCACTATCTCCATACGGTGGAAATGGTAACTGGGCTTCTATGGTCAACACTCCCATGGTTCCGAGTTTCAACGCTCCTAATAGCACAACTCAGGCAGATATGGTTGCAAATGCCACAGCTATGAAACTTGCTGCGCTTTCCACAGTAAACAACCGTTTTGCGCTAGATGATGTACGCAAATATCGTCGAGCTCGGTCAAATGACGGAAATGGTCCTCTTTCTCCTGGTCTACAGAGCAACATGCCTGGAGCCGTGATCATGGTTAATGAACATGGCCAGGTGATAAGCAGAGATCACGTCATGGCTCTTCAAGCACAGCAGCAACAACAACAGAGCATGGGTCTCGGCGCTCGTCGATCACGACCAAATTCTCCAGGTCTCTCGATGCAGGGAGGCGGTTTCAGCCAGCTGGGATTCGCCTCCCCTCAAAATAACGGGTTCCTTGCCGCCTATGATGGCCCATCTCCACTAATGAACAATGGCATGGGTAGTCTTAATTTGGCTCAGTTTGGCCTCAATGGTCCCGAGGGCTATTTATCAGACCACAGTGAGATGAATCGTGGTCGATCGCCAAGAGGTAGACGTGGAAGCTCTAAGCCCCCAGAAGATCCAACCGACCCAAGTCTTCTTCAAGATATTCCAAGTTGGTTAAGAAGCTTGAGGCTTCATAAATATACCGACAATCTGAAAGACATGAACTGGCCTGAACTTGTCGAGCTCGATGACAAGGCTTTAGAAGAGAGAGGGGTCAATGCCCTGGGCGCAAGAAGGAAGATGCTCAAGGTATTCGAGCAAGTCAAGGGTGAGTCGCTTACCGTATTTCTCTATGACGCAAATGCTGATTTATATACAGAGGCTAAAGCGGAAGGAAAACTTTCTTAAATGGGTTTTAATGCAAAATGTGCCTTTTTTTGGTATCTGAATAGGGTAGGATGGACAGCATTGTGTATGGAGTATCTATCTGCTGCTCTGGAAGCAATTGTCTCGTCATTGTTTGTTGGGAGTTAAATACTAGTTGGTTACCAGTAGATGGCATGAGGGTGGTTGCGTGCTGGCGGGCATTATGGACATCCTCAAAGGGCATCATTTTGCCTAAAACGAGCTACTGTAAAGTTTCCTCGGGGACGAATCTCTTAGGAGAAACGGAAAAAATGATTTGCATCTGATTTTACTTGTTGAACAACCTATTTCTTGGTTATACTTCATGGAGCCTCTTCTGTAACATATACATACAAGCTTTACCCAATCAAGTTTACAAGTTTGCTGAGAATTCTTGTGAAAGAAAAATACTTGTTCGAATAATCTCAATCTCCAAATGTGCCTCATGTTCCATGTGAAGGGTCATGCAGGGGATACGGGTAGTTAGGGGTGTATGCGTGGCAGTGGACTCAAGGTGCCGACAATCTGCCACTAACGGCAAGGCTACTAACTTTCTCTCTCTCAAGGCCTTGTCTGACCCCGCCATCAATCCTCACAACATTGACGAGCCGTTATCGCGTCAACTTCATGGACAAGCTGAGTATGAGTAAAATCGTTCTCATGTGGAAACTACGAGATGCGCAGGTCCAATCGGAAACGCAAAGCAGCCTCGGTGGCACTCGAGAATAACGACACCCCGACCTCGTCGACTGACGGAGCTCAATCACAAGAAAACTTGATACGCGACCATCCAGGGAAGAGCTCGCAACTATTGCAGTCTACCGAATCTTTGCCTTCGAATCCAAAATCCCCGCTCGGTGTTCGCAGATCAAGTCGGCGCAACAAGACTTTGGACTCCACTGCGTTGGGGAAAGAGACTAACGAAGAATGTGAACTTCAAGGAAAGGATGCCCACGAGGGCATTGCAAAACCGCAGAAACGCTCCAACGCTGCTGTTTCAAAGACCAAAAAGCGACAATCTATTCGCAAAAACTCCAGTACGGCTTTAGCTTCTCCAAAAATCTCTAGTAACCCGATTGATGAGCCTTTCGAGTCGCTTACGTCTACGTCGGTCACAGCGGGTGCTGAACTTACGTCTTCTTCAAGAAACGATGAATCTAGCCACGGCCCGCAGATGGAAGGGAGTCGAAATCCTGGTGAGGACATCCAGCAACTTTCTGAAGCGGTTCACAATTCTCCCTTGCGCCAAAAAGAATTGCAAGATGTTGAGCCAAGGGGCCAAGTGACGGGGGAGAGGTCAGCACATACTCCAAGCCCCGTTTTTAGCAAGGAGGCCGAGGATATCACTTCAGTGAGAGTTGCAGAACCAGAAGGCGCAGAGGCTACGTCTGAAGCACTTGAACCTCGCGAGAATGGGACGTTGGAAGCTATAAGCAAAGCCCAAAGCCCAAAGCCCCTTGACGTGGAGGAGGCGAGGGAATCCCAAAACCAATTCTCTAGATCCTCAGGGCTGCCTGTAGCGCAATTTGCAGAAGCAGGTTCGGTAGGTCAAGCAGCTATAGGAAATGTACACGGCACTGGAATAGCCGACGACCCAATGGTTGGACCTAATAATTTGATGGCTAGATCAAACGCGCAGAACAAGCCTGTCTCGCGGGTTCCTGAACATTTTATATCTTCCCACGGCTCAAGCTCTATACCAGATCCAGAACAGTTAGCGCTACCCCAGCAGCCATACATTAAACCTCATGCCAGCTCTCCCCAGCCGATGAGCTCATATGACAATGCCAGGCCACGCAAGTCACTACCACCGCTGGCTCCCAAAACACCTTCAGTAAGCGAAGATGCTTCGCAAGGCCCAGAACAGAATAGAGGCCTACAATCTGAACCCCACCATTTGTCTCAGTTCCATACTCCATTTTTTGGCAGGTTAGATGGGCAATACTTTCAAGCGTCTCTTGAATCAGAGACGAGATCTATCTATGGAGACCAATTCCGAACACCAAGTTCCTCTTATCCTGTGCCAGTTACAATTCCCTATGCCACACCCTACGGCAATAAACAGCCCAAAAAGTCACAGTCAACGTCAGAAAGCTCTGCAGCTCGTCCAATGTCAGTGAGTATGTATGGGACCTTTATTGCACAAGATCCACCATCTGTACGTGCAGATCAACCCATGCCTGCAACTCCAGTCGAATCACAACTTCACACTCCGAATACATTACAGCCATTGCTCCAGCATGATCCATCAACCACTTTCTCATATCAAAGCCATCAGCAAACTACTAGTACAGGGTATGATAGTGTGTTTTCGATGCAAGAGACTCCTAATATGCCGATTAGTACAAGTGACCGGGGAGCAGAGGGCAGAGGAAGAGGAAGAGGTAGGGGAAAAGCAAGGAGAAGAGGGAGGGGAAGGGGACTCTTTTCAGGAGTCATGGAAGGGAACCTTTCGGATGACATGATTGCACAGCTCTCAAGCCAGCTGGTAGGCTTAGATCCAGATCAGACTGATGACTTTTCGACAAAGCTAGGGAAAAGGACAAGGGCTTCAAGCAGAGGTCGTCCTCGTGGCCGACCTCGTGGTCGTGCTGCCGGTCGAATGGGTGATGTTCAGAACACTCGAGATCTCCTACCTTCTCCCAGCCCGATGATAGACCCACGATTGGTAAGCACCATTCAGAAAATTTTGTCAATCCAATTAATGAGGTGGATTAGTTGTCTCCGGAAAAAACAAACCAGCCGCAAATTAATGGCAACTGGGCTTACCAGTATCCCACGGGTATCGGCAACTTGAATGGTTCAGCTCAAAATTGTTCAGCAAACCAGTCCGATTATCATGTCGGAGCGGAAAGGTCTTTTAGCTCTAAGATGCCGTTAGAGTACAGTCAAGTTCCTCGTGGTGGTCCCATCAATCGATATCCAAAACTTGCTCCAGCCCCACCGAGTAACTACCCGTTAGGCTTGAACGATTTACCAAAAGAATCATCTCCCTTGTCAGATGAGGACTTTGTTGTACGTCGTCCAAATGAAACTTTGGATTCTTTCCAATCTAGGGCAGCATTCGAAAGTGCCGCTGCTCAAGCTCGGGCTAGACATAGAGCTTTATATGAGGACAGCGAGTCCAACTCGGAAGAAGAATCAGGAGAGGAGCATGAACAACGCAGTGACTCTGACTCGGCTTCTGAAGATGAGGCCATTCAAACTAATGAGTGAGTCCACCCTTAAGCTTGAACCACTAGATATCGACTAAATACTCCTATAGTGGTTATATTTCTGATGCTGACTCGGACTACCTGGATTATAAACAAAGCATGAGTAAGCTATCGAAGGACGTCAACAAATTACGGGGCCTCAATGATGAGGAGCAAAATACTGCTGGCAGTGGCCGTGGCGGCATTAAGCGTCGTCGTGGGAGAGGCAAAGGGAGTAACCCACATAGGGGTCCTCGTAAACCCAAAGAGCTTACAGGACCCATAAAGTTGCGATTGGGAAAAGCGACACAACTGTTCATTGGGCAGCAACATGATGAAGCTATGGCTCTAGTTGACGAGGTCATCGGGATTAACTCCGAAACATATGAAGCCTGGACGTTGAAAGCGTCCTTGTTTCAGGAAAGGGGAAATATAGAGTCTGCTATCGAGTCACTCTGGGTTGCTGCGCATCTGCGGCATAAGCACGTTGACCCTTGGTTCAACTGTGCTGCTCTTTGCCTCGAAGGGACTGGCGCATCTCGTGCTCTCTATCTTCCAAGGGCTCAGAGATGTTTTGCGAATGCAGCGAGATGCCAACCCACAAATTTACAAGCGTATCTTGGTAAAGCTGATGTTTATTTCGAGAGAGAGATGTTTCCTATGGCCGTCAATACTTACGAGCATATTCTGAAGAAGGTGAGACCCCACAGTCTGGAGGTTATGCGGAGGGTCGGCGAGAGCGCAATTGCAGCGTTTCACGCTGGAATCGCGAATGGAGAGACTGCAGTTACAGCGGGACGAGCTGAGATTGAAGTGGCCATAAATCGGTACACGAAAGAGATTGCGCACTTCAAATCAAACCCTGACGATTTTGATGAGGAAATAGGGTGGTCAGAGGTACTCGCGTATTCAGAACTTTTCATTTTTGATGGCAGATATGAGCGTGCTATCAAGGAACTTAGTTCTCTCGCTCGCTGGCTGGTCGGCCGTGAGGAGGAATCCTTTTGGGAGGACTTTACCGAGAATGATGCCGAATGGGATATTAGTAATTCTAGAAGGAGTGGAGTTCCGTCATTTAAACCCGACGCATTTACTCCAGAGTCTTATGGCCTCGGGTTGCCTCTTGAACTTCGTGCTAAGCTAGGGATTTATCGTCTTCGTCTAGGCCATGAAGACGAGGCAATGGCAAGTTTCACATACAATGCGATCTAAAGTCCTGAAGGTATGCTAATTATTTGCTAGCTTCATCTAAAATCCCTTGATATCTCGAACAAAACCGGCGAGAACATTGTGCAGAACAATCACTATATATGTAGTGAAGTCGCGGAAGCTCTCTGTGCTATCGGCAAATTTGCAATGGCCTTGGAGTTTTTCAAGATCCTAAAGGAATCACCTGAAATTTTTACTGCGAATATGTACACGCAGATGGGTACATGCTATCTAGACCAAGAGGAGGAAGTTGAAGCAGAGAGCTGTTTTCAACGTGCCGCGGATATGGACCAAAACAACACTGAAGCTCGAGGTCATTTGGCAAATCTATTCCGTAAGCAAGGTAAACAGAAACAAGCACTCGATATGGCCAACCATGTTGTTCAACTTATACAGCTTCAAAATGTCCCAAGGCCCAAGAGACGGTATGGAAAGTATCTTAGAGATCCTGCCCCGCCGTTGGCTGCAGGTCCCATGGCTGCAGCCAAACCACTCATGCCACTTCAACCAAAACCTGCAGCTGGCGAACCTCGCGAGGACACACCGTCGTTGGGGATAGGCATAGGCACAGGCAAAATTGTAGCCCAGCCAATGGCTAAGCCCGTACTTACCCCAGAAGACCGGCTCTTAGCCGAAGCAGAGACCAGTAAACTACTTGCCACTCAGTACCTCATATTAAGTAGACAGCGCGATCGTATGAGGGCGGGAGTTTTCGAGGGTGTCCGACAATGGACCAAGGCTGCCCGGCTTCTTACGAATGACTTCAGATCTTTCAAAGCTTTTTACCCACAAGATAAATCTTTGAAATTCTCGGGATACAGCTCTGCAGATGTCAGACAGGCATCGACACCACTTCGAGATGACATGCGGGCGATGGCTAGTCAGTTGTCCCAGGGTATGTATTATCTTCCGGCCGTTGCCACTTTACATTGCTAACTATAGTAGACATAGGAGCAAAAGTCCAAGATCGATCCAACAGGATTCCGAACGGCTTTGGTGATACATATCGAGGCATGTCATTCGACGCGTGGCTGGACATATTCATGGAATTTGCTATCTGTCTCGCCAAACGTGGTAAATTGAAAGAGTCATACGAGATGTGTCAAGCAGCAAAAGACTGTGTGATATTCTTTCATTCGCGTAATGACATGTTCCTACTACATCTAAGTTGGTGCAGTAAGTCACCGAGTTTGTTGCCAATACCGACTGCTAACTAGTTGCAGTGTGCGCGATCATGCTAAATGATTACCAGACTTTGATGACCATAGCTCGGTTCTTCCTCACTGACTACCAATTTACGACCGATGCGTACAGGATGTTCACTGCACTTGCCCGGACTTGTCGAGGCGCTGTATCATGGTTCAATTCGGGCCCTACAATGAAGTTCATCCTTAAGCAAATCAAAGCAATGGACTATTCCATCACGCCCGCTAGCGAGCGAACCGCAGAGCAAGATGCTGAGAGAGGGCTGTATACCGCGGTAGACCAGGATGGAAGACTGATCATCAACGATGACCTCGATATCTCGCTACTCATGCTGTACGGCTACATGCTGTCGCTAAGCGAGAACTATCTTGAAGCTCTAAGTCGGTTTTCATCTTCCTTCGGTTTGAACCAACTAACCGAATACCCTAGATTATTTCATGAGAGCCTACGCTCTAGACCCAGAAAACCCCATGATCAGTCTTTCTGTCGGTCTCACTCACATCCACCACGGCCTGAAATCTCCATCGGGAATCAAAAACCAAAATATCCTCCAAGCTCTCACGTTCCTCCATCAGTACTACGACATACGGAAAGAATCAGAACACTTAGAAGAAAGACTAGAAGCACATTACAACCTGGGCCGAGCATATCAGCTGCTCGGCCTAACCCATCTCGCGGTCCCGTACTACCAGCAAGTCCTCCAGGAAAACCAAGACGACGTTGCGGAAGACGTGGTAATGGATACGGCGTTTAACCTCCAGAACATCTACGCTATCGCTGGAAATATGAAGTTAGCTATGCACATTACCAATAAATACCTGGTTATATAAGAATGTGGATACGACACGGAGGGCGTACAAAAATGGTGGAGAAAAGAATATTCTGTATTATAGGGCGAAGGATTGTCTTTATGGGCGGCATTACTGGTGCGTTATACCATGGACTCTGGAGGTGGGATGGTGGGATGGTGCCTTTTATTATGGTTTGAACATAAGAACTGCATTTTAGGCGTCGGTAATGCTAGTCGTGTTCGTACTGAGACCTGGGTTGCAATTTGCATGTACATTTACAAGGAGTTTACAAACCATTGCCGCTTAGGTCGTTCTATTGCCTACATTAAATAATTGCTTTTATACTTGACAATTGTGAATATCGACGGAGGTCAGCATCATAAGCTTAATAGCTACTCTGCACAAGATATAAGCTTAACAAAAAAGAGTTCATATCGTATTGCCAGTGTATCGACGATCCTGATCCTATGCTACACATATCCACATCCCGCTCTTCCACTTCCACTTCCAAAACTGTACTTTTCCACACCAACCACGCTTGCACACAAGCCTTTACACTAAAACCATGACCCCCTAACAGCCACCATCTTAAGCAACCTATTTTGATAAGCCAAAGCCCGGCAGCTGTCATGATATCTCTACTTCGTTGCCCAATCCAAACAAAAAACAGCAAACACAAACACAAAAAAAGAGGAGAGAAAGTCTGACACCTCGTAGGTCGGTAGGCCTTGGTTTTTCCTCCATGATATTGAACACCTCCTGATAAACGCCGCGTAAACGCCCCGCTCCCGTCCTTTGCTACCACCCTTTGTTGCCAGTGCCAAAAAACGAATGAAAACACCCACGCTAACTTGAGCAACCAGCAATCCTGCCACCGCCGCCATCACTTAGCCTCCGCCTGGTACAGAAATTGAGTCATCTTTGTTTGGATTCGTATTAGAGCCCCGCAAGTCCCGGAAAATTTAAAATATGTATATGGGTATGTTATTCAAGCTCCGGAGAGGGTCATGACGCCTGGTTGTTGTCTTGATGTCTTCGAGTATCATTAATTTCAGCCCTTGCCCGCCGGCTATTGCTTCGTTCTCGAGCTCTGTCCCCGGCGGTCGCGTCGCTATAACTGGGTATCGGAGGTGTGCTTTGTCTTCGGACTAACGGTGCTCTCTCGCTATCGATGCTGCTTCGGGAACTTCCTGCGTGTGAAGGTTGCGGGCTCGTGTATTCTGGTGGTGGATTTGACGAATCTTGTACACCTAGACCGACTTGCAGATTATTCGAAGATCGAGCTGGGAAGGTAGTAGAGCTAGATTCCCCAGGTTCTTCATTTGTAGACACGTGTGTAAGATGAGCGAGAGAAATATCGGTTGGTGATCGTACAGGTCCGGGACTCGTTGGTGGATGATTTCTGAAGTTTCCACTCCTCGTTCGCCCGTGTCTTGGATCCGGGAAGTGACTCTGACTGCTCTGCGCTCCGTCCCTTCCAGCCTCTAGCAGGATACTCCCTTGTTCGCTTCCATAAGGTGGTGGTGGTGCAAGGCTGCCAGTCATTGGCGCGAGACCCCATTTCTTAACATTTGCTTCAATGAAAACAAATCCTGACTGCCCGAAATTGACATGAATAGTACAAGGTCCATTGGCTCCGACTGCCGGGAATAAGTTTTGTGATTTGAGTCCATGGGCAACATCCTCCAACTTCTTCCCATTACGGGTAAAAAATATCGTTCCAGTTCGTGGTCTATATCCAACTCCAATTACGTCTCCTTGCACATACTGTGGTCCATAAGTTGGTCCTTGGAATGGTTGATTGTATCTTCGTTGTCCTGTTGACGCATATGCGACGGAATATTTATGCCAACCTGTATATAATTAATATGATGCCCACTTGGCGTCCGAGCATATAAACATACCAGGTAATCTGAATAAAGGATACGGCTTCGTTGCCACACCAATACTTATCAAAGAAGTCTCGGGCTTATCATATATCTTTGCTTCCCAATAATAGACCTCGTTCTGCTTGGGAAGAGGAAGATTCGAGAGGACCGAACACTCGCTATCGTAGAATTCAATTTCCGTCCGGCCTTCCACAAAGCAATTCGCAATTTCCAACTCCGGCTCGAACTCCCACGCCGAGACTCCCTTTTCCTGGATCGCTAGGTACTGTGACAGGGAAATGTCGGTAGGTAAAGAATCAGGCGGATTAGCTTGGATAAAGGCTACAAAAGACACTGGGTTAGTATTTCCATATCGTATTATGACCGACAACCATACCTTTCGCCCGGAAGTATTCCGTCCTCTGCAAATCGTCCATCGTCTCCAATGCCTCGGCCTCCTCCCTTGCATATGCCTGCTCATCATCATACTCTCCAGGCCTTCCAATTCGATCCAAGAAAATCCGGCCACTGCTGGTATATCTGAAGAAGTAGACGACCAGGAACACAATAGCAATCACCACGGCACTACCAAAGGAGCTGAGGAGTCCAATGACGACGCCATTAATAGTCGAGTCGTTGGTCCGCTGCACCCGCATCGACGCCGGTGTCGAGGCTCCATAGGGATGGTTCTGAGATGCCATCATCAACGCCTGTAACCGCTCCTGCGCAGAGTCGACGACGGTGTTGACCAGAGTCGTCGTTGGTAATCGGGATGTCGTGAGGGTTGTCGGCCCCGCCCTAAGGTCCTCCATTGCTTCACTCCTACGCTACCGCGCCGACCTTCGAGCCCGCTGCTGCCGAATTGTGATTCACGTTCTTTGAATTCTCGTGCTCGACCTGCGAGAATGCTCGTCCCCGTTCGAAGCTGTTATCGGTGACAATGCGATGCTTGGTTTGTTGAGGAGGTGGTGTGGTGTTCTTGTTTAGAGATGGGAGAGTGACCTGGGCCGATTAACATCCGCCGGCCGTCTTTCGCTTGGGCTGGCTTGGACGGAGTGGCGTCGAGGCCTTCCGTTCGCAGTTGTACGTATCCGCGTATGTACGAGGTAATGATTTAGGTGCAAACAATCCGTGAAAACGTCAACAGTTGTGAATAACTCCTATTCCTATGCCTTCTTGTATGGCCAAATCAGTGGTTGGTATACATGAATGGTGCAGTGCAACGGTTCATGCTCTGGACGTCTAGCACGGTTTCACTCCTGCCTAGGTGTAGCACGGTGGGTACTCGTAAGCTAGCGGTGTAACTTTGGAAGCTGTCTGTAGCTGGAGGTTGCGGAGGAAAGTGTGTGACGACTGAATGAGAAGTTTGCATTATATTTGGGGCTTTCAGTCACTTATGGCATTCCAATGCTGTGTAGTATTCAGGAGACAAAGTCAGAAGCTGAAACCCTTGAAACATTCACACCACTCGAGCACAGGAACAATGGAAACAGTTTCAAGTACGATTACCAACTGAATGGACAACGCATGTTTCAATATCCAGGCGAATCTATTATACAAATATGCGGGGCACTACACAATCTAGAACTCTGTTTACACAATTAACACATCCCTGACTGTCTGTTGCACCTCAAAGAAGCGTAGATTTCTAAAGTCGCATCCATCTATGATCTGTATTATCGTGTTCATCATTATCGTGACTGAGAGGGTCCCACGCCACAGGGTTGCATACGGAGTGCATCCCCAACACGTTATGTCATTGCACAGCACAAATCCTCAAAGGACTCAGGAGTGTCAGCCTTACAAAACTCTATAGCTCATTCGCTAGCAGCTCAGCCCGACATCTCTTGATCCTCACTACTACCCTTTTTCTGCTCTTCAGCCCGTTCCTTCGTTTTCTTTTTAGCATCTTCAATCCATTTCTCATACGCCTCGGGTCCGGCCTTCAGTTTCTCGCCAATGACACCTTTCAAAACTTCCCCAGCAAATCCGATGAAGTTGTGTCGCCGTAAGGCATTCTCAAATTGCCATTCGCTCCTCTTCTGGTCCTCTCTGTACAAAGCTTCCTGGTCTCCAAAGTCTCTCGCACGAATCCTTAGGTCCTTAACCATAGCTAGCAAATTAAATCGAATCTCATTTGAAGGATATCTTGAGATTCGGCGTTGAAGGACTGGTATCACTTTCTCCGGGAATTCTTCGACAGTACTTGGTCCATGCGAAATTGGTGCTGGTTGGAGTCCATCTAATTCGTATAGCACACCATTGAGGGAGGTATACGCGATGAAGTGATAGACGTCGTCGTCCTCAGTAGCCATACGCTGGGTCTCATCCACAAAAGGACTGCTCTTAGCAAAGCTATTATGGACATCCCTTATCAATTCAGAGTTACTCAAGGCCTCTCCACGAAACTCGGCCGGGAAGCCAGCTGTGAACTCCTTGAACTCCTTCAGAGGTTGTCCAACGTCGATCTCACCATCCTTATTTAAGAGAACCGAGAGCAGAGCTTGTGTACCGCAAGCATTTTGTATCGTCTGAGCAGCGAAGAACAGGTTCTCGGCGGCAGCCTCATCGTATTGTCCATCTTTAGGAGTGCCATCTGTGTTCGCTTTCTCGCCAGTAGGATATTTGAAGAGGAAGATGACACCATAGACTGGATTAAGTTGTCGTAAAACATCAGCATCCAATGCTATCAGTTCCTCGAATTGTACATCTTTCACCCCGAGGTTGTCGAGTAAGAAGGTGAAAACACCCTAGAAGATGTCAGCGGCGACTCTTTCGTAGCACATTCGTGTGCACCGACCGCATCGGACTCGACTAATTGCCTTTGTTAGCTATGGGAAGTTGGACATGTGCTCTAATAAATCTTACTGGTATTCCAACCTCCACTCATTGTTGATTGATGTTGAGTTAATGTTTGGACTCGAGCTCGACCATGCCATTATTTTCTTGAACCAGCACCGGAGCTTGACACCGGCAACACTTCGGGAGCGAAGACGTAACAATGCTGACTAAAGCTTGTAAGCACGTGATGCCCTTGCATCACTTATTTAGTGTATTATCCGTCCCCGTTTTAAGTAACACATTTCAAAATAATCCAATAAAAAGTTCATAAATTTTGGAGAATTTATGTTACATAGTTCAAGATGACAAGATGACAAGTTCCTTCTTAGGATACAAATACCTATCCTGTCTAACCCACCAACGTAACTACGTTGTACCTAACGAATATAAGTTTAAAGGAATAGAGTGTAGTTGGCAATCTTTCGCATACACATATCAGCATTTAATGTTGATCGCCTTACATTTGTATGTTTTACAACAATTACAAAGTTTATGAAATAAGACTTCGAGGAGCCACAAAATCAAATCGTAATTGATACACCTCATGTAATGATTTGAATAGTTATCATTCGTATTCGCTACATACAATGTCTCTCTTCAAAGTCCCAATCCAGCACATTATATGCTCCCATCAATTTCCGAGCTTCTTCAAATCCAAAATGTCAACTCTGCAATAATTTTTTCGCCATAAATTCCAAAAAAGCTCAGGGGCTTTGTAAACGCCGATCGCAATGCTGCTATGCCGGGGTATATATCTATAAGGACTGTGGGTGCTAGTATTCGTACAAAAAATATCGTAGCGAGATCGTAAAGGGTCGTTAAAAGCCATTAGACGATTGTAAAATGTGTTAAGGAAAGTCGTGGGTCGGTAATGATAATAGAACATGATTAAATAATGATTGAGATGCGTAGATCTCGGACGCGCGCGTAAAATCAAATGGTCGTAAGCTCATGATGAGATATTAAGTCTCACGGTCTTTTCCCTTTCCTGGGGCATTGGCCGGAGAATGGTAACGTGGAGGATAGCTCGGTAGATGTGAAAATTGAGGTGGTGGTTGGTGTTGAACATGTTGGTCTTGTTGCTCGTGTTTGATGCGTTGTTCTCCTTGTGCCAGTGGCTCAAAGGTGTATACTGGGGTAGTCCTGGGCGAGATGTTATTTTCGTCCGAAGATTAGATCCACAGGGTCTGAGGCACAAACCCGCCGAAATTGGAGCCGGAGCCCTGTCCTTCATAAAGAGCAAAATCATCTCCTTGGTCACTATAAACGATCGACCCGTCTCCTCCAAAGGCCGAAGAAGCTGGGCTATGGTATCCACCAAATCCGCTGGGCGAAGGAATGCCCAGGTAATTGTTGTTGGCAAAAGGATCGAGAATCAAAGGACTCATGGCAGTTGCCGAAACTGTCTCGGAAGGCATGGTCATCATGTGCTCCTGGCTGTAAGTAAAAGCGGGATTGCCGTATGGTGAGAGGTTGCTCCCGTAATTGTTTTGCATCCCGAATGGACTGCCTTGGAAGGTTGGGAATGAGGCGGTCCTCTCTGGCTGAACCCATCCCATGCGGCCTCTAAAGTTGGAAACCATGTCGATCGGATATTCCATGAGGTGGAGTGGCGTTTGGATATCAGCTTCGGAGTTTTGAGAAATGTTGATCGAAAATAGTCTCCTAGCGATTTCTTCAATAGGCCCAACAGACAGACTTCCAAAATACGCTGCACCGACTTCGGGAAAGAGGGGTTCGACGACCAATGCGACAGTGTAGTAGTGTGCAAGAATGACCAAGGCAGATGGAGAACCGCGAGTCTGTTGCAAAAACATGACCGGAAGCCAGAACAGCCAAGCGCGAAGGGGGTTGAGCATTTCGAATCGTTGGGCAGCGGTGTGGCTAGGAGACACCTTTCGAACGCCACGGACGAAACTCATGAGTTGCTGGATCGCTTTTACATCTTCGTTGTTCTCCTTGAGATGTTGCTCGACCTTTTGGAGTTGCGCATAGAGCTTTTGTAGCGACTCTAGATCCTGTTTTCGCGGCGCGCTGAGTTTCTTTCCACCAGGTGCTGGGGAAGGTGGTGCCGTTGGAAAGGTGCTTTGCTCAGCAATGAAGTCGCCGAACTGAGATTCATTTTTCCATGGTTGCATAGCATCGATGACCTGGGAAACAATTAGTATGAGATGCCGATGTCACTTCATAAATTAAAGACCTACGGAAGAAGTGCCATGCATCAACTGGGTCCAACCTCGCCTAGAAAAGGTCAGCATTAATTTCAAGCACGCGATCTATTTACTCACCATTCTGTTGCTTGCCAGGACAAGAGCAATGAAGCAGCTAAGACAGCATCGGAGTTTTGTCGAGAGAAGGCACCAATTGCTTCGTGCAAGCCCTTCAAGGCGATACCTCGGTGTTCATAAGCCATGTTGGCAGCCAGGGGGCAATTCGTAAGCCAAGCTAAATGAGTAGCTGACAGAGCGAGGAGAGCATGCATGACGAACGCATAATCTGATCCGATTCTGAGAAACAATGGAACCTGACGAGTCCAAATGGTGAAATTGCTGGCGTCATGAATCCCAAGCTCGCTGGAGACAGATGCAACATGGTGGATCAAGCGAAGATCCTCGAACGAGAAGAACTGGGGGGACGGTGCCGGGTAGATGTAAAGGTCGGGGAATGGGAAGTTTCCAGTACGTTGCCAGTTCTCGATGTCGGCTTCAATCTCAGGAGTCCACAAGAGATCAGCTTTTTCTGGTGTAGCAGCACGCTCTTCTTGGGCGGGCATGTCCATATAAGGGCATCGACAATTATGCTTGGTGCAGTTTCGACTACATATTATATTAGCCACAGTCCTGTGGAATAATGTTTCTTAGTTAATTTGCTCACCATTGAGGAAAGTTCTCATCACAACGAATGTGACGTCTCTTACAGGTCTCGCAACCTTTACGAGACTTGGTGTGACTGGAACATAGTTAGTGACAATGACACGGGAGACGTGAAACGGTAGAAACATACCTCCTACGAGGAGGACCACCACCTGGGCCAGCCATTGCTGAAGAAAAGATAAGATAAGTCGACGAGGCTTGAACGAGTGAAAGCCAACGACCAGACTTCTTCCTTGTGGAAGGTTGGTCGGTATTAAGATGAAGAGAAGATCGACGTGAGAAAGAAACAGCCCTGCAGGTACCAGATGTTTGCTAGAGCCCGAGGCAGCCGGATATATAAAGCGAGTGTAGGGCAAGATGGCGGAGCGGTTGAAGGCAACGTAGCTGATTTTCCAATTTCGAAGCGCAAATAAGCATCAACGTGGGGTCAGCCTAGCTAGTCCTGATGCAAGAACTGTATTGCCGGCGAAGAGTGACACAGGCAATGCACAAAGGCTCAACAAGTGCTTCTCAAGTCGGGACCAGGCTACGAATGGCTCCGAAGGCTTGCGGTGGGCTGAGGTCCGAGATGGGTGATTCGATCTGGATGATTTGGGAGAAGAGGTCAGAGTTGGGTTGGGTGGTAAGGTGGTGTAGGAGGAGTTGAGAGTCTCGGAAACTTGGAACGCAAAAGCGAATGACAGGAGTCAACGAGGACTTCCTAGGGAGATGGGTGCACAAAAGCGAGTGTGGTGAGCGGTCGAGAAGATGTGAGAGTGTAATGTTTGACTTTTTTGAGGTTTTCTAACTGCTGGCGATGGGCGTGTCTTAATACTGCTGCGGATTCATGTGGCCGAAGGGCAGAACGGCCGAAAGAGGCTTAGCGGCGGTGGCTTGTGTGGGTTTGGGAGGGAGCGGAGGTTTAGCGCTTGTCCAGGACTGCATCGGTGCCATGAAGAAGAGGTAGGGGAGGTGGTAGGGGGGTGGTGGGGAGGTCGAGGGGCGTCAGAGCCAGCACGGGACGGGTGGCAGGGGCCCGAGGCGAGGAAATATCACTCTAAATACTGTACAGATCTGTGCCAGCATTTTTACGGCTAGTCTTGGTAGCTAACGATCTACTTCGACCCCCCTTGAATAAACCGCAGTGGGTCTTCTAGAAGTTACGGTAAACTAGGCTGTTTGGCCAATAAGTAGTTGACGAAATACTTATCATTGCTGTAACAAGTAAAGCCTATATTTTCTCCACTGCGGTTTATTCAGGGGAGGTCGAAGTATGTAGCGATGTATCTAGCGAGGTATCTAGCTGTGAATGGAATCATACTGCTTAAAAGTACTACAAGCAGTTAGTAGACCACAGCATAACCCATTCTCTCCAATGCAGGGACGAGGGAGACCCGTCTACTAGCTTTTGGTAAGTCGAACGAGGATGACTAGGAGAGTAAGGCGATCCAGGTGGATACTCGAGCTTCAAGAAACAGGAGCAATTACTAGACAGTCAGACGCTGCGGAGGACGGCGGCTCGATGGCACAATTTGCACACTGACACTGTGACGAACAGACATGATTCTGTATTTACTGACAGCCGAGGTGTATTACATTTTCAGATCGCTACTCGGGTACAGCAGCAGCAGCAGCGGGTATGTTGCCAGGAACAGACCACAAATGAGTGGCCCAATGATGCGGTGATTGAGTTTGGGTAGGCAGTAGTGTTTGATACCCATCCTCCCTTGGTAAAGCATGAAGACAGGCTCTGGCAGAGGAAGACGGGGGCGGGTCAGCATGGTGCTGGCATGGCTCGTGGCAGCTGGGAGTTGGGAGTAGAGAGTTGGTGCCGGGATCTGCTGGTGTTGCTATGTATGGACGTGAGACCACGGCTGTGCTCACTGGACACGAGGTAGACGAGAGAAACGACAGTAGACACGCTGGATTCGGGGTGCTTGGGCGGTTCTTCAGAAGCTGGGAGCGAATAATCCACAGCCTATGCTGGGTATTCCAGCGTCGTACGCTGCTTCTGGACAGCCAGCAGCATAAGCTATCGATGGTGTATCGGGGATTCGGTACATTGGGTTGTATAGCCGTTCAAGATGACGAGCATGGAGAGGTCCGGGATGTGAGGGGAGGCCTGCAGAGAGACCGGCGCATGGTACGGAGGACCATGTCGGCGAAGAAACGATGTCATGGTTTATTATTATCTCGAAACTTTCGTATTCACACGTGGAATGTTCTGAGGTCCAGAGATGCTATGTGATGGGGAGAAAGTAACGTGCCAACAATATCAACGTCGGTATCGAGGCTCAAGCTCACTGCAGCGATATGATGCTGTGCGGTCGTACTCCCCACTGCAGTGGAGCTGTGAGCCTGTGAGCGCTGGAAAGAGAAGCTCCTGCGGTTATTGATTACACCGCCAACTCCACCATTGGACGGGCTGTTCGACCACTACTGACAAGTTTGCTGGCATTAATTACTGTAAGTTGACATTTCGACATTTCAAATACCTGAACAGTACGTTATGTGCCCCTACTGCCACAGTAAGCACTTGACCCAACCATCACCAGGACGTGCAGGCAAAACACCACGGCGTCTGCTCTCAGCCAAAAGCGGCCTTGTATACATACACTTCCTTGGAAGTCGGAGTACATTCACAATCCCATTTATCAAGAAAGGAAATACTAGAGCGCCGCTGGAGCATCTCCCTTGACCGTCGGGTTCCCGAACTGTTGTTGTCCGGCCGCAGTTAGCGGCGTAGATCAGAACCCCAAAGGCGTACAGCTCAGTACGGACGGTACATTTAAGGTAGAATATTTATAGCAACGCCCCATAAAACCCACCAAGATGCTCCATGCTAGGCCCTTTCAGATGGGTGATGGACTCTCGGGCAAACTCTGCCCAGTGAGGGCTGCCGTGATGGCCGGTCTTCATTGATTGGCCTGTCCGAAGCGAATCTTCCTCCCCTCTTCGGTGGAGGGCACTCAACACTGGTGCTTGAGTGGTGTGTTTCAAAGAATACTGCTGCCTAAAACGCCATGAAAACGACTGGGTGACCGAAGCTTTTCTTCTTCTTCGCTTCTTCGCTTCTTCGGGGGGACTTGGAATAGAGAAAAGACGCTGCTCATGACACATATTATCCTCATCTTGTATACTGGCAGTCGATGTTAAAACGCTGCGGGGCAAAATATATGGACTGACGATGCTGTAAGCGTCAGGTGTAAAAGTGCTTTGAGGTACACTGTACATCTGTATGAACCTATCATTGATCTGAAGACGAGGCGTACTATTAATCCAGTTTGTTTATTTGATTGGTATATGCGCTTCGATCAATTCTGTGTTTGCCCTTGAGTTTCGTCTTCTCCCGCTGTGTGACATCTTCCAAACCCGCTCAGAACTCCGATTCAGAAGCAGAGGACTCCGCCACAACCTACACCGTTTTCAGCCAACAACGGGGCCTTGTCATAGACGACTTTTGCAGCGCTCCGTACGGTATGTGCACCACAGCCTGACAACTCAGTCAAGCTCTGTAGTTTCCCCTTTCGGCGCTCCAGGGACCAAAACGTAGCAGAGAGTTACATCTTTCTCGTGTCCATTTTTGACAGAGCTTCGAACCATGCGGCTGTGCAGACGATCCAGGGGTAACTCTATGTGGGGGTTAGTTGGTGATGACTACGAGCTGCTAACCCTTCTTCACACCCTATCGAAAGCCTTCCTTTGATGCGCAGGGCGGTCAAGGAGAGTGATCGGTGGTCGATGTGACGGTTAGAATGGCAAACCTCTCAGAATAATCGCCTCGTGCGCTTTCTCTCCCTGTTTTTATGGATCTAGCTTCGGGCTAATAGCAGCCAATAGGCAAATCTTCTACCCTTGCAATACCGTTTCAATGTCCAAAAGGGTCATCAAAGCGACGAGCCGCATGAGAAAACCCGCTGACCTAACATATGAGCTGCTGAGCTAACAACCCACCTTGAATGTGAGTGGGCGAGAAAGTGTACAGTAACCGGGCAAGAAGGCCAAAATTAACTCATCGCCATCTTCCTGTCAGTAAAGTAGTATCGTGCTAGGTCGCCTATGTCCGTAGTGGTGGTACTTCAGTTAGTACTCCATGCCCAATTTCATTGATTGGTGCGTCTACGCCAGTAGTCGCCTCGTCTTGCTGTCACTGTTATTGATGGAGCGTTGCCATGTGGGAACACTAGTCATCGCTGCCAGTCCATGCCTTCGGGATTTGCTAACATTCTCGAAGTCCGTACGAAAAATGGATGTAGTGTACAGTACTGTACTATTATTGGTACCGGCTTGTAGAAGTATTCCAGGGTCCTCCGCGCCGATGCGGCTCCGCTACTGTACAGTCGATCAAGTTATCAAGCGACCTTGTGGGATAGTTTATGGCTAAATAATGTGTAAAACAAGCTAGCAATTCTCGGATCTCGCTATTTAAAGAAGGGGGATGGAGACAACTCTATTAGTTGGCCGTGCCACGCACAGTAGTTTGCGGCTCAGTTGGACTTTTGACCAGCGAAGATCTCCTCTTGAGTCGTGGTTTCAGAAGACCGACAAAAACCGCTCCAACTGCTTGTACAATATCATATTGTAAGGTTCAAGTCTAAGTTCCTGGCCCTCAAGGTTGACCTGGTCTCAATGATTCTGCAATGATTGCAAAGTTGGGTTTCTTGGGATTGGCAATGGCAGCTAATTAGCCTTTGAACATACTTGGAAGATCCCGGGGAAACCATGACGTGAGCAAATAATCTGATGGTTATGGCGACTAAACACTGAAGCATCTGAGGCGAATATGATTGTTTTTTTATGCATTTTGACAGAGAATGCTGTGCTGGTACCACTGGATATCCTGGCACCAGCTCTCTGCGCATTCTCACCGCCCTCCCAGACGCCATTCCGAAGATAAGTAATCGAGTCCTGGAAAAAAGCCGATTCATACACGCTGACTGTGCTGGTATGGTCGATAAATATTCCACCATCGGAAAGATTTTGAGATATGGTCATCTGCTATTTGCCTCAACACCACGATAATGCATCAATTATGAGTCTCCAATCCGATCATAGGGTATGAGGCGCAGACCCAAGAGACCGGAGCCAATCATACGGCCATACACTTTTCATCGGCACAGGGTATGATGGCAAAGTGGCAAGGATTGCAGCTATTTCTGGCCTAAGCTTTCTGGAAAATTGCCTGAACGAGGAACCCCGATGTTTAGCGAAAATGCCACCACAATTATGACCGCACAGTGTTGTCGCACAGCAGAACTCCCTGTACTGTAACCTCATCGTGGGTCGAAATACAACGTAACAGCGATCAACTGAGCAGACCACGCAGAAGAGTAGATGCGAAGTTTTGGGCCAGAGAGACTAGAACACTGAAGTGTAGCGCGGATCTCTCTTGGACCGTCGAGCAAACCTTTGCGGGTTGTCGAATTGCTTTAGATGTACACCAGTATGAACGTGTTTCGCTCTTGATTTGAATGGGGAAAAAGCCCCCAATCCCACCGCCTTGTCGAACAACTGCAACTAGATCCTTGGAGTCATGGACATGGACAACTAGTGCCCGTGCTTGGCATTACTGTACCTCATCCTGTGACCGGCAACCTATGATCGAGGTGGACATTTTCTCAAAGTCATTCGATTTTCCGAGAACCGAGGGTTAGAGGTTGAGAAGGCGGTGAGCTTGGAGAAGTCCAATGCAATGCACAGGCAGCCTGCAGTAAACAAGGAACAATAGCGTGACGTCCTAAGCGAGAAAGAAAACATCCCTACTGTAAGTATCAGTATTTCACTGACCGAGGCTTACAGATAATTCTCTGAGCTTTGGATAGCAAGAACAGGCCTATAATCGTGTTCTCGAACGCTCTCGAGGCTTCGCAAAGCATTACAAACATAACAGTCACCAGGTTTGGCCCTGTGCTTATGGCTTGCAGTGCCTGTACATCGACCTCGAGAGCCATTGTTCTAGAAGCTAGCCAAAAACATTCTTAGCAGCTCCAGGTGAATAATCTAGTAGCATTTGATAGGCGAAAAACATAGCTCTTGTAACTATCATTGGCTCATGGTGTTTGCTGCTTCGGGCGTATGTGCCACAACAAAGGTCGGCAGCAGCCCGCAAAGAGTTCGTTTGTGCTTCCTAGAATCATGTATTATCCCTGGAAACACCGCACAATGATCAGTTTCTTGGATATTGCCTACATGACTGGATATGGCCAAAGATGGTGGTGGACCAATGTGGGAATGTCGACTCGACAGGGCCTTCGATGCATGAGCCCACGAACAATCATTCGTCATTGGGTCGCATCCAACATGGATGCAATGATCATTCGGATTCATTGTCTGCTGGGTACGGAGGGGCCAGAAAGGGAGCAAGCCGACAGCCCGACGCGTATAGAACTCTCGTGGGGAGTGATGCAAACATCGACAGCTTGTCCGTAACTGGTCTTGTCGTCGTAAAAGCTCGAGGCGGGGAGCGAGGAGAGCTAGCGTCACTCGCTTAGCAACCCCTTTTAGGACTAGAACTCGTTCCATGCCGGGGCTTGTTTGTTCCCAAAATAACTTTGCCCACGGCTCGCTGGGCCCGTCTTCCATCTCGAAAGCGCATCTTCACAACACCACGCCCGCAGAGGTATCTTGTCTTTCACGATGTATCGCTTAAGTCCACTTTTGTACGCCACTACATCGTCTTATTTGCAGGCGCCTTTCCAACTATACTCCGCGGAATACCGCCGAGGAACGCCATAGCCTTCCATGACATCTCATCAAGAATGGGCGTTTGTGATGGCACCTACATACTTCTTATCAGTGTCCGCTTCCGTTGAGCTGAGGCAGGTCTACGGCAAACTCTCGTGCTCAGGTATCTGTTCTTGAAAGCCATATGGGCAGGGGCACTGTAGCCATGTATGCAGTCTCGGTATTGGCAAAGCACATATGCAATATCTTACATAGGGTTTGACCCCGCCTTATAGCCTGCGACCGGTAAACGCCAATCAGAAGTATAACGGCCATTAGGCGATGGTTGTCTTGGTCATGTTTCCATCTTTGATTAAGTATATTGACCATGAGCTTTTGGTTTACTTTAAATTGTAGTGCCATCCTAAGACGGACAGTTGTGGAAGGACAAACCACAACAGTGTCTGGCACACCCATTCCGCTCAATGTGAGCTCTGGAGATGCTCCGAAATCAGCATACCCGTATCAATCAGGCAACCGTCAAACTTCTCACTGAGAAGTTCTCAGAGCAAGAGCACTCCCGAAAATAGACATGATGCTGCCATCCCACATGGCAGTACGCATGGTATGCAATCATGTGTGAGTTTCGACCTTCCACGAGCGTTAACTTATTCGGCTCTTACAAATGCAGCAGAGCAACCCTCCTCTGTCGGGCATCGCTCGACCGCAGCGGGGTATACGGATTGGTTCTGATATGGAGTATTTTCTTAAGCGAGTGAGAGTCTATTGGTAGTAACGAGATCGCACACCGTTTCCTATACTTCATTTGCGCATGCTGGTGTGCACAGCATACACAGGGCTCGAGGAAACACATTGATGCATATGTTTGTCAGATTTATATCACTCTAAATGGGATTTCACACAAGTCATGGGCTAGGTCGAACTCTGCAGCTATGCCGCAGGCATAACAGCCCTATCATTATCTGCCTTGTTTCTAGCATATGGCAAAAAATACCTTCATCCAGCGACAGCGATATTGTAGTTCAACTTCACTGCTCTATTTCGGTACTCACATTACTCATTGGCCATGTTGCCCGCTTGGTTCTTTTGTTCTCATTAATTTACCATGAGTTGTTACCACTTTTTATCACTCCTTGTCAGTCCGAGCAGTCTACCACTACTATATTTAAGTTTTTCATCTTGATCAGTGGTTCAATTAAGTTCTCATACTAGCATTTGACTCCTACAAGGCTCTCTGGGAGACGCTTACATCGTTTCCAAGCACTTCAGCGAATCCCCTACACTAAGCGTCTATCTGCACAACCCCTCTGCCTACAGGAAACGGAAGATTCCAAAATGCATGTACTTAATTTCCCACCGCTTTCATCTCAAACGGGTAGTTTCGTGGAAAGATGACGAGGCCATAATTACATGTGCCGTAAAGGATTCGACAGGGCAGGTGCACTAAGCCTGCTGCCTAAGAGCATTGCTACTTGCCCGAAAATTGGCTACTAGTTTTTGCGGCTTCCCTTCCGCAAATATTTGAGTTTCAAAAACTCAAGCCACATATTTAGTTGTTCTGGTAACAAATTAGTCCATTATTGGAGTTGACAAGCGAGTTGTGATAGAGGCCAAGAGAATGCTGCCAGACACGGGTCAACGGCCCCAGGAATATTCTCATCTAGAAGAAAGCCGGAGAGGCTTGACGTGGTGGGGTTGCTTCATTATCACGGTTGGCGTTAGCTTGAGTTATAACTATCTATTTACATTTTTGAGTGTGGAATTCAAAGGTGTTGGTAGTATTGGCGGTGTGACTGGTGTTGTGAAATTACTCAGATACACCCGAGCACTTCAGAACATTACTTGAGATAATCATCAAGCAATAAAGATAAGTTATTGTTAATAACCTTCAACGCACTTGAAGCAAAACATTGCACGAATTGTAGAACATCGTTTTACACGTGCTCTTGGAACCTCACTGAGCCATTAATCCACATTTCCATATTAGGAGTCTTAGTCTGATATTCCTAACATTTGGCATCCACTGAGCTCCAGACCTTACCCTATCCTATCCTATCCAGAAGCAATCAACGCCTATTCGGAGGCCTATCTTAGTTATCCTCAAACCCCACGCCAACCAAACTACCCCTATAAGGCTCTTAGCACCCCGTATCTCGGCCAACCACATGATACCGAATGCGCGAGCGGACAAAAGGGACGCCCAACTCACCGGTACCGACAAAGTTTAAATCAGACAATGATAGAGAATCATACCACCTCTCCGGCTCGGTACTCTTCCGATTACTTCTTCTCGCTCCTGCTCAGCGGCTGACGGCACTCTTACTTGAGAAGCTCCTTCAAAAACCGACGACTAGTGTATAACGATACCGCGAAATTCCCACTACCCATTGGAGAATACCCACTACCCCGTTAGATCTGGCACTAAGTGTATTTCCCAAGGAAATCGAGACGGGATTTGGAACATGCGTTCGTTATCTGCGAAGATCATGGTTCCCGGAAGTCCGAAATATGAATCAAAATACCCCATATGCAAGGTTGAGAAACACCGAATGAAGTCCTTGAGCTTTTTATTTTCTATCTCACAGTAGCACAGCTAAGACGCCGTCCATCTCATGTCCACCAATCCTTCCCAATTATCTATTCCTCATGAGCCATTGAGTTGTAGCCCGTAGCTATCTCTAACAAGACCAGCTCTTGAGGGTGTTCTATCTACCTAAATCCACCCATCGACTCGCAAATATATTCGTCATTTATTCGCGCATTCAACCAATCACCCGAGGATACATCATAGGGACGTAGCATCATAATCATCATCGCAACTATCTAAGAAGTAACCAGCAAACAATTCGTTACTAAAGGGGTAGGTGTAGTATCTAGGATCAGGCGTTGTAAAAACCTTTGCCAAATGTGTATCTTCGCATATCTTTATTCACACTTGCAAAAGCGCGCACGCTTCATTGACCCTCGAAGGACCAGACAAAATTTTGTTCCGTGAGAACATTATCGTTCATCTCGCTCTCCGATTGCAACACGCTTTCGAAGATACAGTATCTATCATAACTTCTTTCTTTCGTGATTCCATGGCTTGCATTAACTGTCCAATGGCCGCCGATTAGTGTCATCCCGCGAATTTGTCCCAAGTTGGATCTTTCTATTTACATGTTGTATATCGAACGTAAGGCACTCACGTCCGCAGGGGCGACAGAGCTGGTAAGGAAGGCGTTCATATCGGGTATAAGAGACTTATAAACGTCTAGAGTCTGGACACAATAATTAGAATTGAAAGGAATGAGTGGAATAATCCTCAATCGTGAACTTACGTGCTGGAAGATCTGCTGCAGATCAGCAGTCAGCGGTGTCTTATAGGCCTCCTCCATTTTGTATCGAGCTATGACAGTGAAAAGTCGTGCCAGGTCTTTTTCCATGGCCTGGGGATTACTGATGATGACGAGGCAGAAACCCTTCATAGCAGTGGCTTTTTCTAAGGTGTAGTCGACGCTATTGATGGACTTGAGGAAAGGCTCCGAAAAAGTTGAAAGTGCTGGTGCCATCAGTGGGGCATTTTCTAGGCCGAGACGTCCCAGAGCTATCGCAGCATTCTCTAGTACTGATTTTGGTACTTCTGGATTCCCCATGATTGCAAGGTAACGACGCATCAATTTCTCGATGTGCGGTGCCATTTCCTTGCCATATTGGATAGAAATCTCGCCCGCAGACCAGCAGGCATTGTTCACAACACTGAACCCTGTCTCGATTTGCTCATCCAGGATAGCGTCTAAGTCAAGCTGCTGGATGAGAATTGGAAGAAGGGTCGGCAGGAAAGGTTGCAGTTGCGGGAAAACATACTTAGCGCAATCACCAAGCAGTGCGTATGATGATTGGCGCACCTCGTTCTCTGGGTCCTCCATACAGAATGTGAGTAGCTCAAATATTCGAGGTTGGGAGTCGGATACGAGCGCTGCGGACTGTTTATCATCGACGGCCTGTACAATAGCGCTTAGAAGGTCCAAGCTCGTTACGAGAAAGTCCTTGTCAGGGGTATCTAATCTTGGATTGTTAACCGCGGCCATGTATTCTTGCAAGTTTTGATGGATGATCTTGATACACCTGGTGAACACTGGCTGGGCAAATGGCGCAAAGTGTTCGGCGAGAGCGGTGGCGACATAAGACAGACACTCCAGTAATGGGAAAAGCTCCCGCGACTGATCTGATACCTTGTGCCATCGGTGAATGAGAGCTGGCATCAATAAATCGATGAGCTGGGGATGTGCGAGGCCATGGCCTACGTGCTCAGCTAAAGTTTGCACGCAGTCGTATAAAATGAACATATTCCGGTCTTTGTACTTTTCAAAGCATTGGACAAATTGACGAATGATGGGCTCGCAATAGGTCGTCAACGTTGCGCCCGCTTTCTCTTCAAGATGTGCGAATGCTGACGCACCAGCTTCTTGCACTCTTTTGTTGCCATCCAGCATCTTGGTGAGAATACCTTCCATCATGGGCTCAAAGAATTGAGCACGGAGCTCTGGAGTGGCAAGGCTGGCACCCCACGCAGAGTATCTTCCCAAAGTCCAACAAGTGATTTGTCTGACTAGTGGTTCTTGGTCGTTAAGCAGCGAAATGAGGTAAGGAACCAAATCTGGCAGATGTGGTGTGACTACATCTATGCATCCTTCTGCAACAGCACCCAGTGCCAACACTGCCGCTTCACGATACGGCCACTCTTCGTGACGCAAATTCGTCATTAAGTACGGAAGAATTGTTTCAAAGACCGGTCCCCCAAAGTCTGTTGCAAAAACGTCAAGCGCTGCTGCAGAACACTTTCTCAAATTCCATCGATCTTCAGGGTTTCCATCGTCGTCATCATCATCGTCGTAGTCTTCCTCGATCTCCCCTTCATCCAGATCATCAGATTCATCAAGTTTCTTGTATCCGCCAGCTCCATTTTGTGTCGTATCATCTCCGTCTTCTCCATTAGCCAAAGTTCTTGTACTTTTGTTCTTGGCAAACTGAGGCTTGATATCTTCGGCGCGATCCTCCACGTCTGCATCATTACCACCTCCTTCTAGCATAGCAATGTCTTCCTCGCTATAAACCATGCTCTCTAGTAGAACAGGGATGATTTTGTCGAGATAAGGTGCAAGAGACTTCCAAATTTCTCTGTGCTCGCCGACCGAGAGCCAAAACTCAGCAGCATCACAAGCTAACTCTTCATCCTCGATCTTTCGCTGCTGTGTGATCATATATTCAACAAGGCCCGCAATATGTGGCAGAATCTTGTCAGGTCGGATTTCGACGATTTGTACAAAAGCTCGACATACCTGCCGCCTCACATCAGGCGACGGATCGTTTGCTAGCTGGAACAGAGAGTTAAGAACAGCGTCAAGAGAGATCATTAACGCTTGAGGTTTATGTGGGATGAAGACGTTCAAAGTACCGAGAGCCAAACATCGTACTTTTGGCCTCTCGTGAACGGTAAATTCCACAAGCTTTGGAATGATGAACGCTAGCGGTCGCTGCCCCTGGTATTCCCTGTCTAGCATTTTCCTGTTGTCTTCACAGATTTTCGACAGCGCAGCCATTGCGCCCTCCTGACCTTCGGGTGTCACGTTTCCTGGCTCGTTTCCAATCAATGTAATGAGTTCCGATAAAATAGATGGCCATCCTAGAATGCCACCACATTTAACAATTTCCGTTATCACATTTCCGGCATAGCTCCTTATAGATGAGCTCTTATCCTGCAAGGCCAAAGGTACTGATGAGCGAACAAGAGCAAGACTATTTGGCGGAATCGATTTATATCCTGTTTTGATGTTGTTCTTTAGCATTACAGCTGCAGCGGCCCGAACGGCGTGATATTCATCCGCGGTATAAGTAAGGCCTGGAGGGACCTCCGAGCTGGAGAAAAGATATGTGAGGTAGTTATTGATATCCGGAGAAGTCTTTGCTTGAGCAAGCATCTGTGAAAAATCTTTTGTTAGCATGTATTCGAATATCTTCAACAATCCAGTTTTTTCTCGTAATGTGATACGTTGAAAGGAAGTTCTTCCACCAAAAGGCTATTATGAGTGAACCCCCAAATTCACAGAGGTATTGATGGTCGCGAGGATATCTCTAGCTACCCCGCCTTCTATTCTTCCCCATGTGTAGAATTTGTATTCGCCATGCCAAACGCAGTCTGGGATCTGTAGGTGGATGGAAAGAACTCACAATCTCTGCCTGCTTTTGAGCAGTCTTGTTATGCCCGCTCAGCGTGTCTCGGAGGCATCCTGATAACTGGCGCAACGGCTCTTGGTCTGGCTGCCATGCCATGACCACAACGTAGCCCTTGACGGGCGGTCAACTCAGATCTTTCCGATATGCAGGTACGCTGTGGAGGGAGGAATTGTCTCGTCGCAGTCGCACAAGTTTACTTGTAGGACGCTTAGGCGTTGGAAACCAGCATCTGTTAAGCAGATAGTTAGCAAATACGTGCTGGTAAATAGGGCTGCCAGCGCCGGCCCCAGCTTAGGGCTTTCAGTCTGCCAGCACTCACGGATTCGTGGGATTACAAGAGGATTGTGCGAGGAAGGATTTGCGCGAGAAGCTGGCTTCTTCTAAGCCTTTTGGCTTCGACGTGATGACAAAGGTAGTCTTAAGTTTGCTCGCGTCAAAAAATGGCGACGGGAACTCGCATCGAAAGGGTGTAAAATGTTGGTATTCTCCAGTGGTATGCGAAGAAAGGTGAGAGCGGGGCGGAGCGGCTTCTTGTGAAAAGTGGCAGAGGACCTGATAAAAGTTTTGGACAGGTCGGCTGCGGGGAAGGCGAATTTATTCATACAAGAGCACCACTAGTTTTAAAATCATTAGGATGCGCTCATTATGAATCAATACGTGTTTAATATTCACCTCGAGGATATGGGGGTCACTTGTTGCCAAATAGTAGTACAAATTCCTTACGGGCGTGCACGGAGGGGAAAGCGGCGGCTGCATGCGATCTCTAGCGGTAATACACATATTTCACAGTAATGTTTTGCTTGTTCATTTCTCCATGAGATAATAAGTTGTATGCAAATCTAGTGCTACTGAGGTTTGGTGCATTGATTTTAATCAAGTCTAGACTGTTGAGCTCCTCTTATATTACTGCACCAGGTCGAGATTATTTGGCAAACGGATGGAATGGAGTGCAAAATCTCGAGATATGAAGTACTCAATATTCCATACCTCTTCTCAGGGGGACCATGAGGCGCCCGATTAGGAGGTGCCTGTCACACGCAAAGTGGGACAAGACTGCATGGAGAATTGTTGCGTTGAGGTTTGAAGTCTGCATTGGGGTCCCATGAACCTGCCACGTTGGAGTAAGTGGACTCTCGTTTGGGAAAACCTTGAACAAGATGACCTTTTACAGACAACGCTGCCACAACCGTTTGTGACTCTCTGTCGACCTTCCTTTTGCAGCGGCTGGCCCAATGAAGGAGACCAAAACTTTGCCAGTCAACTATAGCGTAACGTAACCCAATCTTCAGCCATGGTACCGCAAAGTGTGACCTAACATGCTGTTGAGGTATGACAAGAATAACGGCTTCCGAGAGCTGCCGATATTCAAAAGACTTAAGGTATTGACACTAGTTCAGCATTTGTGTTGACGCCATGAATGCTCCCTATTTGTGGTTGATAGCTTTGACTGAACCACAGCGTGCAACTGTGAGACCGTTTCTTCGTCGAGCCCATGGTAATGAGTCACATCCATTAAGTCGCGGATCCTAGCTGGCTTCAGTCCCAGAGAGATATCCACCGTATTTCTGCCGTATTGCGTGAGCAACATAACAACATAGGTCGGCAGGTACATTATCGCGACAGATAAGGTATTAGCCGTTTCAATCTTCAGCGACCTCCTGCATCACAACCTCGACCACTTTCTTAAACCCTTCCATCTCTTCCTCAACCGTACCACCCATTCCTGCGCCAGCAAAACTTATTGAGTTTCCCACATAGACGGGACGTTTCGTTCTCCGAGCAAGCAGTTTAGCAAGGCGGGTGGTAAACTCCACAGAAGACTCGTATGTGTAGAGTGGAGTAGACAATGTTTGGCCAGCATTTAGTCTCTACTTTATGTCAGTCCAAATGTCTTGAAGCAGAGAAGCCATGGTCTTACGTCTGGCATAGCATAGACAAACGAACCAAGAGGAGCTGTGCTAGACGTATCGCTGTTCACTGTTGTAGTGAGGAAAAGGATTATGGAAGTCGATGAGATCGTAAGGCGGAGGTGTATCCTAGTGTCTGGAGCCTTCGGTAGAGGGAACGAGATCTCTATGGGTCGCCGCGACGAGCTTGTTGATTCTTGGTTTGCCATTTCTGTGTTGCTCAACGTTGTGTGTGAAGGTGAAGTGATGGTCTATTCGAGCCGCGACTCCAGTTGCTGGAAGACCGCGATTGTCATGCACGGACCACTCGAAATTTGACCAACTTCCTTTAGACGTCCACAGGTCTTTCTTTCTAGAACAACAGATTCCTATCTAGCTTGGAAATATGACTTGGTTTGAGCTTTCCGTTGAATACCAAGGTAGCCAACAACTAACTCTACAAGTTGCTGTGGAAGACTCAAATTGTTCCATTATACGTGGGCTAGATCCTACTTTTCTTGCTTGCTACCACCTTATAATTCTTTCGTTACAAATATACACCTTCCACCCTTAGTCTACTCAACATAGTGGGTATCTATGTCATTTAACCAACTGACCATAGTGGGCGATATAGTCTTTACAACCCTATCTCTTTGAGCTTCTGGTTCAGCCATTTGACATCATCTTTGCTATCACCCGGTCCACCAGCCCAGTGGCCCCAAATCTGTCAAAAAGAAGCATCAGCTTAGGCCAAAATTCAACAAATTGGGAGGATTAGGAACAATATTAGAAGAAGAAAAAAAGCGGATGGCGGCTTACTGATGGAAAGACTTCCAGCTTACCGACTCCGGTCTTCATACTCTGGACTTCAATTTCCGAATCTTCCGGCCTAAGAAAAGGTTAGAGACCGCGTGAACAGAGGAATTGCAGACACTAACGGGAAATACAGGTCGGTCTTAGCTGGAAGTACTAGCATTTTACACTGAATTGCTTGCATAGCCGCAGTGAAATCCCCGTCGTACGGCGCTTGGTTTGAGCAGTCGCCAGCTTGCCATGTTTCCAGCATAGCAAGCATATTTTCGGGGTCTAATTTCTGTTATTCTCTGGCATATTCGTGGACTAGGGCTTTTTACCCTTTGAGAGAGCCCATTTCTCCCAGAAGTTTACCATGAAATCCTCTAGGTTTTTGAAACCCAAAACACTCTCATGAAGTTTCTCGCGATAGAAAGCTTGTGAGAAACCCCATCCAGCGTAAACTCTTCCAAGTGCCTTCAAACCAACACTGGTCTCTTCTTCACTCCAGGTACGATAAGTTTCACCCGCCGAGAGCGCGGTGTTTTTGCAGACACCGGCTGAAGGGTTCTTTCGAGCTGCTAGCAAAGCCGATTTAACTCCTTCGAGAAAAACCTGATTATGCAAGCTAGTCTTGGCCGAGCCACAAAAAGGAACACATATATCCATGAACGTTGGATAAGCTATATTGGAATTAGCCAACTCTGGTCGGAACCATGTTTGGATCGGAAGTGTCTAGAATAAGCATATGCTCGCCTAACTTGAGCGAAGCACGCCTGTGAGTTCAAATTTGCTCGAACAAGGGTTCATTCCCGGAGGGACGTTTGTTACTTACTGGTAGCCCATCTGAATAATAGTTAGACCCCGGCAACTGTCAAGATGGTATGCATTTTACATACTGGTAGGTCTGACCCGCTCCCATCGACCACCCTATTACTGCTCTAGCATGCTCGATCCCCAAATGTTTGGTGATTAGCTTGTGCTGAGCGCTGACGTTATCAAAGAATGTCACTTTGGGCCATGGCTTGATATTAGAATTGGATGGCGATGTCGACTGTCCATTTCCGAAAAGGGCGGTGACAACGATGAAATATTTCCTTGGGTTTAAGACTTGATTTTCACCAATGAGCCATTCGTTATCAGCGATAGCTAGTTCATGTTAGCGAAATACCATGGTTACAGATACTTTGCACCTACAACCCCTGTCCGATAGTTAGTATGTTCACGCTATGTTCTACAGATGAACTCACGAGTACCAGGACGGATAGATAATCACTGGTGATTTGGCATCGCCAAAGGTTTTGTATGCGATATGAGCATCAGGTAGGGTCTCCCCAGACTGGAGCTTCCAATCTCCAAGCTTGAAGGTCTCAACTCCAGACATTATTTTTAAGAATTACTGAATGGTAGCTTTTGAGAGTATAGAACACAGAGCAACAGAGGTAAAGTCTGTAATTTTGTTCTAGAACGTCTTTTCTTGAATTATATTTCTCGCTGGGTGGATGTTAGCTTTTGTACTTGGAGTCGCCAAATTGGTGAAGTATAAGAGTCAAGACGTCTTACAAAGCTGATAAGGGATTACAATCTTAAAATTTCCAGTTTGTACTAGTTACAACCTTCTCAGCATGAATAAATGACGGTAATTCTGGACATCAGATTTAGAATGGTTTGATTTGTAGGTCAGTTCTCTACTCGTATCGAGGTAGGCGATGTTGCCAGGATCACGGCAATGTTTCTACCCCTCCTCGTGAATAATGGGATTGGCGGGGTCGACCTGCGCTTGGCGCCGGCTTTATTCCGCGTGCATCAACCGTTGATCCATATCGTCATAAACAGAAATTACAGACACCCTGGTTATTAGAACTTTCTCGTACTGCTATACCAATCCACGGGGAGAAACTCAAGGGCAAGAACAGACAAAGATCCACTAATACTGAATTGCTTATGATACATTCACGGATATACAAATCCATACAGTAAGTCCAATTTACGCAAAAACAGACCAATGAAGTATGACTGATCTGTACAGTACGATTCCATTTACGACTGCCTTGAACAAGAAGTCTATCTCGCCCTTGTCCATTCGCCATCCCTTTACCATGTCGTCCAGGGCAGATGTCGAGAAGCAAATCAAGCGAAATCCACATCCAGATTTCAAGAAAGTGGAAGGTAGCCGAGCTCCTTGGGACAAGTCGCTAGAATGGAGCTTGAAGCAAACAGTCAAACCTGATTGGAAATTCGGAGATGGTAGCAATGACGGGGGCGCATGTCTGAAGGTTCCACATGTAGAAATCGATCCTTATGAGGAAGGCCGACCCGCAGTTTACAATTACAAATTATTGATTTCTGGCATCATCCCGCGTCCGGTGAGTGGATGGCCGATACTCGAGTCGTTTCTTTGCTAACTTTCGCAAGATTGGATTCATCAGCACGAGATCGAAAGATGGATCTAGCACAAATCTTGCGCCATTCTCGTACTTCAATATGGTCAATCACGATCCTCCAATGTTTACGGTAGGGTACGCTGGAGGATTCGATAACGCGAAAGACTCTTTAAAAAACCTGACAGAGTCGGAGGAATGTGTAATCAACATTATTTCCGAGCATTTTGTAGAAGCAGCCAATGCAACCTCCATCAATGCGCCATATGGTGAGAGCGAATGGGCGCTGAGCGGTTTGACACCTGCTTCTTGCACAACCGTTAAAGCGAGCCGCGTTCAGGAGGCAATCTTCTCAATTGAAGGAAAGTTAAATAGCACCCAGGAATTTGAATCTCGCGCCACCCCAGGAAAGAAGACTGGTGTTCTAGCTGTCATTGAAGGTACACGCTTCTGGGTTCGAGAAGACGCCATTAACGAGGATAAGAACATCATTGACCCAGCTGTAAGTCAACACAAGGTACCGGCTTGACGAAGAAATACTAACCTACGCTCAGATTTTGAAACCAATCAGTAGGTTGGGTGGTATTACGTACGGCCGAACGACCGAGGGGCTCGAAATTCCTAGACCAGATTATAAGGAGACGGTCGAGAATAATGAGGAAGCTAAGAAGTTTGTGAAAGCGAAAGTTGATGGTCAATAAATAGACATAGTGGTGTTACCTGAGCGTATGGATATAGAAATGCTGGCCTTCGAAGTATAGTCTCAGAGCTACCAAAGCACAAATTCGTATAGAAAGTAAATCATAGTTAATAATGATGAACACGAAATATCCTTCTTTTCTATTAGCATCTAAACAACTGATTATCTCCTTGAAATTGCTGCAAAACCATGTACAAGCTACTAATAAATGGTGATAACCTTCCTGTGTCAGCGCCCGAGTGTTGTGGACTCCTAAATTTATTTCATTTTTTAGACGAACAAAGGAGATTGAAAATAATAGTGTAAGGTGAAATATCGTTGGACTTTAAATGAACGATAGGTCTTGTGCCATGTGGAGAAATTCTACACGTACCACTCCATCCATTTTATAGAAGTCACAAATATCACACCCATTCATGCTCTTTGCTCATCTTCCACTAAGGGAGTTCCCGATAACCAAGATGCCGAGGCATAAACCAGCATTTCAGGGGTCCAGCTACCCCACATTGATGTTTCCCGAGCTCTTGGTCGAAGACCTTCTTTCAACCTCACTTGCAACATTGCCATATTGTTTCATGTATCGCGTTACACAAGTGTGATTTTCTGAACTTATTGGACACTTTCCTACAGTTTTTATCCTTCAGTCCTGTTACTGGCATCTATCTCATTATTAATTTTTAAATCTTTACACATTTCTCAACTCGCAATGTCTAAATACGACACGGAGCTCAAAGACTTCCCCAACATCTTCTCTCTCAAGGGCAAAGTTGTGGTAGTCACAGGAGGCAGCAGAGGATTAGGTCTTCACGCGGCATCAGGGTACTAAATCCTTCATCGGGCTTTGTCCTTCATCTAACATTTTTAGTTTCCTCCAAGCAGGCGCATCAAAAGTATACATAACATCACGCAAAGCCTCTGCTTGTAACGAAGCTGTTGAAGCCCTCAATGCGCTACCAAATCTCTCTCCGGGTGCAAAGGCAATCGCAGTCCCCGCTGATAGCGCAAAGTTTTCCGGCGTAGAGCATCTCGTGAAGGAAGTAAGCAAGACGACGGACCATGTGGATATATTGTTTGCGAATGCTGGAGCAACCTGGGGTCAAGAATTTGATACGCATCCTGATGATGCATTCGCCAAGGTTATGGATTTGAATGTTAAAAGTGTTTTCAACACTGTTAGACTGTAAGCGTCGATCACCAAAAGAGCGCACAGCCGAAACACTTATTGACGTGTGAGATAGCTTCGCGCCTTTGCTTCAAAAGAAAGGCTCAATTGAGGACCCATCTAGAGTTATAATTACTGCTTCTGTTGCTGGCATAGGTGTTGGGACTTTGGGTAAAAATGCCACTTTTGGATACTCGGCATCTAAAGCAGCAGCCATCCATCTCACCAAGAATCTCGCCGTCGAGTTAGGACCAAGGCATATACTGGTCAACTCAATCTCCCCTGGCTTTTTTCCCAGCAAGATGACCAATGGACTACTAGATCTGAGCGGTGGCGCAGACACCATTGCTGCCAAAAATCCAAGTTTGAAATTGGGAAAGCCGGAAGATATCGCAGGTCTGGTCGTATTTTTGTCGAGTAGAGCCAGCTCACATATCAATGGAGCAAATGTCGTCGTTGACGGTGGCGAGGTCCTGTCAAGAGGTGGTATGGTGACTTCAATGCAAGGAGAAAAAGCGAAGCTTTAGGGAGAGATTGAATTAAAATCTCTGATCATGCTTTGAGCTGTTTCTGGGCATTGTAAATATGACTAAGGCAAGGTAAATAACACATTGAACCCTTGGTATATATTGTGTTATCATTTTTTCCGAGCGGTCCATGAACTAATCTTGTAAGTATTTTGCAGCATACTGTTGGTATCCTGGATGTATGATGCACTTTTTCCTGATTCCCTAGACTCAATTTCGAACCCCATCTTTTGCACGAGTGCGATCATTTCGTCATCTGTGAGTTCGAAGCTGCCAGGGTCGGCAATACCTAAGAAGCGTCAATAACAGCGTAGATCATACTGATTGGAAAACGAACCCATCGTTTCAAAGCCAATCGGCGGTTCCTTTCCATGATTTCCAGGCGCATTGTTTTCGAAGTGCCAGAGTAAGGGTCCTGTGTTGACAAGAACTCCTCCAGGCTTTAAGCAGTTACGGATTACTTCAAGATACCGAATTACATTTGGTGCAGTATCCAGAAAGAAGACCGCAGCAACTGCATCGAACCTGTTTTTTTGCTCTTCACTGTCGTACAGTAGCAAAAAGTCTGATGCGCTCATGCTCATCTCCCCACCACCTTGTATCTCGCCCAATACTTGGGCAGGATTTATGTCAGGAATCTGGACCGATCTCAAGTGGCTTGCTCGATCTTGATGATTCGAAAAGGAGTGAATCCACGGGTATAATGTATGCATGCGTGCTTTCGAACAAGAGTTGAGAATGTACGCACTTGCAAGGAGCTGATGATAACTTATCTCATTTCCTTCAGAATCAAACCCAGCACAGCATAGGTCAAAAACCAGACGACCCAGTCCTGCGCCTGGAACTAGAACTTGCAGCTTTTGGTCAACTTTGACAAGAGCTTCCTTGCGCAGGGCTTTGAAAATAGGCTCATAGCATGCTTCTCGTTCTTGCCTACCTTCCTCAGACCAATCGCGGAAGAGCTGCCTAAGTGTACTCCTGGCTTTCTCCAGATCGTTCGGGGATGCAGAAGTAGTCCAATCGCTCTGTTTGTCTGCGATTTGATCTCGTTCTGGCATCGGTACTCCAAATGAATGTAGCCCCGCAAGAAGGATTGCATGGGATATTTCTGCATTCTTGTCGATTGCATTATCTACTGTGTCTAGAGTATCTAGGTATGAGAATGGTGGTTTAGCAAGAAGTTCCCAATGAGCTCTTGGAAGCGCGTAGAAAGACTGTCTTCTCAGATGAGTGGTGTTCCAATGAGCAACCCGGGAATACTGGCTGGATATGGGTTAGCGTTTTCCTTCGATTAGTCTGCAACAAAAGTAACCAAGAGTTCGCGGTTGGTGAAAAGTATGAGCTTTGGGTCGCCCGACATCCACCAACCAACTCAACGTGTTTCTGATCCCGTATGATACTGTGTAGTTTTCACTCGAAGGAAAATTTGGAGACAGTCCACATACTAGAAAGAGGATAAGGCTCCAAGAAGAACTTTACGTTCCTCGTCGTCGCCTTCATATGTGTCTCCGTCGTCTCGCAGTTCCGAACCCGTCATTTTGTCAGTTGTTTTGGTGTTGGAGGTTGGTCGTGTTCTAGACCCTGTATGAAGTGTTAGTCTACAGTACCCGCCTGTGTGGGGTGTATCAAATGCACTAGAATCCGTACTTGTACAGGCCAGGGTGATATAGACCCACTTTTATCGGCGCCAGTGTAGTCAACTTCGAACATTCCTCCAAACCGACACAGTATTCAAACATTCCTATTTACGATCTACCCAACATCGGCGCAGGGTTCTCAACTTTGCAGGCTCATCGTCAGAATGGCGAGTTCTGAGCCGCCGCGGTATGGCGTGACAGCTCCCCTTTCGACTGCACTACCTACGGAGAACGAGATCGCCTGCACACACTCATTAATAGAAGAGCTGAAGCGCCAGAATAACTACGAAAGTGCCGCAGAAACCAACAAACGGTAAGTCTTGTAGCAACATCTAGTGGTGACGTTTGGCAACGCTTTCATACTAACATATGGTATTGTTCACGTCGCTGACATATGGTGCAATCAGAACCGTCGTCCTACAATCACTACAAGCCATCGCCGAAGAGTTTGTCAAGCAAGTATGCAGGGCTCAAGGAAAGTCAGAAAGAGTAGCAAATGCCGCAGGAGCAAAGATCTGTACATATGGCAGTTTCCGTCTAGGCGTATTCGGCCCCGGCTCAGATATCGACACCCTTGTGGTGGCCCCAGAAAATGTTAAAAAGGACGACTATTTTAAATACTTCCCAGATCTCTTGACCAAGATGGCCCCGAAAGGCTCTATCACAGACGTCACACTTGTGCCGGACGCCTTTGTACCCATCATCAAATTCGAATACTCTGGAATCAGCATTGATCTTATATTCGCGAGCATTCACCTCGAACAAGTCCCCAGAGATTTGTCTTTACAAGGACAAGATATGTTGAGGGGTCTGGATGAGGCTGGTGTACGCTCACTCAACGGTACTCGAGTAACGGACGAAATCTTGGCCTTAGTCCCTCAAACGGGCGTGTTCCGAACTGCACTTCGTGGGGTTAAGCTTTGGGCGCAAAGGAGGGCCATATATGCCAACATCATGGGATTCCCTGGTGGCGTTGCCTGGGCTATGATGGTAGCTAGAATATGCCAGCTTTATCCCAAAGCCGCTGCATCGACGATCGTGTTGAAGTTTTTCAGACTTATGGAGAAATGGCAGTGGCCAATGCCAGTGCTTTTGAAAGCGATTGAGCCTGGCGAAAGCCTACTTAAACAATGGAACCCAAAAGTATGTGATACCTCTTGCTTTCCCTGTATATGACTAATTTCTAGTTATACCACCAAGATAGATTTCATCTTATGCCAATCATTACACCCGCCTTTCCTTGTATGTGCGCGACTCATAATATCACGCAATCAACCAAGCTCGTTATTCAACGTGAATTGAAGCGCGGTGGAGATATTACAGACAAAATTATGTCAGGAAAGCTCTCTTGGAAGGAACTATTTGTTAAAAACACGTTCTTTGCGAAAGACTACAAATATTACCTTTCAGTCATCGCTTCTAGCACGTCGGAGGAAAGCCAGCTCATTTGGAGTGGTGCTGTAGAATCTAAAGTCCGTTTCCTGTGTGGATACCTAGACAGCCACCCATCAATTGCCATAGCTTGTCCATTTAACAAAGGATTCGAGCGACAGCATAAATGTCACACCGACGAAGAAATCGAGAAAGCAAAGACCTGTCTCGATTATCAGGTGAAAGATTCTTCCGCCGAAAACACTGAACCGAAGGAACAGCATTCCAATGTGGTCGAGACAAATGGACATGAAGAAGTCAAGCCAAAACAGGAGGAAAGTCTTACAGAAAAAGTGACTACCGTCTATACCACGACATACTATGTAGGCTTAGAGTTGGAAGAAGGTGAGTGTCTCCATCCCGGAACCTATCATGATATGTTGCTGCCTCTAGGAGCGGGTCCCAAGACTATGAGATTTACGGTTCCGCTGTTGCAAGGCCCGGCTGCTGATTGACGCAGGTGCCAAATCTCTGGACTTATCGTTTGAAGTCGACAAATTTAAAGGCAGGTGCATCATGTGGGACAAATACGACCAGGATTTGATGGCTCTAAATGTCGTGCATACCAAGAAGTGCGTATATTTGGGCGGCTTTCTTTGGCTTTAAACTGATTTTCTATAGCTGCGATCTTCCAGACGATGTTTTCACTGAGGGGGAAGTCAAGCCATCTCGGTCATCAAAGAAGAAGACAGGTGGCACGTCGAAGAAACGTGCAGCGACTGTAGGTCCTACATTTTACACCCCATCAAGAACTCACTCGCCCCTCAATGTGGAGCTCGTCGTCGTCGGGTATATAGCGTTGCTGACTTTGCACAGGAATCTTCGAGTGATACCGCCGCAAAAAGACAACAGACCAAGTTGCCTGCGGCAAGCTAGTTCATGTGCGAGCGTATCCTTTGCCCTTCTTTCTTTCTGTGATTGACCGAAATCTAACATCAGGCGTGCTCGACATCACAGTCTTACTCATCTGCTTTCCATCAGATACATTCTTTACAGAACAGGCCGGTTGATACCCGCGCTCATTCAAGAAACCATTGCTAATCTCCGATCTGCACAGCGCCCTTGAAACCAACAGGAGACAGCCATTGCAATATCTAGGTCAGGTTTATTTATGAGTTGGGGACACACCTTGGCATAACATGCCAATGTCAACAATTGGGGGCGCTCTGGTGTAATGGCTTTTTCTTCTAAATTTCCGGCGTTGGTGGAGACGAACAAGTCGGAAGGCTTCGATCGAGGTAGCATTAGATGGATCATTCACTGTGTATTATTTAGCTTCCACAAATATAATTCCATTTCGAGACCAAAGAGTCTCGGTCTACACACAGATTATGGGACTCAATCTCCATCGGACTTTACTGTTGGTGCCCTGACGATCCGCACTTTAAGCATTTCCCTCCCCTCCCTTCAAGCCCGCTCAGGCACGTCAAGTTCTAGGTTGGGATTACGTCACAATTCTCGACCACCTGGGCAGAACAGGAATGTCATACTTCAGGATACTGGAGTATACGGAAGAAAACTAGATATCATTTAGGGATATCGTTCGCACGAAGCTTTTCGCGCCCGTCAAATGCTTGGTTATCACGTAACACATTAGCTGGTTTGAACTGGCCCAAGTCCGCGCCCGCAACGAACCGAACCGCACCACTACCACTTTCAACTGAGTGGCTTCAGCATCAAGATTCACAGTCCCACATCCGCACCAACAGCCGTATGCGCTACCTCTCCTCGTCATAATTAGTTAAAAGTGGCGGGACCAACGTCGTGGCGTTCGAGAGCTGCTCACCCTCATCATCGTCAGAGCTTACTACGATACTTGTTTCCGCACCCTCGAAGAAGCACGCGAGAACGACTAACACGGCTCCGATTCGAAGTACTACCTAGATACAAATTACGAGCGCAATCGCGGATATACAGCTTGATAGTCAAGCATCAGAAACGTAGACAGGCAAAAAGAGCAGCGGGTTCTGGCATTCTTGCTATTCTTCGGCGCCGCGGGCGACTAGTCTTCGGAGATATAAGCAAAAACAATGAGCAGACGAGCCAGTCGCAGGTGACCATGTCAGGCTCAACATCTGGCTATGGCGGAGGGAGTCAGTCTAGCGATGGTAAAGAGCTTGGATCTCGGAGGAAAAAGCTGGCTGGGTACTTCAAGGCTGCCAACGAAATCCGCCAATCCTACCAGCAGTCGTATACCCAGAAATGGACAGGAGATAATGGGCAGGATGAAGAAGATATGAGGGGTATTCCAGGTTCGTTTCCTGATGTGGCTATAGTATCACATGGAGACGAGCAGCTTGTGTTGTTTCCATCTTATGCACGAAGGCATACGAAGGAGCCCCCGAATGCCCGCTCAATGGACGAGGAAGACGGCCCGGGTGATGCCGAATATTGGGCTCGGGAATGGCAGAAGTTCGAGGATGATAATGCCATCGTCGATGTCGACGTGAGAGGTTGGATATATTCGCCCCATCGAGGGCCCATCTCGCGGAAGAATAGGGTGCTAATTGGGCTCGCCCGGCAGCTCAGTGGTATACCTGCTCCAAAAACACCTAGCAGAGATAACAGCCCAGACTCGACATCATCAATTCGAGCCAGACACAGAGAGCATGAAGCTCGACGGGAGCAGGAGAGGATTGCGCTCGAAGCTGAGCAGATTTTGAAAAAGGGCGAAGGAGAAGAGAACGTGGCGTCCAGAGGAGGCTATAGCGAGAAACCTGGCTACGATTCAGAATCTGAAAGCTTGTACGGCGATCGTCGAAAATCTCTTACGCCATCAGTCGGCTTAGACGACCCTCCTGGACCCGGACACCTCTCAAAGCGATCTTCTTGGAACCATCCTAACGATATGAGCGCGGCAGAGTTGTTAACCGCTAACTCTCATCTCATGGCTCGCTTGCGGCCATTCATGACGAACCCTCTTATCTCGACCCCTATCACGGTTTTCTTTTATGATGAGAAGACTTCTGTGTCCAGAACCGTGACAACTAACGAGGCTGGACATTTTATCATGAGAGCAGCGCTCAATTTTGTTCCTACTCATGTCAGGGTCTTAGCCTCGGAAAATTTGTCCGCTACTGAGGAAGTCAAAATAACAGAGCCGAAAGGCGTAAGTCTCATTAGTGATGTTGACGACACCATAAAGCACTCTTCAATAGGAAGTGGAGCACGAGAAATATTCCGAAACACCTTCATTCGCGACCTCGGCGACCTCACAATAGATGGGGTAAAAGAATGGTACAACACGATGTATGATATGGGTGTCGGTGTACATTATGTTTCCAATTCGCCATGGCAGCTTTTCCCAGTCCTAGTTACATTTTTTCAGAAAGCTGGCTTACCCCCCGGATCCTATCACCTGAAGCAATACAGTGGAATGTTACAGGGAATCTTTGAGCCTGTTGCTGAGCGGAAGAAAGGGACCCTCGAGAAGATAATGCGAGACTTTCCCGAGAGAAAGTTTATTCTCATTGGCGATAGCGGAGAGGCAGATTTGGAGGTGTATACAGACATTGTAATTGCGAATCCCGGAAAGATTATTGCAATTTTCATTAGAGACGTTACAACACCAGATACTGAGGGATTCTTCGACTCGGCAATGGGACCGTTGAGTGGCGAACGTGGCAGAGGGAGAAAGGTCCCTCAAAGAACGAGTACCAGTGACAAAAGAACGAGTACTAATGACAATACGAGGATTAACACTTCACTAGCTAAAGGTGCTGAGCGACGACCACCACTCCCTCCTCCATCCTCCTCCAATTCTGTAGAGAGGCGACCCACTCTTCCACCCAGGATACCCTCAGAAACTAAACCACAGACCAGTGCTGGGCCAGCAATGGGAAAACTCATTGATTTCGACGACGAACCATCAAAGTCGGATGTCCATGAGTCCCATCGTCGTATAATACCGCGTTCTGCCTCTGATTTTCAAGTCTTAGACTCCTCCAGGCGCAAGTCAGCGCCTGATGGTTCAGAAAGAGTACCCCCCCCTCGTCCAACAAAACCAGAAGCACTCCGCAGTCTATCAAGGAAAGGCGTAGCATCTGAATCGTCCCTGGATTCTAAGAAGACAGCTCCACCACCACCCAAATCCCGTCGAAGTCCGGCTCTTGCTGATAGTATTTCTCATCCGTTGTCACAAGCGCAAAGCTCCTCTGATTTACGGTCATCTGATGAAGAAGGATACATGAGGAGCGCGCGAAGTAAAGTTTATTCTGTCTATAACTCACTGCCAGAAGTCCGATCTTATATACCCGGCCATAGTTCTCCATCTAAGGATTTAGAAAATCGTGGTGGCGAAAGAGCTCCGCCTCCGCCGCCAAGAAGGACTGGTACCAGTGGTTCTATATCTGGCAATATTACAAAACGCATGTCGTGGAATAGCACTGATTCTTCTGATGATGAGCGCCCAAACGTAGTCGTTAACAAGAAGCTTGAAATGTGGAAACAGAGATGGAGGCGGGCTCAAGATATTCTTGGGCCGAAAGGCGTCATGCTTCGGACCTGGAGAACTGGTGATGATGTTTGTCTCGACGCAGTGCACCTAGTGGAAAAAAATATGAGAGAAATGGGAGTCGAAGGGTATGGCAAGAGCAGTAAGAAGACAGGTGAAGGTGGCGGAGAAGTGAAGGTAAAGGACTTGAAGCGATGATGGATGCTTCTTTTGAAGAGACAGAGTGTTTGAATTGGGGGTACACATACGCCACAGCAATCTGAATGCAAGTTAGACGTTCCTCCCCGAATTTTCCTTACGAACCATTTTTTGGACCATGGATCCTAAAGGCACAGTGAGGTTTTTGAAGTTCGATATCCAGCTGCATAGTATCGGAAAGGCTATCCGTTCGCCCAATCATTTACTCGTCATGAATTGTCTTGCATCTTTCAGCTTGGCTGAGCGACGTGTCTATGTTCCGTTTCCGTATATTGTGGCGTCAAGTTTCAGCCCTAAAATTGGTAGCCTCGGGGGGAGAGAAACAAGAATACTGATAGATTGCTTGTGGTTGTTTTTTTTTCTTCCGAATCAGCAACAATACTACTCTGTGTCACTTCTGGTTGGATCTGCAAAGCCAGTCTGAACTGCCAAGTTTTGGCAATTGAATAAGAGAGCCTCGTCATGGAGAGACAGAATCTAGACGTTGAAGCTGAATTTCATTTTACGCCTTCCGAGCCGTGCTTCTTTCCGTGAGCTTTATAGCACAGCACTGCCGCCCAGTTCAATATTTCTAGTCTCCTGGCTCTAAGAAATGCCGATCCTCCTCTCCTGGTGCCTTGGATTATGGCTCAACAATTCTTTTTGATCTGCATTTTACTCCTGCTAGGACTCAATAACGATGTCACTGCCGAGATGCCAACCATGGTAGTTGGAGGCTATGGAGTTGCGCTTGCTCCAGCACCGACCGATCCGCCACAGCGAGAGCTTGTGAAAGCCAGATTGAAGGAGAGAGATGTGACTGTTTGCAATGAGTGGACTATACCTGGAGGTTTGTAGCGTTGGCGAAAGGTAATAATTTATTCGAGCTGGTACTAACGATGTTGACCAGGTTATGGGATACCACAATGCGCTAATTCGGAAACTTGTTTGTTCACAAGTGTCGGTACTTACAATTATGAAGGATGTGGGAGTGTTGGAGTTGCTTATAATTGGATTACTCGTGAGCCTTTTTGCTGCATGTTGAACATCTTATCTCTGACAAACAACAGAATGCTGGGATTCGCCAAAAGTAGGAACAGCACCTATTTCCCAACTCTATTGTTCGTCTGCGGAGCCATATTGCGGGTATCTTGCTTTCGTATACTCATCGGGCGCCACATATTCCAATTTTGGATGTAGTACAGTGCCGTACAGCATCACCGTCGTCCTCCAAAACTCTGCCTCAACCTCCATCGTTTTCCAAGGGGCAACTTCCTCATTAATATCTAACCCTTCCCGAACGATTACTGTCATGCCTTCAGCCACTGCAAGCACTCCCACAGTAGTCATAAACTCACATACATCAAAATCAACTCCGATAGGCGTGATCGTCGGTGGAGCAGCTGGTGGGATAGCATTAATCGCTGGTTTACTCTTTCTGATATGGTTCTGCATCCGAAAACGCCGACAAAAATCCAAAGCAGCGCAGGAATTACACGCAGAGCAAGCGGAGTTGCAACGACAAGCGGATGAAGCCACAGCAGCGGCATATCTGAACCCTCAACGTGTCGCTGAAGCAGACGGGAAACCCATCGCACCCACAACAGCGTACGAAGCACCAGTTGAAAAACAGCAGAATGTCACGGAGCAAGAGACGTTTCGACCACTATCAACCACCTACGATGGTAGAAGCAGTAGTATCGTAGCAACACCGCCGCCGATGTACGCGCAGCCTAGACCTGCGAGTACTCCCCACCCAGCAGAACCTCATTCACGCTTGCCCAGCACAGGTATTATCAGTCCCATGACCCCTGGCTTCCCAGCCACAATCGACGAGCTCAGCGACGAACATAGGCGTAGTGAGCTCGGTTCTATGAGCAGCATCCGACCTGGCACAAACGAATTAGGCCCTGGAGACTCGGCGAGTAATTACGGTATCCCCGTTGGACGCACCGAACTTGGAGGTGAGAGCAGGCCGTTGTATAAAGCGTATTCGCCGCCGCCGCAGGAGCTGTCGGTTGGTAGTGGGAGTGGTGTGAGAAGATATCAAGCGTACTCGCCGCCGCCTAGCGAGGAGGAGGTTATTGCGCGGACGGGAGGGATTGGACGGGGGGATCTGGGGAGGAGTTTGAGTCCGGGGGTTGATATGAGTGGTGCGCCGCTAGGCGAGGAGTATCATGGTGATGGGAAGTAATCTGCAGGGCTAATTTTCATTTACGAATTGTGTTAAAATCGTATTTGGTTGTATCAAGTTCGATTGTGAAAAGTAATCTTACAGTCAGCAAACTTTTACCGGGCGCCACGCTTGTACTTCCGCCCCATGCCATTTCCAAAGCCTAGGGTATATACTCACTTACGCAAGAAGGGTTGCAGGGTGCTTATCTTGTTTGCGGGGTCGAAGTAAGCAGCATGGATCAAACGAATCCGGATACAGCCTTATGGAACTACAGTACGTAACAAATCATGTCAAACAGTGAGCCTGACATCTGTGTCAAATTGGCTTGCAAAGAACTGGAAGTAGAGTGCATATCAGAAGATTTAAGTTAAGATGGTAATGTATGTTGTGTTTGATTATATGTCAATCCTTTATCTACTGAATTAGTCTACTCTAGTCCTCTATGTATAGATCCTTTCGTCCAGTTCCACAGCGATCTCTTTCCCTATGATCCATATCTACGTCGTGGAAATGCCTCAATTGATGGTGGTATCTTTGTATCCGGTTCCTCTTTCACTTCTACCTTCACTCTTTTTCCTCTGAAAAACTTGAGCATCAACAAATCAAGCCCGCTGTCCATAATACTGGCCATGGACGGCCGGCCCCCTCTGGCAAACCTCCCTACGCAGCGCAGATTGGCACTAGGAATTTCGTTTAAGCTGTTTTGGCACCCAAGAATCAACAAACATGTCCATATGCGAGTTCAAGGAGGACTATCTCGCGAATAGATAGACACGGGAGTGGGAGTTCGACAGAGCCTCCCTGCACGGGTCCGCTCATCTGTGGGCACTAACTCTTTCCAGACCCATTGCCATTCGCCTCCTTCATAGAATATCAGATCGACTACTTCGTTGAGGGGTGTCGGGATGTTGACTTCGTCCGAGTGTTGGTTTTGCAAAAATCTTTGCCGTTCTTCGATTTCCCAGAATTGTGATATTAGATTGACCGCCGTGTCGCTATCCCACATGCCTTCCTTTCTTGGACATCGTTTCAAAAGATCCATGGCTTCTCTCTTGATCTGGTGAGACCTACATTTGATCCCGACGTAATACAGAGGACCGATGACACCGAGGTCCGTGGAGAATGTAAGAGTTGGTTTACCTGCTTTCGTATCGGCCTCCGCGGCTGTGATCAAGGACCGGCATAGGTTGATGATTATTCTGAAGTCATCGGTAAACTTTAAAAAGTCGTTGGGAGCATTGGTAGCCTCTTCCATGGGTCTGAGGTCCGCTACCGATGGGGTCATATCACACATAATCCGGACTACTGTATGATGAATTTTGACGAGTGCTGCTCCTCGAACTTGTTTGCTCGTAAAAGTTTGGCTGTGAACGCCCATGAACTTTTCAAAAGCCACATTCCACTCTTGCAATCTTATAGAGTATTCCTCGTGCATTCCCCTCGTTTCTTCCGATTGAAAGCCCATCGGTATGGCTCCGTCACACCTATTATTGTCAGCGAATGGCTCCATTAGGCTCTTCGAACGTCAACTTACAGATAAAACAGCCGAAATAGACCATCACAACACTCGTTCATAGACGCGCGGGCTTCCTCAAGACTGTTAAACGTTTCTGGAACTGGCTTATTCTGAGGGACTGCTTGAGTGAGCTCTGTTGCAAACGCAACCCGGTCCTGTGGATTGCTAGTATCTATGTAGAGGATAGACTGAAGACCTAGTCTGAGCAAAAGAGGTGCAATCGTCTCTTCTATTAGAGGGTCTAAAGGTGCACTCTGGGCTCTCAGATCTCGGAGGATCCTCATACCACTCTGCAAATGGACCATTGCCGTCTGGTAATAGCCTCTGAAAGAATCGAAACACACAAACAGTATGCAAGACATCAACGCCGTTAGTGGAGCCTGCTTTCCCGAAGCCAACGATCGCCGCAGATGTCCGATTGCTTTGGTGTATTGGTTGAGCGCAAAAGGAAACTTATCCTCTTTACCCGCCAACGGTCCTAGACTTCGGCCAGCAAAGTCTTCGTGAAGTGAGCTAATTGCTATCACAGCATGTTTCAAAGCGGGCTCCGCATGACTAGCTTGCAATAGTAGGGCATCCCAGAATCCACTAGAATAGAAGCCTTCCAACTCGGGAGAAGTCTTTTTGACGAAGTGGCTAAAACCTCGTTTCTCCTGTGTACTTCCAGGTATCTGGGACATGGGTCGAACGACCAAAGTGCCGTTCAGTCCGTGACCCAAAGCGGGATTTGAGAGGTCTAGATAGCCATCACATTTGCGTCCTGTTGAGATACACCGATTGCAACTTGGTTTGGCTTCGTCACATTTGACACGGCGTATCCTTTATAGCCGATTAATACATCTTCTGAAAGGGTTTCTTTGCTTAAAACTTACTTGCAGGTCTGGCAGCCGGTTCGGGTCTTAGGACCGCATTGTCTCCTTCGTCTTACTTGTGGATTGCCGGAAGTCATGTTGATGTGGGGTATTGTTGCTGACAGCTGTCACTGTTTCATGGTATTTCAAAGAAGGATGCTCTCCGTTCTCAAACCGTTACCGACGCAGGAACTGCCGTTATACTTAACTAGTTGCAAAGACCATGAGTTTCTCCTTCTGGAAATACATGATCCAGGGTGGGAGCCTTGAAGGAGGCGCTGACGCACGGCGCAGGAGGTATGAACGGACTCAAGCAATCTGGTTCCAATCTGGATCTACTTGCGAACGTCTTGGATCTTCTTCACCTGGTGGACAGTTTGAGCTGGTGAGAGGGATGATTGGAGGTCAGGTCGAAGGCATGTTGCCCAGCGAATAAGGTTTGTCGGGCCTGGTGCAACTGCGCTCAATGGCCAGGTAATACGAGGCGCGGCAGTGGGTCGAGCGAGATTGGGGGAGCAAGTGAGCCAGGTCAATTGACGTCAAAATGCGTGTTTGATGTTGCGCGTGAGATAATCGGTCGACGCCGTCCCCGACTTTCAGAGGTTTTCCCCTTCTCCATCGCGACAGTAATAGCTTGGCCTCAGCCCTGTAGCAACGCTTGATTGTGCCTCAAAGTATTGATTCATACGAACCGGCCAATCATGTTGTCAGCATCGGTTACATAAGCTTTGTTTCACGGCCTCCCACATCTCCTCTGCTCGGAATCATTGTTAATCGAGAATGCACCCGTGGACTTCACCCAACTTAAGCTATCATTACTCCGATGAACTCAAAGCGGCATCCAATATCAGATTTGAACGATGAACATGCTTCGCACTCGCTTCGACGAAGTATATCTTCAACCATTCGAGGATGCCTAGAGGGACTACTCCTATCATCACTGTCGCTCAGAGAAGCCCACTGAGGCCTCAAACCCGTCAGCTCTCATGAGACCGTGACAGCCTGCATCTTTGCGGCACCCCATTGGAGGTGGTACGGAGAGATCGTCAGCATGACAGATGCTGTAGTGGGCTGTGGCAGCACTTGGGAGCCGTTTGATCATTGTAGCTATCTATGGCTGACCAATTCTAGCGGAACGAGGACAATCTCATCAATGCATCAGGAACATACACCGCTTCCTCAAGGGCAAGCTATTTCAAAGCAAATAAATTTACGCCTCCACGATCCTCCAACGGGCGAGGTACTGTAGTACTAGCTAGCAGCGCTGCTTTGCTCATCGAGATGTCGGACCTCATGCGAATCATTCAACGGCACTCCACGGCTCCAACCGCCGCCAACACGTAGAGCTGAAGCGAAAAGCTTCTAGAAGACGCGATGGCCAGTACCTTAATTCAGCCCGGAATGCGGGTTTACGAACAGACGCACTCAATTCGCCTTATGCAGGTACCACATGTAACACGGCCATCAGAACGGCAAACCGAAGTGCTCTGGACATCACCGCCCCAAAGATCCCGGAGCCGTCCGCAACCTAGCTCCCCTTATGCATGAAACGTAATTGCCACTCAGCAGCGGTTACAATTCCTCCATCATGTCCTTCATCTCAAAGCCGCCCAAGCAAAGCAGTCTTCCATGCGCCAACGTGATCACAATAGATACCAACACCAAAAATATACATCTGCGTCATATCATTGACGAGTTCCATGCAGCCCCATCCTAACGCCTTGATGCCTCCCCAAATTACTATTAGCGAGTCGCTTCAATCGCAGCATTCAATGGAATGACCCGAAGACTCCTGCCTCGCTGCAAACCCGCTTTCTGAATGGTTGTAGGGGTCAGTTCTTCTCTCCAAGTCCGGAAAACACTTTTCATATCTCGAGGAATGCCCTCAACGACAACGGTTGAAACTGGCACGAATGGTCGATCTTCCATACTTGCGGCGAGGATCCCATATTCTTGTACAAAAGAGAGAGCGTGGTGAAAAGCTGCATACTGTGACTGAGCTCGTGCTCCAATGATGACGTATATTTCGAAGAATGCATCCAGAACATAAACATTGGACGGCGAAACATCACCTTGGCAAAACGGGCTGATTTCGGTGATCTGCGACGAGAATTAGTAGTAGACAAGCAGGTATATTAGACAACACTTACCGGTTCTCTGCTACCGTTACTGGCACGGAATAAGCGTGACCCATACCTGGAATATTGGGGCTTCAACCGCCAGTGGTCTGCAGAGTTAGGAATCTCTGCACCACCAAAAACTTCGAGGAAGTTTGCAGGCTCGTGGCCGTCATCGACCTCCTCTATCTCACCCGTAAGACCGAACTCCATGCCAACAAGGCGTGCGCAACTTAATTCTTCGATGCTGCTACCTTTACCTTTCCACAGATAAGCTTTCACCCCTGTAGATATCAGATAGGGAAATCCAGAGCACAAGCTGTTTTGGAAAAAGTCGACTTCGTCAAACACAATGTGCCCAAAGTAGTTCCGTGCACAGAGAATTGACGGCGAGAGAGAATCAAATCTGTTGGAAGTTCCGCGCCTAATGATGATGATACCACCCAAAGCATGGAAAAATTCAGATGTTTCCTTGCCTTGCTTGATAATGACTAGTGTCCCACCAAAATTCTTGGCCTCCTTACGAGCAAATGTTTCGGATTCCGCAGCAACATGCCTGGGCACATCATCACCTATCCAATAGTAGACCTCGGTCGATTTCTTGCCTCTTTGGTCCACGAAAGTGTGAGAACATAAATAAAGATTCCCTTCAAACAAGATTCGCTCCTGATGGGATGGCACCAACTGCTTTTTGCCCTCGCCTACCAACTGATACTGAGTTGAATTCAAGGTTCTGATACTGAGATTCCGATCAAGTGGCTTTGATGACAGAATCAGACCTGTATCAGCGGTGTAACCAAGGGGCGGTGTACGATCGTGGAAGAATTCAACGAAACTGAAGGCTTCCGAGGAGTGCGGATTATTACCATCACGCTTTGGAGAAATCGGAGAAGACGACAGATTTTCGAGGGGGCGTGGAGATAGCGTAGATTTCTTAGGCGGCACTGGCAGAGGTCTGGCAGACTGCTTTGGTTGCGATTCTGTGATATCTGGCGTGGCTCTTTTGACTGGACTCACGGAACGAAGACCGGCTGAGATCAAAGCGGCCTTTTCGTCCTCGTGTGTGGGAAGTTTAATGGGCGATGGGAGACGAGGAGATTGTTGAGGTGAAGTCTTGGAATTACGATCCCACAAGGAAGTGGCACTTTTGACTGAGTTTGAGGGTTGTAGTTCGACTCGTTCGGTTGATGGTTTGACGCCTCTAGGTGAACCTAAGTGACATAGCCGTCAGCTTAATGTGTCTTCAGAAGATCCACTCTCAGACCGTTACCAAATCAGAAAATGGGACGGATGAGTTTCGAATCTGATGCGGAATCTGATGCGGAAGCTTCATGACACCTCTAGCGCTGGGTATACGCATTTTCGGCAGGCAATGTATACAGGTGCTTATACTTACTTGGAATACTTGACTGGCTACTACTCGGAGCAACGGACTGAGATGGGAGAGAACGCTGAGTGGGCCCCAATGAAGATGAATTACTGGGTGATCTGGGTCCAACAAGAGATTGTGGCTTAGTGGGTGTGGACGGCTGGATTGCCATGGCTTTAGACGACTCAAGGACTGTCGCTTTGTTTGTTGCAGAGAAATTCCCGGTGTGGCTCCTCTTAATAGGAGAGAGTGGCCTTGGACGGTCTGACTGGGACTCGGCTATCTCATCTTTGATTATGTCTTTTGGGACATCTTGGAGAAATTGCGAGCGTCTTTTCATATCTAGCTTTCTTGGGGACGATGGTTCTGACCCTGGGTTTTTGGTCTCGATCTCTGCGGTCATAGATGGTTTTATGGACACCGGCTTCCCTGGCGTCTTTTCAGCCCTGTGGCTATACTCGGGTTTCTTTTCCAGGCTTTCTACCGAGTCAATTGGTGCAGAGACCGGTGTTGAAGCATTCGGTACGGAGGTTGGAGCCTTCCTTCGAGGGCCTCGAGCCCGACTTTTGGTCATATGTGTGAGCTGTGGCCCAGCCTCTTGTGTATCGGTTGCAGAAGTACTCATGCTCACCGTGCGCTGAGAGGCGGAATTTGCTGGGCTTGACGACCGCGACGTATCGCTGGCCATGGAAGGCGGACCACGCGCTAGTAGCCCTGCAAGTGCTGGATTGAATCGGCCAGCAAGTTTTCCAGAAGGGGAGTCTTTGTTGCGCACGCCAGTCGAATCACTAAAATCTTTACTTGGCAATAACGGCTTGGGTGATGCTGTGCGACTCACAAAAGGCGCATTGTTTTGTAGGTCAATCTTTGGTGGTCCCTCATCAGATTTGACTAGGGTCTTTCTTCTTGCCAATGCTTCTGGCAACACCTCATTCTTGATGGTTCCGCTAGCTGGCCGAACACCTTTACCTTCACTTTGCGCTTTCTTGAAGTCATCCTTTTTCTTCAATATAGCTTCTTTGAAATCGTCCACCCTCTCGGTCTTCTTTGGCCCACCTGTCACGTTCAAGGCGGCTTTTCCCCGTGTTATGTTGTTCTTGAGCTCATCCGGTGCCACATAGTTCTGCGTTGTCGTCCGTCGTAATTGACCAAAAACATTCTTAAATTCAGGTTCGTTTGTGCCACTATTATTTGGAGGAGGTTGACGAGGCTTCAGGGATGCTCTAAAATCCTTTTTCGGTGGGGTTTCTGGCTTAGCTTTTGCAATTGTAGGAGGTGATCTGACAGCGGGGGTGGTCGGTTTTTCTTCGTTCGTTTCTCTTTGCGCCGGAGCATCTTTAACAACCTGTGACGTGACACTACCAGTACGGTTCTTGACAAGGTTTGGTGACACTCCGGAGGCGAGACTGCCAACGCCCAGTGGTTTTGTAACGCCGCCCAGAGGTGGCGATCTCATGAGGCCACCAATGTTGACTTCATGTTTTACACCAACTGCTGGGCGTCCAAGATCGACGCTAGACTTCTGCTTTGCCTTAGTGATTTCAGCCATCCAAGAAGGCTGCTGCGGTGGAGGTGCTACTTTGGGTTTTGGCGAGTCTGGTTTATTGAGCGCACTCTCGAGCCAACTGGACTTTGTTGGACTCCATCGGCGGGAGTCCATTGTTTTTGAGGGACTGGATGGGGGTGTAGCTTCAATTCGTGGTTGTGAATCAACCACACCAGACGCTTCTTGGGGTTTGGTTGCTGGAGGGGTCTGCGATCTCGAGGGTGGAAGTGCTGGCTTTTTGAACCCATCACTGTCTGTAATTGGAGAATGACCCTGTGGTTGAGTGGTTGAAATAGAGTCCTGAGTAAACGTGGCATTGCTATGGCTTGAGGTAGGTCTGGAGCTGGGGTGAGGGGAATTTCCTCTGCTTAGGCTATCTGGCCTGGAAGTTCCGATTGCAGATTGAGTGTTGCCTCCAATATCATGACTGCTCCGATTGCTGGCTACAGAATTGACCCGGTTGAGTCCAGTGGGCGATTGAACACTCCATCTCTTGTTTACACTGTCTGAACGCTTCATCATAGCACTTTGCACAAAGCCTCCCATACCCTTCGTAGGCGAGAGCGGTCGGTCGAGCCTCTCGGGTGATATACGGCCTTGTGACGGAGACATTGCTAACGTACGAGCTTCGGATTTGCCATCATGAGAGGGGGGGTCCAGCCTCTGGGCGCTGGATAACGGTAATGGTGACCCAATTCGGCCTGAAGCGGCTGGGGAAGCATGATAAGAAGATCTTGAGGAGGCTCCAATTACAATACTACTCCGTGATGGCGACAGGCTTCGATCAGCAGGATCGCTCGCTGTGTTGTCACCAACAGATGCTTCCCGTGACATACCTGGCATCTGCACTCGGGACGAGCTTTGCCCATGGTCAGATCTTTCATCATCTTCCACTTGGTTTCGTCTATAAGCCGGCGAGCTTAATCCTCTGTCCGCAGTCTGGCGAAACCAAGCAGGATCTTTGTTGGCCAGAGATCGTGCAATTTGATCCCGGGACAACGTGGGATCCGCAGCGGACGGCTCTAGTTCCGGCGATAGAATAGGTTTCGGTGAGCGGGCAGCATTCTCTGTAGCAACCATTGACAGTGGGCGACTCCTTGCGTGATCTGATCCTCGAGAGGTTGGGCGGCGCTGGAAAGGGGAGCTCCGCGAAGGCATTGCGCTTGAGGGTGTTACTCTCGCAACATCGTTACGCTTCACATCAGAATCGCCAGATATATCCCTGTTCCCTGGCAAGTAGTTTTCTTTCGATGGAGAGAGTTGAAGGTCCGCCAGGCGTTCCATCGCGTCGTCAATGGTAGTGTCTTGTGCAGATTCTGAACGTGAGTTGGAATCAATCGCTGGGGATAATGCTCTCGAGTGTGTCGGCAGAGCTAGCGACACCTTGGACGCGGTGGGTGTACTTGCAGGTGACGATTTCGCAGGGGAAATAGATCTGGCGCGTTCTGGAGGGCTCGTGGTCAGCGATATTATTACATCTAGAGTCGTGCCACAACAGCCAGTCTGATCCAGCCAGCTACGCATAGAAAGGGAGAAGAAGCAAACCTGATCGCCGTGCCTGTCTTTCTTTTCTGCCCTGCAATATCTCCTCCTCGAGCTTTCTATTCCGTTCCTCGTCCTCCTGGTCTCTTCGGTCGCCCAATTCCTTGATGCGTTGCAGAAAATCGTTGACATCTTCGGAGCCGTTGTTTTCCGAAGCCATCCTGCCTGACAACGAAGATTCACTAATAATAATTTAAAGGGCTTAAGAGAGAGCACCGGCGCAAGACACAGGCATAGAAATCCGAGTCAAAAAAGCATCCGCCCAGCGGGGTAGAATTTCACGGAGTAAGGATCAGGTAATTGGAGAGGTATACAGATGGCATTCTACGGCGCAGCAACAAGAGATCTGCACGGTCGGTTGCGCTAGAATTCTCACTGAAAATATGTTTCAATCGGGATGCTGCAGGTACGACCGATGCTGCGACCTCCAGCACGTCTTCATCCATCTCAAACTTTCGCCCCGGTGAACATATAACTTAGCACTGTTGAATTAATGGCCCCTTTCAGGTTATCCCATCACAGTAGCAAGCCTTACTTCCGACATTGATCATATTCCGGGACGCAAACCGGTTTCGTGTCTTGTTTACCACCAAACTCGCGCTTGACACACGCTTCCCTGTAACCAAATAGCTCCAAGTGAATTCGTCGACCCTCGGTGCATGGAAGAAGCCTTCTGAACGACCAACAACAATATACCTCAGCAATGCCTTGGAAGTCAGTAGTACTTTGGGTCAATACAGAAACAGTCTTTCTTTGGCATCTTGCACCACCCATTCCAGCCCTTCATCCAAATTCTTTCCGGTGATAGCGCTGCACTGCATTATGTGCCATTTGTGAGTCTTGATTGCATCTAGTTGAAGCCCCTGTTGTACAAAGTTAGTGTTGTCGCATGATAACGACGGACTGGTAGAAACCTTGAGGATTTCTGCTTCATCCATACAGCCGTTGACGTCTGTTTTGTTAGCAAACACAAGCAGTGTTGCCCCAGACAGCCTCTTTGCCTCGTTAGCCGCGACTCAAGTGGAGACGAACTTCTGATTCATGCGTGCTCACCTCTTCTTGCAACAGATTGTGCAACTCATCACGACAGTCCTCGATGCGAAGCCTGTCCGTGGCATCCACGACCCATAGTAAAGCATCAGTCTTTTCGAAATAGTTCTTCCAGTACGAACGAAGAGTCTTCTGACCACCAACGTCCCCTAGACAGGATCAGCAACGGCGCACGGTGATGGTTGACTGACAGACAGATGTTCAGTTTATACCTTTATCTGGTCAGCAGCTATTCATCAAACGAAGAGATGATCAATGATACGAACCCGTTGTGGTCGATGGTCTTGATGATAAATCCTAACGTAGGACTGACGCTGTTAACGTCCTCGTTCATGATTCTCTTGACTATCGTAGTCTTGCCTGCATTGTCAAGTCCACTGTCGAAGAGCTGATCAGCGCATGTTCAGTAAGGGTCTGTGGTTGTCTTGCAGCATCAAAATCCGCATCTCCTTGTCCTTCAATCTTGCTTTCCTCAAAATTGACAACATCTCTGCCTGACGGAAATAGTGGCGATGATGTTATAGATTCGTGATGGTTGTTGCAAAAAGTTCTATTGGAATAATTGGAAACCGTACCACGTGACTCCTTCTTCAACCCCATCATCTCATATCCAAGAGAAAAGTTAAGTTGCAGTTTGTATATTCCATTGCCGTCATCAGGTGCGAGCATTCAATGGAGCTTCAATATGCTGGAGCCAATCAGTGTGCTCATTGCGTGTATACAACCACTGCTCGGTGCCTGCGGTTCAAGTTCTCAGAACGGAAGGAACAGCCTGCTTCACCTTCTAGTCGGGAGTGAACGTCGAGTCTCTATCAAACTCGTATCAAGCGAGGAGCTCGGGCTCCTCTCACCATCGACGTCTCGGAACTGTGCTAGACCTCACCTTCGATTTTTCATGTTTTTCTTTTTCTTCAAATGGACAATAGGACACACAGATTTCCATTATCCACTTTCGTTATCTGACCCGCCTCCTCACTTTCACTTACTATTGTCTTCGTCAATACAATCTGCAGAGAATAGGTACGATTGTCTTACTTTCCCTATGCAGAAGTGCAGAAACTGCCAACACCTTTAACAACCTCTCGTCCCTTCCTGACCACTCTTTTTTCTCCCATCACCGTCACCAAGTTACCAACTCATTGCAACACCACACGATCACTCTAGATACTCTGCACACTCTTTCCACTCTCTCCACACACAAACTTGATTTACATTGGCTTTCTCGCGAGATCAAATTCAAAATGCCGGGTATTCTCTCTGATGATCATCTCCGAGCAGAACTGCTAGCAGAAACTCTTCTGAACTTAGGAAAGGGAGGAATGGAAACTGTAAGCTCTCTGTTGTCTTTGGGAAGTCGGTGTCACTAACTATTTTCCAAGTCAAGATGGGCTCCAGCTTCGCATAAGAAGTACGGTCTTCCAGTAGGGAGAATTTCGTACATGGACCCCAAAAGCTATCAATCTTTCCGCTCTTCCGCGTCACCTCCATCGAATCCCACCGCACCAAACACGCCTATTGCGTCTATAGAACACGCAACTACGGCCATCAAGATCGAAGCCCCGGGATCTGCGTCAGATGATGATGTTGAGCATCTCAGTCTCCATGATATCAAGTTGTTAAGCGGAGGGAAGGGTCTAAGCTCATCATCTTGGGCCACCCCTGGGTTGAAACGTGAGCTTAGTTTCGATAACTGAACAGTACTTCGCTAACATAATTATAGAACCCACACTAAATCGACCAGCTCAGACTAGAACGACGTCTAGTTGGATGAACCCGCTGTCCCAAAACTTTGTCCCTGCATCTTCTTCACGACATGATTCGGTGGCAGAAGATGATAGATCGTCATCCGAGTCCAGCAATATGAAGACTTCGTCACCACATGCTGGGTATGTCACCAAAGGTGATGCCCTAACAGCTAAGGCAGCTTCTCACAAGGAACCCTCGTGTGTCGATAGATCTAATCATTCTCGGCCGCACAACAAGTCCACACAAATGAGCAGTGATAGCAAATCATCTCAGCTTGCGATCGAGAGCGTTATGGACGCAAGCTATACTCCGACTTATGAAGAGATATGCAACCGGGAATCGCCGTGGTACAAGCCCCCGCACATGCGCAGTATAACTGACTGTCCTAAGCCTGCAACCAAGAGCTCGATGGACCCAAATCATACACCAACTTATGAGGAAATGTGCGATCGGGCATCGCCATGGTACAAGCCACCTCACATGCGGCCAAAAGCCCCAGTCAAAGCTATGGACAAGGTTGACCGAGAAGCACATGCGAATTCTTCTTCAAGTTCTTCGTCCTCGGACTTCTCTTCTGACTCTGGAATCATCGTTACTACACTTCCAAGTTGCATAAGAGAAGTCCAACAGTCAGATCGCTTAGAAGAATCTCTTGCTGTAGAACGGGCATCTCCAAAGCACCATGCAACAGTTACTGAACATGCTAGGTCGAAGAACGCAGGAGAACCTGGTGTCCCTTCAGGTCCCGAAGTTCCTTATGTACTTCCCCACCTACGAACGACCGAAAGTCACGTAAAAACCAAAAAGCCAGACTCGCCCGCCGTGGCCCAGTACACTCCGTCTCTAAGTTCTGTGAACGCTTCAAGCGGCGGAGCCCCCGTTCAAAGTGGCACGAAAGCCGAGCAATTGCCTGTGAAAAAGTTTGACATCAACCATTGTCCTGTTGTTGAGCACACCACCCGGCAGGAAAGTATTGACTCTGGACGTCTGACAAAATCAGACAAAAGTTCTACTACTCCTGCAGCTTCAAAACTAGCATCACAAAACGACTTCATGAGAGCGTCTGCTGCCCGTCCCAAACAAGCAGCGTACAGGAGTAGCTCACCGAAGGCAGCAGGGAATTCTGGGTTTTCACCTAGATTTACAAATGCGTCCATCAACCCACTTTGGACGACTACCACTGATGCTAAATCATTCATAGCAGCTGTCAAAGCGAAGGAAGTTCTGCAACCTAAATCGGCACAGCGCTACTACCGCAAGCAAGATGAAGGGAATGGGAATAGTCCTGTTAAGTCTTCCTGTGATGAAGCAAGTACGGGTCGCGCTCCATCTAAGGAGAGAAACATCAGAGCTTCTAGTCCGAAAGCTGCTGAATCCTCACATCTTGGAACGGCTATTACTGAAGATAATACCTCCCGTCGAGCAAACGCCCAAGCAGATCTGAGTTACGAGCAACGCATTCTTCTTGAAATGACTGAGATTGAAAATCTGAAACCGAGTACAAATGGCAAGTTATTGACCAAAGACACATTGCAGGCGATCGACGATGTTGCTCCTCGCTCATCAGCATCCAGTGTTGCTGCCTTCCCGAGCAACTTCGGCGACCGTGGTTCTGATAACGACAGAGCAAAAGAAGGTGTGAGAGCCCGACAAGGTCGGGATGGTGAGCTCCTGGACTGGGATGATAAAATGATGCCACCCCCATGTGACTGGGAAAGGGACAGACCAAAGTTTGACTCCAGTAGTTACCTGAGCGAGTATATTCTGGAATGGTGTCCAAAACTCGTTGACGATCGTATTGACACAACTGCCAAGGTATTTGCGTCTGAAATCATCCTAAATAACATCGAGGTCTACGTGGCCTATCCAATTGAAAACCTTCATTTCGTTTGCCCACCGAAGGATACTGGCGGCACAATACCAGGTAAAAGCGTTCACTACTATTTAACATGTGTTCTCCTGCTAATTATTGTTAGATCTGGAGGCGTCTGAAGACAAGACTAAACAAATGATACATACCGCTCAGATGGCCATAGATCGGCGAATGACACAGCTTGCATCGAAGCTCAAGCACGAACGGAAAGCGCGAAAACATGCTGAGATGGTGGAACGGGAAATGCAAAATCAAATCGATTTGCCGAATCCTTTTGCCCCAAAAATTGATGTGTACCTCCGCCCAGCGACGGTGGGAGATGCCCAACAGGTGGCTCACATATACAACCATTACGTGATGAACAGTCACATAACTGAAGATCAAGAGCCAGTTAGCACTGACGAAGTCGCCAATGTGATTCAAGCTTCACAACGAGAACGACTTCCATTTATTGTAGCCATCTTAGGAAACGTTCCTGAGTCTTACACTAGACAGCATAAGACGAAGAGATCTCAAAGGGCAACGCTATCAGAATATGAAGAGGTGGTTGGTTTTGCGTCAGCCGAGATATTTAATTTCGGTTGGGGTGGTTCGCGAAAAGGCCGATCGCGTGCTACCGCAAATCTTCAGCTCTACGTTTCTCCAGAACATCTTCGTCACGGTATAGGTCGTAATTTACTCGACAGATTGATGTTCACCCTCAAATCGACGTACCCATTCATGGACGCCTGCGCTTGGTTGAACCCAGATGGCGAAAAGACTTATGACGTTGGAGGAGCTGGAAAGTGGCACCAGTTGATGTTTCAACTTCCAATACTGAAGAAGGACGATCCAAATCTGGGCTGGGTAACCACATTCTTGAAGAACCATTTTTTCTTCAACCTCGAGGGTATTCAGAGATCATTGGGGAGAACAGCGGCTGATAGAGGGATCCCTGTCTTTACCGATACGGCCATCTTTCAAGCGGAAGCTCTTCAAGAGGAAGAGTACTTCGATATAACATCGTGAGGGCGTTGCGAAGCTGTTGAATCGAGCGGAGCGATTGAATCACCCGTCTTATCAACGGGACAGCTGCCAGCTATTTGCGGAATGTATGTGTAGCGTTTTAAAAATCATGTCGCCTTCTCCGGCTTAGTTTCCTTTGAGATTTGGCAATTACTGCTCTTTTTATTGACAAGTACACGGAGCAGCATGGATCAGACGACTTAGTTGCTATGTCGAAGATAAAATTACATGCTCTATTTACATAGATAGTCGTTAATTAGTTTGCTCATACGTCTTGAGAATTGAATTTCTTTATGAATCAAAAACGGAGTGATATGTTGTTGTTGATGTAGGCCTATGTAAGTCGAAAATTTTAGCCCATACTTCAACTGGCATTGAAACACCCCTTAGTACTCATGAGTCGACACGACAGCATTAAGTGAACTAAACCCTCGCGGTATGTCCTCGTGTAATGGGCCTAACCTTGAGATACATATTTAATCTTTTTTGAATTCCATAGCTACTAACAAATCAGTTTACCTTAATGAGGTTCTCTAGAGAAACACAAAAATACCTTCTTCACATGTCCTTAACCACGTCTTCTATATTCAGTAGAGAGCTAACGTGATGTCCATTGAAATGTATGGCCCCATCGAAGCTTTCTGTCTATTACAACCCCTCTCGTCAAAAGATGTCGAATTCACAGCCGAATGTTTGGAAATGCTCTTCTATTTTATTACAGTTCTTACTACACAATTTAGCTATCTGACGTAGGAGACATCTGTTATTGACTAGGAATGGAAGACATACAAAACCGAGCCGGTTTGGTCAAAGTCATGAAAAGTGAATTTTTTTGGATGGCAAAGTATATATATATATATAGGACGGTGATAGAAACTCGCTGAAGGAACACATCTGGTCCCGCGCTTTTCCACATGTGTCGGCTTAGGTTGGAACCAGGTACCTTGGACTTGGTACTTACTTGAAGTTCTGAACAGACCCCGCCAGGGGTTAATGGGTAAGCGAGGAGGACCCCGCAGCGGTTTATCCAGCATCTTAACAGGGGGTTTCTGCCAGTCTCACCGCCTAACTTTTCAAAAAAGTTCATTCAGCGACGAAAACTTGGGATTGCGAGCCGATGAGACTTATTACAACAAAACCATTGCATCCCAGAACAGAATGGCGCCCGCTACCAAGAAAGCTCCCCAGGATGATTTTGTGCTGACGCTTTCTGATAACGAAGAAGATCTATCAAAGGACTTCGAAGAAGAAATACCCGCCTCTCCTCCTCTCTCAAACAAGAAGCGGAAACGCGCATCTGAATCAACTTCAACACCAAAAAAGAACAAGAAGTCAAAAAAAGGCAATGCACATGATTCCGATGGCGAGGTAGAGCCCAATGAAGGAATATGGGGTGCGAAGGACGAGGACGATGGAGCCATGGACTCAGATTTCGAATTTGCTTTGGAGGGTGGTGAAGGACGCATGGAAGATTTTGAAGGCTGGGGTTTTGAGGGTGCAAAGAAAGGCCTCAATGGTGTTTCTGGGGGCGACAAAAGGGCTGTGGACATTGACGATATAATTGCGAGAAGGAGGGAGAAGAAAAATGGAGAAAAGGTTGTTGTTCCAGAAGCCAACGAGGATACGACTGCTGGTGACAGTGACGATCAAGATGTAGAAGATGTGGAAGCACTGGAACTCGAGAATTCTGGGGACGAATTCATGGCTGAGGATGGATTCGGTATGGGCGCTGGCTCTGCGGACGAGGATTCTGATGATCAGCAAGACGTGCAGGACCCAGAGCTTTCAGGCGAGGACGGAGAAGATGATGGGTCCGACAACGAATCTGTCGCAAGTGCTGTACCACACCCAGACGACGAAGTACCTGAAGCTTCGTCGGACGAGGAAGACAACGACGAAGATCCGGAGGAAGCTGCTCGGCGAGAAGCATTTTTTGCACCAGAAGAAAAGCCAGCCAAAGGTTCTAAGCAAACCACAAACTTGTCTTTTCAGACTATGTCGTTATCACGACCAATTTTACGAGGCCTTGCTGCAGTTGGTTTCACGCAGCCAACCCCAATTCAAGCGAAAACTATACCGGTAGCTCTGTTGGGAAAAGATGTGGTCGGTGGAGCCGTCACTGGATCGGGAAAGACAGGTGCCTTCATTGTGCCAGTTCTAGAACGGTTACTATATCGTCCCAAGAAGGTGCCAACCAGCAGAGTTGTTATTCTTATGCCGACACGTGAATTGGCAATTCAATGTCATGCTGTAGCGACAAAGCTTGCGAGTCACACTGACATCAAGTTCTGTTTGGCAGTGGGCGGTTTGAGTCTTAAAGTTCAAGAAGCAGAGTTGAGGCTCCGGCCGGACGTTATAATCGCTACTCCCGGTAGATTCATTGATCATATGCGTAATTCGCCAAGTTTTACCGTCGATACTTTGGAAATTCTAGTCCTCGATGAGGCTGATCGAATGTTGGAAGCTGGTTTCGCTGATGAGCTGAACGAAATCTTGACGACAATTCCTAAGTCCCGCCAAACGATGCTTTTCTCTGCTACAATGACATCTTCTGTTGATAATCTGATTCGTGTTGGATTAAATCGACCTGTCAGGATACTCGTTGACGCGCAGAAACAGACCGTGGGAACCCTGATCCAAGAGTTCATTCGTTTACGACCTGGCAGAGAGACTAAGCGAATGGGCTATCTGTTGTATCTGTGCGCCAACGTATATACTGATCGAGTCATTGTCTTTTTCCGCCAGAAGAAGGAAGCGCACCGAGCACGTGTGATATTTGGTCTTTCTGGCCTCAAAGCTACTGAATTACACGGTAGCATGAGTCAAGAACAGGTGAGCTACTACGACATATTCTACCTTGTTCCTTTGCTGACACAATTCTAGCGTATCATAAGTGTAGAGGCTTTCAGAGATGGCAAAGCTTCGTTCTTACTTGCCACCGATCTCGCCTCGAGAGGTCTAGATATCAAAGGTGTCGATACAGTCATAAATTATGAAGCACCGCAGTCCCACGAAATTTATCTTCACAGAGTAGGAAGAACCGCTCGTGCTGGACGTCAAGGTCGTGCATGTACATTGGCTGCTGAGCCGGATCGTAAAATCGTCAAGGCAGCGGTTAAGAGTGGTCGGTCACAGGGTGCCAAGATCGTAAGTCGAGTGATCGAAGCAGCAGACGCGGATACCTGGGCGGAGAAGGTTGAAGAGATGCAAGATGAGATCGAAGAGATTCTTAAAGAAGAAAAGGAAGACAAACAGCTTGCACAAGTCGAAATGCAGGTTCGAAAGGGAGAAAATATGATCAATCACGAGGACGAAATCAAAGGACGGCCCAAGCGGACCTGGTTTGAGAGTGAAGTTGAGAAGACGGCCGCTAAAAAGGCTGGTAGAGCAGAGTTGAATGGGGTCGAAAGTATATTAAAGAAGAAACCAGGGAAGTTAAGTAACAAGGACAAGAAGAAGCTTGATGATAGGGATGTGAGGATGGAAGGAAAGGTTTGGAAGAAGGGGAGGGCAGAAAGGGACGGGAAAGGTGCGCTTGCGAAGGCAGAGAAGGGGAAGAAGAAGATGAAGGGTGGGAAGCCTCCAGGAAAACCTACAAAAGGAAAGTTTGGAAAGAAGAGGTAGTCTCTGATGATATCCAGTATTGCCGATGTTAGATTATAAGCACGGAGCATGAATCACGAATCATAATGTGAGCTGCAAAGTGTATTTACCACAAATGGCTCGTGAGTAACTTGGCTGTTATCATTTTCTACAGCAAAAGTCTTGTGTGAAACTGCCCGTTAAGCAGAAGAAAGGCTCTCGATATCAAGCTACATTGAGCAGACAGATCAATGACCGATTATTGCTCAGTCATTCAATTGAAATCCCGGGGTGTGATTGGTGTACCCAATGATCTCGCATCGCCTCGCAACATATCGCATCGTTTTGCCCGTGTTGTATCCCGCTTCCCCCCCTTTCTTTTTAGCGAGGTCGAGAAAAGCGACGACTGACACATTATACACGACAAACTTTCTTCTTGACCTGCATTTCACTGAGTCTCTTCGTGTTTTTCTCTCGGTACTGGACTTCCAGTAAAACTTTAGACCTTCAGCCATTCTGCAAATCGGCTTACTCATCCGCGATAGGTTTGGTTACTACACCCTTGTCCATTCCTCAAGCGTTGCGAGCTATGTTTCATATATAAGTTGTGTTCATAGCAAACAGAGTTCTTAATGTGAACTTTCCCCAGTAAACTCATTCTATAATCTGGAAAATTCGAATATTATCTTCAAGATGGGTAAATCACCTCACGTTGCATTTCTCATTTCCGCCGAACCGTTTTACAACACTAAATTGGGCTCCTTGCAACGGATATCCTCAGACGAACTGCCAATTCTCAAGAACCTCTCTATAAAACGTCTCATTCTGGAACCCGGATCGATTCGTGAGCCTCATTGGCATGCTAACTGCAATGAGCTCACCTACTGTCTCAGCGGTAAAGTTCTGGTTACTCAATTGGACGTTGGAAATGAGTTTATGAACTTTACGATTACTGCTGGTCAGATGTTTTTTGTTAAGACTGGAGCGCTGCATCATATTGAGAATATTGGGGAGGAGACTGCGGAGCTTATTGTCGCGTTTAGACATGAGGCGCCGAAGGACTTCTCTCTCTCGGCGAGTTTTGGCGCTATGAGTGATGCTGTGAGTATAGTTGTTTATTTCAAGTTTTAAGGAAAAAGAAGTTGGAAATTTCATCGACATTGGGTGGCTCCGAGAGTGTGAGATCTAGTGTTAATATGTGTCAGGTCCTTGGGAACACATACGATGCACCTAGCTCCGCCTTCAGAGGGATAACCCGGAACACTTCACCAAAATACATAGTACAACGCAAAGGTAACCCTACTGTGCCTGATACCGCTGAACTCCCCAATCCCCACAAATTCGATGTTGAAAATGCTCCTAATGGTCCACAAGTTGAAATCGGCTCAGCGAACATGGCCCGAAAAGACTTCTGGCCAATTCTGGATAACATGTCAATGTATTCCCTACGCATCGAAGAAGACGGAATGCGAGAACCTCACTGGCACCCCTTTACAGCAGAGATGGGCTATGTCCACAAAGGGAACGCCAGGATGTCCGTCATGGATCCCGATGGATCCGTAGACACATATACTTTGAAGCCTGGAGATGTCTACTTTATTCCTCATGCTTATCCGCATCAGATCGAGGTCATTGGGGATGAAGAGATTCACTTTTTGATCTTTTTTGATGCACCTATTCCGGGAGATGTTGGATATAGAACTTCGGCAACGGCGCTTTCGAGAGAGGTTTTGGCGGCTACTTTTGGGGTTGATGAGGATCAGTTACCGGAGTTTCCGTTTACTGTTAAGGATCCTTTGCTGGTAGGGAGGAAGAATCCGGTTGATCCTGTTAAATCCAAGATTTAGATGTTGAGGTCTAAAAAGCCGAAATGTAGACTAGAAATTCTGGTGCTTTGATAGTAACGGAGAATATCTAGAAATAGAACTCGTATCAAAACCCATCCAAAAAAGACCGGAAAGGAAGTTGTTAGGTGATGTTGCCAATATTCTAAATCCTCTTCAGTGACTTCTTGAGATGAGGGTTTGGACACCCGGCTCAGTAGATCATACTGTACGACTTCTCGTACGACGGAGTGATTACTACTTCTGGGGAGATGCAAGCAAGTAAATCTAGCCCGAGAAATTGCTAATTTTGATGAGTATGAGCAAACGGAAGATTCTCGTGTGCCCTGTACCAATATTTGCTTTCTGCGAGCAAGCACACCCACTATGCCAGAAGCCGACGAAGACATGGCTCAGCGGTAAATTACAGGAAACCAACTGACGCAAGATAATGAGGGGATACAGATTATAAAGATTGATATGATATTAACAACGAAAAGCAACGCCTCACAACAATTGAGTTTCGAAAATAAACTGGGTGAAGATTGTTGTCGCTAAGCGTGATGTCGAGTGACGCGAGCGACCCCAGCTTTCCTTGTCACCCCACGTTCCTGTAAACTATCCTCACGACATCGTCCTCGGCGACGCAACTTGCCGTTGATTGTTGATATGCCACCACCCATGAAGCAATGGATTTACGACGAGGCCAGGCGCCGATGAATATCGATCTTCCAAAGAACAACTTCGACCAAGATTCTCCTCCCATATCCGCCCTCTTCATCATCTATTTCGATATCAAGGCCGGCTATACTATCGGATGGAAGCGAGCGTTGGATGGTGTCGAGCTTGAAGGTGTCGTGGAATATAAGAGCTTGCCCTCTGGACTACACACTGTTAAAGAGGATTTGATATACTTCGTACACGATAACAATGCTGGACTTAGTGCTTTCGTCAATGCGCCGGCAGCGGAAGAATCAAGAAATGCGCAGATGATCGCAGTTGGGGTGATGGTGCCCTTGAGCTATGGCAGACTGGGAAGAAGTTGGAAGCACGCCGAAAACTTGAAGAGAATGGCAAGGTACGATCGCGGATATGCTTCGTTGGAATGACTTTGCTGATATAACCGATAGTGAGCTCATCAAGGACACGACCAAGACCGAGGTTCTCGAGGAATATTGGGAACGACATAAGGGGCATGGGACTACACCATTCAATGAGCCGGAGTCTCCAACAGAGATAATCAGTACTGTTCGATTTACACCGTCCCAAACACCACCGAGAAATGGCGTTAAGCACAACAGAAACCGTTCTGCGTCTGACGGCGCAGCTCTGCTTCCCCCAGGACAACATTTGGCCGCATACCACCCAGCTCGGAGTCTGCCAAATCTTCTCGATGCATTTGGCCCGTTGATTTTTCCATTATATAGGGCGGCAATTTTACGCAAGCGAATACTCCTGACCGGCCATGCGCCAGTTCAGGAAAGTTGTAATTTTGGTAAGTTCCATGTCCATGTCACTCACTTCATGGCAAAGCTAACTCTTTGCAGTATACGACATTTCTGTTCTTTCAAATATTCCTCTTGCAGTGAGCGACCTGCTGGCATCCAGCGCACCTCCTCAGCGTCTCAAACCTTTGTTCTCAATTGGTGTTCACGATATTCCATTATTAGAAGAGGACCTACGAGCCGCCAAAGCCGCAGCAACAACACCAGGGTCATCGGTAGCCGAACAGAGGGATGAACCAGGATGTGGTTGGATAGCATGTACGACGGACAGTATTTTGGCAATGAAGAGCTCATTGTATGATGTTCTAATTACCATGCCACCACTGCACTCGGAAAATGCTTCCGAGAAGGTGTGGCCAAAAATCGAATCACCTCAAGGTGTGGAAATGAGGGCGACACAACGGGATCTACGTCGTTACACGGCTCTGAAATGGGGACTCTCACGAAGTAGCTCAGCTCCAACAAGCCCGTCAACCAGAAGACGAACACCGGAAGAGCCAGAAACCGGACGTACGAGTACATCCAGTACAATATCCGCAAATCACGAACCGCTGCTCGACATACCTGACACAGATGATATAATTGAGCCACAATCCTGGACATCATTAGCGTACTCAGGCTTCATGTGGTGGGCATCAGCCGGCGAACAGCGACATCACTCAGAAGAAGAATGTGATTCAGATGCTGTCCTGCTCTCGGGCTTAACATTCTCTCCCGATCCTTCACCCTCTCAACCACGCTCCCAATCTACAGTCTCTTCAGGCGGAAAACCATCGAAAGAAGACAGCAGCGCTAAGCAGGAAATGGCCATAATAGCATACTTCCATCGATTAACCACCCAGATCCTAACAACATTAAGTGATATAGTAGATGCAACGGATTCAGATGATGAGCGCGAAGACGAATCACGCCCATTACAAGGCAGTCCTGATAGTAACGAGGAACAAAACAACGATCCTCCTGTGTATATTAGCAGTACCGATATCGAGAGGATGGGTCTCGATGTGTGGAGTTCCACTGATCATTTGTTTATTGAGGAAGTAGCAAAAGAGTACTTTGCGCGTCGTGCGCATATTGAAGGTCGCAACGTGGATATCTGTGGGATTAGGATCTGCTGATTATCATTTGCATTTTCATCTGCTGTTGTGGCTATTGGAGACTTCGCTGCATCTCGTTTTGCTTCAGCCCACAAAAGGGCGTGTATAAGTGAGGAGTACATGGAGTTATATTTAGCAGTGCGCATCTCAAAAACTTATTTGGGAACCGGGAGTAGAAATACGGCCAGTGACAAAGGCTCTCTTTGAATGGAACAATTTTTGGATTTTCAGCAGATCTTAGCTCACGATCTTCTACTTTAAAAAGAAGTACGGTACTTGTGACCATCCTGCAACAACATCTCGTCAGTCCCATATGCACAAGTGCTTGTGTATCGTAATAACCGGTCTACGCCATGCCCAAAATGCCGGTAATTTTACATTTCCGCCCCTATGCACCAATCCAAGAAAGCAAAAACAAAACAAAGGAATCACAAGTTTATTCCTCATCTGTATCGGTATCTGTCTCACTAGTGTCTTCGACTTCTCCTTCGGTATTACTTTCTTCGTCAGATGACTCCTCTATTTGCTTTGCCTTCTTTTTCTTCTGTGGCGGCGGGGCCCCGGTTTTCAGGGCATGCATTTGGCCAGCAAGAGAATCTGTAAGAACATTGTTAGCTACTGTGTTTACAAGAGGATCGGATTTTACTAACCTTCATCAGGTTCGCTAATGTCATCGTCTGAACCCATCTCTTCCGCTTTGCTTGCCTCATCAACAACCAAAGTGATTTCCATTTTCGTGTCAAAGCCAACGTACGAATCGCATATTAGGTGCAGAACAAAGGTGTAGTGACCCGCCTGCGGAGGTGCCTGAAATTGTGCTTTGAGTGTTTGCATATTGAAAGTGGGCTTGCCATCTTTCGTATAGATAGGTTGGTCAAATGTCGTAAAAGTAAAAGGAGGGACAGCGACTTTGCCTTGCTTGCTGTCGGTAAGGAACACGTGCCATCGTGGAGAGTAATCCTTAGTAAAGTATGGAGCGTAAGCCAGAGGAGGTTGGACAGGCTTTTGCTCCGGCTTCTTTCCATCCTTACCGCCGCTCTTTTCACGGCCAAGAAGTGCGTCGAGGTCCTCCTCATCAGGGTCGATATCCTCGAGGTCCAGCTCATTCACTTCAGGGATATTTTCACTCCCTGGAGGAATAAATCTGCCTTTGACGACCATTGAAACAAGGGAACTCGGAATGATGTATTTTTCTCCAGTAACTTTGAAAAATCCTTTTTCGACTTGAAGGCGCGGTAGTTGTGTAGCCACAGAAACAACTGTCTTGTACTCGGCCTCGGTTAAGAGGCCTTTGCCAACAGACAATTTGCGTCTGTATGTTTCCGGTAAACTCATGTATTCCTGTAAAGTCAAGTGGGTTCTAGAGTCGCCTTCGATAGCTTGGGCAATCGCTGGCGTGATGTGAGGAAGCTGTAACAACGGGGAAGCCCCAGGAGGAACAGCCTGAATCAAATTCTGGGCGGTCTTGTACGAAGAGATGATTGGCGCAGTGACACCAAATGCGAGGGAAATAGCACCAAATGAGGCATTCAGAGCGTGCGCAATGGGTGCGGCTTCCAGTTTAGCCTGCTCCAGTGCGGGATCGTCGAGGTCGACACGCCCAAGATATGCCCATAGAAGCGCAAGAGCCTTTCTACGAACACCACCTTCCAGATCTTCGAGTTTTAGTTTGTCCTTCTCTGCAAGCCCACCAGCATAGGCATTCGAAGCACCTGGGGCCAGGATCCTAGATTCCAGCTTTCCAAGACCAGATTCTGCCTTCTCCCCCTTCAATGCAGCCTCGAATTCGAGACCTGTACTCAAAGCACCAACAACACCGCCCTCCGTAATGTCTTCTTCATATTCTCGGAACAAGTTGTTCGCGCTTTCGATCAAGACCTTCTCCTTAGACATTCGTTGAGTTCCATACCACCAACTTCCAACAAGATATGGCAATAATACACCCAGTAACGCGGCATAGACTAAAATCACGTATTTTCCATTCCCGTCCGCGATGATGAAATTTGGGAGCGCAATGCCGATGCTAAAACTCTGCTTTCCATCAGGGTGACCAAATTGAATAAAATTATTTCGAATATCCTCATCCGTCAGAGCTTTGTATGCCTTGGTAAGATCGACAAAGTAGTCGTTCAAGGACTCGATGGTTTCGTTTTTCGCTGGGTCGGGGCGAATTTTATCGGGGTGGAACTTCAATGAAAGGCGCTTATAATGAGACTTGATTTCCTTCTCTGATGCAGACTAAAGCCTTGTCAGTATAGTCTTGAAGTTCTTCAAACGGACAAGCTTACTTCAGAAATACCTAAAATATCGTATGGATTCCAGACTTTTGGGATTGTTCGCGCAGTAACGAAAATCAAATATGCCATCAGCGCCATGACGCTCCATCCAATCATTACGGTGATAACGCGCTTCAATCTCCTATCCTTCCTCCTCTGCGCCTTTCTTTGAGCGTCTACCAGATCCGCATTCTTGGGCCGGTAGTCTGACTGAATTCGTGGTGCAGTGGCGCCAGGGTCTGAACTGGGCTTGAGGACACTGTATGTCAGAGGCAATGTGACTATGCCAACGATCGTGAGGATGAAGATAGGAAAGAATTGACCCTTGGTCCTATTAGCAATGATTAAAGATAGCATTCTGTTCTGCTCACCTGTTCATCATACGAATAATCCGTCCCGCTCATGTCGACGGTTTCTGGTCTGTCCACCCAGGTCTACTACGAACCTGCACGTAGGCGGATTGAACTATGTCGCTACGTCGCAGTGATGGGCTTCGTTGGGGGCGCAGATGAAAAGAGTGTGCTTTCTTTGAATTAAGAAGGAAAACACTACGAAGATGTCGGGAAAGAAGGAAAGTCCGTAGTGGTGGTGGGAGGTGTTCATTATCCTCGAACTCGGTTGTGACTATCGTGGCTTCTATAAACTTCCGGCAGGGATTAACGATCTGGCGCTAACGGAATAGGGTTTAGCCTTGACCTCGAACCTTAAAAATACTTAACAATACGTTGTCATTTTCCAAGCGCTCATAACCTAGACTTTTAATCACGACTTTCGTGATCCTTCATTCTTCTAGAGTAATCACTTTGGCATGCAAATTATCTTATGTCCAGCTGTTTCAAAGGTTACAATTTCATCCACGCATGTAGAAAACCTTGCAGGCATTTGGATATACAACGAACTGAGAATGCGGAGCTGTGAACTCTAGCTGAGGATGGTCAACTCACTTTTCACAGTTACTTAGCACGTGCTTGGGTAAATGATCAATTCATTTATTTGTATCGTAATTCATGTTCTAGTTCTATCATAAACGTCTAATAATGCCACTGAGCGCCATTGCTATGCAACGAGATGTGCTGTTCTTCCTAACTACTGCGCAGAAGGGCACCGGATATAAAAGTCTCGTGTAACTACACCATAAGAAAGACATACATGTGTGCCAAGTTGAGCGAATAAATTTCAAGCGAAATTACTGGTGACATTGACTGTGGTTTCGGCCACTGTACAGACTTCCCTACCCGTGCTTTGCAAAGACAAAATTGACTTTGCAGGTATCTTCCTTCAGTATTGTAGTCAGAGCATCGTCGCCAAGTATGCCCTTGATTTTCTCAAAGTCTTCCAACTCATAGCCGAAAACATCTTCGGTTTCGCCTTTGAAGACAGAGGCATCGATATGTTTGTAATGCATGAGCGCTTGCATTCCTTCTTTGCCCTTTCGTTTCTTGCTCTTGCCTTTGTTGTCATCTATCTTTTGGATGGCCTCTACATTGGCCTTAGTTGCTGGTACGACAGCGGGAAACAGCATTTCATCGTCACTATCCTCAGCATCATCTGACCACTCCTCCTTGTCCTGGTCATCCTCTTCATCACTACCAGGAGCTGTTATTTGTTCTGAGCCGAGGCCTTTGCAGTCACAACCAAGGAGATCGTGCGTCTGGCATCCAGGATTAGTCGCGAGTCGGAATAGATCCCTCAGCTCTTCAGGTGAGAAACTTCCCTCGTTCTTCTTCCCATCAACCACACTATCTGCCAACCCTGTCTTACTCACTTGACGCTGATAAATCTTTTCATCCATACCACCAGCCATCAACATTCGGTAGATCTTTACCGGTCTCTTCTGGCCATCGCGATGTATTCTTGCCATTGCCTGGAGGTCGACGGCAGGATTCCAATCCACATCGAAAAGAACCAGGCGGGATGCGCCAATCAAATTGAGACCTGTGCCACCTGATTTTGCTGAAAGCAAGAATGCAAAGTTCTTGGATGCGGAGGTCTTATTGAACGTATCAACCAGCTCTTGGCGTCTGTTTGCCGGGGTACTTCCATCCAGTCGAAGGAAAGGCAAGCTTAAAGAAGCTAGATGCTGTCCGAGTATATCCAGCGTCGCTGTATAATTTGAGACTAGAACTATCTTCTCGCTGGTCTCTTTGGAGAGATATTTGATCAGCTGGTCAAGCACTCGGAATTTGCTGCTGGCTACAACAGGGGATTTGCGCAATAGTTCAGAGGGTATGACATCTAAAAGCTGCGCCATTTTAGCATTGCCAGATGCTTCTTCGTCTGCTTTTACCAATAGACTGGGAGCGTTACAGATCTTTTTCAACATAGTGATGAGTTGCAATTTGCATTCGGTGTTTCCAATCATGGACCCGAATACAGAGGACTCTAAAACATGCTGATATACCTGAATTTGTGCTCGTGTCGGATTACAAAAGAGAACATATTCTGTCTTCGGTGGAAGATACTTCGAAAGTACTTCTGCGGTCCTCCGTAAAATGAAAGTTCTCGTTAAAGCTGATAATTCTTCGCCTCTCGCGGTGCCCTTTTCAATGTCTCTATCGGATGCGCCAGGTTGCCTACTTTTGGTGATCGGCGTTTCAAATTCCTTTTTGAAGGTATTATATTTTCCCAATAGCCCAGGATTACAGAAATCTACCATCTCGAAGAATTCGGAAAGATCGTTCTGCATCGGTGTCCCTGAAAGGATGATTCTTCGATCCGTGTTGAGTGCCTTGATTGCCTGGGCTGATTTGTTCTGAGCCGTTTTGAGTCGATGGCCCTCGTCTGCTACGACTAAGTCGATTCCAGCACCTCTTTTGAGTTCATCTTGAACTGATCTGAGTTTCTCGTAACCGATAATCATCACGCTGTAACTCTTCCCATGCGTAAAGTCGGTGAGTCGAACCTTCTTATCGTCCGCTACTAAAACTCCAATTCTCTCATTTCCCAGCCACTTCTGGAATTCTTTTTTCCAGTTCGTGATTAGAGTGACAGGGCATACTATCAAAGCTTTTTTGATCACTCCCTCTGGACCGTATATGGGGTTTTGCTTTAGAAGTGTCCAAATCAGAGCGATAGTTTGCAGGGTCTTGCCTAATCCCATCTAGCTATATTAGCAATGTGGTTTGTGAAGACCACGCTGTTTCAAACTCACCTCATCTGCTAATAGAGCACCCTGCCCGTTGAAATCTCGCATTCCCATAACACACTCGTAAAGGAATTTTACTCCCTCACGTTGATGGTCTCGCAGATGTTGACTCAAGAAAGGGTCTACAACAACGTCTACAATGTCTTTTCCTTTAGGAAAATATTTTGGCCTCTTCATAACCAAAGCCCCTGGAGCATCTGGGGCATGGCGAGGCTGGGGCCCTCCCCCCGCTTTGGGCTGTAGAACGGACGATTTTAGTAGAGGTGTTTTGAAGGTAGTCCCGATCTTGCTAGCAGATGCATAGAAGCTCTTTGCGGGTATCTCCTTCTTTAATACTACTGGCTTCTTCTCAATCTTTTCCGTAGGCATTTTTGGTGAAACTACGGGCTTGTATGTGCTTGCAGGTGTTGTGGGCTTCCCCTGAATCATGGGGCTGGCCTGGCTTTCGCCGCTTGAGGAGCGCTTCGTGGATGTCTTTAGGAACGGTTTCCTGGCGAGAAAGTCTGCTTTGCTGATAGCAGAATCAACCTCGACATCTTTACCGCCGACGCTTAACGTACTTCCTGGCAGTAGAGGCTCATTATACATTGACCTCCCCATATCCCTCCCTGAGATGTCTTGTAGCCGTGCATAGCCACCGTATACTGAAAGCACGCCATCGCCATCCCAAGTTTTGTTTTTCTTCGTTGTAAATTTGCGCCTTCATGTCATTAGCATTTCTTCCAATTCGTTTCAACTCTGACAAGTACGAACCAAAGCACCATATAATAACCTTCAAGGCCCTCTGAAGTAGCCTTCGCAGTCGAATTTGGTTCTCGGGGATTGCTTACCACAAGCAGAGGTTTCCGTGGCGCATGTACGGCAGGAGAGCTCAAGGTCTTCGCCGGAGGCGAACTACTTTCGATGACATGAACCAGCAGTTTCCGTTTTTTGTACGGTCGCGGATTGATTTCGACTTCATCATCAGAGTCAGGAATTCTTGTCAGATCAATTTCTTCGGCTTTTTGTTTGCTCTTCAGGAGCGGCGGCCGAAATGGTTTGTTCATTGTTAATGTCGTCAAATTGTGACGAACGCGTTCTGCGACGCGACAGATGTCGCGTCCGTCAATCGTCAGCACGTGACATGTGTCATTGTAATTCGTTGGTATTCGATTACCTAGGTAGTACAATTAATGTCCGAATTCGATTGAATATTTGGATTACAACTATCGTTTGAATTTATCTTCCTTTCTTACTGTCTGCCTAAAGCTAGGGCGAGGTCTTGTGCTTCTACTCGTCTATATCTACCCTCTCAGTTTATTGGAGTCCCCCAGGAAAGAAAGCTTTAGGCATTTGAATTGAAAGCTAAGAACTGTGCCACAGACATCAATGGGGCGAGTCTGGAGATATGGGCACTTATAGTGCTATCTGCAGGTAGAGAGAATATTGCATTATGTTCATATAATCATGTTAAACCACACCAGTGGGCTGGAAGGAACGGTTCGGATACGCGATCTTTATATCATATCCCCTAGTCTTTTGGGTTTCCGGTATCTATTGTAAGACGACAATAGTATTCTATCTCACAGGTACAAAATCCTTTGCGCACTTCACGACTGTCTGACAGTAAACAAATAATGTGGCTTGTATTTTATTCCTTTCCTCGGAACATGATAACCAGTCATTCAACTTTCAACAACTCTCACACCTTATAACTACAAAATGCAGCTCACTGGAGCATAGAGTCCAGGCTTTCACCCAGAACACCTTCGATCTTCACAATCCAGCGGTTCGTTTCTCTTTCGACAATATCATCGTCGTCCTCTTGTAATTCACTAATGAACGGCAACATCTCTGGTAACATTGATAGCCACTCTTCGCCAAGCCGGTCAGTCATGGCTTGTTGACATTGCACGGCTGCTAGACGGACGCTGGAGGATTCTGATCGCATGTGCTTCAAGATTGCCCCATTGAGCTCTTTGTGGTGGTCTGAAGAGTCTGCAGCTGCAGCAAGCTCCACAACGGCAGAAATCAAGTCTTCGTTCACAGGTAGAGACGAGCTGTACGCGAGATGGGTACATAAGACAGGCGCCACAGCACTGAAATGAGCAGGTGCTTGCCAGAAGTCGTCTTGGTCGTGTTCGAAGCACTTGACTAAAGTCTGGAGAACTCTCGTCCATAATTTCTTGGATTCTTCATCCTTTGGGTTGACGTTTTTGAGAATATCAACGGCGTTCTCGATCAAATAGCTTGCGTATCCAGTCACGATGGATTTCAGATTGTCGAAGAAAAGAGTGATGAACCCGTACAGGCTTTGCAGGCGTAAGACCCTGCCTGAAGTGTCTTTCTTTGGCAGTGAAGAAGACGCCCACTCGACGAGACCGGCGAAAATGGGTCGGAAAGTGGCATCATTCAGCTTATGAATCATCTTAATCGCCACATCATTGAGCTCATCTTCCAGCTCTGTGACGACTTCTGATTCGAATCCACGCTCGCTAACAGTTTGTTGTCTACGTAGGTCGAAGGCTTTTTTGAATATATTTGACAAAATAGCAGAATACTTTGTGATGACACTCTTGGGTTGTTTATTGACAGCGTTTTGTAAGACTTCGACATACTCGTGGAGTGCCTAGATAGATTAGTTTCAAGATGTCACTAAAACATTCGGGTAACTTACTACAGGACCTTGAGACGCAGCTAGATCCCAATTTTTCTCCAACGCCACAAAAAGACTCTTCGCGTCAATTTGCTTTGCTGCTAGGTGAAGACACTGTACTCTACTTTCGTCGGCATCGTCATCGAGATCTGCCTCGGCGGAAAGATTCGATATCTTAAGGAGTCTGTCCAAGTAGGGACCAGATACCATATATGGTAAGTGTTGAATCAGTGCGCTCATAAAAGCATATCCAGCATTGTGGAGCTTTTGCCCATCTGCGCGTTCGACACTCAACTCCATGTACTCCAAAGTTTTAGGAATTGCGGAAGGAAGGATAGATACAACACCTTCCCTCAGTATGTCAACTAGTGAGGCCAAGCACAACAGCGCCATTACCCGCAGTCGATCATCTGACTGGCCCAAACAATCTTCACTGGCTATCGTTTCTGCAGCTGCCGAGACGGCCTCAAGATCTTTCTTTCCATACTTTTCGGAGATCTTGTCGACGCAAGCGACAGCTGTATGCTTGTACAATACATCCTTGGACTCACGGATGATAGCGGTAAGTTGGGGTAGGAAACCAAGCATTGCTGTGCGGGAGGCAGCATTTGAGGTGCTTTCCTGATCGACGCGGACTTCCAAAGCTCGAAGTATCTTGCGCCGTAGAGAATCGTTCGGTCTGTTTAGTAAATCCTCAGCGGATTTGAGGAACTCGCTGGTCGAAAGAAGGCCTAGAAGTGCCTCCAAAATGTCTCCACAGGAGCTGTGTAGCTGCGCTTCTTCCTTTACAACATCTGCCAGCCCCAGTATACTCTCGAGGAGAGAAGAGTACAGGTCTCGGATCCTAGAAGAGTCCATGTCGTCTCGTTCGAGTATCTTTCCTGCTTGCTTGACCAAGGCACGTTGGGAGAGTATCGCGGGTAACAGTCGCATTTCAGCAAACGCGACCGCAGAAGGATCCGATAACCCGTCGTCATTTGTGTTCAAAATAGCAACCGAGTAGGTGGGTTTCGGCTTCAATATGTCACTGACAAGATCGAGATACTTTGCGACGGACAGTAGTTGTGTTTCCACCCTGAATGAGCTGGTCAAATCAACGGCAAAGTTTTTGATGCTCTCTGTTGGCCCGTATTTGTTGACGAGCATGGCTAGTATGGCGAACAAAAAATCTTCAGATCCTAGGGTCTGGACCAGAGATGTAAAAAGTCCCTTTCTGCGATGGCTAGGAACATGCTCAAACGCTGCGACAAAACTCAAGAGAAGTTCTGCTGCTCCAGAAACAATATTTGTCTTGCCCTTCCGGAGCGAAGATATTAGTGGAGGAATGACTTCACGTATAGTTTGACTGATAACGTGTGCGGAGTAGTCATCATTCTGTCTCAAGACTGAGTTGCCCATGAAGGTAAAAATCGGCATGACGCTGTGAAGAACAAGCTCAGGCGCAATATCTGCAAGGGAGGCTACGATCAACAAGGCGGCATTTTGCACCTGTGGACTCGCCGTCTTTTGAACACAATCGACAAGTAAATCTGTTCTAATTGCTGCACGATCCAGCTTTAGTTTAGGGTTGGATCTAAAGGCTTGTAAAATCGAAAAGAGGCTACTCAGGACTAGACCTTGAAGATAGGCAAGCTCAGAAGTGGCTTGAGCCTTGAAGTGTTGTATTTCAGCGAGGATTCCAAATAGTCCACCGAGTAGTTCAGGGTGTGTTCCTGGACTTGAAGAATCGATAAGCTGTAAGACAAAGGTGACCTTCCTAATGGCATCAGAAAGTTCTTTAGGGTCTCTGATAGAACTTCGCGCAACTTCGCCGTGGCTTGTCCTTCGTCTTTTCGAAACCGGAGGCTTGTCAGTCATTGAAGCTGCAGTAGGAAGGTCATCCATAAAAGAAAGGAGTATGTCAGTTGTCAAGGAGGCGCTTCCAAGGAATTGAGAAGCCGTTTGAGCGGCAAGCTGGGTGTGGTGATCAGATTTACTAGGTTGGGAAAGTGCTGTTGCAATCAGCATTTGAGCCGTGGTCAACCTCGAATGACCCTTTAATGAAGACCACAGCGATCGCAGCCTTTTGAATGCTGCAGTCAGCAGAGTGGGCCTGTCTGAGGCTGCTTCACCCTTAATTATTTGAGCCAACAGTTGCAATCCCTCCTCATCGTTGGATGTAATCACGGAGAAACATTCGTCATCAAAATCTACTTCATTGACTTCTGCTTCACGACAGTATCTAGAAGCCTCTTCCACACTGAGGGAGGCCCATTGTTGTAGGACTGGCAGTAAAATCTTAGTTCTTGTCAATGAGCCAACAGAGCGAACTTGATTGAGAGACGCGAGGAGTCGAAGTTTCACAGAATATTGAGGTGTTTGGACAACATGAGAAGCAAAGAACGATAAAATAGAAGCTCTTGCGGTCTGTGGTAGTCGTGTGGAATCTGCTTTGGCAGAGCCCTCGGAGTGGCTTTGACTTTGAATGGCTCTCTGCAATATGGTCTGGATAGCTTTTGCATCTAAAACACACTCCTCGAGTGACGGAATCAGTATTTCTCTCAAGAGACGCATCACAACGTCGGCAGTGAGCCATTTGAGGGTTGTTGTGGTTTCGGGGCCTGGACCATATAAATCTTCAGATCCCCAGCGAGGGAGATTCTTCAACTCCTTTTTGGACTCTATAGTCTCAGGGTATAAGTGGTTCATGGCGATCAGTAGGTCTGCCGCTGCGCGGCGGACTTTTGCCGCAGGATCGCTAAGAGCAGATACTGCATATGGCAGTACAGCTTGCACATCAACGGATGTCATCTTCGACTCCAAAAGAAAGTTCGTAGTCAACTGGAGTGCTGACGCTCGAGCAAGAACAGGGTGAGGGGCAGACCAGGTCCTCATGTAGAAAGTGAGGTACAGCGAGTCTTCCAGTGCAGTTTCGCGTCGAAGGATTGGAGCGGCGTCGAAAGTGTGAAGATCTGCTTCACTAGCTGTTGAGGACAGAAAGGCTCGGCAAAGATCTGGATAGACGTGAGAGGTATCGTGACATAAAAACGAAGATTCTGCTGCTGTTCTTGTAGGTAGACTGTCGAATAGGGATTGGAAGCTGGGAGCTGCAGGTTCGGTCGTAGCGTCTTCCATGATGGCATCGTCAGTGGTAGACGCTTGCAAAAGCTCGGGGCGAATCGTTGTCTGAAGTTTCATTTCCAACTCATCGATATCAACTTCGGTATCTCGTAAGACACCACGCACCAAATCACCAGTATGGCCAGCTAACTGCGCCAAACCTACTAAAGTCGAAGCGAGATGCGGTCGCAGTGTTATCTGTTCGGGACTATCGTCCAATTGATGTGCAACAAGAAGTAGCGATTTAAGGACTACGCCAGATTGTTGGTCGCTCAATATCTGACTCTCAATAATCTCCTGGATTATTGAAAGTGCCCGGAGGTCACCTTGCTTCTTGAGACGGTCAGTTAGAGAAAGACAGAGACCATTTGCAAGCTTATCCACCCTGCGCTGTTGTGAAATATTAATCAACAATTTTGGAAGGTTTTCGATTTTCATTAGCTCCTTTGTGAGCCTTCTTGTCAGCTGCTTTGCGGCTCGATGGTTTGCTAGAACAGATAAGCAGACGAGGCCTGAAGTAATTGTGTCCGCTCTCCAGCCCAATACCAAAGCTTCCATCATGGCAGTCAAGATTTTGTCATCAAGTCCACCCTTGGAAGCCATAACAGAAAGTAGCATGTAACAACCAAGACGTAGATCTGGCACGTCCTTCATGGCCAAGCCTTCATTGAGCGTGGGAATCAACTTCAAAATCACGTCTTGTTCGTTTTGCTGTTGGACACCTTTCCGGCCTGATCTGGCTCTATCCAACAGTCCCCCAACTGATTCTGTCATGACACCAGCCCAGAATGCTAATAGAGCAGGGTAGTGTACTCGAGATCTGCTGATTCGAATGACGTACGAATTGAGCGTTGCCATAAATGTAGAGTTGGTTATTGCCGCTTGTACAATAGCATGCCTTGATGGCGAGGTAAGAGACCGTACGTATGGTTGTAGAAATTTAAAATCCCCAGGTATCTTGAATGGAAGTATAGACATCAATGTGTTGAATATTGGAAGCGTGTGGTAGGGGAGGAAGGTCGTTAAGAGGAAATGCGTATTATGTTCATGAACGCTACAATTGTTAGTTACTTTCTCATCGAGGCACAGACAACGTACCGAAACCGCCGGACAAGCCATTCTACAGCCTTTATACCTGGATTCAACCTTAACCTTCCGCCGACAAGACCCAGGAAAGCCTCTATTTGCTTATTGAGGTCTGTGTTTTCTGCGGTCGTCATTTGAGTCCTGTCTATCTCCTGACTTTGTTCACTGAAGATCCCCCTTTGAAACTCCAAAAACCGCCCATCCAGAAGACAGAGCTCCTGAAATCCTTCATGGCACAAGGTATATAATGTATCGAAGCTTTGTGATGCGGCGACTCGAGGTTCGAAAATCAAAGACTTGGAATGCGCGGCCTTTTGCGCTTTCAAATTCAGCGAATTTGTTGAATTTGCAGCTATTTGCGACAGCTGAGCTGCCAATGCGGACGCCATTTTGATCTTCGTCGTGGCGCTTCAAGAAATCATGTCAAGTTATATGTGCTAGACGGCGCAATTCTTATCGTAGAATTTCTGTCTATCGAGGAACTTTTTTTAATGTGGGTCCAGAGCTCAGAAACATGCTTGGCCAAATTCGTGTTAGCACGCTACTAAATCGCGGGGAGAAGCGTCAGCCCAATCAAGACATTTTGCTTAACTCCGAACTACGTCAAAGCTTCGCTTGCAACTCCCTTCTCTCATCAACGAACCTGGAAGTGTCTAACCAGTCTCTCAACATATTTTCGACAACAAATTACCTAGGTACTAAGCATGCGGTTCTACCTACTAAGTCTGGGTTTTTGCAATGTCGGAACCTAGGACCATTCCAAAATTCGGATCGTTTCGCCCTAACCCAACGCCTACCAATTCTCTTTCGACAGACAGCAAGGTAATTGGTCGACAGGAGCGAAAGCATCGTTCAAAGGGTGAGGGAAATTTTAAGAGTCATGACACCAAGCGAGAGGACAAAACAGCTCGCCGTCACCGTCATCATCGAAGAAGTAGATCTAAAAGTCAAGAGAGAAGCAAAGAAAGAAATCGACAAACGCTTGATTTGAGACCTGTGGAAGCCGAAGCAATCAAAAAGTCTGATGAATCGGAAGCTTTTTTCATAGACACCAAAGGTGATGAAAAGAACCTGGTGTACGGAAGTATTCACAGGTATGATGTTCCGGTATTCCGTCGTACAGGTGGTGGCAATGTGATAGGCACTTCAAATCGATTAAAAATCGATAGATATCTTGGTGATGGCAAGTATATTGTTCTCTCAGATTGGAGGGATTCCACATTTGGTCCACGAGAAAGATATACATTCTCCAAAATTAAAGGTGTAAGGCCTAGACTGCTGAAGATTCGGCCTGAGAGCATCGGAGAACATCAAGACGTTCTTAATGAGGACTTCGTGGCGCTCGATGATTCTAAAATCAAACGAAGCGGCGACCAGGAAAGCGATGATCAAGCAAGTGGCGCCGAAGATGAAATCAATTATAGGTCGATACATGGCAAGAAGAAAGTTGGTGATCAGCCTGAGGATGTCGCATTTCAGTACGCCGGTGAAAGTGATGATGCCGAAAACCAAGGATCTCATGCAGTCGGCTCTAATCATGCACATCGACAAAAGGATTTGGAGCTGAAGCGCCGGGTGGAACAATGCCCCGATGATATTGACGCCTGGCTTGAGTTAATCAATCTCCAAGACAATGCTCTTTACGGAAAGGATGAGCGACATCGGGCTACGAATGCTGAGATCAAAAGTACAGCAGAGATAAAGATCTACATGTATGAGAAAGCTCTAGGGCAGGCAAAGTCTATGGCTGATCGTGAGCGTCTTTTAGTCGGGTTCATGTCAGAGGGGAGTAAGGTATGGGAAAGCAAATATCAAAGTGATCGCTGGGAAGAAATATCCCAAGCAAATATTGATAGTCTCACGTTGTGGAAGAACTACTTGCTTTTTAAACAAAGTACATTTTCAACATTTCGGTACGAGGAGATACGAGATATATTCATAAAGCGCATTAAACTTCTTCGGAATGAAATTGGAAATGCGAATCCTGGTTCCGAAATGTCACTTTGGCAGCAGCTCATCTACGTCCTACTACGAGCTACCATCTTCATTCGGGAGTCTGGGTTCTCCGAATTGTCAGTGGCGATCTGGCAAGGTTTAATCGAGTTAAACTTCTGTGGGCCGAAAAGTCCAGAAGAACCAGTGGACCGTATTAAAACATTTGGCGAGTTTTGGGAAACAGAACTTCCTCGTGTTGGCGAGGAAAACGCACTTGGCTGGAATCATTTTGTTCAACAGTCGGGTGATATCGATGCGCCCGGAAGCATCATCGACGCTACGACGAATGAGCTGGACGGCAACGGCTTGTTTAGGAGCTGGAGTGCAGCAGAACGGCGAAGACATAACGCTTCAAGTCTCCCCGCCAGAACTCTCGATGATGTTGCCGAGGACGATCCTTATAGGGTTATTTTATTTTCTGACGTTGAAGATTTCATGGCTGCTTTACAACCAGGCTGTGAGGAGATGTTGAGATCTTCTTTGTTCGATGCATTTCTAATATTCTGCCGCATGCCGGCTATGGCTAGCCAAGGAGAAGAGAGCCGATCAGAATTAAGTAAGGACACTCTTGGTCACGAGTTTCTGGAGAGTGATCCCACGTACATCTCTCAACGCTGTCTAAATAAGCCCAAGATGGACGAAAATGCGGCTGCAAAAACCGAGTCACCCTTAACGACTCCTGTATCCAACTATTACATGTCCTCTGATACCTTATTCTCAACTGGATTGTGGTTTAGCAAGATGCTGAGTTGGCAAGAAAGATATTCTCCGGTTTATCAACCACTCTCGTATGTTTGGGTTCGTAATACGCTCAAGCAAATCAACAACTTTTATTCAAATGAGGATCTCGCTGAATATTACATGGCATTCGAATGGAAAAACGAACCAGCCACGATCAAGAAAGTCTGTAAAGGACTTTTGAAGCAACATCCTACAAGTCTTCGGCTGTACAACGCATACGCCATGATCGAAGCAGCAAGAGGGAACAGAGACGTTTCCAACAGTGTGTTCTCGGCTGCTATAAGCATGAGCAAATCTGTTCCTGAAAAGCAGAGCCGCGATACCATACTGCTCTGGAAGAGCTGGGTTTGGAGTTTCCTGGAAAGTTCAGATAACTCTGGGGGTTTACAACGCATCCTTACCATACCAGATGGCGTACTCTCAGATTCCCTCACCAGTACTCCCGCCACGCTGCTCAGAACAAAACAGTACCTAAGGTCCAACCGAGACTATCTTCTCTCCTCAGGAAACTTCTACCACGCCGCCCTACACACAGAACTCCTAGCACTCTTAGAATACCTAACCACAACCTCACCCCAAGAAACCCAATCCAGCACCCAAGGCAACATAACAAGCGCCCTCACAATCTACACCACCTTATCCACAACCCTCACAATCCACCCTACCGCCCACGAACTCCTCCTCCAATCCTCCGCTCGCCTCCTCCACCACCACGCTCGCACCGGCCCCTTCCGCCCCGCCCTCCTCCGGCAACACCTAACAACCTACCTCACCCTCTTCCCAAGCAACACCATCTTCCTTTCCCTCTACACCTGGAATGAGTCGCGGCTGCGCATCGAAAACCGCGTCCGTGCCATCCTGCACTCCACAGTCCTGCTGCTCGAGCACGACGTCCTAACATCCCGTATCTTCGCCATCACCTACGAGATCCAACATGGAACCATCCACTCCGCGCGCTCAGCCTTTGAACACGCCGTTGCCTCGCCGGCGTGTCGAGCTTCTCCAGCGTTGTGGCGGTTGTATTTGTTGTATTGTCTGCAAACCCCGGAGTTTGTGGGAATGGCGAAGGATATCTGGTATAGAGCACTTAACGCGTGTCCCTGGGCCAAGGAATTGTATGTGTTGGGATTGGAGAGGTTAGAAGGTATAGTAGCGTTTGAGGAGTTGAGGCGGACATGGAGGGTTATGGGGGAGAAGGAGTTGAGGGTACATGTTGATCTTGAGGAGAGGTTTGAGGACATGGTTGAGCTGGAGGAGGGGAGGAAGATGGGGAGGTTAGGATTCAGACAGTAATATATTTGGCTATGGTATAAGAATGTACATTATCACATCTAAACTCCCTCACCAAAACCAGTTTTTCCTCCCTCCCTTCACACTCTCCTCTCCTTCTTCCCCTAGAATGATCTTCAGCGCCTCATCTCCCTTTGGCGTCGTCGTCAGATTCTCATACCCATCCTCCGTGACCAACAAATCATCTTCAATCCTCACACCACCCACATCATAATACTTCTCCAACAAATCCTTATTGATGTATTTCGCGTACGCCGGGTCTGGAAGATATATCTCTTCGAGCGCGAAGGTGGAGAAATAACTGGAATTGCGTGAGCCGAAGATTTTGACAATGGGTTTAGGGAGGAGTGACTTACATTCCAGGTTCAACTGTTATAACGCTGTTGACTTCCAGAATCGAAGGATTGGTGGTTTCCGGTGCATTAAGCATTTCATGGAAAACAGCTTGTGCTTCTTCGTGTGTAGTATTGCGGGAGAGACCAGATAGTAGATATCCACCAGCACCCATATCATGGACTTCAAGACCCATGTAATCTACACTCATCAATCAACCATCTATCAGCAACACGGAAAAGAGAACTTACGACCAAGACCATGCGGCAAAAAAGCCACCGAAACCCCCGACTTGAGCACCTCCTCAAAACTCCCACCCTGCAACAACCCCAGCTTCAAAAGTCCAGCTACAAGCACTTTATGCGCGTGTAACTGGATGTTTCTGTAATTCACACCGGGAGCAACCATGGCTATACACTCTTCCTGCATTTTCGCGACGAGGTTATAGACTTCTTTTCCCTCCTTCGTCCATTTCCCTGAAATAGGAAAAGTACGCGTAACGTCAGAAGCGTAATTCTTCCACTCACAACCCGCATCTAGACAAACAAGCTGGCGTCCCTCAAGTGACTCGTTATTAGCGCCGTAATGTAAGGTACTAGCATTCCGACCTGAGCCAGCTATGATCCCGTACGCTTGATTTTTAGCTTGCGCTGCAATGCAGGTTGCGGTAAAGATAGCCTCGATCTCGGCTTCGTTTTCGAGCGTGCGGATGGAGCGGAGGACGTTGATGTGGGCTTCTGCTGTTATGGCGTTGGCTTTGCGGATCATGGAGATTTCGAAGGGTGATTTGATGACTCGTGCTGCATCCATGGATGGTTTTAGAAGGGTGAAATCGAAGAGTGGTTTTAACTCTATGGTGGTTCCGTCTTTGTAGTTGATTTGATTTGGGATTACTGGGGTTTGATAATTGTCGAGGACGAATATCTTTCCATTTTCTTTTGAGGCGAAGAATGTTAGGTAATCTTGAATATGGGTAGTAGTAGCAACCAAGTCAAATTCTGATACGGCTTTGATATCCTCTTTTGATGGATTGTTTCCGTTGTAGATGACGCTCCTACCAGTGTTTGGCGGTGGAATCCAGACGTAAAGTCCATCCCGTTTGATGTTGTATGTGACCACACAGTCCGGATAATTTAGGCCAGTCAGATAGTAGAAGTATCGACGCTGACGAAAGTAAACTTCTTGATCTGAATCTTCGTAGGTGAGTGACGGCATTCCAGGCAGATATATTAAGCCCTCCGTTACACCAAGGCGTTTTGCGACAGCTCGAGCATGTTGCTTTGCTACAACGTCCAAATGTTAGCTTTTTATGCTTGAATCAAGATCCTAAGACAAGCCGTATGTCAGAGGAACCGAAAGAACAGATACATCCATCCTTGGACCTCATTCGGAATCCTCAAACACATCTCCGTTCTCACATGAGAACACCAACGACACAACCCTCAATACTTAAACCAAGGTCTCCCTCCTCAAACTTCAAGTCAAAAGCTGTCATAACCCCAACTCCTCACTTCATCTTTCACTCCCTCTCGCCCTCTTAGTTCTCCTCACCTAAACACAAAGCCAAAGAAAGAAACACCACTAACCAGGAAACTTAACCCTCTTGCTCTCCACAACCCTACAACCAAAAAATCAGCACACCTTCTCACCCCCCAAACCCACGAAAAAATACATACACAACATCCCCCTCAACCTCATCCACCACCTCCCAAGAATCCCTACGCATATCCATATTTGCAATCACCGTATACGCTTTTCAGCGAAATAACAAAAAAAGTAGATGCAGGAGAACAAGTCTTTGCGAAGCGTGAACTACTTAAATAAATCAAGAAGTGGAAGTTGGAGTTGGTTGAGTAATGCTTCACATGATGAAGATGGGAGGGAGGTCCACTGTGGTCGTTGGTGAGTGGTGAGACGGGGCCCATAAAATGTGGGGGTTGTGATTGGATGTGGGAGGGGGGCTTGGGTCTCGGTGTGTACAACCAATGTACATAGCTTGGGGTTTTATTAGTGAGATGTTGTTGGACGTGATTCGTATAGTATCCTCTATGTTTTATATCTACAACTATATTGTGTTTCAACGAATTTATTTGTCGCTGCACTTTAAGAGCAGACATCTATCTCACAGCTAAACTCACCATATATTGAATACGTTCATGCTAAGCATCTTCAATGGGCGCAAGAGATGCATCTCAAGAGCCGAAACTCAAATCCTCTAGTATTCTATGCATGAACTAGACTTCACTTTTCTATGCACCATATCCGTTCACCCCCAACGCCATACATGCCAAATGTCTCCCCCGATCCAAACGCCATATCATATGTAACCCACCTGCCTCATATTCTGATCATAACGTTCATTTAACACCCTCGTCTTCTCATCATGACCCCCTAGCATTACTAATATTGAAGCCCACGATTGCCAGGACCACCTCCGAGCCTGTGTCCCTCATCCTGGAAAAAGGCAGCATCGGCCTGACCGCCATGTGAACGTTTCGGCGATTTAACTTCGATACCGGCCATTGAAATGTGCATGTGAAGTATTCGTCGACCAGCTTCTTTCTCATAGTCTTCTGCCATGCGGAGAGCTTCTCGTTGAAGTTCCGCACGGGGATCGACTTTTCTTGATTCAAGTAACTACATCATGTTAAAATTTGTCCCTCTTCAATTAGAGGCTAACCACTTACACCATCGACTGTGTTGATTCTAGCATCGAGGTCTCCTCGTTGAATCATAGCGATCAACTCTTTATCCATAGTTTTCCCTAGCGGCGCGAATCCCGAATTTAAACTCGCCAAAGTGACGGACGAAAATGGAATAAAGTATTGAACAATACACTTGCCTCGGATCAGCTGATATATTTCGTCGATATGTCGATGTAAATAAATGTCCAGAAGATAGTCTGCACGGTAGCTTTCTAATACTTGCAGACAATTCGTATAGCGACTGTTGATGAAGAAGCTAATAGCCCGGCGGATTTGTGGCTCCATCTCGAGATATGTTCTGAAACTAGAGTTTTCCAAAACTCTTCTTTGCAGTTGATTTCGATCCATAGTCGCTAGAGCGCATAGACCGCCATAGACGGCTACATCATTTGGACTGATGATGGTCGCAGCGCTCTGTGCCAGACCGGGCTCCGTCCAGAGAAATGAGTTTGCTGCCTCTGAGTAATCACCCACGTCGAAGTGTGCTAGTCCTTGTACAGCATGTAGATATGGCTGTACCGAAGCTTCTTCTGCGGTTCCAGCTATAGCGCTCTTGACCTTCTGTACATTCGAGTTTATAGCGATCCAGTTTTTTTGCTCCGCAGCAACGTTGATAAGATGCCGACTGACATCGATAATCTGCTTCGAGGCACTAATATCCTGTCTCATTCTGCTAAAGGCTTCGAAGGCTTTCGGAAGTTCGCCAATAGCGTGATAATGCTTGCCTAAATCTTCATTACCCATCTGAACTTGTTAGCAAATGTTCTTCCATTCTTCATTTTTTACACATACTCGAATACTCTCTTTCACCAAGTTATTTTTATACCCCTTGAGCTCCTCCTCCAAACGTTTGGTCTCCGCATCGTTCTGCTTGGACACTCGATCGATCCAGGATTTATCTCGGACAGCCTCAGGTTCTTCAGGGCCAATAGTTTCCAGGTGCGCTTGGGCTTCGAAGTATTTGCGGATGTCCTTGCCTGCCTTGGCTTCTCGTACTGCAAGCTTCAATGCTTCGACACCGAGAAACGTGGAGCAGACACCAATGTATATAAGTCGGTCAAGTCGTGTTCGTCCTGGGATTTCTTAGCAATCTTGCAATGTACCCCAAAGGAGTATACTCACCCTGATAATTTTGAATGTATGACTCGAGGTCGAATTTCGGTGGCTCTACGAAATGTCAGTACTTGGTATCACTGGCCATCAATGGCACTGATCAGCAGTAAGTAGGACGTACCCGCAACAATGAAACCACCCTTTTTGTTCCGAGGCTGTGTGGGCGAACTCGGGGCGCTTTGCAATGAAGCCATAGTGACACCCTTTTGTTGTTGTTTGGTGGCGTATTAATAGTTGCTGGTTGATAGTTCCGAGTCGAGGTTGTGGGGTAGACGCGATGTTGGAGCTCTGGAAGCTCCAGGCTGCAAAGGCCGATAAGGTACGACACGGATTATAGTTCTACCGAATTTTTGTCTCTATTATGTAGTTATACGTCAATCAGATTTCATAAGTGAATTACTAAGTTGTCACTTTAATGAGAACGATTTTGAAACAAAATAATTCTTTCTATACGCAACACATGTTTTTCCTTTGGAAATAAATTACTTTTTACCTAAATATTCGCTTTCCTGCGAAACAGTGGATTAGTACAAAGCAGAGAAAAACCAAACATCTCACAAATATGAAATGTACAGTTCTCTATATGCTATTTTCCGTTTTGAACGAACTCGGGTATATCTACATATTAAACCCAAACAAATCCCTAACAAAAATCATGAGTCCCTTGTATCTTCCAACACGGATATCTAAATGCATGTCCGAACAAAAACCTAAAAAATCAAATTGCCGGCCCTCATCCCAAATGTATGCAATGGTATAACCGTCATAAAATACAGCAATCGTGTGCAACACTGCAAGAAAAATTCGTGGCTGGACCATTCACTGCGGACGGTATCGCTGATCATTCACCATATTACTCCATCCATTCTCCCCCGAAAGCACGAAATTCATATTTCCATCCGGTGCTAATCCAGTGTTGTAGCCTATGGAAGGGCCTATGTTCTCCATCATTCCAGGTCCCATATCCATCTGATTTTGATATTCAAAATTTTGTGGTCCCTGTGTAAGATATGGTGGTAAAGGACCAAAGATCTGCCCCTCTAAGTCATCGTACATTCCAGGGTTGGGATTCCCGTTCGACACATATATAGTCGGGTTGGGCGAGCTGTTGTAACCAGCCAAGGGCTCTTGTTTGTCGTTTTCATAATTCATAATAGGGTGGTTTGGTGGATATGCAAATGGATCCGCGGACGGGAACATCATCGCACTGAGATCCGGAACCGAGCTATTTATGGTAAATTGTTGTGGATGAACGTAACTCGACGTGCTGGATTCTGGAGTTCCCACTGTCGAGATGTCCGAAGGCGTCATTAGTTCCTGGAAGCTATTTCGAAGGTTGGGATTGGATGCGGTATTCGTTTGGAATCTTGCTCCATCAAGAGACGCTCTGGGACTATTGTGAGCCGGTGCTGGGGTGGGAAAAGTTCGTGCACGTGAGATAAAAGCAATATCAGGACCATTTATATCATCCCGAGGAGGATTCCAAAGAGATGGGGTGCTCTTTACTGCCGACTCGGTTGGAGGGGATGGAGCGGATCGTTTCTTCTTAGCGAGGGTTGGCGCAGAACCACGGCTTTCCTTCAGGTGCGTCGGCAGTTGCTCGAAAAGTCCCTAGTTTTCAGTTAGCCCTGATTTGAGGAGAGCACTGATCATTCTTACTTTCAATGCCGTTGAGCATCTGTCTGCAGCCTGACTTCCCCGCGCAAGACCATCTAGTGCTTCCTTGCCATCCATGGCGTCTGCGAGGATCTCTTGAGATCCAGACTTGTTTGGATTTTCCAACACAAAGAACACCAACGATAGAATAGAAAAGAACGTTGTATACATCGTGAACCAATAAGCCCCAAGCAAAAAGCCCCTCCTCTTCATTTCCGTAGTGATATGTACAATATTTCGCGAGACGCTGACACATGCAGCGGCGCAAGCATATGATCGTTCGTCCAGATTTTTGCTGGCTGGCGACTTTTCTGAAACGTAATGTAAAAATGGGCGATAAAGCATCATCTGAACGTGAGCGTATGCTAGGCGGAGAAGCTGCTGAATACTAAATAACCATGTTAGTTACTGGGTCTAGCAAGCAACCTTTTTCTAGAGCTGAGAGATGAATATTTGGTAATTTTGCTTACCGAACGAGTTTTGGCGACACATCTCCACCAGGTCGAAGTCCCATTGGGAGTTTATCCAGCCACTCTTTGAGATCGCGCTCAATGTCTCTAATCTTTGCGTGACTTATAACGTAACATGGATTTGCGCCATTCTGGATGGATTCTTCAAGCCCTTTGGTTGGGTATATATAGGTTATTACCTTTGTCAAAATTATCATTAGATTCGTATGCGCATTCGATGCAGCGTACAGCGATGTCGTCCCCTCCGGCATTGGGATTATTCCGTCTTTTGTGATGTATTCATCATCAACTTCGGCAGGTAACTTCTGATCAACATCGTCTAGACTGAGCATTTGAGGAAACCCAAGCATCGCGGAAACATAAGTGTCCATCTTTCTCGCTACCCAGAAAACTCGTCTTCGAACTTGTTTCTCGATCGGGTTGAAATTGTGGGGGATGTTTCGGTGCAGTCCCATCCGCAAAGCAGATCTTAGAGCAATTCCTATATAAGAGTAGCAAGTGCTCAGATTCGCTGAAGACTGCAGAAAGAGGATCATGAACAGGATGGCCTGTAACGCCGTAAGATCGCGGCAATCTGTAACATCCATCATCTGGCGCGCTGCTCTGAAATATTTGAGTCTAGGAGGTTCGTTAGCAAATAATCGCAATAGAGCCGCAGGTGAGGTCTGTCAAGGCAACACAATACAATATCAGAGTGTTCCAAACTCGCTGATTTGTTAAAAGTTGCGCGAAATTCTGCCGCCAGGACAGTTTCAAAGCCACCAGAAATAGAGGTTCGATCAACGAGGAATGATATGATGAAAAACGTTGAAGGAAATGTAACACACCCTTGGTCTATGCCGCTTTTGTAAGTCGGCGGATTCTTCCCTTCAAGATTAAACAGACAACCTAGAGCTAAGACAACATATAGCAGTGGTAAAAACTGATTCTCTTCATTGCCAAAACTCTCTACCGGTATATCGTATATCCTATGTACCATTACGTAAAATGAAGGTTGGTGGACGAAGCACAGAAGAGAGCACGCCAGATTTAATGAATTATCACACAGATGTAGCGCGACTTCTTTGGCTGGCAAGTCTATTGTGTTTGGAAGACCTGATTCGAGCGGTGAATCATGTGCGGAGCCGGGAGAGTTGAATACAACAGAAGGGTAGGCTCTCGGTAATCTTGGTAGAAAAGGAGATCCATTGTTTGCCTCTCCCAGAAGTCCTCCCATCTGCTCTCGCATTCGTCGAACAAACACAGTCCCAGAGGATCCACCCTACAATACACGTCAGCCCACATCCCGTTTGGCAGCATACTGTCCGTGGCTCACTAAGCCATATGCTCTGTTTTCGCGTATGCGAGCGTCCTTTACTTACATGAAAATCCCATCGGCCATGCTCATCCAGATCAAGTTGTCCAGTAGAAGTGATCATTGATCGCAGCTGAGCATCTTGTTCCGCTTCGTATTCATTCTTGATGTTCGATGAGGCCTCGCCTGTGGAGTCCTTGGCGTTCGCCTGTCTCTGTGCAATCGCAACGTCAATGTCTGTTGGATCGTTTAGATCAACGTCCGGCAGGACGGTCTTCAATAAAGTCTCCGCGCGCTGCAGACGAGTTTCTAATGCTTCGATATATTGCGGGGCCGGGTTTCTACGCCGATTGGAAGGCTGGTCATAGGTGCATTCTGAAGGGGTCAATAGAGTTCTCTTTGACAGAGGCATGCAGGTTCTACATACCATACGAGTATACTGTGCAATGGGTACATGGCTGTTTTCCGTCGCATCTTCACAGTTCTAAATTAGCTTCTTTCCTCTCGATTTATAATTCTGCATCCTCAAAGGGGACCCAATACGCACTTGATCTTCTTCCTTCGACATTCATCGCATGCTCTAGTTACTCTTCTTCGTTTCTGGAGAGGGGCAGCGCGGGGTGGTTGTGAGCCAGGAGCTGAAGTTGGAGACGACTGCCATGGCCCTGATGGACCTGGATTGAGTTCTTCATCAACGAAAGAATCGGGCGACGAAGGATTCGTAGCGATTGAGGGTGCGATTGGAATTGACATGGTTTGCCTGATGAGGGAAGGTTTGCGCCGATGACGAGTCGCAAAAAGATCCCCGCGTCAGGTCGAAGTAGGCGGCTGGCTCGCAGTCAAACAAAGTTTTGCTGTAAAGAGAAATTGCAGTGACTCAAAACTCAATGAAGAATTTGACAATACTAGAAAGAGGAAAGCTCTATGTTTCGGGGGAGATCTGACGACGAGGATAATGATGTCCTCCAACAGCTATTACAATTGAGGAATGGTACGAGCCGTCAGAAAGTTTAAAATAGGGAAGGTGAATAGAGGCGGCGCTCGGTGCCGTAGCGTTTGGGTTTGGGCTGACGGTGTTGATCTTTGAGATATTCTATGCTTGGCAGATGTTCAGAATCCGACACAAGATGCTGGGCACTTGGTAGTTGGTCGTTGATGAACCCAGAGTGATTCGTTCGCGGCAACAACAAGAAGGAACGGGTCGATGTCGGGCGGGTCTAATCCGCCTGGTAGTATGGCGTGTATGGTACGTGGAGCACTGGAGCAGCGCAGCGAAGAGAGAACGGCGGCTCCGAGGCTTCTTTTGCGGATCCGAGGACTCTGTTGCAAGTTGTGGTCGTGCTCTCTCGTTACGCTCGATCGACTACTCGACTCGAAGGTCACGTACCTCGCCTCGTAGAGGTATGAAAGGTGAGTAGGAGGTAGTCGATACGGCGATGATTGAAATCCCGTGCAACTGGGAGAAGCGAGAACCCTACCGTGACGGTCTACGGAGTGCTTTAGTACTCATCGGACTCGTCGGTGCTTGAACAGTACTAGATTATGATTCTTCCACCTCTCGTCGCACGAGACAAGAGATCGAAGGCGGTGCAGACGAGAGTGGAGAAGGAAGAATGAGGCCGTCTTGAGTGTCCAGGATCGTGGAAGTGGATGGCAGGATACCGTATGGAATCACCGTATGGAATCCCAGTGTGAAAGTGCAGAGTGGATCAACCGAGGGGTCCTCATCCGTTTACGCCGCCAAGCCACCAGAAGCCAGCGAAACCTTCGAGAAGAACTTTGCTAAACACTAAAGCGTCGGCATCATGAATCTCCTAAAGAGTCAGTCTTGGTGTCCTGGGCGGGCCAGCAGGGCTTCTTGGCTCGAATTGGGATTCAGTCGTTCGTTGAATTTGTCTTGGGAGTGTGAAGTGCATGGGGAGAGACAGAGAGATACCATGCAACAATACAGCGAAGACATGGTAATGACCGTGTGATATTTGAAAAACACCTTGGAATGGAAGCCCAGATTTGGCACCGAGGTCAATCAAACCCCATGTGGGAATCCTTCTTGAAGATCTGATTACTGGAACTTGATTCTATTCAGAGAATTGTCTGATTAGTGTGTATCTTGAGCATGGCCATTTCCATTTCGTCTACGAAGATCCCTGATACAGAGAATCTGCCTGCATCGCAGCCTTACTCAAATACTGGCGACTTTCGCATGCTGCCCAGGTGCATGTCAAATGTCCTCGCTTAAACCGCCTTTATGCACTGATTCCCGCCAAGCTACGTCATTGCTTAGATGTATTTTTGTAAAAATGCATTTCTGCTCCTCTGCTGTGCAGACTGACTTTACTAATGGAATCGCAGTCGAGCCGATTTATCCATGAATGTCTCCGAAGCATCTCCGAGTCGGCTCCTAGCAGCATTTCTGAATTGGAGTATTATCCTGAATACACGACAGAAAACCCATTTTCAACACGGAAAGCACCCAACCTGTACGACATGACGGACGGAAATTAACCTCACCGTCGCGGCTGGTAAGTCATGACGAGCAGATATTAGAGATCCCTTATCTACCCCGCCATCTCATCTGCCCCTCCATCATCTCGCACCCACGACATCAACCAAGTACATCGCGACTGGTCGCATTTGAGAGGCAAGTACTGGTAAATCTTGCCTCCTCTGTCTCGACTGCTTCTTAGTCTGCTCCTACTTCTCCGCCTTACCCTCATCATCTTCTTGTCTTCCTCTCCAACACCCATCAACCTTCAGTCATTCAGTGTCTGTCCTCTCTGAACCCCCACATGCGGAACAGCCTCCGTTGGCTCACCACCAGTCCAGTGCACCACCACCGCCCACGTCCTAACCGTCCTAACCTGCCCGCGTGCTGAGGGACCTGACAGTTTATGCCAATCACTGCTGAACGGGGTGGATGGGGCGTAAGGAGCCTTCAAAGGTTGGTGGAGGCTACCGCAAAAATGCCAAAGATCGATTTGCCTATTCAGGGCGTTATGATGCCAGAAAACCTGACCAGTGTCATGCTTCATATCTTCTTCGCTGTCGACCAAAATCGTCACATTGCACTCCTGCCCGTTGTGTCCCTGATCACCAACATGGCATTCGGTCGAGGGATGGATTGTTATTCGATCCCATGAAGGTGGGCCAGACCGTCAACCTTACCAAATCGTTGAATGCAGAATTTACTAGTTGCCGCAAACTTTCTTTTAACCTCTCCGCCCCATATATGATCCTCCCTGATTCTCCTCCTCCTCCTCATTTCTCAACTGCTGAGCAAATTGCTTGTCGCAACCGGAGTCATTGTCAACCTGGAATACGTTTGACAATTCGAAACCCACGTAAAGGTACTTCTTGAGACATAGAGTGCCCGCGAGCGATATACCTGCATTACCGAGAACTGCTTTCTTAGAAGAAATCCAGAAAACAAATCATGTCTAACAAACCAATCTTCGTTGCTACTCATCCGAGAGCAGTGAGTACCGCATTTGAACGAGTATGTACCTTTACAGCCCCCTAATGTAGCACCCTCGGCTCAATTGCTAATGTGTTACACACAGGTCTTCATGACCCGCCGTGATATCCTGACATGTGTTCACGAACCATTCGGAGATGCTTTTTATTTTGGACCCGAGCGATTGAGCCCTAGATACGAAAACGATGAGAAAGCTCGTGAAGAGAGCGGTTTCGCGGATTGCACATATCAGTCGATATTCGACCGAATTGAGAGAGAAGGAAAAGAGGTTCGAGCCATACTCTACTTCTGCGAAACCCCGAACAACTTCCCATACACATTCTTTTGAAACTGGAAAAACAACCGCTTAATTGGATCAATTGAATTTTCAACAAGAGCAAGTGCTCCTTGTAAATCGGAGAAATTTGTTCCCTTGATTTAATGCATCTATTCCAACACCCTTGTACTCGTCTGGTCGGTCCATTACCATTCGAATTCAATCTACAATCAACAGCGTCGACTCAGTAATATTTCTATTTGTTCGAATCAGTGTCTCCGAATTTCTGTTTGACGTTGGAAAACTCATTTCTGCTAGGGTAAACGTCTCTTCATCAAGGATATCACTCATTACCTGTGCCCACCAGAGAAGGGTTCAGCATCCATTGCACCTTCGCTTGGAGGTCAGAGTATCAAAAAGGGGGTTGGGACTGAGGGCCACACCAATGGCACCACGAATGGGAAGGTCAATGGCCACAATGGCTCGAAAAAAGCGCCATATCCATATGACACAGCTCCAGAGCCCGGGAATCCAACAGTTGTCCCAGCCGAAATCCTTAGACAATTCCATTTCACCTTCCTCATCCGCCATCCCCGTCACAGCATCCCATCCTACTGGCGCTGCACCATCCCACCTCTCGACAAAGTCACCGGCTTCTATAACTTCATGCCTGCCGAAGCCGGGTACGACGAACTCCGTCGCGTCTTCGATTTCTTGCGTAAAGACAAGCACGTCGGTCCTGTTCTCGCCGGAAAAGGCGTCTGCGAAAAGAACGATGTGAGTATTACCGTCATCGACGCCGATGACTTGCTGGATAATCCAGAAGGCATCATCTCCGCATACTGCAAGGAGGTGGGGATTGACTACAGCCCTAAGATGTTGATCTGGGATACTGAGGAGGATCACCAGAGGGCTAGAGACGCCTTTGAGAAGTGGAGGGGCTTCCATGATGATGCTATTAATTCTACTTCGCTTAAGCCGAGGAGCGCTGCGCATGTAAGTTTGCACTCGACTGCCTGAAGAGTAAATGAGACTGACTTCAACCAGAAAAAGAAGAACAAATCAATTGAGGACGAAGATGCCGAGTGGAAACAGAAATACGGCGAGGATGGTGCGAAGGTCATCCGGGAGACGGTGGATGCTAATATTGAGGATTACGAGTATCTTAAGACATTTGCTATCAAAGTCTAGGCCATTAGGTCCTGAGGAGTTTTGTTGTGCATATTAAAGGATATGGATTTTGGGAGGGTGGAATGGGAAATGTGTGCTAGAAATAGAGGGTGACGCAACTGAGAATCGGACTTTTGGTGGTTACAAGTATATCTTTTATTAAGATTTTTTGATTCTGGCGAATACAACATCAGCCAGATTTTTGTATGAACTGAAATGTGCGTATATTCCGTGACTCTCGCATTCGAAATTTTGGAACTGGGATTGAAGACTTAGGAGGACTTGGAATTTCAGAATCAGTCCTCTACCTAAGATGGAGAGCGCAATGTAAGTCTATCAAAGGTCAGGAGAATCAAGACTTATGTTCAATGACACAAACAAACATCAATCGTACAACGTCCTTAACTTCTCATAGTTCTTATATAATTTTCATACACTTCCCAACTCCATACAAGTACAAAGCCTTCCTACCTACACAATACATACATACCCCCTCAATCCCTACGCCTCATTCACCTGCGGTTTCTTCGCCGCCTCCTCAAGAGTCTTCACATCCTGAACCTTCATCTTCGCCACCACCGTCGCCTTGAACGTCGTCCAATCCATACCTCTCGGCCTTGACCTCGCCGCTTCCTTCCCTCTCTTCTTCGCCTCGAGCTTCTTCTGCATCCGCTCCTTCGCTTTGAGAGCCTTTTGTCTCTCCAACCCCTTTTGCGTAGGTGAAAGAGCCGCTTTCTTAAGTTCAACTTTCTTGGCTCTGTGAAGCTGCTTTTGCTTGTTCTGGTCGCTCTGGTATTGTTTGTACCATTTCTCGCGGCTTGATATAGTTGTCTCGCTTGCCTCTGCTTCTGCTTCATCCGCGGATGCGGTCTTCTTGGGGGTTTTCAGGGATCCCCATAGCGCTCCGACAAATGGGTTTTTGTACAAGGACGTCAATGTGTTGTGGACGACGTTGCTGCTCCATGATTTCGCAAAGTTCGCATCCGCGATATCAGCCCATCGAACCCCAACTACGGCACCCTGACTCTCGTCGTACAGTCCTAACCGGTTCCCAATCGCTGGTCTTGGCGCGGGATAGTAATGCCGTATGTTTTCGACACTGAGTTTGAATAGCACGGACGCTAAATCGGCGATACTGTTGGCTTTCTGGTCATTTAACAGCCTTCCTCTTTTCTGCTTTGGGACGGGTATGCCCGCGCTGGTGACATTGAGGGAATGCGGTTCCCACTCTAATGCGTGCCGTTTGGCATACTCGCGGAGTTTTTGGTAGGCACTACGTCCGTGTAAGGCGGTTGGGAAGGATATGGCTGCGAGGGGGGTCCAGAGATCCTTTCGCAGGGCTGCTGGGACCGTCTTTTTGCCGTTGTATGGGAGTTGTTTGAGCGCGTGGTTATTCTGATTGTGTTAATGACTGCTATGGGGTTTGAATAGATGTATAGACCTTCATAGATTTCTGCAGCGAGTAGACTACTTGATTCCATTGGACCTGCCTGAATACGTATATCGTCTGGCCTCTTTCACCCGTCGGTTCTGGAACTGGCTTAGAGGCGGCTGGCGCTTCTGGTGTTGGCTGGAGTTCGGAGCTGGTGATGGGGATTTCTGAGGGTGATGCGGTAGTTGCTACATCTGTGAGATTTGCTGCTGGAGGTGTGGTGGCGGTGGCATTATGTCGAGCTCCACGGATACAGAGGATTGCCCTTCGTGCTATCCTGGAGGAGGACTGAATATTCATGATGGGCTGGGCGTGGTGAGCAATTGGCTGATCCTCTTGTACACCCCGTCGCGAAATCACAGAATCTCAAGAAGTTACAATTTCATTTAGGCTTAGCGCTACTGGTCATGTGATATCGGTGAATCGGTGGCTGCAAGAGCTGCTACCCCTGTCACTTTCAAAGAATGACCTCAGAGAATGAGGGGCAGGGCTGGCGAATCACAGAGCAGTATCATCCCCACAGTCAGGCCAGTTCAGGTTTCCTGGCGAGAGCCTTCTGGAAGCAACCACTGACTGCGAGAAGCGTCTGCCAACGAGTCGCATGTTCTTCAACCTACCAGCTTTTTTCTTGTTGCGTAGGTGAACGGCCCACTTACTACTATTTAGCAATCAGACGCTTCTTCTTCTTGATTTCCTTCTCTCAAGACAAACAAACCAAATATTGCGAAAGTCAATCACTCAACTACTGTTCAATTCTACTTCTTTCATTTACACATAGCGAAACCACAAAAGGCATTCAGGACTTGAGTCCTTCAGTTTACAACTATAGCTCCCACAGTACAATTCAACTACAGCAACAGCTGATCGAAATTCGATCAAAACATCGCAAACATGAATAACATGGACTTCACCGACAGGGCGAGCAAAGCCCTTTCTGATGCCATGGCGGTAGCAGAAGGTTATGCTCACCCACAACTATTACCTCTTCACCTTGGACTCTCCCTCCTAGATCCACCGGCAGACGAATCGAAAGATCAACAAAATGGACCAGCACCATCTCAGTCTCTCTTCCGTCAGGTTGTTGAGAAAGCAAATGGCGACCCTCAGGCTTTCCAAAGATCACTTCAGAAGGCCATTGTCCGATTACCCAGTCAAAATCCTCCACCAGAGCAGATAGCTATGGCACCGTCGTTCACGAAAGTACTGAGAGGAGCTCACGACCTACAGAAGACACAGAAAGATTCGTACATTGCCGTGGATCATTTGATCATGTCATTGTGTCAGGATCCTGCAATTCAGACTAGTTTGAAGGATGGGAATATGCCAAACGTCAAGGTTATCCAAGAAGCCGTTCAGAAAATCCGAGGTACGAAAAGAGTCGACTCCAAGACAGCAGATACCGAGGAGGACAACGAGAACTTGAAGAAGTTCACTGTGGATATGACGGCGTTGGCGCGAGAGGGAAAGATGGATCCTGTTATTGGTCGAGAGGAAGAGATCAGACGAGTCATCCGAATCTTGTCTCGCAGAACGAAAAACAATCCCGTTTTAATTGGAGAGCCAGGTGTTGGAAAAACCACAGTCATCGAAGGTTTGGCTCAACGTATCGTCAATAACGACGTACCAGACAATCTTTCAGCATGCAGACTGCTCTCCCTAGATGTGAGTGGTATTGTTGCCGGCAGCAAATATCGAGGAGAATTCGAGGAGCGCATGAAGGGTATCTTGTCAGAAATCGAAAAAAGCCACGAGATGATTGTTCTCTTCGTTGACGAGATGCATCTCCTCATGGGAGCTGGTAACACTGGAGAGGGTGGTATGGATGCTGCCAACATCCTGAAGCCTATGTTGGCCAGGGGTCAGCTACACTGCATTGGTGCAACCACACTTATGGAGTACCGAAAGTACATTGAGAAGGATGCTGCTTTCGAACGTCGTTTCCAGCAAGTCCTCGTCAAAGAGCCAACGGTTCCAGAGACAATTTCTATTCTCAGAGGGTTGAAGGAGAGATTCGAGGTGCATCACGGTGTCGATATTTCCGATGGTGCCATTGTCGCTGCAGCTACTTTGGCCGCTCGCTACCTTACCCAGAGACGCTTACCTGATTCTGCTGTGGATCTTATCGATGAAGCAGCAGCAGCGGTTCGAGTAGCCCGAGAATCTCAACCTGAAATCATTGATTCTTTGGATCGGAAACTGCGACAGCTTAAAATCGAGATTCATGCCCTTACTCGGGAGAAAGATGATGCTTCCCAGGCTCGTCTGGCGCAAGCTAAGAAGGACGCTGCTAATTGCGAGGATGAACTTAGACCACTACGCGAGAAATACGAGCGTGAAAGAGCTAGAGGCAAAGCTATTCAGGAGGCGAAGGTTAAGCTCGATTCACTTCGCGTCAAGTCAGAGGAAGCAACCCGTATGGGAGACGACAGTAGGGCTGCTGATCTACAATATTACGCTATTCCGGAGCAGGAAGCCTTTATCAAAAATCTCGAGAAGGAGAAGAAAGCAGCGGATGCAGCGCTTAGCTCTACAAGCGATCCAGATTCAGGCGGGTCTCTTCTCACTGATGTCGTTGGCCCAGATCAGATCAATGAAATTGTTGGTCGCGCAACCGGCATTCCAGTCAGCAGACTGAAGGCCACCGAGAAGGACAAACTGTTGCACATGGAGAGAGAGCTTACCAAATCTGTCGTCGGTCAAAAAGAAGCTGTCAAGGCAGTATCGAACGCAATTAGACTTCAACGTTCCGGACTCAGTAATCCAAATCAACCACCCAGTTTTCTATTCTGCGGTCCTTCGGGTACCGGTAAGACGTTGCTCACAAAGGCACTAGCTGAATTTTTGTTCGACGACCCAGCTGCTATGATTCGCTTGGATATGTCAGAATACCAGGAGAAGCATTCCTTGAGTCGAATGATCGGTGCGCCACCTGGATACGTTGGCCACGACGCTGGAGGACAACTCACGGAAGCTCTTCGTCGCAAGCCGTTCTCAATTCTGCTGTTTGATGAGGTGGAGAAAGCAGCGAAGGAAGTTTTGACTGTCCTCCTTCAACTTATGGACGATGGTCGTATTACTGATGGTCAAGGACGTGTCATTGACGCACGCAATTGTATCGTTGTGATGACCTCCAATTTGGGTGCCGAGTATCTCCAACGAACGTCATTGACATCTTCGAGAATCGATGACACAACGAGGAAGTTGGTCGAGAAGGCACTTCAAGATTACTTCTTGCCTGAATTCTTGAACCGTATCAGTTCAACGGTCATTTTCAACCGGCTATCAAAGGCTGAGATCCGCAAAATCGTTGATGTCCGTCTTGCTGAGATTCAGAAGCGACTTGCGAAGAACGACAAGTCCGTCAAGATCGACTGCTCACCTGAAGTTCGTGACTATCTGGGAACTGCAGGCTACAATCCGCAATACGGTGCTCGTCCTCTCGGCAGACTTATCGAAAGAGAGATTCTTAACCGCATGGCCATCTACATTCTTAATGGCTCAATCAAGGATGGTGAAGTGGCTAGAGTGGTTATGCAGAATGGCAAGATCGCTATCCTACCCAACCACCAAGGCATGGATACCGGTGACGAGAGCGATGATGAGTTAATGGATCTCGACTATGATGGACAACAGGATGAAGATCCTGATATTGGTCTCTATGATTAAGAGCCATCATCAAAAAACGGTGGTTGAGAACCAAACTTCGCCATGTATTTGACGATTAGATCAACGGAAGGAATTATACGAGAGCTTTGAGGGGACATGCATTGGTGGATTAAGATGTGTCGAGCGCTTATGCTACAAGGATTGGGGATGACATCAGTGTGTACAGATGACTTACGAAAAATGATGAGATGAGATGATGAAAGTAGCAAGCGAGTGCTGCATTTTTGGCGTATGGGGTTAGAGATATAACTTTTGTTTTGCTATTTACATGACTTAGGGACATAAGAGTAGGTGTTTGATTCTTAGTTTATAAGATGGAGTTGGAAGTTAGGGTCATGTACATAATAGACACCGTACATAATACGATGATTTCTTATATCTAGACAAATTTATATTCCCTCGTGAACTAACAATACCTTCCTTTTGTGGTAGATGCTTTGACCCCCATTCGAATTCCTGGCACATACGTCCACTTTCCTTACGACAAATAGAGTTTTATTTCGGACGGATGAGGCCTCAACCGACTCCATCGATTCATCTCTCGAACACCCTCGAACACCGGTATACTTCGAGTTTTCCAGGTTGATGGCAGTTTTTTTCTTCCACACGCCGTTTACGATTTTAGGTTCTCACCGTCCACATTTCCACATTGTGAGGGTTACGTTGTCTACATGAGGCGTTTTAGATCTTCGTCGCTTGTTTTTGTGGGGAAGTTGGGTTGATGAAACGACGTCTGATCTTTGACAGGGGCTTGCAAAACAAGACATTGACAAGAAAAAATGATCCGCCAATCATGGCTTGGGTCTCTTGGGAGATTGCCTTGTTGTTTGGGGTGCTTTGGGGATTTTCGGATGGGGGAACGAGATGGTGTGGTTGTGGTAGGGGGTAGGGGATGTAACCGGGTTTTGAGGAGTTCGGATTGGGGCGTTGGATACGTGGATATCTTTTTTTAAGGTGTATTTTTTAAGCTTATTCGTAGGACAAAACTGCAGAGAAGAGTTCTGTAAGAAAACAAGGGGAGCTCCCATTCTCCAGGCCAGGAGTTCAACTACCATTCAATTCCGGGTTCTAACGTCTATCGAATCTTTACTCCTGCGAACTTTCTATTTCCTCCGGGGGCGCTTAAACATGCTCGGACTTAGTTCAGACAAGTATGATCAACCGCTTGCGGTACCCTTGATCGGTTGAGATCGTCCTTTCTAACAGCCTCAGTTTCACATTCCATTGAACGTCGTGCTTTCACGGATTTCCAGCGCCACGGTTCATCATTTTTGCTTGGAAATCTCTTGTCTGATTTGGCAAAGCTTATCTATTCTTGGTCTAAATACAAGGGTGGTATGTTCATATGATTTTCATGAGACGGAGAAACCAATCGAAACTGTAATGCGCTCGTGCGTCGGATCATCTGGCTTCTCTGGGCTGTCGGCCGAAATGCTATCATCGTCAATAATGGAGATCAGAAAATCTTTATAAGGAAGTGGTATACCCTCATCAATCCTTTCTTTTCTCTTCAGCAGCGCTCTCATTCTTTACATCAGTCTTCCAGTTCAAACTTTAACTACCTTCCTTCCGATATCACATTCTTTCTGAGCTGTGCTCGCTACAATTTTCCAGACACTTCCAAGACAAAGAACACTTCTTTACAATCAACTTCTTCTGTTTATATTTTAAACCCTTTTATCAATCAACAACCGTCAACATGCAGTTCTCATTCGCAACCCTTTCCCTCGCTCTCATCACTCTCTCCATCGCCTCTCCAGTTCCAACCACCTCCAAGGAGAAGGCCGCCGCAAAGGCAGCAGCAGCAGCAGCTTCCTCGACCACCGCAGCATCTGCAGCAACTAGTACCGCTTCTACTGGCACTGCCGCTGCCGCTGGTGATGTCCTCACTTCTTCGGACTACAACACCATCCAAATCTCCAGCGGAACCGCTGGAAGCGCAGAGACCGAAGCAAATGCTCTCTTCGCCAACATCGACATGAACAACCTCGCGGGTGTTAGCGCCGCCGATTTGGACATCATCAAGGGTACCCACGATGCTGCCGAGGACGCGGAGGTCAACGCTTTCAACCCAGCTATTGCAGCTGCTACCGGAGATGAAGCTACCGCTCTTCAAGTAAGTCATCTTCATCTATCATGCGATGACGCAGGTACTAACGTGTAATTTAGAATGGTAAAATCAAGAACAAGGTTCTTAAGCTTACTGCTGAGGTTCTCGGTGAGCAGATCAAGGCTGCTCAGGGTGGTGATGGCAGTGGTGTTGCCAAAGAGCAGGCTAAGCTTGCCAACAACATTAAGCTTGATACTGCTGCCGCTGGTCAAGCCAGCACCTCAGTCAGTTTCGCTGCCTCCATTCCTGCTTAGGAAGGACAATCGATCTCAAAGAGATGAAAGGAGACTAGTATAGGGTTTAGGAAGGTGGATTTTGATGTTAGAGAAAGCTTTTGGTGTAGATATTTGGTGCTTTTTCTTGTGGGAATACTTTTTTGTGGTTGAGGGGATGTGTATTGGATTTTGATAATCTAGGGGTTGAAGTTTCGATCTGGAATCAATTTTTACTGATTGTAAACATGTCTTGCCTGCTATTGCGCTGATTTAGTGAGCCAAAAGAGGAAAATTCCGACTTAAGCAGAAGATACAAGAGTCGGCAGAGTGCTATTGGTTTATCTTCGATACCAATGGGAGATGGTCACTTATGCTGCGTGTTATATTTTCTTGATAATTCTGAGAACAGGTCATGTTTTTGGTCTGTTGAAATAAATGACATTTCGTTAAGCTTGAAGTGTTGGGTTTGAAGTTCTCAGTTGGTTTCGGAGGTAAGAACGCTCAGACGTTGTGTTACAGCTTGCTGAAGTATATATTTTTGTTTGCAAGGAATTCTTGCAGCCAATCAGGCACCCTAGAATGGGTCCTTTAGCTCAGCGGTAGAGCAGCCGATTGCAGTAATGCGATTTATCGGCAGGTCAGTCGTTCGAACCGGCTAGGGACCTCTTTTTTTTGTATTTTTTCCCTCTACCGAACTGTGTTTTGGAAAGTTTATTCACATCTTTTGGGTGGTTCGTAGTCACACATAATTTTCTATTTTTGTCGTGCAATCGTCTCCCATACAAACAGTAATAGGTGGATTTACCGAGATATAGCCGCTGTCAGGGCGTCATACTACTCGGCGACTCGTAAATAAAGGTGGGGGGCATTACATCTGTCACCGAGTTTGGGAAGGTTTAGGTTGACACTTTTTAACATCAACCTTTTCATTTTTCGTCTTTTGTCGCCATCGGTTCTCAGGAGTTTATCATGATTACGGAGTAGGTTTCATGATAAAATAATTCGGTTATGGCCTACCTATTATTGCCGGACTCGGAGCAGCCATGGTATGGCCAGGAAGGCGCATTCAGGAGTTCGATGGTTCATGTGGCAATAAAGGAAGATTCGAGTACTAGGTGCTCGCGAATATGGGTACGTAACACATGTATACTTCTTCTAGCAAGTATAACTCTTTTCGGGGCAATTGGATTGACATTCGAATAGGATCCGGTGAATGCTCAATTTGAGTCTTGTGTCCTTCCATACATCGCCAACATTCCAGCACTACTGGCAATATGCATTGTCCTCGGATACCTATTCAGACTTATTCCGGGAATATCTCTTACACCATGGTGGCTAAGTAGATTTGTTCGAGAAGTCCCAGAACCTGTTGATGAATTGACGCCTAAACGCAGACGGAGCTTCACCGTCTTTTCTGGGAGCTTGCTTCTTGTTTCTATTTTGGGACTTTCACTTCAAGTTTCAACAGCGTTATTTCCTAGATTTCAGCTTGAATTATTAGGTCTCGTCGCATCATGGATAGCATCGATTATTCTACTTGTTATTCTACGACCAGCAGCTACACCGAAAGCCTTGCTTGGTCTATACGTTAGTATATTTGTGTCTCAGTTCATCATTATCGCCAATGGAGCTTCAAGTCTCGACGCTTTTGACTGTCCAGCGACAGTTGTTTTCCTACTGGCTTTTGCGGCGATATGGATCATTCTTTGCATGCCGCTCAGAGATCCTAGCTTGCCTAGATTTGCGATAAGTCCTCCTTTTGGGGTTCCAACCGAAAAACTTCGTACTCCCGAAGATTGCTTGACGCTTTGGCAATTTATGTCTGTCTCATGGATGGAGTCACTACTTAAGGTGGGAAATTCGAGGCAACTCAATGACGATGATGTTTGGTCGTTGGGGTACCAATTTGACCACCAAACTTTGCACAGCAAATTTCGGGAGCTCAAGGGTTCCGTATTTAGGAAGCTCATAGAGGCAAATGGTCTTGATCTTTTCATTCTCTCTATGCTCGGCATCCTGGAAATTGTGGGCTGTACGTATATCCTTAATTTAGACGAATTTTGCTCATGCTTATACAGATTTTTCGGTTCCGGTTCTTCTTCAAAAGCTCCTTCAGAGCATGGAAGATCATCACTCGTTCAAACGACCGGCGTTCGTCTACACATTACTGACTCTGCTCATCCGACTGGTTGTAGCTCAATCAGAGAATTTCAGTGTGTGGTATGGAAGGAGGGCCTATGAAAGATCTCGTGGGGAGCTAATCACTATGCTTTATGAGAAGACACTCTCCAGGAAGATGGTTAGCGTGAGTAGCAAAGCTCGTGATGAAGGGCGAACGACCACAAACGGGAAAGTGGTGTCCAAGAGCTCGACAATGGTTGAGAAATTACTAGGTTTCTTTGGAAAGAAGGGCCAACCTGCCGAGACTCCGCAAGAGAACAGTGAAGGCATCGAGAACACTGAGATAATGCCCGAGAAGTCGCTGGAGCTAGCAACAACAGGAAAGATTATGAATCTGATGCGATTTGACGCGTACGAAGTTGCCCAGCGGTTCTGGGAATTTGCTCAGTTGGTGACTACGCCTCTGAGTTCAATCATTGCCACTGTTCTCATATGGAGACTGATAGGATGGCCATGTTTGCTTGGTGTGATAACAATATTTGTGGCTCAAGGACTCAACGCGTGGATTGCGCGAATATTGCTGAAGTGGGAGAGGAGACGCAGGGCGTCAACAGATGCAAAGCTTCACAAGATAAATCAGCTTGTCGAGGCTATTCGACATCTTCGCTACTACGGCTGGCAAGATGTATGGTTGGCTCGGGTCATGGAAGCGAGACAAGTGGAGTTGGGACTCAGAATTGTCGCCGGACTTTGGCAGATTCTGATTGGCCTTGTGAATACTCTAGCTAGTGGCTTGTTTCCAGTGGTTTCATTCTATGCTTACACAGTGTTAGCTGGCAAGCCTCTCAGGGTTGACATTGCCTTCCCTGCGTTGCAGTTGTTTTCAATGCTCGAGCACAATCTTCAGGACATTCCAAACCAAATCACCGTTCTACTAAATGCCAGGGTTTCCATGGGTCGTATCGAGGACTTCATGAAGGAACCAGATATGGCGGAAGCGGAAGCTGTACATGAAACCAGTTCAGACCTAGCCATGCATAATGCTACATTCGCTTGGCCTGGAGCAACGGAGCCAGTCTTGCGAGAAATCACTTTATTACTCCCGAAAGGGCTTACTGTTGTCTATGGAGAGGTCGGTACGGGCAAAACTGCTTTGCTACAAGCCTTTCTTGGGGAGCTGGATAAGTTGAGTGGAGAATACGAACGCTCAAACAATGTGATTGCATACTGTGGGCAGACACCTTGGCTTCAATCCATGAGCATCAGAGAAAATATACTCTTTTCTTCGCCTTACGAAGAGGTACGCTATAGACATGCACTTGATGTGTGTGCCCTACTTCCTGACATGGCCAACTTTGACCATGGTGACCTTTCTCTTGTTGGAGAGAATGGCGTTGGGCTTTCAGGAGGTCAAAAGGCTCGAATATCGCTTGCGAGAGCTGTTTATTCGCAAGCGAAGGTCCTGCTATTGGACGACCCTCTTTCTGCCTTGGATCACCACACCGCAGAATCTATTGTGCGAAAATGCATATCAGGCCCTCTTCTCAAGGACAAAACTGTCGTTCTTGTTACACACAGAACCGACTTGGTTCTCCCTATTGCAGATCAAGTAGTTGAAATCTGTAATGGCCGGGCTGAAACAATTGAACGCGACTCTCTTAACATCCTACAAAAAGTTCACTCACACGACTCTGCCAACGAAGATTCCCATGTCGATGAAGACAAACCTACGACTATTCCCGCTAAGTTCCTTGAGGACGAACATCGTGAACATGGTGGTGTCAAAGCATCTATCTATTGGGAATACGTCAAGGCTGGCAAGCTACGCTGGTGGTTTATTCTCTTCATTTCGATGCTCTTTTATCGTCTGACGGATGTATCCAAAACTTGGTTCCTAAAGACATGGGGAGAAGCATATGACGAGGTGGAAGAAACTTCTGGGGGCCCGCTGAGTGGATTACCCCATCCCGAAAGAGATATTAAGCCGTGGCTCGTAGGGTTTCTCGTGCTTGCCATTGCCCAAGCTGTTGCGGATTTGTCTAACCGGATTTTTATGCTAGTAATCTCCTATCAAGCCGGGAAGAACATGTTCGAGCGCGTAATCACCCGTGTTACCCACGCAAAGTTTCGCTTTTATGACGTTACTCCTGTTGGCAGATTGATGAACCGGTTGACGTCTGATATCAACACGATCGATGGTAATATTAGTGGTCAATTGTCTTATATGGCAAATCTCGCGACTGCTTGGGTATCATCAGTCATTGTCATTGGCTCCGTCACACCACTTTTTCTGATTTTTGCCGTTCTACTTACCATAAGTTTCGTCGCGATATTCTCACATTTCCTACCGACGTCACAGAGTCTTCGTCGACTAGAGATGGTATCACTCAGTCCACTCATATCCAACTTTGGCGAACTCACTACAGGCCTAACGAGTATCCGAGCTTTCAAAGTCTCCTATCTTTTCCAACAAAGGGTCATCAAAGTCACAGATAACTTCCAAAAAATGGATCATTTTTATTGGAGTCTACAATCGTGGTTGATGTGGAGATTTGATATTTTGTCCGCAATCTCGACTTTTCTTTTAACTTCGTTAGCCCTTATCACAGGGCTCTCGCCAGGTCTTACAGCTTTCGTCCTAACTGCTGCTTCAAAATTTGTTTGGTCAACACATAAAATGTGTCGGCGGTATGGCCAACTTCAGATGGATTTTGTTTCCGTTGAGCGAGTGGTTGAGATGATGCGCCTGGATCAAGAGCCGCCAGGAAAAGTGCAGCCACCTGCTTACTGGCCATCGTACGACGGTGACATTATCTTTGAAAATGTCACAATTCGGTACGCACCACATCTGGAGCCATCTTTGACTGATGTGTCACTTAAGATTAAAGGGGGAAGCACAACTGCTCTAATAGGTCGGACGGCGTCAGGGAAAAGTACTCTCGCTCTTTCATTACTAGCGACTACACTGCCATCTACTGGGCGGATAATCATCGATGGCATCGATATCTCAACAGTAGATACCCAAGCACTGCGGAAGCGGGTCACATTTCTAGCCCAGGAGCCAGTTCTTTTCCCTGGTAGCATGCGGGTCAATCTCGATCCTCTCGACGAGTACAGCGATTCCGAATGCATATGGGTTTTGGACAAGATTGCTTCCCGCCATCAATGGAGTCTTGACACTCATGTTGATACCGGTGGTCGTAACCTGAGTCAGGGTCAGAGACAACTTGTTGGGCTTGCAAGAGCGATGCTGAGGAGGAGTCCTATTATTATCATGGATGAAGCGACAGCAAGTATAGATATGGAAACAGCGATGCGGATACAAAAGATACTGCGGGAGGAAATGAAAGATAGTACGGTCATCACGATTGCACATCGCGTTGATGCCGTCAAGGGTGCTGATCATTGTGTGGTCCTTAGTAAAGGAAGAATTATAAAGAGCGGCGGCGTGGATGAGAATGTGGAGGAGCTTTTAGGGTAATGATTGAGGTCAATAGCTGATGATGTTTGAGATTGACGAGCGACTTGTTTTGGCCGATAGCCTTTGTTCTTACGGAAGCTGATGAAGGTCAGGTGAAGACTATCGGAGGAGGACGACAGTAGTACGGTCATGATTAAGATGAACGTTCCAGAAGTTAGTAGGCATACTGTCACCCAAAAGTTATAGAAATAATGTCAGCGTGTAATTAGAGCTAATGAAAGCCAAATTTAATATCCAGCGAGCGAATTTCAATGCTAGAAGCCAAGTAGATTTTCAAGGGTGAGCTTATGTGACTTCAGAAGTAAGTTTTGTTCACACAAGCATCGACATAGACGCCATCGATTTTCTGTTCTAAAAACCTTGGACATTTTGGAAACCTTCAACAATCTCACCCGCCCCAAAAATGTCGCAACTTGCTTCAGGAGTATCGCCCATTCGACTACCTACCAACCATGCGCTTCGATCTACACCAAGACTCCCAACCCCTCCTCCACCTGATCCCGAAAACGAGCTTCCCTTTCTCTCTCCCGAACTCCTCACATCCACGCTCAAGAAAATCCACAAATCGCGCTCGCAACTACGTCTTCACCTTTTCCAAACAACAGAGACCCCCTTCCAGAATATACACATTGGCGCGCTAATCTTCAACGGTCCGAAGCTTCTCGTTATCAAACATGTGGTGGATGAAACTTGCTGCTACGATATTCCGAGCAGGAAGATGGCGGATGAGGATTTCAGTGTGATTCGGGCTCTAATTGGTGTTGTCAAGGAACAGACCGGGATGGAGGTGGCTTTGGTGGTTAGAGAGTTAATGCCTGCGTTCCAGTTCAAGATTCCGTGGGTTGTGCATGGAGAGCAGTTCTGGAGTCCGTGTGTGCAGTTGAATTTTGTGGTTGGGGTGAGGGCTGGTGGGTTTGATTCTGGGAATGGGAGAGAGAATTTGTTTTGGATTGAGGAGGGGGAGGGGAGAGAGATGGATATGCCGGATGGTGTTAAGGGGTTGGTTAGATGGGCTTTTGCGGATCGGTTGATTCATGGGAGTTGGATTTAATGGTTGTTGGAGAGTCGTGGTTGGGATGGGGATGGTTAGGAGCTGGTAGGGTAGATATGCCTGGGATCATGGAGGGCAAACGGTTTGGAATTCTAGGTTGAAATTCAAGGTACTCTGAAACTCTTTGAGTCATAATGGAGTGTTGTTCTTGCGGTATGAAAAAAAGACTGCTGTTTCTGCGAAAAGTCAAAGTTACAGGATGTCGTTGTTGTGCCATCTTGAGAAAATCCGGTCGATGATCGCAAGTCGATAACTGATATTCCACTTGCTACAGTCGCATCAATCATCTTGTATGTATACGAGATTCGACATCGAATTGTTTTATAACGCTAAATGTAAGAGATAGGAGGAACTTAGCTGGCATGAATATCGAGAAAGAAGACATCTCGCTTAGCTGGTCCGACCCGACCCCGGTCTGACTCCGATTTTCGGAGAGCTCGGGCGTTTCCAAAATTTGTGCGGTCACTCGTTGGTTAGCAAACATTCTGGTACCCAACCTCACCTCCTTCACGGACGTTTCTAAAAGTCCACAAAAAGTAGCCTTTCGACACCAATTCACATGTTCTATCCTCTAAAGTCGGTTTGTGCTGTAACAACAGACACACGACATTCGAAATATGCATCTAAGAATGTAGGAGAACTTGGAAAGCGTTGCATTCCCTACTTACTACCTTTTCAGTTCTTGATCCAATAAACTGCATGCAACAGACTTTGATTCTGCTTGCCCCTGGAGATGCTGCAACAGAATTTTCAAGACGACATTCCCGTCAGAAGAAGACTCTGACAGATTTTCTAGCTGGCTCTGATCAGCACGAAGTGTTGCATTACTAAGAAGTTAGAACAACCATCCCTTGGTCTCTTGATCTGCCGTTGTCTACATAGTGGTGTCACATCTCCAGCCCGTATCCTCGCAGAAGCTTATTCATGCTCAAGTACAATTCAAGCGACTCATCGGCGGCAACATTTGAATTGAGGATATTTTTGAATAGAGCCTAGGCAAGCGTTGAAGTGATGGCCGGCTTGATGACCGAGGAGCATAGGTGCTATGATACTCTGAATATTCCAAGGGTTTTGGTGGCCGAACTACTAGTTGGAATATTTGTTCATGAGACGTTGACGGGAAGTCTTCCCATAGACTTATCAAGTGCACCTCTAGCATTGAACGACCATTTCAGAGTATTATCAATATTGCAGACGGATGTCGAATCTGCCGGGCATTCTTCTACAAGAATATCGGTATCAAGAGTGGAGTTTTGACTTAACTTAGCCGACCAGATTCTAGAAGTATGATAGCATTGTTTTTCATATAAACGACAACAGAGCCAGTGTACTAACAGCAATAGCAATTGCACAAGAGAAGATACTGAACAAATCAACCTACCTTAGTCATATCTGTATGTCTGCCTCCCCCTTAATTTCTTTTGGAGCAGTGAGGTTAACATATCATTCCAGGACATTTGAATATGAAGTTGAAGTTCTTGGGTAATAAGTGCGTCGAGTTCACCCAGGGTTCGAAGCACACTGTGTGTCTAATGACTAGTCTTCAAATATCAAGTCTGGGAACGGCACGACTATAGCTGCTTTCGCCTGAGACAGGTGGAACCCACATTCAAAGACAACGAAAATTGGTGCAGGACCATGAGAACCTATGACACATGACTGTTCCCGATTGACAAATTCGGCAGACTCCTAGATTATTATATCGCCTTCGCAGAAATACGCTTGTTCTGTTTGCATCCAAATCGCGGCCATTTCGTTTTGTTTTCGGGAATCGGCAAGAAAAGAGAGAAAAGTTGTTACATGGCTTACCAATGCTTTCTTCGCGAGATGTTGGAGCAATCATGACCATGTCTGATCCGATTCTTGACCAAACATGTGACCGAATTTCATCGTGGTAATTGCGGAGTACCAAGAACGAAGGATTCCGGCTCCACCACATTGGGGGCGGAGAGGTCCACTGCGGCTGAAGGGTTGAGATCCCAGACCCTTTCTCCCAAATCTTCTGGACCACTATACCCGCTCACAATGTTACGGTTTTTGAGCATCTTGGTATATACCAACAACTCTGAAAGTACGAAGGTTCGAGTCTTCCAAGGTAATCTTCAAGTACTAAGTTCCCAAGAACCACGTCAAATGCTGATTACATGTCGACCCAGTGCGGCGACAATTTCACGTACAGTAATACAGGGTATGTGAAGCACCAGCATGTATTTCAGACAAGGGAGATCGCACAGGGTTACTTCATTGGGTAGTCTCGGCCGATCGCAGTATCAACACAATCGAGCGACACTTTGATTCGTCCCTCGTTCAGCCTTCATCCATATCAGGTAATTTCCTAAGCCTCCCAAAATCTTGCACCATGGATATGGATATTTGAAATAGGATTGTGCCCTCTCCAAGTGAGGCTCTGCTTTCTCTTCTTCCTCGCCCTTTTGTTGTAACAACAACTGCTTCTGGTAGTATGGAAAAACAGACTTCTTTAGCTCCTGAGAAAGTAGAGAATGAGACAGAAGCCAAAGGATCAGAAGTCAATATTCGCATTCGAATCATCAATTATATTGTTGTAATATTTTTTGGCCTCGGTCTCATACTTTCTGGCGGATATGCTCTCTTTACGAAGCACAAGACCATCCAGAATGAGAAGGCTTTGGTAGAGCTACGCGCTCACAAGCGTGCTCATTCTTTTGATGCAATACCCAGATGCATTGTAAACTTTACCCTGCTGAATCTACGCGACCAATGCTAATTGTTTATTAGGCTAGTTGCATGCTACCACCAATGCTTGCGAAAGGATGCTCGCACTTGGACGCACAGTGTCTATGTCGGAACTTACGGTCGTTAGACGATTATGATGATACGCCGAAACCCCCACCACGAAGGATACGATTAGTGAAACGAATTCCGGACGAGGTGTTCGATGATGGGTCTACGACTGAACCTATAACCGAAGTAACTGTCACGGTGCTTGACGTTACTGATTCCAGTTCCACATTGGAAGATGACAAAAAGATACTGGAAGGTGTAGTGGGCGAAAGTTATAACAATCTTGGTGTGGATGAAGTCGACGATTTGGATCCCGATATTGTTGATGTGCAGGGTAGCCGTCTGCACGGTGAGAACGCAGAAACTGTCGCTGTAGAATTGGAAAATGGACAAAAGGAATCGGAGGACGCAGACACGGTGGCTGATATTGTGGGAACGGAAACAATAGCTTCTGCTACCAACGAAGACGGTTCTCCTGAACTCGACGTGCTATCTGGAGACGAGACTACGACCGGAAATGTTGACAACGCAGCTATGAACAGTGAGGCTGGGGGAAATTCTGCATCGGAAGAAACCGACGAAGTAATAATTGACCCAGCAACAACCAATGTTCAGATTGATGGAAATGAGAAGCCTGATCTAGTACAGACTGATAATGAAGCGGCGAGTAATGAGACAATTGATGATCCTCCATCTGCGATCCAGGACCCAGTAAGCAAAGCGGTTGATTATGAGGAAGTCGAGTACGGTGCGACTGCGGATGTAACAGTTGACAAGGACCGCGAATTCAAAATGTGTGTTGAAGAGTGTAGTTTGCATGATCAGATCCGTAAGTTCTTATCTTTCCTTTTCTTGGCTATCATAATGGAGTTTATACTGATTTCCTTGAAAAGGTGTACCTGGATTACTCGCGGAATATTGTTGGGGAAATGGAGCTCCGTTTGAGTTTCCAGAAGTCAGTAAGTTTACGAGCCCTTGTAACAGAGTGTGTCATATGCTAATCAAGCATCCAAAGTGATGCCAATGGTCAAGCGAGCTGGCGGGTATGGAACTGGAAGTGCTTATGGTTATGGTTACATTACAGGCTCATTCGAGACTTCGCCTGAAGCATCAGCATCAGCAACTGGAACCTCTCGAACATTTGCTACTCTACCACCAGTTGTCAGCGCTACAAACACTGGTGCAATTAGCAGTGGAACCGCCACTAGATCTGCAACTGGTGCTCTTAGCAGTGGAACTGCCACTGGAGTTCAAAATACAGACACAGTTACAACATTTCCAACCTTTACCGTAACGCCCCCAACACCCGAGCCTTCAGGGGGTCTCTCGGACGGTGCGAAAATTGGCATTGGAGTTGCTGTTCCTCTTGTCGCATTAATCGTTGTTGGAGCGTTTGGTTTCTGGTGGTTCCGTATTCGTAAAAGGAAGCCGCAGGGCCAGTCAGCATCCAACTATACCGAGCAATATACAGGTATGCCAGAACTTGCTGGTGGCGCTGTCGTTAGACCTATGGGAGGCGCAGGCGGTGCACCACAAATGTACGAAATCAAGAAACCAGAAGTAGTGTATGGCGCAAACAACTATCAGCGCCCTGTTGAAGCCGGTGGAATACCAATATCACCACATACGGTCAGCGAGATCGATGGAACTCGACTACCGGAAAGGTCTGCTTATGATTTGCAGAATACGACGTCTACTGGAAGGAGCCCTCTAGCTGCGAACAGGAAGCCCGTGTCTGGTTCTTCTCAAACCACAGCATCGGGATTTCCGGCTCCTTGGGAATCGCATGAACATCAATATCTGCCAACTCCCATGATGTCAAACATGGGTAACTCAAGCGTAACTTCTCTTCACAACCGCGAAGTATCGGCCTCCTCGCATCATGTTTCTAGCGCGACCACGGCTGTTCAGCCATCCAATCCCTCGCACGCGTCTCCTTCGGAGGTTAGACCGCAAGATTCCATCTCCCAAGTTGGCAGTGCTACTGGCGCGAACAATGCATTGGGGGTGTCTGATGACCAGGAGATTGCCAATATGGAGAGAGAAATGGCTGAGATCAAGGAGAGGAAGGAGAGGCTGAGGCAGGTAGCCGAGCTTGAGCAACGGGAAGAGGCCCTGAAAAGAGAGATCGAGGCGAGGAAGAAACGGATAGGTGGTGGAAGTGGGAGCGGAGCGGGGTCGTAACATTGTGTGACCTTTCGAAATGCTCGAAATGCGACTGAAGGTTCGAAGTTGGGGTTTGGATATTGTATAATTGTGAAAGATACCCAGGGGTTTAATATATTAGGCTCATTAAGACGCAAGCCATTGGATGACCATACAAGCAGAGCAAACACGCAATTCTCGGAGTGCGTATGAACAAATATTTAGAGAATCGTTGACTTGTTTACATTCATTATTGCTGAACCAAGACACTGCTCAATGGTTTGACACGAAAAAAAGCGAAGTGTTTGATTCAGTGGCACCGCTCTTGGACGCCGGAGCAAATTCAGGGGAAGCAGGTGAAGCGAGTCAAACAAAAGTCTTGGCATGACGTCGAACCACCGAGCACATGGTGATCCAGCTAGTCACTGCTAGGGCATCTATTTTCCTTCATAAATTCGTCGAAATGGCTTGTTTACTAGTCAACACATCCGTCTCTTTTAGCGGTTCGAGCTGGCAGTTATCGCCAGGTTTTTGGAGGCAAGATGGTTCAATTAACTAGTCCATGCGCCGTTTTGTTTGCCTTTCAGCTTATCGCTCTCTCAGCAGCTGCCCAAGTCCCTCTTTTCCCTCAGTCACACTCGGAAGGCTATCAGTTCAAGCCTCTGCTTCATCTACCAGGCATCTCGCCCTATTTCGACGCAATTGGGTCTGGATTGGACCATGGCGCGCCTCGCAATTGTGAGGTGACAGCTGCCTCATACCTCATCCGCCATGCGGCAATCTATGCCAACGACGATGACTACGAAAAGTACATGGAGCCATTCCTCAAGAAACTAGACTCGACGATAAGCGTAGCATCGGGCAAGAAGCGAAAGGGGTGGGAAGGTCCATTGGAGTTTTTCAAGAAGTGGCAGACACCTATCCCCGATCCGGATAATCAATTGGAGCAGATAACTCCTCAGGGTGTCAAGGATTCGAAGGCTGTTGGAAAACATCTGATGTCGAGATATCCAAAACTGGTGCCAACCACAAAGCGAGTATATGCCGACAAGAAGAGTAGGACACAAGATACTGCAAAGGCCTTCATCAAGGTCTTTCCGCAGAAGGTTGAATTGGTTGAGATGCGCGTGGAGAACAAGACATCTTTTTATGCCCAAGTACCGCACAAGGCTTGCAATGCCTTCACGAAAAAGCCAGGCGACGATGAGCTCAAGCAATGGATGAATACATATACTCTGCCTATTATCGCCAGACTCCAGAGATTTTCTCCCGTGGAATTGGAGCCTACGGATATAATGGGCCTTCAAATGATGTGTGGTTATGAGAGCGCTATCAACGGGAAGGTTAGTGACATCTGTCACGTCTTTACCGATGCCGAGTGGATGTCATACGAATATGGTTGGGGTGAGTTTGGGTCCCATCGGGAACACCCGACGCTTGATGTGCTAACCACAACCCAGACATGAAGTATTCCCTGATGGTCGGCCATGGCAATCCATTGTCTAATTACTTGGGATTTCCTTGGCTCAACACTACGTCAGAGTTGATGGCTAAATTTCATGCTCCAAAGCATGGCGATACAACGAAAATTCCAAATGACGACGGGGAAAGATTCTTCTTGAGTTTCACGCACCGAGAAGTTCCACCATTCATTGCCACTGCTTTGGGTCTTTTCAATAGTTCGAATGCTGCAAACGAGGAATTTCCACTCGATAGGATCAATTGGGCACGCTCTTGGCGGATGGCCGAGCTTATACCCTTCCTTGGCCACATTGGCATCGAGAAGCTCACATGCAACAGAGTTTCGATCGATCCAGAGGACGATAAGGAATATATAAGAATTATTGCTAACAGCGCACCACGACCGCTACCAGGCTGTCAAAGTGGACCAGGTGCTAGCTGTCCCTTCGATCAGTTTTATGAAATGATCCAGAATGGAATGGAGAAGTATGGTGATTTTGACGGCGTATGTCGAAACAATGAGAAGGACAAGACAGAACTATAACGAATGGATGATCTATTACTACTTATATCATATTATTTTTTTCGTTTATGATTCAGACTGTCATGTCTATATTCTTGGAATAGTACCTATTAGCCGCTCGGAGCGAAGTTTCATCTTACCAATACAGTAACAAACAACGTTATTGATAGAGGCCCTGACATTCTATGCAAGCACGCTAACGTCGACTGACTTAGGTATATCTGCGAACGTGACCGCACTCTCCTGCTTGCCAAGCGAGGTGAGTGTTTCGGAGTAACTTTCCTCAGCATAGTCTTCGGCGTCAAAATTGAGAATCCACTCTTCACGTTGAAGCTCCATGCTCCTTGGATTCTTCCTCACTTCATCCCAATCGGCTTTATGCCATCTATCTCTAGTCGTTTCTCCGGTTTTCTGAGACCCCTTAACACGCTCATATCTTAAAGCTTCGAAGACTCTCAAAGCTTCCTGTACACCATCCTTTCCAGCCTTTCGCAGGCAAACGGCTATGGTCACGCCGTCTTCCATTGACTGGCTAGCTCCCTGAATGGATGTCGGCAGAAATGGATGAGCTGCGTCTCCAATGAGAGCAATCCGTCTCTTTGGAGATATCCATGTCGGTAGAGGGTCGCGATACACGAGCTTCCAGTCAATGACTGGATCAGGTGTTAAGTCTAAGATTTTGTGGATGACTGGATCCCATCCTTCTAAGTTTTTACGAGCATCTGAGAGGGGAGCATTTGCCGACCAACTTTCCTCGACGTCTCCATCGTCCTGAGGTTCGTGAATCAGCTTTGCATGAAGAGATGTAGAGTCTACTTTTCAACTTACTTTGTGAGTGCAAACCCAGGAGAACTCCTTACCACTTTTCGGCGTTGCTGCAATGAAATGAATGTCCTGGCCTTACTTGTTAATATAGGATGTAAGTGCAGATATATTCTTTTCCGCTTACCTATCCAAATACAAAGATCATCTTGTTTCTCAAATAAGAAATCAAAATCGGGATCTTCTGCCATCTTACCGACGTCAAACCACGCTCGATATACAGCATATCCCGAAGCTTTCGGCTTATCTTCATAACCCAGAACAATCGTCCTACCTTTCGAACGAACACCATCCGCAGCCAGAACGACATCACCAATAAAAGTCTGCCTATTGGCTACAACACCTGCTTTCGTTTCCGTCTCAAAATAGTCCACAACCCTATGTCCTAACCTAATATCAATTCCAATCTCCACCGCATAATCAAACACAACCTGATGTATCTGACCCCTATGTCCATTATAATTCCTCCCCCAACTCCTCTCCTTCTCCTTCCAACTCTGATTCAATATCAACTCTCCTTCCCAGGTGCGGATCTGGATCTCGTTGGTCTCATGACATATCGGGTCCAGTCTCTCTTGCATGCCTGGCCATCCGTGGAATATCCTCACAGAATTTGGTCCGAAACTTATCACGTCGCCGAGCACTTTGAGTTCAGTGAAGGATTCGAGGACGAGTACGGAATGGCCTTTGCGGTGGCATTCGATTGCGGCGGTTAGACCTGCGAAGCCAGTGCCGATTATTATTACGCGGATGCCTGTTTCGGGGGCGCGATCGAGGTTTGTCATTGTAAGAAGATATGATGATGAGGTTACTTTTGTCTGAGTTACACAATTTTCAGGTGAGTGTTCAAAAGTTCATTGATAAATGAGTTTTTAAATTGTTTACTAATGGTCTCCTGAATGAAGTCGAGTATATGCATGGTTGACAGGATGTGGGGTCCCCCACAAACCCCGCATTCTGTCTACATTTTTATGCCACCGAGTAGATATCTGTCTGTTCATTATCAGTATGTCTGTTAGATATGCCGTTGGTGGGTGAGCTGGGAGTCTGTTGTGTTAGTCGTACGGCCCTCCTAGTCAATTTTCCTTGCTGACAAAGTCAGCATCTACCGACAAAGATGAGGTATTTTTATCGAATGTATTCAGATTCATAAACGACTATTTCTATTACCGTCTAGGTTTCTTTCGAGTACGTCCAGGATCTGAAGGAGGTTCGGGATATCTCATCCATCCCATTCGTCCATCTTCATTTGATATCTCACCATGTCTTCCACTCCTTCCACCCCCATTCCTTCCGTCAACAGTCTCAATCCCCACTTCAATATCCGCCAACAACTCCCTAGCATTCGGTCTCCTCTCCCAATTACAAGCGAGACATCTGAATATAAGACTCCTTAATGCTACCGAGTATGGCGCTTCAAGCAGAAGCTCGCCCATTGATACGAGGAACTTGGTGTCATTCTCATCTAGCTTTACGAGTAAGAAGTCTGGGTCGAGGTAATGCGGATTACATGATCGTCCTCGGGTGACGACCCAGTGCATCATTTTTCCTATCTGCCCTGGGTGGGTGTAAGCGCTTGCTACTCAGAGAGAGGTGAGGTTTGGGATTGGAGAGAAGGGGTTGTACATATTGTTACTGGTGGCCCGATGTAGTGTTTGTATGGATAGTCGGGTTGCATGCTTTGTTCCTGTACATATGGCATCAGTATTATCTTCAAAGCTCGTAAGTGAGTCAATGTTATGATTTGTTTCATGGCAGCACTCACGGGAGCCAGGGAATCTGCGGTCCCATTCTGTCTCATATATTTGTACTGTCTTTCTGTCTGGAATTCAGGCTTTGGCATCGTATCTGTCAAGCCGAAATCTGCAATCTACAAATATCAGTAAATCTTCACCACCTCAGAGAAAAGCTAGTGCTGACTTTGAAAAGAGGTGTTTCGGTGTGTTCATCGTCATCGAATTTGAGAAATACTATATATGTCAATTCTGGAGTTGTATAACCAGAGAGGCTACATACCATTGCCCTCTTTGAGATCAAAATGTACGATGTTATTCTCCGTCTCTCCATTATCCCAAGTTGGGCCATCCAGGTTTTCATTTCCATTCTCTATGATTGCCGCGCCTTTCGCTAGACACTGAAATAGTTTCCTAGAAAATCCTCAATCAGTAGTCCCCCTATTTCCTCGCTTTAACGGATTTCCCTACCAAATCACCCACTCCGGACAAGGATCCTCATGCGTATGTTCCCTACTCAGCGTCAGCCCTGATAGCCATCCCCATCCAACGCAACCAAATCAAAGATTCAACTCACCTATAAATCCTCCTCCCCCAATCAAACAAATCCCCCCCTCACAAAACTCCATAAACACCCTACAAACACCCACCCCCTCATCATCCATCCCCCTCCAAGTCCCCAACCCCCTCTCCCGCTTCGAAACCTGATAACACCTCACCGTATGCCTCCCACCCTCTTGAAACCGTCGCATCCAATGCACCTCCTCCTCGAAATCGGAGGCGTCGCCTTGTATCTGCTTCACCGCCACGAGATTCACATTTCCTGGAATCCCACCACCCTTCTCGCGCTGCGAAGACGGGATAACGCGTTTCCACAACCCCACAATCCCGTTCCCACCTACACCTAACATCCTCACGCCCTCCCAACACGCAATACTCGCGCCGGGCGCATCAAGTCCGATATTCCAGTCCGGTTCGCTGTCGAGCCATTCCCGCTGCGCGGCTGCGCTTGTTTTCGTGAGGCCCTTGTATTTCGCTACATCGCGCACGACTTGAAATTCTGAACGTGGGTTTGGGCTGCGTGTGCGTTTTCCGCGGCCTGTATACGTGTGAAAGGGTTGAGAGCGGGAGAAGTAGAGGAGGTGGGTGGAGAGGGAGGGGTGGGCTAGGATGGTTGGGTCGCGGCGAGGAGGTATTGTTTTGCGTTTGTGGGGATGGGGTGGTTTTGGTCTTTCTGTTGCGCGGGGGGGTTGGAGGGTTCGGAGGTTTGGAGGGGGAGGGAGGTCGAGGTTGAGTTGTGTGGTGTTTGCTAGGTCGATGTCGACTGCTAGCCGATTGTGTTTGGGAACCATAATGTAAAGTTCATTTCTTGTCTGCGTTCTGTAAGTGTCGCGCAGACTTACCGTTACTCTTCATTTAGGAGTTTGAAGTTTTGTCTGGACGAAAATCTCATGTCTTTGTTCCACTCAAGCGAATGCGGCTGTCACTTCTCGAGCTTGAAGTTTGACAAAGAGGGCTTTTGAGACACTCTGAATTCTGAGGTTTATCCGCACCAGACAAAGACCATTATCTTCTAGGCTACAGGAACCGTCACCTTCAGTGTACATAAGCTCCTCGTTATATACGGAGACAATATCTTCATCAGCCAGTCCAAAATATTCAAGCGAGTATTTTCTTCACGTCAATCTACAATGCGTAGCCATATCGTACCTGCTTGTAGACGATACCTGCGCAACTTTGATCAAGTAAATCTGTCTGGTTTTCATACTGCGAGCTGGAACGTGTCCAATTATGCAATTTTGAACATCAAGTGTTGCCTTGCCTTGCTTCAAGCGCACACTATCTAACATGTTCAAGATGAGCATGCGAGCCCCACATCCATGTGTTTTTATAATACTTCTGTTGTATGAACGTGATCTCAAATAAGGATCTAAAACGCAGGCACTTCTAACAATTCATTATCAAGATACAACTGAGCAACCGAGGTTTGATAATGTCTGATTTGAGTCATCAGTCGATGTAGTGCTGAATTCTAATCATTAAAGTTATTGTTTACGCAAGTTAGATTGCACTAAGACTGCGGGTAAAATGACTTAAGACTTTTATTTTCCTCTCTCTAGCTTATCAATTCCCCTTCAACCGTCCACATTCCAATGACCTCACGACGACCTCCTCACCCACATTCCTTCCAACTCACTTCTTGACCCAAACACCCTTCTCAGCACACTCTTCGACAAAAGCCTCAAAAGTTTTCGGCTTCTTCCCAGTCACCTTCTCAACAACATCGTTCAAGTTTGCCTCCCAGCCCTGACTGACATAAGTATCAAGACTTGCAAGCATTGTTGCAAAAGCTTCCTCGACGCCATATTTCATCAACCCTTCTTTAAATTGCTCCTTTGTGATTCTTACGTGTGTGACTGTGTGTCCGAGTTTAGAGGAGATGAGAGCTGCAGCCTGTGGAATAGGTTAGTTCGGAACGTTTGGTTAAGAAAAGAATGGAGGCCGTACCTCATCGTATGTGAAAAGCTCCGGCCCAAGGATCAAATGATCCGTATTGTGCGGTTTCTCGTCTGTAAGGGCGCAGAAAGCAACGTTCGCGATGTCATCTGCAGAGACAAATGGAACTTTTCCATCTCCAGAAGCAGTGTAGAACTGAGAACTATCCCGAATGGTGGGTTGGTGCTGTCCTTCGGAGAAGTTTTCTGGATGAGCCGTCAGCAAAATTCGAACTAACATTTCAGAAGTAGCAGATCTGTAACGAGTAGCGAGGAAACATTTGATAAATAAAACAGACGTACCCATGAACCATGTGGATCGAAGAATAGCATAGTCAACTCCTAACTCGGCAATATACTTGGAGACCTGAGCCATAGCAGGTCCATCGCCGACCTCTAGAAGACTGGCACTGAGCAGTACAAATCTGTTAACTCCTTTTTTTCTTGCAATTTCAATGAACTTCTTAGATGGCTCTAAATTGTTGAGTACAGGAGGTGACACGATGAATACCGCTGCGATTGCCGGGCCATAAAATGGCAGATCGTAAGTGCTCTCATCGGACCAGTCGAACTTTACTCCCGAGCAATTTTGATAAGATGCTGTTGATTTGCCAGATCTAGATGCCTGGAGAACGGAGTAGTTGGCTTCGGAGAGACGTTTTGCAATGCGCGACGCAACTTTACCTGTCCCTCCCAGTAGCAGTATAGTGGCCTTTGTTGATGACATGGTGCATAATATGTGACACTGTATTTCAACTTCTTCAGCGAGTATGAGTTGCTTATTTTTTTATGTATGCCGTTTCTCGTTTCGCCCATGCGAGGTGAATGTGTAACAAAGCTCTGTCTCTTTGCTGGGCAGGTGCTTCCTCTCCGCAGTTATAAATACGGTGGGTGTGTAACCAGGTGAATTATGGTGCCATAACAGCTGACGAAAACGAAGCCCGTGAGACATGGACTTGTTGTCCCTGCTTGCTGTTTAATGTGGTGATCCACTTCGAACACAACCTCATTCGAGAAGTTTCCCTTAGAAACATCCACCAAGGCACACTAGCCCCTACTAGTGTGTGGGTCTAATCCGGACATAAGATATTCAAGGACCGAGAGTGTCTCGGGGACAGGAATTAACTCCAGCACTGCACCAGGAGTCGCGGAGGATGAAGCCAAATATATCTATCGTGGTTTCACGCCAGGATAAAGCTGGAGTGATAATCAGTCTATATAGAGCAAAGAATTTCGGGCTTCCACTCACACTTGAATGCCCATTTGGGATTGTACCAGTCTCCAATCGTACTTAGTTCCGTATTGGTGTTGTCGCTTCCAAAGCACTTCCAGTAGATCTAGAGCCCTATCTGCATGCTGAGATCTTTTAGCCAAATCTTCAGACTTTAAAATGAGTAACTTACATAAAGACTGACGGTCATGTCAGATCGCAGCTTTTTTCGAATCAAGTCTTCAGCAACGACATCATTGAAAACAGCTACACCTGCCATAAACAAAGCCCAATATAGACCCATCTCAAGCCCGTAGCCCTGAGGAGTTTCTTCTGCGATCTCAAGAATCTCAATAATAGCTTCGGTCACCTCATTCTTCTGAGGCTCTCGACCGACTGGGTCGAGGATGTGATGTAAATAAATGACGCATCCGAGCAGACAAGCCTTTGTGCTCGAGAAAGCTTCCTCTTCCAAAGTTTCAGAAACAGTAAGTTTTTTCTCTCGTGGTAATCGTCGCCAATTTTTATTCTGGTCTCGTAGCTCTGGCGGACATTGACTCCACCAGTGAAGCATAGCTTCATATATTTCAGTTCCTTTTTTTGCGATCATGTCGGGATTCTCTTGCCCGATTTCGCCGAGCGCCTCGGAAGATAGCTGTGAGAGCTTAGCCATATGGGTCATCAATTGGTGAAAGTGATCCGTCATGACTCCGCTGCCATCATAATAAGGCCAGTTGAGGGCTTTAGAACCTTCATCATCCGTTCCGTCGTCAATCCAATAGTTGCCTTGAAGCAACGTACCCTTACCAGAGAACAATGCGCCTGATACATCAAGCAGAGAGAAGAATCGGGTCAAGTAATCACTTGTTCTAGGGCCACCTCGGAAGAGAATCAAATCTCGTGCCCCTTGGAGATGCTCAAGCCAGGAAGAGCTATACGAGGATCTGTCGGAGTGTGAAATCTAAAAGTGTCAGCTTACGTGAAGTGTTTTTAAACTCGGCCCAGGAAGTGATACCTCATAGACACAAAGCAAAAGACATGCTCCAAGCGTTGCATCTGACTGAGCAATTTTTGCATCTGATAAAGAAGCTTGCAATTCTCTCAAAGCAATGGAATAATGATTTGCAGCCGTAATTTCGTGTGATGGTTGGTTTCTAGCCAGGTGAGATGCAGCCAGAGCTGAAATAGAGTGTATCAGGGCGGGTGATGACATTGCAAGCGGCGCTAGTGCCTCTTGAAAGGGGTTTCCTTCGTTGTCATTTGAGTATGCCATGAATCTACAGCAAAATGAGACAAAGTGATGGACGTAGGGAATCATCGCTCTGTCCACAGTTGGGAGCTCAAGCACGAAGTTCTGTCCGGATGGCCGGGATAGTTGAAGCGCTGGAACATCAGATCTGGTGGTGATGATAGTTGCTGAAGAAAACACAGGCGGACGCCCTTGGCTGATAACTTGGAGATCCTCACTCCACACACATTCTCGCTGGAGTCTCTCACACCTTCCACAAATTGGTTTCGTCTCATCACATTTGACCTTGCGTTTCCGGCACGTCAAGCAGCCTTTTTGAGTGAGAATTGGATTTAGAGTTTTCAAGAAGTCTTGCCACTAACCGGTTCTTGTTCGTGGAACAGGTGCTTTGATGCCCGTTCCGGGAGCCATTCTCTCAACTGTGAAGTCTCACTGCATACGGCGTGAGAAGGATGCTGTGAAGAGACCGGCGGGCAAAGTGTGGTATGGTTTCCTCAACGCCCGACTGTTGATGTTATGAGATTAGCTACGATGTTGTCGATGAAGGTCTAAGCACCGGAGCCCGAATCGTGTGGCTTTGTATTGTGGAGTTGTGGATATTCGAACCTAAGACCAAGGGATCTTCGGGGCTTTGTATGGAAAGGCTACTGACCCTAGCACGTGCTTGGGCTGGCGAAGCGAGAGACTTCGATAGTACTCCGATCCCCCCGAACAACACCAAAGGACAATCACTGGTGGGCGGCGACTGAAGGGGCCCACGAAGCCGTTCCTAGTCCAGGATATCTGCCATATCAAGACCCCCTCCGCACGTGGGAAAGAAGAATCGTGCGACTGTGAACCCTTTGCAAAAAAGCAATGCCACCTTTTCAGATCTCTGGCTGGAGAGCTGGTGGGGAGGCAGCGGGGAAACCCTGCGGTGCGTCTTCTTTACCGTTCTAGAAGGCCTGAGGAGGGCCGAAACGCTTCGAGATGGTGTGCTGTTTCAACGCCTCTCATGCAGAGCATCTCGTATATTCATGAAATCTTCAGCTAAAGTGTTCCGGCTCTTTGTGCCGCCAAATCCTTCGGCAGTAGTCCGACAATGAGGAGGAGGAGAGGAGGTCGAGCTGCTTCTTTCAGTATAACGAGTGCTCTAGTCAGAGTCGCTTAAGCATACTGCACCACATTCAGCATTAGTGTTAGAGGAATCTGATAACATTGCTGAGCATATTAATCAAGTCTGAGCGTCCCTGCGGGTGTCCAGATTAAGGAGGAATCAATGTGGGCTCTGTAGAGCTGCTTTTAGCGCTGTTCTGGAAGGCTTCTGGCCTTCTATTGCGAACTACACTACTCGTAGTCTCGTACAAACAGCTGGGTATTTCCCACCTGAAGCTACTTGACACTTGATCTGTGCTTCGATCAAAAGTCAAGCCTGCATTACTAATCGTTAGACTAGAAGAAGCCATTTTCAAACAAGAGAAAAGACCAACAACTTGGAAGTGATCCTTCAACTTTGAATCTCGCACTGAATATGTTGAGCCCGAAGCACACCCAACGCAAATATACAACTGCCGATAACAAGCTGAAACACAATCACTCCGAACTCTTCTTGACCATGCCTCAAAATTGGCATCTCACTGACATGACCCAATATTAGAATTATTTGATCACCGTCCAACGCACCGGTATCCAATGACAGCCACGCATCTCGTGCACTCTAATGCTGTGCCGCAGCTAACGAGGCGTAACTTCCTGGAAATGGAACATCTTCCGATATTTCGAATTCGAACTCAGGGTTATGGGTCTGCGCTTAAAACCTGATGCTGGGTTACCGGCGTCATTGGCTTCAGCAAGACCAGATCTCGATCTGGGGGCGGGTGGCTTCCTAAGCAGGAGACGAACCGCGACATTGGATATTTTAGCCCCATCAAAAATGTCATTAAAAATTATTTCTAAATATCAAAAATTGTGAACGGGCACTCTCTCAAGAGTATTGCCTGGACTGTCTATTTTACTCTGTCATTTTGTCACCTTCCTCAGAACGGCTGCCTCCCGTTCGAGATAAGCCGCACACTCCTTTCTGCTCTTTTCTTCACTAATGAAGAAGATTCCGACCCATGGGACGAATATCAACGCGGCAATGAAAGGAAACGGCGTCCACTGATTCCCGTTGGCGTCGACAATGGCGCTACTGACAATAGGGCCGATCCATGCTGACCCCTTCGAGACAATTCCAAGAAGACCGAAAAACAAATACTCACGGCCCTTGGGTACCAGTTCCGCCATAAATGCCTGGCCGTAGGAAAATTGTATGCCTAAGGTGAATCCAAATTGTCCGTTGAAGAACCAGAATTCCCACAAATTGTGATAGCCAACCTTTGTCGTCCATATTCCAATCATACCCCAAAGCGCCACAAGGAGACATCCAAAATTAGCAACTTGGAGCATTGTCTTCGTTCGAAGCTTAAAATATTGTTGGACGTAGTAACTGCCGAATACACCAAAAATGCAGGAACCACCTTGTACAATGATCAAATAAGTGTTCTGCGTTGCTGAAAACTCCACCACCTGTGTCTGTGCAATGGAGACGAGAGTGAGAGTTGTCGAGATACCATCCGCAAGCAGGAAGAAAGCGATCAAGTAGAAAAACGTTTGCTTCAGCTTCCAGACTTGCTTTGCAGCGAAGTATGTCTGCTTGAAACCAAATGTCAAATAGTTTTCACCCTTTGGCAGTTGTGGTCCAGGTCGCTTCTGTTCCCACAAAAACCAAGGAATAGCCAACACAATCCAGAACGCAGTACAAACAGCAACGGCAGCTGAATAACCTCGATTATTTTGGTCCACTGAATCATCTGCCCCAATGCCGAACAGGGCAGCTAGTGACAAAGCGCAACACACCGTAAAACCGACGTTGTTCCATCCGTAACTGAAATTCATGGTTCTTGATCGCTCCATCGAACACCTATACTCGTATTCTTCTTCGCTAATGGCTTTGTTCAAGAACTCCTCTTTGGCCTTTCTTGTTTCTGGACGATCGCGTGCAAGCTTTGGGAATATCGCGTTGAAGAAGACATAGGATGCCCAAAAGGTGACACCTGGATAAATCGATTAAAAATTTGCGTATGAGGGTAGGTGCAAAGTACATACTGCTCAGAATGTATAGTGCCATTGCAATCCTCCACTTCCCGGGCGTGGTAACTCCTAAGAACCCGAACTCAAACGCCCAGCACACCACGGAAAATCCACGCACAACCCATGGATTCCAATTGCCAAAATCTGCCAAACTGCCCACTCCAATGAAAACCAAAGCTTGAGATAGGAACGTTAAGCCGGTTGCAATCAGGACCACAGATGTATACTCTTTCGTTTTGTTTCCCCCTCCCCAGAAGACATGGCACGGGGCATCGGGGTCGACATCGCAGGAAGAGCTTCCCAGTGGCAGGACATTGGGATTGAATCCAGCTTGGTATATCAGGTTCTGGAACAGAAGATTTGAACTGTAGAAGGCTCCTGTCAGATTAAGTGGAAACGAAGTTGGCGATAGCAGCAATCCTTACTATTGAAACGAGCCAATGCCGTTGTTTCCCGCAAAATAGGCATAGTAAGAGTATATTTCCTTATTCGTCGCGACGGGTCCCTCAGCTCCAAAGACGTCCTCGTCGCGAAGAACATATAAAGGCTCTGAAGGCGTTCCGGATGATTCGGCCACCTCTACTTGGGGTGCGGCTACGGCAGTGAAAGCGAGCTTATCGACATGACCATGTTGGTCCACAGAGGAGGAGGAGGGTCGGCTATCCTGCTCAACCATAACGCAACGTTAATAAGGTTGTGGAAGCAGGCGGTTTGGGAAGAGGTCGACACTGAAGTTGGACCATGAGAAGGTTCAGCCAACGTTTCGAAGCATCAAACACGTCGTTGAGCGTAAGTATGCACTTAGCAGACTAGACAAGCTTTGGTGGATCGGCAATTGAGTAGAACAGCAGTTGAATGGAGCTTCCCATCAATAGAACAACAGCACAGCGACGGGACATCAACAATTCTTATGAGCTTACCACCAGGAAGCAGAGTAGCATTGGAAAGCATTTGAAGCGGCTGGATGTGATTGTATGCATCCGATACGCGTGCAGATAACCCTCGAACGTGGGAAGACGGGAGAGTGATCTTCAAGAAAAAAGGGTCCTGGACATTGTCCATGTTCGGACGTGTCGACGTATTGGTGATCCACCCCGCTCTTAGCTTCCAGCCATATGTTGGTGGATATTGAAAGACGGAACGTGACCGGAGGGATCGCAAGGCTTCAAGCAAACAAACGGCCAGCAAGGGGATCATCAATAATAATGATTTTGGTGTTGTTAGAAGAGCAGTTAGGAGGGTTAACTCGCAGGAGATGAACAAAACGCTGGTCGTTCGTTACCTAAGACAATACCAAAATGAGCCAGCAATATGTTATTTCTTCCCTACCTTGACTCCTTGAGATTTCGTTCAAGCAAACACCTCCCGCTCTCCCGTCACCGAGTAGCCATCGCAAGCAACCTTGAGGTTGTGAATATGTGATGTCTCGCAACACTTTGGGGAACTGCAGGCATGAAGGCAAGTATCACCTGATCGGGGTAGACTGTGGAGCGGGGGCGGGGATGTCTGAAGTGTGTCCCGTCGCCTAGATTAGATCTAGATGGCCACTCACGTGTGTATGCACTCCACCACTTTAATGCTCGCCATACAATCTCTACGGTGGAGCAGTGCGACCATATTCGTACTGCTTGGTTTTTGAGGTTTGATATTATATTTCTTGCTTCCTCCCTCTTCGTTCCGGTCGAACATCTTGCCTTAAGAAACTCACGTGCGTTTATATTCTGTTTCTCCTGACTCTCTTGTTCATTTAGTATCGCCCAGCTTTCCTACCTTCCAATATCCTCGAATATTTCCCATGTCCGAACCATGTGACAAATCTCTCAATCGCTCCAAGGTATCTGCTGCTACGTCGATCGCTTGGCGCCTGTCTTCTGGAGAGAGATTTGTCGAATAATATCGGTTCTTTTGACACCGGAATTCAAATCCTTTGGGTACAGTATACGGAGCTGTTATCGATCCTCCACGATGTCCAGCCAGTCACGGGAACACCGTCGAAAGGGTCCTTTCAAATCGCCTTCTGACTCGATGACGTCCCTTCATTTAGCGACACATTATTCAGGAGGACCACAACTCACCACTTAGAAGCCGTTGTTTTTCAACGCCGTCGCATCCACTCGAGCTTTGGAGGCAAAGATGGAGAGTTGCTGTCGTTTTCAAGCGACGAGGCGGCGGCTTTAATTTTTATCCTCCCACGCCTACCAACCAGATGCACCAGAAAAACCTTAAACGACCCTACGAACAACGTATGTTTGACAGTTGCCCACATGGGCATGCGGTGCTCTCGTCGCCAGTCTGTAGAACCGAGGCGGCCAGTCCAGACCAGACCAGAGAAGACTTTTATCACACGCATTTCCTACCCGTGCATGGCAGAATTGCTCCCAATTATGCTGCTACTTGCTTGCTTATTACCACTGCGGAATCGACCGACTGATACAGTATCCACGACAGGTTGCCCGGTGCTCCACATGCAGAAGTGGGTTGATTCTTTACTTCTTTTAGACCTTCATTATTAGATACATTTCACTCCTTCTGATGTCGTGTATTTGCGATGTCACTCGCCACGACACAACAACATGTCTCCTCATTCTACAGCAGATATAAACGACACTTGTGTGCCTCTCCTTGACGTCGAAATGCCTTCAAAAATCACTTCGTGTGTCATAGGCATTGATGTTGGTGGTACCAATACCGATGCAGTGGTACTACGGGACGAGAGAGTCATTGGGTGGCACAAAACCCCCACCACATCTGATATTCAGGAGGGTGTCGAACTTGCAATCGAGGCCGTTGTAAAGAAAGCAGAAATACCCGTCAATCACGTGGGAGCCGTCAAGATTGGAACCACAGTAAGTCAATGATCGAACTCAGTCTTGGCTATGGCTGTTGAGCTGTTGTTGGTTAGCCGGAACCATCGATTCGATACTAACAACTGTAGCAATTCGTCAATGCGGTGTTGGAGCAGGACTCAAGCAAACTAGAAAAGGTTGCTGTGATTCGACTTTGTGGCCCATATTCGAGAGGGACCCCGCCCTTCTTAGACTTCCCACCTGCTCTTCGTGCCCTTCTTTATGGCCATTATGGTTACGTCGATGGCGGGTATCAAGGTTAGTTCACCTACTATTTCTACACGCAATGTAAAAAGGTCATCAAATAAGTTGTTAGCTTGCAGGATTATGACCTGCAATTCCCGCGACGTTTTCTTGTTTTCTTGTTTGCTCGTTGAACGTGATTGCTGATTCAAGCAGTGGATGGGTCTCTTATCGCCACCATTGATGTGAACCAGATCAAAGAGCAGGCAAGAATTATTAAAGCGAAATCTATCAAGAGCATTGTGGTGATAGGCATATATTCGCCGTCCAACCCTGCACAAGAAGAGGATGTAAAGAAGATTCTGGCGTCGGAGCTTGGCCCCGACTACGATATATCCTGCTCTCATGCTATCGGCCGACTTGGTTTCCTTGAGCGTGAGAATGCCAGCATACTTAATGCGAGCTTACGCCGCTTTGCTCGTCATGTAATTGCTGGATTTTCGGAGGCTATTCGACATTTGGGCACCTGCAACCTGTACATCACACTTAATGATGGTACGCTGAGCATGGCTCAGACGGCAGCAGAGTATCCAATATTGTGTTTTTCGTCTGGACCTACGAACAGTGCTAGGGGCGCGGCTTTATTAGCAAAGTCGTACATTTCTGATGCAAACGATGGGCGAGAGGTATTGGTGGTCGATGTTGGCGGGTAAGTTACATCAACAGTCATTTCTTCGTCTTGCCAATTGACCCCTTGTAGCACTACCACGGATATATGTGCCCTTCTCAAGTCCGGCTATCCGAGGCAGTCGGCGGCGTTCGTCAAGATTGCTGGAGTGCGGACTAACTTTACTATACCTGATGTTCATAGCCTTGCATTGGGCGGTGGCTCACTTGTCCGGACAAAGAGATTGCGAACTTCAGTGGGCCCAGACTCTGTTGGTTCAAGGTTGAATCAAGAGGGTATTGCCTTTGGCGGAAATAAATTTACTGTGAGCTAGCTGGTACCTTGAATCAAATCGTGGGCTTCAGCTAATCAGATTACAGGCCACAGACTTAGTTATGGTTAATACTTTCACGCAGGAGTTGATTGATCCCGAAGTAAAGAAATCTGGTCTCGCTGAAATTGGCAGAGCGTTGGAAGATGCCATTGATTTAGTAAAGACAAAGCAGGGCGAGGCGAGAGTCATCCTTGTAGGCGGCGGTAGCATTATTGTTGATGAGCACATTGCTGGTGTTAGTGAGGTGATCCGGCCGAAATACTTGGAAGTAGCAAATGCTGTTGGGGCTGCGGTAAGTCTTTCGATTCAATATCTCTTAATCTTACTAACAGTCGTAGATTGGGCGCATTAGTGGATCTGTCGACAAAACAGTCGTCCCCACCCACGGAATCGACCTTGAGATTCAGAGAGCAACGTCAATCGCCAAAAAGAAGTGTGTTGCAGCTGGTGGAGACGACAAGACTGTTGAGGTTGTTGAAGTTGATGTTGTGCCTCTATCTTATGCTACCAATGGTGCAACGCGGATACTTGTGCGAGTCGTTGGCGATCTGAAAAATAAATATGATTTCGCTCCTGATAAAGTGATACCAAAGGCGCCCCTGCGGAAAAAGCGAATCGCCAAGTGTGCTCGTGCGATCACAGATTCAAGCCCAGCCGTCACCAAAGGATCTTCGTACGAAGTCGTAAAACAGTTTGATGTGAAGTCGTATCGGCCGAGAATTGAAGGAGATTTGTGGTATTTCTCCGAGCTAGATCTCCAATTCTTGCAAGACGGAGCAGGAATTCTTGGTGTTGGGAGTTGTGGAGAACCATACTCCGCCTATCTGGCGTGCCTGATGGCGCTTCGAAATGGGGAAGACATCACTATCAGAAGACAGGATACACTACCCGACGATGCCGTAGTTCTTGTTGCGGGTTTTATGGTACGTTGAATTCTGCTATATGAATTACGACTCTTCTAACCTTGTTCAGGGATCTCCTGGTGTCTATCTGGAGCGGATACCAGGGGTTGATGAGTAAGTTGCATTTCGACTAGCACAATGTATATACTGACTCTAGGTGAAGAATCACAGACGCAATGAAAGGTACAATGAAAATGGCGGGAATCGAAAACTTCGATGCGGTAGTTCCAAACGAGATTGGAGGTCTGAACGCATTCGAATCAATCCTAGCAGCTCGCCGCTTCAAGAAGAGCGTACTTGATACCGATCTCGTAGCACGAGCATATCCAATGGTATGGCAGACAGTTCGCTGTTTGAAAGACGTTCCAATTGCACCATGCAGTGTAGCAGACGGATCTGGGAGGGTTGATGTATGTACTATTCATCGCTTGTTGAAAACACGTTTAACAGGCTATATAGTCATTTTCAACAGCCACGGATAACTTCCACGCAGAAGACCTCATGCGAACGGCATGCACAGATCAAGGCTCCTTGGGTGGAATGTGTATATCTCCAGTCTCAGGCGCCGAAGCTAAAACCCTTCCTCGAAATAGCTTCTCTCATGGTAAGTACTCTTTTGCCGATAGCCGTCGCCCACTGACGCAAAATTTAGCATGGCAAATCGGCCGATCAATCGCCATCTCTCGCTCCCTAAAAATCGATCCCATCCCTCCTCTTCTCGAATTACAAAGCGGTGTCTTGCTTTTCATTGGCAAGATTATCTCGGTAACGCGAAACGTCGCAGAAGGATTTACACGTGGAAGTGTTCTCCTCGAACCGTTCTCAGAAAACGACTCCAACAGGATCGGGGATGAAGGGGTAGAGAAGAGTTTGGTTATCGATTTCGAGAACGAGAATCTGAGTGCAGTGTTGAAGGAGCAGGGTAAGGAGGAGAAAGTCCTGGCGTGTTGTCCAGATTTGATCGTTGTATGTTTTTCGCCACATTTTGACACTGAGATACAGAAGGGAGGCTAATAACGGTACAGGTTCTTGACAAAGCGAATGGGGCGCCGCTTGGTATCTCAGATTATAAGTACGGGCTGAGGGTCAGTGTTATTGCACTGCGATCACCGCCTGTCTGGACCACTGAAAGGGGCTTGGAAGTTGGTGGACCTAAAGCTTTTGGGTATGTTTTCCCTTTGCTTTCCCATTTTGTGCTTTGAGGGCGAAGACTGACGAATCAAATAGACTCAATATGGATTACAAATCCGTCGCTACCTCTGCGGTGGCTTACGAGGAACCGAAGAGTGTTTGGGAGATGTTTGGTGAGGGATCATGATCATGTTGATGACATACAAACGATTTAAACTTATGTATTAAAGATGCTAGATTAGGGATAAAGCGTAATGAGGAGATGATAATGATGATTCAATTTTTCGCACAAGGGTTGTGTTGCGTTGCTACACCTTTTGTGTTGAAAGCGCAAGTGATTTTTATTTGGACTGTTTCATGTGGTCTTGCGGTGGACAGATGGGATCGCTATCATGAATGTCGATCAGAGAACTATTGGTTCACTTCCAAGTTTGGTAATTGAAATATCACAGGGAGTACACGACTTCGTTAGGTGGGTTTGTAGGCGACCAGGTACTAAATCACACAACGAATTCGTGCACCCCTTGTCTATAATCAAGGTTACAGATATATATGTTTTTTGACAGATTTCGAAAGATATTAGAACGGATCTATCTATTTGTCTAATCTAACAACAAAATACATGATAAAGCTTTACATCAACTTGACACGCATCGTCTTTTCACGATCCACTATCTTATTGAATCAAATCAACTATGCTAAACAGACCTAGCATCTGGTCATAATAGTAGCATCGTAGCAGCTCTTTTTTTCTTGTGCCTGTTTTTTCTAGTCAAATCTCTTCTTACACTGTTCCAACTACTCCATTACATAACAATTAGCTAATTTGTAGAGACGTCACTGCCGTTTGAACCATGAGCTTAAGCAAACGCAGCCAGACCGTGTTACTATTCATCTGGATCCGATCGCTGGACAGAGATAGACAGCAAAAAGTACACTCGAATGAAGAAATTTGTTAGTAAATCATGAGGTTTTCAAATTACGCTTAGACATTTAAGTGTTTAAACGAAGGTTGGAACATTCCACGGACTACCACTGGTTGACCGGTCATCTGTCCTGCTTATAGGTTCTTTGAAGTTTTCAATTCTATGAAGTTAGTCCAGTCCAAACGCACGTCGAGCAAAGGAAAGGGTCAGTTTTAGAAACACGTCAGTTGTGGTAGCTGAAGGGAACTAAGTTCTTCTGGTACTCGCTGAAACATTGTACAATTGTCGACACGACGAAGCAACCGCGAGCACACATGCTCGTGAGCGTTTGGAGGGGAAGTATGTCCTTGTAAATCAAATGCCTTTTATTTTTGCGCATTGTTTAATTACATAGCGTTCATACTAGTCCTTAAGCTTTCCATGTCACTATAAATCAACTGCTGGCCTGCCTTGGAATCTATGTCGGGATCGCCATTCCCAAACTACATTATATCTAGCCAATTGAATGATCGCCAACTTTCGACTATTCCGTGGTGACGGTGAACGGAAACGTCAATGGTGTATTTGTTTGTTTCATTCTCTGACTCTCATCCGTCAACACGAATTCGAACACAGAATCACGGCCCTCAGATTCGGCATGTTGCATGGCAACCAAGATGCCCTTGTCGCTACCGACATATTTGACGCTCAAGCCGGTGACGATCCGACACAGAAGGCCAGTGATTACGTCCCAAATCTCGAAGAATTCGTCATGGAAGATGAACAGGTAGTGGCTGTCAAGCGCGGCTGCGGTCGCCTTGCTTACGAAGGTAATTGGTTCAATATCACTAATCTCTGCGTCCCTATCGATATATATCGCAACACCTGGAGACTTAGCGATAGCCTTTTGTTCAATTAATACAGCATTTTTGCTTACATTCGTATACACAAAGGTGACTTGTAAGAACACCACTTCTAGTGGTTCCTTCTGGAAGACTAAAGATTTCTAACGGCCTGCCTTTGATAGATTGGTATGGTTCTCGAGGCAAAGAAATTGGTATGGTTCTTGTAGGTGGACTGATCAAACTGCAATCTTTGAATGAGCTGTCTGTGACGAAGACTATGCACATGTTATCGAACACATGCATCTGGGAACACGGTGTTCTGAGGTAGTACTCGGCGTACCGCCAATAACAATATCCGTAGCCTTTGAATAGCAGAGGCTTATCCAGCTCGGGAGGGTTCTCAGCGCGGCGCTGGCAGAAATCACGGCCCCGTCCCTTTGAAGCGTGGTATATCTCGATCAACTGTAATTGGTCAGAAAATATTTTGGGAATTTCTAACGCTGAGTATCTCACCGAGAGGCTCTCATTTGACCCCTCACATGTTATGCAATAGATAAAATTACCTTCTGCTGTCTTTGCAAATCTGAAGAATTTGACATTCTCTAATAGTTTAAGTGAGAGTTTGAAGCCATTCATAATATCAATGACATAAAGATTATTTGATGCGAGAACTAGCATAACTTCGGGGCCTTCAAGCACTGTGATTTGAGTCACAGGATCGATATTAGCACAGTATACCAATGCTGGACTCGATGGCACTGCCGGATCGAAGACATAGAAGTCTGTCGAACTACTCATAGCGATTAAACCCCTTCCGCGATAGTAAAAAGGCGTGACGCATTCTACAAACGTAGGTGCTAGATGGATAAGCTTGTCTTCGAATAACACAAGGGATTTGGGAATTCCAATCTGGTTCTTGAAAAACTTCTGAGGAGCTGCGGTCTCACTACCGATTCCAGAAGCTGCGTGCCATATCAATGTTAGCGAATATGCGTCTGAGTTACCGGGAAAGAGTGTTCGAGAGGACATGGCCTGTTGGGCCAGCTGGATGTTATCCCACCATTTTTTTCGTTGTGATGCGGACTTCACTACCAGCGCGCAGATGTCGCCAGTACTTATGTCTCGAATAAAAAGAGGGAATAGCTCCTGTATAGGTGTTTTGGCAATTGCTCCTTCCTTTGCTTCACCCTCTTGAATCGGCAATAGCTTCCACTGGTACTCGTCGTTGACTTGGTCAAGTAATACTAGAAGCTCTATGCGTATTGGCTGTGTTATATCATCAGTATCGCCTCACATTGAGCTTGTGGTTCTTACCTGACAAGTTATTTCATATTTGTGGTCAATACTTTTCGTTGCAAGAATTAGACAATTGTCGAAAAGTAGAGCATAATTTAGGGGATCTTGGGGCTCTTTAGTTAATCTCTCAACTTCTCCTCGATAAAAGAGTCGACGATCTAACCGATCAAGCATTAATAATCTCTCGGCGTCATGGAGGCGATTTACGAAAATGAATGATGATATTAGCTCTGATGTCTGAAAACCTGATTCATCGTCCGACTCGTATAAGGAATTTACATCAGTCGAAGAAGAGGAGCTCTCGTACTGCTGTGAGAATTTTCCAGAAGACTTTGACTTTGATTGTTGTGGTTTGTCCGAATCGTCATCTTGACCTTCTTCATTCCTGTCCCGTGGCAATGAAAACAGCGCAAGTTCCTCAAGATGTCGAGCAAGGTGACGACAAAGTTGTTGCAACGAGTCTAATACCTCAAGACATAGAGGGCATTCTTGTTCGGTTTTTCCATCGACAGGTCTATGACAAACGTCTGCCAGGGCACTGATTTGCTGGTTCGATGTAATCATGTGTGTCTCCCTTACATGTTTCTCGAATTCAGCTTGACTATGAAATATTGCCTGACAATTGGCTGCACAAGACCATACTTTTCTATGCTCGTTCAATTCGTGATCCCACCAGTCGTGACGGGATTTGAACGTTTTACGGGCCTTGAAACATGATTCAAAAGTGCAAATATACGGTTGAAGGTCTCGGAAGATATGCTTCTTCCAAGCATTCTGACTCTTTATGCCTACCATTGTATAACAGTACGGACATTCAAAAGGCCGCCCGCCTGTCGATCCCGACGGAAGTGGAGGAATAGCGAGTCTTCCTCCGAATGATGCTGACGATGCGTAAGAGGTCAAGGTCTGGCCACTGTCAGATTTTGTCTCAACGTCAATGTCTGCTCCAACAAATTCGGATGCGGAAGTCCCCGTTAGTATCGTGTTTGCAGCCACGCTACGTTTGCCTATGACTGTTTCGTTTTGGAGGGACATATCGACTCGAGTTTTAGCTGCCGCGCTATCGATCGGCTCATCCGGCCCCTGAGTCCTAGGTAAAGCATGTGCATGCACATCTTTTATATTTGGCTCAATTAGATCTTGTGCGAGCTTTTTGTGGTGCTTTTCACAATACTTGAAGTATTGACGTCTTCTTGATAATGCCTTTCCAAGACGCAAACAAAGGTAGTGCTGCCCCATCGTCAGCAGGCAATATCATGTCAACACGGACAAATACCTTAACAGCTGGGAATTTCGCCTTAACATGATTGACATCCCACGCCTCGTAAAACGATATGTCAATGGAGGCAGCTTTAATGAGTCGGTCATGGTTAGAGACACCGTTTCTGATGGACATTGACAGCCTATAGAGACAATCGACAACAACGACAACAACGACAACATCTTGGAATATCTGCTGCAATTCCGTGAATTGATGGCTCTCGCTCTCTATTCGAGCTTCATCTATTGAGAGTTCCGAGTCCGAACCAGAATCAAAGTCTGCATTATTACGGGCTGGCCGAGTCCCTGAAACTATGGCAATAGCTTGGAATATGTTAGACAAGATTTATAAGCCACTCGGTGACATCGATATAATTAATTTAATTCACGGGACTTAACATTGAGCTGAGTTTTGAGACGTAAAATACGTCTTGTGTGAGACAGCAAAAGCAGCCAATAAATAAATGATAATTCTCGGACAATGATAAAGTGACACGCACCTTCCTGGAGAATTTCGCTCATGTCATCTAACAGCGACACAATCCTGCCCCGCAAAGGCGTGGCGTCACGAAGCCGGTGATCAAGAGAGACCTTCCCGTTTCTATGGGCGGCAATGTTCCTGTATACCATCTCATTAATCTAATCTACTCAGACGGAGTAAAACTTAGTAACTTACCCTGCCCAGATTTTTAATCTACCCAATTCATCCTGAACCATAGATAATGGCAGTTGGTCGGCTACTGCTGGGCTTGGAACTCGTAGTGCAAGGGAGAGCTTAATGAATTGCCCTAGGCTGCTAGCAAAGGCTGATGCAATGGACCGGTCCATCGTAGTTTGTCGTGAGAAAATTCAAAGGAGTTATGTCTTTTATCGTGTGAAGAGACCTTCTATTGGCTATTTTGCCTAAACCCTAGAGAAGGTGTGCAGCAAGCAAGAACAGCTTTCCCCCAAGAGGCTACAGGGTAGTTTGACCAAGCCAGACTGACTTCTCACCTCCGAGGTTTTCTGTAGTCGATTTTCCAAGAAGTTTGACAGCAAGTTAGGTTAGTCGAGCCTCCAGCAGACTGTTGAACCATTTTTGTGAGAGCTGCAGCAACAAGGGTGCATCGCGGCACGGGGTCTGCGACAGGCAGCCTTACACAACAAATAACCAATTTTTTTCTCAAAAGGCTTTGATACTTAAGATACCAGTGGCACTGCAAATAATGGTCACCGGCGTCGAAACAGCTGGACTCATCCTGGGATCGCTTCCATTGATCATTTCGGCTTTGGAACACTATGCCGAAGGTGTTGGGACGATCGAGAAATGGTGGAGATACAAGCGGGAGCTTGCAAGCCTAAAGAGAGTTCTTGGTGCTGAGTATGATAGGTTCTTGAACACCTTAGAAGAATTACTTGTTGGCCTTGTTCCGGATACTGCACTTGCCGACATGTTGAAAATGCCTGGAGGCCCAGGTTGGGCAGACGCGGAATTGAGTCGTAAACTTCAAAACAGGCTGCGCAATTCTTATAGGTCGTATGTCGAGACTATCAATGATTTCAACGAGGTCGTTACAGACCTCAAATCAAAGTTGGAGTTAGATCCAGACGGCAAGGTATGTCAACGTACTTCTCCCTGGAGCGTTGCTCACGCTAGCCCGCAGCCAAGATGGACCGATTCTAGAACGTACAAACGAGAATACAAGCGTATAAAGTTCAGTCTCTCCAAGTCTGCCTACGAGGACTTGATGCGGAGGGTTGATAAGGACAATGGAATCCTGGCGAATCTGACACATCAGTCTCTGCGGCTTGAGCCGGTGCGCCAACGACGAATGACACGAGGGGTTGCCGAATTCGATCGAATACGCTCACAAGCAGAGAGTTTATATCGAGGGCTGAAGAAGAACTTGTGTTGTACCTGCCAAACTCCGCATCATGCCAATTTGCGTCTGGAAGCACGAACGTCACCGAACAGGGAGGGCGATGTTGGCAAATTACGCTTTCGAATGATTTTTAGCTATGATGGTTTCAACACATCAGAAAGTCAGGCGTGGAAATTGCGAGAGGCGGATATCGAGGCTTTGGAGATAATAGAACAGCCTAAACCCTTGAGAAAGGAGCAACCGTCACCAACACCGTTGCCCAAGGCCAAAAAGGGGGTCAGTTGGGCAAATGATTTGTTGGTTGGAACTCCTGTTCCACAACCAATAATAGGGACGGCTTCAACACAAATAAAAGACCTCTGTCTCGCATTTCATGGGTGTACAGATACAAAAGAATGCTTAGGCTTCATTCTCGACGAGACGCGGATGAGGCACCATATATATCCAGTCCATTCGCTGACACACACACTGCCATCAGTAACGAATCTCTCTACACTTCTGTCAAGTTCTAGAAATCCAGCAACAAAACTTACGCGGAAAGAGAGACTACAGCTCGCATTGACTCTTGCAGCAAGCGTGCTTCAGCTGCGTCAAACTCCATGGCTAGATGAGCGCTGGTCCACGAGTGACATTCTATTTATTTCAGGGACTAAAAGCCCTTATATTTCGCGAACATTCAAAGTTCTTGATCCCGAAACCAAAGATGAAAGCATCAAACACTTTTCCGTTATACAAAACGAGACTATATTCTCTCTCGGCGTGTCGCTGATCGAGCTTTGCTTTGGCTCGTCGCTTGAAGCACTTCGTGAGGAAGAAGATGTCAGTCTAAATCCTCAGCTTACAGCTTACATGACTGCTCGTCGTCTACTGAGTCAAGTCTACGAAGAGAGTGGAAACAGATATGGAGATGCTGTGCGAAGGTGTGTAAATTGCGAATTTGACCATAGGAAGCCAAGTCTTGAAGTCGAGACGTTCAGGGATAAGTTTTTTAGTGGGGTAGTTGTACCCCTCGAAGAAGACTGGACGGATTTCAGTAGTACTATAGGAGGTAGGTCCTATGATAATTTAGTATAATATATATCGCGTAAGCGCAGGAGGGTCATGGAATGACGGACTGGCACTCTCTTTATCTGCTGGAGGTCGTTCACTTGTGTCATTTGCTATCATCTCCCGACTCTCGTGAGCGATCCGTACGCATTATCAGATAATTTTACGCTTCGAATGTGTCTGTGAGAAACAACAATCAAGAACACTCGAGGGTATCGTACGGTTCGATTCAGTTGTCTTCTTGCACGTCGATAATTTTTAAGTGGCCGTGTCCTACAGAGATGTGCCCCGTAGCGCTCACGTGATAATGCCACCCTGCTGCTTCTTGTCGGATAGGAGTGAGAACATAAACTTGGAGAACAAAGGTTTGAATAATAAAAAAGAAGAGACATAAATATCGAGATACCATTAGCGATTAATCTATTCGAAATTGGGATCCTTAGGGATATCATGAAGAAAATCAATGTAATATCCACGTGACTCTGGGGTAGTCTCCGCAATCCAGGAACCAGACTTTGTTAAAATAAGGTTTTAAGCCGCATCCATTCAGTATCGACGGTGAGCATGATCTTCTCTTGAAGAAAACACCCTCTTTTGCACTCCTGTGCAGATCGACTTTCGTCTTAGTGGACGGCTTTTCTTCGCTCGAAATGGAATCCCAAGCGTCTGCTTGTCATTTCTACACCTTTTCGACCGTCTAGCAAGTGTTTAGACGTTGTTATCGGGAGGTTGCAATGTAGGTTTATTTGTCGTTGTTGTCTCTCCTTTTCCCTGATCGTGTTCTTTGCCAAGCAGGCGGGTTTGTGTGTTGCATTTTAGGTTGGGTGGGGCCTGTCGGGTCGCTTATGCCTGCTGTGATTGGTCGAACTCAAATGTTGCCTTTACGCGACAGGACAGACGCTTCATCCAAATCCTCAATCGTCGACTCTGCCGTTTGCAAATCGTCATCTATTTTGTCTGACTTTTCTCCATCGATTGTTAATGTCTCTTTGTATTACGCGTAAGTCACACCGGTTCTTGTCGTCTCCTCAAGTACAGAAGAAGCGGCGCGCAATACTAACCGCATTTCAGATGTCGGCCACTTCAAGCAGATGAGCGAGTAAACGCACTGCGAACTTCAAATATCGACCCATACTCGTTGGCATCATATGCACAGTACCTTGGGTGGCGAATTCGGTAATTTAAGTCCTGCAAACGAAAATGCCATCGAAGCGCAAAGCAGAAAACTTCGACCCAAACAAGTCGGACTCCAACGACACAGATTTCGATCCTACAGAGACCAGAGCACCCCCAAAGAAATCCAGGAAATCTGCAGGTCACAGGAAGGGGTCAAGCCGTCCAGCGAAACGAGCGAGATACCGAGGGTCGGACGTCAGCGAGGACGACCTGGACGACGACGATTTGTCGGTCTCGGAGGAAAGCGAGGAAGAGGAAGATTTCGAGATGAATGAGAAAACAGGAAGAAGGGTGCGGAAAGCGGCGAAGAAGGAAGTAAACTATGAGGATCCTTCCGAATCCGAGGTCGATGATTTGGACGCGAGTGACTCGGAAGAGGTGAAAGTCACGAAGACGAAGTCACCGAAGAAGCGCGCAAAACCCGTGTTTGATGACGATAATGATGATGATGATGATGACGACGATGAAGAAGGAAAAGTTGTAACAACTCCGTCGCGGAATCGAAAGTCGAAGATCATCAAACTAAAAATCAATACACCAGCGCTCGGCCGCTCAACTCGTGCTGGCAGTGCGCTTCGTAGCGCGGCAAGCACACGACCAAGAAGAGGCAGCACTGCAGAACCTAGATCTGCCGGGATACCTGTTCGAAGAGCAACTCGAGCGACATCCGAAGCCTTGGGCGAAGAGCCTATAGCGCTTTCCGAATCGGGTCGACATGTTATTCGACAAGGTCAATCTCCAGAGCCCATAGGTAGAAGAGCCGATCGCGGTGGAAAGGGCGTAAAGAAGCCAGCATCTACCATTAAAGAAGAGTTGCACGAATCAACTTCACACGAAGAACAGGACGAGGATATCACAATGGCTACTGAAGTCCCTGGCACTGACGAGCGCGAAGGACATAACGATCCCGATGCACAAGAAGACATCGAAGATAAACAAGACGCGGTTGGCGAAACCGAGGAGGGTGCTGCACAACCAGCTGTAGTGGATGAAGACGACGATGAAGACGAAGACGAAGACATTCCAATAACGCGACGAAGAGGATCGCGGCCAGCGCTGGTTGTCTCTGACCTACCAGCCGAAGAAGAAGCGGATGAGACGAAAGCACAATCTGCAGGTGGTTCCCGGCGGTTGAGAAACAGATCGCGAAAGAACCAGTCACAGAGAAAGCCAACAGATGCAAGCAGTGATTTTGAGCCCGTTGAAGAGTCTGCTGACGAGCTTTCCGCTTCCGACCCAGGAGCGAAAGGGAATAAAGAAGAGGACTATGAGTCGGGGTCGCAGCGTCGGGGCAGGCGTGGCGTGCAGGCAAAATCGAAAAGCACATCTAGAAGACGCAGCCCAGACTCGAATCCCGAAGAGCTTGACGAGGATGAACTAGCTGAAGAACTTTATGACCTCAAAGCAGGTTCTCGACGACGCCGTCCAAGAGTATCAGAGCCAGGTATCGTTTATGAAAAGTCAACAACTCGCACAAGAAAGCCAGTCGACTACAGTATCAAGCCCATGGATCAGATATATGCTATGGACGAAGATGGAGAGGAGGCGGCCCCAACACCAACTCGTAGAGCAAAAGGTGGACGGAGTGGTGCCAGCCAACCTTGGGAGAGAAATCTATATTCGACTCTTGGTCCGTTTGGAGGCGGAGGTGGTCCTCCTGCAGTTATTGGTGGTCCTTGGGGTACTGGCGCAGCTGGCGGTGTTGACTCTGATAGCAGTGATGACGAGAATATGGCTCGACCGGTAGGAGTTGGCGGAGCCCTTGGAATGACACCCACATCCGCTATGCCTTCTGGTTTGCTTCCTGGCATGGGGCAGACAAACATGGACCCTACTGGCGCACTTTCTGGAACACCCTCTGCCCTGGGCAAAGTTGGGAGCCGCAAAGCGTTGGCTGACGCGGATCCCTTGGGCGTTGATCAGAATGTCGACTTCACCAAGGTTGGTGGACTGGATGCTCATATTGACAAGCTCAAGGAGATGATTCAGATGCCCCTCCTCTACCCCGAGCTCTTCTTAAAATTTCACATTGTACCGCCTCGTGGTGTGCTGTTTTACGGTCCACCTGGTACTGGTAAAACCCTTCTGGCACGAGCCTTAGCCGCACAGGTTGGCTCCGGATCTCGCAAAGTCACGTTCTACATGCGCAAAGGTGCCGATGCATTGAGCAAGTGGGTCGGTGAGGCCGAAAGACAACTTCGACTTCTCTTTGAGGAAGCGAGGAAAACCCAGCCAAGTATCATTTTTTTCGATGAGATTGATGGTCTCGCCCCTGTTCGTTCCAGTAAACAAGAACAGATTCATGCTTCTATAGTCTCAACGCTACTAGCTCTCATGGATGGTATGGATGGTCGAGGCCAGGTCATTGTTATCGGTGCTACAAATAGGCCTGACAATATAGACCCAGCTCTACGCCGACCTGGTCGCTTTGACAGAGAGTTTTACTTTCCTCTACCAGATGTAGAAGCTCGAAAGTCAATTGTCAATATCAATACACGCGATTGGGGCCTCGACGATCAGTTCAAGAACAGCATTGCTGAGAGAACAAAAGGCTATGGAGGCGCAGACCTGCGTGCTTTGTGTACCGAGGCAGCGCTGAACGCCGTTCAACGTACATATCCTCAAATCTACGGATCTAATGACAAGCTCATCGTTAACCCGGACAAGGTCAAGATTACTGCCAAGGACTTTATGATCTCCATCAAGAACATGATACCATCCTCTGAGCGATCAGCTTCTTCAGGAGCAACCCCTTTGCCTAAAGTAGTAGAGCCTCTCCTTCGTGATGAGCTAAAACGACTTGAGAAATTTGTCGATGAACTAATTCCAATAAAAAAGAAAACAACCGCACTCCAGGAAGCGATGTATGAGCAATATGATGATCCTGATCAAGGATTTCGACGAGAGACCATGGAACAAGAATTCGAGAGATCTAGAGTCTTCCGGCCACGAATATTGATTTGCGGTGAACCCGGCATGGGCCAGAACTACCTTGGCGCAGCTCTCCTCAACCACTTCGAGGGGCTTCATGTTCAGAATTTCGATCTCCCCACAATCTTTAGTGATTCTGGTCGGGTATGTCTCGTTAACCATCTGAAGCATTCATCAGCTAATTTAATTTTAGAGCCCTGAACAGGCCCTCGTACAGCTCTTCGCCGAGGTCAGACGTCACAAGCCTAGCGTTGTTTATCTTCCTAACGCAGAGACGTGGTGGCATACTCTCACTCTTGCGCAGACTGACACCTTTGTGAGCATGCTCAAAGCGATTCCGCCTACGGATCCTGTGCTTGTTGTGGGCATTACAGAAAAGCCTATTGCAGATATTGATGCGGCGCTACTGAATGACTTATTCTGCTACTCAAGCAAAAGCCGACAAGAGATTAGACGCCCTACAAAGGCATGCTCACTTATTACTCCATCATTTCACTGCTAACTTCTCACAGGAGAGTCGCGAAGCTTTTTTCTCCAACATCCTTGAATATGTTAGGTTAACTCCTAACGACTTCCCCCAGCCGGCAAACCGAAAGAAGAGGAAGCTTGAAGTCTTACAAATTGCCCCTCCGCCCGAGGTAAAGCCGCCAACCAAGGAGGAGATTAAAGCGCAACTGAAGAAAGATCGCCAGCTACTCAACCTCCTTAAGATCCAGATCCAGCCAATCATGGATCAGATACAGAAAAAGTATAGAAAATTCCGTACACCTGCCATCCTTCAGTCTCAGATTCAGTACATCCTGGACGAAATGGATCCCAATCATGTGCGCTCTGATACTGTCGGGTTCAGACCATATGAGATTGATACAGACAAAGACGGCGTCAAGGGACTGCGAGAAACAGCAAGTCAGAAGTTCTTCTATAATCTGGAAACCACAACGATCGAGGAGCGATTATCCAACGGCTTCTACGCTCGACCAAAGGATTTCTTACACGACATCAGGACGCTTGCAAAAGATGCCAAGCATATGGGCGACAAGGAGCGCTTGTTGAGGGCTAATGAACTTGTGTCTAATGTGGAGGTCGATATGATGGGGATCGAAGTGAATCCAATCTTTGCAGACTGCGAGAATGTCTATAGACGACAGCTTCAGAGGACCAAAGAACAGGAAGAAAAAGAAAGGAAGCGTGCAGAGAATCCGTTTGGTGGTGCTGTAGGTTCTGACATGCCAAACACCGAGGTTTCGGAAGCCGGTCAGCCACCTCTCCTGCTAAGTGATCCTGTCCCCAAAAGACAAGCCGTATTCTCGACTTCTGTCCATAATTCCAGTAGTTTGTCGAATGGCGTTTCTTCTGATACGAACGGATCTTCTGTACCTTCGCGAAAAAGCGACGATGTGCAAATGGGCGGCACCGACGAACAGTCCCAACCTACACAGGCCTCTCATCCTATGCATCCACCAAGTCAACTACGGAACATGATGACTGCGAATTTGTCTAACCCTGCGCCAACATCGCAAATCTCTCAAGTATCCGCCTTCCAGGAGATTCCACATGGCACGTCACCAAGTGATCTTGTGAATGATGCCTCGACGACAACCTCGGGCAAAAAGACATCTACTGATGGGTGGAGTACTCAAGCAACGAATGGAATCGGTCATGGAGCTCAATCTTCCAGTCCAATCGATAAGCCTGGTCATGATTCACAATTACCAGATACACAGACAAATGCGTCACAAAGATCAAGTCAGCAAGATGCATCAAACACTAGCAGTGATGAACCATGGCCACACTCTCAAGCTCACGGTCTTGCGCGTGGCAATTTGCAAGGCATGTCTCAGAATACACCGAGTACCAACAGCCAGCACTCGAGTAACCCTGCTGTACCACATTTCAATGCTCCTAATCGCTCGGCTTCGACATCCAAACCATCAGGATTCGTCAATCTTCTCAATGACTCTCCTGTAGATGATGTTGTATCCTCGCAAATCTCGTCACAAGGCAACGAATACATCTCCGACTCCTACTTCATCGACGTCTTGCTAGACCGAATCGTTGCTGGCAGCAGTGGTTGCAGCGTCGATCAATTAGAACAGATCAACCGCGAACTTATGGAGGGTCTTTGGGAAATGAGAGGCGAATGGAATCGTAATGTCGTCGCAGCAAAGCTTGCTGAGATCTTCAACGAGACGATCAAGGATATCGATTACATGCAGGAGGTGCTGAAAGCTTCGCAGGCTACACAGGCTTCTCAGGCTGCTCAGCTTTCACAGGGATCACAGCTTGGTCCTCTGCTGAAGTGAGGATGCGGTGGACGGGCGGAAGACTATGGGATACATAAGGCACGGGGGAGAATAATCGTTGTGGTAAAGGTTTGGATTTGAGTTTGGGGTTGGGGTTGGGGGCGTATGGTGTTGATGGCAGGGTATTTGTGTAGTAGGGATGTTGTTCATTCTAGATTTTTGGATGAGTGGAGAGGGTGTAAGACTTTGAGGTTGTTACTTAGTATGAGATACACATTGTCGTCAAATTGTTCTTGTGATTCTGTGCTTGAAGCGGATTGTGAAGCTGTTGAGCAGGACTAGCTGGCCTGTCATGCCACCGGGTTTTCAACGGTTCTTGGCTACTGATTACCGTCTCGGAGTCAAAAACTTGACAAGATGAAGTCTTCAAGCCGTCTTAAATTGTATCTATACATCAAAAAACTATATATATATTTTACTTTTCTCATAAAATCGTTATTTCAGCGCTTCAAACAAGAAAGCAAATCATCCTCTCATAAATCATCATATCATAAAACCACCTCCAAGAAATAAACCTCCCCCTCACGCCTCCTTCTGCTCCTTCCCCCCCTTCCCCTCCATCTTCCCATTATTCCACGTACTTGCCTTACTCATTGTCCTCTTCCTCATCGTCGCCATAATATTCCCCTCCATCTCCTCACTCCCCTTCTCCAAATCTCGATCCTCGCGATCATAAATCCGCTCCCTCCTCTTCTCCCACAACCACCACCCGCCCACGATCACCATCGTCACGGGGATCGTCCACGCAAAGTAGATCCAGAGTTGCGCGGATACGATGGGTTGACCGGGGTCCGGCGACCAGTTGAAGAAGGTCATGCTGAAGACGGCGGCGAGGTAGGCGCCTGGGAGAAAGATGGCGCCGAGGAGGGAGATGGTTTTCATGGCCGAGGAGTCCCGCGTGGAGGCGTGCGCGAGCTTGCGTTGTTCGCCGGCCATTTGGAAGTTTAGTTTTGATTCTTTTTGGGCGATGATGTTGTAGAGCTATACCACACTTATTAGTAAAGTTCAGAATGATGACGGGAAAAGGGGACGTACAGCACTCCTCTGAATATCCAATCTCTGCAATGTCGTATACGCATAACTATCAATGCCCTGCAACTTAATCTTATAAAAATCCAACCTCGCAAGCATACTAGCATGCAACTGTCTCATCTCCCTCCCCCTCCTCCTCTCCGGCAACTTATCCCTGAATTTCTCCATCGACTTCTCTATCCCATCGATGATCTCCAGATACGCCTTCGGTCGCTTCCACAACACCTGACTATGACACTCGACTAAATCCCTATTCACGGCATCGAGATCCACGACCCCATCTTTACTCACGTAGCCCTCCTGCTCTTGGATCTCGGAGCGCATGGAGACGGCGTGTTCGAGGCGGCGGAGCCAGTCACGTGCGTCGCGTTGCTTGATCTCGGTTTTGAAGGAGATGTCGTGGGAGAAGATTATGGTGGGGAGGAGTAAGGGGTGGAAGATCTGGGAGGAACAGGCTTTGAGGTGTTTGATGCATTCTACTATGTCGGAGGAGGGGGTGCCTTTGCAAAAGCCGGTGGTGAGGGTGGAGTTTATGGAGTGTGAGAGGGTGAGTTCCCAACCGCGAGTGTAGCCTTTTTTGCGGACGTCGGATTTGCGGTAGACGATTTCTGGGGATTGTTAGTTGGGATGAGATGAAATTGGGAGGGTTGGAGTACGAAGATGTGGATCTTCTTCGTTTTGATCCCATGCTGACCAGAAGAAGGGACCGACTGCGCTGATACTTTCGATGGTTCGATATGGGAGATTCATTGTCTCTACCATCGAGGTATACTCTCGATGAGTAAAAGATAAAACATCGGGGGTAAACGTATGTGGGTGCTTTGCGTTTTGTTGTAGTCTTTTGGTCTGTTAGCTGAGTTGCCTTGGTGTCCTTCGTGGAGAACAACTCACACTAATCGTATAGCTGATGTTCTGGTAACTCCAGCTGGTACTTTCGCGGGCACAAAAGCCCCCTTGAAATAATCAGTACTCAAACCCCAATAACCCAACCCAGCAAATTCTTACTCGTTGGTGTAAATAATTCTCAAACTCATCAGGCGTCAACGGATGTTCCTCGATAGTATCGAACGCCGGATCCTACCCTAATTAGCACCATCTCAATCCATCTTGTAAAAGACTCACCGAATAAGTAAAGATCTCAAGATACGTAGTAGCCTCTACAATGCTCTTACACCTCCCCACATACGTCTTAAACATATAATCGTCCATCTTATCTCACTTCACTCTTCATCCCAAGCCCCACCCTTCAAACCTTCGAACTCACTCAAGATCGTATAATCCGTGCTACCACATCAAGCGACCGTAACCTCATTAATGTGTAAGAAGCAAAACAAGTTGAAGCAAAAGTAAGCATATCCTAGCGAGAGAATTATCCTCATCCCATCTTATGAGCCAAGATGTTCTCGGTCTAGACGGGCCATCCAAAAGTTTCTTTCCCAGCCCCTCGTTAAGGTCGACGTCGGGGCCGCTCCGGGGCCGGTGAGGGTTAATCTTCCGCCTTGGAGAGCTCGAGGCGGGTTAGTACATGCATGTGCGAGGGTGTTTGTGGATGTGCATGGGGATATTGATTGGTGGGGGGGTGGTAGGATACGAGAGGCACGGTTGGATCGTTGGGGTTGAGGCTGCATTGCTGATTGAGAATTTGTTGGAGAACAAAATATACTAATCAATTGATATAGAACTATGTAGTGGATGTTTGTGGGAATTGTAAGACAAATTTCTTTCAAAGTTAGCTTTACCATTTCTCTTTAAACGTCGAAGCAAATACAGGTAACCAAATCTCTTGCAGTCATCTTCACTCATGAGATGAGAAGAGCCAAACTAAAAAGCAACCCAGCTTGAGTCCTGAAATGTCAACTCCCTCAGATCACAACTACCACCTCAACCCCTTCCAAAACCCCTCCCCAGAAAGCGCAATCCAACCCCTCCTCCACCTCTCCATCTCCATCCACCCGCTCAACGACGGAAACTACCACCACACTGCCATCGCCATGACCAACGACACCGAGCCCCCGGGATGCTGGCACACCTTCGAAGTAGCACGCACCGTCGAAAACGGTCCTTTTATCGCAAACCATTTCAGGACTGATCCACGGGCTTCAAGCAGACTGATTCATGTGATCTCGTGTAATTCGGTGTATTGGGGGGTGATTATGGGGGTGATTCGAGGAGTGGAGGTGGAGGAGAGGGAGGGGTGGAACTGTCAGGATTATGTGATTAGTGTTTTAGAAGGGATGGTGATGGCTGGTGTGATGGGGAGGGAGGTGTATGAGAGGTCTTGGGAGGAGATGAAGGAGTGGTTTGGGTATAAGGAAGAGGCGGGAGGTCAGGAAGAAGCTGTTTTCAATGAGAGACGTATATGTTCAGAATTATATGTTCATGAGTCTGATGATGAGTGAGATACCCAGACAAGTACCTTCTGCTAGCTCACGGTTATGGATGATGCGGTGTCAATTATATTAATATATACTACTTATACTCAAGTTTAGGTTAACAAAGAACTCCTCCGCTATGCTGTAAATGGTTGTGCCCACTCATAATCTTACTCTACCATCCCTACGTCCTCCAAACCATCGAGACACATCGTTGCCTGGTCTTTGCGGCTCGGCTTCTCCTTCCCCATCGCCTCCCATCCATTTCGGCCGCTTGAAACCATCACCTACATTCTGAAGCCATTTCGGCGTCTGAACGGTATCAATTGTGTTCTTAAAACGATGGCCGAAAGCTTCAAAAACATTTTCATTTTCGGACTCAATCGATGTTTGAGGTTGTGTTGTAGCACTAGGTCTTGATGTAGATGCTTGACCTAAAGCTCTTCGTTCCGCAGGTGGAACTGATAGATGAGGTGCTGTGCGGTTGTTCGGGTTGTTTGGCACATGAGTTCTTCGCTCTGATCCACCAAGTCGACCTAATGATGAAGCCCCTTGCAACTCACGCTCTATCAGGTCTCGACCTTCCCGCCACGAACCAGTGCCATAACCAGTATCATTCTCCTCATTTCCATCATCAATTACTCCCGCTCCAAACCCTGTGCAATCTCTGACCTTGCCGTAAAGGTTGAAAAGAGATGCTCCCACAGGTATGAGCACAAGAGTCGGAAACAGCCAGTTGAAGCCTTTACCAAGTGGTGTGAGCTCGACATACTGTCCGAGGAAATCGAAAAATACGGTACGTTCATATATATCGGGTATCAAGAAAGTGATGAAATTGAAGGAGAGTGGAACTGTCAACTTGGCCACCTGCATAGCGAACCACATAGCACTCTCGCCATGTGTATTTCGTCGTACGAGAGCTCGACCTCTCCATACTTTAACCTCTGTAAGCGTAACCAAAGCTGCGGCGCACATATAGAGAATCCAACAAGCAGCAATGACTTGACCGGCGAATCCAATTTGGCCGCGTTTTCCTTCCTGGTGATGAACGACGGTAAGAGCAATGATGGAAAAGTATGGATTGATAGATTTGATGACTTCCGACCAGATGATACAGAAAGAAGCCAGAGAAAGAGCAACTCCTAGCACTACTCTTCCGTAGGGAAGGACGTAATTCTTGTAAAGATATCGTGTGTACGGCGTAAGTATAGTAAATCGATCGAGTAGCGAAGCATTAGGTGATGCTTCTCCAATTTCAATACGTTTGGATCCTGCAGAATCCAATATAGTTTGGACATCTGTAGAGGACTGGAGTATTCGGTCCCACTCATCCAAATATCGAGCACGACTGTGCCGCGCTCTGTCTAGTTTCCTACTCAAATCCGCCATATAACCTTCGGTAATAACATTTGGAATCACTACTTGTGGTGTAGACATTCTGCGCATCAAGGTTCGGGGTCTTGATTCTGGCAAATGAGATTCCTCAGCCAACTCTTCAATCCAATCTTGAAATAACTTTGCAGAGCCATTCTTTCTTTGCGCTAGAGCGGTAACTTGCGCCTCGAGGTCCTCTAAATTCGTTATGGCATCCTCCATCTTCTCATGAACTGTAGCAGCCTTTGCTTGGATTCGTTTTAACCTCCCTGCTATACTGGCATTTCGGAATAGTTTCCGCGGTATCGACACAAGCCCGTTGCCCATCAACACAATCGAAAATATAAGACTCCAGCAGTATGCCAACGCCATGACGAGACCCTTGAACGTAGATAGCGTTGCTCCAGATTGAAGAAAGAAATATATCATTGCCAGGATGCCGGATCCTAACATGATGCCTTGGTACAATGCATTGGCGCGAAGAGAATACAGCAGCCGACTCCTAGGCTCTCGGTACCCAGCATCTGCATATTCTTCGAGTATTGGGAGAATAAACCTGTGCAAAGATTAGTCGACTGCTCAACCCTCCAGTGGTATTCTTGGCTGCTTACCAAGTAAGTGCGAACGTCAACCAGTACGCAACCCGCCATAGGACAAGTAGCGCTCCATCTGGCAGCCAAATTCCCCTACTTGCGCTATCCTCTGCTCTTGAGCTAGACGCAAGATCTATAGGCACTAGAAGAATGATACTCGCTGGCAGACCGAGGGCGAAGAAAATAGGTACTGTCAAATATGCCGGAGTCGTTCGCAATGGTAGGTAATGGCGGAGGATCAGGAGCACCAGCAGGACAATCGTGAGCAATGCGCCTAACAAGAACACGATGGAACCCGCGGATGATGGTGCGTCTTTCATGGCTGTATCTTTGGGTCCGAACATCCCATTGGGTTTCGTGTGAGAATTGAAATTAAGAAGTTATCCAAAACTTGTAAATCCCATCTTTTCCATGTGTTGTTTGAGATTTCGTGTCCGGACTCTCACGGGGCTTTGTTATGTTGCGTCGCATTTGATGAGTGACGCAGCCGGTAGAGACGGCAGTGATTATTAAAAGCACCCCTAAATTTAATTAGCTCACTTCTTTCTATTTACAGTTCTCTCTTGATCCAATCATGTTCCCAATTCTACAACATATGAATGTGAGCCATTAATTGACTGGATTAATGACAATGCAGCATGATGACACACCAGAATATCTAATCGCTTTTATGAAATCACAAAGTTTCCATTCGAACGCTTGACAAATCCCGATTTTGAGGGTTGCGGATGCGGGAAAGATTCAGAATAATTTTAGATTGACTTTCAATAAAGAACCCGAAGTAAAACCTGGCTGTAGAAATATAGAAATTATAGGTGTAAACCATTTGGCTTGTATTTCTTCTAACTTCAATTCTTTTTATCAGGATCATTGACACAAATTTACCCTAAGACCTTAGACTCACAACAAAGTTGAACGACATCTAGTAAGTTCATCGTGTACGTTAATATAGAAATTCTATATACCGTGACATCCTTAGGAATTGGAACATGCAGGAGGCTTGTGTACGATTCTTGCTTGACACAGTCGACTAAGAAGTATTTAGACGATAACAAAGTCGTCGTAGGGCTATATTTTTTGAACTCGGACGGGACACATATGCAACTAGGAGATGCGAACAATAAACCTCGTGGCACGCACTAATAAATATCTCCAATCTTCTATTCATTCTGGCAGACCGTTACTTTCATAACACATAATAATCACCCCAGAGCTAATATGCAGCACTTGCTAGCTCTATTTTTGATCCTTTTACCCCGTCCATGCAATGCAATTCATCACCATCCACAAGTCATCGCTAAAGACATCCAATAGCTCAAGGAAATTTATAAGCCGACTAGCGCTGGATCGATGTGTTCTTCATCGATCAATCTCCGCATCTCAACCTCATCACGCCTCCATACTTGTGATCCAGAAGTATTCACAGGGGATGTATCACCAATCCAGAAATGGTCTTGCGGAGCAAATTGCTGGTCGAAGGATACTGTTGTTAAATCCGGACTCTGGGGAAAGGGGGGAAATGGTGGTGCAGGGTGTACGCTAAACATATGATTGTCGAGGTCATACTGTCGAATGAACCTATGATCGCAGCCCCGAGCAGGACAAGCCAGAGTCCGTCTTGGATCTGATGCTTGAACGTTTCCCACAAGTTGATCGATTATGTTCGCTGCATGCCTTCGACTTTTCCGTGTAGCTTGCGGTTTGGGTTTATATTCTAGCAATTGGTAACCAGAATCCGAATCAGATCCAGACTGGTCATCTGAAGCATAGGCGGAATTTGAATCGGAAGAGGCGTCGTAAGTGGCAGCAACACGATTGGCATTGAGCTCACTAGCAAGGCCCAGATGAGCAGTTCGAATATGATCCTCTAGATTGGCTTTCGAGGCAAGGGTCTTTCCGCAACCGTCCTTGGGATCAAATATAGATAATCCTCGGTTATAACTGACATCGAAAGTGCCGCAGACAAATCTCCGTCCTTCATGGGCCCCACGTATGTGAGAGGCAAGATTGGAAGATGTTGTAAATGATTTGTTACAACCACCACGTGGGCAGCCGTATATTCGTCGTTCCTCTATGCTCTTTCCAGAATGTTGACTATCGATATGGGCCTGCAATTCTCGCCGCCCTGAGAATTGCATGTCACAGAAAAGACAATCGGCATGCTCCTTTCGAATGTGATTCTGTAGTTGCAGATCGGTCGAAAAGCCAAGGTTCTTGGGAGTTCCGTCAGAATTGAAAGAGTTTGAATCAGCGCAAGATGTACAGACATATTTTGAAGGAGTATGTTCCTTTTCCACATGTTTGCGTAGACCAACGGCCCCATCATAGCCAGCACCGCACTGAATTTTTGTGACAGGATCGATGTGTGAACAAATATATGGGGCGAGCTTGAGGTGATCTGAACGAATATGGCGCTGGAGTGTTTGATGTTTGCGAAAGGCCTTGTTACAACCTGGATAATCGGAGCATCTGAATCTGTCGAATCCCTTGTGTGAATCGATATGTCTCCGGAGTCTCGTGCCAGTCAAAAAACTTTTACCACAACCTTCTCGGTCACAGACATAAGTCCGTTCAGTTTTGTGGGAACCCTTGATGTGCTGTTGTAGATGTTTCTCCTCATAATAAGCCTTTTCACAGTCCGGATATGGACATTTGCATGCGCGATCGTCCGTGTGTGTTCTGATATGAGCTTCCAGTCTGACTGGCCGATTGAAAGACTTGTCACAGCCTGGGAATGTACATTTTATGTTTTTTAATTCGGAGGGAAATTTCTTTCGTACGGGTGCTGGTGTGGAGGCGGGAGAAAAGGGTGTGAGAGGTGTTTCGGTTCCAATGCCCCCTTCAGACGAGTTATCATCTCCTACGTCGGACTTGTCTTCAGCTTCATTCTCGACATTATCTTCTTTTGGCGGGGTATGAACTGTAGTAGTGTTAAATTTAATCAACGAGCAATTAAATGGTACTAACCAGGAGCCTCGACACATAATTTCTTCGAAGGATCTTCAAACGGCTCATGAGCTTTCCTCTTATTAGCTCGTGTAGCCATTGAAAATGTAATTGTTAAGACATGGGGAATTGTTTACCGTCTGGAAATTTAGTAGTGGCTTTGCAAAATAATTTTGGTACGGGTAAACACCGGCTGATCCTGCCACGCTAGTTCTAGACCAAGCTCGAAATTCGAGCAAGGAGCGCGTCCAAATTTCTTTATCAGTCGCAAACAGCAGAACACCGCACCATTTTACTACAACGCTCCGTAAACCAGACTACATAAATTTCAAAACTCGAAAGCTTCTGATAAAATGTCTGACGACGAAGGTGGACATGGCGGTGGCGGGTAGGTGCAGAGTAAAGTTGAAGTAGGCGCATGTTAACCTGTGGAACAGCTTCTCCCCAGCCTATGACAATGACGAGCCCGCCGAATACGATATCGATGAACCTTTGGAGCCGTATGATCCTGATGAGGAAACTCATAACCCAGACGGTACGGCACTTGGGGAAGATCAAGAGAACTTTGAACAAAACAACATCGTTGAATCTGGAGATCCTTCAGCTGCGGCAAATAGAAGCAAAGCGAAGGACATAAAGGACAAGAAGATCTCCAAAGAAAACCGAACTACGACGCCATATATGACAAAATACGAGAGGGCCAGAATTTTAGGTACAAGGGCGTTGCAGATTAGGTGGGTTGAAGTGTATGCAAGGAGAAAAGACCTACGAATACTGACTGTTTCTTCAGTATGAATGCGCCCGTTTTGGTGGATCTAGAAGGAGAGACGGATCCTCTTCAAATTGCGATCAAAGAGATGAAAGAAAGAAAGATACCCCTGATCGTTCGGCGATACATGCCAGATGGATAGTAAGTCGAGTGCCGTCGTATCCAAATTAAGTAAGCTAATTGCTTCAGCTATGAGGATTGGACCTGCGAAGAATTGTTGCAGTAAAGAAGTGCTTGATTTGCGATTTACAACATAGCAAAGGTGCTGGTTAGGCGTAATAAAAGGCGTTTGGAAGGAAATGAATGGGCCACCAGTTTGTAAATCATACTTGAAGCTTCCCCAGCTTTTATTTTTGAATCTTACACGGTGTTGATCACAACGAGCTGAGAATCTGTTCGTGTTGAATTAATGATTAGGAGAATATCAAAACATCCCGAAAAGCAGTGCCAATGCCGTATCTTCTCCGATTTAGAGGGGATCTTCATCCCGAACAAGGATGCTCAATCCCGGTGGGGTAAAGTATGGAGGGGTATCAAAGCCTAAAACGTCACTATCTTAATAAATAAACAACATCCCCTCTCAACTCTAACGCCCAATATTCAATCCTCTCCCAAATTCAATTCCATCAATCTCCTCAATTCAACCCCTCAAAATGTCCTTCAAAACTACCGCCACAATCTCCTCATTTGGAGGTAAACTCCTCAAGTTAACCCACGAAGCAAAATCCACCTCCTGCACCATGGCTCTAAACCTCTATCTCCCCCCAACCACCCAAAAGAAGATCCCCGTCCTCTTCTATCTCGCAGGCCTAACATGCACCGGTGACAACGGCGCCGAAAAGGGATTCTTCCAATCCGCAGCTTCACAGAAGGGGATAGCTATCGTATTTCCTGATACCTCACCACGTATATCTCCCTCCCCAAACACATCATTCCTCGTATCCAACAAAACAGCTTGACTGATCAATCCCAGGCGGCCTAAAAATCGAAGGCGAAGACGAATCCTACGATTTCGGCAGCGGCGCCGGTTTCTACCTCGACGCAACCCGCGCCCCCTGGTCCTCCGGCTACAAGATGCAAACCTACATCACCAGCGAACTACCCAGCGCCCTCTACTCCGCGTTCCCAGAGCTCGATTCCAGCCGCGTATCCATAACAGGCCACTCGATGGGCGGTCACGGCGCCTTAACACTCTTCCTGAAGAACCCAGGCATGTACAAATCCGTCTCAGCATTCGCGCCGATCTGCAACCCGTCGAAGTGTCCGTGGGGCGAGAAGGCTTTTGGCGGGTATCTTGAGGGGAAGGAGGAGTGGGCGGGCCACGACGCGACGGAGTTGATTAAGGGGTGGAAGGGGGGGTTCGATGCGTTGATCGATGTGGGGACGGGCGATAATTTTTATAAGCAGGGACAGTTGTTGCCGGAGAATTTTAGGGATGCGTGTGTGGAGAGTGGGAAGAAGGGGTTGGTGATGAGGTTTCAGGATGTAAGTTCTTCTTTTCCGCGGGGGTAGGAGGGGAGATGGAGGGCTAATGAGTAATAGGGGTACGATCATTCGTATTTCTTTATTTCGTCGTTTGCGACGGATCATGTAAATCATGCTGCCAAGTATCTTTTCGCATAGTAAGTCTGCCCTCTCTCTATGTCCGAGTTGGTACCTCACGCTAACTTCTCCAGAAGCGATAAACCCAGCAAAGAGAAACTATAAAAATACCAAAGAACTAAATGCATCTTCTTGATCAAGAAACGAATGTGTCTGATTTATGTAAATATGTAAATATCCCACGAATCTATCTATAACCCCCTCCTCGCCGATAATAAGTGCTGGTAGTTTTGATCCTGTGAACAAAATATGCTCGCTCGCTGACATGCGGGTATCTCTATGCATTATTCCCTTTTTCCCTCAGTGCAATTCTTTATGCCGCTCAGCAAGCAACTAGAAGTAAATGCATCTCTCAAATCATGACTTCATAATTTCGTATCCTCCTCTTCATGCTGCTTCTCACGTCTTATCCTTCTCTGATTATGTCTGGCTGACGATATAGCAACTATCCTCTTCTCTTGCGTCAACTCGTCTTCCGAATCGACTTCTCGAGTTCTTTTGAGACCTCCACTTCCATAGTCTTTCAGCTAATTCTCCTATCCACCATCATTCCAGGTGGCAATTCCTCAAATCCATTCCGATCACCCATCTTAGATCTCATTTCAGCTTCCGCTTCCCGTTTAATCCTATAAAAAGCCAGTTTTTCAAATCGACTTAATGCTTTCCACCAGTGTCGTCCTGCTTCGTGTTCGCTGATACGTTCTAAAAGCTCGACAACTTTTATTCGTACCTCCTTCTCTTTGTGAAACAGACCTAGTGCTATGTAGAAGAGTCCTGCGTGTGATTCTGGTGCTACGGTGAGAAGTTGACAGATCTCGTCATACGAGCGTGTATATTTTGAAAGAGCCATGTAAATTTCTCGACTGGCTGCTGGAGTTAGTTTTGTCATGCGCAGGCGGTCATGTAAGTGGTGAAGATCGAGACTTTTGAGCGGTCTGAAGTTGTAGAGTTGGCCGAGGTCCTAGGAAAAAATCAGTGGCCGAACATAAACTGTCTAGTAGCAAACGCACCTGTTTGAAGCTGTAGTAACTTCTAGTGTTCCTCCAGCCTTCAATTCGACTCACGCCACCTGCCATCTCTTTCAGTCTCGATGCGTCGTCACTCCAAACATATCCGTGTCCACTAATGTTCACATTTCCTGGTTCAGCCTCTTCAACCCCAATATACAAAGCACTAGCTCCATACACACTTTCCTCAAAAGCCGCTGATATCCGTGTGAACTTTTCAACCCAATCTCGCCATTTCGTCCTAATCACACCTTCCCCATGGCGAGCAGCCATACTACGCAAAACATCATTCATAAACGCCTGATCTCCAGTTGGGTCCCCTGTAACTGTAATACTCGTCGAGGCTGCACTAGCGGCATTGGCGTAAGCCGGGTTCTGTTGCATGAAATTTGCCATGCCTTCAGTCAAAGGTGCAGGCTCTATCCTGTTACTGATCTTCATCCGGCCCGTTGGCAAATCACAAAGAACATCCCACCACTCGGGATGATTTTCAAATGTTGGATTTGTCACTCCCGCAATAAATCCCGGGACCTTTAGCAAGTCTTCAATCTTACTGAGATCAGTATATGGAAATGCATGTCGAGTAAAGCCACGAAGGATCCCCCCTGAAGCTAATGCACATGCTGCAAGTACCGCTTCGGCAACTTCGCCAGATGGCCTATTGTGACCAAGGAAGATGACGCGCTTCTGCGTCAACATAGCATTGACCAATACAATAATCGGGTGTGTATGCGCTCCACCCGTCGTCAGATGAGCATGAAGAGTGAAAGGTAGAGGCGATTTCGCATGTGGTTCAGCGAACGTCTGAATAAGCTTGATAAGTGAAAAGTCGCCAACCGTTTCAGGAGAAACAGCGACTGGGACTTTGATAGGTATTGGAATTCCGTTATACATGACTCTGGTTTCGAATTCATGAGTGTCTCGAGGGACTGAATATTGCGAATGTCCTTGGACGTGAGCTTTTGTACCATTTCGAGTAAGATCCATGCGATGCTCAGGACTCTCGCCTAAAGCTAGGACATCCTCTGGCGCTTCTCCTCTATCCTCTGCCATTCGCATTTGAATCATTTGTTCGAACTTTTCCACAAAAAGATCCTTGTTGTCGCTGGCCTGGAGAAGAATTCTTTCCAATAGCCCTAATCTCGGCATAAGCGAGAGATCCATGGTATTTACAGCATCGTAAAGCAACGCCAGCGTCGCAGGGTGTGGAGATTTAAAATACTCTTCAAGAGCTAGTAACAGTAAAGGCTGCCAACGTCAGCTCGGGTCAAAGTCAATCAATTGCATATACAAACCTTGTATATATGCAGAAAAGGATGCCGTGTACATATAGCCATAGCTTTGACTACTGCTCCTCTTTTTGCAGTCTTGTCTTGCTTTGTGTTCACCAGATTCAGCACATATATCAGTGGAGGTCCCTCTCCCCCTTCAGGTTCACTGTCGTCCGAGTCTTCAGATGATGAGTCCCCATCCATTTCAGCTTCTTCAGCATCGTTTTCCTCGTCTGGGTCATCTGGACCCAATAACCCAGCAGCGCGATCTTTCCTCCTCTGTCTCCTCTGGCGCAATTCCTCCTTCAATTCTGCCTCTTCCTCTTCCTGGCTGGTATCTTTGTGCAAGAAAAAAATGGTCCAGTCCTGGTTCCGTACGTGCGCCTGATCCGGCAACATCAATTCTGCCAGCATATGCTCGTCTCCTGTGATAGCTACTGGGTACTGATGTTCCATGATCGGTCCCTTGTCAATGTCGAAAGACGCAACCAGTATGTATTCCACATGGTTTTCCACGTCTCCGCGAGGGTACTGCGACCGCAATTTTCTCCGAGGGTGGGCATCTGGATTATATTTTCGCGGGGCCGATAAGGACGAATGCTGGGACGAGATACCGCTGGACGTGGTTTTCGAGGTCGAGCTCGGGTCGGATGTGCGATTCGTCGCTATCATGGGCGGATTGGGTGACCTCGAAGGTCTTCTCGAATGCCGCGACATGGTGGAGGGAGATCTCGAGGAGGGAAAGGAGGAGAGGGAGGTTCTGCGAGCTGCGGAGGCACCACCACTGCCATTTGAACTCCACGTCCCGTTGTTGGCGTGGAAATTGGTGGAGGTGGCTGCACTCTCGGTATTGGTAATTCCAGCATTTCCCCCTCTTGTGGTAGGACGTTGCATTGCTTGTGCTTGCAGTGCCTGTTTGGTCGCTCTGGTCTTATGATAGATCGGCGAGTAAGGTAAACTCGAGGCCATTGCTCGCTCGGTCGCTCGACCATGCAGAGCAGCGCAGTCGACGAGCCGGCTCGTGTCAAGGGGCTGGAACGTGCTCCACCTGCTCGAATAAGTCTACTGGGCGACGATAGGGCTCACTTTGAGACCCGTGCGTCAAGGGGTCTCGGTAGACACTTTGGCTGGTGGGGGACATATAGGGGTCGTCAATCTGATATATATAGTGGAGGGACAGGAGGGACACGACGGACAGCTTCGAAATGCAGTGATGAAGATTGCAAATTCGTGGGGTGACGGTGGAGGTGTCTCATGGTGTGAGATGCACCTAGGAGACTTTTGGCGCTGACCGGCTGGCTAATGCATCTCTTGAACTCTCAGGGGGTAAATGACGGCGGCGGCGTGTTGGGGGTGCTGATTCGCTAAGGGGGGTGATGGACGATGGAAGCTTTGGGGGAAATAGCCATCTTTGACATCTCAGCTAATGTTCCACGACATCTGCCACCTGTCACAATGTTTCGAGAAACACAAGATTGATGATGGTTGGGAAATAATTGGTCCGGAGGTGGTACAGGTTCGATTCTTTCCGAGAGAACGCATGGCAATATAGAGAGGGGGTAGGTGTATACTCAAGCAGAGCTGAATTCCTGGTAGGGTCAGAGTTTCATGTTTGACAAATTATAGTTGGGACATTGTTTCAATACATATCATATTTAGTCCCGAGCTCTCTGAATTTATACGAGTGTCGCGTGCTCAGGAGTGGCATTCATGAAAACCATCCAGGGATATCTCGCTGATGAGAATCAAGTCGTAGTAACACGAACTTTATATACAATTTATTCTCGTACGAGACTTGCAGCTATACAGGAATTCAAGAAAATTCGACCGGCTCACAATTACCATGAAGCCACAGAAATTGCAGCAACTTGTCTAAGATAGAACCACCTACCAGTGATAATTCAAATGAAATGGGTGAGTAGTCAATTCCAGTCCTCTATTGATACGCATCTCGATGGCCGAAAGAAGCAGCCAGCGGCTAGTAGGCCAGGTCCAATGGACCCCAATATCCAAAATGGTGATTCGAAGCCAGAGTCTGGGTGGAGGTTGGTCAGCTGACTTGATATCTTATCCCACGCGGGTATACCTCGGGAACGCGTCTTGTTTACTTTGGCTATTTACTTTTGATACCAAGACGACCAGCTATCGCAAGAACACCACCTAAGAACCCAGATACAAAATCGTTACATCTACCAGAAGTTCCTCCATATCGTTTCCCCATCGAGAACAATTGACCAAATCCCGCCTCAAACCATCTATCACCCACCACACCCAAACCCCCGTAACCATGGTAAATCACCCATCGCAACTTCTTTCTCCACCACACTAGCATCCAATCTCTAACACTCAAACAGTCAATTTCAACACCCTACAAACCCTCCCCCTCTCCTACAACTCCCCCGAGCCTCCCCCTTCCGCCGTCCAGAATCCCCCGCCTCGCCCTCCCCCCTCCGACAATCCACCCCAAACCCATCACCTACAAAGATGTCATCTACCACCATCACCACGCCCTCACGCTTTGCACAGGCCTCTACACCCGCCGAGAGTTCCCAAGAGTGGACGCCACGGGGCCTCTCGCGCTTTGCGGCTAACTCGACGCCCGAGGGTGATGGGACGCCGAAGACGCAGCGGAGAGAAAGAGAGAGTTCGCCTACGCCCGTGAGAGGGACGCAGAGTCCCGGATTTGGAGGCATGTTGACGGGGAGAACGGTCGTGGATTCGAGTAGTGCGCTTTCGAAGTTGCAACCTGCGCAGGTAAGGGAGCTGAGGGAGGGGTTTCAGATTCTGGATCGTGATAGTGATGGGTTAGTTGGGAGGGAGGATGTTGCTGATATGTTGACACAACTTGGTATGTCCCCTTTTCATTCCCGTTAAATTCTGCTAAAGTTTTATGTCTAGGCCTCCCATCTACACAAGCTGATCTAACATCATTCTTCCCGCCTTCATCACCCCAGACGCTCACGCTCCCCGCTTTCCTCTCATCAATAGCGACACTCCTAGCTTCCCTCTCGCCGTCCGCGGAAATGCTAAGTGCATTCTCAGCCTTTGACGAAGACGATAGTGGACAGATTGATGTGAAAGAGTTGAGGGATGCGCTGTTGCATACAGCACCAGACCCAGGGGAGAAGGCGTTGACAGAGAGAGAGGTGGATCGGGTGATGAGTGGGTTCATGGGACGTAGGGCGTTTGGGAAGATGGGTGGGGGAATGGGTATGGGGAAGAGAGGAGAGGTGTTCAGGTATCAGGAATTTGTGAGTGGTTTGGCTGGGGGCTCGGCGGAGGAGAAAGAGAGAGATGAGTAGGAGGATACGAATCTATTAGTGGGACTATTGGTTCGTGGGTTAATGAGTTTTGATATTTTTTAGGAGTGTGGTATAAAGGGCGCATTGGATGGCGTATGGAATTGTATAAATTTATCAGTGTGTTACAAGACTGACGAGCCAGACGCTGAAGTCAAAAAGTTGATATATTTAACCTGTGTACTAGATTTATCCGAGGAAGTCTACTCATTATCTTTTTAAATATGTTATGAGTGTTACGATCTGATCTCGTACTATTTTTTTCTTCTGACATTCTCAAAACCTCCCCTAACGCCTCCATTCTTCTCTCCCGTTCCCCTTAACTGGCATTTTCATTTTCCATCCCTAACTCCCTCAAGATTTCCTCGCCAAATATCTCGGATTCCTTCGACTTTCGCCCTCGCCATGACCCTATCACTGTGTTCTAATGCTCTCTCCACAATCTCGATCCATATCAAGCATCTGTCCTCATCGCCGTTCATTTCCAAAACCTCACTCGTTTCTCGAACATTCCCTATATACGCGCTCAGCGCATTCTAAATTCCTCATTTCGATCACATCTCTAGCCATGGTTTTCTCAATCCGCCCAACAAACTCCCACAGGTCGAAACAGTCACTTTGTCAACCACTCTAGCGTAAGTAAATTCTCCCCCGTTTTTCCCTATATCCATTGATAAAGCATATACGATTCCTTCGCGTGCTCGATATGTTGGAGCGGAGATGAGAGTGTGGATAAACAAGTGCAGTAATTACATAATTCTTTCGACTTGTGTTGTCAATCGCGCGTGGCTTTTTGTACCAAATTAAGTTACTTTCCTCGATGCTAACTTATTGTCGTTAACACAAGGTAGCTCGTGGTGGATACTGTGAAAAGTAGTTAGCTCCTGGTGAGTACTTAACCTTGACACCACATCGTAAATCCCATCCAAAAATCTCATCAAACAAGACATGTATAAAACCTTACAACTCAACAAAACATCTACCATCCTCTAGGTCTTTTTTAACATCGATCATGTTTTCACTCACCTACCATACATCCCATCTCCACTAAACCCGGAATTTCTCGAGGTTCTGCCTATCTCGCTTAGGCTGTCGTCTCCCCTATTCGCTATCGGCTATTCGAACTTTCTGCTAAGTTAACAAGATATCTTCTGTATCGTTAATGGCAGTCAGTAAAGACCAAAAATCTTAGGTCCGAGGTACTGTAGTATCCATTAGCACTAAAAGGGAAGTATAGCTTGTAACGTAATAGCATAGCCGAAAGCTACTACTTACTTATCTTGTATACTACAAACACCCTACTTGAGAAAAAAGTCAACATCGTTACTTCACCATCGGGTCTTCTAACACATGCATAAACAACCCAATTGAAAGCGGACAAATCCATTTTCATTAGTGCCCTCAAAATACGCTACCTATAATCTCCCATCAAGATCTCTACTCCACAATATGCAACTCGAATACCCGAACAAAACCAAACCAAACCAAATTTCCACAACCCAAGACACCAGATAAGCCCCTCCCGAGAAACAGAACGCCATTTCAAATGCCCAATGCAATTCCCGTCCCAAAATGCTTCCCCGTCCATGCGAATTTCAAAAAGAGGATCTTTGTTTCTCAGACACCCCGACCAAGATTTTGGATACTCATACAAGACTTTTCCCAAACTCTGACATATCAAGACACTTCTCTCAACATCAACAAATCTCTCGCAGCATTCCCCTTAACAGCACTACTCGTCAGATCAAACTCCGCACTCGGACTACCCAGATTAGGTGGATTAAGCATACTCTGTCGTTGGCGAGGGAGAACCGGGGTATTATATCCTTCTCTGGGGATAGTGTTTTCTTTGCGGGGTGAGTGGATGGTTTGAGGATCTGTTTCGTATTCTGGTGGTGATGAGGAGGGGACTGATGGTTGGGCTTCTGAGATGGGTCTTGACGTCTGGAGCTGTCGTGGAGCTGTGGTGATAGATGTTATAGGTTGAGGGACTTGCATTGGTCGATTGGCGTGAGGGGATGAAGGTGTTGATCTGACCTCGAGTCGAGACATGGGGACGTCTATTTGATTTGTTTGTACTTTGTACGCGGCGAGTTGTAAGCGGAGTCTCATTTTTTGGATCTTCTGTAATATTGTTAGAGAAGCAATGCTCGATTTGACATAACCAACATACCTCACGCGCTTCTTCTTTCGTCGGCGTTCTTCTCGAAGAATTATTTGGTACCGTCAAGACGGCGGCACCAGTGGTAGGCGAATGATCCGGTTCAGTGAAGTTTGTTTGCTGGGTATTATCAAATTCTCCTTGACTGGAGCCATATAATGATATTGGTGAGGCAGCGGCCGATGGAGAGCGACTAATAACATCTTGATCGTCCTGCAGCTAGGTTAGCCCATCGCTACAACTTCGTGGCTCTTCCTTATCCACTTACTCGAATGTTTCCATCAAAAACATCTCTACTAAGTCTTCCATCATATTGCTGATACGTGTCCAGTCTCTCGAGCTGATCGTCATTCTCATAGCGCAATGCTCCACCATGTGATCCCTTATGCTTCTTTGCTTCTTGAGACATATCTCGCGTACTTTCAAGTAAGTCGTGAGCCCTCTTTCCGCCCCACGGAGTTTGTGTAGGAATTGTCGATTGGGTTTCTAATGGAGATACGCCCTTCAATGTCGATACTTCTTCCGTCTGTCTGGCCGGCTTCGTAGACAAGCTGGTATAGGTGCTCTTGGCCATGTTAAGAGATGTAGTGGGGGTGATGGCCGAGTTAACATCTAAAGGGCCTAAAGCCCGACGAAGTGGAGTGGTGATTGACGAAGACATTTTGGGTGAAAGCGAAATTGTCACTTTCTTTGTAAGTCGTATCGAGGAAAGAGCGATTGTCAGTTGTGTTGACCCCGAGGCTAGAAAGCGCGTTGTTTGGTGATGTCTTGAGTCGCGTTAGTACTTGGTAATAAATAAATAAACGTCGGCAGCGGGTTCCTGCAGGAACTATGCAGATGACTTACTTTTGCTGTGTTGTAGCTTGAAGATGATGACAAGAAGAGAGAGTATCTATTCAGAAAACAAAAGTCTACCAAAGAAAAGTATCCGGCGGAAGCGTGTCTCTTTAAGGGAAGACCAAATTGTTATGCAAGTCGCGTTGAGTAGCAAGCATCGCGTCGTATAATCGATAACAGGGGACGGCAACAGCCGCAAGGACCCTGAAACTCCAGTTTTCTCGTGACTCCCAGCCACTTTGCCCCGCTAAGACCACCCCACTTCAAGACATTTGAGCATCGCGGAGGACAAAATAAGTGGCAATTAAAATACAATACCGTCTTAAAACAACTGACGGAATATCGTATACATAGCGAATCAACTTGACACACCTCGCATATACCTCTCAATCATTTCAAGTAAATGACACCTTCTGAAGCTCTGTTCGAGATCAACTTGTCCCGTCCAAAAATATCCTCTATTAGCTCGAGTTAAAGTGACACTTACGCAGTATCGACAAGGGAAAGGGTGTGGAGAGACACTATACTACACATATCTCTTTCACAGTATACACTATATATGTCTCGAGAAATTTCTTGTAAAAAGAACATTCGCTGCCTGCTTAGGTGGTACTCACCGTCAACTCATTTCTCAATTAATAAACCTCGTCGCCGGAACGTCACCACAAATTAAAATATGCAATAAACAGAAACCTTGTAGTAGAACAATAATATTGTATAATCCTCAACTATTCCCATTTCATACACAAATGCGTTTAATTTCATAATATACACAGTATGCTGTGTTATTCAGGAACGCCTCGCTAAAAGAAACCCCCCAAAATAGATCCAAATCCAAATCTCAAGCAAGTTCCCAACCCGGAATTACCAACCCACAAAACGGTTGTAAGCTTGATTCCAAAAAAACGCCCTTTCATGCTTTTTCCAAGTGGTATATCTCGCCAGCTTCCCCTCCTAATGCCATGAAAGCCACCTTGTCTTTTCCGTCCGAAAGAAACGCCAAAATTGCCGAAAAATGAAAATAGTAACATGACTTGGCCTAGTCGGCGTTCATCGAATAATAAGATGTATCGAAAGAAAATGGCTTATCGAAAGCTGAAGGGTCGACTACATCATCCCAAGAAAGGTTGAGCGGTGCTTGCGGATCGTCAAACATCATTGCGTCAACGTCCTTACTAGCACCAAAATTATCCATATCAAAGAGCATGTTCGCATCGCTCGAACCAAATGGTTCCCAACTGTTGTCTCCGAATAGATCGAGACTAATATCTAACCCAACACCTTCCGAGATATCGCTATTAGGCTCCGAAACGCCAGAATCCTTGCTTGATTCAGGAGTATCATTTGGAGTGATAGAACGATAGACATTCATGTCTGAGATCGCACCTCCGGCTCCACTCTCGAATGGCTGAAAGGCTTGGAAGAGATCGTTAGGGTCAATCGTTGCGTTGGCCCAAGGATCCTCAATGACAGGCTCCGGTACTGGTGCCGTCTGCTTTGCCTCATTGCTGGCTCCATCTTTCAGAGGGGTCCCTTTAGCTGGAGTCGCTGGTCGAGCACCAGCGCCACTCGGTTGACGATTCATAGAAGCCTGTCGATGCATAGGAGTTGAAGAGGCCGGCGTGTTTCCGGCTTTCATCGTAGGGGTCTGTCCTTGTTTCGATACGCTTTGGGCCATCTTCGCAGCTGTGGGTGGCTGCGTGGAACTTTGCTTCGCAGCGACTTGGTGTTGCTGGCGACCTTGGTTATCCAAACCCAGCGAGGATGCCAGATTCTGTTGCGCGTACTGCAATGGATTAGACAATGGCTTAATGTGTTCTTCCTGCGTATGTTGCCGGAGTGCTTCTTCGTTATCGAACCCAACATTGTGCCTTTCACATTCAGGCTCCGAACAACACAAAGAAGGCTTCGCTTGAAGTTTTGACTCGGATATCTGACGTTTCATATCTGGCGAGATAGGGGTCTTTGATACTTGCGGCGAGGCATTGGCAGAGCTATTTTGACCAGGAGCATTGCTGTTTGGCCTTTGCTTCTTGTTCTTGTGAGCTGGCAGCTGGAGGTTTTCTTGCGTCAAGTTGTTCTTAAGAGCATAGGAACGATCATAGGCAGGAACCCCATCAGGCGGAGACTTTGCGCTACCAAATTGGTATGGAGCGTGGGTTTGTGTTGGCGCGGCAGGCACGTTTGATCGACTCCCACTTCTGTGATGCATCTTGTTTAATTGCTGTTGCTGCTCTTGAAGGTTTGCCGCATTCAGTGGAACTGTCGATGGAGCCGTGGACAAAGCTTGCGCAGCGTTGTTCGGTGCAGTTGACTGTGAAGTTGGTGCAGGCTGAGGAACTGTGGCGAGAGATTTTTTCATGGTCGGGTGTCGTTGACTCAAATCATTTACAATGTCATTTAGAAACATCCGTGCATTTTCTATATCTTTGAGAGAAATCGAGAGACTATCCTTCATCTGGGACATTTGTGGGTCTTGAAATTGTCTGGCAATTTTGCTTTTCTACGATTCATTAGTATCTCATCATAAGAAAATCTCAATTACTACTTACTAATGCGTAAAAAGTTCTTGCCCGCTTTTCGTCCTGCGATATCATATAATAGCGAGGCATGGCTCTCGACATGTTCATCAGTGGGGTGAGGATTTCCTTCAGCATTGTCTGAACAGAAGCCTTGGTATCGGCGTTCATTGGAACGGGGACAAACTGCGTGTTGTCCGACTTTTCTTGCTCGTCGCTTGCAAAAGCTTTGATCTTTTGCTCAGCTCGCGCAAGACGGACGCCGAGGTCGTGTTTCTTTCGAGCTTCTGGGTCCAATGCAGCGACTTGTTGTGGGGTTAGATTCAAACTTGGACGGCCTGGAGGAACAACTGGTTTCTGGCCTTGGTTCTGCTGTGCGTTGCCCGCTTGGTTCTGCAGGGTTTGCTGGTTCTGTTGGGCCGCGTGAGCCTGTTGGACAGGCTGCCGTGAAGGTTGAGAAATGTTAGGATTTGGGACCTCAATAACATCGTCACTTTGGCTTCGTTTCAGACTCTTTGATGGCTGAGCGGGGGAAGAGTTCTGTGGGCCGTTTTGAGTAGAATTGGCTGCGGGTCGGGCGTTGCGGTTGGCATTTTGGAGATTATTGTTAGCAGCATTGGGAGTATTCACATTCGGTGGCATCTGCTTAGGTTGATTAGGCTGGGCAGGTGGCTGAACTGCGGGTCTTGCGTTTGCCATCTGAGGCTGCTGGCCAGACCGGCCTTGCTGCATGTTCAACTGTGGCATTTGATTCTGCATTTGCATATTTTGCATCATTTGCTGTCGGTGCCTCTGTTGTTGCATAAGGAACTGACGAATCTGGTCATCCGTCGCGGCAGCCATTCTACCACTTGGATGCTGTCGCGCATTTTGAATTTCTTGTTGCGTAGGCTGGCGAATTTGGCCAAGTCCGGCCATATTCATGCCAGGTGGTTGTTGCATCGCGTTTTGTGTCATAGGGGCAACTGGAGCAGACATTGGCATACCTGGCATCCCAGCTTGCCCTCCTTGGATACCAGGTTGCATCCCACCCGCTTGACCTGCCTGAACCGTACTGTTCCTCCCCCGTACCATCGCCTGCCAGTGAATTCTCTGTAATTGTCTAAGAGTCTCTGGTACTTCAGGTGCTATACTGTTCTGGTTTTGCTGAACCCAAACTTTCAGGGGACCCCATTTTTTAATCTCTGGCGGTACACCTTGGGGGAAGCTACCATGGTTATGAAGGTTGCTTGGAAAATCCACTCCATCCATCGTTCTGACAATATTTTGCTCCATGTGCGGGGGTAAGGGTTGACGCTGCTGTGGATTTTGCTGTAGGCGAGCTATTTGTTCTTGGAGCGCTATCTGCTGCTGTGGTGTCATATTGGAACCATTCAACTGAGCTGGTCGCTGGCCAGGCATGCCAAATTGATTTCCCTGAGGGACTTGCATACCAGGTTGGATTTGGTTGTTGCCCTGTTGCATCTGCGGTCGCTGTGGATTCGCAGAGTTCATGGCTCTCTGCTCGTTCAGCTTCATCAAAACCTCTTGCAACTTGTCAGGGGGTAGCTGTCCCACTTTTTGCTGCTGTTCCCGAGACATACTAGCCATCAATTGCTGCGGATTGAAGCCAGCATTCATGCCGGCGCCTGGGCCCATGAGTCCTCGATTATTAGCTTGAGCGAACCGAGGGTCTAACTGCTGTCCAAAGTGTGAATTTGGATTGACCTGGGGAGAGTCCTGATGGCCCATTTGGGACGGTGTCCTTAATGGGGCGTTCAATGTTGGTAAGGCTGGGCTCTGCTGCGGAGGCATTGGTCCATTGCCCATGCCGCCTGGCTGACCCTGAAGGCCCATCTTCTGCGCATTCATCCTGGCCTGTATTTGAGCCTGATGTGTCTGCTGTTGAGCCAATCTTTGTTGTTGCTGAAGTTGCTGATTGTTGCGGATCTGCTGTTGTTGAGCCGCATTCATCTGATTTGGTACTCCCTGCTGTCCATTCATGCCCATGTTCAGCTGTTGTCCTGACATGGCTCCGGGCTGGGGTGTGCCGTTTCTCTGGGCCGCGTTCGCCGGTACCACAACTTGCCCGGCTTCCGCTGCCATCGCGGCCTGTTTCTGTTGAGCGGCAAGATTATCCATGTTGTTCAAAAAGTTGAAATCGCTGTTGGTACCCATGCCGGCAGCTAGTTGGGACTGCCCGTTTAACGGACTTGGATTCATGGACCTCTGTTGCTGCATTGGCGCTCCGTTCGGTAAACCTTGAGCCTGCTGTGACATGGCAAGTTGTTGCTGAGCTTGTTGTATCCGTAACTGTTTGTCGTTGCGGAGTCTCTGAAGGGCTTGCTGACGGAAATACATAATCAACGGGTCTTGCCCTCGCATCTGAAGATCCTGTAGTACTTGTGGAGTCATGCTTTCAAGGAGTCTGTTCTTGAGAGCAACTCGCTCCTCCATGGAGGTCTGATTCAGTAATCGGTTCGCTAATTCCATTAGTAGGGCTGAATCCGGCTGATTGAAATTATTCTGGCCATTGAGCGGTCGGCCCATACCATTCTGCTGCTGCTGTTGTGCTTGCTGCATAGCCATCTGAAATTGCTGCTGTTGATGATTCTGGCCCATATTCAGAGGAAGTGAATCATTTCCCATTCCCATTCCCATCTGGGGATGTGGTTGTTGTCCAGGGAGAGGCGTCGCTTGCATTTGATGCTGCAGATGTTGAAAACCTTGCTGGGAGGGCTGTTGGCCCATCGCTCTCGACTGTTGGCCGTGCATGCCGTTTTGCATCATCATCTGAGCTTGTTGGTTCTGGGCTGCTTGCGCTTGTGCCTGCTGATTGATGCTATGTTGAAGAGAAGTCTGGTTCTGATTTCGTCGTTCGAGCAATTGCTGCAGCTTCTCGTCGAGAGCACGCTTGTAGGCAGCCTTGTAACATTAGTATATGAAATCCGCTTGGTGGGGTGATGTATACCTTGTCTATGGATCTGTCAAAAATCTCCTTTTCAAATTTTATTCCGATTTGCATCATTTGACCCGGGCCCGGGGCAGTCGCTTGTCCCGCACTTGCAAGTCTAAGACTTGAAACACTATGTAAACGTCAGGTCCTTTACAGTATATTCTATGTTGGTCGACACCTACAGGTTGTAAATTAACCCCACACGCTCGCTCATTGCAACCTGACTTTGCCATCCAGACAGAGGCCCGGTCTGCGTTGAAAGGTTCTGAAAAATCATGGCGTGCATTTGTTGCTGAGTTGGCTGAGGACCGCCCGCTCGCTGTTGCTGCTGCTGGCGCTGTTGCTGTTGTATATGTGCCTGTTGCTGCATCTGCATCGCCTGGTTAGGCCCGCCCATATTGTGAGGGGGGAACCCCGTCGAATCCATCTTGCGGACAAATGTGGCCGCGCCACGTCCCTACCAAAAGGGTATCCGATTCGGCTGCTAGGTATAGGTCCACGACCCGACCGCTATGAACAACCAACAGTGACTGGGACCAACGGTTTGCTGGTACGGTGGAAAGATGTCGAGGAATGACTGCAGTGCCGTCCGCCGCGGAGGAGGAAATGGAGCTCGTACTATGTTGTTGACAAAAGGCGGCCAGCCGTGTGGTGGGCTGCACGTTGCCTTGAAATGATCCGCTACCTCCACATGAAGCTAGACCGTGTGTTGCGCGAGATGGTGGTGATGAGGGATATGCTCTCGTTTGCGACGCTTTCCAAAATGATCGAATGGTCGAGGGAAGGAGTCTGGTGTTTGCGTCGGGGAAGGATGAGGCTTAACGGTAGGCAGAGAGGGTGTGGGATGAGGACTGCGAGCGCCTACGAGGACCACCAACATTCAAGGTGAGCGGAATGACAAAGGTGTATCGACGACGCAGCGGTGAATGTCGAGGGTTTTCGGGTTCGGAGGTTTGCAGAATGCTATCGTCGAACAAGTAGAATCAATACAAGGCGGTTCGGTCGAGGTCAGGATTGAGAGTGCAAGGGACTGTCAAAGCGTGGTGAAGTCTCAAACGGCAGGGTGTGTCGCAAAGCAGCCGGCGATTCTGGAGGACTGACGATTCCAGACGAACTTCCGGGTCGGGGGAGGGCTGCGATGAGGATGGATGCGATGACTGTGCTCTGCACGCGAGGATAGAATATGGAGGAGCAAGTAATGGCCGTCGTCGTCGTCGTCGTCGGGGCAGCTCGTCTCTGCGGAAAATGGTGTGACAAGAGAGGGTTTGGGTCTGGTGGTGAGGTGTAGAACGAGAGTGTGAAGTGTCGGGATTCGCAGCAGACCAGCAGGTGTGGGCACTGGCGAGTGGGACCAAAAGGGAAGCGCCTTTGGCCCTTGGGAGTGCTTGGGATGCTGAGGGCCCACCAAAATAGCGCCCCCCGTCCGCCTCACGCGCGATCATTGGCTGAAAAAGATATCGGCTGTGCTGTGTTCGCTGGTTGCTGGCTCCCTTCCTGACAAGAATACATTTCCTTTTCTGCTTGGAGCATTCACTATGTAGGAGTTGGCTCAAGTAAGCCGTTGCAGTGCACGACAAGTGTCTGGGTAGATTCTACATTATTGACTCTCATAACTCTCATAGATTCACGGACAGGGCCAGAGTCACAAGCGGGCAGCATTTGGCTTCTACTAGTTGCCTTTAGTCACGGTAGTCGCGCTGTTAGTGCAAGCAACAAACCCCATCCGCAGCCACAGGTACAGTAGAAAGGACAGCAGGGACGCTAGACAGGAACCAAGTGCAGACGAGGGGTGCCAGGGAGGGGGAGGGAGAGTAGTAGGAGGGTCGCGGATGAAGGAGGGGACGATCATTGCAGCCTGAGCGAGGTGGTGGAGGGTCACCGAGTGAATGAGTGAATAAGTGAGTAAATCATACGGAGCGAGTGGATGGAGAGACGAGCAGAGTAGTTGTGCTGAGCAAGTCGTAATTCATGAGCGAGCGAGTAGCTGCTTCTCCCACCCCGTAGACGGTGACCCTTTTGCTGCTGAAGCCCATCAATCGCCCTCAGCTTGTGTCAGACCTCAAACCCGCACACCTCAGGACTCGAGATACTTTCGAATCCGCCAAGGTGCAAAGAGTGAGGCATCCACGGATTCTGGTCGCCCCTGCAGGCTCGTCAGTCACCCAGTCACCGGGCTTGATTGGGTATAGCCACTGCTGGTGCCAGCAAGATGGCTCGTCGCTGAGCGCAAATAACATCTACCCATTCGGTCTCGCGGCCGTGGTCTTTTGCCACAGCCTGATGATCAGAAGAAGCAAGAAGCACCTGGGCAGTCAGAGAAATCGGGGCGTTGAGGGTGATGCGGTGGAGCTCAATACAATACACCAAGGGCTCATCTCATGTGTGGAGGGCAACGGGCACGAAGGAAGAGAGCGAAAACACCAATATCTCTGGAGGAAGGAGTCGATCCTCTTTGGGTTATCCTCGCAGAAGCGGTTTCGCATCTACTCAACTCTTTGCCATAGCGGTATCATTCACCCTCGCGGTGACTTGGATTACACTTACTCGCTACACATGGTTCTGGGGACGCTCTTGTCTTGTTGCATGCTAAAGAGAGTCACATAATCTTTTGCTTACTCAAAATAGTAGACGAGATACACAATATTTCACCAATTGTATCGAATAATTATCGTGTTTGGATTGCCACTGATCTTATCCATTGCGAGGACCCGTAAAAGGATGACTCGCTACTCGTACCAGAAGACATATGATATGCTTGCAAGTTAATAACTGCGCAAAAGAAGCTTAAATTGTCACAACCAGCTCACTGGAGAGAATCATCTTGGATAACTCCACCACAACTTGTGACTTCACCGTTCTTCGGTTACAGCCAGTTGTGCAGTGGCACGCGCCCATCTCCGGCGTTCTTCATCTGCAGCGGTGACTTGCTGAAGTGTCACGAAGTCTGAAGTCTTGAGGAGATATCGGGATCATCAATAGAAGAAGTGGTGGTGTTCGCAATTTCCTGTCCCACGAGCCGCTCTCTCGCTCGTTTTGATTTGCCTCCCAGGAAATCAATCCGACAATCATTTAGCCCCTGCACCCGCTGAATGATCGCCGCCACCACTTGTCAAAATGTACCCAGTACCGTACCGATGAAGTCAATCTCACTGCAGTTGCAGCCAGAGGAATGACTAGAAAAGGCAGCGCTCCAGGAAGGTCGCTCAGCTATCGATTGATTAAATTTCCCATGGCCGTGAGCGCATATCCTCAGTGAAGCAGAGTAATTAGAATCCTTTCACCTTCTCTCCAAGTAAAGCAACTTGTCGGCAGAAGCGGGGAGCATATGCAATTGACCACGCCGCCATTCGCTCGCAGGCGGGTCGCAAAGTCGAGATACCAAGACACTTGATGGTAATGATATCAGCACTTGACTTGGTACAAGAGATAGAGAAGAGCAGCATCGTACAAGATGAGATGCTCGCGAATAGAAATCATACCCTCAATCTCTGCGCTGCACAAGAATCGTCATAATGTGCTGGAGTCTCGTGCGGTTGGTGATTTCGGAACTTCCCTCCTTCCAATGCTTGGTCGAATGTTTGCTTCCCGATCACAACTTCGCCGGAAGAATGGTTGGCAGGATCTGTGAGGCTTTGAAAAGAGAGTACTTTTAGAAGTACCTCGAAAGCAAATATCTTCATAGTTCTCATCAATGAACTCCATTCAGCTTGCTTTCTTATCTCCTTTCCTACAAACAAATTCCTCGATCGAGCCATTTGTAGCGAAGCTTTGTGCAGGGACCAGAACAGGGCAAATGCAGGGCCAGAGTTAGCTCCCGGGCAGGGCTGTTTACTACCGAAGATGGTTTGTTGGACATCAAGGCATCTCTCGACGTCGTACAAATGCCCGAGGAACAAGACACTTTGTCCACCTGTCGCTAGCCATGCCATTGAATCGAAAGAAAGAACCGCGCTTGAACAATAACCAAAGCTGGTGCAGAATGCGAGGTAGAGGAATAGGTTTGCTGCAGAAAACTAACCTTGGCGGCGTTCACGCACTGACCCGTAGTGGATTTTGGGTGGAAAGCCAATCTGGCGATCAATCGACCTGGACTCGATGCAGTCGGTCACGTGCTGGCGAACTAAGATTGTCCAGATCACGTTGGCTCGATCAACAACCCTACTACGCTTTCAAAATCTCCTTGTCTACCACCATCACAACGTCCAAAGAAACTTCACACAGCACTTTAAAGTAGCTGATCTCCTAACTACCAACCTACCTAGGTACTCACCGTCGGGTACACACTTCTCGCTTGCGCCATCACGGAAAATAGTTCGGTCATCTTCCGGTTCCTGGTGTAGATGAGACGAGACGAGTTTTGAACAATGATCTTCCCTTACCCTTGGCATAGTGCGTCGTAACCACACGAGCTCAACAAAAAATATTTGCGACGAAAAGGATCAGCTTGAATACACCCTCTCGTATTAACTCAAACTCGACCCCTTCTTCAATTACTCCCACCGTTCGCCACGGCCTTCAAAGCACATTGACTTGACTCCTTCGTAGTCTGCCTGTGCTCCCGTTCAGCGTCGTATTGTTGACCGGCTGTTGGCAATTACGAACGCGCATACCTACTGTGTCATCCAACACTTGCATTCAGCTTCCGAGGCTCTGACTTCCCCAGATTTTCAGAGTACTTCAAACAGGGCACTTGGTCAGCCCTGGAACGGAGACGAGGCGATCTTCTTGCTTTGATACAGGATCGATATTCCTCCGCGCCACGACTCATTCTCCTCCAGCTTAATCGAGTCTTTTCGGAGCAACATCAGACGGAGCAAATTTCGTTTTCCAGCATAATTTTCTGTACTCATGGTGCTTACGCTCTTTAGGCTAGAAATGAGGCTTCAAGCCCATCGCTCAGTCCGAGTGACGCGCCTCGCGAAGAACAATATAAGCAGCAGTACCTTTTGACTATTCAATCCTGTGAACTCAAGTTTCATCACAGTGTAAGGAAGCGCTGTTATCATCTTTCTTCAATATGTGTCAAAGAGAGTCCGAAATCGTCTTATTTACCAAAACGATAGACAATATTTCGTCGACTCGATTTTTTTGGTTTCGACTTGCGACTTACTTTGTCCCACCGCCAGCTTGCCCAAAACTTTGTCGTCAGGCATCAACATGGCACATCCACTCTGTGAAGTTTCACAGCATACTATGCCACTAAATGAAAGCGAAATGAATTGATGGCTGACGGCAACGAGATCTTTATTTACAGCTCTAGACTCTTCATTGGCCATCTTCAATTTAGCCAACAGCAAGCGCTTCGAGCCGCCCAACATCAAGTCAGATGTTGCGATTGGTAGAATTTATTGGTTTGTGGAAGTTTTCCGTTTCGCATTGGTTCTGCAAGCGCAGAGCTTGTTTTTTTATGTCAACATATTCCCAATTGAGAGACGACGTCGTCGTTGGGAGCGCATTTTTATTTTGCCGTTTCGTTTTTTGCCAGTTCTATTCTCTAGGCGTATCAGATCTCCATGTTTTTGACTCATACTAAGCAATAGACGTCTTTGTCACACCATCACGGATGTCACAAAGTGACCTGCCGGCGTCTCCGACGACCGCAGCATTCTATCTTTGATTGGAACAATTATGCCAAGCTTCTCGGTGAAGACAAAATATGGCATTCAACTTGGTTCTATACTCTAGACTAATGTTGACAATACCATTCGTCTTGTTGGCCAGCAATGGTACTGCGAAGACATATTCCATAAGGTGCCAGGATGGTAGCTAACATAAGCTCCGACTGCCATTATTGCTAACCAGTGTGGCGCCACCAAAGCTTTTAGTTTAGAATGAAGCTTAGGGAAGAAAACATAGGTATGGGAAGACGAGCATCAAATGCAGTCCACCACTTCCACTATACAATTTCTTGGAAGTCGTTCAAGTACTGACGTGTGTGGACAAGTGTTCCTCCCTCTTCAGGTCGCACCGAAGCTTGGAACTTTTCGAAAGACTTTCTAAGGCTAGCCTAGTCAAGAAAGCAATTTTCTCTGCTGTGTTTGGAAGTCCAAACGGGCATTCCTGCTGTACTAGTCGAGGGAACAAAAAAACTTGTCTACCTATCTCATCCTTCTTAAGAAAAGAGGAACTTGTGTATCGTCTATCGATACCGAGGAGATTGTTCTTCATTGTTCTCTGGTTGGTGATATCATGCTGTCAGACATAATACTCCCATCGCACTACTCGAAACCCTTATCACATACACGTCAAAGGTGGGATGTATGCTTTGCTACGTTCGGCTTTTAAATGTACTGCCGTTGCAGATCTGCAATCTCAGTAGTTAAATAGAGTTGGTACTTTATCTGAGCCTCCGTATTGGACATACATGTCATCCAGGGTCTTTTTCTGTTACGGCGATAAGAAGATCGGCCAACGTCATGTATGAGCAATTCCAAGGACCTGAATTCACACGTCGTCATTAAGGCACATTGAGATTTGCTGGGAAAACCTTCACCATAAACCACCCTGACTGCATAGGGGTTATCCTGAAGAAGAAGGACCGTCACGATATTGCAATGTCTTATCATGCTTCTTTTGGTTACCCAATCCTCACAACTACCAAAAAGATGCTGAACAATATCATAAAAGCTTTCTGTGCCTGCTTCACTACAGAGGATTAAACAAATATCCTCTTAGTCACAAAACCATTTTTACTACTCTATGTCAGGTTCTAGTCTTTCCGCCATCCTGCTTCAAAAGGTCGTTCCCACTTTTCAAACCCTAGGATTAATGTGAACTTAACTTGATGCATAACCGTACGAAAGCTTATCATCTCCCACCTTCGAAAAAGGTATGTACTTCGAGGTATTAGTCCATGCTTCGGAGAAAATTTGGGATTGAACCTGGTAGTACTTGCACAACGGCATTTCATAAAGTGGACCCTGTACCCGGGAGCCCTATCGGTAAGAACCCATATGAAAGACTCCATCAGCCCCATGGTTCTTTCTCTCCTCTCAATTTGAGTATACTTCATTTTCCCAAGTACTCATTTGATCATCAAAGCGAAATGGCTACAGAAACAATACCCCCTACTCTCCCTCAGGGTGCAGGATACGGTGTTGTTGTTGGCATCGGTGTAAGTCCATGTTGATCCACTAGCGAATAGTTCTAATTGGTATTAGTTCTTCTTTGCGTTCCTGATGGCAGGAATATCCTACGTTCAAGTATGTTTACAAGTACGATTTCCAAAATGCTGCTCAAACTAATTCCTACCAGAATAGATACACGAAATACTCAACCAAGACGAGTGAAGAGTTCAACACCGCAAGTAGAAGTATTAAATCAGGATTGATAGCGTCTGGTATTGTTTCTGCGTGGACCTGGGCAGCTACATTGCTCCAAAGTTGTACTGTTGCCTATTCTTATGGTATTTCTGGGCCTTTCTGGGTAAGTGAACTTCCACTGTCTAATAATCTTTTATATGATCACAGAGACTAACAATTAGTAGTGTAAGCATCAACTTTAAAACTTCCTATCATTCTGGCCTATAGCTTACATTAAGTAGATGCTGCAGGAGCTACAGTTCAAATCTTTATGTTTGCTATTCTAGCCTGCAAGGTTAAACAAAACGCGCCACGATGCCATACCTTCCTCGAGATTATTCAAAAGCGCTATGGAACCACTGCACACATTGTCTTCATCTTCTTCGCTCTCTTCTGCAACATCCTCGTTGCAAGTCAACTGTTACTTGGTGGGAGTGCGGTCGTCACTGCACTTACTGGAATGAACGTTTATGCCGCAATCTTTCTCATCCCACTGGGTGTAGTTGTATATGTGGTGCTCGGAGGTCTAAGAGCTACATTTCTATGTACGTTGCTTCTTTTGTCGTGGTATTTACGCTATGATTTGAGAAGAAGAACTAATATCTCACAGGTGACTTCACTCACACCTTTATCCTACTAATCATTATCCTCTACTTTATGTTTTCAGTCTACACCACGAACCCTTTGATCGGTTCGCCTGACAGGATGTATGAAATTCTGACTGAAGCCTCCAAGCTTCGTCCAGTAGCCGGAAACCAGGATGGGTCTTATCTCACACTAAAATCCAACTTCGGCTTAATATTTGGTGTCATCCAACTTTGTTCTGGCATGGGTACGGTTTTCCTCGACCAAGGATACTGGCAACGAGCAATAGCAAGTCGTCCTACCACCGCCGTAAGAGCATACATCATGGGTGGTATGGCATGGTTCGCCATCCCTTTTGGCTTTGCAACAACTCTTGGTCTTGCCGCCGTAGCACTTACCGACAACCCATCATTCCCGACTTACCCAAATCCAATGTCCACTTCCCAAGTATCATCAGGCCTCGCAGCACCATTCGGCGCCGTAGCATTACTCGGAAACAACGGCGCCATCGCCTTGCTAATCACACTCTTCATGGCCGTCACCTCCTCCTCCTCTTCCGAACTCATCGCCGTATCCTCAATCCTCACATTCGACATCTACAAAATGTACATCAACCCCTCCGCCACACCGTCCCAGCTAATCAAAACCTCTCACTACATGATATGTTTCTTCGGCTTCGTCATGGCAGCTTTCGCATGCATCTGGAACGCAATCGGCATCGATCTCGGCTGGCTATTCCTCACCATGGGTCTTCTCATCGGCGGTGGTGTATTCCCTGCAGCCTTCGCAGTAACCTGGAAGAAACAATCGAAATGGGGTGCAATCACAGGCGCTGTCGGTGGGTTGGCCTGTGGACTCACAGCTTGGCTTGTAACAGCACATGCGTATTATGGCGAACTCACCATCGCAACAACAGGCGCCAATTACCCAACTCTCGCCGGGAATCTCGCGGCAGTGCTCATGGGTTGTCTAATCACCGTCACCGTCTCGCTTGTCAAACCAGATAACTTCGACTGGGAAATCACACGCAGTATCAACGCAGCGCCTCAAATCATCGAAGCCCAATCCAACGACCCTCTGGCTACTTCTCACAACACATCCGAAAAACCATCACCCTCTCCAACCCCCTCCTCTCACACCCCCCCACCCTCTCACACATTCACACCCTCTCCCCTCCCCCCTCCACCCTCAGACGACGACGCCATCCTCACCAACCCCAAACTCCTCAACCGCTCCTTCAAATACGCCTGTTACTCGGCGCTCATCCTCACCCTGCTGATGGACTTCATCATCCCGATCCCGATGTTTCTCAGCCATTACATCTTCAGTAGAGGATTCTTTTTGGGGTGGATTGTGATTGGGTTTTTGTGGGTGGCGTTTGCGTTGGGTGTTTGTGGCATCTTGCCGGTTTGGGAGGGGAGGGGGTTTTTGGGGGGGTTGTGGGGGAGACGGTAGGAAAGTGGTATATAGGAAGCTATGTTAACAGCTAAGGTAGATAGATTTATTATTCGTTCGATGTACTTGATATCTTTATATTGGGGAGCGTGGTAGATCCATAAATTGTGAGTGAACGAAGTGACTTCGAAAATTCTACATGTCAATGTACGACTTGAGATTTCCGCTTTGATGACAAGTAAATCAAGAGCCTCAAATGCAGCGGATTTATTTTATGAGGCATTTCTCTCATTGAATTTACTCTCATCTTTCACACTGCCAGTTCTTAGAAATTAGATGGCAGCCCAGACGCTCTCAATTCTCGGCTAATTTAAAGATGTTGGTGTTGGACTTCACATCCTCACCAAACAACAAATTTAAGCATCATTATAATGACTTCGAGACTAACCGTGTAAAGGATCGATTTTACCCTAAACGAAGCTCTATAAATACCACCCAGAATTGTGGCTTCAGCGGGTATACCCTGCATGAAGGTCGTTTCATGGTCGCACCGGCGCCTATTTCCAACCGCCAACCCCTCATGCTTATACTCCCACAATCGACGGATACACACCTTAAAGCTAAAGCGCAATCCAGACAAAGCTTCTGAGATTCTATTTCGAGTCCACCTACCTCTTTTCGCTCAAACTCATATACCAGGTCGTGACCACGCCTTCCCGTTTCACACCACCATGACGACCTCAACCTACACCATCGATATCCAGAGTGTCTACGATGAGAAAATCAAGCGCAGTCAAACAGACTCTGTAGTTCTACGAAAAACAGCGGCATGTCCCATCGGTGCGCCGCGTAGCGTTACGACTTTTCCTAAACCTACCTCGTAAATACCACGCTTTTACTATGTCTTTCGCTGGAGAGGAGGTAGACTAATTGTTGGCAGTGCGACGCATGGCTCGTGGCATCATGATGGGAAGCGTGAGGGGAAAGGTCCGGTTGTGTTTCGTGGGTGGCATGTTACCGAGGAACATGTTAGGAGGAGGGCGTTGTGGAGGGGGAGGCAGGAGTCTGGGGTGATCTATGGGGGTGGAAAGGAGGATGGGAAGGAAGTCAATGGAGAGCGGAAGAAGAGTGTGAGTGAAGTGGTAAAGTGATGGCAATTGTATGGAAGGAGAATATCTGGTTAAATCTGGCTATGTCGTTGTGATGTTGACTTTACGCTTATCATTATGCGAGGACGTTGGAATTTAAGGTTGATGATGAAACAAACCTAATGGTAATGTAAGCGATTTTTTGATTTTCTCTTTTCTGAACCACTTCTCAAGCGCTGTACATAGTTTGGCTGTTTTCAGTGTCGTTGGTTTTAGGTTTCAGAAATTCGGGATGGCTTTGCATTCCACGGCCATTACCGCGCGCGAAAAGTACCTGAAATTCGACGGTGATAAAGAACTCGTCATCCACCGAGAAATGCAGAAAAACCTTCTTCTTCAACCTTTGAATTTGCTCAAACATAATTCCATCAATTACAAGGAAATATGTCAGACTCTCCTATCGAATCTAAAATCAGCGATGAAAAGATCAACAATGAGGCGACTATGTTGACGCCTCCAGCATCACCCGCTTTTCAATTCGAAGAAGGTCATGCTGTCTATCAAAAGGATGGCTTCCATCCGGTCAATATTGGCGAAGTTTATAATGGCAAATACAAGGTTCTCAGAAAGCTAGGATACGGGAATTATTCAACGGTGTGGCTTGTACAAAACGAACTGTGAGTTTCCACCGACATCGAATACTGTATTCCTTATACTGACCAAATTATTAGAGACAAAAAATACTGGGCTATGAAAGTCTACTCCGGGGGTGTTTACGGTGCTGGTAGTGCAATTGAAGAATTTGAATTGAAAGTCCTCAAACACTTACGAGATGCTGATCCTAGTCATGATGGATATGAATATATCTCTATTCTACACGACTCTTTCAAACATCAAGGACCGAATGGAGAACATCATTGTTTTATTTTCAAAGTTAAGGGGGAAAGTTTGCAGTCGTTTGTTTCGTGGTGGGATAGACGGCCCCCGATTCCAATTATACGGAATTTTGTGAATCAGCTTTTATACGCGCTGGATTATACGCATTCATGTGGGATTGTGCATACGGGTAAGTCAGGGGTTAGAGGATGTGGTATGAATTGAGAAAATGCTAATAATGACACAGATATCAAACCTGATAACATCATGATTCAAATCCCAGATGACTCCATCATATCAGAGTACCTAGAGAAAACCAGTGTCAAAGTCTTAAGTCAAGACCCAACTACAGATTATCAGATCATACAGTCAACCAGTCTAAGGGAATTCTACTTCGCCGAAGGGTTCAACCTGATGAAATTGAAAATAGCATTATCGGACTGGACAACATCAAGTTTCACCTCAAATCATCTTATTGAATTCATCCAATCCGATTTGCTGCGGGCTCCAGAAGTCTTCTTAGCAGCTCCCTGGGACACATCAGCCGACATCTGGAATCTCGGTGCTCTAGTCCCCGAACTCATATACAATCAAAACATGTTCAGTGGACGAGACCCAAACAGAAAATACAATGAGGTACGCCATCTCCAAGAAATGGAGAATCTGTTCGGGCTTTTCCCGCGGTCTCTTCTGGATAAGGCGTGCCCAGAAAATGTGGAGACGGGTTTTGGTGAGGATGGCAAGATTTCGCTGCCGGAAACGACAACTGTGGGGTTGGAGGTTAGGTTTGGAGATATGGAGGAGAGTGAACGAGCTGAGTTTATTGAGTTTGTGAGGGCGATGCTTGTGATTGATCCCGAGAAGAGGAAGAGTGCGAAGGAGTTGCAGGAGATGAAGTGGGCTGTGCATGATTTTAGGGATAAGTGATGAGGGGAAAAGTTCGGGTGGAGATATTTGTGACGAGAAGGATGATTTCAAAAGCGAGTTGGCTGATGTGAATCGAAAAAAGGGATTCGAGGAGCCAAAGTTTTTACGGGAATGGATTGTAACAAGAATGAGCACCGATGAAGAATGACTGGAACTCGAAGAGTTAAGTAGTAGTAAGCTACCGTACGTTATAAGATTAAATAAATGCCTTTTATATATAAGAATAATTAAAATTAACTTCCTTATACTACCTCTATAATAGATTTATTTATCCTAGTCGAAAGAGAAAATTTAGGTATATTTATATAAGTAAGAGTAGATAAAGTATAGTAGATCGAATAATACTATCGTTTTACAATAAGGAGGTGTCCCGTTAATTCTACTATATATTAATAAACGTTAATAAGTATTTAATAGTAAGATGTATATTTTTAAAGTACTAAGTATTAAGTTTAATCTTCATTAGTTTTATATAGATCGTCCTATATATCTTGTTACCTCAAAAGGCAACAGTAAATGCAAATTTCTTGCATTTCCACTGATTAACTTATCTGAATTCAAGTATTTACACATCCCCTAAACAAAGTAAGATTTTGAGAATAGAGGCCAGACTAGTTTGTATTTATAGCGCTGAATCACAACGCGGAGTACACTGCTCTATATAAAGACTCCTCGCGCAAGCCGACGCCGTTCCTCTGGACCACCCGCACCGGAGAAGAATGTCAGTTACGTGGAGCTGAGTACCCGGACTCGACAGGGCTACTTTGGCTTTGTAGCAAGTATGAGATGAGTGAAGCGAGAAACATTGTATTTATTATTTCTAGCAGAGGAACTGCGATTGTTGGTGTATTGTGAGTGACATGGGTTCAGATGAATATAGGGAGATGGGAATATATATATATTAATCATGTGACGTTTTAGCTAATTGTGGCATCCTGTTTGATTAGGTGAAGATTGCTGCTTGAATAAAAAGACTTTTGGGAGGAGTGTCAGTGTGTCTTAGTCACAGTAGATTCTATAGTTGGGAAACACTTGTAGTGATTCCTATCACCTTGATACTCCAGATATTCGGAAAGACTCTTGGTGACATGATGAGTAATTGCTTGTTATATTTTCGCCAGAATCAGACATCGTGCTCTGAACTTGTCAAGTCTGTTGTTGCTTCGATAAGATGAGAATCGCTTAAGATATATAAACAGCAAAATGTACCATGCTTCCACAAGCTCCTCATATGCAACAGCAACTTCACAATCCCTCATATGCAACAAAAAGCCTACATACCCATAAACAAAACCTCAACCCCACAGCCATTTACAAGACTTACTTTCCCAAGCTCCTCATCCCCTCTCCCCATCACTCCCCCTCCCCCACCCGCCTAACAACACCAACAACAAGCCACCTCTTCCTACCCGTAACATCCTTATCCTCCTCCCCCCTATCAACCCTCCACTCCCTCTCCGTACCCTCCGCATTCCGCTCCCATATCCTCTCTACAACCAATCCATCCCCCCTCATCGCTTCGGCATCAAAAAACGGTGCCATTTTCGCGCGGCCCGTGTGGAAGCCTGCTATCACGTAGGCTCTGCCGCCGTCTGAGGGGGTGTAGGGGTGAGTGGGTGAGGGAGGGTGGTGGTGTGGTGGGATGGAAGAGGTCTCATCGCGTTTTGGGGGGGATGTTGAGGAGTTTGATTTTGGCGACGGTGTTAGGAACCAAGCGATGCTTTTCCTCAGATTTGAATGCTGCCATGGCATCCACAAACAATCCGCGACCAACACCCTCTCAAACCCACCCTTATACCTCTTCGAAACCCCATTATCCTCCACCTCCCCCAAAACACCCCACTCATGCCCCCAAACCTCCACATCCCCACCCCTCCCCCTCTCCCTCAAATTCGTCTTCACATTCACCTCCACATTCGCCACCACCTCCTCAGCCGGATAATCGGTGATCACTGTCCTCCTCGCCCCGCGTAACGCGGCTATCATCCCGGATAACCCGGTTCCGGCGCCGAGTTCCAGGACGGAGCAGTCACGGGTCTCAAAGAGTGGGAAGGGTCCTTCTTCGAGGTATTCGGCGAGAAGGACGGAGGCGTTCCACAGGAAGTGCGAGAAGAGGGTGCGTGAGGTTTCTGTTTTGGGGTCGGCGAGGGAGAGGGTTAGGGGGCCGTAGAGGGGGGAGAGATAGGTTGGAGAGGTGTGGGAGTCGCCGTGTTGGTTTTGGATGCTGGGTGGTTGTTAGCTTGAAGAATGTATTTGGGATAACGCAAGAAAAGCGAAGTGCTCATGTTTTATGAGTGTTGTTCGTTAGAGTCTTGTTTCCCAATTTTGTTCGAAACTTGGAATATCAAAATCTGATTCCCAACCTCTTCCAAAACTCACGCAACTCATACACTTCACTCACCTCATTCACACCTCGCTCATCTCATCTCACCTCACACCTCACTCACCTCACCCCCTCAACCAACCCTCTAAAATTTCCAACCCACCCCAATCCAAAAAATGATAAAGAAAACAGCTCACTCACTCATCAGGAAAAATCACACTCAAACTCGAACTCATAATATCCTCAGGCGTCGGCTCCAGATCATCCGGCAGATGAATCTTATCCGTCAACATTCTGTCTTTGCCTCCTTCCTTCCCCTTTACCGCAATAATCCGGTACTCCAACAATCGTAAACACCTGAAATCCGTCTTGATTTTTGAGTGTGTGATAACAAATACCTGAATCTCGGAAGTATTTCTTTTGAGAAAAACGTGACATGAGATGAGATGGGTCTCTGCCCTTCCGTCCAGTCTACGCGTGTAGGATAACGACGTTAAGATATACAAACAAACCTAAGATCTGAGCCTCGAATGAAGATCAATGACCAAATCCCAGCTGCACAAATCCCACAATCATCAAACACCAGACCTCGAACTTTGTACACGTACATAACACCCCCACCAAACACTTTTCCTCCGTAGTGGGGTGCACGAAGATTCTGCCAGCTTGGTGCAGAACCTACTCACCGCCTAGACTTATGCTCCTACCAACATAACGTACGGCCCGATTGGGTTTTGTATGGCAAAACGTCGGATCCTGAACGATTGATTGGCCACAAAAAGAGGCGGTGACACTTCTTTACGTCCTGCACCTTCGTACCTTATTTTCTATATATATTTTCCTCAGATATTTGGAGTGAATGAGTGAATGTAAGTGAATGACATCTCTTTTGATACTTTGAGGTGTGTGATCTTATTGGCTTTTAAGTATATTGATTTGGTTGGTGATTTGGGTGGAGTACTAGCGTTGCTATCTGGTCAAGTCTTAAATCATCTTTCATCTAATTGATAGTTTGGAAACTAATTCTAAACTAATTCTATGAAAACATCATACTTACTCTGAGGTTTGTAGATACGTCAATATGAGTTCGTCTGCGCAAACATACAATACGACTTCACACGAGCAAGCAATATCTAGGCCGCAAGACATAATTTGATCAATCGATAATTCTCATTCCATTCAAAATTATCTTTAACTACTAACACAATAGATGGCATCTCCCCCTCCTCCAACGTTACATATCCGACAAAAGCGCACGAACCGGCCCGCAGCCGAACAAGATTGTCGAAAAAAGATCATATAAGTCTGATCCAAAACAGGACGACGCTAAGCGACATGATTTGAAGAATAATAAGACGCCCTTTCGTCCCGATGCAGATGTAGAACCAAAGAGCTTTTATCTTAATAAGTGGTATCGTCCGTAAACCCAGATCCTTCAGCGCCGAGAATGAAAAAAGCAAAACAAAAAGTGGTAAGATAAAATAGTGGTGGATGCAAAAAAATGTAACCAAGAAAGGTATAATCATAAACACGTAAATATCATCAGATGATGCGAGGTAGAGAGACGTTTATGACTCGTGCTTGACCTCCATCAACTTCTCGAGGTCCAAACCGGTGAGATCGTCGGCGATCCAGGGACCTTTCTCTTCTTCCGTGGCATCGTGAAAAGCCTCGGCTCTGTTCATTGTCTGGACGTCAAGGTCGGTGACATATGCCTTTTCGTCGCGGAGCTTCAGACGGACTTCATAGTCGGTATCGAGCATCATGTCGTCTTTCCAGAGACGACGAGGTCCGTCAAATACGCAGAGAACACGCTTCTTCAACTTCATCTGGGAAGTTGGGCAGCCCCATGATGATGGGTAGTCCTTGCGCTTCTTGCGGCCTTTGGTATTCAAAGTATGTCCACCTTTGGAATGTGTCATTCCTCGGGACTTTTGCACACCATTCGCTGGGTTGCGATTCCCGCGCGACTTTCGGGACTTTGAACGAAGGGTGAAATCATCATCATTCTCATCGTCGTAATCTTCTTCGGTGTCCTCTTCTCCTGCGGAATACATGGTGGTGGTTGGTAGTTGATGGCTTGTGAGAGTGGTGTGAACGTCGTGATCCTGCTCGACTTCAGCAAGTCTTGCAGCGTTGATGGCCTCTGAAGGTTCTTCTTGTTGAACAATGCGGAGAACGCAATCGTCGAGATGCTCATAAAAGTCTTGAGCATTGTTGAATGTGGCGGAACAGGTGGAGCATTTGCCAGTAGCATCGGGTGCGTATCCAGAAAGTTTCTTGCCGCTGTTGAGACCGCCGGAAGTCTTCTTGCGACTATTGGGTGGAGTCTGTTCAACCGCGTGTACGGAAGTGAGATGTCTCTTGAAGACATCGGCGCGGTTAAACGACTTTTCAGCCGCTGATCCGGATCCAGGACAGAAACCACAAACCATTGTGCCTTTGTAATGCGTCAATGTGTGTCGGTTTTTGTCGTATTTTCTTGCGAAGCCCTTCACGTGGTAATCGCAAGTCTGGATTGGACATTTCTCTGGACGTTCGTTTTGGTGGGTCAACATGTGCGCCTTCAAGTCCTTGAATACCTTGCCACACTCAGGATATGTGCATCTTCCCTTCTCTTTGGATTCCTCGCCACTGTAATTACCATCTTGGCTGCTACATGATTGTCTTGAACCTGGAGATCGTTGGCGAGGTGGTGGATAAGGATAACCGTAGTGGGCATTCATATATGGGGATTGGGTATGGGCTCGGTGTGGTTGAGGGCTTCGGGACATCTGGGAAAGTGCAGGTGATGCTGGATATGTTGGTGGTTTGCACGTGTCACTGGATTGGATGACTGATGTTGGACGCGTTGCATACTGAGGATGTAAGATTGAAGGATCTAGAGCAGAATGTTAGTCAAAGAACCAGACACGAATGAGTATGCTCTATTAGAACTGGAAGGAAACCGACAAGATGATTCAAGAGGAGGTACAAAGTTTCCACTTGACTGAGAAAAGAAATGTGATTGATAGATTGGTTTCGGAGAGAACGATCGTGAGCTAGAAGAGACAGGAGAGCAGAGAGCTGCTGGACCCCGACCAGCGGAGCTTGAGGCGAAATGAGATGGATTGAATATTTGCGACGGCCGTCGCGAAGACGAAGGAGACCTTGAAAATGCAGACACAGGTGATTTGAAACACTCATCTACAAAACCCGCGTTCGTCGAAACCTCTTGCTTTGGCATTCCACTCTCAACCACCGAGGGAGTCGCTGGAGAAGATGCAATAGTAGACAAAGAAAGAGGGGCAGAGTTTGAAGACACCGAACCACGCTGATAAGATACAGTTCTAGAGATATTCTGACACTCACCAACAAAGCCATTTGGTTTGGCGGGGTTGAAACTCAAATCGAATTCTTCCATACCTGAAGGAGCGAATGTGTATTCGTTGCCATGTGTGTAATTGTCATATCCGACGATGGAAGGATTGAGACCGAGTCCTTGTGTCGCCCATTCGTGACTTGGAACTACGCCGTTATGGATTGAGTGAGGCGAGCCTACTGCTGATGGCGAAGCCGAAGGACCCGATGCCGTCGAGTAACTTGAAGGAGCTCCTCGTAGATCTGGTGATTCTAGGTATGGTGGCGCTTCGGTTGAATACATTGCTGTGCTTTGGTAGTTGCTGGTGACCGGAAATCCATCTTGCGTATTCGTGTAGGTATACGGAGAACCATTATCAACATTGAAGTTCTGAGCAGAGAATGGGAATGCTGGCGGTGAGAACATCGCTTGTGGATCTGGGTAAAGAGGAAAGTCGTGTTCTTCGTTTTCGCTCATTTGATTTAACATATTGTAGGTATGTGTTGCGAGGGAAACCATGTTGCTAGAGGTGTATGTGAGGGTGGCAGTGGTCGAATTTGGAGCCACTATTGCCTAAGTTTATTAGGATTGAGTTTAAGGGCCGACCAAGTTGGACCCGTACCTTATATTCATTTACTCCACGATGTCTGGGGACGGTCAACGAAGGATGACCTTGATTTGAGGTGTGGACGGTGTTGGTTTGTATAGTTGGTTGGTAACGATCGTCGTCGTGGTTGGCAGTGTCAAGCCTGGGGATGGTCGGCCTTGAAAGTGGGTGTTGATCTACTGTGATCTGAGACAGAGATAGACGCGAGTCCTTGATGATATATAAGTTCGGACTGGGAGATATGAGGTCGGCAAAAGAGGTACGGTTTGTCGAGATATAAGATTAAGTGCAATGCGGTCAGACAACTAGACGCTGATCGATACCTGGTTCTGGCCAAGGGGTCTTGTTGATCCGGGAAAGGCTCTGATATGTATGCTCAGGGCCACTGGGAGGAGAGTATTGGGTGGTGGAATAGGATGAGGCCTTTTTTTCGAATTGGGGGCACTGGCCGGGATATAAAATAATATTGGTCCATGGTCCATCACGGCAGGGAGACGGTCGTAGACGCGTCGTAGGGGAGTGCACCCAGAATGCGCAGTCGGCAAGAGAGCAGGGAACAGGAGACAGTTGACAGGGAGCGCGAGAGCAGGGACCAGCCAGGACAGGGGAACCGAGTTCGAACCAGGATGCGGGATATCATGGGCGATGGTCAGCCAGCGCCTCTTGAACCAGGCTTGGACCGGCGTGCACATGGGGTAAGAAAGTGGTTGACTCCAGGACTGGTGCTGGTGGTCGATTGGAACCTAAACGAAAAGAAGCCCTTGCTAAGCACGAGCGGAGTTCCACTCATCTGTCAGGACTCGCTGGATTCGGCCGGTGATTTTGGATGCCCCTTAAAGAGGCTAGAATAGCCCCTTCGTTCGTGTCACTCGCAGTGCTGCTCCTTCTGTGGCTGCTTCGAGTGCACCTGGGCAGCCTTTAATTCTTTAGTTAGTCTGCACGCCGAGTCGCGGGTGACTTTCTCGACAAAACAATGCTCTTCCAGTTAGTGTTCGCGCTCTCTCGATTAGTCTCGCCCGCTTCGATGAAAATTCGTCTTCGCAATCGTGCTTACGTGTGGTTGCTCTAGACAGTCTGGATAAATGCCATCGCATAACAACACGACTCTCCAGCTTGCCCATCTCGCCGTGGCTGCCAAACCGCATGGCCTGTTATCGCAAGTGACCGCATCTCGTGTTGCTGGCGACATCTTCCTCTCACCGTGAAGCTTCTGTGGAGCCTGCAGTGGTGATGTATGGCTGGTATGGTGGGCGGACCCAGCCCTATCCGCTTGGGACGTCCATCCAAGATTTGCCTGGCTCAGAACTCTCCAAAATGCTTCCCACAGGGATCGCTGGCAGGGGCCGACGTGCATCAACAAAGTGATTTGATACCGCGACGTCCGTCAGAGTCGGTCAGAAAGGCGGAGCCGTGCCATGACTGTCAGTTTGTGTGCTTTTCGGTGAGCTCAACACCTTACACCACAGAACATGGTGATGCGATGGCCTACGAAGACGTCGCAAAAGCCAAGTCTGTCTCAGAAAGCAAAGGCAGCAACATTTGACCCCATTCTATGTGGAGAGAACCGTTGAGTCTACTGGATCCCCACGCGAGTGTAAACGTTTTTGAGTGCCGCTTTCCTGCTACACATCATCCTTTGGGTCAAGATTAGAGCTTGTACCTGTGTCTCCATACTGACGGTATCGTGCATCCAGGCAGCGAGCAGGAACAGACATTCGAACCGTTCATGGGACGATTTGTGATAGACTCTAGAACGGTGGTCGAGTACAAGTTGGTCCCGCTCTGTGATCACAAAAACAAACCTTGGATCACAAATGCTTCAAATCCGTCGGCAGAGTCGAGACTGCTTGCGACCAGTACCACTCGCAATCGTACGTGGTACAGATCAGTAAATGTCTGGCTTTGTGAGGCTCTAACGGGAGGGGTCAATTGAGGTTCCTGGTGTAACTTTTCGATAAATACAATCATGGGTCGCGGTTCATTAGTCGCCGATCTAGTACGGGCGAATTGTCTTAGAAAGGAACAGCGAAGCGAAGAGACCAGGGCCGAACAGTAACTCTAAAATTTCCCCGCCCACTAGCCAGCAGTACGGATCTCCTACTGCTCAATCGAGGTAAATGAGATCTGCGACTCCACCCCCAAGGAGCAGATCATGAAGGAAACGTCAAGTATCCGGAGACGGGACAATAATCATTCTTCACCGTGTATTCTTGGTCATGTTCAATGATGAACAGCGATCACAATGATCTGCTCAATAATCCTGACGGAAGGAATGATCGTCAACCTCTTCACTGTAGCGAGAGATTGCCAATCTGAGCGCTACTGTATTGTCGTCCACAGGCTTCAAGATACAAAGGCATCGAAAGAATCCGATTCGACCAAACACGAAGGTAGGACAAAGTCATTGAACCACGTTGAAGTTTCCCGAGGATAGAGCACCCTTGGTTCTTCAAAGCTAGGTGACAACCTAGACATTAGTTTTGTATGTATTAAGGTTAATAATTTCGTGAGAGGGAACTCGGTGGACGATAGCGATAGCCTCATTTGAGGTGCACGAATCCAGCACGATATAGGGAAAAGTTACGAAGCTTTCCCCACGTTCAAACTCTGTACCACCACCACCAAGTCCCCGGTGGACACACACACAGCGTGGAATATTGAGTTTCCGGTATACACTCTCATCCATTGGCTACTTTACGGCAGGGTTACAAGTGCACGCCAACGCACGATATCGGTTTGGGTGTTGTTGTGGCTGGCATCGCTCGAAGAGGGATAGCTTCCGTGACGTCCATAAATAGCTTGGGTTACTAGCCTCCACAATCGGCACATGTGTTGGAGAGTTCACGATGCAAGGACTGCGCAAAGTGGCTGTGACCGCGATATTGCCAGCAAAAGTCAGTCATCATCCCCATACTGCGACGCATCTTGTTGAATGACGACTTTCTCATTTGCTCAATTCATTGTGATAAGCTTTGAAGCAGCTGCGTCATGATTGATCATTTTCGTGAAGCGGGTTTAGATATCGTGGCAGGTCATCGAAGTCATTTCATCCATGCTCCGAGTCGCTCGCCTATGGACAACAAATTTCTTCGTTGAGCCATTCAGAGGTCCGAATCACTCTATCAGACGGAGCGGGAACGGCAACACCCATCGAGATGCTTTGACGAGGCAGACTCTGTATCTAAGCGTTATCTAAGACACTCGACGTGGTGGTGGATTTGGGCAGCGGTAGTCGAACGGAAGAATAGGAGACTCTTGTGAATCATGAACTTGCACAACGTCCGCCAACCGAACACTCGAAGGCTTGCCCCTTTCTCCTGCTCCTCTCCATCACCCGGTTGGGGGCCGAAGGAATAATTCTTCATGCTATCCATAACCCTCGAAGGATTGATTGGGTGATCATGTGCGGAATCTGTGCAATGTTTCGCCTGTCGTAGATTTTCCTCCCATTTCGTCCAAACTAAAGTATGCGAATCCTGGACTTGCTGCACGATGTCGGATATGAGCAGCTCTTTACCTCAGCCTTATGGTCGAGAGAGCTCCCACAATTGGCCCAGACCCCCTGAGCACAATATTGCTGTGCCCGAAATTGGCGTAAGAAGCTTGTAGGGAAACGTGGGCTTCCTGTCGATTGAATGGCCCGCCAACTGCCTCAAACAGCAGGATGCGGTAACATGTTCTATTCTCGGAGACTCTTGCACGATCGCGTGCAGCAGGTCTTAAAAGACGGCACTTGACGTCGGAATTTCCAATGGAGCATCTGATAGAGTGCTGATTCAATATGTTTGGAGTTTGAGTTGACGCTCGATTGTTGTTCCTTCGTGGGCGTAAGCGATGAAGCACGTCGGTCCCTGAGCCCAAAATCCTAGCGGCTGTTCTAGGAGTGATTACCCAGGCCTTCCTAGTCAATCGACCGTCTCCCTGCCTCTCACAGGTGATCTGCCCTGAGGAATTGTATCATTTCGTGGGAGACTACTTTGCTTGCACAGACTAAGTTGCGGCTCATGTGATGGACAGTGGGGAAGTGTGAGGGTGAGGATGAGGGGTTGAACCAAAATGCGAGAAGCGAGAAGCACAGTAATTTAGAGCACGTTTTGACAGCCGGAAGGGCTCCACGAACCACCGGTTAGGTTATCCATCATCCCTACTGAAAAATAGCGAAAGGGTAATTCACGAACAAACGGTGTTGTTCCACGATGACCTTCTACGATGTACCAGTCTAAAAGATGACACGCAAATGGTCCGGAATCAGCCCCTAAACCAGAGGACTGGAAACCTGCCGTAAGTGATCAGAACTCAAAATGGCGTGACAAACCTTAAAAGGTCTTTGCTTATTCAGTTCCAAGCCCACATCAAGGGGACGATATGGCTGTGGCTTAAACGGGTGCTGTAGATATTTCCTGTGGTAACGAAGCCCGAATGGTTGCAGCACCTGCTGTGGCTCAGCACTAGAAATGGCGCATCTTTCCCCTCTTTGGGCTTCAGACTGTAAGGCTTAGGGTGGAGATCCGAGTCCAATTTACCGAACCAATGGGCTTTTCCTTAGTAGCCTTGGTCTCGGTCTCGCCGCCATGTTACAGAACCGATTTCTGTCCTGTGGAGAGATGATGGTTCCAGGCTTGGCGGAAGGGTCACCGCCAAATGCTTTTCTCACCCGTAGCGCAGCCAATGGCTGGCTGGAGATCTTCGTAGGGCAGAGTATGACAATGTCTGATCGTGGACTGTTGATGACTGCATAGAGGTCTGCAAATGAGGTGGATGAATCATACCTAAGCAGACAAGCGACGGTGAGTCCAACGGCTGTTATATATCAAGAGAGTCCGCAGTACATCCGGTCTATGTCAGGAAACGGTATATTGCAGAAGAGCGGACAATAAAAGGTGTAACGTTTCAACATGTGAAGCCTTTGTTCTGCTTCAAGATACCCGCCACTTCGACCTCACAAAACGACTTGGATGGAAATTGTATACGAAATGAGAAGTTTCCTTCAACCCTGGTGTACCATTGTATGTCGCGTTCGTTGTGGCATGCAAGAATGTTTCCAAATGGTTTGCATTTAGCCGACCATGGAAGCCATGAATAAGACCGTTTGATCTGACCACATAGGTCTACATGGTAACAGAAAAGAAATCATCAATTTTCACCTGTTTCCCGAAAAGGAATGTGTGCCCATGGACATACGAAACAAGTATGGTGTTTGCAATAATCAGCAATATAATGTGATCGTCTCGAGGGATTATTGATGGTAGCGATGAATGACCTGGAGGCTACTACTTGATGCTTGAGGGCAAGAATTAGCTGTTCATCTGCGTGTTCTGCGAAAGGAGGAAGGACGTGACGTGCCAACTATAGTCATGAGATAAAGTACCGGAGGAGAAAGGCAAAATAACCTCGAGGTTACAATTTCCCCGTTGCCTCCGTCAGTTGCGCAAATCCTGCGGCCCAGATTCCCGGAATCCTGAGGCGGTCTGACTGACATCCATGATAACGTGACATTCTCATATCTCTTGAAGGTCATACGAAACCTCATTCTGTAATGGCGCAAAGGAAGAAGGTACTTTTGCGTACCAAGATTAGCCGGGTGGACCTCCTTTTTCATCGCCTTTCCACTCTCCGCGAGCAGAAATCCAAGTACCGATTTTGTCTTCCTCGCGATGGTGTGCCCAGAGCCTTCTGTTCGCATGGCAATAGTTATCAATCCTGCAGCATGCTTCAATATTGGCCGACTTCATTTGCCAACACATGGGGCCAAAGTTTGCATGTCCCAGTCGAATGGACGACTTTAACCGTGCCATGCTTGGACCATCTTTTTACCCTGCAACCTCGTGTCGGAACCATCACAACATGGGCTCCAAACGGAGCAACATCGCACCGCTGCTAACGATATTTATTTTTGGCATCAACTTGTGATCTGTATCCTGGAATATTGTTCTTAATGTCCTCACAAAGTTTGTTTAAATGTCCGAAGGATCGTGGTCCAAGTCTACCGACATGGATTTCTTTTGGTGTTTATCGAGGTGCCTTAATCAAAAGGTTCCTGCAGTCAAGAAGTCGCGATGAGTCTCCGATTATTGGCCAGGTTGATGATGGATCAGATTGCAAGGACGGAGACGGGTCACCCCACGACGATCATCACACAACTGCAATGTCCATCAGTGCCAGGAGCAGCGCAGGGTATGCCGACAATATTGATGAAATGCTTGTTCTGCTTTTTTGGCGACTGGCGGATCTCCCCGCATCTCTGATGCTGGCGACCAAATGGAAATGAGGAAGGTGATGGAGGTGTGGGATCTGTCCAATAATAGCCACTACGCGGAATATTGCTCCAAATGAATTGTCGGGTGAGTCCATGCTGTGTCGCGGTAACAGCATGTGCTGGATCGATAACGTGCTGTGAATATGCAATGCAACTCAAAAGATGTGTATTTCTGGGAGAGTTCGAGGTCGGCGACTGCTGGCTGGGCTAGTATAATGTTTCATACGTGCTGCCACTTGCCAAAGTTAAGACAGGGAGGTGGGTTAATCCCGTAAGTGGGTAGGACTTACGAAGTTTAGACTTTGGAGGACTACCTAGGTACTGTATTCCAAATTACCTTTCGAGATGGGAATGGTTGCGATCCACGAGAGGCCAGGAAGAAGGATTGGTTTGCTCGTCGAAGAAATTTTGAAAAAGAGAGCTTCCTCCGTGCGGCTCTGCTAGATCTCCGTCTGACTGTCTTCGACATGATCTTTCCCCGCGCTTGGGCGCGATGCATTCTGCGCCTTTGGCCCTCTCATCTTTTCTGGGTTCAAATCCCCTTTCCCCTGCTTTCAAAGATTGTGATGTGTCTGCGCTAATCCGAAACACATGCACAAATCCCTGATATTTCCAAGGGAAGTTTTCCTTTTTTTCCTTACGGAGTACCCGTTAGTCTCTTCAGCCAATTACTAGCACCGCACTGCACCAAGGCGTTTCCCAATGCGGCCTCCACAAGCGATTTTGACATGTTTTAGGAAAGGCGCAGCGGGGAAGTCAATCACTGATCCACGGGTGGCCGCATGGCAAGCCATGATCCACTCATTATCGTTCCACCGTTCTGGTTGTCGTCGATTTGTTGGCGAGCGCGAGGTTCGAGGCCTGAGACAAGAATCGGACGATAGAGAGTTTGCCCCGTTGCCCAACGTTCTTTAGTAGACCTTCTAAGAGGTCAGAGCAAACGTTTGCAACAAGATTGCTGTATAATTTGCGATTCGCTGGCTGAATTACTTGCGGGTCGAGGTCCAGTGGTGCTGGCGATATCAACCAGTCAGTAATGTGATTTTTCAGGTTAGTTAGTATAGATTGCCACAACATCCTCGTGAATAGGCTATCGAGGTGCAATTGTAGAGTCACAGGTGTTGATTGAGGGGTAAAGGAGCCAAACTTATCACTCAAATTAGTTTTTGCTTTTTAAGGAATGAGTTAATTAGCGAATGGTCAGTATCAGATGGGACTAAAACAATAAGTCACGAATAACTGACAGTACCAGCAACGATACGCGATAAATGTTACTGCACAGATGTTGTTTGCTTGCAAAAAACAAATGATAGATACTGATCGCTTTCCCAGTTGATAAGATGGCTTACTGCCCCCCTCATGCATAAATGCTGGAAAGGTTTGTTTAAAGCCATAAACAAATGTGGTTGGTTTTGGAGAAATCCATGGTTACCGTCAACCAGTCAAGCCTTCGAGGTTGCGGCGCAGCGCATTAACCATCCAAAGTCCCAAGACAGATTGAGAACCACAGCTTTGGAAACTTTCTTGAAGGTTGTAATCCGATGAAAAGCATGGTACTGTGACCAATTGAATTGATTGAATTTGTAACTTCGAGATATGAGCTGTTGGTTCTCTTCTGCCCGATCTAGCGTCGATATGCAAACTGTATACAAGCCGCCCAGCAGTATTTTTATCAGCCTCCAGAAAAGGTTATCTCAACCCATCATCCGAAGCAATCGATTTAGGTCAGATCGAGTGTAGTTTGTAGTTTGGGTTTTCCGGCCATCTTAATCGGTTCTATTTAGGTGAATTCACAAATGGCCGCTCGCTTAGTACTACATTATGTGTATTTCCAGTTATCAACACGACCAACCTCTTATGTTTAACTATTTCCAGACCTGTTAACATGTCAAGAAAATATGTTCACAAATTAGGATGTATATGTACTTATTGACACAGCTCTCCCATAGATTTGTAACTCATTATTCTCCTAATGCTTCCTGATAACGTAATAACCACCTTTGATAAATACCATGCGCCTCTTATCCTTGTTAGTATCCATTTGGCTCGGTCTCGCTGCGGCACTTTCTTTCTCACGCACGCCTACGATTCAGCGGCGACAAATTCCTGGGTTTTCAGAGGATGAGATGAAAGAAATGCCTAACGTTTCCCCGAGAACGTATATAGACGTTGCATGCACTGATGAAGAGAAGCCAACAATCGAGTTCGCTTGGGATGAGGCAAAATTACTTGCAGATGCAGCAACTAATATCGTTAGCGGCTACGACTATAACTTGCCGTATACACAGTGGTTCGGTGATGATTGGAACGTACAGGGTGATCCCAAGGCTGAGGAAAGAGCTGAGGCTATTACCCATGCCTTTAATCAACTTGGAAAGCTGTTCAGAGGAGAGCCAAAGGATCACACATATTTCATATTTCGGTGTAACGATAAGAGGAAGGATTGCACTGGACAGACTCAAGCAGCCACCTGGCAGACAGAACGAAAGGATGGACAACACGAGTTACTCTATCAAAATGTCATTTTCTGTCCGGATTTTTTCACTGATAAGACACTAGGAGAACAGATTGCCAGGTAAAGAGATCAAGATGACAGCGAGAAAATACAGATAGACAATTTCGACGAAAACATCGCTCAGACTATCTTGCACGAAATCTTTCACTTTGATACAATAGTCAAAAAGCCAACCTTGGACTATGCTGATGGCGCGGAGGAAAACTTCGAACTGGCACGATCGTCAGGGACGGAAAAAACGTTTTTGAACGCGGACTCGTACGCTTACGTCTGTTTGGCTATCTATGTACATCAGACTTTCCAATCGAGTACACCACCTGTTCCTAGGATGTTGCTGCATGAAGAGAGTCAGCGCCGGAAGTGAGAGTACCAGAAAAAGGCAAGAACAATAGGCTGCCAGAAGCCTTCTAGGTAAAGAACATCGATAAGTAACACCAGCGACGCGGCTGTACCTCGATAAATTGGGAGTTGACTAGACGCTATGAGTGGGAGATTTCAGGAATTGAGAACAGAAAAAACCATCCCACATATTTGAGTCTAATAACGTTATAACGTTATCACCTCCTCTTGAATGTGATATTGTCCTCGTACATGATATCTTTTTCTATTATCTTTGGTAGTTTAGCATGTGATAGATGGATGTACGAGTCCGGACTCGGAGGCCACCAGCGATCCGCTAGTGACTTCGGGCCGAGCAACATCATGGTCCCGGCTGCGTCGCCAAGACATTCAATCGACAAGTGTCAACAACATCATATCAACTTCTTGAGCATATCAAGCCAACAACATTTCGAATCATGGGTACATAGCTCTAGAAGAGCTGGTTATACATCTGCGATCGATCACGGAACAAATTTCACCACTGCGACGAATAATATGGGACGCCTTGCGTGGTATGCGGGGGTAAGCTATCCAATTGCTTGAAACGGGTGCGATGGAATATCTAACAGCTTCATTCTAGGTATCTACTGCCCTCGCAGGAGGAGTAGTAGTCTCGGCATTTAATCAACGTGCGAATTTCTACTCTGCATGCGTGTATCTTTCCCAGAGTAACTTGTGTTTGATGGTACGGATGAATAAATCTTACGATTACCAATAGCTAACCCAACCGTAGATACTCATCAACCTCATCCTCTTGATTTATACGAGCTTTATGTACGGGTTACAAAGACTCTGCTACGGACCCCTGCGACCGATCGAAATCGAACAACTATATGAGAAGGCATGGTTTGCCGTTACAGAAACATGTCTAGCTATGACCATTTTCCGGGAAGAAGTTGGCGCGTGGTTCTTGGTCATGTTTGTAGCTCTGTTAACGGGCAAGGTATGGGGTTGGATCGGTGATGGCAGAGTCGAAGTTTTGGAACAACAACCTCCCGCAAATCCTCGATTATTCCATATTCGATTGTCAGTTTCGCTGACCATGTCGATTCTTTATGACCTCTGGTTGATGAACTACACGATCAATGCCGTTATTCAGCAAGCTCGCCCAACCATGATGGTTATGTTCCTGTTCGAATTCGCTATCTTGACTACATGTTCCTTTGCGACCGGAATTCGATACTGTATCTCTTTGATAGAGGCGAGGCTTGTCAAGAAGCAAACCCAGGAAAGACTTTTGGAACGAAGAAGGGAGGTCAGGGAAGAACGCGCCGAGATACTCAGGCAAAGAGAAGCTGCTGTGGCGGAAGCCGAAGCTGCGGGTACAGTGGTACCAACATCAACTGATCCCTTGCCATCAGAAGATGATGTTGATGAGATGGATATCGAGGTCCCAGGCTGGGAGTCAAAGGGTCAGTGGGTGTTGACCCTAGACTTAATCTCAGGTCAGTCTATTTTAGTCTTTGTATAACAACAAGCTTACATGCCTAGACTTTATCAAACTCGGAATCTATGTCACATTCTTCGTCATCCTGTTCATGTTCTATGGTCTCCCGATTCACATAATCCGAGATCTATTTATGACAGCTCGGTCGTTCACCAAACGTCTTGCGGCATTCCTTCGTTACCGTCGCGCCACACAAGACATGAACACGAAGTATGAAGATGCTACTGTGGAAGATATCCAGAGAGAGGATACATGCATCATTTGCCGAGAAGAGATGAGACCTTGGTCGGTCACCAATCCACAAGAACCAGCTGCAGCTCCCGGAGCCGCTGCCGCTCCCGCAGCTAGAGCTCCATCAACTCTGAATGAACGGTCGAGGCCTAAAAAACTGCCTTGCGGTCATATTCTCCACCTTGGATGTCTTAAAAGCTGGCTGGAGCGTCAACAAGTCTGCCCAACATGCAGAGCTTCTGTCGTTGATGCACCACAGGCTCAAGCCACACGTGGAGCAGCCAACAACGCCAATGGAGCAGCTCAAGGTGCCCAGCCACAGGTTCCAGGGCAGCAAGATGGCCCAGGGGCACCTCCACCACCAGCAGGAAATCGTCCTGTGCGAGGAATGAGAATGATCAATTTCGGACCTCTAAGAGTCGGCTTTGGTCAAGCGAATCTTCAGGATCTTGCGCAAGGCGTCGGAGCTCAACAGCCGAACCAGGACAACGGTGTGGCTGGAGGTCCTCGAGTATATGGCTTGGAGTTGGGTTTTCCACGACGAGTTCAGCCCCAGCCACAGGCACAAGATGGAGCCAATCCGATTTCAACATCGACAAATTTACAAGAGAGCTTACAGCACATTGAACAACAGATTGTGGCTGAAATTCGCAGTCTCCAAGTAACACAACAAGAATTACAATTGGTTCAGTTATTGCAGGTCGAGCTTGGACGACTTCGTCAATTACAGAATGCGGGATCGGAAATGCCAATACCTCCAGTGGTTCCTTTTGGAACAAGAGTTGCACTATTTCCAGTTACGGTACCGCAAAGCAGTCAACAACCTCATATGCAACGGCATGGAGCAAGAGCAAATACAGCAGCCATACCTTCTGGAAGTAGTGACCTTCCTCCTGGGGTTACTATTCCAGAAGGTTGGACTCTATTGCCGTTACAAAGGTTAGATGGACCTGTCGTATCAAACACGATGCAAACCACACAAGTTCCTTTAGCCGGTCCTGCAGGGAATCCAACAACGGCCCCCACAGCCACCACTCAACCTGACACAATCAGCCCTATGAGTGGCGCTTCTAATAATAATCAGACGCCAACGATTAATCCCGAAAACAATTCACAAGCGTCACAAAATGATTCGTCAAATTCAAACGCCATTTCTACTTCGCCGTCAGCATCAGTTGACCAATCAACCACATCGAATGTGGCCTCAAGTACCACACCTACCAGGACAATCAGTACAACCTTGAACAATAATCCTGCATCGATCGCCTCAACTGATGCGACGCCAAATCCTTCCGTACTTCCCAACTGGGGTTCATCTCAACTATTTTCAGGCCCAACTTTGACGTCGGGTAATACGAGCGGTAGCTCATCATCTGGCACAACTATGCCACCGCCCCCAAGTCAGGGTAGCCATGTGGACAATAATGTAAATGCAAATGCACATGTGGCTCCTTCCACGACCACCCCCTCCTCACCCCACAACACAGATGATTCTGCCTCGTCTGAAGCACATGCTTCGCGGGAGGAAAAGGGGAAAGGTAAAGCCACTGCGCAAGCGACGGTGGAAGATACCGTTGATGAAGATTTAGCTGGTGGTGAAGGATCTTCTTAGTTCTGGTTGATTGATTTAAAATTAAAAAAGACAAACCATTCGGAGCTAGATAATGATGCTTAGCGTGTATATCTGTTCTTGCATTCTCAAGGCGTTCAGGGGCATAGGAAGAGATATTTTGGAATGGGAAGGGGGGTATTCAAGATATTCCCCAATTCTTTTACGCTAGCATGTATTTTAGTTCTTTAGGTTATTCACAAAAAAGAGGAACATTCTTGTTAAATGCATACCCCGTATCATGCACGTCTAAAGTTGCCAAAGGAATCTTACACTTCACCTGTCGATCTTCGTTCCTGCTCGGTTAGAACGGACACGACGCGGGATGTTACGACGGGTGACATTGTTGTCAACGGTTCCTTTGTCTTTCTTTCCTAACGGTTGCTGTGAGAGGTCAGAACTGTAATTCTTGTACGTGCTATCCCTCCGAGTCTTAGGGCGGGGTTGGGGATCCTTTGAATGTTATTCTGCGTTTGTCCTTCCATCAAATAATTCGTAAAACTAAAATTGTTACAATTTCGAAGGAAGAAATGGCTGAGAATGTCATACCCCCTATCCCCTTATCTCGCACCATACTCCGTACCTTGACAACAACGTGTCCTTGTATCTAGTTCATAGGGCTGGCTGTTCGAGGGGAGAGGGTGAGGGGGGTAAGCCGCATCTCGGATCCGCACCTGTCGTTGGATACGAAGCACCGACTACGAAACCAGGATGCCTCTTACTCTAATCAAATCAACAGGAACATGTTAACAGTCTCGTCTCCGCCGGAATCTTAAAATTGGAAGACTGAACTGACAGACAGCGTAACGTTGACACGTGGAACGTACACGCGAAGGGTGTGCATGAATGTGCTACAATCTGTAGAGTGTCTGGGAGGGGGGACTCAAGGGAGTATGCTTGAGCTTCTATATTGCTGATTATGAACTTTGTTGCCAGGATTCCGAGTCGGTTTCGGAGGTTGCTTGATGTAGGAGTTGAGAGTTTGACGGGTTGTACAGATCGAATGGATCGGGGTTTGTGAGATACAGAGGTAGTAGGAAATGTTGTTGCTGACGTGAGTAATGAGATACGTAAAGAGTAACTGGCAGTTTTGTTGCTGACATCGGTGTGGGATATTATGTGACTTGATGAGTTGTTTCATTCAAGATTTTGACAGAGTAGTCGCCCTTGAGGATAAGAGAAAATGGTCTTACTACGGCTTCCGGCCATTCACAAGTCCTGTCAGGGGAGGAAGCTCATCTCTCCATTTCACAACGAACAGCATCGCGGGTGGTGCAGAGAGTAGACAGTAAGTCAAATTCTCGCGCAAGATTTTCATTCAGAAAAGAAGGGTATCTGTTGACTTAAACAGCGAGTAACCACAAAGTCATTCCACCTCTCATACCATTTGATAATCTCAAATATCAACCTGATCGTCATCACCGTCTCTACATCCCGAATTCCTACCATTCAAACCCCCTACATCGTCTCTCAAACTCGAATCGACCTTCTCTCGATAAATGATGATAGAAAAATGATGCCAGACCAAACATATTATACAGAGAATCTCCCAAGAAATGCAAAAGCGCGAAGCAATGCTGATGATGCAAATGCTACAAGCAATCCATGCTCCCCATGAAGAAGATAAACGTTGCAAACAGGGTGAAAACAGATGATGATAAGTTGAATGAAAAATATGCCATCTCATATGGCCTCAAACACTCCTCCTATTTGTACAACCCGATTTCCATAGAACATTAGACATTAGTGGTGTAAGATATTCAGTTTTCGAGGGCATCCAACTCCTCCTCGGTAGCAGGTTCAGGTGTCGATTTGAAAGCGTAAGTCTCTCCTTTTTCATGAAGAACTGGTGGGCCTTCAAAGGTTGGTTCTTGTATGGCTCGTGGTGTCGAATCCACTGATTTAATGCTTGACCCAGAAACAGGACTCTGAGCAACATACGTGGGTGAATGTTTTATACCCTCCGACCCAAACGGCAAAGATCTCGACGGGATCTCTCTAGCAGGCTCTTCCCCTCCCAATTTGCTAGCTAATACCTCCGATTGTCTTCGCGCGAGTTGCTCTAATTGGGCTGCAGGATCCTATCTAGGATCAGTAATTGAACTAGATGCGAACACAAAACAAGTCGTACCCATTCAGCTTGGGATGGCACTCCCTCTGCGGCAGGTAGCTCGCCTTGGTCATTTCTTTCCTCTCCCCAAAAGTTCGGTCTCCGGATGGGAGCGGGGGTCACTGGTAGGCTTGGTCTTTCAAGCTCTGTGGGAAAGTCGGTGAGCTTAATACTACGCCGTCTGGCACCTGGACTGGAAACTTGTTCTATACCTGAGCCGTATCCCTGCAGTACTTGAATATTGCCCTTGCGATTCTTTTGCAAGGCTCCTATGTACCGCTCTATCTCAGGGATATCGTCCCAGGCATTACCTCGACTATACGTCTGCCAGGGATCAGCGGGAGTGAGCTGGATTGTAGGAGTGGAGGGTGTAACTGGAGTTGAACTCTCATTGCCCGATCCTGCTGGTTCAGGTGCAAACTCGACACTATTATCTGGCTTAGTTGTCTCGAGGTTGTCTTCGGGAAATACTCTTGTGGGTTTTGGGGCATTCTGTTCCCACGGAAATATCGGTGCTGGTTTCTGATATGACGGAGCCTTTGGCACTTCATACCACATGTCCTTTGGAGGATCTGGGTATCTCTGGGGAGCCTGGAAGGGCTTGGTGTCCGAGGACATTTCGTAGTGGGTGGAAGGGAAATTGTGGGCTTCAGGACGGGAGTCTGACGGTGGGGGGGCTCTGTAAATTATCAACATTTGACGCATAAAGGGTAGAGCTTGGAAGACTCACGTTCTGGCATCCCATGCATTATAGGGTATCTCCCGCTCCTTTTCCTTTTCGGTGTGTTCCTGTGCTGGAGAAACATAAGCCTCGTCCACATGTGTCGCATTATCCGTAGATTGATGCCAAGGTGATTCAGTTATCGCATGGACTATCTCACTGTCGGTCTCTGCCGTTGTACTAGAGGATTGATTCTCTGATCCTGCTGCCACATATGGCTGCTCAGGCGATGCTCTGTTTTCCTCTTTCGTGTCGGCTTGGGAATCGTGATACGCAACTGGAGGTGGTTGTGTTGGTTGAAATTCGCCTTTGGTGTGGTAATGTACAATCGTTGAATTACCTTTGGGTGTACTCTCGACCGACTAGAGGAAGCGTTAGGAATTTCATTTCTTAAATTTCGATGCACCTACTGATTCCCTGTAATGTCTGTCATAAACCGCCCACCATCTTCCCACCATTTCGTCATATGGATTCGACCCTTTATTTGATTCTCGTCCTTGAGACCAAGGCTTGTCATGACCGATAAAATGGCCCATACTAATGCTTGATTGGAAATGTCGATATGCTGGCAAGTACTGGTAATGCGCAGATGGGGTGACGTTGTACGTGAAGCTCAAACGATTGAAGGTGTTTTTGAAATGCATGTTCAGTAGACCTTGATCTGCTCCATCAAATGATATGCCTCTCTGCGCCATGGCGAGCAATGCATAATAATCGCCCATATTTGGAGTCAACACCATCAACCCACTGTTGAAAATGTCAGGCCATCCAATATCTGGAGCTGCTGAAAATGCGTGCGGTAAATCGAATAGTTCATCGGGTGCGCGAATCGAAACCATATCGGCGTCCACGTATACAATCTTGCGGAACTGTACCAGCTTCCATAGGTTGAGTTTGGTAAACGTCGAATGGAGATCCGCTCTGTTCATGAGAAAGAGATTGGCTTGGGATTGATTGACGATTCGCTCGACGGGGATAATAAAATCGAAAACAGTCTATCGCAGGCCATCAGTCTTCCTCCAACAATTCCTCCGACAGTATTTGCTTACTCGTAGCTGAGCTATCGCGTCGACGGACACTGTATCTTCGGTGATAAGTACCGCCAACTTCTTGGTGGTTCCTGCATCTCGTAGGGAATGCGCAATCACCAGTGCACCTTGAGAGAAGCTCCAGTCAGCTCGAATTAAGAGGATAGAGGGAAATCGTAGTACCTGGGAGATATGAGTCGCTCAATAGAAGCTTGGAAGTCGATCGTCAGTACCATCCATGCAAACGGCGAGCTGGAAAGGGAGCTCACTGTGGCGTAGACATCCTCCTTCTCTGAAGCCATTGCGGTCGCTATGTACAGATTGCGAACGGCTCGAACAGAGAATCTCCTTGCGAACCCTCAGTATATCCTCGTGGAGATTGACGGGAAGAGAAGAGGAGAGGAGAAAAGTTGTCACGAGAGGAAGCGGGCGGTCTTTGCAGGGAACGATGACATCGGTTAAAGAGCTGCACCAGGCAAGGCCTGGCTTCTCGCCTGGAGTTGGATGGTGTTGATGGTGGGGAAGCTAGGATCAGCGAGAGAACATGGCAATCGAACAATCAAAAATCCCGGTCACAACAATCAAACGACACTCAACACAACATTGATCCTTTGCTACAATCTTATATAATTTGCTAATTTGCTAATTTGCTCTGTGTAGCAGAATTAAGTATGCACGACTCGTCATACAACGAGAATGATTTATCTATGCTTTACCCAGTATGCGCTTCCCTCTCGCCACTCCTCCTGCCATACCGCCCAATAAATCGGTGCTACAGCTGCAAGGCGGGGGGGCTCCCACTCGCATTTGGCTCAAGCTCGCTTCCTTGCTAGACTGCTCTACTCCTCTTGGTGTAAAGCTTCCTGCTCGCATCGAAGCATCCTCTCTCACTGGTTGTATGCACACCGCAGCTCCAATCATGCATTCATTTGCCTAGGAGCAGCCGCATTATTGCTACATTCGAACATCACTCAACAGCGAGAAGACCGTATCAACTTGGATCTTCTGCCACCTCAGGTCGTGTGACGGCCTCAACGGCCCTCGACCTCCACCTCCACTCCTCCACTGAGTCCACTCGCGGAGAAAAAAGGACATGAGCAATTCCACCCGAGTCCACCGCAGGTTTCAGCAGGTTTTGCTTGGAGAACATAGGGAGTAAACGCACTCGCATCCATCACTTGAAAAATACCCGTACCGACGCACTGTTTCCTTGTCTCGGATATCTGCCAGCGACGAGATAGTATCACGGATGCCACGTGTGCGGGGGAAATGTTGTGGATAGCTGCAGCTTAAGTCAACTCTCTCAGCAGAATCACGAGAAACGTATTGCCTCAGTATGGAGGAACAATCAACGGTGGAGAACCAAGCTTCGGCGGCCACTGGTAGGATAGGAACCAGGAGTCGCTTTTCTTTTATGGAGCTTCCGACGGAGATGCGCGTCAAGGTTAGTGGTATTCCTTGCTTAAGATATTCATGGCGTTTTGAGATCAAACCCCTGTATGCGCCAAGGGCACATAGCTAAGATCACATAATGAAGCTAGCAAGTGGCTAGTGGTTATACTGGTCTACGAAGTTTGGCGCTAGACAATTTGAATGGCAATCGAATTTGATATTAATCCGATCAACCGACCAAATATCGCGAATTTCGTCCATTATACCAACGAACATGCCGTCTTTCACCACTCCACTGCTGATAAGCATAATCTAGATATACAAATACATTCTCCTCGTCCAGGAGCCCTTGGTCATTCACTCCGCATATAAAAATATTCCACCAGACTTCACTACCAATTATCCTCCAGTAGCCATTCTTCATACCTGTAAAGATATAAACCGAGAAGCAATTCCCATCTTCTACTCCAACAAACTAGTGATAGCTCTACGTATGTCTATTTACCTACCTAACTCTCATCGACTAACAACTATCAGCACTCGGTCGCCCCTCTGGCACTAGTCGTCAAAGACCAGCCTTCTCGTTCGTAGACTATCGGTGGACAACAATATCTCTCATGAAATCTCTTTCATTTTTTAATCATGTCGACCCGCCACTAGAAGCTGTCTTTCCCTTCGACGCAAATTTGGCAAACACGGTCCCTAACGCCACGTCCAACACCACCACCAGCGCTGACATTGTTGCTAACCCATCCGAGCATCCCCCACCCACCTTCACGACATCCGGCGGGGCAATCATTTCCCGCTTTGCCATCTCAGACTTACGTTACAGTCCCGGTGGACCTGACTATACCATGGCCCTTTCGTTGTCGAATTGGGTCAGTATGAAGGTGACAAGGGCGGAACTGAATGCTTTTGAGAGGGAGTTGGAGGGGATGGCTGGGATGTTTGGTCTGCCATTCCCTCCAGCTTAATTGAGAGAATGATTTGTGTGTGTCTGAGGTGGGTAAAGTAGAGAGAGGGCTTGTGAAAAGCATTTGGTCTACTGAAACTGCCTGGAAAAGGTGAGTGAGGAGGTGTGGCTCTGTTGAATGTCAGGTGGTGCTAGGCACGATCATGGCTTTATGGGCTCGTCCCTATAAAAAGGAGTTGGACTTGGGATTTCCGTACGGCGTGATGAAATATGACGAAGCGAGGTATCCAATTGCGTAATTTAACGAATGATTTACCAAAAAGTAACACTCACAAACGAAACACATGATTCATATAGTGCGTCGCAGAAGACAGTATATGTATCAGAACGCTATGGCTATTGCTAACTCAACAAGAAGTCACGGTGGTACGTACCCTTGATTATAAGTTTGTTTTCATAGTTCTTGAAATGTTTCAGTTGCTGAAAATGATGGGCAAACTATCCGATATCTTGTCAACCCTCTCAATGGAAGAAAAATCGCGTCTCGACAATCACTGAGTTCATATAAGGGGAGATTACCTTCCAGAAGCGAAATCCAATTTAAAGGGAATGGCGAAGACGAACGGAAGAGATAGAGAATGAAAAAGCTGCATGTATCAGACGCGTATGGCTGCCCGAAATAGATAAAGAACCTGCGCATCGAGTTTTGTAAGCTGGGAAAGAAAAAGGTGAAACGATCGTCTCCGGTCACAAGTCCCTTGGGTGGGGAAAACCCCAACAAATTGCGAGGAGCACAGATAAAAGGAATATTTTTGTAGAAATATGATACTTCCTAATCGGGGTACGAACGGTAACGAAAAGTTCTAATTGTTACCTTAGGGTTTTGAAAACTTAGCTGACAAATTCTAAACAGGAGAAGGACTGTTTAGTATATGTAATAGGTAGTCGAGCGAGCATTATATTTCTTCTGTTAGGTAGGTACAATATCGCTTTTTTCGTTGATTACGATCGAGGTTTACCATCTGTTCTTTCTACCATCTACATGAAATGGGATATTTTCGGATTTTATTGACTAAGGTTCTAGTAGAAAGTACTGTTTTAATTACCTCGTTACTTGATGTACGAATGGTATCAAACTACGATGGACGAAAGACTAAACTCACCTTTTGAATACAAGTTAACTTATCGTCGCTACCTCACTATCGGTTTTCATTTTCATATGAGCTATCTCTTAGAATCACGCTTGGTATTTAACCTCGTCTATACAAATAACGCTAAGATATAACCGCTATACAACAGCAGCAACCGCTAAACTCTACAACGTCAACCACACCTCGCTCAACATCATACTCACAACCTAACCCTCACCTCAACCCCCACTCATCAAGTCTGCTATCCTCATCATCCGCAGCATATCCCCTACTAGGCCATAGCCGTCTCCCCCATTCCTGCTTAACTCTTCCAAATATGCTGACACACGTGAAACGATTAAACTCGATACAAAGCGGACTTCGTTTGTAAACCCTCCATCTCCGACCACCCGTTGATCTTTCCATGATCCGGTCCCATTTATCGATTAGAAATTTACTCGCAGCCCTCGGCGTTCGACGTCGAGCCTGACGGGCTGAGTATTTTAAATAGAGGTCTGGATTGCTATGGCAAGTGACCGCGATACGAAGATATGGCATGTCGAAACTGACTGGTGCTGGTCGTGTCTCAAATTCATTTTCTTGCTCGATTTGCCTCAGAGAAGGTCGTAATCGAATTTTAGGGAGTGGAGGTGGGAAGAGGATCTTGTGAAGACATGAGTAATTACTAGGTTCTTCATCTTCCTCAAAAAAACCTTCATCTTGGTCTCGATATCGCTGCTCTGGAGGTGGCGAGTTCTCTCTTTGCATTGCTACCCCACCTGAAGATGGCAATTTTGCATCAGAAGGTCTAGGTGAAGATGGTGGACTGGCTGAGTTACTCATGCGTGCTAGGAAAGTTCGTAACTGCATTAATGCATCGTCAGGGTCATTCGATGCTTCAGAACTTGGTGGAGAAGTTCTTGTCAAAGTGCCTGGACATCTGGATGCCGAAACTCGTGGTCGTGGAACTGGAGAGATGCTTGGTGAACTCCACTTTCTAATTGGGAGGGAGTTGGCTTTTGTAGACACTTCATCGCTCGAAGGGGCCGTGTTTAGGCGATGTGATGTTCGTTTTTTTGGAGTATTTGGGCGATGTCTGGTTCTAAAGGGGTGTCTTATTGCTGATTTGGGAGGATGTGATTTACTCTTTTGGTGAGCTTTATCGGCTGCGAGCTTTGGATGAGTGATTGGAGATGATGAGCGTAGAAAATTTGAAAACTCAGGAGGACAGAGGCTGAAGTCTTTTGGTTGGGCTTCTGAACGACTAGGCAATATTTTCGTTCCACGGTTGAGAAATTCCCTTAGCTGAAGAGCTTCTTCACTTATTGTTGGACGATCATTTGGCAGGCTACCAAGAGGTGATATGGGTGTACCTAGACTTCTGAGTCCCGAATTTCGTCGTCTTGCAACTGGTGGTGGCACCTGCAAATCCATATCCATATCATCGTTGCTGACAACGGAATTCTGGTGGTTGTACGTTGAGTATGAATCGTCGACTTTGTCCTTAGTTTCTTCTCTGCCAGCCGCCATTTGCGCTTTTGGATAGTCTATTGAATTAGACCTCGTCGTAGGTCTGGATCCCGTCCAAACTCCAACTCCATCTTCGTCAGTCTCCCCGGAATATTCTCCCTCGGCACTCTCGAAAAGATCCTCATACTCAACAACGTCCGAACTCTGCTCTCCGTCATCGAAAAGAGCTTCGTCCTCGACACGCTCAATGTCTGGATACTCTTCAGCATCTTCCCAACTTTCCTCTTCGTCATCAAACAGATCTTCATCTTCAAGATTCTCAAAATTCATTTGCTGCTCTTCATCTGCCATAGTTGAATCCAAATAATCCAACGAGCCTTGCCCTGCATTCGATCCTATCCCAGGACCCTTGCCGGCATCCATATCTGGGTACTGGTGGTATGAAAGATTTGCGTTGATAGGTTGATATTTTTTCACAGGATCGGGAACTCGAAGGACGGAAATGGGACACAGATACTCTCTATAAGTCTCGAACCAGAAGTTGGATTTATCAGGTATCACTAGTTTAGGCTGGTTTTTCAAGCAGTGGAATTTGCATTTGTAGCACTAACGTGTAGTCAGCTCTTGTAAACTTCAAGTAGAGCAGATTACTGACCATGTCGCTCAACACCGGTATGCGATTTCAAAATTGAGGCACCCTTCGAGTTCTATATTGTTATTCTGGGTAAGTGAATGCTGATATCATGCTTCGGATATGTTAGTATTTCTTAGTATGTGGCGAGGATGTAGTCATGATTCTTGAATAGGTTTGTCGTGGAGCTTGAGGAAGAGGATTGGGGTAAAAAAAAAATGGTTTGGCCTTGAGATTCTTTCTCGGCAGTTCAATTACGTGGTGGTGTGTGTTTTGAAGCGAGGAAGGAACACACGAGTCGCTCGGTGGAACTTGACATGTTGGCCACCTCAATAATCTGGTTAAAAGTGTTGATACTCCTCGCTACATGGAAGTGATTACCGCAATGTTGTGATTAGGGAAGGATGAACTGTTAATTATACATGTGCTGAGAAAGTAGTTGCAGTTGAATTGCTTGAAAATTTTACGGGTCTCAAAAAGCATAACAGGCACAGTATACGTTCGTACTTGTAAGCGGCTGCAATTAATGCATCCGTCTCCCACAAGTACAATGAGAACCAGACTTTAGAGTATGATGGATATGGAAGTGTAGCTTGACAACCTAACGAGCCAAGCCAACAACGTACTTCCAAAGCACTCGAGCATCAACAAAATGCAACGGAGCAAAACGCCATATTGATAACTCAGCCTCCAATATTCTATATTCCCGTGGTATCTACCTTTTGAAACAAAAAACTCCGCCATTTATACCAAAGCGCCTAATTCCCAAACCCAATGAACCTCGAAACAGATTCTTAGAAATACACCGCTTGGCCAGAACTACTCATGATGAATTCACATCCCAGATTATGTACTGTCTCCAGCTCGACGCATTCGCTCAATATAGTATCATTGACACTCGGTCCATCGTCCAGAGTTTCTTTAACATGGATAATTACAATCTTGAGGCCGTCAAGTGGACGATTCCACCTTCCAGACGTTGAAGAGCTTGCATTAGCATTTGGTCTCAATGTAAGTGAAGCCGGCCGAGGCCCTTCTCGAGCCGTGACACTTGTACTTCTAAGACCAATCTGGAGGTTTCGAAGAGAATTGATGTTGTTATCCTCAACAAACCCCGCCAAGACCTGGAGCTCCTCGAAGAGGTAGAAGGGAGTAAGATGGCCAAAGAGTAATGCATCGGGTCTAGAATTACTGTAGGAACACTCAATGACTAAACCTTTCAATAGCCCTGCGGCCATCTTTGGTGCCGCTTCGATCCAGAGCTTTCGGTTAAGGTCTTTTCCAGAAGTAGAGTCAGATTCGAGATCTCCGAAAACGATAATCTCTTGCTCGCTTGCAACGTCGCGAATGAAGAAGGCGGTACTATCAGTGACACATCTCGCGCCAAGGTGTGTGTTTATGGTATCAGATTCCGGCACGCTGTGATGGAACTCACTTGCAGGTCCATCTTGCGCGAGAGCCTGTGCTGTATGTCCATGCACGTGGCGTGTAGGGACGGGCTGCTGAGGAGAAGCCGGTGATCGAGGGGTGTGAGGTAAGCCAGCCAGCGAAAGATCGGGTTCTCTGAAATGTCTTTCTCTACAATGTCCGTGGGCAATGTATACTCCTTTTGCGTGCAGGCCTTCGCAAAGCTTGACATATCCACCATCGGGTACGAGAGGACTGCCTCCTGGAATCATTCTAAGGTATGTCACCAATGAGAAGCCGCCGTTTTCGTCGGAAAGATTTGGCCAGATGATACCATTGAAAATGTGCGTTTTGAATGCTTCAATAGTGGTTGGCATTCCTGCCAGAGTCTTCCTCTCAGCGGAATTAAAACCAGCCGTGTTTATTACGAAGGCTGAAATATGGTCAAGATGTGGGTGCGTTATGAGATGCGTCCCAATAACATCTTTCACGAGATCAATAGCATTGGCATTTGGATTTCGGTTCTTGATTTTTAGGTCCTTGAACGGTCCCGAGGATATGGTAGTAGGAAGAGGATCGGTAGAAGAAACCGGAGAGTGTTGCTCCAAAATCCTGGATATCGCAGCCAAATGGACACCTGCGTCGACAGCTAATACTGAATTCGGTCCCCAGGAAGTGGAGGTGGAACGAATGAGAAGTGCGGTCGTATTGTCTTCCATAGGACCACCACCAGCGCCCTGTGAGATTGTGCGTCAGTAGTGAAAGCGTTGAATGAAATATGAAGAAGCACTTTTCAGACTCCAGGGAATAGTGCTGTTTGAATTCGTATTCGAGTTCCAGTTCGCTTAAAGCAGAGGTGGCTGGATATAAAAGCTTCTGCTTAAGACAAATTTGGGCTAATAAGAAATGAATGTTCGTTCTCCTAGAGAAGAGCAGTGGACATGTGACAATACAAACAGATATAGTGGATAGCGCAACGGCAGCGTACAGGAAGGACATGCAGGCAGATAGCCGATAAAGTGATCTCGGTAACAAGTCGTCGACGTTGCCACCAGGACGGTCGTGACCATCGAGGGTAGCCAACAGTGACAACTCAGCCTCGTCCACAACATTATCCACAGCATAACATGACAATATAACAACAAAAGCAAGCAAACAAACAGACAAACAAGACAAGCCCGGTCGCTTACCAGAATAATCACCTCCATGCGCAGCGTCCGTGGGTCGCTCACGCTCATGTTCCTAGCCGTACGGGAGCCGGAGCCTTTTCGGGCGGGTTGCAGATGAAACTTATTTGGGGTGGAACTTGGACGACTCGAGAAGGCAAAGACAACGCTCAAGATCGACGGGAAGGACTTTTGCGCCGCGGAACTTGGCACTTGTTTATTGTTCCTTCGACAAGAACGGAGACGCGTCGTGTAAGCAGGCAGCCGCAGCCTCCCTTCCCGCAACTGTCGGAATCGATCTGGATGGTTCAGGTACGTCCCGGCTGGGAAGGCGTGAATGCGGTTGATGCGCACGTGACGAGTAAGGGCTAGTATATCGAACTCGTTGAGCTTTGAGAACCTTTGTGAAAATAGACGGCGATTTAATTAGGGACAGCGCTCGCCAATTGCCGTGTTGGGTATCTTAACGTTTACGAAACGGGAGTGTTGAGGGCCGACAAGAACTTTGCCCGTAGATGGTTAGCTATGTAATCGTTAGATCAAGAACCGCTCGATAAGGTAGGCTCCGAATAACAAAGGAGCGTATTGAAATCAACAAATCTGTCTCCTGCATACATGTGTCTTTTGGGCTGGTCTTGAATTGTTGCTGCATTCGTGAGAAACAAAGGAGGAGGGTCAAGCCACCATTTGCAGACTAGAAATTGACTTTCCACCACACCTTCCGTAACATTTTATATTCAGCCTATACAATAGAGAAAATAACGTATATTCACTAAAAAGAGCTACGTAAATATAACGTTTCGGGCTGTTCTACCGGAGTAAATGGTGCTGTATGAATCGAATGTGGAATATCTATGAGAGACAAGAAGTCATAACTCACTTTGTCGCTTTAAACATTCCACTTTCCGGTCTTATTGTCCAACCAATAGCCCAAAACAAACTTAGGATACCGCATTATCATTGCGTCAAAGTACAATATAATATATATTTTCGTTGGGAAACTACTTGCAGATTGTCGAGCCTCGAGCCTGTCTAACTTGACGCTCGAACCATTGACCATCAACAAAGAAGCAATCACGACGGGTTCGGAAAGGTCATCTCGATCCTCGAGGTTTTGTTCAAGTTACACACTATCTGTTAAAGCAAACAATGAACTGCCCATCCCACATAGGACAACGCTCCTAAACTGCCGTTTCCGTATTGACACCCTATGCACCAATGCTGAATTGTAAACCAGGAGGCAGTTTTGGAACCAAACGCCCCAATTTCCCACCCAAATATATACGTTATCATGCATCGTCTATTCGAGTTCCTGTAAATGCCGCACACTACCCTACTATCGACCAAGATTCATATGCATAATCGCGTCCTGCTTCCAAGATTCATCTTCATCGTCACTGACTCCATTCTGTATTCGAAGGCCGCCACGAGGTTGTTGACTTGGCAAACTCCACAGATCTCCTGTGTTCGGTTCTGGATCGCTTTGGGGAGCAAAGCGAGGCTTGGGTCCAACAGAGGGGGGCGGCCCTTCCTCAAATCCGGGAATTACGAAATCGCTTGTACGCATGGTAGGGAGCTGGTTCTTCTCCAGTTCCCAATTATCGCCGGGTAATTCAAAGTGGCCGTGATGGGTGTTTGTGGGTGTATCCGCACTCTGAACCGATGCTCCGTTATTGTCTCGCAGAGACCCGGTCATTGAGTCATCGTAGCTCATAGCTGGCATTTCTGATATTCCTGTGGGAAGTGGTACAAAGCTATTCTGAGCCTGTTCCCTTTGTCGTTCAAATTCTTGTTCTTCGATTATCTGCGGTGCAGGCTCGACATTTCGAAGGCTGCTAGCCATGACACTGCTATTTCGAATACTGTTGATTCCACTTCGCGGTTCAATTGACTCCATCACATCCGGAAGAGCCGAGTCGGGATCTCTAATACCGAATTGCGCCATTGTACGCATTTTTCGTGTGACCCAGCTAGCCAAGATTTTGCCTCGTTGTTTCTCTCCCAGTCGTGACCTTGGAAAGTCCCCTTTGTTAACGAATGCTACAATGTCAACCACGATTTGATGCTCGTTGAGAATAGCGTTCACAATGACAGGGACAATCGAGGCCAAATATGCTTTCCTTCCAACCTCGACCAGAACGACAATAAGGCCACCGGCTTGGAAAATTGCGCTGTGATAGATTAGTTGTGGTTTTAGAAGATGCAGAAGAGGATGCACTTACCAGCCGCCGGGTACGATATTTCGATGACACTTTTCAACCGAGTATTCAATATCCATCGGGAAATGGCTGAGCCCATTGATTTCAAATGTCTCCCCAATGTTGCCAAGCACAAATAACACCTGCATGTCTACCTGGGCACCATTGGGCCCAATAGGTCGGCTAACGTTGTGAAGGAACCCGAGATCCCCAGTACGAACGTATTGGACACTTGGGTCGCCGTCGATTGTGCGGCCATCGAACCTTTCTGAATCGAATGCATCTTTGGAACCGTAGAACGATTTTACGCATGCTTCTGAGTCTACCCAGATCTCACCATATTCTCCATCGTGACATAGTGCACGACTTTCAGGGTTGACGATCGCTATTTGAGTCGAGACTGGTACCATACCGGAATCTTGAATTAGAAGCGACTTCGGATCCGTATCAGGATCCACAGGATAGATCATGCCTCTTCTTAGGGCTCCTGGGTCTAACCACAGTTCTATTGGCTCGATACACATATATGACCTCGATGCAATCATTGGATTCAAAACATGAGAGTAGATAGTGTTGATCGCTGTGCGGTCCAAACCAGTGGCTGCAAAATGAAGTCGAACTTTCTGGAACACATCGACTCGAGGTCGCCCTTCCGCGGAAATCATCATGTTTTTCAGCTCATGAAGGGTGAAACCTTTACCAGGCATTATTGACATGGCATGATCCAGCATTTGAGGTGTAGCATAGGTATCCTTGATCTTGTATCGTGACAATGTTAGGAAAAGAGATACTGGATTCTGAGCAAATTCGACCGGTGAGACTAAGTATGTTGGGGCGCCCACGAAAATCCCCATTAAGCATGTATGAATGAAACCTAGACCGCTTGTGCTGCGAACGCATCCAAGTACCGGTCTTGAACTCGTCATTTGGCAAGTCTCCTTTTGAACTTTGCACATTCCCATAATGGTATCATGTCCCAGTTGGACTGCTATGCGTCTCTGATCGGGAGTCCAGTAAGTCCATACAAGAACGGGATACCCTGGCTGAACCCAACTGGGCTGCATGGTTAGACCGAGATCTCTGCATCCGCTGTTTTGTTTCGGGGGTTTTGTTGTATTGTACACACTTGGAACTGACACCTTTAGAACTTGCGCAGATTGCTTGAGATGCTGTGACACTGCCTTCTGCTTCAGCAAGTGGTCCACGTCCTGGTTTACTAACACTGCTTTCACAGTATAGTCCGCCACCATATGCAGAAAAGCCGGTGCATCCTCGTTAAGCCGATTTTGATCCAAAGGAGCCATAGGTATGGCCGTAGCGCCCAGACAAAAGCAGGCATGCGCAGCGTATACAAAGTCCTCAGAATGAGTATACATTAGAATGAGATGATCCCCAGGTCGGATCTTGACTTTGTTCTTGAGGTACATTGCCACAGCAGCTACCTTAGTATCGAACTTTTTCCACGTGATGCCCTTGCCCTCTTTACCTCTGCCATCAATAGTACAGTATGACAGTTCATCGGCTTGGCGGGCAACTCTCCATTGCAACAAATCCACAATACTAGTGAAGTTGTTGAGTGGCGTTGATGTACGATCGTCTATCACAACCTCGCGGCGATCGATTCCAGAGTATTGCTTATCGCCTGGAGACAAAATGTCTTCCCGTGTTGCAGATGCCAGTGGTGACCATATGCCACCGATTGGATCAACACCAATTGGCAAATTCAGTACAGCGCGCTCGACACCAAATTTGACGTGTACACAAGGCAGGTTGCCCAAGTCAAACTCTCTCCTACAAAGCATGTTACCAATCTCCCTGCGCCCATTTTTCAAGACTTTTGGCAGACTATTGGGTGCCGTAATCATTACACAATAAACACGTAAATGATGTTCCTGCATCAAGACCTCCATGCATCGCTCTGACAATGAATCAAGTAAGGCAGTATCCAATTGCCGAGGTGGTCCACCAGAAGTTACAGGAGCGGTTGAAGCGGATTGAGATTCCAACAACACAATCGGCAGGTGCTCGTCATTTACGAAGACATCGAACGCCGAGCAGTCGTAGATCTTCGGCACATTCTTCATAATACTGACGATGATATGTTGCACAAAGAAGTAGCGATGTTCAGCAATCTCGTGTCCATGTTCCACCCATTCAACCTTTTGGCGCAACCGATCCTCGTAAAGACCTAGCACGAAGAGCTTCCCTTCAATAACAGTGCCCAGTAGCCCAGTGCGTAAGAATTCAGGCTCTACCATCATTGGAGTTGGGTCACCTTGCTCGAATTTATAAGGGCGTGCATGGAAGATTTGCTCTGTATGCTTCGGCAACGCCCAGAACCCCCCCGAAAGAGATGGAGAATCAACCCAAATTTCACCCACAGAGTGCGGCGAAGCTAACAGACCCGTCTCAGGGTCGACTACAGCTAGCGTGGCATCTGGGATTGGAAATCCAAAGGCACCAACTCGAACCGTTCCGGGCTCGCTGCTTGCCTTCTTGCGAGCTTCTTCGCCGATCGCTACAACAACAACCTCATTCGTTTTCAGGGCCTCTCGGTCCAATAACACTTCACTCAACTCCGTCCTTCCTTGCTGTTCCGTGGGCGTGGTACTGCCACCTCCTATCAGACTACCGAATCCGGGGCCCGATGGCTTCTCCTTTTCGCCGACCTTTTCGATGGACTCCGTATCAGAACCCATGTCTAATTTCAGCGGACAACCCATACGCTCCTCGCCGCCAAGCCAGTCTCGCATGCTTATTACCATACCGCCATGTTCTGGAAGACAAAGCATCGGCGCAACCAATTCGCGCGCCCTAGGATTCCTCATTGGTCGTAACCATCGATCTGCAAGCACCTCGTGGAATTCGCTATCCACGGTGAGTGTATCTATTAAACAAAGCTTGACATGCTGAAAGTTTGGTTCTATTCCTTTCTTGAAATTTCTAGTAGTCATCGGATCTTGTTGGTAGTTGTAGGCGGCTCTCTTCAAACCAGGATAATCTGCAAGCATCAACGTCGCACTGTATTTAGTGATTAAAAATGCGTAAAGACCGGGGGTTTCAACGGCCTTGTTCTCCATCCACACCGTTGTGTGACCGCCATAGACTGTAAGTAGGACACCAAGGATCATGCCAATACCTTGCCGCGGATCCAAGTAAGAAAGAAGAATTTCCCCACGATTGCTACTTCGAGCCATGAGTCTACCATTTTTATCCCTTAAACCAGAGCTGAATGTGTCTCCGGTCGTGTTTGATGGGACGGTGGATATTATGGCGCTTAGACAGGCCATCTGATGCATAATAGTGCGGTGGCTCATAACAACACCTCTCAAGTCTCCTGTTGGCGCCCGAGAAAACTCGATGTAGGCGAGATCTGGAACCGTTAATGGTGGCATATCTTCTTTCTTCTTTGGATGCCAACTTCCAAACTCATTCGTCTTCCACCACTCAACCCCGCGCGGCCAATTGAGTTTTTGAGTAGTAATATCTCGCTGGAACGCCTTTAAATTGTAGTCGGTTGTAAGTGCAAGATGAGCTTGCGTCGAAGTAAGGATGACGTTAAGTTTCGCATAATCTTCAAGGTCGTTGATTGGGACAGCTACCACGCCAGCAATAAAACAGCCAAGTAGCGCAATGGCGAAATCAATAATTTCCGTATCGCGATAGATCAAGGCCACTCGATCTCCCCGATATAGAGAGCTCTTATCTCTAATTACTTGAGCGACCTTTTCCGCCCTGCTAGTTAGTTTATCCCAGGTGATAGAGGCAATTTCCTTCCCCTTTCCATCTAGAACCCAATAGGCTGGTGCTTTTGCCATCGCTTTGCTGCGGTGACGTAAGACTGCAGCGATGTTATCAAATTTAGACATAGGAGTGTTCCCATCATGAGGATCATATACGGCGAATGGCACATCCCGTGGCTCTAAGGGCATTTGATATTCAAGAGCGGCTGGTGGAGGCAGATCGCTTGTGGTCAACATTGGAGGAGCCATGGCTGCTGTCGGCGAGAATGCATCGCTCGAAGAGTACCTGTGCGGTCCACCGCCATAGGAATTTGATGCGCCATTATCATAGCCTTGCTGGCCCGCGAAATCGGAAAAGTATCCTTGTTGTGATTCTCCTAGCATAGTGCCATGCGAATCCATCATGGTGCCAGCATGGCTTTCGTATGCGTTGTTTGGCTGCTGTTCAGAAAAGCCAACTTGATGCGCGGGATTAAAAGCATAGTTCGCCCCCGAGGTCATAGTACCCATTGTCATCGTTGGCTCAGCGGATATTGCGCCAGTATTTGGTGTCCTTGGGAGAAATAGAGAGTCGGCACCGTATGATTGCCTGTGAGCAGTGCCTTGTATACCAAGCCTAAGTTCCTTGGGCCTCCCACCAGATGCAAACCCTCCTTCTTGAGCTCTACTATCCCCAAAGCCATTAAACCCACTTCCCATAGTGTCTAATCGCGCCTGCGATTGCGGTGGAATATCAGGTCTCTGTTCATACTGCTCGCTGAATGGGCTTGTATTGGCATTAAGCGCTGCAAGTGAAGCGGTTCGAGAGCCATTGTGTGATGGGTGTGCTGTGTTGTCCGGGGAGTGTACTCGTAAACCCTTCAGCTCCGCAGACTCGGACGGAGAGCTTAAAAACTGCGAGAGGAGAAGAGTGCGGCGTTTCTGGTAACTGTAGGAGACGAGATCAGAGGCCGTACGATATGGAAAAGGGCGTCCGCATTAGACTTAGCCAGCGCGAAATGAATTTATACCCTTTTTCTGTGATATCTCCCTCCTATGTGTCTGTCAGCATGTTCTTCGACACCGCAATACCCATTGTAACAAAACCGCAGAGCTCATGCGACAGCTCCAGGCCCCGTTACAAGACGGGCGAATCTGCTCACCTCAAGTTCGTGTTCAAGCTCCTGCAGCATCTCCTGCAACACTGGGTTGTTCGTCGCCATTGTTTTCTTGTCACCGGCAAGGGTCTAGAGTGTGCCAGGAGAACGGAGGCTCCGTAGATGTGGGATATATTCGAAAATAACGGTTGAGGATTCAAGGTGGGCGTATGATATTGGACGCGGGAGGAAGCATGAATGGAATCACGGCTCCGAGTCTGATGAAAGGAAATGCGGCTTAGGAAAGATCGTGAGTATCACAGAGTGATGAATGGCCATTAAAAGAAAGAAATAAGATGGATATGGAGTACTTGTATGGGCTTGCGGGGCTGGCTATTATTGGAATGAAGTTGTGCGATAGACGTCTAGGGGAGAGCAGACTGACAGCGATCTTCGCTCGATTCTCCTCGTGTCGGCTTTCTGCTCCATCTTTACTACAGCCATTCGTCCCATTTGGGCGAGTGACGCCAGTACGCAGAGGCTGGGATTCAAATCACGTGCAGCATCCTCGGCTATGTGCTGCAAGTCGACCCTGATTTTGCAACTTCCATAGGTTCTCTGTGGATCCTTTACCTTTTTTCAAGTTTTTGACATTCTGTTTACGGCCTCACTTCCGGCATGAGACAGCATCTTTTTCTACAGCTTAGCTTCACCTGATCAGAGGCTGAACCGCCTTGCCCACTTGAGCTTTTTTTCGAGGGTCTTGTAGATCCGGACTTTGAGTCGAGTCACGAGTATCTTTGCTCGCGGTGGGCAAAATAAGTGGCAGTCGAAGCACGATATTTCTTCGAGCAAGTTGACGAGATATCGCTATTTAGCAGATTAACTTAGAAGAACATAATATACTTCGTCAATCATTTTGAGTAAGTGAAAGACTTCTTAGGCTCTATTCGAAGTCGACTTATTTAAACCGAAAATGAGTAGGCAGGTAACTGAGACTTATTTTGTCCTCCACGAGCGTTGTAGGGGATGACCCAAAATGCCATGAATGAAGAATTGCTGGTAGTTCTTCTGTTACCAAAGCTACAAACTGCAATTACGCTTGTCAAAGATTGCTACTACTCTTTACTTATTTACAGAATTGAAGTTATAAACTTCACGTAGACCAAGCAACAAGGGCACACTGCCTGATCCTACTGTACATTCTCGGTATTCAAAGAACCAATCCACCAAACTCTGCGAATCCCCAAGGTGTCGTCCTCCAATATCCAAATTTGTTGGATACAGCACTAAGTCATGGTAGCATTCAATTTATAGCACTTGTTCTTCGGAATAGTCTCTCCTTGGTCCCACTAGGAAATGTGTCAGCGTGACGAAATCCAAAATCACAATCAGTACCTACATGTTCGTGGACACAACCTCCAACCCACTTCCACCTATCGGTTGTTGAATACTGAGCATATGACATGTTTGTGCTGGCATCAAAGCACCATGCCGTATTCTTTTCCGTTCCAATCTTGTTCCCATTACAGAAAAGTGGCCAGATGGTGTTAGGTCCATCGTTATATCCAGGATGATGTTGCTAAGAAACATTAACTTATACTCTGTGTTTCGTTCAGCGACATTGTCGGATTGTTCTCACCTTGTAGGTTGAATCTATAAGCGAGAACATTGTTCTAGGATCACCATCCACTACGAATGCACGATAGAATTTGTAAGCTCTGAGTGCTGTCTCCTCCACAGTTACAGAAGAATTTGCTTGGCAGATGACCGGTGGTGTCTTCAGATTGCATAGATTTTCTCTCTTGGAAAAGGTTTCGCTAGCTAGAGTAGACTCCTGGAGCTCCATGACTGGCAAAGCAAGGCCAGTCATCGGAGCCAGGGCGCTAAGCGACAGTAGCAGTGTAAATCGCATTGCTTCGGATTTTCGATTTATGTGGTAGCGACAAGTGAGTATTCTATGTGGAATAAGTACTGCTTTAATAGTTACGAACCCACCACCTGGTGCACCTTGGCGAGATATCACCAAATTAGCCGAAGCGGCGAAAGGTTGATTACCCCTCAGGCTCTTGTTTGTACCAGCCAACTATGCTACATGCACAAGCCATCTATATTAAATTACTCTAAAACATGGGTTTGCCCAGGAAGAAAGATAGTACTCGTCACAGAGGGGCACTCGGCATATTTGCACATGTATGAGTATGGAGAGATCTACCTAAGTATCAACCGAGTCTGTTGTTCAGCCAGCCATACCCTGGATAATGCTCCATCATACGTGTATGTATGCATTACTGACTACAAAATCTCAAGGGGAGACAATATATTAGCGATCGCACAATTCCCGAATCGCAAGGCTCGCAAGAGACATGTATATGTTCACACGATGCTCATAAAAGTTGAAAACCCGGCTGATCATCGTACAAGGCTATAATCATATACCTAATCATCCTACGGCGCCATTTTCTCAACCTCGTCTACTCTAAACCGACCATAATATGAATTTCAGGATGTCCGAGAGCATTTTCTTTCTCACGGTAACGATTATGAGTCAATAACAACGTCGATAATGGAACTGCGGGTGAAGCAGTACCTAGCTTCAAAAGCAATCGGGCTCGCAAGAGGCTTCAAATCGAAATGTGCTCAGTCTCGCAGCTGTCTT